AGGGAAGGAATGAATTAAGGAAGAAAGGTAATTAGAGGATGAAGAAAGAAAGAAAGAAAGAAAGAAAGAAAGAAAGAAAGAAAAGAAAGAAAGAAAGAAAAGTAAGCGGGGAAATAAAGGAATGAAGGGAAGATGGAGGAAATCAAGGAAGGAAAGGAGGAGAGGAAAGCATGATGAAAGTAAGGAAGGAAGGAAGAAATGAAGGGAGAGAAAGGATAAAGAAAGGAAGGATGGATTGAAAAAGGGAGGAAGGATATAATCAAGGAAGAGAGGAAAGGAGAAAGGAAAGTAAGAAGGGTGGAAAAAAGTAAAGGGGATTAAAAGATAGATGAGATGAGAAACGAAGGAGGGAATGAAGAAAGAAAGGAAGGAAAGAGGAGAAAATGAGGAGTGAATAAAGACAGACACTTGTCCATGATCTCTCCTGTTCGTCTCATTCTGATGTTTTTTTTCCTCATATTCAGTTTTTCTGATCAGAGACCCTAAAGTTCTCGTCTTAAATCAGTTTAGTGGAGCTGAGCGGTCGAACACTCCCTCATCCTTCAACAGTTCGTCTCCTAAACCTGGAGCAGAAGTGTGTGAAGGAAACATGACGACCGTAGAGACGTCTGCTCTGGTTCAGACTCTGTTACTGCTGCTGTTTTTTATGAGGCCGCCTTTATGTCCGAGTCTGATTTCCCTGAGGACAAATAAAGTGACTCTGCTCTTTCATCTGGACGTTGACCTTCACAAAAGTCGCTCTATTTCACATCGTCACAATTCAACTTACCACTGAGCCTCCTTAAAGAATCATAATCTTTCCTTTTATGAGTTTTTAATGATCCTACTCGGTGATTTTTAGGCCGCCTCCTTCTTACAGGTGCACCTCGCCTGGCAGTAAATCAACTGATCATATCTGAGGCCGCGCGTTTCATCCAAATATTATGAAAATCACAAACGGCCCAGTGCAATATCCGAAGAGCAGAGGCTGGAAATTATTGATAAAATGAGTGTGTGTATGCGCATGTGTGTGTGTGTGTGTGTGTGTGTGTGTGTGTGTGTGACAAACAGCATTTTAATGAGACGCTGTGATGCTGCAGAGACGCTCCAGCTCGCAAATCTTCATCTTTAAGGTCTCAGATTTAGTGATTGAGCAAAAATGATGCAAAAAGCTGATTATTAATCCGTAACCTCGAATCACTCCACAATCATGGGATCTGTCGAAATAATCACAACATGTGTGTTTTTCTTTTTTTAAACATCTGTGAGGGAGACGGATTTTAATTTAGGCTTTATCACAGACTCTTAAATCGGGATAAATCTTAAAACATGACCGGCGTCTGTTTGTGTTTAAAAATATCTGAAATGCAAATCAGTTTCTGTGCTTGCAGCTGCTTTTGCATCCTCACCATGTGGACAACAGCGCTGTTATATTCGTAAACCGCGGCTTTAACATCCAGAAAATCATCCGACAAACTGGCATCATTGTGCGCGTCTCTCTCTTTCCATCACTCTGACCCGCAGCACTCTCCGTACATCCATCAATAGTTCTCTTTCATGCTGCCCAGATGCCAACCACAGAGACGCAGAACATCAACAGTCTCCCATCCGCACAGGCTGTAAACAAGTGCTGCTGCTGCCAACCGACACCAGCAGACACTCAACCCTCTCAGACTCTCCGTCCTGTCGATACATCTGCCCTGAAATGCATCTCAAACACACTTTAAACTGATTACTGGAACAGGATGCACTAAACTCAGCAAGATTCCTTTTCTTTCTCGAACCAAAACAAGAATTAAAAAACAAAAAAAACTACTTCAAGCACGCTCCAACTCAGTGTCCCAGATTTTTAGATGATATTCATCCACTGCAGAGATTTCTTTCACTCTTTAAAGTCACATCAAACGCATCTTTGAGGAACACACACAAGCATGGAGACAGCAGCAGCAGCAGCAGCAGCACACTGGAGGTAAACAGCAGTAGTTTCCCAGCACCCCCGGCACGTCAAGTTAGAAATACCTGCAATTACAGAACGGACGGAGAGAGAGGGGACATGCCTGGGAAGGAGGAATTGCCCATTCTCCGCCGCGATGCACCTGTTCACTGTCCTCTGTCCAGCGCCGTCACTTTCTCTCTGATCTTCTTCTTCTTCTTCACGCTTTTAACCTCTTCTCCATCCACGCGCTCCTCTTCTTCTACTGTAGTTTGTTTTGGCTTCCTGTTTCCCTCATCCCTTTCTCCTCAGAGGGTCCATGTCTCGGCTCGAGCTGGAGCTGTGTCAGCAGCATGTGCGAGGTGCGTCTGGTAGGACGCAGGCGCTCTGTCTGTGGCGTGTAGGAGAGCACGCCGGAGTGCAGAGGCGCTCCTAACCATGTCTTAGCACGGCCACTGAATAAACTCATGTTTTATGGATGCAGAGCCCTCCCCATCCTGCCGCTCTTAAAGGGCCTGCACCCCATTACCGCCGCCTTTGATCTTAGCGCCATAATTATACGCATTGGATCTGAGTCATGTGCTCACGTGTGTCTGTGGGGAAACACTCGGAGTGAATCAGTGAATCAGGATCACTCTGCAGGCCTGACACTTCTCCCAGAGCAGCCGAGGAGAGGAAGAGAGTGATGGAAGGATGAAAAGACGGGAAAAAAGCGACTGCAGACGTTTCTGTGACACTTTTAGCCGACGAATTATTGGTGCTGATGAATTATGAATACCAGCCGAGGCAAAGTGTGGCAGAGCAAACACTGATAGCATATCAGGAGCTGTGCTGTGTGTGCATGTGTGATGAAACACTGCAGACGCAGCTGATCTGAGATAGTCTGAGTGTGCGAGGGAGTGCCCATAACAAAGGATATCGCTGAAGTAAATCCTGCACCACAGCGGCTGTAATTCAATCCTCCGTTGAAGGCCATGAATTAATGAGACAGTGTGTGTTTGTGTTTGTGTTTGTGTGTGTGTGTGTGTATGAGTGTGTAACAATGTGTGTTCAGGGTCAGAGCAGCTGTATGTCACAAACACTATGACACTTCATAAAAGCATGTCCCAGGAGAGGAGGACGATTATCTCCAACCTGAAGCTTCAATCAATCTAAAAGTGTTTCCAAAGAGAAGATTATTTACTCGAAATCCTCCGATCACAGCCGAGTCAAAACACAATCATTACTAATCAATATGAAAAAATGACAAATACTAAAATACTGCTTCTTCAGCTAAAATATCAAACTTGTTTTAAGAAGTTAAACACCATATTCATCTGTGTGGACACCAGGGATGGGCGATAAATTATCATTCACGATAAATCGTCAGAAAATTCCTCCATGATAAATATCCACCATCTCACGATAAACGCAATAAATGCAAGTTGATGACGTAAGCGCGAGCAACAGACTTGCAGACATAGCCCACAGAGAGCAGAATAACAAACAAAGATGGCCGTAGGTGGTGAAGAAGGCGTTTCTGAGCAGCTCGTTACTAAACGAGAGATTTCCTTCAAGATTAGGGATGGGAATCTATAATAGCATTCGATAAAATAATATATTCGATATTCGATAAAATATCGATAAAATCTTATCAATTCCAATCCCTAATCTTGAAGGAAAGTTGAATGAAATCAGGTCTGTCTGACATCGGACGGTGGATCTGCTGCTGTTCACTCTGTGCAATATTTTCAGACTTGTTTAATGTTATTAGTTTCTTCCATAACTTACCACTCAAACTTGTGGTTAAGTATCTTATTTGATGACTTAGACTGGTGTTCTCAAGACAAATTAGTCAAAAATATAGATTGGAATTATGATGTTTTATATCGGGACTTTTATCGTTATGGCCAGAATGGAAAATCTTATCGTGATACGTTTTTTAGCCCATATCGCCCACCTCTAGTGGACGATAATTAATGGTAGTAATATATGAAAAGTGGGCAACAAGTCAATGTGTATTACATAGACAGATAACAAGTTACCTCTGTTGATTTTTTTATGCGCATATGTGACCCTAAATACATTTAACAATTCGCACATATTTATTTTTAGTCGTAAATGCGAGTGAAACGGTCGCACTGTCGAGCCCTGCCTTTCCTGGTTCCATCTCTTAACTCCAGCATCATTCTCACCTCTAAAAATGCCAAACTGCTCGTAAACAACGACCCGTGAACCACAGAGGTAATAAGAGCCTCGATTAGGTATTTGTTCCCCTGGTATTCACTAAAATATCCTCCTTTAATATCAGCCAGTGAGTTTCTTGACTGCCTTTTAATAGAACGAGCGTCTGATTACTTCTGAGGGAAAACTGAAGACACATTCATCAAGAAATACTCGTTCGTAGATGATCGAGATGAAACTGAAACGCAGAGAAAAGCTTTAAAAGACCATTTTTGGTAAAAGGACGGAACAACTCAAAGTAAAGACACACTGTCCTGCAGGACGGACATGACGGCGTCCTCGTCCAGTCGATACTGAGGCGGTTTGTTGCTCAGTGACCTGGATTGACTGCCTGGTAAATAAAACATGTTGATAAATTAAAGATAACGCTTACTGGGCCTTGAGAGTGGGGCGGATGTTCCCCTTCCCTCCCGTAATGCTCCAGAGTGTCTCCTCTCTGCCCTTGAGAGACACACACACACATATACACACACACACACACATATACACACACACACACACACACATACACACACACACACACACACACACACACACACACACACACGGCCACAGGTGGGTAATAGAAAAATACACCAGTGTGATGTATGCTCGGCCTTGGCGTCCCTCTCCTGGAATCTCATTGAACATCGTTTTTGCGCGGCGACATCCTCGGCGCCTTTGTGAAGGTGTGGAGGTAATTAACACACTAAGTCACAAGTCGGCGAGAGACAAATCACACCTCTTAAAGGAGCGACGAGAGGAGATCAAATTACGCAGGGATGAGAGAATTAAGGGGGAAAGTTTTTCAACCATCTCCCAGATTTAATTCTCATTTGTCACGTGTTTTATCCTCGTAACGCCGGATCTAAATATCCAGATTCCTTCAGATGACAGGTTTGTAAAGAGCGGCGTTCTGGAGGAGGACGGGACAGAGGGGTGACAGGTAGACGGGATGACAGGACGACTGAATGACAGAGAAAGCAGGCAAACAGACAGATGAAGCAGAGGGGATAAATACAGAGGGAGAGGAGGGTGACAGACAGACAGACAGAGATGACAAGATAATTACACATTCATGGATTCCTGGTTGACCGCTGACAGCAGGAGCAGCTGCTTTGCTGCACCGTCTGGCCGGGGGAGCTGAATAATGAATCCAGGAGCAGCCGATGTTTAGACACGTACAGTTACAGCCAACGTATCACACAGAGCAGCGGCAATTACCCGCGAACCAAGAGGAGAAGACAGGTGGAGGGGACTTCAAAAAGAGCGACGCGGCGTCCCTGAAAGCCTCCAGATGTCAGGAAGAGAAACAGCAGTTTGGGTTTGGTGACAGTAGAGACGTGCGGCGAATATCGGAGGGTCAAGGCTAAAAGAATAAAACATCAGAGAGAGACGCTTAACTTCCCAAAATGAGGTCACGCTAGGACGGCGAGGCTCGGGTTACAGCACGAAAATAGATGATGGTGGAGTCCCGTTACAGATATGATGGATTAAAGGGAAAAAACTGAGGAGGAGGAGGAGAAGGAGGAGGAGAGGCTGTCATTCTTACAGTTTTAGTTTTGGCATTAATGCTGAATACTAAATAGTAATACTGGTGAGAGAACAACTCAGAATATAAACTGATCAAAACATTTAAAAATCAGTTCCTAACAAACAACAAAGTGACTGAAAAGTTCCTGAATGTTTGTCCTGACAGACCACAGTCATAAAAATAGAAGTTATTCCTTTAACCTGCTCGTAACTGCTAACCCTGAATTTCCACCGCATCCAGAACGGCTCTGATCTTCGCCAATTCCTACCAGATCTGTTTGTGAGGCGAATTTCGTTGCGGATTACAGACAGCGGTAATCACGAGAACTCACAAGAACCTGCGGATTCACGTGCAATTGCGCGATAACAAGTAGATTGTGTCCTTCCAGAGGAGGAAATCTACCTCTAGACTTCTAGAATCAGCATCTCCTCATCCATGGTGTCATCGGGGTGAAATGACGTCTAAAAACCTTTCACTTGTTCATCTCTGCCTGTTTGCATGGTGTGAAATACGATCCTCCTGAAACATGGAGTGTTTTATTTTGTGTCTGTTTCCGACTTCCTTTCCAGCACGGGTTAATCTGTGCTGAATTTATCCGCCATGCTCTGGCGTCCAGAAAAAAAAGAACTCTTGTGATCAGTTGAGGAGTCCGGCGATCCGCAGAGGAACGGAAAGAAGCCGGTGTAAATTGACACGTTAACTTGAATGGTTAATGGTCCACAAACATGTTTTAATAAAGATTACAGGCCTGGGATAGAATCTTTACAAAACTCCCAAAAAGGGTTTTTGTAAAGTGTGAATAAATTCTCTCTGTGCCTGAAATGTTTTTGATTCGGATCATCAGTCGAGAGTCTCCGCTCTAATTCACGTCTTGTCAGGAGAATCGCTGCACCTTGTTCAGGAAGTCGGGATGGCCACATGCCATCTTCCTCGAATCGATTACAGGGTGATTGAAACGGCAGAACGACGTAGACAGCCATCCTTTCTGCGGATGCTCCGACGCCCTAAGCTCTGCTGAAAGGATGATGAAACTACTTTTCAGGCAGATAAGACAGAACAGATGACACTTCATTTATCCCTGAGAAAACTGCATTGCATCAGCCGCAGTACCAGCCAGAGTGCATATTTAAACTTCAAAATATCAAACCATAAACACGCTCAGTGACACAAATGCACAGAAGAATAAGAGAAGTGGCGTTTATGTAGAAGCATGCGTACGATAACAGATAAAGTACGGGCTGTAAAGAGTTGCACAGACGAATCGGGGGGCCGACATTTCTGCTGCAGCAAAATCCTGCAGAACTAAAGTCATGTGCAGGGTTTTTCCTGCGTTCAAAATTGCGTGGCGGCCGCCTCCACCTAATTTTGTGCCGCCCCCAGCCAGAGCGATTGATTTCGCTCAACACAGCGTAAAGCTCCAGCTGTGTTGATTGAGTGTATGATGTCCCTCAGCAGCAGCAACGTATTTTAACTGCAGTTGCAGCGTTGCGCCACTATAGAGGCGCTGTATCAACAGCAGTGCACCGGAAAGACCTGAAGCATCTACCGAAGAAGAAACGGATCGAATCATGTTTTTTCAAGTTTTTTTCCCGCTAGTTGGTGCTATCGGCGTCCTGATTTTCCCTGGCGGATGGTAGAAACAGGTAAATACTGCTTCTCTTTTTTGCATCCAAGCATGTCGTGTTTATTTAAAAAAAAGTTTCCTCCGTTTTTAGCGTTGCAGATATGACAGGCAAAATCAGCCAGTACTTTAAAAAGCGACTTCGCAAGGAGGAAAGTCAAGAGTCCAGGTGAAACACAGCAGAGAAAAAACGTAATAGGCAGTTAAAATGCTATAATTCATGTTGGTGACAACGTGGAAATTTGTGTCAGGTCTGAAAGTACTTCACAAGGGACTGGTGATCGCGAGGGTCAGAATGCAGGACAGGACGAGTCGGCGAGGCGAGGGTAATTAATTAATTAGTTTCCAATTAGGAGCATAACAACGCAAAGCCGACGTGTACGTGGTTTTTATTCCTCTTTCCAGATCTTCTCAAAAACACAGAGCCAGTGGCTTTGACAAGCAATGGCTCAATCAATTTACCTGGCTCAGGCATACTGAGGAAGGCATGCACTGCGATTTATGCCAAAAGCACTGTGCCCCAACGCAGCAGGCAATTGCTGCCTCCTTAGTGAGACAGCCATCAACCAACTACAGGCTGGACACATTAAAAAGACATGAGGTGATAGCCGTTCACAAAGCAGCAGAAGAGAAGGAGAAGTATATTAAAGATGGTAGTACCTAAAAAAACTCAACTAATAAAGTTACAAAAACTAAAATAACATAGTTTAGACAGTTTAAGAAATAATTGGTTGTCGTTTTTTTAGGGAGGACACTCCAGCGTATACATATAGATAATATATGATTGAAAACACTATCACTCTTCATGTCTGTATCAGAATAAATACAAAAATACTTAATGCATGATGAATTGTTTTGTTTAAGGTGAAGACACCTCTGCGGAACAGACTGAAGGAGAGGCACTTGGATGTCTGTTGTAAGGTGGCCGTTGATGGACCAGACCAGGAGGCCTTGGACTACAAGGAGTGCATGAGGAGGTTCTACAGAATGAAAAAGAGGAGGCTGAAATGTTCTGTCTGGTTGCGAGATGTGTGGATGAAGTGTACTTTCAATTTAAAGTTGCCAGCTGATTTGTGTATGTATATAGTTTTAATAAATGAATGCTTTAACATGATAATGGTCACACTCTTTTTTGAACTCTTAACTTAAAGTATGTTGCCTGTAAAAGAAAGTGAGTCGGTTGAATTTACAAATACATGCACGTCATGGCGCATGGTCAGGATGGTGCCACCTCTGCCTCAATTTGAGCCAGGAAAAACCCTGCATGTGTTTGTTCATTCATGCAGCTTTTTGATGTTCTTTACAGCTTAGTGTGTGTTTGGTTTTAAGACTTGTCCTCTACTGCTCTAAAGAGAACGTTCCCCTCTGAGTATCAATAAAACAGGCCAGTTAAACGTCAATAAGACAAATCATTGTTTGAGAAGTCCCATCGAGTGGAACCTCATTTTGTCAGTGGAATCGATTCATGTTTTACTTTCCCTTTTTTTCGAGAGAGCGCACAGGACATCAGTGCAGCGAGCTTTAACTTCTACAAACGGAGACTTTTAGTTCGCTGTCGAGCTCGTTGTTTCTGTAGTTAGACGGAGCGACACTTCCATCACCGACTGCAGCTAAGACAGCCACACTAATGACAACAACAGTTCAGTGTGATCTGCAATTTAGAGCAGAGCGGCGTTTGATTACTAGAGTCGGAGAAGAGGCTGGAACACAAATCACAATCTTCTGTTTGAATCATGTTTGATTTGTTCATGTTTGTCTTTATTTAATGTAGCGTCACGCCCAACTTTAGCATCCATTTACATGAGTCTCATGTCTGATCCTGAAGAAGCCCTGACATGGATTTTAATTATATCTCCTAAACACACGGAGGGTTTTAGTCGGCTTTAGTGCTACAGAGAGAAAACACTCAGTGCATAGACCCGTAGGCTTCACTAAAGCTTGTCAGCATTTCTAAGAAACACATGATTTAATCAATAAATATTTGAATATTATAGGGCCGTTAAGTCCTGGTCAACTGCTCAATTTAATGGTCAATACCTGCTGAGCCGACTCGATTTTTTTCCGCATCCCGGGGAAGACTTTTCCTGGGGAAAGTCCCGCCTCCTTCGCCTCTGATTGGCTAGAAAAGCTGGAGACGTCATCACACGCTCAAGCCAAACGGTCAGCACTTCTAGCCAATCAGAGGCGATAAAATAAGCACATGAAACTATGGTAACAACCGTTAGCTTACGTTAGCACAGATGAAAGTTAAAACAAAGACGTTTAGCAAACTGTTAATGTACACAAAACATCGTCATATAGGAAATCCGACGCTGTGACTCTCCACTCGCCGACACGTAAACAATCAGCCGGTCGGCCATTTTGGATCCAAAAAAATAAATGCCGCAATACCGCAGGACGAGAAAACATTGCAGATGTGAACGCTTGTATAGACAGGATACGGGTTCGAAAGAAAATATTGACGTCTGAAATAATCGCACAAAAAAACAGTCCTGGTTTGTAACGACCTTTACACTTAAATTTGAAAAAAACAAACGATTTTTGAACAAAAAAATTGATTTAAAAATTGTAAAACAAAAATTGCAATACTTATGTGAATGGATTTTTTCTCCCACCCCTAGTAGTTATCGTCCATTTATCGTTATCGAGGTTAACTGCTCAATATATCATGATATCGATTTGAGGCCATATCGCCCAGCCCTACAATAGACTCCACATAACTGTGCTGTAAGTTGTTTTGTATTGGTCATCAATACAATTACAAAGTTGACACAAAAGAATAGAAACGACTTTAAGCGTTTAAATTTCAGTGAACTCGGTGATATAGTATCACAGCGTTTAGTAAGGTCTTATCTTCAGGAGAGTCTGGGCTCCTCTGCAAACAAACACGCGACACAAACATGTGGAACCTGACCCACTGATAAAGCGGGGGGCTCTTTCCACTCGGTTATTATCAACAACATGCCTCACTACCTTATTTTTCATCCTCTCTGTTGATTTATTTATGTCCTGCAGCAGTTACGGCCCTTTGACCGTGTCTATACCACCTACCTCTAAGTGGTTCAGATAACACCGTACAGATGGATAAATGGTTTTCCAGATAAAATATACCAACACGATAAAACACTTCACCTTGAATTTCATACTCTAGTGTTAGCCGCAACAGTTTATGGGACACAGGTCACTTTTTAGAAAGGCGAGAAGGTTTTAAAGGTGCATCTTTAAAACAAAATGCAACAGTTAATTGCTGCTGCATCCAAATATGTGTGGGATAAACTCTCATATACGCGTTTTTAAAGCTGAGCGTCTCATGACTGAAAGAAAATGTTGATAAAAACTCTGCTACTGTAAAAGACGATCCTCTTAAAAGTCTACCTGCTACCTACAGCACATAAAACTTTATACAGTTACTTTACCACCTGGTGCCCTCTGTTAATGAAGCGTTATTGTGTGTATCCTTTATTGGGAATATGCTGTTTTTAAGCGTATTGAATAGTTTGTACGTTTACACACCTGAGTCAAAGATACAATCCAGCCTTTTAACTCAAACTATCTTTATCTTTTTGAACGCACAAACGTGGCGTTTAGGGATAAAAAAAAGACCTTGATCGGTTTCTATATGGACATAAATCACTTCAGACAGATGAAAAGATATCATTGTGGCGAGGGCATCAAAAGAAAAATAAAATTTGCGGCCTGTTTTTGTTGTAACTGCGCGCAGGCGTTGATAGAAATAATTACTCCAGCAGCTTTAAAGCCTTCATCTCCTGCTGAAAAGCAACGTGAAGCCAAAGAGAATTAAAAACACCTCAAACCTCATCATTAATTCAATCTGTTTACATATTGTATTGGGCAGATCTGTCATTACGTCCTTTTTTCCATACAGGATAAAAAGCCGCGTCTCTTTCTTAGCCAGCGTTTGTCTACATTCGGCTGTTTAGCGGCTGAAACGCCGTCTGTTTGTCATTGGTTCGGTTTTAATTGAGTGGTTTTTATTTTTAGATTCCACAACAATCAGGCAGACACACTTTGATCTCTGCCTGAATGTGAATCTTCATGCCAGAAGTGGGTCATGTAAACACTCAGCTTTGTTATTTTAATGAAGCTGTAGACTGAGTGGACGGATTTGTGATTGACTCTGCTGGACATCGTTTGGGAAAAAAAATTATTCATGGAAACAAACAAGAGCAAACTGAGCCGCCCTCACCAGAGCTGCTCTCCACTCTCCACTTAGATGACACTAGAGGGCAGAAAGCTGTGGAGACTTGGCCTGCTGACCCGTAAATATTGAAAATTGCTCTGCTGGATGTAGTTTTTGCTTTATGGAGCTCTGCCAAACTGTCATGAATAATGAACAACACAACCAGAGAGCACGCAACGTCTCTATAAGCTAAAACGTGATGCTTCAGCTGGAGGTGCCAGCATCAGAATAAAACAAAGACTCTTTGTTTACTAGAGAGGAAACAGTCTTTTGTTATCAGCTTCATTAGTCCATACGCTGCACTTCTGTCTGATTTTCCTCACTGCTGCAGTTGTTCAAAAGTATTCATCATTTATGTACCGATTAAAGAGGCTTTTTTAGATCGTTAAATATTTATATTAGTGTTATTGTGTTTATTTTTATTGCTATTACTATCAGGGTCAGCAGTGAAAAACATTTCCTAACCTCATAGTTTCAGTCGTTTGTTCATCGTTTGTTATAAAAACACAGAGAGTCAATCTGAACGTCAAAACGACCAGCTCTGAACCATCACTGACACTTCCGTCAAAAGACTTCAGATTTGTCTTGGACCTGCTCCATAAATACCAAAGACAAGACCGCTGCTGTGGACAGAAAGCTCCAGGACTAAATCAGACTTGCCTTGGAGACACTGTAGACTAGATCTGGACTGGATCCAAAACTTAAGATCTGCCTTTGGATGAAAAGATAAACTCTTAGAGAACCAAAATACTTGAGTCCATACTTGAACCTGCTGTCTAAAACCTTGGGGACCTTTAGAAATGCCCCCTAAGAAATGGAGGTTTGAATCCAACTGTATCAAAATGACTCAAGACTTGAGTCATTTTGAGCCAAAGCATCACAGACAAACACTCTCGTCTCCCGGTCCAAGAAGCGGAGAACTGAACTGAATCCTGAACTGTTAAGCTGTGTATCAGTTCAGGAGGTCGGAGTCGCAGGCTCCTCCCACCAAGCGTTGAATGACTCAGACACAAAGAGTGTATAACTGTCTCCACAAATCAAGCACAAGTACAATCATATGTGCGAAGAAATAACATGTTAAGTAAATGCAAAGACACGATGAGACGTTCCTACTACTCTGTCGGTGCGAATGACGTGAATTGGGCGGGAGCTGAAAGTGTCTCAACCTGAGCGGATATTCGCGTCGGGATAACCAATCAGCACGAAGGGTGACGTATGAAAACAGACAGTTGTTCACTGGTATCTAAAATGGAGGACAAACTGATCGTGACTCTGAATTATATGATAACTTTTCTTTCAATTACCGAAACCAGAATAAAAAGGAGCTCGTCTGGAGGAAAGTGAGTGAGGAGGTTGGATTAAATCAGTAAATTGTAAAAAACCTTTGTCTACCTTTGGATACAATCGTACTGACTCCACCCATGGGTTCCTGAAGAGGTGCTATAAAGCTTATTGATGGTGGTCACCATTGGAAATATTAGTTGTATTCCTAAATGTACATTAGTCTTGTGTGGGAATTGAGTTTAAAAATGTACTAAAACAGCAGAGGTGATTCTTCATCATAACTTCATTTTTGCAGACTGCACATATATCTCTAAACTTCTGTCTGTGGGAGTCGTTCTGACTTCTGTTAGGGAAGTAATATCAATACCCAAACTATTTTTGCTGTATTAGTCAAACTAAAATATTGCATACATCGTCCTTCAACTTCTCTTCCACTCATGTATACTGCTTTCTCATTTTCAGCATTTTCTATCTGACCTTGAGGATGAAAAATGGGGTTGATATTTATATGCAGATACAAACAGCAAGTCAGGGGGATTCAAAGTTAGTTTCTTAAGCGTTCACCAAACTGAGTAGTATTTTTTATCTCTGTATATCGTCTTATAAAAACACTGAAATAGTCTATAAAGTCACAGCTATTATGAGGTTTTATTCAGGAGTTGTTTTTTAGGACTGTCACTGACAATACTGACAGTTTTCCAAACTCATTGGGTGATAACTGATCCCTCTGTGTACAGCCTGTCCTGGTTACCTGTAATTAGAGTTTGGCTGCAAAGATCCAACAGCGATCATCTGCCATTCTCACCATTTTGGTCCAAAGGAAACTTCACTAGCAGCCTTATTCATTTGACAAAGACTTCCTAACAGATTGTACTCCACAAACAACAAATGGTAAAACCAGATTCCACTAAGCTGAGTAAAGTCAAACCTAACTGTGACGGTGTAGACATAAGCAGAACAGCCATTAGTACAAACATAAAACAAAACCAAGGTCCTAAAAACCGACACGTGACGCAGGATTTGTGAGGGGAGAAGTACCTCATTATGTGATTCCTGAAGCTGCATCCAGGATGTTGTGCTGATTGAAAGGAGCCGTTCTCATTATCCTCGCGCTGGAAGAGAGAAAACAAAAGTCGTTTTTCAGTAATGACTGCAGGAGGAGATCCACGACAAGATTACACACGCTGCCGTTCAGTCCTTTTGTGTCGCTTCGATCACAAGTTTTCCTCTCCTGACAACTTTATAATCAGTGACTAATGAAGAAGGGTTATAGACATTATAGACGTCAGAGTCATTGTTTTAACACCCCCTCTTTGTTTTTGTTGTGTACCTGCTCAGGCTGCATACAGGAGCATCCAACTGGAATAGAGTACAGACTGTAAAAAATGATGAATGATGTGACAGCTCCAAGAAGAGTCAAGACTAAACATCTGGAGGAGCTCAGCCTGTCTGTCTTCATTACAGGTCATTAAGCCCACCTCCTCCATGTTAACAGATGGGGCTTGAGTGAAACTTTCAAATCAAAAAGGATTAAAATAAGTTTTGGCAGACATTACAGCTACTTTTTATTTTGGTTTTTGCTATGCAAGTCTTCATTTCTCTGAAAAGTTTTCTTTCACCTGTTACTCTAAACCAGACCTGGGCATTTTACAGCCCAGGGGCCACATCCGACCCTTCGTGAGGTCCGTCAATCAAATCATCAACATGCTATAAAAGTGTGTCGCTTTATTTTGAAAACCTAGCCGTTGTTTTATTTCCGTTCTGATGCCTGTATGTACATCCTAGATCTGCATTTGTGAACAGAGACAAGTTTAAACATCGGCAAAATATTTGTAGACGCCTTAGAGTTGCCAAGTCTGCTTATTTTGAAAGACTTTAAGCTTGTTTCTCTCAGAAGTTATCTTTGGTTCGGCCCTTCAACACAGTTCAGGTTTCTCATGTGGTCTCATGTAAAAATTAATTGCCCACCCCTGCTCTAAACAAACTGCATTCAATTCTAACATTGATATTTGTATTATCTTCAATGTAGACACCTATTAATGAGAATGAGCGTGATCTAGCTCTGCTCCCTTTCTTTGCCGTCTCTAAGTCACCACGAAATTCACCTCACAAACAGTGCCGGTAAGAATTGGCGGACGGCAAAAATCGCCACAGTTCCAGACCAGAGCCGTTGCGGATGCGGTGGAAATTTGAGTTTGGCACACATCCCATTATGAAGGTTATAACCCACCATAACCCTGAACATTATGCACTACGAACTGCTTGATACACCTGTCACCTGGGAAAAAATAGTAAAAATTAATTGTATAGTCCACAAAAGATAAAACATAATCTTAAAAAGTTCATTCAAAGATTAGATGAACTGTTGAATAAATCTAAATAAAGATTAAGTGATCCTACTGTAGGCATTTTAAAGATATAACTGTAGTAAAGTGGCTGTCTCTGACATTTTTCCTCCTGTTGAATAAAACCTCCACCAGGCTGACTCAAACACGAACATTTTCTCATCTGTGCAGTATTCAGTCTCCACTTCACCACAGAGGTATTTGTCTTTTTACTGTGAGAGGAAACTAGAGAGCCTGAAGGAGGCTGCAGAAACAAGGTGAAAAATACACTACAATCTAACAGACAGGACCAAGGTTATGATTCACAGCTGAAGAAGGAGGCTGTTCATGAGATAAAAAGGCTACCTGAGGAGAGTTTAAGTAGGATCACCCTCTCCTGAGTGTCTGACTAAAGCAAAGACTGAAAAATCTCTTTTAGAAACCACTCAAATGTTGGTTTGTACTGAAGCTGCTGCTATCATTCTCACTATTTTTCACTCAGCTGTTGGATTTTTTCACCTATTAAAGCGCCCGGGGACATTAACTGAAATATTCACCTGGGATATCAAAATTCAATGAGTCATCATGAATCAGGGAAACTCAGAGTAAAAATGTGCATCCACAAATGTTAGTAGACCTTGTTCGAAAACAGATTATTCTCAAGTAAAAACTGTTTCTCAAGACTGCGTGGGCATGACGGCGAATGTTCTGACTGACATCCTGTGCGCTCTAGTCGTCTGACTCCAAAGCAGAAGACAAAGAAACTCCAGCTTTAAAAAAACTAGTTTTTCCAACACCCCTGAATGGTTCATAACAAAATACATCAAACACATTAATTTAGGGTTAGACACCCCCTCCAGAGATGAATGTTGCCGACCGCTTGCTTCTCTAGTTATACCAACTTTAGTAACGACCGCAGGATAGAAATACACAGCGGTCTGAGGAGCCATAAACAAACCTCAACCAAAACGCCACTCTATAGCCACAAATAATGCTCAGAACAGAACAAAGAGACTTAACACAACTCACCTGCTCTCTTCCAGCAGCTGCTTGTTTGTAGAGAGACCTCAGGCCAGTCCACTACGGACTACAGCGGGGTGCCGCAGCTCAAGGAAGAACATTTATGATCATTTCTTTATCATTTCCTTGAAGTAATAATCACCATATTAATTATTTTGCACTGCATTGATTGTATTTCCATGACGAAATGATCATAAATGTTCTTCCTTGAGCTGCGTCACCCCTCTGTAGTCTGTAATGGACTGGCCTGAGGTCTCCCAGTACTATGGCTGGGACCCTATATGTCCTGTTGATGAAGTTAGGTGCTGTTCTGAGCATTATTCGTGGCTACAGAGTGGCGTTTTGGTTGAGCGCATGGCTCTCTGTATTGCTATCCTTGCGGTCGTTACTAAAGTTGGTATAACTAGAGAAGCAAGCGGTCGGCAACATTCATCTCTGGAGGGGGTGTCTAACCCTAAATTAATGTGTTTGGCCCTAAATTAATTTTACGCTGGAATATTGCTTTAATAGCCTCTGTGTGTATATACGACCATAAAAGTTAGAAAGGCTTTTCTTTAAAAAGTACAAAAATGTTCACCACTGTATCAACCCCACAGATATTAAAAACAGTAAATCACATCTGGAGATACTGAAACTCAGATTTTTACACCTTATGTAAATTCATCCAACTCCATTTTGAACACAATTTCATTTTTATTGAGCCTTTGATCAAAAAATAAACCAACAGTTAAAACAAAAGCAAATTATCATTGAGGTTTTGATATTATACTAATAAACACTGACAGTTACTTTTAAGTTCAATTACAAAGTACCTGTAAAGAGTCAAATTTAAGCTCCTTTTATTATGTTTAGAACAGAAATAAAATCATGACTCTAACAACCATTAAATAAACAACAACTTTGAATATTAAGCAGAGAAACTGGATATTAACTACTTAAGCTAGCTGCTAGCTGTTAGCCGTTAGCCTAACATGCTACACTAGAGGACTGATTTACCGTTGGCGTTTCCGTCGACCGTGCTCTTCTTCCGGCTCCGTTAAAAATGACGCAGAAAAAATGACGAAATATTATCCAAGGATGAGTTGTCAACATTTGGCGCTATTTTCCTTTCTCTGTCTGTCGTTGTCACTAAAACTGCGCCACCATCCCGCTCTCGTTTTCTCTCGTTTCAGACGAACTTTCCACCTCACGGACCTGTGCGGTTAGCGACATTTCATTTTCGTAGGATGGCAGGGGAAGGTCCCGCCTCCTTCGCTTCTGATTGGCTAGAAAAGCTGGAAATGTCGTCACGCGTTCAAGCCGAGCGCGGGCTGGCGGCCATTTTGCTGTAGGACGATCGCCCGCTCAACATTCCAGTCTACGGTGCAGGTAACATTTAAATAACCATAGATTGATTAATTTTAAACCGATTTTCAAACGGTTTGGTTTGTAACAAACCTCAGAGTTTTAGTTATGTTCCTGCACACTCTAGAATAACTTTAACCATGGATTTTCATAAATAAACATTAAGCAGATAGGTAGAGCAATAGCTATAGGCCTACACACACAAGGCAGTTATATTAAATCATTTATATATAAAAGATTTAATCATTCCATGTATGTTATATTAGCAACTATCATCCTAAATAAAGAAATAATAAAAAAGTTTAATTTTCAGCTATTTTGCAGTAGAGAACATTGGGCAATGTTCACACCACAGCTATTTTACCTTCAAACATTAGTTATGGTATCAAGCCAAAAATGAAGATCTTGCAGTGCCTGTTTGTACCCATCAATCCAAATCTTAAAATTATGACAAATACATCTAAATTTATATCTTTGTATTAATTTATATGCACATAAAATAGGCTGGCAGCGTTAGACTACAAAAACAAGGGGCCTAACATTATTCTGTCAATAGAATTATCATGAGAAATTCTCAGTAGTACTTTATTCATTTATTTATCTGTTGTGCAGAAATCTTTTTTAATTGCCTACATAGCTGTAATAATTCAAAAGTATAATGCTGTGGAGGAGAGACTGAAAGTGTCAAAAGGAAAAAAATCATTTAAATAACCTTGATTTGTAAGAAGAGTTTTTGAATTTATACACAAAAATGACTCTTTAGTGTTAGGTACTTGATTCCTCTTTAAAAAAATCAAAAAGTAATGATATTGATAATTATCCTTGAAGCTGTAAATTATCTTTCCCTTTGAACAGAGGAGGGTCACATGTGCAGGGTTTTTCCTGCGTTCAAAATTGCGTGGCGGCCGCCTCCACCTAATTTTGTGCCGCCCCCAGCCAGAGCGATTGATTTCGCTCAACACAGCGTAAAGCTCCAGCTGTGTTGATTGAGCGTATGATGTCCCTCTGCAGCAGCAACGTATTTTAACTGCAGTTGCAGCGTTGCACCACTATAGAGGCGCTATATCAACAGCAGTGCATCGGAAAGACCTGAAGCATCTACCGAAGAAGAAACGGATCGAATCATGTTTTTTTTCCCGCTAGTTGGTGCTATCGGCGTCCTGATTTTCCCTGGCGGCTGGACACAAACAGGTAAATACTGCTTGTCTTTTTTGCATCCGAGCATGACGTGTTTATTTAAAAAAAAAGTTTACTCCGTTTTTAGCGTTGCAGTTATGACGGGCAAAATCAGCCAGTACTTTAAAAAGCGACCTCGCGAGGAGGAAAGTCAAGAGTCCAGGTGAAACACAGCAGAGAAAAAAAAGGAACAGGCAGTTAAAATGCTATAATTCATGGTGGTGACAATGTGGAAATTTGTGTCAGGTCTGAAAGTACTTCACAAGGGACTGGTGATCGCGAGGGTCAGAATGCAGGACAGGACGAGTCGGCGAGGCGAGGGTAATTAATTAATTAGTTTCCAATTAGGAGCATAACAACGCAAAACCAACGTGTACGTGGTTTTTATTCCTCTTTCCAGATCTTCTCAAAAACACAGAGCCAGTGGCTTTGACAAGCAGTGGCTCAATCAATTTACCTGGCTCAGGCATACTGAGGAATGCATGCACTGCTATTGATGCCAAAAGCACTGTGCCCCAACACAGCAGGCAATTGCTGCCTCCTTAGTGAGACAGCCATCAACCAACTACAGGCTGGACACATTAAAAAGACATGAGGTGATAGCCGTTCACAAAGCAGCAGAAGAGAAGGAGAAGTATATTAAAGATGGTAGTACCTAAAAACACTCAACTAATAAAGTTACAAAAACTAAAATAACATAGTTTAGATAGTTTAAGAAATAATTGGTTGTCATTTTTTTTTTAGGGAGGACACTGCAACGTATACATATATATAATATATGATTGAAAACACTATCACTCTTCATGTCTGTATCAGAATAAAAACAAAAAATACTTCATGCATGATGAATTGTTTTGTTTAAGGTGAAGACACCTCTGCGGAACAGACTGAAGGAGAGGCACTTGGATGTCTGTTGTAAGGTGGCCGTTGATGGACCAGACCAGGAGGCCTTGGACTACAAGGAGTGCATGAGGAGGTTCTACAGAATGAAAAAGAGGAGGCTGAAATGTTCTGTCTGGTTGTGAGATGTGTGGATGAAGTGTACTTTCAATTTAAAGTTGCCAGCTGATTTGTGTATGTATATAGTTTTAATAAATGAATGCTTTAGCATGATAATGGTCACACTCTTTTTTGAACTCTTAACTTAAAGTATGTTGCCTGTAAAAGAAAGTGAGTCAGTTGAATTTACAAATACATGCACGTCATGGCGCATGGTCAGGATGGTGCCACCTCTGCCTCAATTTGAGCCAGGAAAAACCCTGATGTGGATCACTGATTTTCTCTCCTGCTGCACTTTAGCAAATTAAATCAGCCGTCAGAGAAATGTGCTGCACTCTTTAGAGCTCTGTTTGCATCCTTACAGTCCAAAGCGTCTCCTCTGTCTGTTTTCTTACCCTTTAAATCACCTGACCATGTAGGCCACACACAAAAAAAAAGTGTTTCCATGGAAACCCACTCCACAGAGAGGATGGGGTTTACCCGAGCAGACTGGTATTTAACGACACACAGAAACATAGAGAGTGGGTCAGCGGGGAGAAAATAGTGTGTTCAGTTTCTGCAGCAGAGGATCTCTGATCCGCTCGGACTGCCAGGACTCCTCACAAACCTCCAGGCAGACTTTCATGTGGCTCCACCAATCAGGCCGCGAGGATTCATGCCATTTTTTTTCTCCAGTCTAGTTTGGGGCTGATAATGGTTTCATAATCATCCAATTTAAATCAGGGGCAGAGCAGCAGTTTCTCCTCTTAGCCAGGCTGCTGTGGCAAGAAACTGCATCTACAAAAATGAAACGACATGCTTTTGAATTTATTGAAGCCACGTGTTTAATGGATTCATACTTCACCTGAATATTCCTATTATGGTTTTGGATTCAGAATTTGACGGTATAATAAAGCTAGTTGGCACCATTTAACCACAGTTGATATCAAATTTATCTTTCCATACATGGAGGGATGTATGAAAAGCCTTAAACTGTACCTGACATGGCCTCATCTTGAGCCCAGGTTTGTTTTGGTGAAATCATGCGTCACATTCAGAGGCTGCAGTCCTCAAAGTTCTCAAAGCGGAGAGCTCGGGTTCAACTCCAATTCACAGATCTCTGCTGCATGTCACCGCTCAGTCTCTCCTCCTATTATCCGACTAAAGGAACAAAAATAGACAAAACTCTCACCAAATGCTCTCTTCCTTGGTGTCTAAGTGTCTAAGTTCAGTCTCAGCCGCAGAGGATAACCGAAGATAACTGTGGTTTGCTTTTAATTTGGTAACAACCACTTTATCTCAACAATGAGGGTCGGTACAAAACCAGTACGGAGCTAAACACTGACACACATAAAAGGATCTTAAACCGGCACAGCTTGAATTTAGAAAACAAGAAAACATCGACATATAAACTGAGCTATTCCACAATTATTTATTCAACATATAAAACAGGCTGTAGAGGGCACAAAACATACAAAGTGTATAAAACTTACAAACTTACTCTGACGTGGAAGAAATAAAGGAAAAAGGTAAACTCAGGACTCATGAATGAGGAGGGTATTTGTCGACACATGGTGAGAGTTCGTGAACGCATGTGCAAAGTTTTGATGTAAAGCTGACATGTTAAAACAACCGTCTCTAATGAAAACTCAGAAGTGCTTTAATTTACAGAAGTGAGTCTGAAAGCTTTCACCACATCTCTCCGTCTTCCTCGGCGGTTAATACGAAAGTAAAATCCTGTATTTAGGGAGTCAAGATTGTCTTCTCTTTCCTAATTCATGCAAAAGTTTTCAATCAAAAGCCTAAAACTTGTTTGTGTCTCTTATTCGGTTGTTTACACGTCACAGGATAACGCAGATAACCCTTTACCATCATAGTGCAAATACAGAGTCTGAAAGAATTAAAGCTCGAATGAATATGAGAGATTGACTTTCAGGCACTTTAGAGTCAAACAGTCATGAATGAGGGTTTACATGCTACATGATTGCAACCTGGGGCATTTTTCATCATCGTAACGGCACATTTCTCCACATCAATAATAACAAGAACAGCTGGAAAAACTCTGTGAACGCCTCTGTCTGTGCTTTGACTCAGAGCGCCCTCTGGTGGCTGAAGGCGATCAGTCCTCCAGTGAAATCTGGTGAGGCCACAATCAAAGGTTTCCTCCTGCTGCCCCTCATCACAGAGCACTCACGGCCGTGTGAATCCTAATCAAAGTGCACATTTACAGCTCCCCAAAGCGCTAAAAGTCCGTCCAGCACGGCTAATTAAGTCTTCTCCACGGGGACTCCAGCTCATTAATTAAAAATAAAAATCAAACCTCTGTCTGGAGCTGCACATGTAGTCGGAATAATTAAAACAGCTACAGAGACGAGAGGCTGGACAATATGCTCCATATCTGGCTCACACTTCCCAGGAGTCCACATCTTCCAGCGCTGATAATGTTATCACAAACCTCCGACCTGCTCCGGCACAGACTGGACTAATTGCTTTTATCATCAGGGTTTAATCGATATCAGTACAATCAGAGGGCCGAGGTGAAGTACAGGTCTGGGTGTCTGATCCTGGGCCAGCAGGGCAGAGGTCACAAACGGGTTCAAAGTGCTACGCAGACACACGGGTGTTTGAGGCAGACGGGGAGGATGCCTTTGTTGATCTGATGAAACTCCACCAGCTGCAGGAGGTCGATGAAGAGAGTCAGGCCGTCGTCCATGGTGAAGTACTTCCTGCCTCCCTCCTCGCACTGCAGAGACAAACATGAACACGGTCATCACAAAGGTGCTGCAGTCTGTGACGCACTTTATATACCACCAGATATTTATCGCCACTCTGTGACACGTCTAATAAAGCCCTCTGAAGCTGTGAGGGATTGTTATCTGTCTGGAAGATGGTGATTCATCTCTTTGATTTGTTAATGATTAAAATCAGAGTGAAGGCAAACTTCAGCCGAGAAATAAACTCAGCAAAAAGTGACAAAAAAACCCATAAGTATGATTTAAAGGGATATTCCTGCGTAAAATTAATTTAGGGTCAAACACACCGTAACACCGAGTTAGACCCCCCCTCCAGAGATGAATGTTGCCGACCGCTTGCTTCTCTAGTTATACCAACTTTAGTAACGACCGCAGGATAGCAATACAGAGAGACACGTGCTCGACCAAAACGCCACTCTATAGCCACAAATAATGCTCAGAACAGCACCTGACTTCATCAACAGGACATATAGGGTCACAGACATAGTACTAGACACCAAACGTCTTTTTAACTTTGACTCATTTCTTTAGCAAAGAGACTAAACACAACTCACCTACTCTCTTCCAGCAGACGCTTGTTGGTAGTGAGTCCTCATGCGAGTCCATCACGGAACACAGCGGGGTGACGCAGCTCAAGGAAGAACATTTATGATCATTTCTTTATCATTTCCTTGAATAATAATCACCATATTAATCATTTTGCAGACACAGTAGTTCTTCTGCCTTAGTGTCTCAGTCTGATTGTATTTCCATGAAGAAATGATCATAAATGTTCTTCCTTGAGCTGCGTCACCCTGCTGTAGTCCTTAATGGACTCGCATGAGGACTCACTACCAACAAGCGTCTGCTGGAAGGGAGTAGGTGAGTTGTGTTTTGTCTCTCTGCTAAAGAAATTAGTCAAAGTTAAAAAGATGTTTGGTGTCTAGTACTATGGCTGGGACCCTATAAAGTGTAGCAGCACTGACATCAGCACAGGGGGCTCAGTGGGTGATGTGCCAGCGCGGCCATTTTTACAGACAAAACCACACTTAGCGCATTGGAATGAATGAAATTAGGATTACGCAGGATTACTGAAGCAAAATTGCGGACATTGCTGGACTTGACCCATATGACCACACTGAATGGTCAGAAGATGATTTCCAGATGCTACCACCATTAAACCATGTTCACAATGTCCACAATTTTGCTTCTGTAACGCTCTCTGTCTTCATTGTTCAGCTTGTCCCTGTACGGTATGTTGAGTCCAAGATTTGCTCTCTCTATTCCGTTCTTCTTCTTCTTTAACTAGAGAAGCAAGCGATCAGCAAAATTCATCTCTGAAGGGGGTGTCTAACTCGGTGTGTTTGAACCTAAATTGGTTTTATGTCGGAATATCCCTTTAATGAAGCTCATTTTTTCACAACAGTGCCCCCTGCTGGTAAAGAGTGGTATCACTTCCAAAAGGAGGAAGCGCCTTGTTTTGGTATTTATGTAAATGAGGAAAAACTTACAGGAATAACCAGGTAGTGTTTGGTCTTCAGTTTGTAACACAGAGAGAGGACGAAGCACTGAGCGTGCTGCTGGCTCTCACGGATGAGAAACATCCTAACACAAAGAAACACAAAAACAGTCCAGATTTAATCTTCTTATCACACAAATTTAACACAGAAGCACAGCGTTCAGAGTCAAATGCTGGATAATGAACTCAGGGTGAATTAAAGGCCTTTTTGGGGATTCGAGAAGACACCCGTGTCTCCTTCAGGCTCCAGCTCACTGCGTGATAACAGACGTGTTGCGGATCGGTTGCGTGTCACACGGCGTGACACTGTCGGTCTGTTAGTCTCTGTGTGTGTCAGACTGTGAGATATCAGATCAGGAGCGTGAGATTGAGTGATGAACGTCGGCTGAATCATCGCTGAAAACATTTATCTGCCAGCAGAGACAACTCATCAGCTCATGTAAATCATCTGCAGCCTGCTGCCATTTTCTGCCCTGATGGTTGTTGCTGACGGTTTCAGCGGCATCAGCGTTCACAGAATTTGAATTGGATCATAAATTTGAATAATTCGATGCAGGGCGTTTGACTGACAGAGCTCAGAATCAGAACCTGATCCTGGATCCTGGAAAAGAGGCAAACCCCGAGCTCACGCATGAATCATTCAACACGCCAACGTGAAAACGGTCTTTTCTTCCACTCACCCGTCCACCAGTCCCTGCTTCTCTATCAGCCTCTGCGCCTCCTTTCTGGACACGCCGCCATGAAACCACGGCTGAGATTTGTGGATGGCTGCAAAAAAACAAACGAAAAAGAAGAAGGGTTAAAAAAAGACGAGGAGAGCGCAGAGCGGGTTTAGAGAACAAACAAAGGTGACCCGGATCAGAACCAGGTCTCGCCTTGTTTCCAGACTTACAGGAGGGTCTGGCTCCAGAGTTCAGGTTGGGCAGACTGCACCTCAGGGCTTCCCGCCTCTGCATGAGTGAGGGGGACAGAAAAAGGTCAGAAAATCAAAGATATGAGCGGATTTTAAGATCATATTGAACCCTCGACACCAGGTTCATTAAGTTCAATATGGAATCATTTAACAAAACAGCAGATATCCCATCTTCACAGGGCTGAACGGAGAGCTAATGCGGGTGCTAACCACCAGCCTTACATGCGCTCACACCAAGCGCAAGTAAAATCATCTCCTCGCTTAATTCATACAAATCTTGCTGCGTTGGAGTAACCTCAGAAGTCAGAACTGCGAGCTGAAAATGACGTCACACCCGAGTTCCCAGCGTTTCAGTTACCAAGTCGTAAAAAAGCTAAATCTGAGGCAGAAACAAGATGGCTACATCTACTAAAGTTATTTTAGCACTTTCCTTGCCCAAATATAAGGCAAGCGCTAAAGTAACTTTCGTAAACGTAGCCATCTTGTTTCAGGCCTTTGATTTTGCTTTTTCTGACTTGGTAACTGAAACACTCCGGTTTTAGTAATTGAAAGAAAAGGTATCATATAATTTGGGGCACCAACACACCAACATGATCAGTTTGTCCTCCATTTTAGATACCACTAAAATGTCATACATCACTTGGTAATCTTTGTGCTGATTGGTTATCGCACTGCAAATATCCGCTCATGTTGAGACATTTTCAGCTCCTGCCCAATTTGTGTCATTCATGCTGCCAGAGTAGTACAAGCGTCTAATGATTAGATGATTAATCTGATGTAAACCACAGAAACCTGACAGATGAGTCTTTGCTCCGCCCACAGAGAGCTCTCGCCCTTCGCACACATCTCTGCACACCTCCTTTCCTATTGGTCCGTTCCCGAGCCTCTGACAGAAACCTTGGCTGTGAACGGTTGTTGGCAGCTCCGACACTTCCAGTCTACAGACCCACATGATTAACGTCCCAGAAAGACAGAGTATCTGAGACCCTGTCTGGGATTCATTCAGGTGTTAGTCCTACATACTCGTCTCTTATTAAGTTTGTAGACATGGCCAGACCCAGAGTTTTCTTTGACATCACTATTGGAGACCGAGCAGCAGGCAGGATTGTGATGGAGGTGAGATAAAAGTTTGACTTTTTCTTGAACGTCTGTTTCTTTATCTCAATACTGTCTTTTATTTCAGAGTTTTCAAAGAGCTGCAGCATTATCTTTGACCTCTCTGTGAACCATCTCCTTTAAGATGACGTCTTTGTTTTGCAGCTGCGGCCTGATGTGGTCCCAAAGACTTCAGGTGGGTAAACTTCAAACTCTCCCTTAAGGCTCTTAGTTGACTGTTGGGTGAGGCTGTGGTTAGGCCGGAATTTAAAGCCTGCAGAACCAGATGCAGAGCCGAATGCAGCCGCCATAGCTGCTTCAATTTAGGTTCAAGGAAAGGAGGAAGTGAAGGGAATGGAAATCTTAGTTGAAATATTTTCTTTAACAGAGAATTTTCGTGCCCTCTGCACCGGGGAGAAAGGTTTTGGCTACAAAGGCTCTATCTTTCACCGGATCATCCCTAATTTCATGTGTCAGGTACAGTGAAGGACTTAAGCAGGTCTGATAGAAACAAAGCTTGAAAATTCACTGAGTCATCTGAGTTTTGTGCTGTTGTCCAGGGTGGAGACTTCACCAACCATAATGGGACTGGAGGGACAACCATCTACGGAGGGAAGTTTGATGACGAGAACTTCCAGCTGAAGCACACCATACCGGGAGTACTGTCCATGGCTAATGCTGGACCCAACACCAACGGGTCTCAGTTCTTCATCTGCGCGGCTGTAACATCCTGGTAGGTTCCACTCTGACCCATGTGCAGCTGTATTCAGATGGTTTTCCAACAGTTTGAGCTCATTTCTGTCTCCTTCAGGCTGGACGGGAAGCATGTGGTGTTTGGCCAGGTGGTGGAGGGACTGGATGTTGTCCTAAAAATGGAGGCACAGGGCAGCCAGAGTGGTCAGACTTGTGCAAAGGTTGTGATTGCTGACTGTGGTCAACTGTAACAGAGGCCGTATGTGAGAGGTGTTTCCTTCAACATCCACTGACCTGTTGATCTGTTTGTAGACCTCAAACCCCTGAAGAACCACTTCCTCCTCTGAAGATGTTGGTCTTCTGTGTGAACCCTGTCATATTTTGAACCTCTCAGTCTGTGTTTGTTCAACTAATTGACTCACAAAAGCCAAACAGAGTGATGTGAGTGATGGTGGTCAGTGTAAATAAAACAACATGACAGCTGCTCGATCTGTGGTCAGCATCTTATTACCTCCGCCAAGGAGGTTATGTTTTCAGTAGCGTTTGTTTGTTTGTCTGTTAGCAACTTTACGGCGAAAGTAACAGACGGATTGACCTGAAATTTTCACCAGAGGTGCGTCTCAGCCCCAGGAGGATCCCATTACATTTTGGTGGTGATCCGAACAAAATTCCAGATACTGTGATCCAGAACACACAAAAATAAGGGTGTCGTTGGAATTTTCAATGCTGAAAGATAACCAATGGGCGGCACAGTGGTGTAGTGATTAGCACTGTCGCCTCACAGCAAGAAGGTCCTGGGTTCGAGTCCCGGTCAGGGCATTTCTTGTTTTAGGAACATTATGAACAGTGAACATACCAGTTTAAACACAAATAAACGTTAATAAAATTTTAAAAACAGTCTCCAGATCAGGATATTTCTAAAATATTTTAACATTTCAAAGCGCTCCGCTCTTCAGCAGTCCACCTATTGCTGACTCTGGGTCTAATCCATAGACTGTATATAAAATGGACGCCGTCTGCCTCCTTGCTGGGTGAAGCTACCGTGAGAACAGCACCCTCTGGTGACAGGCTGCAGTATAGATCATAAATCCCGCCTCCATCAGTGATCTCTATGGAGCTGTGGACAAACTTTATAAATCAATTTCACAGAATATAAATCTTTCTTCCTCTTTTTTCTGTGCAGCTCTGTTTTTAAAAGTTATTCGGGGGTTCATGTTTTCTACGATTGACACTTGATACAGCCTATGGGTGAGCTGAGCATCATCACAGCGACTCTCGGCAACTCTCCCGGTGAATGCGTACAATGCTACTGCGCAATGTTGGTTTCAGGAAATTGAGAAAATTCGCGGAATTACTGAGAGCGGTAAATTTTTTTAGGATGGTAGGGGAAGGTTCCGCCTCCTTGCCTCTGATTGGCTGTGAAACGTCATCACATGCTCAAGCCGAGCGCAGGCTGTCGGCTCTGTACATCAAACGGAACATTACAGAACATTATCGCAATTCTGAATCTCCTAACCCAACAGACAATAACGTTTCACAGCCATAAGGAATAACCAATCGGAGCCCAGCACTTCTAGCCAATCAGAGGCGAAGGTGGGTGGAGTGGGTTTAGAGAACAAACTAAGGTGACCCGGATCAGAACCAGGTCTCGCCTTGTTTCCAGACTTACAGGAGGGTCTGGCTCCAGAGTTCAGGTTGGGCAGACTGCACCTCAGGGCTTCCCGCCTCTGCATGAGTGAGGGGGACAGAAAAAGGTCAGAAAATCAGAGATATGAGCGGATTTTAAGATCATATTTAACCCTTGACACCAGGTTCATTAAGTTCAATATGGAATCATTTAACAAAACAGCAGATATCCCATCTTCACAGGGCTGAACGGAGAGCTAATGTGGGTGCTAACCACCAGCCTCACATGCGCTCACACCAAGCGCAAGTAAAATCATCTCCTCGCTTAATTCATACAAATCTTGCTGCGTTGGAGTAACCTCAGAAGTCAGAACTGCGAGCTGAAAATGACGTACTTGGCCATCTTTGTGCTGAAAAAGGCTAAATCTGAGGCAGAAACAAGATAGCTACATCTACTAAAGTGATTTTAGCGCTTTCCTTGCCCGAATATCAGGCAAGCGCTAAAGTAACTTTCGTAAACGTAGCCATCTTGTTTCAGGCCTTCGGTTTTGCTTTTTCTGACTTGGTAACTGAAACACTCTGGTTTTAGTAATTGAAAGAAAAGGTATCATATAATTTGGGGCACCAACACACCAACATGATCAGTTTGTCCTCCATTTTAGATACCACTAAAATGTCATACATCACTTGGTAATCTTTGTGCTGATTGGTTATCGCGATGCAAATATCCGCTCAAGTTGAGACATTTTCAGCTCCTGCCCAATTTGCGTCATTTGTGTCATTCATGCTGCCAGAGTAGTACAAGCGTCTAATGATTATTTGATTAATCTGATGTAAACCACAGAAACCTGACAGATGAGTCTTTGCTCCGCCCACAGAGAGCTCTCGCCCTTCGCACACATCTCGGCACACCTCCTTTCCTATTGGTCCGTTCCCGAGCCTCTGACAGAAACCTTGACTGTGAACAGTTGTTGGCAGCTCCAACTCTTCCGGTATCTGAGACCCTGTCTGGGATTCATTCAGGTGTTAGTCCTACGTACTCGTCTCTTATTAAGTTTGTAGACATGGCCAGACCCAGAGTTTTCTTTGACATCACTATTGGAGACCGAGCAGCAGGCAGGATTGTGATGGAGGTGAGATAAAAGTTTTACTTTTTCTTGAACGTCTGTTTCTTTATCTCAATACTGTCTTTTATTTCAGAGTTTTCAAAGAGCTGCAGCATTATCTTTGACCTCTCTGTGAACCATCTCCTTTAAGATGATGTCTTTGTTTTGCAGCTGCGGCCTGATGTGGTCCCAAAGACTTCAGGTGGGTAAACTTCAAACTCTCTCTTAAGGCTCTTAGTTGACTGTTGGGTGAGGCTGTGGTTAGGCCGGAATTTAAAGCCTGCAGAACCAGATGCAGAGCCGAATGCAGCCGCCATAGCTGCTTCAATTTAGGTTCAAGGAAAGGAGGAAGTGAAGGGAATGGAAATTTTAGTTGAAATATTTTCTTTAACAGAGAATTTTCGTGCCCTCTGCACCGGGGAGAAAGGTTTTGGCTACAAAGGCTCTATCTTTCACCGGATCATCCCTGATTTCATGTGTCAGGTACAGTGAAGTACTTAAGCAGGTCTGATAGAAACAAAGCTTGAAAATTCACTGAGTCATCTGAGTTTTGTGCTGTTGTCCAGGGTGGAGACTTCACCAACCATAATGGGACTGGAGGGACATCCATCTACGGAGGGAAGTTTGATGACGAGAACTTCCAGCTGAAGCACACCATACCGGGAGTACTGTCCATGGCTAATGCTGGACCCAACACCAACGGGTCTCAGTTCTTCATCTGCACGGTTAAAACAGTCTGGTAGGTTCCACTCTGACCCATGTGCAGCTGTATTCAGATGGTCTTCCAACAGTTTGAGCTCATTTCTGTCTCCTTCAGGCTGGACGGGAAGCATGTGGTGTTTGGCCAGGTGGTGGAGGGACTGGATGTTGTCAAAAAAATGGAGGCACAGGGCAGCCAGAGTGGTCAGACTTGTGCAAAGGTTGTGATTGCTGACTGTGGTCAACTGTAACAGAGGCCGTATGTGAGAGGTGTTTCCTTCAACATCCACTGACCTGTTGATCTGTTTGTAGACCTCAAACCCCTGAAGAACCACTTCCTCCTCTGAAGATGTTGGTCTTCTGTGTGAACCCTGTCATATTTTGAACCTCTCAGTCTGTGTTTGTTCAACCAATTGACTAACAAAAGCCAAACAGAGTGATGTGAGTGATGGTGGTCAGTGTAAATAAAACAACATGACAGCTGCTCGATCTGTGCTCAGCATCTTATTACCTCCGCCAAGGAGGTTATGTTTTCAGTAGCGTTTGTTTGTTTGTTAACAACTTTACGGAGAAAGTTACAGACGGATTGACCTGAAATTTTCACCAGAGGTGCGTCTCAGCCCCAGGAGGATCCCATTACATTTTGGCGGTGATCCGAACAAAATTCCGGATACTGTGATCCAGAACACAAAAAAATTAGGGTGTCGTTGGAATTTTCAATGCTGAGAGAAAACCAATGGGCGGCACAGTGGTGTAGTGATTAGCACTGTCGCCTCACAGCAAGAAGGTCCTGGGTTCGAGTCCCGGTCAGGGCATTTCTTGTTTTAGGAACATTATGAACAGTGAACATACCAGTTTAAACACAAATAAACGTTAATAAAAGACATGTAACAGTAAAAGTTTTGGTGTGAATCACAATATAAGGGGGACATGAGCTGCTTGGCGGAGGTCTGCGCTCTACGAGTACTTTTCTAGTTCAAATTAAAAATAAATGAAAAAATAAAAGATTTTTGTTTACTACACTGCGTCCACTGACGCTGTATCGGGGAAACTTGTTTGTTAAGAAGAGAAAACTGAAAAAAAAAGTCATTTTTTATGGAAGCCGAGTTTTAACATGGATTTTTCTTTTTTTCACGCACTGTTATCTCATGATAACTTATTTTCTCATTATCTTGACATCACAGTTTTTTTTCTGGACTTTTTTTATTTTTCTTCATCTCAACAGAGCAAAAAATGTTTTCTCGTGAATGCGTACAACACTACTGCACAATGTTGGTTTAAGGAAATGAAGAAAAATCGCGGAATTACAGAGAGTGATAAATTTTTTTTAGGATGGTAGAGGAAGGTTCCGCCTCCTTGCCTCTGATTGGCTGTGAAACGTCATCACACGCACAAGCCGAGCGCATGGTGTCGGCTCTGTACATCAAACAGAATATTAAAGAACATTATCACAATTCTGGAATAATCAATTGGAGCCCAGCACTTCTAGCCAATCAGAGGCGAAGGTGGGTGGGACCTTCCACTACCATCCCACAAAAAAAATCCTGCTTACTGCAAGCTTTTCGGCTTCAAATCCGAATACTAGCGGAAGGCGGAACCAAGTTGTCCATGGTATATACAGTCTATGGTCTAATCGCGTCTTTGCATTGACTTAACATGTAATCATTCGCACGAGTGAAATCATTCGCGCAAATGATTTCACTCGCTCTCGGTGTGTGGAGACAGTGAGGGTGTTTGTAGACTACAGAGCTGTGTAAAAAGTAAAAGCTGAAATGATGATCTTCACAGATAAGATAGTATGAGATAATTATTAAGATGATTTGGGTTCAGAGCTCGTCCACAGGAGTTTCAGACCGACATGATGAAAGCTGAAAAGGAGGACGACAGGTCTCCTCTGATGAAAAATCACAGCTCCTCATTAAAAACGGTTCGACCAATAAAAACTTTTTAAAATCAAAGTTTGCAATAATATTTTCATGAACTCCAGTGATATACAGAGATGATCTTTCAGTCTCCGTAGTCTCATCTTTCACGCCTCTCTCCTCCATCGTCTTTTTATGACTCCCTCTCCTCTCCTGAAGTATTAGTGACCCTCCTCCCTCCACCTCCCACTTTCACTCCCTCTCCTCACCCTCCAGACTTGTCCTTCCTCCATCTCAGCGCTCCGGGCCTCCAGCGGGTTCTGAATGACCCGTCCGCCAGACTTTCCAGAGAAGTCCATGGCCACCAGGCTGGCTTCCGACCTGGACTGCACAGAGGAAGTTAAATTTAGGTGAAGCAGAGCATCAGAGGGGACATGAGGTGAGATCTCCTGCAGCTCATCTGATGGTCTCACCTTGGTGTCTGAGAACCTGGTTCCTTCGAGGTTTCGTGGCGCCGACTTTGAGAGCTGGTGGTTACACTGGAGCTGCTTCCCGTACTGGTAACACGAGAAGAAAACGCATACAGATAAAATACCAACAGTACAAGGTTGTTCTCTTAAAGTTCGGATTTGTAGAAGAGCGGCGTATTCTTGTATTATTAACCTTGAACAGTCTGAACGCAGACGTCCAACATGTTCTGGTCTGTTCGTTCTCCGCACACAGAATCTTCAGGTCCTGAGGACGCACCGGGTTTCTGGACGGCTGGTGAACAAAAATCATGAGATGTCAAGGTTACACTGGCTCATGTAGAAACACACACACACACAGGGCCTCTTGTAAATTCTTCATTTTGCTTCTATATGAGGCCAAAATTTGCTCAAACCCAAAAGCTAATCTTAAACACAGTACGAAGTCGACATCCAGCCCGATTTTTGTTCTTTATTTTGCTTTCTGCGGCGTAAAACCCCAAATTCTCCCATAGCAGACTTTTTAGTGGTTTCGGTGTCCTGACCGTCCACTTAAGTTGCAGCATGTCCTCCTAAAATCGTCACTGCCTTCATTGAGGTCAAAAGTGTCATTCAACGGTCAGGTGGCGGCAAAAGCGCCTGAGGTGGAGTTTGTGTTGTTTGCGAAGGTTCTTGTGAGTTCTCACAATTACGGCTGTCCGTAATCCACCATGATATTCACTTCACAAACAGATCTGGTAGGAATCGGCAAATTGCCGCTGTTCCGGATGTAGTGAAAATTCAGAGTAAGAGCTGTTTGACAGCCAAGAGATCTGGTTTCTGCTGAGACAAAGGATCTGGATTATGAACAGAGACTAGATTCTCATCAGGAGAGTCATTGAGACTGTTAACCTGAGAAGGAAGGAGGATCCAAAGACGGATCACAAACAACTTGAGCCCGATCATACAGCCTCTTTAGATTTGGAGTAACCCATGGACCTCTTTGGATTGAATCTGTAACTGGACTCATGTGGACCCTCTCCTGCCAACATCCGGGTTATGAAATCCGGGAGATTTTTGCGCCGGGCAGTTTTGGGGTTACCTTGTTTGGTGGATATGAGCTCATTATGAGAGTATTTGTAATTAAACTGCTCATCGTAATGAGTCTAAGTGAAGCTGAACACTTTTGTTTTGTTTTAACAATAAGAAATGGTAATAAAAAATAATAGCTAAGATATGCCTGAACTTATTTAGTCCACTAATATTAAACATGCTCCTCTGTATGAGGCTCTCTTAACATCTGTGCATGAAATACATTCGACTTTTAGACTAATCCTGGGATCAGACTCTCTGACTTTAAACAGGTTTTAAGATGAATTTAAACTTCCTTTAATTCTGAAACAGGTTTTCTGTGAAAGCTTTACAACTTGTCAAATCTTTGAAGCTCTTTGCCTTGAATGCCGGTTTTTCCTCTGTGGGAAACAGGCCAAACGACTTCACTCTATATCATACGACAGCCTCTGTGTCAGGGCTTCTCTCTCTGTCCGTGTCGTCGCCTGTTTTTGGTCTGAGCTGGAGGAGGCAGCAGCTTCACCTCCATAGATGATAAATTTAATACATTTCCTTGTTTCTCTGAATCTGTTTTAGACGCTCTCTGTCACAAATTCAGCCACCGTTTATTTCCACTTTTTCACCTTTCAATGTGGCGTCTCATTCCTGCGTTTTTGTGCAACTATCAGATAAAGTCTGCCGTAAAAAATTGATATCATGACATCAAATATGAATATGAAAACTCCACCCATTGAGTGTTATTTTGAAACCTTTTCCCCGAGTGAGGACATAAGGTTTAAGGTTTAAAATCCTCTTAAAATGATTTTAAGTGGTTCTCATGTCGGTGTTATACCTCAGAGACATTCGAGGATTATCACAGAGCGACAAACGTCTGTACATGAAAACTACGTCGGGTGGGAATAATGATTTGAGTTCACGTTGCTGCAGAGTTTGTCATCGCCCAGAGGAGCTTCTGTCAAACAAATTGAAACTCGATGTATTCACGACAGCGTAACAATATCCAATTATACTCTCATTTGAGGGTGACGTAAATCTGCCTGAGAGAAAATTACAGCTGTGTTTGTTCCCCGCAGTTATAGAAAAGTATGAGCTCATCAATCACGGTGAAGGCTGCAGAGCACAGAGTCAAATCAGAGGTATTACCGCTGCAGCTGATATAGAGACGGAATATGGACGTCAAACGGAGGCTGGAGGCGTTTCCCACGCAGACCCTCGAGTCAAACTCTGCTCTAGTTTGTTCTTTAGCGTTTCTCTGTGTCATCGTGTCTTAGAGAGAGAGGAGGCCCCGAGGAAGAGCTCACCTTTATACAGAAGGTGAAGTCTGCAGGCGCTCCGTAAAGTTTACGGCTGTTCACCACCGTGTACACGTTCAACTCGTCCAGATCGGCCACGCAGTGCAGGTGACGAGGCTCCTGTGCAGAGACACGTCACTTTGACTCAGTCAAGTCTTCCTGGATTAAATGTTTGATGTTAAATCAACACTTTGTGAGAGTCGTGCAGACCTTAGAGGATCCTTTGGTGGAGCAGTAGAGTCCGGAGCGGCGGAGGAAAAAGTAGACCTTCTTCCAGGCTTTTCGACTCGGCTCTTTCACGTGAAGGAAACCTTGAATCTCTGGACAGGTCCCAGACTTCAGCAGATTCTGGGAAACACAGACACAGCATAAGTCCTGTTGTCATTACTGTACATCTGTAAACCAGGTCTGATCTCCTGGTTTTTACCTGAATCAGCTGTGAGGATTTCATCCTTTTACCGTCGTCGTCAGCGCTGTCAGAGATCATGGACTCTGGGAAGAACAGCTGAGAGACGAAGAAAAAGAGGAAGAGGAGGAGGAAGGTGATCATTGGGACTGTCTGAGAAGGAGACGCTTCAGATGGAATCATCTCTGCAGGACTCTGGTTTCTTGTTTAAGGCGTATTAATCGAATTAGAAAGTAAATAATCAGTCGTGTAAAGTGAAACCAGTACACACAAAAACTAAAAGTGTCTCATGTTAAAATAACTCTTCACCAAAGAGAACCAAAGAAAAAAAAAAAAAGGAGACAATATTTTTTGGTTGTTATATTAATACGAAACAAAAAAGATGTTTAAATTTTTTTTTTTTTCCTACTGTTTTATTTTAAGCTGAAGAATAGCTGTAGTTTTAGATTTCCTTTAATTCAATCTAATCTAATCAAACAAAGTCACCTCCTTTTTTGTTTCATTGTGGTTTTTATTGCTGCCTTTAATCAAAAAACTGTTTTTAGGTTTCTTTTGCCGTGAAAACAAACTTTTTAGAGGGTTTGGAGGAGAATTAATCGATACCTGATTAATCTAGAAAGTTAAAGATCTCTTTAAAAGTCGTGTTAATTTGAAAAAAAGCAAAAATTCTCAGTTTCTGGTGTTTAAAGTTCACAGATTTGTTGTTTTTCTTTGATTTATGTCATTTGGAGCAATTTTGACTTTTTTGATTAAAGGTTAAATGAAATAAATTTAAACTGTTTCTGTTTCTGTCCAATATGAGCTTGTTTTTCTTTCAGGTTACATAAGACTTTAATCTGATGGTCGTTCATCATCGATCAGACGCTCCTTCAGGCGACAGTTAACAAATCAAACCAGCAGCAGGTCCATCAGAACCAGTTTGTTTGAGCGGGTGTCGTCTTCTTTAAAAGCACAGGTGACAGCAGACTAATCTGATGTAATGAAACACCTGAGGCACCAAGTCAGAGCGTCTCCACCAGCACGCAACCTGTCAACCTCTCAGAATCACGATCCGCCATCATGACGTCAGGCTGTCGGCGTCTGCGGCCCCGACATGTTCGACAACAACACCCTCCTGTAGCGCCCCAGGGCGTCACTTACATAAAGACACTTATACTGTCACAGCGTTAAACCGCCGCGGCCTCGTACCATCGGTTTCCTGAAGAACTCGTACTTGGCGTAGTTTTTACAGAAAACGAATCTGGTGTCGCCCTTCAGAGACCAGGTGGCCTGGACCTCCAGCACGACCTCGTGGTCCTCCAGACACCTCTCTGAGGACACACAGGACGAGTTTGTTATAATCAAACATTTAATGACATAAAAAAACATCGTCTGTTTCGTCAAAGTCAGGGTTCTACCCAGGCCGAGGGTGGGATGAAGCTCGAGGAGAGCCCAGTTCTCCTGATCACTGCAGTGAGCCGTCTGCACCAGCAGGTGGCACACTTCTCTGGCTGTTGCTCCAGGAGAGACCCACAAAGAGCGGCTGTGGCTGTCCTCTCCGTAGACCTTTATGAGCTGAGAAGACACAAACGCAGAGGATCATGGGGATTATTCTCACTTTAGAGGAAGAAGAAGAAACATCGGAAATGATTTGATAAAAACAAAAATGTTACTGTTTTAGGTCTTAATGGGCACATGGAAATAAAAACAAATAAAAAACAAAAGCTCAGAATTGAAGCTAGTTTAATTTTTCATGAGAGACCCCGACAAAACAAGAACCTACGACATAAAGTGAGACCATGAGGACCAAAATAAAAACATTAAATAGGGAAGAAAAAGAGATGTAATAGAAAGGAGGGGTAAATTTCGGTATCAGTAAATTTTCACCCAGCCCTAATTATCCCTTACTCATTAAAAGAGATAAGCACGCATAAATAAGTCTGCTATCAGACTCTCAGTCCGACAAGGATCCTACAAACTTCATATTTCTGTCTCTGAAGAATTAAAAATAAACCGAAGTTACATGTGAGCGTCTGTCTGTTTCCACTCTCTCTCCTCGTCTGCAGCTGTTTACAGATCTCGACGTTCTGAGCTCTTATTTTCCTCCTAAAACCGCATGAATAGAATCAGAAATTAAACTGTATGCTTCTCTCAGCACATTGCTGACAAATCGGTCACAGAAACCCTCTCCTCTGTGTTTACTTACTCTTCTTCTGTGTCTAAAAGAGAGACACAGGACTCCAAATACGAGCGGCTTTCTCAATCGATCCAGTTGCATGAATCGGTTTTGACTTTTCTGAGGTCGATGACGTGCACACCTGCAGAAAGAAATCCTACAAACCGTCCAGCTTTTATATCTTTAACAGAAGTATCACTAATAAACTGTGTTTGGGTCTTTTAAGTCTTTTTGCAGCTTTTAAATCCCCAGTTTGAACTTTTTTTTTATCTTATACTGCGTACACAAAATAAAACCTGCTCCAGTCACACGTTCTGCATCAACGAGTCTGAAGTCGATCTATTTTAAAATGTCTGCAGAAGGATCCTGAGTAATGATCTGAGAGTGAATTATTGCTCTTCAGCTGGAGTTTGTTTGCTGAAGTCTCTTTTCTGCAGCTCGTGTTCTGAGATCGTACGCCCAAACTGAAATCTGTTTTTGATTATCGCATGCTGCTGAGTCACGGAGCTTATCTCTGCTGTGGTCGCACATTGTTCGCTGGATTTCTGCTGAGTAAAGAGGGGAATATTTCCCTCCACCTCCTCTGGACCGGATATTGAACAGCCAGGTTTCCACAGAGGAATTTTCCTCCCCCGGGTCGATTCTTAGTCAGTATTTGTCTTGCCTGACGCCGGCACCCGTCCAACCAGTCGGGCCTCACTGATTGACAGCTGCAGGTTTCTGGTCGGGCAGGTTTGTTTGCCGTGTCAGACGGCGGCGGGTTCTGGGAAACATCTTGACCGCTGAATAACCTGCGAGCAGACGGCGGCATCAGGGACGCAGACTGAACACAGACTGAACACAGACTGAACACAGACTGAACACAGACTGCACGCACCACTGCTCCTCAGATCTCATCTGTCTTTTTTTTTGTTTTAACAGATTCAGAAACGACTGGCAGAGAGTCAAAAACAGAGAGACAGAGAGACAGAGAGAGAGAGAGAGAGAGAGAGAGCATGTTTCTTTATGAGGCAGCTCCTGACATGTAACCTGCGTGGTTACATGTCAGGAGGGCGCTCAGACTCAGACGAGATGAGATAGAAACGATGAGCTGCAGGAGGAGAGTGGAAGAGTCCACACTAACTAACTCTGAGTCTGACGTGTTCTTGGCTCTACATTTGGAGTTTATGTAAAATAAAACCCAGCAGAGCACACCTGAGTACTAACAAACTCACAAACTAACTTTAATTTTGGTAAATCTAAGAAAAACAGAGACATCAGCTGATTCCGACTCTCCTGGTGCGAGTGTATCCCGTCTTTTCCCGCCTCCCTCTTTGGCACAAACAAAAGTTCGTTAACGTCACCTCTGGGAAATGACCTTGACTGTTTTTCCTACTTTTATTGTTTTATTGACGTCTGCGCTGACGAATCAGTTGGACATCGATACCACCTGATATTTACTCTGTTGACAAACGTCCGTCAGAAAAATAATGATGTCAGTCTCCGGTGTTTATCGACGTCTAATCTTTATTGGATGTTGGCGGGTCAGTAAACCCGAGTGATTCAGAGAAGAGGGATTTTATTGGTCTGAGGAAGTCACCTGAGAGCAGCTGTGGGTTGTTTTCAGGGACAGAGTCGGCGTGGAGGTGATTTTTCTGTCAAATTTAGGGGTCAAGTTTTCTCTCAACCACATCAGTCTGATTCAGTTTGGAGTAGGGCTGAGCGATAAACCAAAAATTTACTGATACCAAAATTTACAACAGTAACCGACGTCATTTTCTTGGTTGAAAGGACAACTGGACTTACTTGGGACGTTTCGCCTAAGTCCAGTTGTCCTTGAATGATATTATTTAGGGCTGGACGATGAACCAAAAATTTACCGATACTGAAATTTACGACAATAACCAACGTCATTTTGCCCGTATCGGTATATTCGGTGTCTAAACAATAAATAAATCAAAGTTGTTTTTGGATGTGTGTAGGTAGGCTATGGTCTCATGTCTCTTTAAGACGCTGTCCCACGTCAGAGACGTGACTCCACCCCATCCAGTCTGTAACAAAGAGGGAAAGACAGGTGAGGAGATGGAGGACAGTTCACAAGTTGTAGCGGCTGAAGTAGATGAAGTTAATGTGGGAGGGGGTGAGCAGCTTGTGGAGTAGTTATTGTCCATTTATCGTTATAGAGGTGAACTGATCAATATATCGTGATATTGATTTGAGGACATATCGCCCAGCCCTAGAACAATTAATCTCATAGTTTAGCTGTCAGACAGATGTGCAGAGGTTTACACTTCAGAGCTGATCTATAAGATCAAAAATATTGATAATATTGGATAAATCTGTTTTTTAATGTTTTTCTGTCTTATAGTTTGTTAGTTCATCTCCTAGTAGTTCCCTGCCAGAAAGTGTGATAGTAAACAAAATATAAACTTTCTCTTTAAAGTTTAAACAAAGTTCAAAAACACTTGAAAACTCGACTTTTTAATCAAACACGAGAGAAAACTTCAAATAAAAGCAGAACCGTCCGTTTGGTTTGGACACATGATTCAAACGTTAAATCAGTAACTCAAACGTTAAAGATCAAAAGTGTTAAAGCGGCGTCTCACTGAGGACGCTCTGGACTCACGTGTTTGTCACTGGAAGGAGGAGGAAGTGAATTGATGAGGACTGGAGACTTGGAGGGGCTGCAGAGCTCCGGGAACGGGTTCGGTATGGAGGAGGGAACAGAGGAGGAGGAGAAGGACTCGACACCTCTTATCCTGAAACAAACAGAAAAGATCGAAGATGGTTTCAAAAGACGATTTATCTCTAAATGAATGACTTTAAATAAACACTGAAGATCTTCTTCATCTGTTTTATAATCTCAGTTTATTCTTCCTGTTCAACTCAGATAAATCCAAGTGAAGTCCAGCTGAAGGACGGGGCTTTTGTGGAGTTTTAGAGAAAGCAAACTAGGATAAAATGTGCAGGTGATGGAGGAATTTAAAGGGATATTCCAGCGTAAATAAAATTTAGGGTCAAACACACCGTAACACCGAGTTAGACCCCCCCTCCAGAGATGAATGTTGTCGACCGCTTTCTTCTCTAGTTATACCAACTTTAGTAACGACCAAACATCTTTTTAACTTTGACTCATTTCTTTAGCAAAGAGACTAAACACAACTCACCTACTCTCTTCCAGCAGCCACTTGTTTGTAGCGAGACCTCAGGCCAGTCCATTACAGACTACAGCGGGGTGACGCAGCCCAAGGAATAACATTTATGATCATTTCTTTATCATTTCCTCAAAGTAATAATCATCATATTAATCATTTTCACTGCAGACGCTGTAGTTCTTCTGTCTTAGCGTCTCGGTCTGATTGTATTTCCATGAAGAAATGATCATAAATGTTCTTCCTTGAGCTGCGTCACCCCACTGTAGTCCCTAATGGACTGGCCTGAGGTCTCACTACAAACAAGCGGCTGCTGGAAGAGAGTAGGTGAATTATGTTTAGTCTCTTTGCTAAAGAAATGAGTCAACATTCGTCTCTGGAGGGGGGGTCTAACTCGGTGTTACGGTGTGTTTGACCCTAAATTAATTTTACGCCCCTTTAACTCTCCTAAAGCACCAAGTCCAGGTGATCTCAGTCAGGTATCTCTGAGCGGATCAGAGGAACAAGGACGGGTTAGTGAAATCTGAAGTTTGAAAAAGTTTCTATCTGATCTCGGTTTTAGTTTGCATCTTCGTCTTCGGGGTTAAACAAACAAAGGTCGCATGTTCGAAGGAAGAGACAGAAAAGAAAACCACAGTCTGCCTCGTGTGTGTGTGTGTGTGTGTGTGTCCTGAACACACAGTCCAGCCCTCTTTACAATCACTCTTCTATCAGCCACAACAGAAACCAGCTGCTACTTTACACACCACATGACTCACAGCGTCATGTGACCAACGCCGTCTCCTCCTCCTCCTTCAGAAGTCTGTTGACTCACGTCCGCTCTCCGTGACTCATGTGTGTGTGTTGGTGGCGGTCGTACCTGTTTGAGGCGATGATGATGATGGGCTGGGAGCGGCGGACCGATGGAGACTCGGCGGGGACCAGCGGAGCCAGAGTCAGGGTGGAGCTCCCCAGCAGCGTCTCTGCTTGTCCGGGTTTCTCTGTCCTCTCTGAGCCCTCGAAGACTTCAGTCCAGGGACCGGCCACCTCCATCATGATACCTGGAGAGGGGGTCAGAGGTCAGAGCTGCTGCGCTCAGGTTACAGCTGATGTAGAAAGTCTGTAGTGAAATACACATGCAAACTATGAGCGACCTTTATTTACACAGAGGAGTGTCCCGATCAGAGGACAGACAGGAGAGACACGAAAACACGACAGACGAGAGGTTAAAAGACAGAACAGACAAAAAGACGAGGATTAAAAACATCACCACGGTTCAGGAGGAGGAATTCCTGATTTCAGATTATTGTTTATAGTTTTGGAGTTTTTCTGTAAACTAACAGTCCTGGTATTTTAATCACACTTGTAGTAAAGACGCAACTGACCTCCTACGTCATAACAAACATGTATAACAAGTGTGTGTTGCTGTAAATATTAAAGGTGAGGTAGGCAGGATTTCGTTAAAGAAGCATCTATTTTTGTGGTGGATAAACAAACAGGCTTATCAGTCAATAGTTATTAGTTATTGATGAGATTTGGTAATATAACGATATCTCTGTGTTCTCTTATGTCTGTGTCGTCAACATTTGAACATTTTTGAGCGGTCCGCTCTTTCTGACTGTAAACAAAGCCGTTCTCCACCTCCTCTAATCTGATTGGTTGTGAGGCAGACGCTGCTCCCCCGTGTCGTTCAGGTGCCCAAACAAAGTTAGCGTGCTACAATATCGGACAGTAGAAACCAATCAGAAAGTTCAGTTCGGTTCGTGATTGGTCGACTCGATTTTTTTCCGCGTCAATTTACAGTCTATGGTCAATTTCATCAGGAGGAACGTACCAAGTGCTAACGAGGGTGTTTTCAGAGCAGAACAGCCTGTCTCAGAACACCCCCCGTGTTTTCACCATTTTGGATTCACCCAACCCACTGGAGACTGTCAAGCATCAGGAAGATTGAAGAGCGTCCACGTTGATCAACGTCGGCTGGTTTATTGAATAAAATATTTGTGTTTAATTGCCTTCTTGTGCTGATATCAGTATATTTTCACCCTGCCGAACCGCGATAATTAGATTTTTGGTTGAAAATTTCAGGGTTTTAGTCGACCGAGAATTTCTTTGGTTGATTCATGTCCTAGTCGGTTAGTCAGTTTGTGTTTTGAGTCTGCAACAGGATCATCGTGAAAACAAAATACAGATTATTGATTAAAAAAAAGACCTCAAATCTGGATGATAGACCTGTTTAGGTTTGAAATGACTCATTATTTATATTTCATATTTCTGTTGTTGTAAATTTAACGGAAACACAGCGGCGTCAGAGAAATGAACTGCTTCGTATCTTTTCAAACTGCAGATCTCTCCTCAATATTTCAGCCTGTTAACTTCAATTTATGGGCTCCAGTGAATTCAAAACATCTGAAATATGTGGAACAACAAAATAAGTCTGCAAATTTGTCAAATTGTCGCTCCTGTTTTGAAATGTAACGTCTATTTTCCAGGATAAATCTTGGAAAAAATGACCAGAATGTTTCCCCTCGTCCATCACTAGTGCACGTATTTAACCAACTCCTTCATGAAGTCCAATAATAATCCCATTTGAGTTCATCTAAAACTGGATCCTACATGTCAGACTGCACTCTGCTTCATGTTGTTGTTCAGATTGGAGGAATAATATTGAACATTCAGATGAGACACACTTTGAGGAGCAGAAAGGTGTCGACTCGTGTGGAAATTCAGGTTTGTATATTCCTCTGGCTGTGCGCCAGGATGGAGTTATTTTGAGCGGGAGGAAAGTATGACTAAAGCGTGTTGTTTTCTTGTAGCATTGTGTGTGAATGTGTGTAAGGTGATGTAGTTATTCATCCTGAAGTGGCTGCCGCTGTCACGAACACGCCGCTCTGAGTGTTTACTTTGGCTCACGCTGCAGCAGTAAAGAAATAAACCTGCTCCTTATAATCACCCGCAGAGAGAAAAACATCAGCGACAATAAAAAGCTGCAAACCGAAACTTATTGTTGGACATGTCAGGTGTAAAAACAGGCTGACTCTGTTGTCCCACATATGGAGAATAATGTCCCATCAGGAGGAACGAACTGAACGAGGAGTTTTCCCTTAAAATTTACTGACACTTGTTATCCTCGTGGACACAAACGGTCCGTCTAATAAAAGTGCAGTAAAAACATGATACATTCAAATTTTATTTACTTTTAAAGCATCACATCTTGTCAACAACTTCGGACCTATCCAAAGATATAAAGTTAATTATAATTTTTTTTTTTTTTTTAGGTTTTTAGTGGTTTTTTTTGTCATGAGAACCCCTGATTTTTTTTAATGGGAAAAACACAAAATGTGCAATATTTCCAAAAATGAGGAGCAAAGTGAAATATTTTTGATAAACTTATAACAGCCCTGACCATGTCGATAATTGGTAAAAATATTGGTTTTAATGCATTAGTATTTTTTGCACAATGACAATTTTAAGATTAGAAACATTCAGCCTTACAATCAGCCTGGAAACAAAGAAAATTTACCTACAGATTACTTTTCAGCCGTTCTCCTCCCAGTCACATTTCTTGCATTAATGAAACAGTACATATACTGAGGTCTTAGACTGTACGAGTTTCCATTATAGTGCTGAAAAAAACAGATATTTTCATCATTCAGAGCTTTATTTTGGTTTTTGATAAACTGAGTAGCAGCAGCAGTCCTCTGAAAGTGAAGCATTAACATCTACACAAACTAATACATCCTTAATCTTTAGATTCAAACAGATAAACTGTTTCTAAATAATTACATATACTTTAAAAGGTCACTTCATATCTTTGTGTGCTTAGAACTGCAGTTCCTCAAGTGTCCACTTGGGGCTGTCTCAAACAGCCAAAGAGCCCATTAACACTTGTGTTAAAACGTTCATTTTCACAGCAGATTGAAGCAGGTTTGCAGACGACAAAAACAAATTTGTTCACTTTACTGAGAGCGATCTGAGGCGTCTAATTTACCAGTTATTTAAACCTTTGATAAAAATTTAAACACTTTCAAAATATCTGTTTCCTCTATCAACTTCCTCTCTATTTTCTGACCCTAATATTATCTAACGACTCCCTGAAACTCGTCCTCTGTGCTTGTTTACATCCAGGTAGTAGAACATTAAAGTATTAAAACATTCAAACCATCGTCATTAACCAGAGCTACAAATACAAGACTATAGTCATAAAATATTAACGATCCTTTTAACCAGTCTGTAATTCTAATACTAAGGTGAGAGCATGAAACTGTTCGACTGATTTAACACACATATCTGCTCTGTGATTCATTGTTATGTTTAACAGCTGTACAAGTTGTGAATTTTTATAACTCAACTATTTTGACGATAATTACACAACAAATTATGAGTAATTAGGCACGATTAGGGTGGGGCTGATGTGATTGACAGGTGGGTGTCTGGAAGAGAGTAGGTGAGTTGTGTTTAGTCTCTTTGCTAAAGAAATGAGTCAAAGTTAAAAAGATGTTTGGTGTCTAGTACTATGTCTGTGACCCTATATGTCCTGTTGATGAAGTTAGGTGCTGTTCTGAGCATTATTTGTGGCTATAGAGTGGCGTTTTGACCCTAAATTAATTTTACACCGGAATATCCCTTTAACATAAGGTCTCTCTGCTGCTTTCCAACCTAATTAAGATTTTGAAAAACAGCCAAAAAACTGCTGGAATAATAAAAAAAGTGGTGAGTCACAAAAGGGACCAATTACCCTGAAGGAAAAATAAATGTCTGAAGCTACAACCGGGAAATTAGTGCCAAATATTGATAAACAGAGGAGTCATTATTACGCAGGATAAACTTGTATTTTTCAGGTTCTGAAACGTGGTGATTTGCATGATTTCTTTATCATTTATAATTAGTGATAAGGACCATGAGGTTTGGCATATTACACTTAGTTTTGGTCATGGTCAATGAATTAGCGATGAAAAAGTCCATTTTGGCACAAACAGCGAAGGCTGCAAAAAGAAAGTTTGGCATTAGAAGCTGAAATACTGTCATGTGAAATTGTAGCCTAAAACTTTTTGTTGGAGTTGTTTTTTTATTGGTTGTTTTTATCGATTTGAACTCTTTGACCTTGCTCTGTTTTGAAGTAACTTTCTCCTGCTTCCTCCTGAGTCTCCAGGAAACAGAGTTTGTGGTCTTGTTATTGCAGCTCAGACAGCGTGAGACGAACAGGAGGCAGAAACACACACGCTGCTTTGATTCCATACACACACGCGCACACACACACACACACACACACACACACACACACACACACACACACACACACACACACACACACAGCAGCTACAGAAACCTGAGGGTTTGTGTTAAAGGTGTGTAAACAGGTGCATGTGTGTATAAAGGAGAGAGGAGCTGCAATGATATGAGCACAAGTGCACCTCGGAACAAAAGGAGCAACCTGAGAGCTGACACGACAACCCTTATGAGGAACTTTCTGTTTGGGCTGGTTTTGGCGCCCCCTGTGGACAAATAGATACAGCTACCCCCTCTCAGAGGCTTCAGGCATTAAAAACTACACTTTAAAAATTGTAGTTTGTATTGTCGATTGTCCTGTTTGCCTTTGTATATCATTAGGAGGCTTTTCTGTTCATTTCAGTCTGTTATATAAACAGTTAAAAACTCCTTACAGTAGCTTTAATGGTCAAGATTTTCTAAATAAGCCTGAAAATGATCATCTATCAATCCATCTGATCTGATTTACACTTAAATTAACAGACTGAAAATGTAAGAAAATGGAGATAAAGGCACAAATGTTCATTTAATAGGATCAAAATCACACAAAAAGCTACTTTTACAGGAACACAGTGAAAAACATTTCAGTCAAGAAGCAGAAATCTGAATTTTTGCAGGATTAAAGCTCCTGTTAGAGATTTTTCTGAAAGTTTAGAAAGCTCCTCTTGTTCATGTTAAAGTAGAGTCTCATTCTTCAGTCTTAAAACTGATTAAAAAATTCAGTCTGTCTGAATATTTACAGTTAAAAGTGTCGAGGAGGGCTCACTCTTTACGGTACTGTCAATCATTATGGCCCCTATCACCTTTAATTATCCAAAAATTAGTGCAAATATGATCGAGCCAGTGACACGTCTGAAGACAATTAAAAATACTTCTTAAGATGCTTCATATTTGACAGCAACAATGAAGAAATAACTGTTTCTTTGATATATGAAAGACCAGATTTTTGTAAAATATTCACTTTAGTGCTAGAGTCCAAACTGGGACCTCGAAGATGGAAAGTGCCAGAGGTGTTAAAGTGTCATATCTTGACTGATGTTATTGGACTTGTCACCAGGTAATAAACCAGAAGATGATCTTGTGACATTATTATTTTAGCTCAAGTGTTCATAACACCTTCAAGTGTTTGTTGTTGTTTGTTTTTCAATACTGGAGCGATATGTCTCACTATAAACCAAACTAGTACAATAAGTAGGATATATATAGACCTCTTTAAAAGACCTAAAACCTCAAAAGTGACAATATCTGAAACATGTATTTGATAAGATAGTCTAAATAGTTCACAAATACTCTGAATAATGTGAGATAATTGTTCCTTTTAGCTGTGGATCCTGTGGAAAACGTCTCAGTGTGATATTACAGCAGATTTAAAACAGTTTAAACTATTTTAACATGTTTCTACAGCACAGAGCAGGTCAAATATATCAGTCTCATGTAAACAGAGCAGTAAAAACAGAGCAAACCAAACGCTGGAGGTGAAAATTATCAGACCAACAACACTCAGTCCAGTCATTAACTCGGACCCTGTGTGCAGTTCGCCCTCTGGACTAACAGCGTCCCGGTGTGAAGGAGTATAATCTAACAAAACCACTTTGAACCTTAAGTTAAGAAATGTTAAATTACTATTTATCCTCGGTCACATGTCGCCTTTTGTGTCTGAGAACAAATTGTAGTAATACCCAGCTCCACAAACTTACAAGTGGTAGTTTTCCGGAGCTTAAATCTAAGCTAATCTAAACACAGGTGTCGACAGAGCGCCAAACCTCGTACGGAAAAAGAAGGAAATTATTCCTGTGTCCTCAAATAAGTGATGTTTACTTTGAAACATCTCAGAAAGTTGACACCGAAGACAAACTCAAATTCGGCAAAGCTCGGCTGATTTCATCTGGTTTATGGAAGTGTAAATTCGCGGTTCAATCCAGCCTGCACCTGTTAGGACGAGCATAATGGCAGTTTGTGAAAACCAACTCTTACCTGTAAACTTGGTGTGTTTGAGTCGGGAGGTTTCAGCTGTCAGCCATCGTCTTAATCCAAAATATGATGCTTAACTGTGTGTAAGTGCAAACAAAACAAGATGCCGTGTCTCTACGGAGAACAAACAGGGTTATCTGTGAGGAGCGGGGAGGAAAGGGGGGCGGAGTCCAACCACCAGGTGTGTGTAATGAAGCCCCGCCCCGTTTGGCTCCGAGAGAGTTGGGCTGTGTCCGAAATGGCCTACTACTCCTACTACTCCTACTAACCCCGCCTCTGAATTGAGTAGGCAGTGCGTTCACACTGTACAGTATGTGAATTTTGTGTATGCGAGAAATGCCCGGATGTATACTCAATCAGCTTCGATTTCTGAGTGTGCAACGGAGCTTGCTTCACGTACTGCTTCTGCCCCACAATGCATTGCGCACCTCAGCTGGTAATATGGCCCTCCTTCCCGAGGCTGAAAAGAAATAGATGGCATGTGATTGCAATAATAATGATATATATTTTATCATATTTTGATCTTTTTACCAGATTTATTTGTATTTTAAATTAGGATTATAAGTAATGTTTTTAACTATTCGTATGAATTTACTTTATTTATTTATTTAAGCGTCTATTAAAGATGTATTTATTACATCAAGTTTGAGCATCTTCTCATCTCTGAATGCATCATCAAAGTGGTCGCTCATATTAAGCTCAGACCTCTGATTAATAAAAATTATCTTTGGTAGAGAGCACATGGTTCAGAATATACAAACGGGGGAGTTTCCAGTTGACAATCTATGTGAGCTTTACTAATTCTTACTTGTGATTGAAAATCTGATGGTTTCTGAAATAATCATTGTACATGAAAAGAATGTAGTCGGGAAATGATGTATTTGCCAAGGAATAACCGAACGAGGTCATAATAATTATGTTGTGTGTTGGTCATTTTGCAGCCCTCTGCTGCTCATCACACGCCTAGCAGGTGGTGTATAGCATTATCACCATGGATACACGGATGTTTGTGTGATTTTTTCATCCACTGTCGCCCGGTTTGTGTCGTGTAGATGTTGATTATGAAAACACTTCGCAATAATTTGGAAACGTGAAGGGGGAGCTGCTGCTGCCCGGTGTTTACGGTAAATAGACGCAAACACCGACCAAGTGGACGCTTCGGTCTCCGAAAACGCCGAGACAAATTTACAAACAGCCACTATTTCAAACAACTGGGCTCATAATCGTGATGTAAACACTTACTTTCTCGCTAGAAAAAATATTATTATTGAATGAATTTATATAATTTGTCCGGGATGCAGTCGTTCTGTGTAGCTTGTGGTAGGACTATTTAAATTTTCCCGGCGCTGCGTCCGGCCGGCACGAAATGCATTCTGGGGTATTTAGTATGTATGTGTGTAAACGCTCGGGCAGCCGCGGCATACTCAAATCATCTTTGAGTAGTCAGTAGGCAGTAGCTACTGCTTGAGTAGGTAAGTAGATAGTAGGCAGTATGCCATTTCGGACACAGCCTTGGTTTGAAGGTTTTGGATTTTTTTTTTTTCTTTTTATGGAGTATTATGGATTTAGATTTTTCTGAACGCTGTTTTACACTTTTGCTCCAGAGTAGGTCAGATAGTTGTTTTTTATTTTATTTAAACAAAATATTCACACTTTTATTAGTATTGATGCCCTTTTACAGATAAAGCTCCATCGTGCTCATACATCTGTATTTATTCTTAGATGTTTTAAATGCAGACTTTTACAGAACTTGCAACAGTGTTCCTTATTGACAGGTTAAAACAACAGATCTGCCCCCCACTGCTTATTTAATGTGGCGTCCTGTTAGGATTAAAACTGCAGTATTCAAACTGATGAAAAGCTGTATTTCTATTAAAAATGGTTTAACCTTAATTTAATCTTATTTTCTAAGTTTGATCATAAATTAAACTCACTGCATTTCAGCATGAACCACTTTCAAACACCTGTAAAACAATGATGGCTCTTTGTCTCCACCTGCTGGTCTGTATCTGACCCACAATACAGTAATATTAATAATACATTTAATTTGTATTGCCCTTTACATCAAGAGACCTCAAAGGGCAACATACTAAAAGCAAAGAAATATCAATATCACAAAATTGTGGGTGAGAGAGTGTGAGACACAAAAATGAAAGTTTGGAAAGAGAGAAAGTGAGGAAAAAAAGACAAGAAAATGAGGAGAGACCGAAAAAACGAGGAAATAACAAAAAGGAAAATAGAGCAAGGAACAGAGAAAGCGGAGGAGCAGTAATAGAATAAAATACGACAAAATAGAGACAAACAGATTAAAGAAGAGTAAAAGAGAGTGAGAAAAAAAGAGAAAAGAGAGCAAGAATAACAGAGGGAATGAGAAAAACCCCAAAAAAGAGAAAGAGAAAATGGGACAGGTAGATTAATAAAAGTGAGACAACAAAAAGGAGAGAAAAGAAAAGAAGTGGAGGTAGAAAAAAAAAGACAAAAAATGTGATCATGAGAAATCTATTTAGACATTATTTTATTCAAACCTTTTTTTTCCCAGATAAACATTTGAGTTCACTTTGAAGTTGAAAGGATTTTCTTTTTTACATTTTTATTTAAATCTACTTTTTAAAAACCCGCTAAAGTGTAAAAACTGTTCATGTCCGTTTGCTGGAGAAACTGAACAGATACTGGAGTCCATCCTGTTTTCCTCTCAGGTGAGTAAAGTTTAACCACAGGGTCAGTCAGAGTTAAATTTTTACAGACCTGAGACGCTCCAGCAGCGCAACACAACAGAGAGCTCTGTTACTGGATCATTATCTCCTGAACCAATTAGAGCTCAGATCTGAACTAATATTTAACCCTGAACAGAAGCAGGATGACCAGGAAAACAGAAACTAAAGAGCATCTCTGAAAACAACATGAGTGCTTACATTAAAAATCAACATATTAGAGCACATATGTCAGAGTCAAGGCCCGCGGGCCACATCCGGCCCGCGAGAAGGTTTTTTACGGCCCCTGGGATTATCTTGATTTATTATTAGAACCGGCCCGCAGACCGCAGCAAGCCGGCAGCCCGCAGATCTTTTACACGCACCAATACTACATTTCCCACAATGCAACGGTGACGCACCGAGCAGTAGGCTGCTTCATTTCAATATTTATTAGCACAGCAGTCGTCAGCATAACAGTAAAATTAACTTTCAGATACCCATCAAAAATGGCAAAACGGAAGGTGGACACTGAGAACCGGGGGTTTCAAACAAGGTGGGAGTCAGAGTATATGTTCACGGAGGTAGCTGGAAAACCTGTGTGTCTTCTGTGTGGAGAAAGTGTGGCGGTACTCAAAGAGTATAATCTGAGACGACATTATGAAACGAAACACGCGGACAAAAACAAATAAATACCGAATATGAATAATACCGGTTTCTTTCATTTAATGTTCATGTTATGGGGATTTTTATATAAAGGAAATTTGTCTTTTGTGTCTGTTGAAAATTAAAGATTACTGACAGAGCCATAAGAAAATATTGCTTTATTTATCTGATCATATTGGAATATATTTGTTAGGTTTGTTAGGTTCAATTAGGTTCACTAGACTATATGCGTCATTTAAAAAATTTTCAATGAACATTCGATCAGTCCGGCCCTCGGCTTGTAGCTAAATTTTTTATTTGGCCCTCCGTCCATTTGACTTTGACACCCCTGTATTAGAGATAGTGAGATTTTCTGTCTTCTAGGTTTAGATTCATGTTGATTTCACCTTTTAACTAGAGTTGCACCGATCCGATATTTGGATCGGATATTGGCTCCAATATTGACAAATTAACTGGATTGGATATCAGATGAATGATGGCGATCGAGTCTTTTTTTTATTCTTTTAATTATTTTTTCTTTTAATACATGGAAGTCTTACTTCTTTTCGCTGTGTGCTGATGTGCAATTTGCTATTTGTTAATAAATAATATTAAGTAAATTTACTTAAAAAAACTTATTTTTTTAACAAGGCTAATGTCAAACCGGACGCCTTCACTCACAGGTATACAGTTCATTCATTCAACATTAGTATAGACGGGTTTCTCATGTACAAACAATACTGAGGGAAAAAAGCCTGTTTCAGAGTGAACTGATATCAGTGAAGATGCCGTATTGTTTGCAAGTTCTCCCCGACACAACTGCAATAAAATGTCATTTCATTGAAAAATCACTTTGTCTTTCATCGCATCAAAATCAGAAAAACACTTGCTGAAACGTCCATGAATTTCACTTAATTTAACAGGTTGTGACGTTGTCTTAGATGTTTCTAATATAGGGAGCAGGGTCGTAATGTTTGCTGATTGTTTGTCTTGCCGATTCGTGCAGTTTACGGCACAACAGTGCCTTGTCATTTTCTTTCTCCATTGACTCCGCAAGGAAACAAATATGAAATGTCCAACTTTCTGCCCCCTGGCTGCGCGCGCATACAGGTCCTTTCACACCGGGACCGTTTTTGTCGTGCGATTATTTCAGATGTCAATTTTTTTTTTCAAACCTGTATCCTGTCGATACAAGCGTTCACATCAGCGACGTTTTCCCGTCCTGCGATATTGCGGCATTTAATTTTTGGGATCACGGTCGATCTTTCTAGAGTTTCGCATACTGTGTGTCCACTTCTGACCAATCAGATTTCGTGTTGTTGCGACGCATATCCAACCGTTAGTTAATGTAAGCTAACGGTTGTTACCATAGTTTCATGTGCTTATCTTATCGCCTCTGATTGGCTGTAAGTGCTGACCGTTTGGCTTGAGCGTGTGATGTTTCCAGCTTTTCTAGTTTCTATTTCGCGTTCTATATTCATGTCGGCCCCGATGTGTAAGGACCTTACCTGCGATGGTGTTGCCGAAAACCCGTCTATTGGATTGATATCGAATATCGGCCGATACGCTCAGCCCAGGTACAAGTACCGGATTGGATCAGAAAAAAATAGGTGCATCTCGACTTTTAACGGTCCCACAGTTTCTGACAGTGATCATGACGTCCTTTTGCCTCTGAGGTTTCTGTTTTTCTCACTTTTTTAAGTTCTTGTTTTTAGATGAAGCTAAAAAAAGAAATACAGAAGAGGAAATAAAGAACGACAATCGTGCAAAGAAATAGAAATAAAAAGTCAGTGAGCGTAAACTGTTGGATCAAATCATGTTTATTAATGTGTTCAGGAAATCCCCACAGAAACAGTTTACAGGGGAACTTACAGATTTACAATCAGTCTTGACAGAAGTGCCAGCTTTACCCCCACGGTTCCACACGGAGAACGCCTGCTGAATCACGTGACCAGTTAACTGCACACCCTTTTTCCCCCCAAAACAGGTCTACCACCGAGTCCTTCAGCTCGCCGTCGTGCTACTAAAACAGAGCGAGTGCTTGTGTGGTTGGTCTTTCAGTCATGAAGTATGCGGGGCTGCAATGAGAAGTAGAAGCCTCTACGCACCCAGATATTAGAACTAGCTTTCCTCACCGTTCACAGTTAAAGAGCCTTCATTTTTTCAGATTTGGTGCCAATCCTTCATCCCGACCAGGAAAGATTTAACAGCTGGATGCTTTCCGAGTAAAAACTGAGAAATAAAAAAAAACGCTCTGTCAAATCAAAAACAGGCCCTGGAGGATACACTACTCTTTAGGATTTGTCGTACTGCTCGGATGCATTTGGTTCATCAAAGTACAAATAGAAATGCTAAAACTAGTTACAGAAAAAAAAACACACATGTAACATCTCTTCAAGGAATAAGATGTGAAGCTCGTGTATGTATCAGGACACCTGTGTCGCTTTAACCGTCTTCAGTCTGAGAAATGCCCGAACACCTTGATTTTTCAGAGCAGGAACACCGCCGCTGATTTTTAGAGCGATTCGAATTTAATCCAGGGAGTTCAAGATCGAGTTGGTTCTTAATTTTTAATCTGATTTTTAAAGATTGTTGGCTTGCCTTGTGCTTCACGATCTGGCTTAGTGGGGGACAAAGGTAGTGTTCACTGGAGAACCATCGTTAGGAATAATCTGATATAGTCTGATATAATAATAATAATAAAACAAACAGCATGATTTTCAGATGACACCAGAATGATCAAGGATGGGCGTTGTTGCTTTTTTTTGTCCTTTTTCTCGTTTTTTTTTTTTGATTTGCTTCGACCTGATACAGGTTAAGATGCAATTTTACTGAATCTCTTACTGGTGGGTTTGAGGTTTGAAAATCAAAATCAAAATGAACATTTAGCATTCATCTACATGAGGCGGAGGGTTCTAGTCATCACAGATATTCACTACAGGGAGCGGGGGAGAGCTTGCACCCTTGCTCTTTCTTTGCCGTATGAAAACCATGCTTCCTCTGGAGAGTAAGGGTGGGGGAGAAGGGGAGGCCGTGCAAGACTTGGAGTGGGGGGGAGGGGGCAGGCTGAGTGGGGCAGAGGCTGAGTTTGGTGGATGGAGAGAGGGGCTTGAAAACCAGACTGCTGATTCCACAGGAGGTGTGTAAAAGGCACGCCAGGGTTACTCCCAATCCCAGCCAACATACACAGAGACGCCTTCACACCCACGCACTCTCGCTGAACACACAAGGAATACACACACACGCACGCGCGCGCACACACTCACACATGCACGCCCACACACGCACACACAAGCAGCACAGGCTAGAGCCCCAAAGAGTACTGACGAGGGGAGAAAGCTGGGGGGCGGGGCGGGGAATGAAGGAAGTTCTTGAAAGAAAGAGCTCGGGTCGAGGTTCGGGTTAGATGGGAGCGAGGGGGCCTGGATCCGGTGCTGCCGTTGTGTTGAAACAGAAAAAATAAACAACAAACAAAAATCAAAACTGGTGGAATGGATCATTTCTGGTTCTTCAGCTGGTTGGAGAGCCAGTCCAGGCCCTCGTACAAGCCGTCCCCGCTGGTGGCGCAGGTGGCCTGGATGTACCAGCTGCGCTGACGGAGGGCGTGCAAGCCCAGCTTGTCTGTGATCTCTGCAGCGTTCATGGCGTTGGGGAGATCCTGGGAGGAGGAGAAGGAGGAGAAGTTGGTCATCGCGTGGGTTCGGTATCAGACAGGTGACCAATTTATCCCAACAGAAACAATTACAGAAGAGCTAAAGCGCCGCAAGATGAAAACAGAACTTGATGGTTTGAAAATAATCCGACATCTGTGACTGAAACTGTTGTCTGGATGTCAGCAGATGTTGCTCCTAAACCTGTAGATATTGTTTAAAACTGAAGATGCAGCATCTAAGATTTCTAGTTCTTGGTTGAAAGGGGAAACATCCCAAGTTGTCCTTACTAAAAGAGAGTTAGATTTTGATTCATAAGACCTCAAGTGATATTAAGACCATGCGGTGACTCCAACTACAGAGTCCTGAAGCTCCTAAACCTGGAGATACTGATCAGCATTCATGGAGTCTTCGTAGATGTAGAAGATACCCATGACATGGACTCTGGTGATCCCCTGACTATCAGGGATGCTGTCTCTCGACTGAGAGCTGAGAATTAGCCAAGTGCTTCCTTCCTTCCTTCCTTTTTCAGAGCAGAGGACTTAATGTCCAGAATTTCCTAAAGGAATGTCTACTTCAGATTCTTCAGACCAGGAGACAGTTTCTCACTTCCTCTCGGTCCGTCCTGAACAGTCTCAGATCCAGAGGTCTCTAGTGTTTATGATTTCCTCTTTGCATGTAGTTTTAACCTCCATTTTTGCATTTACAGACGATGATTTTAGGGAGGCCTATGCAGTGATTTCCACTCCAGAGTCCTGTCTGTTTTTAACTGCCCATTTAAACCGGGACAGCGTGTTCGCATTTCAGCCTTCCAAGCCGGCGGCACTGCTGCGCATTTCTAAACTTTAAGCCGGGAGCGCAGATACATCATTTTGTAACATTTTATAGTTTTTCAATAATTTCTGGAGATGTGGCGAATCAAATCATGATACCCGTCTGCCTCTGATAGGCGAATAAAGCGATCAGATCCAACAACGACGGAGGCAGAGAGCAGCTTTGGAGGAGAAACATCCAGCAGTGTGAACAACCTCTTCATATTGAGATCTTTGTCTCACACTATTGGTGTTTTCTGCGAGTGTTCATGACTTTGGGTGAGCACAGAGATGAACACTCTGTCATTTTGTTTTCATCGACTCTCCAGCGTACGTCTCCTGATGAGGTGAAAACAGAGGTGTAAAATCAGAGTTCGGACAGTTGTCGAGATAACCCGGGCCTCACCTGTTTATTTGCGAAAACGAGCAGCACGGCGTCTCTGAGTTCGTCCTCAGCGAGCATTCTGGACAGCTCCTCCCTGGCCTCGTTCACTCTCTCCCTGTCGTTGCTGTCCACTACAAAGATAAGCCCTGCAAACAGAAACACACAGAACACTGTTAACACCAACGAACAATCTCACACTGTAATGCTGTGGACCAGTTTTAACTCCAAACAGGGACGTGTCTTCTCAGTTCAGAGCCGAGGATCAAAAGCAGTGACTCTGTTTGATCAATTATTAAAAGTGTACAAACTGTTCCCTCTGCTAAATTCAGTCTCTTTGACCCGACAGACATCCGACTTTAAATTCAGAGTGTGTGAAGAGTGAACGCAGAAAAGATGTCTCCATTAATCCACCTCCAAAATTAACTTCAACGTTTTGATGTGAGTTAAGAAGAACTCAGCTCAGTCATGGAGACACAGGTTAGTGTAGACTCCAGCTTATCTACAAAACTACTCAAAAATGTGACGAAGGTTTCCCTGAGAAGTAGAACAATAATAGTGACCGTGTTTATTGTATGACAAAGGTGGATTTTCTTGATCTAGTTTACTGTTTTCATCTGAATTTTCTGATGATTGAGGCTCGATAATGACTCCAATCCTTTGTCGGTGTTATTTCTCTGTTGAAAGATGAGTAAAGGACAAACATGGAGCAGAAACAGGCCGCTGATGGTCTTTGGAGGTCTTTAGTGTGTCTGATGGTTCGCTTTATCTGCAGTGACAGAGTTTGAAACATGAGCTGGGTTTACGAGGCGTCCATTTCCTAACTATTGTTTTGACTGTCATCTGCTCACAGAGACTGACTGGACTTCATTATTTAGCGAGGACGCTCTGAGAGACGCCCTTCCTGGACTCTCCTCAGCGTTTTGGATTTTTAGAGCCGTAAAAAAACGACACAAGGGCTGATCGAGTATAGCAAAAATCATTATCACAATTAGTTTCATCAATACTCTAGACCTTTTTTTACCAAAGGAAGCACAGTTACAACGGCTCTCCTCTTCATTTTCCAGCTTGTTAATTTCTCATTAAATGTAAAAACTTAATGTTACTAGTTTGTCCGTTTTGTCCTGTAGATGCAGAAGTTCTCAGGTTGAGAGAAAACACGAACATAATGTCTGACCACAGTGAATAAAGCTGGAGATAAAAATTAAGCAGTTTGAGACTCATGATGACAAATGATAAAGCGCTGTGAAAGAGAGCGGACAGAGCTCCAGATGAAATCCAACTTTAGGTTTTAAATCTGCATCACAGCAGGAGTTCAGTCTCTGAAATCTGCTCCGACATCCGTGACTGGGAGGGGAAATTTTTACATTTTTTAACGCTGTTGTCCAAAATACAAGAGACACAAACTGTGAGGTTAGAGAAGTTGTAGGGTAGCTTTTGATTCTGAAACAAGTGAGCCATGAGGATTTTTTAATATATATGAAGTCTAATTTCTGATTCTGAAGTTTGTGTGGTGAAAGACTTGACATCTGCACAGAGCGCTCTTCTTACTGCGAACTTACTGGGAGCTCAAGGGTTAATCCAAAAGTGTTTTTACTCTGTTTTAATGTTCAGCAGACATTTAGTTTTTTTTCCTGTCCTATCAGGAGGAGGCAGGTGTGTGTCTGTGCGTGTTTCCTCTACAAAGAGTTCTTAAGCTGCTTAAATGTTTGGGATTAAGACATCAAATCACAGGTAATCACTTTAATAATTGTGATATTGTTATTAAAGTAACTGTGATTGTGATTTCTGACATAACTGAGCAGCCCAACTCCAAAGAGGCCTCAAAAGTGGAGATGAAACACCAAACATATTGATCATAATCTACATTAAAGGTCTCTCACCCAAACAAAAAGTTAAAGTTTAAACACTGATGGTTAATAATACAGTTAAAATCTCACTTTCAATTTATTAGAAAATAAAAAAACTTGTCTGATCTCATATTTGTTGTGTTGTGTCTCATCCCGCCTGATGAGCCACAGGTCACCTGTAGGTCAGTGGGTCACAGAGCTTCACCAGTTAACTTTGGAGGTAAAACCACAGAGTTTTAAATAAAACCACTAAATCTTTATCCTAATAATAGAAACCTTTTAACTTTGTCACGTTTTTACTCATCATAGAAACAAAAATAAAAAACAAGCAATCATGTCCAAACAGCTTTCAACCCCAGGAAGGCAGAATAATCCACTCCTGATGTAAGAGTCCTGTGGTTATAACTTGACATTAAATTTTCTATAATCTCCAAACTGAGGATAATTAGAGGTAGACAACAGTTACATTTTCTTGTTATTAAGTCTAGATTCCCAAATATAGATATATAGATTTACATTCAGGAGGAGGAGACACTAATGAAGCAATAAGAGGCTTCTTATCTGGAACACAGCTGGGCCTTTTTCTCCTCTAGTCAGTGATTCTGTATCTAACAGTCGCTGCCAAATAGGAGTCTCTCTTTTCCAATTTCACACTTGGATGCTCAGTTTGTGGCTGAGATGTTCGCTGAAGCTGGACGTGTGTCCGGCGCGTGAAAGAAAAGGAGGAGAGACAAAAAACCAGGTGGACTTCTGTGGTTAAAACCTCGTTTTTAAAGCTGAGAAAACACCTGCAGGTTACATCACCCGACGCCACCCTGCAGCCCCTCCGCATATTCTGATGAATTCAATTTCAGGAAACACTAGAGGAGTCACACAATGCACCCTTTGAGGAATGAACAATGGCGCGTGAGTCATGGGTTGACGAGCTTTAGCGATCATCTGTTATGCACCAGCGGAGTCACCTAAAGGCGGTTAATGTTCGCCGTCACCGCTCAGCTCACCTTGAGTGTTCTGGAAGTAGTGGCGCCACAGCGGCCTGATCTTGTCCTGACCGCCCACGTCCCACACTGTGAAGCTGATGTTCTTGTATTCTACAGTTTCAACGTTAAAACCTGGACAGAGGAGGAGAAGCATGGATGAGTCACCATCTGAACACGAGTTAACCTCAGAGAGAAACACGTCCAGCACAGTTTAGTCTGACTGGACACTCAGTAACAGGTAAAAGAGTAGAAGTGTTAAGTGCTGTGAGATGTCTGACCTCTGTGACTGTTCTTTAACAGCATAATTATGTTTGATTTCTGACTGCATTAAACTCTAGAAGGTTTTCACAGAGCTGATAGAATCCAAACAACACTGGGAAGGAATGATTTTCACAGTTTAACAGATAAAAACGACAGTGCTGTTTGATACATCCTCAGAGTTATGATCTCAACACTGCAGTTACTGTTTGACATTATAAAATATGATAAGACGTGTCCGAGTCCGTCTTCTCTTTCATCGTGAGATCATGATTAGTATGACAGTCAGACTTTTATATGGAATATTACTGTCACTGTTTACGACACTAACTTATTATTATGAAACTGTAACTTACGCAATGTGGATATTGCACAAAAGCTTGACGCCAACTCTGGTCATATTTTCAAGAATTTTTGCCCTTTAGGAAGTGGAAGTCAGATCCGGTTTATTTCAACCTTTACTCAGAGTAACATTTAGGATGTGTGGTAAACAAACATCAGCACTGAAAACTAAAACTGGCTGCACATGTCCTGTCTGAGTATGAAGCTCTGGTTCGAACATCATTTTTAATTTAGGATGGAGTTCAGATGAAACGACTTTTTCACCAGCTGAGACCGTTCCAGTGTAGGTGTGCGTTACATCTGTTGTTCTAGACAAAGAGGATAGATCTGCTGTGAGGTGTGGGTGTTAGTGTTCTCTAGGATAGATCACAGCAAACAAAAACGTCTGACTTTTGTTCTCTACCAGCGGAGATAATGACCGTACAGGTGCACATTATCTGAGTACCATTATATTTACATATGATGTAGTTGACCGCTTCACCACTGGATGTCACTGTTGTTATTTGACACCATGGATAATTATCGACCTATCAACGCTTTTTGAATCATTTTTGAAACAGTGAAGTTATTTTGAGTGTTTTACTCCAGCAGTTAGATCGAGTCTGACATCTTTGTGTTACAACTAAACACAGACACGACTTATCCCGACCAAGACTAGTTCTTAAACTTATACCAAACCATCTTCTTTAGCTAAATAACATGTTATTTAAAGCGAGGAATCACAGACCGTCGATCTCATGTTCAGTATTGTTGCATCTTCATGTGACACAAGTTTAAAATTGGTAAAAACACTTGGAAATGAACAAGTCATGATTAAAAGGCAGAAATCGTACCAATGGTGGGAATGGTGGTGACTATCTCTCCAAGTTTCAGTTTATATAGGATGGTAGTTTTTCCAGCAGCATCAAGCCCGACCATGAGGATCCTCATCTCTTTTTTGCCAAACAGGCCCTTGAATAAGCTTGCAAATACATTCCCCATGGTGACGAAGCTGTAAAAGTAGAGAGAGAGGAAGAGGGTGAGCAGAGTCATGTTTGTAGTGTTTCTATTTTAGTGAGACGGAGAAAAGATCAGAAAAAATGACCAGCAACAAGTCAATGAGTTAACTACACCGCCAGAGTTTTAAAGTTTTAAATCATTAAACTGAATAAATTTACTAAATTAAATGATTTTTCTAATATTAACCCTTTTTCATTGTAATTATGTCCAGTTGTTTGATTAAATTTGACGACCGTTCTGCCTAGAATAACAAGAACGGTCATTTTGGCTGCTGTAATGTCATTTTACTGTTTGCCTCCTTTTCACCGTCTTTACGGTTTGACCTTGATGTTGACATTTCTTTGCTTTGAACAGAACTGAATTCATCTGAGTGATCCATTTTACTGACATGATTTTTTGTTTAATTTCGTTCCCATTTCTCTATAAAACTGCCTCAGTATACATACTGCACCATAAAGACCAGCTGCCTTCCACAAAGAGCCGTTTTCAGTTCATGTGCAAAGCTAATGATTAAACATTTAGGTTACTCTTTTATGGCTACATGCTACCAGACAACCCAGAGCATTGATAATGTCAGCCATTATTGAGAACAGCTTCCTTCAAACAGTTCGGCTAAATATCAATACTAGCCTTGTTGATAAATAAATGTTCATCTATCTTAAAATAATTTGACATTTCTCAAACTAGAAGCTATAATAAACATGTACGCCACATCAATACAATGATGGCAAGTAAGGAAGTTCAATGGACACCAAAAAAACAAAACAGTCTGGATGGAAAAAAAGCTAGTGACTGATTCTAACAGCTTGTAATTTAAGGGTCTTTTTCACTTTTGTTCCACGATTTGCGTATTTTATATCAATATTTGAGTATTTTCATTTCCGAAAAGTGAGTTTTTCTTACGCTGGGTAAGAATTGAACATGTCAGTTTACCAAGTTTGTGGTAAAGCAACTAAAGAGACTCATACAAGACTCATATCTGTGAAAGTTGGGGTTAGACGATATATTGTTTAACCCTTGCACAAAGGGTCTGAAATTGACATCCACCACATGACAAATGCAGGTGGATTTTCTCATTAAATGTTTGTACCACAGTAGTCATCTCATAAAAAGGACAAACTATTCCCCAGTATGATGAACTACATTTTAGTGTACAAATAACTTCAGTCCCCTCCTCCTCTGTAGTCTGCATACAGAGCTCTGTGAAGCTGATACATGCAAACACAATGGAAATTACAATGGTCACAAGTATTCAACCTTTAACCTGTGGGCAGGAGAGGATGGAAATTCATTTTAATCACTCTGCCAGCCACAACAGCAATAAAACAAGATACTATGATTAAGATGTAACTACAGAAAAGTTACATGGACGACTAGATTGCTTCACTATATTTATAAATCTGTGGATATTAGCAGGTCTGTGTTGGACTTCTTTGAAGCCACAAGGCTACACAACATTTTCTGTGACCTATAAACCCTCACTGATATTTCTCTCACTTCACAAGTTGTGTTCAGGTTAAAAGTGATTAAGATTTAGGTAGTTTAGGTAACTTTGCTTCAAATTTAGCCGAGCCTCCTCTAAGTTTAAAGATCGTACCTTACAATCTCACTGAAATGCACTCAAATGGATGTATATGGGAGACAAAAATGCGTTTGTTATTTTACCGGGCGGTCAAAAACATAACTGCTGGTGGATTTTTTTCAGCTACCCATCATTAAAACGTTAATTACAGACCGTGTGTCCACGCAGTCGTCTTACTGCAGGATGTTCGACATCAGTCATGTGACCTGAAACGCGTCATGCTATTTCACAGACTCGGTTTTCAATGATCTATTTACAAAACCAGTCAGCCAGGTATCACTTGAATGAAGTCCTATACATGAACACACAGAGACCTGTCCGCTGTGCACACAGAGTCTGGATCTGTGAGTCACATGACTGAAGAATGTAAACATACAGGCAGGGCTGCTTTCATCACAGAAACCCCAGCAAGGGCTCAATTAAAGGAAACACACTTTCAAACAGTCGACTCCTGCTTGTACTAATGCTCATGAATGTTGTGGCACTATAAATCACAAACAAATCTACGTAGAATTTACTCTTAGTCTCTAAACCTAGAGCATGTACAACGTATCGTTGAGAAAGTCGTATGCGGAGATAGTCGGTGGGTTTTGTTCTTTGGGGAGTTACAATCACAGGGTTAGTGACACAGATTAAATTTAAACATTACCAAAAATTTGTGATGATTTAGAAGTCAAAAGCAAAATTTATAAAAGCTGATTTCAGGAGACTGATCCGGGGGGGTCCAGTCTAAAAGCAAGAGTAGAATCTCAGAAACACATAAATTAAGTACAGATGCAGCACTAAAATTCCTCTATGTTAACAAATTTAGCAAACAAATTGCATTAATCTGGTATACGTACCTGCTTATATATCTCAGTTTACAGTGTATTTCAAAAAGGGAATATATTCCAGTATTATTTTCAACTATTATCCCTGAATGAAAGTCAGTTTGATGTAGTTGTTTTGCATTCGGAAATAAAAACACAAAAGCTTCATAATAGCCCTATTTATTTGTAATTTTTCATTTATACTTTCAGCTAAATTCTCTCGTCATGATTTGTACAATTAGACTAACTGTGACAATTAGAACAGAAAGTTTTCTTGGACTAAGTATTAAACACGTCTCGTGGGTTTGTGCTTGAGTTGCAGTTTCAGATGCTTTCAAAGCAGTTAAAATGATATTTTTAAGGGGAAACTGCCAAGTCAAAATTTATTTGGTTAATTTCCAGAACTGAAACACTCGAAGATCGGAAAATTAAGGTCCTAGCTACATCAATTAGTGGTGTTTAAAAGATTAAGATTCTTTGTTTCCCTATAGAGATCGTCTGCTTTAAGTCAGTATCAATAAAATACAGAGAAAAAAAACATCAGATCAATCAACGCTTACTTCCAGCATCAGGATCGGCATCATCCCGATTCATTTAACCGATATATCTCAATTTTAAATCTTATTAAGCAGTTAACAACCGTGTATCCAGTCACTGCAACAATGTTAACCCGGATAAACTGGAAGGCTAACCGATCAGCCGATAAGGAAGGCCTGATCCAGCTGGAAGGCTCTGTCCCCGGTGCTTTCACTGCAGGGATCAGGTTTCAGACACTGAAGGCCGATAATACAGCTAACACTAATAACCCCCATCGGTATGTAAACTAGACTGTGAAAACGCCCGTCGTGTAAAGAGGAAAAAGACCGTTTTAGGTGTGAAAAAAGCCCAGGTTTCGGAGTGGGGTTTCTCTCACTCGGGGCAGATTTCAGTCATCTTTACTTAGGGCGGATGCTTCAGCTAGCTAGCCCGTTATCCTCTGCTAGCCTGCTGCTAACGGGCGACACGATTCCGCGAGCGTTTACTGTCGAAAAATAACAGATTTTTACAGTTCTACGCGACACAACAACACACCGATCGCGGTCGAAAAGGATTGAATAGTCGGTTGAGCTCCGGTGCGATATTTACCACACCAACGGTGACGGTTTTTCTTCCGTCCGTCACCGGAGCTGCTGTAGCCGAAAAGCTGACCGTTAGCTAACTGCCGCGTCACAGTAACGACCGAACACAGTGACGTCAGCTTTTAAACCGAAGAAACCCGAGTCAGCCCGGAGGAGACACGTTAACTCAACAGTATTCGATATTTTAGGAGGAAAAACACCGCGTTGGTGTGGATTATTACCTTTAGAAAGACAGCTTCTCGATCTTTCCGTTATCTTTCACTGTCACTCCAAAATGGCGTCTTGCGCAGCCAGGGAGACACCGGCGCACGGGTACTTCCCACTATCAGCCCACGTCCAATGACAGCGCAACTGCCGCAACTAATAACCCGCCCCCGCCGTCCTGATAACCAATCGCAGCACAGAAAGTGTCCTTAACTACCCGCCTATGTCCCCCCTCTGTTCAATCACAGCGTCGCCAGGTTCCTGTTTGCACATTGCACAAAATGTCGAGGAAGTGAAACGGACTTAAGTTTACTCAAGTTCCAGACACGGACACATGTTTCACTTTAAAACTAGGAAAATTCATTGAATGGGTTTTACTGTTGTATGTAGGCCCGAGGCAGACATTCCTCCATTCATTTGACACACCCTGTAACTCCTTAAAGAGTTAAATTTTCAAGTTTTCTGAAGATTTTCACGTATTTTTTCAGCTTGTTTTAAATGTTTCACGAACCTGAGTATCTTTATTTCACAGTTTTATCGTATTTTAGAGACACCTGGTCACTTGTTTCTACTTTCTGAAGCTTAACTATGCTGTAAAACGGGATTTTTCTCCAACCAAAGCACAGCAATGTCAAAATCGGACAGAAATCAACCACTTTAGAAACATGTCCAAGAATTTTTCAGTTTTAAAGTTGCTGGATGTTTGGCTGAGTAGTTATGTTTCTTAAAGGGATATTCCAGCATAAAATTAAGTTAGGATCAAACACACCGTAACACCGAATTAGACACCCCCCCAGAGATGAATGTTGCCGACCGCTTGCTTCAACTTTAGTAAAGACCGCACAATAGCAATACACAGAGCCACGCACTCAACCAAAACACCACTCTATAGCCACAAATAATGCTCAGAACAGCACCTAACTTCATCAACAGGACATATAGGGTCCCAGTCATAGTACTAGCCACCAAACATCTTTTTAACTCTTACTAATTTCTTTAGCAAAGAGACTTAACACAACTCACCTACTCTCAGCAAGCGGTTGGCAACATTCATCTCTTGACGGGGTGTCTAACTCGGTGTTACGGTGTGTTTGACCCCAACTTAATTTTACACCGGAATATCCCTTTAAACTGCTTTGCTTCAGTGTACATGTTAGAAAACCGGCGTCCTGTCACCTGTTCACCTCAGACTCCAAAAGGTTGTCACTTGGAAGTTCTCTTCCATCTTAACTTCATTTAGCCTGTTCGATTTTTTCATTACCGAAAGACAAAACTCAGAAGAAAGGTTTTGATCCACCTGAGGGATTTGTTTGTACAGCAGAACAGCCTGTGTTTGGTGGGTGTATACGTGTTTGCTTAATGCAGGTGTGCTGAGTGGATCTCATGCTGCAGCAGAGGCCGTGTAGTTGTTGTGTGCTTATTTATACCAATAGATTTGGTGAAGTGTGCAAAGCATGTGTTTGCAATGGTTACAATCATGTATACTGCCTATTTAAAGATTTCATCATAACACTAGAGCACTAGATAGATTGCTCTATCTTGCGCACTGCATATGACCTCTGTGGATTAGGAGGCAGACAGTCAAACATCCAACAAGTTTTAATCAATCATTAAGGAGCCAATGTTTGTGAAGAAGCCAAAGAAGGGAGGTGCTTTGTGTTGGAGCTTATTTTTTATTCTCATGTAAAATGTCAGTAACATTCAAGTCTTCAAGTCTTCGAGGCTCATACTGTGTATGACGGTTACTCGTTGTTTCAGGCGGCTTATCGCCTCTGAAACCTTTAACAGCAGCAGGCAACATGACAAACATTGGTTTCCAGACCACAGAGAGAACAAACACACCACATAAACTGTGTGTTTAAGAATACAAGGAACACTCCCATCAAAAGCACTGTCAGTTTCCAATCACAGAAGTCGAAAATACAGGTGTTTTTTTATAGTCTCAGAGCAATCAATGCCTTTACTTAGTGCAAATAAAAAGGGACTGAAAGAGTCTTTGTCACTCCCGAAGCTCCAGACGGCCGTCTCTGACCCTCCACCTCCAGCGCTGACATCTGTCCGGAGCAGGAACACAGCGCAGCCACAAGCACGACTCTGTGATTTCCTCCTCAAAGGACACCGTCTTCCTGTCCAGGGTCTCCAAGGTGAATGCTTTACCTGAGACCTGAAAGATGGGTAAGATAATTCAGTTTGATTCCTAGAGGGCTGGTTTGAAATCTCAACACTTTTCTGCGTGCTTAAAAAGTGGTCTTTGAGTGACTGGTTTTTGTCTTTAGAAAGCATTCAATTGGAGGAATGTGTGAGCTGGGACAATTAAAGAGCATGATTTCTTAATTTAAAGTCACTAAACTGTAGTAAACTTTGCATCATCCAACATTTAATATCCTTCGGACAGTCAAAAACAACAGCTTGGCCTGTTTTGTCTGCAGGTCTTAGCAGCAGGTAAATCTGTTTGTCGTCTGCTTACAATGAAAAAATGAAAACAGACACTGAACGATGTTACCAAGAGAAAAAAAGGGGACCTAAAATCAAACCTTGGGGCACACCACAGGTAATATAAGAGGAGGAGGAAGAGAGGTTTTCTGTGACGACCGCAGAGGTTCTGTCTAGTAAAAGTGCTTCGTGGGAACTTTAGAAAACTCCTGGCAACAGTGGCTGGTGAGCAAAAAGTGCTAATGTCAAGCTCTGGTTATCACACTTAATATCATCATTGTCTGCCAACTCTGCAGACAGATTAAATAACAAACTTGAAGTTGATGCAACCGCAACTCAAGCCGGCGCCGCGTGTTCGCCAAGTGCCTCACCTGATCACTGATTCCTATAGCAACATGTCCCACTTTGACATGCCGGCGTTCACGAATCCTCAAACACTCTCCCTGAACGTTTTCAATCCAGATGTCAACACCTGAAGAATCAGAGTGTTATTCATAGAAACAGCAGAAGTGCGTCATATTAACACACATGAGCCTGTCTTCTTACCATCAAAACAGTGTGAGGAGGGCTGATGAGCTGAGGCCAACCACTCCAAGTGTCCGTCTGTCTGACTGTTACAGGAGGAGAAAACTCCAGAGCTCAGGTCATCAGACGAGTGCTCCGAGTCCTTCAAATAAAGAGGGCGATTTATTCATCTTTTCCTCTATTTACACACGCTTTTTAATGACATAAACAAACACACGCATTTATCGATACACACTTTGTCTGAGGCATCTATCTGAGATGTTTCCGAGCAGCTGAAACAGGACGGAGGGTCGTCTCGAGGTTCAGGGGACGGGGTCTGGATCATGGTGCCTTTGGGTACATCTAGTGAGAAATGACATTTATCAATATACTTTAAATTCCAGTGAGACACAATTCAAGTGATACTGTTTAATGTTTTTATGACAACCAGGAACATTTCTTATGTAAAACCCTTCCTTAATGGAAAAATATGCTGTTTTTTAAATAAGACCTGGTTGGATATACCCAGAAAACTTCCACAGAGAGGCACTCTGGATGCATCCTTATCAGATGAGTCAACCACCACACCCTCAGATACTGTACTCCCAAGCTTCCTCCAGATGTCTAACACCCTAACCCCCCTCCTCCAAGACTGAGTCCTGCAAATGCAATCTCAGTCTTTCAGTCATGATCTCATGACGGTAGCTGACAGCAATGACAGGGCTGTTGACATAGTTTACTGACTGCATTATAAATGTTTAGGCGCAGTCAAGTGGCAAGGATTTGCTGAATAAAGCTACTGTAGTTTTGGTGTCATGTCTAACAGACGCACAGTTATTTCTAATCCAGAATGGCTTAAAGGCGCTCAGTGACGACAGGTGGAATGACCGGACTGTCCGGTAATTCCTTCAGCCTCAGTATATCAAGAGGGTATTGTATTGTGAGAATGCTTCTCGATTAGGCATTCCCATTCCTAAAACAACTCTTGATTTATGGTGACAGTTAATTAATGAGGAATACTCTTCCTCCATTTTCCTATTTGTCAAATTTAACTCTCTGCATACCCTACACTGGCCTGCGTTTGTTGAGGGTTTAGGCAGGACTCACCATCTCTGAGGTATTCCAGCTCTGGCTCTGAACCCCATGAATTCTCATGCACCTGTTGGCCTTTTTGCAGCAAAGGGAAAAGGCCCTTGAGAGCACGGAGATACTCTGTAGATATGGAAGAGTCCCAGTCTTCATCTTCCTCCTCTACCTGCTCCTCTTCATCTCCTTCCTCCTCCCAATCCCCCTCATAGTCCCTGTCATTCTTCAGCCACTTCTCCTGAAGGTATTCCTCCTCTCCCATGTAAATGTCCACCTCTGAATCAGAGCAGGAGTCCCAGTCCTCCTCATTAGCAGTGTAATTATCCTGCAGTGTTTTCGGCTGAGAGTCCCACTCTCTCGTTAAGGAATCTGTCTCTAGATCAAAGTCTTGGTCTGAGTCACCATCCTTCCTGTCGTTGATGTCCTCTTCCACTGCTGTGGTCCTCCAGGGGCTCACCCAGTACATCGCTGTAGCTGGTGGTTTCACTGGATCGGTGGGTGTCCCGGGTGACAAAGAGCAGGGAGTGTCTTCATTTTGGGTGTCATGATACAGCTTCTCACAGGCATCTCTGATAGACCAGGGACTCAGACCTCCAACTGTGGAGCAAATACTCAATTTAGAGGTCAATTCAAATGAAGATAACTCAACCAACACACTCAGGTACTTGGTCTCCAAGCAACTAGTAATCAATACGGACCTATTTCTTGGTAAAGATTTGGGAAAACAAGACTTGGAGTTCCTCAGGGAACAATCCTGGGTCCTTTTTTGTTTTAAAGAGGCAAAACAAAGGGGTAAGGTAGGTAGTTAGGAAGGTAGTCAAGAGGGTAGGAAGGTAGAGCCGTAAAGTCAGTAGATAGGTTTGTAGATAGAGAAATAGTAAACTGATAAAAAGTTATAGGTAGGTAAGTCAGTTGGGTGATAAGGAATACAATTTGAAAGGTAGGTGGGCAGGTAAGTAGGTCAGTTGGTTGTCAGTGTGTGATCAGGTAGAGAAGTAGGATAAAGATCAGGTAGCATAAGATCATGTCATGGTGTCATGATAGTTGGGCCCAGCAGTGAGGCCATCAGTTGAGGAGAAAGGTAGGTAGGAAGATGGTTTAGGAAGGGAAGTTTAAAGGTAGGTAGGTAAGTAGGTACCATGGAAAGGTAGGCAGGTTGGTAAGCAGGTCAGTTGGCTGTCTGTGAGGTGAGTAAGCAGGTCGGTAAGTAAAATAAAAGATTAATTAGGTTTGTTGGTAGGCTAACCAGCTAGAAAGGTAGGTGTACAAGTACAAAGGTAGGTGGGGAATGGGTTGGTCAGTAGGTAGGTAGGTCAGTCAGTTCTCTTTGGTGAGTGGGTTGAAAAATAGGTTGGAAACAGGATAGTTAGGTTGACTGGTAGGGCATCCAGTTGGAAGGTAAGTAATAAGCAGTTAGGTAGGTCAAGAGGCAGGTGACAAGGAATGTAGGTGAGCAGGCAAGGTGGTAAGGAAGCTGGACTGATGGTCATTAGGTAGGTAGGATTTACCATTACCAATCTGAAAGTATGTAGTACGGGAAACTTGCTGGGTAGTTAGGTACAGAATGAAGTAGGTAGGTCAGCCATTTATCTGTCAGTAAAAAGGTCAGTGAGTTGGTCTAAAGGCCAGAGGTCAGATGATTGGTGTGTAAGACAGTGAGTGGACTGGTACATAAGCAGGTAGGCAGACAGATTTGTAGAGGGTTAAACGGTAGGTAAGTCGGTGAGAAAGTGAGGTCATAAGCGAGTTTGTAGGTAGCCGGTCACCTGCTCTGAGGGCCTTGGTGGTTTTCCTCCTGAGCTCCTTCGCTGTTGCCCGTCTGTCGGGATCTTTCTGAAGTCCTGATCTGAACACTTTGGCTGTGAAGTTGTTACAGTTGGACGGTACCTCCCACAGAGGAGGAGGCTCGTTGACAATCTGTAACCAGAAGACAGCAGGTGTGGGTACAAGACTGCATCAAGAACTTTACAATAACAGTCAAGTGTGCTCTCACCTGCAGACACAGGGGATGGGAGTAGTAGCGTATCCATGGTTGGCATCCATTGAGCATGTGCAGTAACATGCAACAGCTGCTCCACACGTCCGCCTTGGCACAAAGGCGGTCCCCTCGTGCCACTTCAGGGGCCATGTGGGTCTCAGTGCCTGGGAAGGCGGCTCCTTTACAGACAACAGTACATTATCTCACTGTCCTTACCTCTCCATTAGTGTCTAATGCATCATTTTCACATAGATTAGACTCTTCTCAGGCCGTGTATCTGAGGAATAAACTTTGGCAGGATTTTATGCTGACCGTTCAGTATTTACTCACCCCTGAATGCCTTGGTACTCCATCCATTGTCATCTAAAGTCTCTGAGAGACCAAAGTCACAGAGGAATGTGTCCCTGCAGTCCGCAGACAGCAGCACATTGTCAACTGGAATTAAATCAACACACAGGATTCGCTCAGACAGCTTGTTTTCATTCGCTGTTCATGATGAGACAGGAGAGTGAGAACTCAGGGGGCTGTCACAGGCTGTGGGACTGATGTGTCCACGGGGGGGTGAAGCCTCAGCAGCCTCTGAGCAGCCGCCTGCAGGTGGCATGAGGTAAAAATCCTCCAAAAGAAAACAAACACTCTCATCATAGGACGTGATACGATGAGACAGGTCAGCTTGATGCCTGTTGGCTGATGGGAGCTCAGAGGCAAATGAAGAAGAGGCCTAATTTGAATGAACCCCCCTCCTGCTCAATCCTCTCAGCGGGGATTACAGAGGTCTCAGGGGTGACACGTCAGTTTAGGATTAGGGCCAAACATTGAGTATAGTATCTGACAGTACAACCAGCAGCTACAGGGTTCACTGGGCTCCCTCCCACCCACCAAGCCTCCCTGATTATATCAAATCCACTATCACAGCAGGCAGAGCGGGCACTGTGGGGTCTCACAAACTTAACAAGTCAAATCTAAACCCGAATGGATGCAAACCAGCAGGGGGGCTAATAAATTATGACTGTTTAAAAAAACATGAGTCTTTTTTTACTTTGAAATATCCAGTAGAAGCAAAAACACTGAAGAATAAAAGCCCTAAAGACATACGATTAAAAAGAAAACTTATGATGCTACCAAACTAAAACAAAGAACCAAAGGGTTTAAAGAGTTCAGGTGGTCTGTCTGACCCACTGATACGATAAGGAAAACATGTTTTATTAGTCTATTCCTAATTGCTGGAAATAAATTCATCGCTGTATTGTAGAAAAGTGAAAACCCACCTACTGCTTCAATGTGGCTTAAGAAAGTTGCGTCATACATGGCCTCTGAAAAAATTATGTTCAATATGAAAAAGAAACCCCATCTTTTTGACAAATGCAGGAATGATTTTAAAATATATCTGGATAACTTCTCACAGATAACAGGATGAGTACTGTCAATGGTGTGGTGGTGGTTGTCGATTGTAGCACATCTGCAGGAGTAGCTGTGCTTTTCTATTGTCACTGTCTTGGCCGTTGCTGTATGTATTTTTGCTGTAATTTTTAATTTTATTTTTTTAAATCTAATTATTAAACCAATTTGTTTATTTATTATTTGAAATATTATTATTATTATTATTATTATTATTATTATTATTATTATTATTATTGTTCATTTATTTTTCCTTTATTTATTTACATTTATATTTTCTTTTATATGATTTTTTTTCCTTAATTTATTTACATTTTCTATTTTCCTTTGTATGACTGTTATTATTATTATTATTATTATTATTATTATTATTATTATTTGTATTATTATTTGTATTATTATATTATTTTTTCCTTTATTTATTTACATTTATATTTTCTTTTATATAGTTATTATTTTTTCCTTAATTTATTTACATTTTCTACAGTCCTTTGTATGACTGTTATTATTATTATTATTATTATTATTATTTGTATTATTATTATATTTTTTCCTTTATTTATTTACATTTATATTTTCTTTTATATAGTTATTATTTTTTCCTTAATTTATTTACATTTTCTACATTCCTTTGTATGACTGTTATTATTATTATTATTATTATTATTATTATTATTTGTATTATTATTTTATTTTTTCCTTTATTTATTTACATTTATATTTTCCTTTATATTATTATAATTACTATTATAACAATAATTATTATTATTTCTATTATTTTTTTTCCCTTTATTTACATTTATACTTTCTTGAACATGAAAAAATAAGAGCTGAGGAGTGAGACACACCTTTGACATCCAGGTGAAGAACCCTCTTGTGGTGCAGGTGCTCTAGCGCCCCCAGTGTCTGATGCAGGTAGTGCAGGGCCAAATCCTCAGGTAGTGAATCCATCTCTTTCAGGAGCTGAGCCAAACATGCTGAAAACGATAAACCTGTTATTTGTTGTTGCACTTTAAAATGTGCATTTAAACCTTATACGACAGTGTTTGTGTTGATGTCCAGGAAAGTTTACCCGGCTTTAAGTCCATGAAGAGCAGGATGTTGAGGCCTTCCCTCACAGCTCCAAACAGCTCGACCACACGAGGAGAGTTCAGAGCGCTCCATGTGCTCGCCTCCTCGCTGCTGAAGTGACTCAGGGGGATCTGAGATCAGCGGACAACAACAAAGAGCAGAAATGTCTGACTCAAACGTCACGTCAGGGTTCAGGAGGCGACAGGCTACAAGAGAAAGTATGACTCAGTTTTTCTTGGCTTACCCTCTTGGCAGCACATTTGAATCCTGTCCTTTTGTCTCGAACACAGAAGACGTCCCCGTATGAGCCGTTCTGGATGTGGTGAAGAACACTGTACTCCTCTCCCTCCCTGTACCTACAGCTGCTGGGCTGAAGTTGCTTCAGGACACAGAGGGCCTCAGCGTTAGCAAAAATGAGACACACATTCAGCTGTCAAAGCAAAAATGAAGCTCAACTGGTGACGACATGCAGGTGCCTTGAGGGGGGAAGAGAACCTGCTGTAACTCAGGAGAGGTTCAGAACATTTACTCCAACTCAGCGGTCAAGAACAGCGCTCGGGTTCAGAACTCGTACTCTCTGGAAAACTTCTCATGAAACAAAAACAAAAACACTATTTCTAAAGTGTCAAAGGCCTCTAAATGAAACTTTGAGGACCCTCAATGGAGCACTGACTCTGCGGTCCTCCAGAGCACATTGAATTCACCTAAAAAATCCACCCTCTGGGCCTCCTGACCTCCTGGATACTTCAACACAGGTTCTCCCTCTCTCTCTCATTGTCAGAGGAAGACTCTGACTCTTGTGACCTTTCAGCAGGTCACTCCACAGTCTGCATTCACTCTTAAGTTTATCACCGATCACTTAAAACTCCCAGCATGCCTCACTCTGCCTTTGAAAAACACGATGAATTGAGGCAGATTTAAAATGTGCAGACATTTACATGAATAACTTTTCCCTTATTTTTTACTTTTATGACTTTCATTTGTTCATTTATAACTTCACAGCATTACTTTTTCAGATCAAGACTTTTTTCTTTTAAATTAATATTAATTTTATTTTATTCTTGTACTATGAAGACTTCATTGTCATAAACAAATAACTTGAGTTCATAAATAAGTTGTTTTTATAATGTAGTGACTTTATTTATATTATCACACTCTATTTCATGTGTAACTTTTATAGATAAATGTACAATGTCACCTTGTTTTGTTTTGACCTTTTCCTTGTAAATTTTTGACTCTATTTTCTCTTTTTTTTTGACAACTTTTTTTTAGCTCATTTTTAATTTTATTAATGTTGAAGTATTACCTACAGAAGCGTATTACATTCACTTACAAAAAGACTTTTTCTTTCAGTAATTTTTTTGTTTGTTTTTCTGACTAATTTTTTTTCTTTCTGTTTTTTTTCAACATTTTTTTCTTCTGTTTTTTGTACTTTTTATGTTTTTCTGTTTTTTCGACAATTTTTTTCTTTTGTTTTTCGTACCATTTTTTGTCTCTCTTTTTTTTGGAAAAAAAAATTCTTCTGTTTTTCGAGCTAATTTTTTTTTGTCTCTGTTTTTTCTACAATTTTTTTCCTTCTGATTTTTGTACTTTTTTTTTTTTGTCTTCCTGTTTTTTCGAGAGAAAAAAAATCTGTTTTTGGATTTTTTTTTTTCTCTCCTAACTAAGCGAGATTCAAAATCCTGCGAGAATCCCATACAATCAGATAACGTTTTTTTTTTTTACTTTTTTTAATGCAATACGCTTCCGTAATTACCTTAAAAATTCTGGAAATATGAAACTTTATTTGCGTAAATGTTTGTCTTTTTCTTACACACTATTTCTAACATTTCAACTCTATTTTCTTTATAAAGTTCTGTCTATAATTTTGAAATTTTAATGATAAATACCTTATCCTCTGCTGTGCCTGACCCTGAATTTTAAAGGGAAGTTTCGTATACTTCCGATTTATCAAATGCCATATTTAAGGTGTTTTGGGAAATGCAGGATAAGGTACATTAGGAATAAGACGTCCTCACAGTCTGCTTGTTTCTTACTCTAACCTGCTTCATTAATTCTTTAAATACTTCTGGTTTAAAGGTGAGATACTGAAGATCATAAAGGTCAGTGGATGTTGTAGTCGTAGTTTACTGTTAAAGGAAACGTTCAGGGTTGTTTGACGTCCAGATGTCAAATCCTTACATGATGAAAGAGAAGTCCCTCGTTTCCTGGTTTGCTCGTCCTCCAGCCGTTCAGAGTCTGTTTAATCAAATCCATGAAGAAAGGTGAGACCGAGAGCTTCGGCATCTGTGTCACTCTGCCTCTGAGGAAATCCAAAACTGTGCCACTGCCACTCATGTCACTCAATCCAAAGGCATTCTGGGAAATATTCACAGGGCTGGGCGAGTCTGTGGAGTCTGACATTCCCAGCAGGCTTTGCACACGCCCTAAGGAGTCAGAATCCCACTCTGTATGGGAGCAGGAGTTAAAGCCAGACACGTTCATGAGGTCAAAGGTCAAGTTTGAGTTTCTGGCCTCTTCTGTAAAACTGTCCACGGCGTGTGTGTCGTCGTTGTCGTCTGCGCCGCAGGACGAGTCTGACTCACTTTCATGAGTATGGACGGACTCAGAGTCCTGCTCCAGGCTGCAGTCAGAGTCTGAACCTCCTCTGACATCATCGGTGTCCTCTGTGGATCCTGATCCGTCCCGCTCCTCTGATAAAGACACGTCCCCCAACACGTCTCCATGGCTGCAGGAGTCCGTAAACTCAGGAGGAGGCGGGATGATCTCAGGGAGTTTCAGCCAATCGATCTCCTGCACCCACAGACCTCGGATAATCGGAGGCGCTTCCCCTTCCTCCTGGTCCAGTCTCCTGGATTTCCTGCGCTGTTTCCTCTGAAGGTGGTGGTGTGGGAGTTTGGCAGCCGTGTCCAAGTCCTCCTCCTCCTCCTCAGAGTCACACATGGGAGACGTCTCTTTACTGAGGAACCTGGAAATGATCGATGACAGAGTGTGTTCAGTATGCAAACAGATTAAAGTCGGTGAGGTTTGAGTCTCTGTGTGCAGAACACGTTATCATTAAAAGACTGAGAGAAACCAACGTCCTGAGGCAGCACTGACTTTAAAACAGATTTGACTCTGGAGGATACCTGCCGACATTTAGGTTATAAAATACGGGAGATTTTTGCGGCGTGTAAGGCAGTTTTGGGGTTACCTTGTATGGTATATGAGCTGATTATGAGAGTGTTTGTAGTTAGATTACTCATCCAAATAAGTCTAAGTGAAGCTGCACACTTTTCTGTTTTAACAATAACAAATGGTAATAAAAAAATAAGAGCTACGATAAGCCTTGAATTTATTTAGTCCACTAATATTAGTGTTAAAGTCCTCATGTGTTTTACATGCTCTCCGAACATCTGTATGTGAAATACAGCACTCTTTTATCTGAGGCTGCCCTGAACGCATCACTCCCAGACGGTGAAAGACTGTCAATGTAAATATTATATCTCGCATTTGTTCCCTTTCATCAAAGTGTTCATTTTACAACAAACACTGTTTTTAAGAGCCAAAATATATTTGTTGAAGGTTTGATTTCTACAGGTATGTCACTTCTGGGGATCGTCACTGAGGGGTGTGCTTTTGGCGGGTTATTTAAATGTCACAGGTGTAGTCAGACAACGGGTCGTGGCAAGCTCTGATCTTTTTCTGATGACCGTTTCACATTGTTTTTCATTGTTTCAGGATCAGCTTGTTTTCTTTCCTTTTTTGAACAATAAATCATTTTCTAACACTCAAACCGGACTGATCATTCAAACGAGTCACAGATGCAACCGAACCTAAACCTCAGCCGCCTTTTTGATGAAGGAAAAGAGTCACTACACTGTTTAAATATAGTTTACAGCTTAAACCGACCTGAATCATCCCAAACTGTAAGGTAAAAGTATTAATCCAGTGTCTGTGAGGCTCAGCAGAAACACACGACAATCTTCAGTTGTCTAGAAACTTTGGATAAATATAGTGATCCGATTCATGAGTGAACGTGGACCATCAAACTACAGGAGATTCCCTATGGGAGAAATGACAATACAGGAGGTGGTGGGAGAAAGGTCTGAGATATGGGAGAGTCCGGGGAACAACAGGAGTGTTGGCAGGTCTGCTCTGTAGTGGGAATCACTGCATCGTCTGAGAACACAGATCATCACTTCATCCACAAATGAGGTTTAAACTGAAGTATGTAAAGAGGACACCAGACAGAAACATGATCCAGGAACAACAGAGACTTTTCTGGACTTCTTTAAAATTGTACATGTTGTCTTTGCAGTATTTTTATATAACTTTGCCTTTAAATGGTTTGAGAATCATCATATCCTGTTAATAGTAAACATGTGGCCCAGCGTCCCATCGTACCTTTGCTTTTTGAGCTGCTGACATCTTGAGTAAGGACACCGTGTTTTTGTAGGACTGAACTCCTGAAAGTCTTCACCTGAAACAGAGAAAATGATCAAACTGATCAATTACTGAAATAAACCCACAGTCTCTGCTCCCATGATCCCATCCCTCTCTCTCTTACTCTCTGCCTGGGCGACGATGGACACACAGGGGTTCTCCTCAGACTCCTCTTCCCCTTTGGTCACCACGTGTTTGGCGGTGCCGTGTTGCATCACCCGGCTCAGATGGGGGGCGATGGCCTGAACCAGCGAGTCCTTCTCCTCCTCGCACCCTTCGCTGTCGTCCTCTTTGCCCAGAAACGTGAGTTCAGAGCCTCCGGTGACGATGATGAAAGGCGTGTTTGAGTTAAACATCCGGGGAATGGCCATGTCTCTGTCACTGTCTGTTTGCATCAATGATGTGAGGACTGCAGGAGAGGACAGACAAAATTCATTGGAGTATATTCAAATATTAAAATGTAAGACACTTAGAAACAGAGGAGACCATTTACATTTAATGTGACGGTTTTGCTTAGGATGAAAAAAAGATAAAGCACTATTAAAAAGTCTGAGTTATTAGTTTGGTCCTGAACTCATTCTGCAAACCTCATAAAATATAACATGAGTCAACAAAACTTACTCTTAACAGCTGAGGCCGACAGAAATATCTATATATTCTGACAATGAGTGTGAACCCAAATGGCTAAATTTTGACTGGACTTTTCTGCGGGCCCCCACAAGAAGTTTGGGTAAGTTGATGTAAAAACACAGCAGATAAAATTCAGCAGAATTAGTGGAATCAACATGTACATAATCCACCAAACACCACAGTATCATACAGATGTAATATTCCAAAAATCATCTACACTGATTCTTCAAGATTTTTGCCCAAATTCAGGAACTAAAGGAAACGCCAGAACACGACTTGTCTTCACCTGAGCCCCCCTCTGACAAGGTAAACAGCCAATCACAGCCCAGGAGTTTGAGGTGGCCAATCACATTTCAAAGAGAAGGGGACAGTGCCACCTCTGGTCCTGAGAGATGAAGCTGGTGTGCGAGTGTTAAAAGCTGTAGTTTCCCGAGTGTCCACTAGAGGCTGTCTGTAGAAGCACCAGAGACCAATACAAGCCTGTTATAGAGGAGAAGTTAACACATTTATAATGAAGTGAATATAGTGAATTATGTAGTGAATACAGTGTGTGGGCGGGACAATTAAATTTACATTTATTCATACTAACTGTTTTCATTTAGTTCTGTAACTTACAGTCTAGTTGTACTTTTCAAAATAAAAGCATAGTTTCACAAACGCAACCTCATAGTCAAACAGGAACTTATCAAAATAAAAGCCTGAGTTTATCATGATATGTATTTCTTCATGGAAATACAATCAGACCGAGACGCTAAGACAGAAGAACTACCGTGTCTGCAGTGCAAAATGATTAATATGGTGATTATTTCTTCAAGGAAATGATAAAGAAATGATCATAAATGTTCTTCCTTGAGCTGCGGCACCCCGCTGTAGTCTGTAATGGACTGGCCTGAAGTCTCGCTACAAACAAGCGGCTGCTGGAAGAGAGTAGGTGAGTTGTGTTTGACCCTAAATTGAATTTACACTGGAATATCCCTTTAAAACTAAACGTCTTCTCTGGACACATTCTGGGCTGATTATAAATCATGTTTTTGGACATTATTATTAGAAATGGATGTTTGTTTATTTGTTTAAGTTTAAGAAGTTGTGTTGGTGTGTTTGTGATTGTCAGTTTTCAGATACCTGACCAGAGAAAGACTGTTTTGGTCTTAAATGGAGAGTCTGTGATAAATTCAGTCTGCAGGATATTCTGTCGTTTAGTTTAAAGAGATTTGAAGCAAAATTTCTTTAACTTTCAGGCCAAAGTGATCCCAGCCGGTCAGTAATTGGATGTCATTTTGATGCGATGGCATTTGCGTCGGCGGGGCGTGAATGAAAAGACACCAGTGGTGAGCCTGGCAAAGGTGAGTATAAATAGCTTGCAGAGATTTGGCACGCAGAGAAACAGCCGCATGCTTTCCACTGAGGCCGGCCAGCTGTCTGAGTCTCTCTTCCTCAAAACCCGCCATGTTGACAGCCAACACTGGAGGGATCAAAACACACACACACTGCACACACACACACACACACACAGACCGACACTTGTCCTGAAGTTCACACACAGGCTGAGTCTTGTTTGAGAGCTGCAGGATGAGAAACACTGACGGATCCACTTGGAAACACAAAAACACACCAAACCTGCGATAAGGAGACCAAACCAGGACATCTTACACCAAAACATCGACGTCTACAAACTCATACTGAATACTAATCTCCATAAACAACTCCATATTTCCCATGATGCATCTCTAACTCCACTTCCCATCTGCTGCACCTCTCTCCCTCCTCTCCTCTCCTCTCTCTATCCAGAGAAAGAAACACCTCACACAGAAAGAGTCAGACTGACCGAGAGCTTTAAAGTTGCATCAGAGTGAAACTCTGCACCGTCACAGAGCTTTACCTGAGGAGGATGATCCGCCGTCTGTTTCCTGTCTCAGGTTCAGGTGAGTCCTCTCCGGTGTAGCCTGGAAAGAAACACAGAAGAAGAAGGAGAAGGAGAAGAAGAAGAGGGAGAAGTTTCCTGCCTCCCCGTCCCTCTGATCTTTCTGTGTCATGTGGGCTTCACTCTGTAACCTACCGGCTTTCTGCCCCCGCAGCCTCTGCTGATTGGTCCACCATGTGTGAGAGTTATGAGATCCCACACCTCAGTCACCCCGGCCCACCCCCCAATAACACCCACCTCCTCCAAACACCCTCCACCCACGCACACACAAACACAAACACACACACAGGAGCCTGTGGACGGGTTCTGCAGATGTCCTCAGTGGCACCCGGAGCTCCTCTGTTACATGTCTCTGTGTTTTTAACATGACCTACAAAAATAAAACAACATGTCATCGTTTGTCACAGAGACTGTAAGTATTATTTACCACATATTAAACGTGATTAAAGTGCATAATAATAGAAAACTGCATTTTCAGACACACCTGTGAAAAATAAGGAATAAAACCTGAAATGAAACTCCAGATCAGGGCTGTCAGGATATGTAAAATATCGGGATTACAATAATATCATCAGCCGTTTCTATTCTACAGAAATGTAAAATAAAATGAACATTTTGAAGCTTTATTTTGATATTCCAGCACTGTAAACCTAAGCTTTTATTTTGAAGTAGCCAACAATTCCACTTGACTTTTTGTCTCAGAGGACTGTGAGCTGGTGACTTTTTCTCATAACATCATGTCTTATTCTTGCACTATTATGACTTATTTTTCTTAATACAACAACTTTAATTTCTTGACATTATTCTCTAAGTCTTGTGTATGTTTTTTTTCTTTAGTGTGTCTTAATAACCAAATCATCAGCTTTGCTTCATGTCCGACCGGCATCAATCCATCCGTCCAACTTCCTCTCCTGCATAACAGAAGGGGGGGAAAGAGAGAGAAGTCTGCATCTATACATTCCTGTGGGATTTAACCAAATACCAGAGGAGGGAGTGTGAAGCCTGCTGGCCTCTGTGTGTGTGTGTGTGTGTGTGTGGAGGGTGGAGGTCCTTCTCCTCCCTGGTAACATCTGAACAGGATCATCTGCTGACCAATAGTGAGGCTGAGCAGGAAGTTTCTCTCCCACGTCAAAGGCTCTTTGTCACTTCAGGCCTCTCTGCTGTTGGGGGGTCGAGTCCGCTAAACTTAGACCTGAAAATCCTCGCAGAGGTTAGACCGCCTCTGCAGGTCTCTGTCACTTTCAGAAAACTGATACTGATAGTTGTTCTAATTGGTGAATGAATGATGACAGACAGACAGACAGACAGACGGACAGACGGACAGACAGACGTCTTTAACAGCTTCAGTCAGAGTTAACAGTTACTTTCTGATTTTAATCTCATTGATGAAGCTCACCTGAACAAACAGGTAAGAGAGAGAAAGACGTGTTCTCTATTAACTCTAAAATACTCAAGTAAGTCAGCAAATATGTTCATGATGAGGAGTTATAAGGCGGCAAATAACGACTAAAACAGGTGGAGATCAAACTGTAGATCTAACCGCTTTCAAAATAAAAGCATGCTCCTCTGATACAGTCAACTACAGACCTGACTTGTTAAAGCTGCTTTCTGTTCCACAAATTCTCAATAGACAACATATTATAATTATAATAACAACAACAACAACAACAATAATAATAATAATAATAAATAAATAAAATAATGAAAAAATAAATAAAAATAAATAAAAATAAAATAAATTACTATTATTATTATTATTATTGTTCTCTATTCAGCTGGAATTAATATTTTAATTGTTGTGAGAAATACAAATAAATTTTTTAAAGAGATCAGAATTAAACAGTTTACAAGTTCAATTATATGAATTTAAACTATAAATTTATATCGTTTGGTTTTATGCCTGTTTGACTTCACTCTCCACTGTTTGACTGTTGTTAGTTGTTGTGAAGAGGCTGTTTTTGTTGTTTGTACTTTAGTTAATTAAATTCAGTTTAACTGCAGTTTATATCTGTTGTCCTTTGTACGCTCGCATAATGAAATATGGTGATAAAAGAGGGTCCTATACAGTTATTTTCAGAGTTAAAAGACAACTTAGTATCCTAGTCTCAACACCCTCACACTGACATTTTCTCACATTATTAAAATAAAATGTGTGAAAAAAAATTAATCTAATGTTTGTTGACTTCTGTCTAAAATGTTGAAACCTATCAAAAGATCATGAATTTAATTACAACTCTTCAGTAAAACAAAGTGTTTGATGAAAAACCCATTTAAAACACATGGGTACATTTAAGGCTTCAGGGCAGCAAAAATATCAGCTTTTGTGTCATTTTTGTTTTTGAAATGATTGAAATCGTGTTGGGGACACCTGACTGATATAACAATAACAGTTTCTTTGGAAATACTTTATAAAAAAAAAATCATATTTAGAGAGTTGACGTGTCGTCCATAATAATGGGGTTGAAGAAAAACAATGACCACATCTTGAAATAATGACAAATAATAACAGAAAACTAAAGTCTGAGATGGGAAAATACGGTTTTCTGAACTTTAAATATGTCCTTAATGCTGTGGGATATAAATCCAAATAATACATTTTGGTCCAGTTTGAGTGATTCTCGTGGAATGACTCAGATGGTAATAAAATAATGCGTCACGTAGAACAGAGACAGTGATTCAAACTTCTTTGCATTAAAGTTTCGATGATTTATTTTTATTTAAATACTCCAGTGTGATCTCTCTGTGTGACTTTAAACTGAAAAGCCTCTTTCTTCTTTTTGGAGACCACAGTCTGTGTTTTAAAGACTCCACATAAATAACCGTCCAGCATGTCCTCAACAAAGGGGCCTCTCAGGAGAAGAGTATCTGACCTCCTTTAGAGCTGACCAGCATGTGTCTCCTCATTGTTCTCCACTCAGGCAGAAGATCCGCCATGTCTGTTTGTGACCACTAGAGGGCGGACTGTCCGATGAAGAGCCTCTGTCACTGCCTGCCAAGGGCTCTGACAGGAAAGTGGGACACAGCCCCCCACAGCTGTGTCTCCATGTTGTGTTTACTCGGGTCGTCATAACAACTTTTTGATGAGTGGGAGGATAGGGGAGGGGGTGAGGGAGGAGGTGGAGTAAGAGGATACGGAGGGAAAAGGGCAGAGGAAGTGAGTGGGTTTGTTGTTAGAGAGTCGAACATCCTGTGGACTGATAAACTTAATGACTGACCTCACTGATTTAATTATCACATCCAACGTCACAAGAAACGTTACTTAACTCCTCCTGACTCATCGACACTCCCACCGCCAAAAAATTTAAAACCTGTAAGAGACGACGGAGAAGGACAGAAAACACAACCACAACAAAGACAGGAGGGACTTTTTTCTTTTGGGCATCATCAGTTTAGAGAGGCGTGGACGCTGAACACGTTTATTTTGAGTTGTGACAATCCTTTATTCATAAAAAAGAGGATTTAACAAAATTGCAGTTTGCTCTTCACCTCTAGAGGACTCCCAAAGATCTACCATCGCTCAGAGAGATCAGAACTCATCAATACTTCAAGTCTGCAGAGCTCCTTCAATGTTTGGAGACACAAGGAAACTCAATGACAAAAAAAAACTATGTAACTCATAAACACGTAGAGAAAGCATCAATAAACTACAGAAGCCAAGAATGGACACGCCTGAAATTCACCTTTTACTGCGAGAAACCAAAACTTTGAGTCGTTTAAAGAAGAAAACTAAATCATAAACTTTCATTCTCAAAAGCAGGAAGTTAGCGCGGCCGTTCTTGGCTCCGACACGAAACACAAACTGAGTTTACTGACCGATCGACACCTGTTGAGTGATTTAGCAGAAGGCACAGGCTGTTAGCAGGAGCAGATGTTGATTATTTTACTTCAACTAAATCTTTAACAATAAAAAGGAACAAAAAACTGAAGCGTTCAAATGAAAAGAAACTCAATTTTTCTTCACAGTTTATCAGTTTGATGACCACAGATTAAATAAATCATTTAGGTTTGAACTCAGCAGAAAATCAACAACGAAGATGTGCTTCTTAGACATGAGCGAACACACAAAAACACACACTCACAAAAAACCACAATAAATGCCCAGAAACTAAAGAAGAGGGCAGCTCAGAGGAAAGTTTCTGTTCCACATTAAAACTCAATAGTTTGTAGTTTGTCAACAAATCACCCGAAAACACCAAAACCCGCAGTAAATGTTTCGACTCCTGGATTTATCGAATCCAAACTTGATTAAAAAAACACTCAGAGTCAAACTATTGCACAATTTTTCCAAAACTACACGGATGCACACAGAAAATCTCCATCCTGCAGCTCCAAACCAACTTAATTTAGAGTTTTTCTGCTGATTTCATTTGTATTTGTAGTTCCAGGTCTAAATGTTGTTGATTTGACACTGAGGAACTTTCTTGTGATTGAAGTAAAGAAACTCAGGAGGAAAAGAGTTTTATTTTTAGGTTTTTTAATTTGTTTTAAAACTCTCAAAATGTCCTAAAATACCCAAAAAGGACAAGAACACGTCTGCATTAATTTAACTTGGACTTTTAGCGTAAAGCAGAAACCAGTTTTGGTCTTTTTTTCTGTATTTTGTTGACAATGAAATCAAAGAAAAGCACCAATATATTTTTAATCGGAGCATGTCATGGTCGTCTTTCATCAACCTGAAGCAAAGCGCTGAAAACCTGCCGCACAATGTTTCTCACTTCAATGCAACACCAAAGTTTGACTGACTGAGAGAGATTCGAGTCACCTGAGCGAGTCCGCTTCATTAAAACCAAAGTTCTCCTCCAAAACCCCCCAGGAGGAGGACGAGTGCAGAAGCTCTGTAAATGCATTTCCATTAACGACCAAACAAACCAGGATGTGGAGAAAAACCTTAATGTCTGCAGATCAGATGGACCCAGGCTGGAGAGGGAAAGTTTGTCTCTGCAGGTTCAAAGTCCACGAGGGGTCGAGTCTCTCCTTCTGTCCCCAAACAAAGAGTCCCAGGTCAGCGGGGAGCGCGGCGAGCAGCTTTCAGATTTCAGGTCACATGAGAATCCTGCAGGACAGCAGTGCTTGGAGTCTGGGCAGCAAACCGCCTGATGGAGGAGGAGGAGGAGGAGGAGGAGGAGGAGGAGGAGGAGGAGGAGGGAACAGAGGTCAGACTGTGGTTCCTGTTTTTACTGTGCAGTGATGAGTATCGGTGAGTAAAGGATAAATGAAGTTATAAAGACTTCAAAGAGACAGGAGAACAGCTGCACTGGTGTCAGATTCAAGTTTACAGCAGATTTTATAATAAAAGATTCAGACTCAGTCTTTTATTTCTGTTTTTAATTGTACACTTCAATCAAATCTCTTTTTTTCTGCTCATAATAAATCCAAACAAACATGCAGACTAAGGAACGAAGTTTGTTAGATGAGGAAGAAAACAGGAACGCTGCAGTCAGTGTTTACTGCTAACTTAGAAGGAAGTGATCCTTAAAAAATAGGAAGTGTCTGATGTATAGCACCATTTATTCTATAATTATCATAACTATATCCTACAACGTTTATCTACTTATTCACTATATATATATATATATATATATATATATATATATATATATACACACACACACACACACACACACACACACACACATATACATAAAAGATATGTGTGTATTATTAATCTACTTATTATTTTACTGTTTATTTACAAATAATTTTTTGTTTTATTTATTTATTTTTATTTATTATTATCATTATCAATAATAACAACAATAATAATAAATTAAAAAATATAATAAAAAAAATATCATTTTTATAACATAGTGTTATATTGTAATTTTTTATAACATAATGCTTGCTGTTTGTTCTTTGACTCTCTTTAATCATCATAATTTAAAAAGATATGTGTGTATTATTAATCTACTTGTTATTTTACTTTTTATTGACAAACATATTTTTTGTTTTTTTAATGTTTTATTTATTATCATTATTATTATTTTTAATTAATTTATTTTTTTAATCATTATTGATTTAAAAAAAAAAAAAAAATTATTATTTTTGCAATTATTTTTATTTCATAATGCTTAACTTTTCTTCTTTCACTCTCTCTTCAACAATCATAATTTAAAAAGAGGGGACCATTCACACCCACAAACACACACACTTTTCTACACACATAAAAACACCCACTCACCCACCCACCCTCTGAACACAGCCTTGAAACACCTTCTTAATGTTTCTGTCCTTTTACTACCTGATTTTTTTACTCTCTATTGTCTTTTGGAAAAGGAGAAGCTCTCCAACCTCATTGTACTTTTAGTTTGATGACAATAAAGGACATTATTCTGATTTCTACATGTCATGTGTCGCTGCTGTACCCCTCACTTTGTCTTGTCTCCATTGTCTGTTTGTCTGTTTATATGTTGTGGACCACCTGTCATGGTCTGTCTTTCATTAACTAATATAAAAAAGTGTTTACTGCCTAAAATCTGCTCTTCCTTCATTAAAGGATGAAAACTGAATTCTTGTTGGGTGGGGTTACCTTGGGCGACGGGCAGCAGGCCCACTCTGTGGATGAGATCTTGCAGCACGTGTCTCTCCCGGGGCAGTGATACACCCCCATGGAGTCACATGGTACATCTGCGTCGTCCTGTGAGACTCTGGGCTCAGACCGGACCACTTCAGTCTGAGGGAAGGAGCTGATCAGAGCGCCGTCACCGCCGTCGCTCTTCTTCTCACATGTTCCCGTCTGCATGTTGCAGGTGTATCCCTGAGGGCAACAGTGCTCGTGGTCTTCACAGCAAACCGCCTGAAGAGGAGACAGAACAGGGATAACAGATCGAGTCTGAGCACTTTACCGCCACAGGAGAACACAGAACAAACGGGTCATATATGAGTGCAAAATGAAATCAATCCAAAGTCGGAGCTGTACACGCCTTCACCAGAGGGCAGCATCCCCACTCTCCCGTCTTCAGCTTGCAGCAGGTCGTTCCTGAAGCGCAGCTGCTCTTGTCGTCACATTTAATGTCTGTGACGGCGCCCGGCTCGGTCAGAGCGCTCAGTTTGGTGAACCAGGGGATGACATGAGGGCCCTTGGAGCAGGAGGAGCGGTGAGGTTCACAGGTGTGAGTGCTGGGGCAGCAGTGGTTTCCATCGCTGCAGCACACCGCCTGAAAAACAGCAGATTTGTCTTCAAACCAAACACACGGTCGGCTCTGTCAGAGCGTCATGTTAGATAACCTCGTACATTTGGCAGAGGACAGCAGCCCCATTTCTTGGTCCTCTCCATGAAGCAGCAGGTGGTGTCCCTGGGGCAGCTGGTGTGGGCGTCACACATGTTCCTGACCGGCCGAGGAGGGCCTGAGACAGCTGGGCTCGTCTCGGTCTGCAGAGCAGGGATCTTCTGCAGCCACGGGAGGCTGAGGGCTCCGGGTTTGTCACACGTCTGTTCAGCGATGTTGCATTTGTAGCCTTTAGGGCAGCAGTGCTCTCGATCGCTGCAGCACACAGCCTGGAAACAACGACAAAGAAGCGTCCTCAATACTGCTCATGTCGCGTTTTAGAGACAAACTCAAGAAGATTCAAGAAACTCTGACCGACCTGAGGTAAGGGGCAGCAGGCCCACTGTCCAGAGTCTTTCTTACAGCAGGTGGTTCCTCTGGGACACATCGTCTGCTTGTCACACTTCTCATCCTGAACCTCGGTTTTTAGAGGCTCCACCTTCTTCACCAACGGGACAGACGGGAGGACGCCGAGCGGGTCGTCACAGCTTTGAGCCGGCACGTTACAGACGGTGTTGCGAGGACAGCAGTGGATGTGGTCGTCACAGCACACAGCCTGAAAAAACACAACGGACTGTGATCGTGTGTCACTGAGCTGCTTCTTCTCACAACATCATAAAGATTTAGAGGCTAAAAACCAATCACAGCCGAACGCAATCATCTAATATCAGTCTGAATAAAACGATAATGAGACGAAACTTGGGAAACAAACTCTCAGACCAGAACTTTCTTTATGAAGAAAACAAATAATGGTAAAGGAGACACGCATAAACAAAATAATATGAAACAGAAAATAACAAAATAAGATTTAAACAAACTGAAGAAACACAAGACAAAATAAAATGCAAATGCAACAGCATTAAAAATAAAATAAATTAAATTAAAAAATGAACAGAACAAAACAAATTAAAACTAATCAAATAAAAAATAAGATACGATAATATAGAATAAAATATAACCACAAAATTAAACAAAATTAAATGAAACAAACAAACAAAAAAAGGAAATTACAATTAAGAAAATAATAAAATAGATAAAAACAAAATAAAATAAAAACTTCAATACAAAAAAATGCATAAAAAATTAGAAAAAAAACCTAATATAATAAATAAAACCAAATAAAATCTTTAAAAACGAAAACAACTTAAAAAATAAAATTGAATATATAAAAAACAAACAAATAAAATGAATTAAACTAATCAAATAAAAAATAAGATACGGTAATATAGAATCAAATAAAACAAAATAAAATGAAACAAATAAAAAAGAAAATATCAATTAAAAATTAAATAAAATAATAAAAACAAATTAAAACAACTTTAAATGCAAAAAACTGCATAAAAATAAAATAGAATAAATTTTAAAAAAACTAACAGAAGAAAATGAATTAAAACTCATCAAATAAAAAATAAGACAGTATAGAATAAAATAACATAAAGCAAAATTAAATTAAATTCAGATCAATATTTCAGTCAAAGTGTCACAGACTCCATACTCAATCATGTTATGTTTGAATTACGTGGTTTTGTAAAATCAACTTCTTATACTTGGAGTGAAGGATCCAATCCTACATTAAAAGTTCCATTAAGCAATTTTTTATTTGTATTATTTTTGGCTCCCCCTGTGGACAAAGAAATGTCTGATATCTTATGTAAAAATCTCTTTATTCAGCTCAGAGCGTTCACTCTCTAAAAATCTTTGCAGAGATGAGGGTTCAGGTCGGGTTGATGGTTTCTCTGAGTGTGTCAGGTTTAGACCTTAGACTCCCTCTTGAGGTTAGACTCAGTCTTAGTCTAGTGTTATACATTCACCTGTTCTCAGAATCCTCCTGTCTCCTGAGTTCTTACCTGAGGCAGAGGACAGCAGGCCCAGCTCCCGCCTGCCGTCTTGCAGCAGGTGGCTTTCCCCGGACAGGATGTGGATTTGTCACACTTGCTGTTCTCGGTCTTTGAGGGGAAAGCGGGAACTTTTTCAAGCCAGGGCATCACCGTGTTTCCTGTGGGATCGTCACACGTGGATTCCTCCAGGTTACAGATGGTACCATGAGGGCAGCAGTGCAGATGGTCCTCACAGCACACAGCCTACAGGGAGGAGGAACAAACGGCATCTTGCATTTATCAAAGTGACTTCTGTTTCTGCGCCGTAAGAAATAACTCTGAGACTTTATCAGAGGAAAGGAAATTTGAGTTTTAGTCATTCTGTGCACATACAGAGAGAAACTCAGCCTGTCTGCTGGTTAATTATCACTCATATATGACGTGTTCAGGTACCTTTGAAAGAGGACAACACGCCCACTGTCCTGCTGGGGACTTACAGCAGGTGAATCCATCAGCACAGGCCACAGAGTCGTTACAGGGAACAGAGACGCCTGAGGGACAGACAGGAAGTTAGCATCACCTCACATTTGAGTTTGATCATTTCTTCAACCGGGGAGGAATCCAGCACCATGAAACAAAAACACTGACTGTATTAAAGATGGACGACATGAACGTGATGAAAACACGAGGAGCTCCAACCTTCGACGGGGTCTTTCCTCTGTGCTGCCATCAGCTCCGTCTCAGTGGCGGCGATCTTGACCATCGTGGCGGTCTCTTTCTCAGCGGACAGACAGGCGCCCTGAGCGACGTCACACTTTGTCCCTGCAGGGCAGCAGTGGATGTGATCTGAGCAGCACACGGCCTGCAGGACAAGAGGAGAGTTTGATCAGTAATATGAAGAACCATATAAAACATAGATGGTGTTGTTTGTTTATATCCTTCGTCCTGAACGTTTAAAAGACGTTAAGTTTGCAGGATCTGGTCTGATGATCCTTTTGAATCTCAGGTTTCTCACATCAGGCATCGGGCAGCAGCCGTACGAGCCGTTGGTCAACTGGCAGCACGTCGTGTCATCCGGACACGCCGACTTCTTATCCGGACAGATCACTGATGAAAAGAGAAAAGCGAAGATTTAGGGGCTTTAGAGATGTTCGGTTATTCCAATCATGACTCTGGACTCTGGGCCTCACTGCTCACCGTCGTTGGGGACAGCTGCGATCTTCTCCAGCAGCGGGATCTGCTTGTCACAAGACTTGCACATGCCGTGCTCCAGGTCACATACGGTGTTGCTCGGGCAACAGTGGAGATGATCGCTGCAGCAAATGGCCTGTACGTGATTTCATGATCAAACACAGAAGGAGAATCAGTGAAATTATAAAGACTCCTCTTTCACTTGACTTTCTGTCCTCTTTGGTCTCTGCACTTTTACCTTCAGTGAAATATTAAGACCAGCAGGAGGATAAATTAAAGATTGCACTCCTCGAACCTGCAGGAATCTGTTATTTAAGCCTTAAGAGCGGTCAGAAAAGAGGCGTTATCCCCTCTGTTACAGATCAGTTCCGCTAAAACTAACTAAAGTTTAAGGCGGCGGTTCCCAAACTTTAAGAAAACTTAAACAGCAGCAGAAATTTCCTGTCTGTGCACCGGTGACCGTTAGCTAAAGCCTCAGCTGATGATTAGCTGGTCTCCTGTTGAGTCACTCTCACTCAGTCCGTTTCCATGACACTCGAGAAAACCGAATTATCGCCTTACTCCGATTAAGACCGGACAACTAAAGAATATGATCGGAGTTTGAGAACTCTGATTATAGTCGAAGAACTCCGATTAAGACACCCAGATAATGGGACTGGAATTCAATTTTCTCTACCAGCGTTAGCGTTGGTCTCATCTTTAGAAAAATTAGCGCGTCCATCATGTCGGACAAAAACAACGCTGTACGATGCTCCATCAGCAGCAGTTGTAGACACTTCTGACGTCTGACACCGACCTGCTGTTGTTGTTGACGGTTGTATAGGGTCGAAAACAGCGCCGCTGAAAAGACCCATATCGGCCCCCTAGTGTTGGGGAGGAGGACACGTTCACGTCAATAATTTGATTTTCTCAGCTGCATGTAAACGAGGACGAGGAGAGAAGTTCAACTCGTTAAAAAAAACTAATTATGATCTTAGTCTGATTAAACTGTGCATGTGAACGTACTGAGTGTGACCCTCCATCTTTAACCCCCCTGAGTCTCTCATTGTGAGCGACATTCGGCCTCGGCGAATCGGAGCGCACTCACTTTACAGACAAGTGTTTTAGTCTGTTTCATAAAAAAGTCCTAAAGGTCCGAATATAAAAAGAAAGAAAAACAGTAAATCCTGATCTTTGTAAGACACGTGCTTTTAAAAAAACACTCTTGGTTATTTCACTCCTGATATGTTTCACGCTTTAACGTACCTCAGGATACGGACAGCAGCCGTAGTCTCCGCTGGTCAGCAGGCAGCAGGTGTAACTATCAGGGCAGCTGCTTCTTCCACCCGGACACGTGACTGAAGTGACTGAAAGAGCTGCAGAAATAAAAAAACACACCAGCTCATATTTAGACGGTGGATTTCAGGGACTTCATTACAGGATTTGTTATAATTCAGGTCTAAATGAAATCCCTCACCTGTGTCGTTCCCCGTCCTCCTGGCGGGTATTTTCTGCAGCATGGGGAAGGACTCCAGAGAGGCGGTGGACAAACACTTGGAGTGAGGGACGTCACACGTTGTCCCCTGTGGACAGCAGTGGAGTTTATCCTCACAGCACACCGCCTGCAGAGGAGGAAAAGGGCGAGGACGGTGAAGAAGAAACAAGAAGTGGTTGTTTTTTTAAATGAGTATTTCTTCTGTATGCGACTTTGTGCCGTTAAAGCTCCAGTTAACATCAACATCTTTGATAACGGTCAGTCTGTTCATGTTTTCACGGTTAAAAATTCGTGTCTCTCACCTCCGGTAACGGACAGCAGCCCCAGGAGCCGTCGAGGAGCTGACAGCAGGTGGTGTCGTCCGGACACTCAGAGGCTTTATCCGGACAAATGACCGCTTTAACTCTCCGCTGGAGCTGAAACGGCGAAGACACGACGCGTGAATACCAATGAGAGCAGAGGAGACACGAATAAAAACACGTCAGTCTGACAGAACAGGAACAGGCGTTCAGCTCCGTGATACACGCCGCTAACGGCTTTACAAAAATATGACTGAAACTATTTTATTAAACTGTAAATTTTGTTAATTTGCTAACCCTGAAATATCAGAAATGTCTAAAAGGTTTTTGTGACATTATACTTTTAAAGCATATTTACAATATTTCCGAACATTTCCAAGCTGCAGAGAGAAAATAATTCTGATAATACTGGAGAACAAAAATAAAACTGACTTTATGTGGATTATGACAAAGATGCAGAGTTCAGGACAAAGTTTTTACAAAGTGAGAAAGTGTGGCTTCAAATTATACATCCTAAGTTTTTCAAACCAAACATAATAATAAGTGTGTTTCACTTATTTTGTAAATGCCTCTCATCATTTTTCATTTGTAAGTTTTGGTTTTTCATCCATTTTTTCCTTCGTAAATATGAAGTTGAATTCAGGCGGATATAATGTTTGATAATGAGTTTCCTCTCGGTATAAAAAGGATCAAAACGCCATCGAAGATAGCGCCGCAGAAGATCACAGACTAGATGAATCGAGGTGGAGTCACCGGCGTCCGTACACGGCGGCCATCTTACTTCAGTACATCATTCTGGTACACTGTATGGAAGCTGACGGAAGGTGAGTATTTGATCAAAAAGACAGATTTTGCATTACGCGCCTAAAATACTATGCAATGTGAAAGTTAATATTGTGTAGTTTATGTGTTTCACATGCCGTTTTATATACATGAGTTATGAAATTCTTAGTCTGAATTGAATTTGATGAACTATTTCATGTTCTTTGTACTGTACCTATTAAGATCTGTGTTATCTAGCTTGGAAACTCCATTTGTGATGACAACCACTTCATTCAATTTATTGTGTATTTTTCTTCACACAGCTCTCACGGGTTTGGTCTGAGAATAAAGTACAGTTTTTTTTAATCAAGCTGTCGTGACTCATGTTGTTATTGGAGGGAGCTACAAATTTGTTACTTAAAAAAGACTGAATCTTTGTTTTCTGTTCATGCATTCTCTCTCTTTTTATGTCTTTAAAGGTTTATTAAAACGTCACATTTGCACCCAATCTGTGAAACGTTCAGATCTGATCACTCCTCTTTTATTTATCGATGTCCATGTGTCAAATATTTAACCGACAATACTCTAGATTTTTATCTCTGAAGGAAAAAAAACAATCGATGGCAGCCGGACCTTTAACTCCTTCACTAAAAATCAAGTCTAATGATGTCAGGAAAGCTAAACAACAAACCTGAGGTACGAGCGCGGCCTGTTTGGTGGGAGCTCGTCTGATCCAGGGTAAAGAAACTGTCTTATTTACACACTTGGAGTGGACCAGGTCACAGACTGTCCCCTCGTAGCAGCAGTGGAGGTGATCAGAACAACATTCAGCCTGTAAACACGTGAGGACAGAGACAAAAGATGAATCAAAACTTCACCTGCAACAAACACAAAAACCCAGAAAACTGAAACTCCAAGTTTTTTTAAAGTAGGAGTTTTAAGGGTTAACCACCAAACTGTGAGGAATGGTTCCTGTTCGAATGAGAAATTAGTCTGAGAGCCTCTTTTGTCACCTGAGCGAGACGTGACGGTTTGAGAACTCACATGAGGAAGTGGGCAGCATCCGTATCCTCCCACGGCGTTCTTGCAGCAGGTGTTTTTGTCCCCGCACATGCCTCCATCAGGACAGACGAGCGCCGTGCTGAGGCCCAGCAGAGCTAGAAGCAGGATCCCCATCTGCACCATCTGAAACCAGGAGAGAGCTCTCAGCTGTGAGGGTTGAACACAAAGATCCTGAGCTACAGAAACTCAATCTTATCGACGTCGTGCTTTCTGCGTTTCTTTAAGAGAGAGAGAGCAAAGGTAACAAAAAGAGGAAAGCAGACGGCAGCTCGGCAAACACGCGAACTGATAAAGTGATTTCAACACCGAGCGAAACACAGATGTTGTTGAAAAGTTCACGTCCTCTTTTGGGATGTAAACACTCATATCTGAAATATGTCGGATCAAAATCCACAGCAACAAATCCCTGAGTAAATGGTTACACAGCATACGAACAGTTCACATGACTGACTCCGGGGTCAGAGTTTGCAGCTCTCCTGAAACGGCTTCATTTCTCTGACCCATACTCTAAATCCTCAAAAAGCTGACTGTGTTTTCTGAGGGTTTAACCAGGAAATATTAATATTATAATAAATTAATCAAGTAAGGAGCTTAAACCAGTTTGCTGAGTCAGTTCATTGTGTTCAATAATAACTTCACAGAGGATTGTTGAGTAACTATGTCTGATAAAAACACCGAGAGTCGGCTAAATAGGAGGTCAGCTGTTCCTCTTTTATGAGCTAAAACTGCATAAATGGGAGTTAATGGTTATGAAGCTGGAACAGGTGCTGATTTTACACATTTGACCTCTTCAGCAAACACAAACTCCAATAATCAAGAGGACATTTTATCTCCGTTAGAATAAATGCAGAGCAGAGCACAACATTTCCCTTCAGATATAATCGTGCACAAGTACAACACTTTGACCAAAACACGTCAAGATGTCAATATAAATCACAGGAAGTCCATATCTTATTAAAAAAACCCACAAAGACAGCGTATAAAATGTGGCGTTGTCTCACTGAAATATGCAAAGTCATTGTTGATGGAGGCGTCGTCTTCTTGGCAGTATGTTTCTCTCAACGCTGTTATTAACCACTTAGCAGAAACAGAGCCATGCTACCAGTCACAGCTGTGAAAGCTGCCCATGCAACATACCAACACTGTGAGATCAGGTCAGCTGATCGCCTATACATATAATGCAGATATTACAGTTTTGTTTTAGTTGATTGAATTTATTGAGACTAGAAAAATTGAGGAAAAAAAAACAAAAAAACAGCTGAAATCCTGAGGATTCTTTCATCAAATAAATATAGACTAAAAAGTGAAAAGCAGCATTAAAAAAAAATAATTTAAAAAAACAATAAAATAAAATAAAATAAAAAGTATATTAATTAAACTTCAAACACACAAAAAAAATGAATCAAATTAAAAATAAGATGACAGAAAATAAAATAAAATCACAAAATAAAACAAAAATAAAATTTAAAAAAAAAAAAAAAGAAAAAGAAAATTAAATATTTCATGCTGTTTCAGCTGCACAGGCGCCATCGGCTCCTTGCTCCGCTCGGGGTTTGTAACTTTTTGCATTGCAAGTGCTATGGTTGGGTGAAGCTGCTGTCTGCTACGACGCAGTTGTTTGATACTTGGTTCTAATTCAGCACATGATTGGTTCAGTGCGAAGTGGACCTCAAGCAACTCTACCAAAACAACGTAGAATGCCGAATAACGAAAAACATATTGACCATGTTTTAAATTGATACTGAGGGAAATTAATTTTCGATATATATCTTTATCCTTTTATCGCCCAGCCCTAGTTCAAATACAACAGTATTTGGAGGTGATTTTGAGCCCATGCTGTGACTCCCACTACAGAGTAGGACTGGGCGATTATATGATCGTTATTAATTTCAGTTTGATCACGGTGATCAGCTGAACTTATTTACTCGATCAAGCATGGTGGAAATATGCATCACAACAGCCAATCAGAGTCGAGCTTTTCCTGCTCACTTATGTAAGTTACCAGAGAATTAAAACAGAATGAGTGAACATGGAGCTAAACACGGAGCGGAGGGCAGCAAAATAGAGTAGCACAAGTAGCATTAGCAGTTTAGCGAAACTAGCGGTGCAGCCACCAGACCAAAGCAATCAATCGTATCATTTACTTTCACATTTTAAGACATCTTCATCATCCCTGTGGAGGTGATTTGTTTATTTTGGATCTTACATCCCTGCAAAAACACTCAGGACTGTAAACTAGTTCACTGTGTTATTAAGTATTTATCAACATTTGTTTTCCTGTTGAGTTAAAACGGTTTTTATATATTTTTTAAGTTTATCTTATTTAATTTTCTTTATTTACTTTGTATGTTAATAAAATGTCAATCTAATCTAAGTTTGTTTATATTTTAGTACAGATGCTTTAAAACTGGCAATTAAAAAAATCGTGATAATAATCGAGATCGGACGATATGACGAAATATATCGTGATCATTTTTCATTGTCTAAAGAGCATCCAATAATACAGGGTTTTGGTCTTTTATTGTTTTTTTTGTTGCCTGTGAAACTTTTATTTCAAACATGTATCTGGAAATGAGTTGAACTTGCAAATAAAACATCCAAAATAATCAAAAACATTGGTTTAAACACTTTTGATGTTTTAGTGCAACTTCCTAATAATTAATTATGGGCCTCAATGTTTTAAAACCTATTAAAGTTTTATTTTTTCTGATTATCCAAACATTTTTGAACAGTTTCGTGAAGATAGTGAGTTAAACTCACCATCAGTGAGTATTATGTAGTGTTTTTAGCAGGTGAATTGAGTTAAATGTTAATGAAAGAAGAGCACTGTGCTGCATATACTCCTCTAAAAACATCATTAGTCATCCTCACTGTGTCTACAATATCACAGACAGGGACTGAATACATGTTATACTGTACAGAGCAGAATATTAATACATTAGCAGCGATAAAGAGCAAACTTTTCCCCGATGTTTCATTAAAATTAACAGGCTAACTTATGCGCTAACGTTTAATCCAGAGAAAACAAGTTAGCTGAGCAGGCTAACAGGAGGCTAACAGCACAGCTAACCGGTCTGAAAGGATGTTTTATTTCCTCCAGGTTGAAACCAGGAAATCAGAGTTCGTCTTACCTGGTAGGTTTGGTGTTGTAAAAGCATAAATGTCGTCTGTGATGCAGCTGCACAAACATCCAGAGGAGCACAAAGCAGAGCAGTGTGAAGAGGAGGAGGCTGTTTTTTTTTTTTAGCTAGTTATCACATGACTCACAGACACGTGACTGAGCAGCGACAACAGCTGACAGAGTCTGAGAAAAACTCCTAAATCTCATGATTTCTATTAAAATAACTTCAAATATTTATGAGTCTGTCAGCAGAAGAGACAGAGGCGTTAAGGTTTTATTTAGTATTTCCATTTTATTACCAACAATTTAACACAAATAACAGGAACACCAGAGCCGGCCCAGGCCTCAACGGGGCCCTCAGCAAGATTTGGTTTTGGGGCCCTCTATTTCTGCCAATAATACTGATTGTTGATCACTCACACACCTACTACAGTGTGAATTTAATGCGCCTGACATGTCTTAACGCATTTAAGGGGATGGCCGAGGTACTATACAGTGGCCATGAAGTGCAAAACACAATGACATTTCACAAAACACATTTCAGAGACACAACATTTAGAAAACACATTTCCAAAACACATCAACATTTCCAAAACACAACTGTTCTTTTTTTTGTGGAAATGATTTTTTATGTTTTGAGAAATCTTTTTGTGTTTTCTGATATGTTGTGTTTTCGAAATGCCCTGAGACATGGGATGTAGGTCTTAACTTTAGGACAACAGGATGTTTTAGCTAGCCTCTGTTTATGCTGACTACTCTGAACTGACTGTATTACCTTCTACACCTTATTATACTTATCTCTGGCACAATATCAGTTTATTTATGTTTTAAGATTATTATCGTCCATACCGGTGTACTGCGACAGCCCTTACATTTAAAATAAAAACCACAGACACCGACTGACTGTGGGAACAAATTTATTTTATTTTTCCTCATGTACAGAAAGAATCAATGTACAGTTTACAAACAACTGACCAGGTTTCTGAAGCGAATGATTAACTGCACAGGATGAAGGCCTACAGTTCAATCCTCATCGATAAAACCATCAAACCTTTTTACCCTTCTTCAAGTCCTCGCAGGATCCAGTTCCCGGGACCGAATCCTCTCTCCGTCCAAACACAGGTTCACAAAATCTACAGAGGAAGATTTTCTCTCTTAAAACAAAAGAAATTAAAGAAAGCCACGATTGCACAACTCATAGTTAACACCATATCTGGTCCAAAATAATGTACATTTACAGCAGTGGACACCACAGTTCAGTAGGAGTCGATTCATGGCCGTGTTCACACTTTGAATCACATCACATTTTCAGTTTGTACTGTAGGCTACACACGCTTATGAACAGCAAGCAAATGGGTGAAAAGGACCAACAAATCAGCATTACCTTTTATACAGCCTCTAAGATTTTCCCTCCTCAATAAACCAGGACTTCGGATTGAGAATCGGCATGATGTGGCGACTGATTCACAGTTGCTGATGCATCGTAGGCAGTGGTGATGCTCGAAACAGCGGGCGTGTGTTGGTCAGTATGTCATCGTTGTAAACATTTACGACCGGAAGTGATTTGTTCGAACTGGATTAAGGGAAAAGTCAGTGTATCTTCGTTTGACCGAGTTCATTTGGCAACACAATTCAATGCATCAGTGCATCACTTTTTTTTTTTTTTCTTTTTCCAACGCCAAACATCCTGGATCAGCTCAAAAAAGGTCTCATTAAAAACACCCTATTCTACAAGTTACATGCACATCGTTATACACGTAAAATCTCATATATCATCATACCATTTACAAGTTTGGTGAAAAAGAGGATAGATACAAGAAATCAAGATATTCAAGGACGTAAAAGCCGCAAGAAAAGTCGTACGTTTTGGCAGGCATGCTCCCCAGAGTGACGATTTGTTGTTGTTGTTGTTGTTGTTACCACAATGCAGTGTGCTTATTAGTGCTCGCCGATCTCGACGGATAGGTTTAGTTGATGACGAACTGCATCTTAAAAAGGGACCTGCATGCCTATCACTCGATTCTTTGTGAAAGAAGGCACTTACAGGAGAGGAGTGGTACAGGTCCTGCCTACAAACAACCCCTGTAGATCTCAGTCGGATATCAAACAGGAAGTCTTCAAGTAAAGTGATGGTGGTTGAGGGTTGTCTACGCAGGAGCCCTAAGAAACGTGGGGGCTTTTGGTGCCTTCTGTTTATTTCATACATTCATAGTGTATGCATGCAATCTTTCGATACCAAATGGTCTTTCAAATGTTTGGGAATCTATTTACACCACAGGAAACCGCAAAGATTCAAGTCTTTGCCTCGACGATAGGAGAAAGGCAGATATGCAAAATTTGGCGGAAATGTAGATTAATCAAGACAGTAAGGGTGACAGAAACTTGAAGATGATGCTGAACACTTCAAATCTGGATAAGTAGTTCGAACACATGAACACATTACAGGAAGAAGAGAAAATCAAGTACATCCCTGAAGGAGCAAAATGCAAGCCGCACATTGGACCTCATAGATTGCATTATCCATTCACAGGGGGGATAGAAATCAGAACAACTGATGGGTTCCCAACATATTCAAGCTCTGGGACGACGTTTCCTTTACAGGAACTTATTCTAGATACAGTCAAGGGAACAAGGTATAGAAAGGAAAAACAAGCACAGATCTTCTACCGATGATATGAACCTAGGGAGTCCAGGGAAGGAAATCTATCTCACCTAAATACCCATCAATCCCGTAAAAACTCCATCTACATCAACTATCAAAGTACAACCACAATTCCAGAAGAGTTGGGACCCTGGGTAAAATGTTCTTTTAATGTACTACAGATGATAAAAACCACTAATTAGTAGCAATTTTACTTTGAGGAGCATTTTTCCAGTCTCTCATAGAGGGACTCAGCCTCCCTGAAGGATCTTTTTATACCCAACCTGCTAAAAATGAACGTCAAAGATTACACAACTTTTTTAGTGTTTCGTTGTCCCTGTTCTAACTGTTTTAAAATGCATTGGAGCATCAAATCTTTAACTCATATAACAACTTTTTAAATGACCAATTTCCATTAAATATCGTCTCTAAATGATTTCCAAACCATCTACCTCTGCTTTGATTTACTTTGTACACAGTGTCCCGACTCCTATAGAACTGGGGTTTGTTAGTAAGTGCTTTACTCTTATATTTTGCTCTATAAAATGGCTATTTCCACAGTCAGTAGATGCAATGGCTCAGATGGTGGTTCAGTGGTGTGAGAGGTGACACAATTCACAATAAACTGGATAGGGTTTCAGTTCCACAGATCTTCTCAGTGGGTACCAGTGGAATTCGCTGACAGTGAGACTACCAAAGTGCAAAAGCACCTCACCAGAAACACAAAGGTCAAACAACAACCTGAAAATGGACCAGTGAAGCATGGTTGTGCTTATTGTGAGATCTCTGTGAACACTTCACTCCGATTCCCTCCTTGAAAAGACCGTAAAAAGGTCTGGTGACGGATGAGTTCACACTGCTCACTTCCTGGGATGAAAGACCATGAGAGGCCTGTCTTCGATCTTCTGCCAGGGACTCTTCTTGTTCTCGTCTTTGTCATCGGGGTCATCCTCAGGGCTGGTCATGGAGTCGCGGCGGTTCTCGCTGTTGCTGCTGCGGCTGCTGTTCACACGACTGCGCCCTCTCCTGGGGATGGTGGATCCTCGGGAGGATGGGCCTTCATCGAGAAGCGGGGTGAGGGAGTTTTCTTCAGGCGAGACCGGGCGGCCTTCACTGCTGCTTGGATCACTATGGTCAGGGTAGGCGAGCTTGGAGTACGTCTTACCCCCACTGCTGCTGACGCCATGGCCCTTCCGCCCTCCCGTCCCCCACCGCTCGTCTTTCCCCTTCCGGTTCACTCCTGACTTGCGTTCTTGGGACTCCAGAGGTGGTTCAAGATTGATGTCTCGGGCGCTGCTGCTTGGACCACTCATGAATGCACCAACTCCACCGCCACTCAGATCATTTGCGACATCTATGTAGGAGTGCCGAACATGAGCGTTGGCGCGTCCGTCCAGGGAGATGAACCATGCCCTTGGGTGCTGCTTGACGCCCAGCTCCAGAAGCTTCTTCTCGGTCAGAGCCTGCAGTTCCCCGTTCATCTGAGCCATGGTGGAGTCGTTGAAGAGCACAGGGATGGTCACCGGCCCACCGGAGGAGTCAGATGCCCAGCTCGGCTCCTCGGAGTCGTCGCCTTGGGATCCACCTTGCTGTTGTTGCTGTTGTCCTTGTTTCTGGGAGTGGTGGTGATGGTGCTGCTGGCCTCCTCCCATCTGTGCTCCATCTTTATCTTGATCTTTTCCATCTTTTCCATCTTTAGAAAACTCAGAGGGCAAACGCATATAGTGGGCGGGGATGACAAGAGTTGGCACCATGCTGCGGTACATGTTCTCCTTCATCTGGTCGATGGAGCTGCAGAAGATGATCTGACCTGGTTGGGTATTGAGAGACGTGGGTCTGGCAAGGCTGTCTGCAGCTGCGGCTGAATATTCAGGAGGTTTGTCAGACTGGCTTGGCACGTATCCCTGGAATCGGGGTGGGGATGGGGGATCAGAGGAGTACCCTCGATTGTCGTTGGCGTTGTGGTGTCGATGGTACTCAGACTCCTTCCCCTCCATGGGGCTGTAGCTTCGGTTGTAGTCTTCATGCAGGAGAGGGTTGTCCAGGTTGTTTGTCTCTGTTGCACGTGTAACCTTCATAGCGAAGCTCTCCCCCCGCTGGGAACCTGAATTATTTTTTCCCTTTGCGTGTCGCAGCATGTGTGCAGGAACATGTTTGGTTAGGTCCTCCTTTGAGCTGTGGTAGTCCCGAGACGGGGACATTTCAGATTTGTCGTTGGAGGCAGCGGAATCGACATGGCCACCACAAATCAGGTTCAGGCGGGAAGTGGATGTACCCTGGTCTCTCTTTGCCCCGTTTAGATTGGCTGTGTGGGGTTTTCCTTGCTGTCGTCGAGGTTTTAAGCACTTCCGTCTGCAAGAGAAACAGACACTGAAAGTCAGAGATGACTACAATGCTTATCATCTGCCTTTGGAGTCTGATCTAACCACAGCCCTAAAGTTAATCCAAATCCAAGATTATCATCCCATTCCTTTTCATAGAAACCTAAAAACTGAGACCTGCGCCTAGGCTGTCCACACCTGCAGTAGTAGAGCAGCACACAGAGCAGAATCAGCACCAGCAGGGCCAGCGAGCCGAGGATGGAGAGCAGGAACAGGGTGTGGTAAGTGGTGATGTCCCTCAATCCTGGATGAGACAGACCCAATCCTGCGAGACAAGTCAAGACAGAAACATGACCAAGAATTCCTTGAAAAGTTCTGCCCTGATCTAATTTTGTTTAAGCAGAACTTTAAACAACTAATAATCCAAGATGGTGTGTGTTATTTCAAACACATTTGATTGTTTGCAAATCATTTAACCCTATTTTTAACTTTTGGAGATCATCTATGATTTCTAGTTCCATGTTGAAAGGACAACTGGACGTCCCATGTAAGTCCAGTTGTCCTTTCCAAAAGAGAGTTAGAATTTAGTTCATCAGACCGCAGGACAGTTCACAGACAAGTGATATTAAATCTTTCCAAAAATCCGTCCTGAATGTTTTTGCAACAACACCTGGTTTTCTGCACCACAGAGAGCGCTCCACATTTTGTCCCAGGAGACATACGGTGCAGGAACATCTGCTGGCATGGAAAACAGCTCATTCTGCAGAGGGGAAGGTAAAGATGTGCTACGATACCTGAAGACGTCGGGAAGGCAGCCAACCAGTATCCCATCTGAGGAACCACAACGTTCCAGACGAACTGCTGTCCGTCCTTCTTGATGTATCCCGTCCCGTTCCTGACCCACAGACCTGTACGAATGTTCATCACAGTCATTATTACATGCAGATCAAACAGAAACACAAAATCTGATTGATGTGTTTGTTTCACTGACCTGTCTTTGGCTGATACAGCCATGCAGGAACACTCGTAGCCATCCTGTTGCGAGTGTCAGACGGCAGCGGCACAGAGACGTGGATGGGATCGGAGACTTGGATCGGGGTGCCATCTTTGTCGAAGAGATGAATGCTTACCACAGCCAGAGCCGTCAGGTCAGTCCACCCGGTCTCTGCACCTGAACAGAAGAGACGGATGACCGGTTTAATTCCTCTCACTGTATCAGGACTCTCAATACCCAAGAACTGTGTCTGAATGCTTTTTTGGTATCTTTAATTTTGTTCATGATGAGAGTTCGAGGTGTGTAGACTAAGACTAATAAAGAAGATTAGTATTCGTCTCCCTCATCCTCGTTCTTCCTCGTCTGCTGCCTCTGAACTGAATTAAACTGGTTTCATCGAATCAGAAGAGTTTTCAGTTTGGAGTCGAAGCGTGTTAATTGTGACACCTGTGCTGTTTCTGCGTTTAACTTCTGACACCTGTGGTTACTGTTACGCATCACTGTGCAAAATGTGTTAAAAATGTGAGCGCTGCAAAGTGTGTCTCGCTCTGTGAAAGTGTTTAAGGTTTTACCAAAAAGAGAGGTCGTTTCATACCAGACCGTTTGGTTCAGAGACTGGGTTTTAGAGTTTGTTGAAGTTAATTCAAACTTCCCCGAGTCCGTTGATGGAGACTGGAACAGAGGATTCACTGAGGCAAAAAGGTGTCTTCAACAAACCTTTTATTTCGGCACATCAAATAACACAAGATATCTTGGAGAGCACAACATCAACCCAATGGTATCTCTGAGGTGGTCTGATTACTATTTTTCAGTAGTTAATATTTATACCCTAGGAGGCGTCTCATCATCTTTTTGGGCGGAGAGTTTACATAACCAGCAGTCCCCAGTGTTTCTCTATGGACAAACAAGCACGTATTGTTCTATTTTTTTTTACCTGACCGAAACCGTGGTTTCAGGGAAGTTGACCTTGGATGCGTCCAGCGCTTGTCTCCTTTTATCATATTTGCGTCATGTATTCCAAGCTTTCACTGATTTCCCACTGGGCAGACTGCTGGGCATGCAAACCCTCCCTTTACACCTCCCCATCTTCTCAGGACAGAGTGATCTTCCTCCCTCGTCCTGTTGTTCACATCTCTGACTAGCACCTGCACATCTGTTTATGAAAGGCACATCATTATCTGAGGCATATGTCAGGGTCATAGAGCACTTTTATAAGGAACACTTTTAATAAATGACTGTTGTGATTATAATACACACTTCAAATAAATGACTGTTAAGGCATAACAGTTTATAACCATACTTACCAACCCTTGGCACTTCTAGGCATAAGCTAAAATCCTTCTATACTGAAAGTCTCTGTTCTATACATTGTGACACAGTGGTCAATTGCCCCCGTGTTAGCATTAAACCTTCTTATCTGACTCATCAGTACATGTCCGCAATGAGCACACAAAATAATGTAAACACAATAAGAAAACAGTTAATTACCTGAAACAATGATTAAATGATTGTCATCAATGATTAAATGATTAGCGTGAACATGTGATGGTTAAATGATTAGCATGAACCTGTGAGTTCCCACAAGTTTCAGCAAATGGACATAAACTATAATCCAGCTGTGCAGTTAATCCTTCTTAAATAGAAGTCGTTTTTTATACAGTGAGAGTTGAGAGGATGTGGTCTCTTGTACTGTCGGAGGGCTTCATAGAAACAGGAAAGTCGCTCTCTCACATGTTTACTCGTACGCAGGAACGTCGTTATTGTCTGAAAAACCGCCAAATGATGAAGCGGTCACATTTCCTTCAATAGAACTGAAGAGGAAAAACACGAAAAGGTCCAGATGCCCCAAATAAGGAACATCTATGTACAGTAACGCTGTTTTTCCCCTGGAGTAAAATCTGTCTTTGGTAAAAATATCACAAAAAGAGAAACCTGAGAGTGGAATCAGGTTTTCTTGACTGGAACAAATATCTTTGAAATCATCATTTCTTATTTTCTCCACATGCATACAACCTAGCCTCTAGCTTCGTCGAGCAGTGACCTTTAACTCCTACTGGGGCGGTTCGCGGCCGGGTGTGAAGCGGCTGGGATGCGAATCAGCACCTCCAAGTCCGAGGTCAAGGTCCTCAGTCGGAAAAAGGTAGATTGCGATCAGATTTCCGCTCACATCCACATTGTGGCGTCTTGATTTTGTGCGTGTCCGCCAATGAATCTGCATCTCCATTATCAAAAGTTTGTGGTGTGTTTAACCCCAAAGCGTCTTCTTTGTGATCTAGACATTGTCTCAAGTGTCTTCTGCAAAAACTAGGCGGATAATTCCTCCCCCTAAACCTGTAAGCAGTGATGTTGACATGAACACCCACCTGAGCTGTTGGTTTCCTGTCCGAGCAGAAACGGGAAACCTCCGATCTCGTACTGAGTCCTGGCTGTGGTCAGAGCAGCAGAAAGCGCCGTGTAGTTTGAGTTTGACGGCAGCTGGAGGGATTTCCTCTGAAGCTGCACCAGCGGCTGGTTACGAGCTCCTAAAAAAAAGAACGTATCCTCACTCAGACAGAAGGATCTATGGAGGACTGAACAGATGTGAGCTGAGGAGACAGGTGTGAGTTTTTACAGTCTCATTGACGGCGTGATGATAGAATAACCGTCAGGAGGTCAAACTGACCTTTTCTAAAGGCCAAAATACAGTTACCATCATCGTTAAACTGTCTGCTGTCAAATTTCTTAAAATCAGATCACCTGATGTGAGCAAACTGTATCATGCACAGGAGGATAAGGAGGTCATGCATGAACAAGAATCAGATGAAATGTTGTGTTTCTTTACCTGGAGACCCGGACAGCACCTGCAGGACATCATCGTAGAGAATAAGAGTTCCTGGTCTCTGAACCAGGAGGTACAGGCTGACTGATGCATACACTGGAGAGGAGAAAAGGAAACAATCACTTAAACTCAGCGGGTGATTTCTGCAGGATTCAAACACAAACCAATTATGTGCAATCAATTATCAGTTTCAGCAAATTCAGGATATGTCTCGGGTTGTTTTTAAGATCCATCCATCTCACTCTGTCGTCACATCCACCTTCACCAAATCTAGTTTTTCCTTTTCTCTCTTTTTTGTTATGATGTAGAAATCCTCCCTCCCTCAAAGACAGAAAATCAATATTAAAACTGAAAAAGTATACGCTTATTTCAAATTTGGTGCAAACAAGATCTTTCTGAAAAGTTCGGACAAGAACAACAAAACCTGAAAATGTTGAGTAATGCTAAAAAAAAAAAAAGCTGGAGGAACATCTGCCAATTAGGGACAAGGACCAAAACCAAGACTGAATGGTCCTGAATTTTTAGACCTGAATCCGTTCAAGATGGACTGAGGACTCTGGAGTTGACTTGAGGTCTGGAACACTCTTTTGGAAAGGACAACTGGACTTACTTACTCCAGTTGTCCTTTCAAGGAAGAACTAGAAATCATAGATGCTGCATCCTCACTTTTAAGCATAATGCTGAATAATATCTCCAGGTTTAGGAGCAACATCTGCCGCTAACTGTGTCGGTGTCCTCGTTGACTTACACGGGATGCGGCTGGAGTGCCAGGGAACAGAGTTGGTGACGTAGTCCTGTTTGGAGGCTGTGATGATGACCCACGTCCCAGTGCGGTACAGGAAGCTGACCCTCAGGACGCCATCCCTGCCCGCCTTGCTGGACGTCAAGACGGTCTGGTTCCCATGAACTTCTACCTGAGCGTCCGCCAATGGTGACAGGTCGCTATTGTCGAAGACCTGGACTTTGATCTGGACCTCTGGAGGAGAAGACAAAGAGAGTGGTCAGGTCATTAAACAGAAAGAGGAAACGATGAGATTCAGATCATCGAATGTCACCGAAGACGCTAACAAAGGTGGTTATTATTATCATTTTTAATATCTGAAATAACTAGGGCTGAAACGATCCCTCGAGTACTTCAACTACAAAAAATGATTACTCGTTTACTTGTCTATAAACCCAAACCGTCACTGTTTCGCACTGATTATTTTCAAGGTGACACAACGCGCTTACGTCACCAGCGCCGACGGACACTAATGTCTTTGGGGACATGATTAAAAAGCTAATATCACAGAGCTGCCAAGCGTCACGCAATTTGACCCGTTCACACACCGCACGCCACACTTGACATTTCTCATGCTAACGTTTCCCCGTTCAATACGCTTTCTTAATTTATTTTTTTCATGATGATAATAAACTTGGCTTGACGTAGTTCGAGTAACTCTGATTGACTGACAGAGATAACCAGTCCTAGAGCAATCCATCAGTCCTTCGTGCCTAATACTGCGTTTGAGTTTCCTCTGAAGTCAGATGTCGGAGCTGAAAATGACGTCACGCCCGAGTTCCCCGCGTTTCAGTTTCCAATTTGGAAAAGAACAAAATCGGAGGCGGAAACAAGATGGTTGAACTACATCAAGGAAAGTTATTTTAGCGCTTGCCTTACATTCGGACAACTTGGTAACTGAAATCCTGGGAACTCGGGTATGACGTTGAGGGAGTCAGTCTTAAGGTATTAATCAACGTTAAAAAGGCCGAACATATTGTAAGGCTAAAGTCTTACTCTGGTCATTTTCTGAAACTTGGAAGCCCTGATATCATGAGGAGCAATTAGCTTTCTTATGAGCACTGCAATCCGCTGTCACAGACTCTTGTTCTGCAATAATTGCACTTAAACAAAAAAAATATATATTTATTTTACCGATTACTTGATGGAATATTCGGTAGAATACTCGATTACTAAAATTTTCAATAGCTGCAGCCCTAATAATAAACTAACATCAGTAGCCGCTCTACATAGGGATCACCTTGTGGTAGCTTTGAACAGTAGGTTTATACTGAGGTACCCTTGGGCCTCTACCAAGGACAACATCATTATGCAGCACAGCGAAGATCTCGTCTCAGATGACCTTCAGAAAAGGGGAACTGTTAGTGGGAAACAACGACAGCTGAACCGTGTTTTAACACCGAAGATAATAAAGAGGGAATCAGTTCAGAGTTATTTCAAAGTCCAAGTGTCTGTGGAAGAGAAAGCCGCTCTGCCAAAACCTTCAGCTGTTTGGAGATATTTCAAACCCGCCTCACTCACAACTTCTACAGCTGCTCCAAATATCTGTAAAGACCATGTTCTGTTGGGGGAAACCAGAGTTTCACAGTTGATGGGATAAAAACGGATTGTTGACATCTACAATAGCACCAATGCTTTTGACTTTCACCTTGACTGGGCCCCATTTGTAATGATCTGAAGTATTTATCTGCATTATATCTGAATTTAACTGGAACGATACGAGTGAGCAGGAGCGTCTGTTTGTGGGCGGGGCTTACTGGAGCAGAGAGGGAGGGGAGAGGAGGACCCCACCTTTAAATCTAAAATGAGCATATTTCTTATTTCAGTTTCGTCGTTTAAAATCATGAGCTTATTTTCATCATTATTCAGCACATAAAAAACTTGATACTGGGGCGTAAACAGCTACAACCACCAGGTTCTGGATTTGGACTTGTGTCGTGGTCACACCTAGAGCCCGGGTCTGAATCATAGACTGTATCGACTCTGAACAACTTGGTTCTGCCTTCCAGTTTACAGATTTGAAGCTGAAAAGCGCTCGGTAATTCTGCGTTTTTTCTCCATTTCCTGAAACCAACATTGCTGAGTAACATCGTACGCATTCGGCGGGAGAGTCGCTGTGATGACACTCGGCGGAAACAGCGTATCCCCGGGTGATCTACGCAATCTTCGTACGCCCATAGGCTAGGCCGGATTTATGACCTATACTGCAGCCCGTCACCAGAGGGTGCTGTTCTCAGAGTGGCTTCACCCAGCGAGGAGGCAGACGGCGTCCGTTCTAGATACAGTCTATGGTTTGAATATATTGAATGAAAAAGCTGATCAGACCGTCTTTGAGCTGGACGACACAAACACTCCTCAGCGCGTGACTAACTTCCTGTCCTGTCAGACCACCATCACGCACCGTAACTCCCCTGGTGATCTGGTGCAGACTAATCATTTCCAGTAGCGGCGGATTAAAGTGACGATGATGATGATGATGATGTTGTTTGCAGTCATCATCATAACAGACCAACGCTCCATCATAAATCCACGGCGTGGCGGCGTCTACCCGTCATCCTCTCCTGTTTGTCAGCCCAGGAACATTTTGTCTCTCATCTCTCAGCCTCCTGATCGGGGAGGATGTGGGTCACGCTGGGGGATGTTTCCATGGATACACGCTGACTCTCCAAAAGCTGGCTTGTTGTTGCTCAGCTCCCTGTAGCACCGCGAGCTGTCATCCTCGAACCCCCCCGAGCCTCCAGAGACAGGCTAATGGCTGCACTCGGATTATACCCGGCATGCATATGAGTGTGTGTGTTTGTGTGTTTGTACCTTTTGTCTCTGTGTGTAATTGCTGTACAGCTCCACCATAATTGGTTCAATAAAGGCTCCCTTGTGGGTTTGTGGAGACGAGGATTTCCTCCACATTGAAACACTGAGGCTCCATTGACAGAAACACTCAGAGTCACAGTGTCACATCAAGAGTCTGGGAAATTTCCGCCTCTCCAAACACTCGAGTTCAGCTGAGCGTCAGTGGAGTGAAAACTCCTCAGCTTCTACCTCTGCAGTCCAGATAAAACCAAACCTGATTTTTGAGATGTGAGAGATGTGTCCAGATCTAGAAGTGTCTTTACACTGGCTCACTGTACGTTTTAGAAATGATTTTAAGATTCAACTAAAATCATTTAAGACCCGCGTACACTGAAATCCTTCGACAGAGGTCTACTGCGTGTGTCAGGACTGAGTCTTTGCAGTGAGGGGTTAAAAACTCTGCAGTGATCCGCCTGAGGAGATCAGGTCAGCTGAGGCAGTGATCTATTTAAACGGACGTCTGAAAACATACTCTTATCGTTGAGCATTTCCGTACTCCAGTTTTAAACCTGTCATTGAACTCTTTTAAAGCATTTTAGTATTCTGCTAAATCAATTTTACATCTTTACTAATTCTAGATCTTGCCTCATGTTGTTTTATGACCTTCCTGTTTAATTTTGCTGTCCTTGTAAATCCTTTCTTAGATTTAATTCTAAAATACTGTTACTATTTTAAGTTCCTTATATTTAATTCCTTGTGTAAACCTTAAAAAGGATAATTTAGCTGCAGAAAACATAATTTTATTGTTGAACATTTCCCTAACTCCAGTTTTAAACCCTTTTATTGAACTCTATGAAAGCATTTTATTACTTTTAGTATTCTGCTAAATTAATTTAACGTCTGTACTACTTCTGGATCCTGCCTAATGTTGTTTTCCTGTTTAATTTTTCTGTCCCTGTAAATCATTTCTTAGATTTAATCCTAAAATACCATTACTAATTTCTATTTCATTCCTTGTGTAAACCTTAAAAAGAATAATAAGGCTGCAGAAAACATACATTTATCATAGAGCTTTTCCTAACTCTAGTTTTAACTGTTTCATTGAACTCTCTTAAAGCATTTTATTTCTTTTTAGTGTTCTGCTAAATTAATTTTATGATTTTACTAATTCTGGATCTTGCCTCGTGTTGTTTTATGACCTTCCTGTTTAATGACCTTCCCTGCATTTCCTTACTCCAGATTTAACCCTTTCATTGAACTCTTTTAAAGCACTTTAGTGTTCTGCTAAATTAATTTTACATCCTTACTAATTCTGGATGTTGTTGTTTTATGACCTCTCTGTTAATTTTGCTGTCCTTGTAAAGCATTTCTCGGATTTAATTCTAAAATACCATGACTATTTGAAGTTCTTTATATTTCATTCATCGTGTAAACCTTAAAATAAAAAGGATAATAAAGCTGCAGAAAACAACGAAAGTAAATTATTCAGATCAGAAAATGCAAAAAAAAAGATCAACTGAAAGTCTGTTTTCTTTTATGAGAAACATGATAGCTGAAATTAGGGCTGGGCGATAAAACGATAACGATATTTATTTAAAATTATTTCCCTCAATATCAATATAAAACATGTTCAATATGCTTTTAACCAAATTTACGAACAGCCAATGAAAAGGGAAGTTTCTCCGGGTCCACTTTGTGCTGAACCAATCATGTGCTGAATAAAAACCAAGTAGTGAAAAACTGCGTCATAGCAGACAGCAGCTACACCAAACCATCGCACTTTAACAGCGCAAACGTCGAAGAGACACAAAGACCTCAGATGCAGTAGCTTATTGTATTGCAAAAGACATGCTCCCAATACGCACAGCTAAATGTCATTTTTTAAATCATGATATATATTGATATTGACTGATATGAGATAAATTTTTCCATATCTCCCAGCCCTAGATGAAATATACCAAAAACCAACTTAATATTGTGATTAAAATAAGAAAACAGTATCACAGTGGTGGTCGTACTTCAGCTTCAATCATTTATCGACTTATTGTTTCATCTATAAACACAATAACCTCCTCAGTCTGCAGCCGTGCAGCTTCTTTATCACGCTCATCACTTTAACAACACCTTCCAAATAACTGCAGGTCAGGAGAAGAGCTGAGCTGGTCCAAAACACACCCCAGGTATCAATGAATCCACGTTTTAATCAGTCGGGCAGCCACACAGGAGCAAAAATCCATCACAATTAAATCTGCATTAGCCTGTATTAACCAACAGAGGGGTCGCGGTTTAGAGGCTAAAGAATAACTTTGTCTGAGCGAGAGATGGAGGAAGAGATCGGGTCTGGAAACGGCAGCAGAGACGAGAACAATAAAGAGAGATTTCTGGGAGTGAAACAGAGTGTGATAAAAGTGAAAGTCTTCGTGCAGAGAAAAAGACAAATCCATATATATTTGTTCAAACTACCTTCTGTGAACAACTCTAATCTGTTATCTTTCCTGTAGCAACAGCAGGAATCCTTGTAAACTCCTCTTCTGATTATATCGAGGGAACCCCAACCTTGTTATTTCAAAGCAAAGGTACGACCCTGCTGAGCAGAGAGGCCGTTATATAACCGCTGTTTTTGTGGAGAATTACAAAACAACTAAAATGTCCAAATGGATTAAATCCACGGGGATAATGTGGTAAGAGTCTAAACTTTACTGAGGGTCCACCAGTTTTAGATTTTCATCGAGGAAACTGATGCTGATGGTTTTTTTAAGGATGCAGGATATTAAACGTTATTCAGAATTTATATCTTTTAGTTTATTTTCTCCTTTTCAAATCAAATCTCTCTCCTACTTCGATCAAAACACAAAATCAACCTTACTGATAAACACAGCGGACTCACTCAGACATGATCAATAACTTCTGTTGATGTTTAAAAATCACATTTGTCTCAAAACCTTCATCAATCTGTCGAGTGTTTTCTTGAATATCCGTGATGGTGACAGTGTCGCGTGCATGTTGACCTTCTAAACTTGACTGAACTGTCCAGATATAGAGATACAAGACATGTGCTGTAAAGAATCTATGTGGCCTATTTCTATATTTACATTCACACTGCAATTTAACTTACATTTGGAAAAAGACATAAAAAGATTGATTGTCTTTTACGTGTGAGTTTTTATCTGTAAAAAGGCCAAAAAGGGTAAAAAAAAAATGTTAATGTTGTTACTAATATTTGACATACCTAAAGGTGTGATAGCAGGTAAAAATCGTCAGCCTCTGATCACTTTTGATATTAAAAATTTGTCATACAATGTGATTTTTACCCAAATCAATGACATCACCTCTGAATTTGGCATTTAAAGGGTTAAAATTCCTCATGAAATAATAATAGTAATAAATGTTATGATAAGGACTGAGCTTCATGAGGAGATTTGTGCAAAAAAAAATTGAAAAAAATATTTATCTGGTTTGTTTTTACAGAAGCTAAAGTCGGTGGCCAAAAACAGCCACAAAGCAACCAAAGGTGAGTAAGTCTGTACACAGTGCATTTTTAACCTTGTAAAATTTTTGTTAAAGAAAATTAAAACTATATGTCAAATTAAACTTTCTCAACAAAAATGATTTCACTCTCTAAAAAAAAAAAAAAAAAAAAAAAAAAAAAGAGTGTTTTGGTTAAAAAAAAATTTGGGGAATTTTTCACCCTACTGGCTAAAAAACCCCACAAAAGTTAAATATGCAAAAGAATATTTAGTTAAAATATTACAAGGAAAAGTTCTACATCTCTGCACAACCTTTACGGAGCTTTATCGATCATGCAGCCTGTTCCAATTTGAAAACTCCTGGTCTAAAATATTAACAGTCACATATAGGGCTGGGCGATATGGACCAAAAGTCATATCCCGATATATATAGGCTGATATACAATATATATCCTGATATTGTTTTTGCAAAGTGAGAGCAAATGTTTAGTCACAGTCAAAGCCAAATATGACATGTCACAAATAGTTCTATTTAAACCCAATAAACAATAAAATGTAAATATAAATACTGTAGAACCACAGGAGTGTTAAACTGGAGCTCCATAAGGCGCACATCTTAAATAAAAAAGCCCTAAAGTAAAACAGGACGATCTTTTTCTGAAATAAATTCATTTATATGAGAAAAGTATCAACATTTTCACAACTATAAATGGATGATTCAAAACAAAATGCAGATTTTCTTCTTCTCTCTAACAAATCCACAGATGCAAACAACGAACACGACAAAAGAATTAAATATGACGAACCCTAGTGAGGACGGCATTTATACGTATAAAGACAGAACAGAATAAAGTGCTCAAAACATCATTTTAAGATTATTTATCCATCTTTCTTATCTTCTTAACAGTCTAACATTTCCCCCTTTTCTTTCTTTTTGACTTTGTTAAACAGTTTGTTTTGTCTTCAGGTCGACGTTAGAGGACAGACAAGTGTGTCCTTCTTTGTGCGAGAAACACCAGCTTGTCAACAACATCATCTGATATCTGTATATCTATATATGCAGTACGGTCCAATATCGATAATTGTATATCAATATATCGCCCAGTCCTGGTCACATTTCTCTGTTAGTTGGGTAAAAAGTACAGTCTGTCCAAATGTAAACACTGTGTACATGTGCAGCAGCTGCAGCAGCAGAAGTATTAATACTCTGAAGGAGGAGAGTACTCGAGTACATGTACTGAGTTACAGGGCAGCTCTGTCTGAGAGCATCCATGCAGATCAGAATAGCTTGAAGCATGAATAATGCACAGTAATTACATAATGTCCTTCAAACATGCACACACAGCACAGTATAAACAGAGGTGTGTGTGTGTGTTTTTATCCAGGATCAGTGTTTCTGCTCTTTGTCTTTGGTTAGCAGGATCTCAGGCCTCCTCAGTCTCACTGTTGTCAGGATTGTTTTTGTCAGATCTGAAGGCCCGGGTTACAGCAGGTTAGGCCTGACTTTACTAAAGATTCAATCCAAGGCCCAGCAGGAGAATCTGACTCCAACACCAAACACACACACACACATATATTCAGACAGCAGCGTGGCCCTCTCTGTCACATATATGAAGGAATCTAAACAATCAGACGTTGATAATAGAGCAGAAAAGCCTCCTTCACACCCCTCTGTCTCTCTATCTGTCTGCCTGTCAGCAGGAGAGCAAAGCGCAGCGCTGCAAGGATCGACGCTAATGTCGACAAAAGCCATAAAAATGCAACCACTCCCATCTCCTCCTCATTGTGCTGCTGCTGCTGCTGCTGCTGCATCCACCCGTGAGCCGAGCTTACCCACTGCTCCCTGATCTGGGAGAGACTTGGCCAGCGTCTCCCAAACCGCGCAGATCGAGGCGAAGACGAGGAGGAATCGGGAGATGAAGTCGGCTGACATCCTTGCAGCTACATCTCTAATCCCAGCTCCATGTCGGCCGTGTTTCCATATTCCTCCCAGCTCCGTGTGAGCCCCTCACTCCTCATCAGACATTAGGCTCGGATACCCGGCTGTGAATGGAGATGCTGCTGCTGCTGCTGCCGTGTGTGTGTTTGTGTGTGTATGTGTGTGTGTGTGTGTGCGGGCTTCGCCTTGTTTTTATTGTCTGAGGTTGGAGGAGGAGGAAGAGGGTCCGAGGTTTCCCTCTGTCGACCTGCAGTGGAACAGCGGCTCTGCTGGAGAACTCCTGGGTTCAGTGGTGCAGCATATTCACGGTGAAGATATGGAAGTCAATCTGTGCCATCTGATCTTCAATTTCAAAAGCTATTTTTTTAAATCGAAATCAGACTTTAAATTTCAAAACCATTGAATTTCAAGCACGTATTTTTATATATTTTTTTACCCTATTTTTTTACAATGATAAAATGAATTCAGTGTAAAAAAAAAAAAACGGTTTCTCAACATATTTATGTATTAAAAATTCAACTTAATAAAAAAATTTCAGTGTCAAATAATTGAGTGCCAAAAAATGTAGTGTAAGGGACTGTTTTTTTTTGTGTGTGATTATTTCGGACGTCAATATTTTTTTTCTAACCCGTATCCTGTCAATACAAGCGTCCACATCAGCGACGTTTTCCCGTCCTGTGATATTGCCGCATTTATTTTTTCGTATCATGTCGATTTTGCCAAAGTTTGGCATTCTGTGTGTCCATTTCTGACCAATCAGATCTCGTGTTGTTGCGACATCTGATTCACCGGTATATCCAACATGGCCGACCGGCTAATTGTGTTTTTGATAAAAGACACAAACAAACATTAATATTTGATTGTGACTTCACAAATCTCTTTGATTAACGTTCCCTGACATGTAAACATACATTTATCTTTGCGTTTTTTCTCTTCTTCCTCGTTCTTTTTCCTGCTCCTGAAGGATATGTCCTTTTTTTACCGCACAACAACCTGAGCTCTGGATGCTCAGTGCATATTGAACAGCAGGAGGCGCATAACGGTGGCAGCACTAAAATGTTTTTTACTTTATTTTATTTTGTTTTTACAAGAATATATATTTGATCATACAGAAAGCATCATTGATACAAGCAAAAAATAAAATATTACTTTTTTTTTTAATTGCTCTTGGGGGCCCCCTACAGGCTGTGGGGCCCTAAGCAGGCACTTAGTTTGCCTTGGGCCAGCTCTGAAAATGCTTTAAAAAACTACTGATGTAGCTGCTCTACGGGGTGAAACATGACAGCAATCTGTTTGAACACCCTTCAGTAAACAAGATAAAAAAGGTCCCTGTGGTTAAAGATGTAAACAAAGGAAGTGTCCCCTGGATGCCCTCCTAGTACAGAACATTTTAAAGAGCCCTCTTCTAGAGCTCTAGATGTCCTTCCAGTTTATAATGCATTAAAAAATCCCCTCTAATTGCCTTTCAAGTGAATCACATGTTAGAGAAATTTCCCTCTCAGTAACCGGTATATGTTAAAAAAAAGTGCCCTCTATCACAGACCTGTGTGCACTGGTGCTCCTATGGTCAACTTACCCCATACACGGGGTAAGTTGACCATAGGAGACCACTTTTTTTTGTCATGCTATATTATCAAGACAGTTCTGTTTACACTCATTCAGTTGGTTTGCAGGGATGAAAACCATCCTGAAATATCTGCAGATACACAAGTTAGAGACAAAACTAGGATTGACTTGATGTTGAGATCCAGAATATGAATAACGGATCATCTTACCCCACTCTTCTCTACTTTTATGAAAAATAAAAATAACGCCAAATATGTGGAAATGAACTTTTTATTTATCAATTTACCAGTTCAAAGATTGCCTCTCTTGAGATAACTATAGCGGATAAATTATAAAGGATTTTCCTCCACTGCAATATCCTGCTGCGCCTCTAGATGGCTCCACTTCACCACAGAGATACTAATGTTTTAAACACACGAGTGTTAAATTCACGGATTTCTGAATCGTGGTCTTTGAAAAGTGTCTCATCTTGTGGGTTTCTCTCATCACTCAGATGTCAACCCCAGTTTTATAAAAATGTCCACTCCTCAGTTTGTTCTGGTTCTCGGTGTCTGTGTGGAAAAAAGACCAAACTTACCAGGAGTGTGTGAGTTTGTTCAGCCGGGTCTGGACCGAGGGTTCGGCTCAAGGTTCACCAGAACCAGCTGTCTGCAGCATCTGGACTCCATCAGGTGAGAGAGGGTGTCGAGAAGAGAAAGAAATGCTGTTATGTTTATGATGACCCCATTTCACCGACAGATGTTAGAGTAAAAAACAGATTTAACAACAACAACCTGTTCGTTTTAACTCCAAAACTACATCAGGAGAGAGTCAGCCCAGGTACTGCCACCTACTGGCAGTCAGGAGAGTCAACAAAAACTCTGAAATGACAAGCTAATCAAGGTTATATTCTTGATTTATCAGAGTGATTTTTATTAAACTGATTTACTTATATTTTTAAAATCACTTTAGTTGTGTTTTAAAGTTTTTCTTTCTGATTATTATGGTGTGTGTTTTCATGTTATATTTGGTGGATGTTAAAGAAATCTCCAGACAGGTAGAAATACGGTCACCTGAACCTGAACCACCGATCAATCACCTGGTTAATTAAACTATGGTGATCAATCATGATTACATTATCCTTTAAGAAGAGACGAGTGGTTACTCATGTGTCTGTGTGTGTGTGTGTGTGTGTGTGTGTGTGTGTGTGTGTGTGTGTGTGTGTGTGTGTGTGTGTGTGTGTAAATATAGCTGCAGACTTGGGTGTGGATGTGAACTTGTGTGAGAGGAGGAGCTCTGGAGATGTTCAGATGTAAACAAAGACTCTTGGTTTGTGTCTCTAATCTGAAATCCTCAGAGATGAAATGTTGTCACCTCTGAATCAAACTGTCTTAAAGGCCGTTAAATAGGAAAAGGAGAAACTGTTTTATGAACATCCAGTTAAAGTTTTACTGTTTAACTTTACTTCAGAGAATGTAATTTTGATCACCTTGTGAGATTTTTTAACCATCTAACTTTTCACCTTTTCTCCACCGATTGACACACTGGCTGGATAAATATCCTCTGGGTTTTCTTCCAGTTGATAAAGCATGAAAAAGTGCCTCTAGATACCCAACCTGAATTTTAAAAAAGGGGTAAAACTTTGTTGATTTTCTCTCAGTTGTATAAAAGGTAAATGACTTCCTCCTGCATACAAGACGAGATTATAAATTGTTAAAATTGATCTGTAGATTTTTCATCCAGTTAATCTAAAACAACTACTATCTGGATGCCCTACCTGAATATGATTGTGAACGATTTTCTTCTAATTAATTAAATGTTTTAAAAAAGGAAAAGCTCTTGAATGTTTAAATTTATAAAAAGGGGAAAAAGGTCCAAAAAACAGTGTAAAATATCCAGACAGTAAAATCTCTGTGGTTCCTCTGGTTGATAAAATGTAAAAATAGGCCCTCTGGATGCCAAACCTGACCTACAATGTAACACAGCCGTCATTTCTTCATATAAATACAATCAGACCGAGACGCTTAAGCAGAAAAACTACTGCGTCTGCAGTGCAAAATGATTAATATGGTGATTATTACTTCAAGGAAATGATAAAGAAATGATCATAAATGCTCTTCCTTGAGCTGCATCACCCTGTAGTCCGTAATGGACTGGCCTGAGGTCTCACTGCAAACAAGCGGCTGCTGGAAGAGAGTAGGTGAGTGAGGTGCGGTCGTTACTAAAGTTGGTTTGACTAGAGAAGCAGTCGGCAACATTCATCTCTTGACGGGGTGTCTAACTCTGTGTTACGGTGTGTTTGACCCTAAATTAATTTCACTCCGGAATATCCCTTTAAGTTCATGTCAAACCTGCAGCTGATCATCACTGTTGTTTTCTTTGTTTCTACTCAGGACTCATCCAGGTACCTAAACAGACACCTGCAGGACTTCTATGTGGTTCTGGATGAGGTCAGAGGGAGGGTTCCTCAGGTAAGACCACTTCACTGAAGTTTGACTTTGCGTGTTTTATGACACTAAAGTCTTCATCTGGAACGGACTGAAGCCAGACTGAGATTTTCCACAGTAGCTCCTGGTGCTGGATTTTGTGAGGCCACTTAGTACGAGGTCAAATTCCTCCCCTTATCCTGCTGACGGTTTCTGTGTCTGCACCACAGGAGCCTCTGAAGGGTTCAGTGAGCAGCTCCATGAAGACGGCGCTGCGCTCCTACACCGACGTTTGTGACGCCGTGTTTGTGGTGGAGATCCGCCTCCTCTTTCTTGGAAAGACGGGTGGAGATCCTCAGTGTCAGCTTCTGTCTTTCCTCGCTGATTCACTGCAGATGAAACCGCAGATTTCAAGCTCTGTAGCCAAGGTACAAACCTCCAGATTCCAGCGCAGCGCTGCTGTGCAAAGAGTTTTATTACCATAATCTCTTTTGGATAAGGAGAGCACCGTTACAACACTGTTTTCAACGCAATAAACCCTTTATTTAGGTAGGATTACTGTTTGTTATAATGCACACCGCACTGTACATGCAACATAGTTTAACACCATCTAAACCAGAGAGGAATATTTGTATTCAAGTTGTTATTTTTGTCCCAGACAGTCATGTTTACTTTTGGATATCATGAGGAGATGTTAAAGGGATATTCCGGTGTAAAATTAGGGTCGAACACACTGTAACACAGAGTTAGACCCCCCCTCCAGAGATGAATGTTGCAGACCGCTTGCTTCTCTATTTATACCAACTTTAGATACGACCGCAGGATGGCAATACAGAGAGCCACGCCCCCAACCAAAACGCCACTCTATAGCCACAAATAATGCTCAGAACAGCACCTAACTTCATCAACAGGACATATAGGGTCACAGCCATAGTACTAGACATCAAACATCTTTTTAACTTTGACCCATTTCTTTAGCAAAGAGACTAAACACAACTCACCTACTCTCTTCCAGCAGACGCTTGTTTGTAGTGGGACCTCAGGCCAGTCCATTACGGACTACAGCGGGGTGACACAGCTCAAGGAAGAACATTTATGATCCCTTTAATATGAATTTAAATGTGTTTTAGAAACACCAAAAAACCTCCTCACAGGACCTTTAAGTCATTCATGACAGAGGGAGCTTCCTGTTTCTGATTGTTTGGCCAACTTTAACCTTTTATTTTGTCTTTTAATTTTTTTAGCTGCTTCATCTTTTAACGTTTGTCAGCTTCTGTTATTTGAGGATTTGATCATGTTTTAATGTGATATCTGTGTTTTATAAATGTCATATTTTAATGTACCGCCCTGTTAAAACACGCTTGAGTCTTATCAAATGCTTTATTAATGATATGCATATCTCGTCTTGTGGAAACTTGAATTACTGATGAAATCAGTCACAAGTGTTACTCTTTGGGTATTAAATCTGCTCAGCCTGCATTACCACACAGAGCATTTAATGAGTGTGACAATGGTTGTGAAAACTCGGTCACGTTTGGCTGTGATGTGATAGATTACTCAAGAGGAGCAGGTTTCACTGGTTCAAAAATGAAAGGAAAACCAGTGAATGGCATTAAAAAACTCAAAGCTGAAGTTAAGAGGCTGAAAAAACACACGGTTGTGGAGAGAGACACCTAAAACCTGCTGGAAATCCTAAGTTATAGCGTTCACATAACTACTTTAAATCATGACAGTTAAACTCTGCATGATCCAAGAGAGGCTCCGCCCACAGTCACCACATAATTTCAGTCATTATTTTCACTCTTAACCCCCGCTGGCTGCCAGAAACTGACCCCAAACACCGCACAGAGGGAAGTTTTCTTGGCTGTAATCCGTTGAGTGTGCCGTCTGACACGGCGGGCGCCCGGGGTTTGACCCCAATAAAACCAGAATTTGAGGAATTACGCTGCACCTTGTTGCCTCCCAGCACTTTGTTTTTGTTGTCGCTGTTAACGTTGTTATCATATTAAACTTTGGTAAGACTTAAATCCTGGCTTTGTTGAAGGACCCCTTTCAGACGCTGCCCTCAGAGTTACAGCAGAAGCTGTCTGAGGAGGAAAAAGGAGGTCTGAAGGTTTTCTTCTACACATAAACTCTTCACAGATAAGCAGAAGCCATCTGCACTCACCTCTCTGCGGTTAAAACACAACAAATCGACCATTTGTGTGTGTTTGTTGGAGGTAACGCCCCAAATGGCAAAGCAATCAGAAAACATCTATAATATTGATTTATTTCAGTTTACCCTGGAGGTGTTTTTGTTTTTAGAAATAAGACTTTTTTGAACTCCTGGATGTTGAGAAGTGTGCCTATTGTTGGTGCAGAGATTACCACCCTGGTCTGAAGGAATCCATTCATCCCTGACAGCTTTAATCAGAGCAAAGTGTGGAGGGCTCACCCCGCACTCTCCCCCGGGACTGAGAGCCTTTTGACTTCTAGGACCAGGAGCGTGACCCCTCCAGGCGGCCATCTGTCGGGGGGAAAGGGAGCTTAAGTAGTTTCCCCTCAGCCACAGGTCATTTGTATTGAAGCAGCAGCTGGGCAGGAGAGTGAATGGGAATGCTGATGGTGAAAACAATGGATGCAATGCAAACTGTTGTTGTCTTTGTGTCCTCCCTCCCTGCTGTCTTCAGCATCAGGTCCACCTTGCAGGTCCATTTGGAGCAGAAAGACCTTCAACCCCTGCTGGGACCTGGAACATCAGAGGGCTGAATCATTGCTTTTCTTTGTGTTTTTTAGAAATAGGTTATTACTGATGCAATTTCTGGATACTGATTGACTATTTCTAAGAGATTCATCCCATATAGAAGCACAATTTCTCTTTTGAACCCCCGCCCAAACATGTTTACATAATTTTCATGATGTTGTGTTTGTCTGAGTATCATGGGTCTCTGGGTAGCTTCAGCGTTTCCTTTGACATCTTTGAAGACATATTTGTTTCCCTGATCCAAAACCTGCAACAGCGATCGAGGGTAAAGTAGGTTTGGGTGGATTTGAGAGCTGCATGTAGGTGAATAAGGTCAGTAAGAGTGGTCCTGGAATTTGTGTGCTATCTTGAAGCTAACACTACGCCGGCATCCTCCAGATCAACTTCATATCGACTCAGGCGCTACATGGTCTAACCACATGACACATTGAAAAGTCTTCTCGCCGCCGTCTTCCGTGCCTCGATCGTAAAAACACCAGTGCGTCATTGATTTTTATTTTTTTTATCTGCACCGTTTCTTTTTTTATTTGTTGTGGGCTTTGGTTTCTTTTTTTCTTTTTTTTTGGATCATTAACTTCCATTGTGTGATTTTTAAATTTATCTGCAGTGTTTCTTTTTTCATTTGCTGCGGGCTTCAGTTTCTTTTTCTTTTTTTTCTTTTTTTGGTTTTGCGTGGGTAACTTCTGTTGTGGTTTCTTTTTTTTTTTTTTTCATTCTTTTTTATTTGCAGTAGTGGCGGTTCTTGGCCACCATAGAAAAGAAACTAAGTTAACAGTTTCTATAATAATAATAATAATAATTATTATTTATTTCTTAGGAATTTTTTGCTCATGAATGCCAAATGTCAGTTATTTTGTTGCATTTCCCCCCTCTCTTTGGACATTGCACAGTTAAAAATAAAAGAAAACTACTTTAATTTGTCATGTATTGTACTATTTTGATAAATACTGTTTCTTGGGTGTATTAATTCGGGTTAAAATCACCCGGTGATAGTGTTACAGGGTTAAAAAGACGTTGTAGATGTTTGATATCAGAAGTTAAAATGAGAGACGGTCTGTTTTTTGCTTTTCATGTTTGATTTAAATGGTTTATTTCACTCTAACTATAAATACTCAGTTTTCTCCCAGAGTAACTCCTAATTTTTGACTCTTCGTTAAAAAACTTGAGGAAAAATAAAAATCTGCCATCACGCCTCCCTTTGTGAAGTCAACCAAACCGTTGTCTCAGCCCCGCCCCTGAGTAGTGGCAGCACCGTCTATCCAATCAGCACCACGGATGGAGATGCACTTTTCCTTTTGGACCAATCAGAGGGTCGGAGGGGCAGCCGTTAGCCGTGTAGTTACCACAGAGATGCTGGTACGCGTTCTTCGGTTGTTCCCAGTGTTTGTTCACTGAATCGTCTGAGGACTTTCGCTGCGGATCAGAGGATCGTGTCGGGATTTAAACGCCTCGAAGGAAGAGTAGTTCGGCTCTCAGCGATGTTGGCATCCAGGCTTTAAAGTAAGTGTTGAGCAGCTTTTCTGAATTTGACGTTTTTTCCAGAGATGATGTGAGGAAGGTTACAGACGGTAACTGTTAGCTTGGATTCCTAACCTGAGAATAACTTAACGCTTTTATTGAGCTTTAAAAACACATCATTATCATAGGAACTCAATGTTAATGAAGCTCAGAGAGAGGTCGTTTATTGACATATCAGTGTTAGAGAGTCTTTTCGTATTTTCAGCAGAAGATTGTTCAGGTTTGGTCTCCAGTCTCAGTTAGTAACGGTTTTATCAGGACTGTCAGGATAAAAATACAAACATCTTTTCATCAGTATTTACCCGGGTTATTGTCGTTTTTATATTATTTTAGATATATAATAATAATGTATTTTTGCCACATATTGTTATTTTTCACCTGCCATCCGTCAAACAGGAGCGTATTCTGTGGGATGGTCTGGGGTGGGCATGGCCCTTGTAACTGTTTGGCCACCCCGAAAAAAATTGTACTAAATTTAAGAATAACAGTTAGATAGAGGAGCCAGTCTCCTCCACTGTTTTTTTCATAATGTTAGGGATATCATTTCACTCAAGATACAGATATTAGCATAGCATTGGTTTGGAGAGGGTTTGACATTATTTCATAGATAGATAGATATACTATATCGATCCCAAACTGGGAAATTCACATTTCATGATATTTTTGTACTGCAGGGCTCGACAGTGTGACCATTTCACTCACATTTGCGACTAAAATAGATGTGTGCGAATTGTAAAATGTATTTAGGGGCACATGTATGCATAAAAAAAAATCAACAAAGGTTAGATTTAGGTTGGATGTCTGACGGACATTCTCTGAGGATTTACCGGTGTCTTCCCACTCTCCATAACCGGGAATAACAACAGCAGCGCGGTTAAATCTACTCGGCACCCTTGCTGTCAGCGCTGGGACCGTCAAATAAGGGACCGTCAATAAATTACCAGTTGATGTTCTCAGAAAAGGCTGTTTTCCTTCAATAGCTTCACTGTCATGTGACCAAAAGACCTAAAATTGATTTCAAATAACAGTACTTAAGTGCCCCTAAAGTTCTTTGTGTGCTCCAACAAGATGGCTACATCTACGAAAGTTATTTTAGCGATCGCCTTGTCCAAATATAAGGCGAGCGCTAAAATAACTTTTGTAGTCAATCTTGTTTCTGCTTTTTTCCGACTTGGTGACTGAAACTCTCGGAACTCGTCAGCTCCGACATCTGACTTCCAAGGTAACTCAAACGCTGCATAAACCATTGATTATCATATATGCAGTAAAATATATATTATCGTATAAAGGGGGGGTGCTCGTGTCTCGAGGAGTTGCCATGGTGATGTAACTACTACAGTTCTGCAACAAAGAGTAAAAATATTCAGTTAAAATACAAGTCAGATACAAGTTGTTTGGCATGTATCAGAACTACAAGTCAACTCCTCCTTCCTCTTTTTTAACATGTTTTATTAGTTTAACATCAAAATAAACACAGAAGGAGACGGCACAGACGCTGCCTGACAGTAGAGGAATAAAGAAAATCATACATGAGTTATGAATCATGTCAGATACAGCCTCAACCATCAAAGGAAAAATATGACTGTGACACATTTGTGAAGACAAAGTGTGGACGCGCCCACCTCAGTGAGCCAACAAGATCACAGGGAACGTAATCTGGAAGAGGGCTGCCAAAAATGATCGTGCAGAGGTGCCCCTTGGGAAAATGTTTCTCTGTACCACAGGAACCGAGTACACCACCTCCATCAAGAGGAGGAGCAGACGTTCACTCGTCAGAAAGCAGGAGAGGGTGGTGGGAGAGTACAGGTCTCTACCAGGAGGTTTAATGTAGAATCCAAATGGAGTTAAGGAACATTTTTCCAACACCTGGATATTAATAGAAACAGCTCCATCAAGTATCAGCAGGTTCCAGAGAGGAGGAGATTGAAGGGTTCATTCAGTTCAGAAACTGAGTCGAAAAACTTTGAGTTTGTTGGGATAATTAAACATGACTTTCCAACTCTTTTAGTGAAAGTTAAAATGATTTTAGTAAACAGAAATAGTAGATAACAGCTGTTTTAGTTCGACCCCCTCATTCACACACAGTCTTGTTTGTGATGAGAACATGATAAAGTTAGCTAACAGAGCTCAGACTCAGAGCTCTGGTCTGCAGAGGGACTTCTCTCTGACTCTCAGACTCAGCTGTTACTGCGGAGCTTCATCAACAATCGACCGGCTCTCTGATTTTGTTCAACATTAAAAGACAAAGTGTCTAAAAGCAGTAAGAGAAACGTTTTATAATATGTTTGTCCTTTCATTTCTGCGTGTTCCCCATTGTTATTGTCAGCGTGTCCCACTGTCCTTAGTAACAATAACGTGTGGTTTTGTTGACGGTTACCATGGGAGACGGCACAGTCAGGGGAAAGTAGCTGTTATTTCCTTTGTTGTTGTGGTGGGAACTGTGGAGTCCCTCCTCGGTACAGAGCATGTACCGCCTGTTGTGTCTGATTCTCTCCGTGTCTGTCCCTCCTCCTCCTCCTCCTCCTCCTCTCCAGGTTTTCAGAGGATGCATACGACACGCAGCCCCTCATCCATCCCCACAGGTGTCTCAGGAGATGCCTTGGACCTCAGCCTGTCCGGCTCCCAGCTCACCGTGTCCAAAAGACCCAGCAGCGCGTCGCCCGGGAAGTGCTTCTCCAGGTCTGTGTCGGTGTCTGTGGCCACTGACAGCAAAGGGAAACGCAACACTCTGGTGAGTAACCCCGCCACCGCCGCCGCCGCCGTCACGTTTCTGCTTCTGTGCCGTTTGAAGCTAATCTGTTCAAGATGCAGGAATGAGGAAGTCAGACGTGTCTTCTGGGTCATTTTCAGAGAGTTCCTGTCTGCAGCATGATTCATCACTAAGACAGTAAAATAACTGAGAGTACATCAGGACTCTCTCAGAGATTCAGTGTTATATGTTATTAGGGGTTCATGTTGGTTTGTCACTAATAAGGATCAAATGCGTTTGAACATGTTTTTAACGGCTAACGAAGCTTTGAAATCCACAGAGCGACACCAGCTTCGGCAGCTCCCGCTCCATCAAGAACCTCCGGAGGTCCAACAGCACCACCCAAGTCAACCAGCAGGCTAACATCAGTCTGAGGTAAAAACACACACACACACACACACACACACACACACACACACACACACACACACACACACACACACACACACACACACACACACACACACACACACACACACCTGTGTTTGATATTTTCTTCTTATCTAACCTGGGAAAGGTAAACAGCAGCAGCAGCACACTTTACAAACAGTCCTTTTACATGACACTCGAGAAAACCGAATTATTGCCGAACTCCAGCTAAGACAGGACAACTGAAGTGCATGTAAACACCTTACCTCAGATTTCCACCACATCCGGAACGGCTCCATATTTTGCCGTACGCCAATTTCTACCAGATCCGTTTGAGAGACGAATTTCGTGGCGGATTACAGACAGCAGGACCCGCGGATTCATGTGTAATCGTGCGATAACGAGTTGTCTTTAGCCACAGATGCTAACCATATAAGCAGTAGAATGTGTCCTTCCAGAGGAGGAAATCTACTTCTAGACTTGTAGAATCAGCATCTCCTCATCCATGGTGTCATCGGGGTGAAATGACGTCATGGTAGCCGGAAGCCGGATGTTTTATTTTGTGTCTGTGCCCGACTTCCTTTCCAGCACGGGTTAATCTGTGCTGAATTTATCCACCATGCTCTGGCATTCGGAAAAAATAGAACTCCTGCGATGGGCTGCGTAGTCCGGCAATCTGCAGAGGAACAGAAAGAAGTTGGTGGAAATTGACACGTTAACATGAATAGTTACGATCAGCTATGATCGGAGGATACAACCTTTTCGTAGCCGCTCCTGATGTGGTGGAAATTGCCCGTCAGTCCGACTATAATTGGAGTTCTCAAACTCCGACTGGAGTACGAGAACTTCGATTAAGACTCCCAGATAATATGATTGGAATTCAATTTTCTGTACTGTGTAACCGGCGTAGTCAGAGTATGATTGGACAATGCATGTGCATGTGCAGCTGAAAAGACCCATATCGCCCCCTAGTTTTGTGGAGGAGGACACGTTCATGTCAATAATGCAGTTTTCTCAGCTGCATGTAAAGGAGGACAAGGAGAAAAGTCTGATTCGGCCAAAAAAAAAACGAATTATGAGCTCGTCTGATTAAACTGTGACTGTAAACACACTGAAAGTTTCCAACACTCAAAAAAAGAGTGAAGTGTAAAAGCTGAAACACATGGACGGCAGCACACGGTCATAAACACGGTATCAAACAGAGCATCTGCAGCCCTCAGTGAGACCAGATCCTCAGGTTTCTGGTCTTTGTGTGATTTACTCCAAAGAGTCGGAGCAGTAAACTCAAACCCCCCCCCCTCATCTGAGCTCTGACCTTCAGCACAGACACTCAGACCTGTCGAGTTTACGCTCCTGTACTTTTCTGTCTGATGTTGGTTGGAGAAAACAAAGTCAGCCGACCTGAAGTTCACCTCTTAATAAAATAAAACCACACCAGTGTGAGAGCGGCGTGACGACGGCGGGGCTCTCAGACACACTTCCAGGTAGATCAGGAGTGTTTGAGTGAGAATCCCTCTCCTGTCTCTGTGTCTGAACTGTTTTCCTCATTCCTTATCACTGACATTGACACAGCGAGCTGCATATAGAACATGATGTGCTGTTACATGAACTCTGCGAAGCCCCGGGGAACACTCGCTCTTCACATTCAGTCGGATCAAACCACCTTTAAAATGACACACATTCACTGGAACACGGAGGTCGTGTTTGAGGGAAAAAAAGAAGAGGAGGAGGAGGAGGGTTCATTTTTGATTAGAGGAGTCAGACAGAGAGTGAAGGAGCAGAAACCACCTCAGCTGGAGTGAGCTGAGTGCAACAGCTGGCCGCCTCAGAGCCTCCAGCCTGTCGGACAATAGGAACCCGCGGCACGCCGGCTCCTGCATGAGAAAGAGCAGAGGGAAGCTGGGCGGCTGTTGCCAGGGTCGCGGGGTGCGGGGACTTGCTTTGTCCCAGGTTAGACGGGGGGAGGGCTGGGACCTCCAGGTCAGGTTACCCCCTCCACCAGGAGCCAGTGAAAGGAGAAGTGTGTGTGCACGCTCTGCTCCTATTGTCCGGCAGCTGCCACCAGACCCACCCCCTCTCCCTCTCTCTGTCCCTGAAGGTGTGGAGCTGAGGGACTTTAAATCTGAAGACATCCTTCACACCCCCCCAGGACCCCCTCAGAGTCTCGGTCCCTCAGCGCCCCTCTTCCTCTCTTGTGAGGAAGAAACTGGAGGAATGCGCCGCTGCCTGAACGCTGTTGTCAGACCGCTTTTCATTGGGCCAGCTGGCTTTACCCCCCTCCTCTGAGACACACACACACACACACACACACACACACACTCCTCATTTATGTACTTACCCAGACAGAAACCCCCTGCACAGCACTGGCGAGCTGCAGCAGATATTAGTGGAGGCGGGGCCAGACAGGAGGTCAGCCTACATCTGTGCCTCCTGATGGAGGGTTAGGCTTGTGTGTGTGTGTGTGTGTGTGTGTGCGCGTGTGTGAGGCTATTTGAAGGATGTGCGACAGGCCGTATGTATGTAAACACACATTTACATGGAATCCACGGCGGAGTTTCCCCCCACAGCAGACGGTCAGCTGCTCCAAACTGGATTCCTGCGCTTTAGGGGGGAGGAGAGGATGAGAGGATGAGACCCGCTTCAGCAGCTGTTATCAGCCGAGGACTAATAACACGACTCTGAGTGTGCGAACGGTCCAGAACCAAAGTCCGAATCTTTGGACTACAAACACACACAGACTCCTTTAGTTTGACTTTATTGACACGGTCGAGACGTACTGACCCGGCTGTTGTGTGTTTCCCAGTCAGGACCAGAGTGAGGACTACCTGTCCCTGTTTGACAGCAGCTCAGATGGACGCAAGAAACTGGCCAGCCTCAGCAAGGCCTCACCGGACAGAACCACCTGGAACATCCTGGTATTTACAAACAGTCACCCACACACCCCACCTGATGTAACCCCAACTTTAAGAACTGTTCTTAAAGGGAAATTCTGGCATAAAATTAGGGTCAAACACACCATAACACAGAGTTAGACCCCCCCTCCAGAGATGACCGCTGTCTTCTCTAGTTATACCAACTTTAGTAACGACCGCAGGATAAGAATACATCCCTTTAAAACAGATTTATTCAGACCTTTTATTTAAAGGCTCCTCCCTCCATCTCTCTCTCTCTTCTCTACTATTTGGTCATGAAACAGTGAAGTGAGAGTGAAGGTTCAGAGTTCAGGGTCTCGTTTCTCGTCCTCTCTCTCTCTCCTCCAGGATGATCAGCCCAGAGCCTTCCCCCTCCATTCCAGCTCCCGCAGCACCGGCAGCGTGGACTCTCCCACCGGCCTGAAGAAACGAGAGCCTGGCATCGCTCTGGCTGCGACCTTCACCGCCAACAACAGGTGGGCAGTGACTCACACACACACACACACACACACACACACACACACACACACACACACACACACACACACACACACACACTACCTGCGCTGCAGCATTCTACATTACTACCAGTTTCTCCAGTTTCCTGTCGATCGGCGCTGCTGATACGGCCTTCAGGAATCCCAGCAGCACACTGAGACTCTGTCCTCCATGGATTATCAAATGAGAGATGAGATTGTGATGGCGTTAAAGCGTGAGGGTGTGTCAGTGGGCGGAGTCAGAGGTTCATTGTCTCCGTTTCTTTTTTTCCTCCCAGGAGCAACAAGGGAGCTGTGGGGAACTCCGTCACCACCATGTTACACAACAACTACTCGGAGAAACCGCTCACGCCGAAGAGCTCCAACCAGAAGCCGTCTTTTAAGTACGTCCTGAAACCGACGGGAATACAATGTGGAGGATGTCTGTGAGGTTTTCTCAAACGTAGATTCCGGTCTTCTTTCTCTCTCAGCAACATCCTGAAGGCCACCGCCAACGATGAGGTGTCCATGGAGAACGGCTCCCTCACCAAATCCCAGAAGAATTTTTCCTCCGCCTCCAACAACAAATCCCCGGTGTCGGCCCAACGAGGAAGCCCCGCCCTGACCCGGAGGAGGGAGGTCACAGAGGAGGAGGCTGAGAGGTCAGACCCCCTGTTCTTAAATCTGTCCCCCTGTTTTTACCTCTCCATGAAAGCGTCTTTTCTGACTGACGGAGGATCTTTCGTGTTTTTAAAGGTTTATTCAGCAGGGGAACCAGGCCGCAGTCGTCATCCAGCGCTGGTACAGGCGCCACGCTAAGAGGCGTCACACAAACCAGGCCGCTGTGCTTAAACGTATCCTCGCCACTAAGAGAAAGGTCTCCAGAAGTTTCAAGAACTCCTGACCTCTCAGAGCGATGTTGTTCTGTTTCTCTCTGCTTCGGTTTCCTCGGCCCTGACTCTGTCTTCGTCTCTGTAGGAGTGGGAGGAGAGGATGGAGGAGGAGGAGGAGGACGGCAGCGGCCTGGAGCAGCAGCGGAAAAAGGACGAGGAGCGAAGAAGGATTCGTGAGGAGAAAGCTCGTCTGGCCCGCCTCGCCGCCATCAAGGTGATCAGAGAAGCTGCTGTTCCGTCTCTGACCTCTTAAACTGATTCATACTTGAACGCCATTAGTGCGAGCGCCTTGTTATTTCCCGAGGTTGAGTGTGACGCTCTGACACTCTGTCTCCCTCTTGTGGTGCGTCACAGGAGCTGCAGCAGAAAAGAGCTCAGAGGGTCGCAGAGGAGCAGCAGACAGCCGAGGTAGAGCTGGAGAGTCTGAGACAGACCGCCGCGACCGGACGCAAGAGGCCGCCCAAGATTTGTCCGGCCAATAAGAGTCCAGCGTCGCCGAGCAACAACAGCCCCACGTCACCCACGGACGTCAAAGCTCAGAACACAGGTCTGTGTGTGCGTCAAACTGAGAGTGTGTGTTTTCATGTCCGAGGACTTGTGGGAGGAGTTAATGAGCCGTGTGTTTCTGCAGACTCCAACCTGAACGTCGTGGTCGACTTTGGCGAGTTGAGCTTCAGAGCCGTTTCACCAGCTCAGTCCAAGTGTTCTCAGGTATGAAGGCGCTTCACCTCCTTCCTCTCTCTTATCTCTTCATTTTTCCTGGCATTAAACAAATACTGGGTTTCCCTCCTGCAGGACCAGGAGATCAGAGCCGAGGGGGACGCTTCACAGGAGCAGCAGGAGTTTCAGGAGAACGACAGGAAGCTGATACGTAGAGAAAAAGCTCGCCTGGCACGTCTGGCGGCCTCGGCTGTGAACACGGCTGCTGTGAGTGTTTCCTCTTTAGAGTGAACTTGTTGGTGAAGTTGTCAGTTCACAAGCATCGATTGTCTGATGTCTCCCTCTGGTGGTGTGTCGCAGGAGCTGCAGCAGAAGAGAGCGCAGCGGCCTGCAGATGTGCAGCATGTCGGCGAGGCAGAGCTGGTGAACATGAGACAGACGCAGAGAGGGAAGAAACCGCCCAGGATCTCTGTGACCAATAGAAGTCCAGCATCTCCGAGCAACAACAGCCTGATGTCACCTACCGACGTGAAGGCCAAGAACACGGGTACGAGAGACGACCGCTCACTTCAGAGGAACTGAAGTGTTCAAACCAGGAGAGTCGTCTCATAACTGTGTCGCTTCATTCTCCACAGACTCCAATCTGAACGTCCTCACGGACCTGGGGGAGCTCTCCAGCTTCAGAGCGGTTTCTCCTGCTCTGTCCAACTGCAGAGGTTCCCAGTGTTCCCAGGTTCGAGTCCGGAAACTCTTCACTGTCGTCTCCCTGTTTGTAAATGTCCTCCCTTCATTTAAGCATTCTGGTCATCCTCAGGAGATCCTGCAGAGGTCGGTCAGCGTGGAGGACCAGAGGCAGGGAGCTTTGTCCAGCAGAGCTCCATCCAAGACCACGCTGACGGAGCTGCTGGACACCCTGAAGCTGTTGGAGGAGGAGCCAGAGAGGCTGTCGGAGCCGAAGAGTTACCGCAAAGAGAAATACGCCTGGATAGATGAGGTGAGTTTGTTTTTTAATCATCAACCTCACATGAACTTCTCCTCAGTCAGAGTCATCATAACCTCTCTCCTTCCAGGACGGAGACTCCAACTCTCTGACCACCGACAACCTGGAGCGCCACGGCCAGCTGAGCCACCACCCCGCACTGCCAGACGGGGGCGCTCTCCTCTCGGAGGCCAAGCTGCAGAGCATCATGAGCTTCCTGGATGAGATGGAGAAGTCTGAGCAGGAGAGACCTCGCTCCGTGACCTCAGGGTCCCACAGAGAGGTCAGTGTCTGCAGTCATGGAGAGAACAAAGACCAGTTTTTATCTAGTCCAGTATCCAGAGTCCTGATCCTCAGACCTCTCTGTAAAGTTTTCATCATTAGGAGTTTTTCCTCTGAGTACCTCGGACTCTGCGGCTAAAAACAGATGTGTGCGAATCGTAAAATGTATTTAGGGTCACATGTGCGCATAAAAAAATGAGCCGAGGCAACAAATGTTTTTTCCTGTAAATACGGCAGTGAAGTTAGTTTTAGGTTGGATATCTGACGGACATTCACTGAGGATCTACCGGTGTCTCAGGAATAACAACAGCAACTCAACTCAGCTTTATTTAAAACAACCAGAGCTGAACAAAGAGCTGCACATAAATAGAAAAAACAAAGCAGACGTAAAAAACAATCAAAAAACAATTAAAACAATCGATAAAATAGAAGCAGATATTAAAAAGTAAAATATAGTTTCAGTGTTTTTAAAAACTAATTTAAAAACACAGAAAGAAATAACTAAAAACAAACTATAAAACACTAAAACAGGAGCCGAGTCTCATGAATAAAAATGGGTTTTAAGACGAGTTTTAAAAATGGACAGTGTACTCGACACCCTCACTGTCAACGTCAGGTGTTGAATAAGGGACCATCTATAAATTACCGGTTGATGTTCTCAAAAAAAGGCTGTTTCCCTTCAATAGCTTCCATGTCATGTGACCAATTGACCTAAAATTGATTTCAAATAATAGTACTTAAGTCGACCAATAAGACAAACAATATTTGATCAATTTTCATTGTGCCCCTAAAGTTCTTTGTGTGCTCCTCACATGTCTCCTGAGAACATGTCGAGTCCTGTTACGTCAGTTTTTCTGCACATATTTACAACATGACTCGTTTTTTTCAGAGACACAGTTGAGATAAAGATCCAGTAAAGTTCTGTATTCTGGTTCAGGCAGAGCGTTAACCACCTATTACTGTCACTGTGGCTGCACTGGCCCTGCTCTGACAGCAGGGGGCGCTGCTGTGCTGCTCACTGAGATCAGTTTGCACCATCCTGATCACACTAAGTTACTCAGAGGGTCCAGGTAGTTTAGAGGTCGCTGGTTCGATTCCCTGTTTGCTCGTGGACTCGCCGTCATGTGACTGCAGAAGCTGGGATCAATCAGGCCAATCACTGAACACCTACTGACGACTAACTGTACGCTCTCAGGCTGTGCTGTCCGAGGAGGAACTTGGGGGCGTGGAGCAGGCGTCCGCCACGGCGGCAGAAATCACCGGGTCCATGATGAGAATCCGACTGGAGCTGGAGGAGAAGAAGCGCACGGTCAACATGCTGCAGACGGCCCTGGTGAGGGAAAGGCACACTCAGTTCTAGAGGAACATCTCCTGCTTCTGCTGACTGTACCTGAACGTCTGTGTTTCTTTTCCAGGCTCAGCAGAGAGAGCTGACCGTGAGACACGTGAAGGAGACCGAGAAGGAGCTGGGCAGAAACTTCCAGCTCCAGAAGGAACAGTATGAAGCAACCATCCAGAGACACCTGACCTTCATCGACCAGGTACACACACACACACACACATCATCTCCGCTCCCCTCAGCTGACGCTCAGTTACCTGAAGATCTAAACCCCCGTCTGTTCCCTTCAGCTCATCAACGATAAAAAGGCGCTGAGCGAGCGCTGCGAGGGGGTGGTGGGAGAACTGAAGCAGGTGGACCAGAAGTACACCAAGAAGATCGCCCAGATGCAGGAGCAACATGAGATGGTGAGGAGATGAAGAAGGCTGAAGAGTTAGCATGAGTGAAGAACGTCTGCTCTCTGCTCCAGCTTTGCATCCTGTGAGATCATCTTGCTTTCTCGCAGTGCTGCCTCAGTTTAACTCTCTTCTTCTTCTTCTTCTTCTTCTTTTTCTACGTTTTGTCTTCTTTTTCCTCTTCTCCCCTTTCTTCTTTTCTTTCTTCTTCTACATCTTTTTCTTCTTCTCTTTCTTCTCCTTTTTCTTCTTCTTCTTCTTCTTCTTCTTCTTCTTCTTCTCCTTCTTCATCTTCTCCTTCTTCTTCTCCTCCTCCCCCCTCATCCACCTCCTTCTTCTTCTTCTTCTTCTTCTTGTCCTTCTCCCCCTCCTCCTCCTCTTTCTTCTCCTCTCCTTCCTCTTCCTCCTTTTTCTTCTTCTCTTCCTCCTCCTTGTCCTCCTTTTCCTCCTCCTTCTCCTCCTCCTCCTTCTCCTCCTCCTTCTTCTTCTTCTCCCCCCCTCCCTTTTCCTCCCCCTCCCCCTCCTCCTCCTCCTCCTCCTCTTTCTTCTTCTCCTCTCCTCTCCTTCCTCTTCTCCTCTTTCTTTTTCTATTCCTCCTCCTTCTTCTTCTCCTTTTCCCCCTCCTCCTCCTCTTTCTTCTCTTCACCTTTTTCTTCCTCCTCCTCCTCCTCCTCTTCCTCCTCCTCCTCTTCTTTCTTCCTCTCCTCCTCCTCCTTCTCCTCCTCCTCCCTCTGTCTCTGTCTTTCCTGGCTCTCAGGTGTGGCAAATTCTGGGTCCGTTGTGTGAGGTAACTTTTTCCCTCCTCTTATCCGCTCGTCCTCGGCGCTGTCATCTCACTCATGTTGTCATTGTTGTTGTTTTTTCATGTTTTCATTTTTCTGTCCCTCTTCACTTCTGTTGGAAAGTCTGTCTGCATGTGAGTCGCCTCCATCTTCTTTTTTTACTTTTTGTGTTTGGATGTAGAAAAAAACGTCTAATCTCATTTCGTCTCTTCGTACCTTTTCCTTCTACAAACGTCTTCCTGCTGTTTGTCGTTCAAAGTTTGATCCTAAAATTCTCACACTTTTAAAAACTGTTTTATTCTTGTCATGTCTGAACTCCTCTCTCATTATTCGGTTCATCCTCTGAATCCTTCCTCCGCAGGAAATCAAGAAGCTGAAAGAGTTAATGAGCGCCACAGAGAAGATCCGCAGGGAGAAATGGATCGACGAGAAAACCAAGAAAATCAAAGAGATCACAGTCAAAGGTAACGCAGACACGCCCTCCGTCCCAGCAGAAATCTGAGACCTCCATGTTGACACAGAAACTCTCCAAAGGTTAGAGCAGAAGTCTGAATGAACGGCTCCGGTTCTGGTTCAGAGCTGGATCAAATCAGGAACCGGTTTGGTTTCTGCTGACAAGAGAGCCGCGTCATCACACCACTGCGTCGAGACAAACTGCAGCGTTAAAAAAACCCAAAAAACATGAAAAAAACAAAGGATGGTCTTTATTTCACGTTGGTCATAAAGATGGCGCAGTGAGGGACCTGGTTATTCACTTTCACCCGAACGCCTCACGCCACATTCAGGCACAACGACCCCTGCTCATCAGACGGAGCAGAAAAACACGCCTCTGTTGAGTTAACCAATGTCAGAGAAGTAGAGGATTACCGCTCAGCTGGAGCGAGATCGATCGGCGTTACAGTCTTCACAAAATTCGATCAGGATGAAAACTTGATAGATTGACCCCAGACCGAATGACAGCAGGTACAGGAGGGGTCTCAGACCTGCAGGTGCTGGCTCTAAAGGGATATTCCGTAAAGTTAATTGAGAGTCAAACACAGTAACACCGAGTTAGACGCCCCCTCCAGAGATGAATGTTGCCGACCGCTTATTTCTCTAGTTATACCAACTTTAGTAACAACCTCTCTCAGGACAAACTGCAGGACTTTAGAGCCTTAAAGTCCCGCTCCGATTCTTTTTTTATTTTACTAATGTCTTGAGGGACACGATGAAAGCTAATATCATAATTAGCTTTCTTACGAGCGTTGCAATCTGCTAACGCTCACTTGTTCCGCGATCGTGCGCTCTACTTCTCTGAGTCTGGCCTCTCCAGGTGGAGCTGAACAGCGGTCTGAGGAAAAACAAACCTCAACCAAAACGCCACAAATAATGCTCAGAACAGCACCTAACTTCATCAACAGGACATATAGGGTCACAGACATAGTACTAGACACCAAACATCTTTTTAACTTTGAGACTAGAGACTAAACACAACTCACCTACTCTCTTCCAGCAGACGCTTGCTCGTAGCGAGAACTTGGACTCTGTCGGCCTGACTGAAGTTCCCCTGAAAGAGTCTCGTCTCGTGTCCTTTTTTCTCGCCTCGTTCGGATCTGTATTTGCCGGCCTGCTGCAGACCTGACCTTTGCCTCAGATCTAATGCTGGTCTACAGAGGTGTATGTTTAGAAACGGCGATGTTATGTACTCTGGATTACTGATCGAACGTCGCTCTGAAAGGTGTTTGAACAGTCGCAGAGCCAACATCCTTGAGTTATGGGTGGAGGAGACGTTTGGCATATTTAGTTTGACCATGGCTACCTAAACTTTACCTGCCTCCTCCTCACAGTGATCCGTCTCGTGTTTATTCAGACATCTATGGTATTAAATCAACATCCTCCTCTCTCAGGCCTGGAGCCAGAGATCCAGAAACTGATCTCCAAGCACAAGCAGGAGCTGAAGAAGCTGCGGACGCTCCACGAGGCCGAGCTGCTGCAGGCAGACGAGCGGGCGGCTCAGCGCTACGTCCGCCAGTGCGAGGAGCTCCGTCAGCAGCTGGAGAGGGAGAAGGAGGAGCAGTGTCAGAGGGAGAGGGAGCTGGCCAAACAGAGGTGAGCATGTCAGAGCAGAGAGAGGGGGGCGGGGCTTCGGTCAGCGTTAAAAACGGATCATCTAACGGCGTTTTTGTGTGTGTCAGATACGAGAAACAGCTTCAGGAGGAGGAGCTGTCCCTGCAGCAGCAGAGGAGGCGTCTCTACAAAGAGGTGGCCGATGAGAAAGAGAGGCTGGCTCAGCTGGCTGCAAGGTGAGGTCAAAGGTCACCAGCCTGCATCCTAAGCGCAGAACGTCATTACCTGTAGAGAGTCTCTGTTGAATCACTCCATCGCGTCCTCTGCTGACCTGTGAGAGAAGAACGTTTGAACCCTGAGGTCCTCATCCAGAGCCTGTCCTCGTGTTTCTCCTGCAGGCAGCGCGCCGAGCTGGAGGAGCTGAGGAGGCAGCTGGAGGAGAACAGCTCTTTGGCCGGGCGAGCGCTCAGAGAGGAGCTGGACAAGAGCAGAGAGGAGCAGGAGAGGAGGCACCAGGTGAGTCCAACACGAGAACCAAATCTCTTCTGTCCACCTGCACCTTCATAAACCTCCATCAGCCGGACTGGAGTCTGATAACCGAGGATTGTTTGTTTTCCCAGCTGGAGATGAAGACGTTACAGGAACGCTTGGACATCGAGAAGCAGGCCTGGGAGGAAAACTACAAGAAAAAAGAGGTTTGTTTACACGGGGACATCTGGTCATGATGATAAAAACACCTTAGACCGTGGACACGCTGCTAATGATTAACCCGCGCAGATGTCGAACCCGTGTGAGTCACGATGGACGTGCATGTGAGGTAAGAGCCGCCTTAAATACATGTATGTGTTTGTGCGCCGACAGGAAGCGTGGCTGCTCAGCCGCGAGCGCGAACTCAAGGAGGAGCTGCGGCGAGAGCGCGATAAAGAGATCGAGCTCGCCATCTGGACGCTGGAGGAGGAGACGAGCAAAGATAAGGAGGAGTGTGAGAGGGCGGCCGACAGCAGGTGTGTGTCGACTGAAGTCAGAGGCTGTCTGATTAACTCAGCTACAGTGTGAAGATGATGATGATGAGGATGATGATAAAGAGGAGGAGGAGGATGATAAAGATGATAATTAGAATGATGATGATAATGAGGATGGCGATAATGAGGATGATGATGATGATGATAATGATGATGATGATGATGATGATGATGGATGAAGATGATAATGATTAGGATGAGGATGAAGATGATAATGATGAGGATGATTATGATGATGAGAATGATGATAAGGATGATGATGATGATGATGATGATGATGATGATGAGGATGATGATAAAGAAGATGATGATGATGATGATAATGATGATGATGATGGAGATAATGATGAAGATGATTATGATAATGATGATGATAATGATGATAAAGAGGAGGAGGAGGATGATAAAGATGATAATTAGGGTAATGATGAGGATGATGATGATGGTGATGGTGATGATGAAAAGGTTAATAATGAGGATGATGAGGATGATGATTATGATTAGGATGATGATGATGATGATAAAGAGGAGGAGGATAATGATGAAGATGATAATTAGGATGATGAGGATGATGATGATGATAGTGATGGTGATGTGATGATGATGAGAAGGTTAATAATGAGGATGATGATGATGAGGATGAAGATGATAATGATTAGGATGATGATGATGGTGACGATGATGAGAAGGTTAATAATGAGTATGATGATGGAGATAATGATGAAGATGATTATGATGATGAGGATATTGATGAGGATTATTATGATTAGGATGATGATGATGGTGATGGTGAAGATGATGAGAAGGTTAATTAGGATGATGATGAGGATGAAGATGATAATGATTAGGATGAGGATGATGATGATGATGATGATGATGATGATGATGATGGAGATAATGATGAAGATGATTATGATGATGAGGATGATGATGAGGATGAAAATGATTATGATGAGGATGAAGATGTGATGATGATTAGAAGGTTGAGAATGAGGATGATGATGATAATGATGATGGTTATGATGGAAATAATGAGAATGGTGGTGATGATAGTGGTATTGATGACGATGATGAGGATGGTGATAATGAGGATGATGATGACAATGATGATGAGGATGGTGATGATGGCGACAACAGTGATGATGATGAGGAGGATGATGATGATGATTGTGATGATGATGAGGATGATGAGAATAAGGATTATGATGAGGATGATGATGATGAAGATGATTGTGATGATGAGAATAAGGATTATGATGAGGATGATGATGATGATGATGAAGATGATTGTGATGATGAGAATAAGGATTATGATGAGGATGATGATTATGAGAATGATGATGACTATGAGGAAGATGATTGTCCTTCCTCAGTGCCCTGATAGGTTTTTCTTGCTGTACATGTTTCACTCCTTCGTTCTCATTGTCGGTCAGGGTGAAGCGTGTGAGGGACAAATACGAGGCTGAGCTGAAGGAGCTGGAGCGCTCTGAGAGGACGGCCGTGGAGAAACATCAGGAGCTGAGAAAGCAGCAGATGGAGACGGAGGGAGAGCTGATCCGACTGCAGGCTGCACTTCGACAGAAGGAGCAGGAGACTGAAGACATCACACAGGTGAGGAGAACATCCACAGGTTCTCAGCAAACAGGACTCACACCTTCAGAGGATTTTCATTTGGATTCACGCTTTGAATTTTCAGACCAGAGACAAGCTGGTGGACGAGCGCCGCAGCCTGGCTGAGGTGATCCGGCAGGAGTTTGCAGACCGCCTGGTGATGACCGAGGAGGAGAACCGCAGGTTGAAGGTGGAGGTGTCGGAGGTTCGAGCCAGACTGCGACTGGAGGTGGAGAGAGTCACCAGAGAGAAGGAGGAGGAGCTGGCTGAGGTCCACCAACGGTAGGATGGACTAACTGTCTCCAAACTTACCCGGGATTTCCACCACATGAAAAGAAGCCGGATGTTTTATTTTGTGTCTGTGCCCGACTTCCTTTCCAGCAGGGGTTAATCTGTGCTGAATTTATCCGCCATGCTCCGGTGTCCAGCAAAAATAAAACTCTTGTAATCAGCTGCGGAGTCCGGCGATCCTCAGAGGAACAGAAAGAAGCCGGTGGAATTGACACGTTAACTTGAATGGTTACGATCGGCAGATACGGCTTTTTCGTAGCCGTTTTTTTGGGGTTAGACTTTGTAATTTCTTGAAGCTTGAGCTCCATCGTTCACGCTCTCGTTGTGACTGAGTTTGGTTAACGTCACACTCTCTGATATATAAAAAACAAAAACCCTTTCCAGGTCGTTCCCATGAACAAGATATCCCATAAACCTACAGAGGGACCGTCTCCAAAACTGGAAGAACGCCCTCTTACAATGAAGACTAAAGATGAGGGATCATGTCTGATTATTGTTCTCCAGCCTCTCCTGTTTACTGAGGGACCTTCGGTTCTCCTCACCTGATGGATCTGAACTGTAACTCTGAGCCGTTGGCAGAGATGTTGGACTTTTCTTCTGAGACTGTCTGAGGATTTAGGTCAGCCGTAGTCTCCAAACATTGAACAAGTATCGTTGTCGGCCAGCTGGCTCCAAACACAAAGTTCTTTTCAAGGTGTGAAGAGAGACGCTGGCACAACAACCCGAGTCCAAAATTATTACATTGCTGGAAACTGGAGCAGTCCGCTGGGCGTCTGCCAGAGTCTGGGAAGCGTCCCCCAGAAAAACGACGAGCTGATAAAAGGTTCGAGTCTCTTTGTTCATTGACACTTTTTTTCCTTTTATTCAACAGAGTGAAAGCGGCGATTTTGAAGAAAGAAGAAACCGTCAGTCAGCTCCGGAAGCAGCACGAGGTAAAATCATCACTAATATTAAAAAAAAGAGAGAGACAGGCTGGCAGTGATGATTGACAGCTGGGGTAAATATTCTCCTCCGCTCTGATAGGCTGCGCTGAAGAGGGCGGACCACCTGGAGGCTCTGTGGGAGCAGCAGAGGAAGCAGCTGCTGGAGAAGTGACTGACAGGACGGCCTGGTCTCAGGGTTTCATCTGTCCGGACCACCCCCCCTCACAAACACACACACACACACACACACACACACACTCTGCTCTGAGTCCCCCTTCTGGATTTGTTGCCTCTGGATGTTTTTCCTGCCAGCAAGACTGAACCTGTGGATCTTCAGAAGGTTGAACAAGAGACCCAACCTTGTCCTACCTCATTTGAACAGTAAAGACAAATGGGGAAGAAAACACTGGACTCCATGTGAAGACCCCCACCCACCACCACCACCACACCACCCTCAAGGCATGAAGGAGCGTGTCGTGTTGAAACTTTGCTCGTTAAAATGCCACAGACCAGGTGGATGGACATCCTTCTTCTCTTTCTATAGGAGGATCATCGCTGCATTTTTGCTGATTGTACCCCCCCCCCCCTCTCCTCTCCCTCTCTCTGCAGTCTGTCGGAGCAGGAATGTGTCCATGTTCCCCACAGAGCTGCCACAGAGAACACTTCCAGATGTTTCTCAAACCAGTGTGGGCCTGTGTCGTTGCAGAAATGCTGAGAGGGGGCAGGGAGGGGGACTCGTGTAACTGGAAGACTGCGAAAAACTCGGACTCGGATCAGTTAGTAGAGAAGCCAAGGACCGAGTGTTTCTGTGTGCCTGCTGGTCGTGCCCTCTGATTTCTGTTGAGTCATGTGTTTTTGTCTCAGTGCCCCCCCGAAGGCGCAGGCTAATTACAGGATCTGTGTTCTCTCCCTCGCTGCAGCTCGGTGCTGTTGGCGTGTCCCAAACCAAACTTAGTTCAAACTTCAGTTTCTAAAAAGTTCTTCATGAGGACTCCAGTTCATGGTTTGCAAATCTTTAAAAAAGCCGAGCCTTTTATTGCCTTTTGTATCATATTTGATACGTACTTTTATTTACTTCTATCAAATCAATATGATCAACAAATTACTAAAAACACCTGAATACAGTCCGATAAATGATAAAAATGTCCTCTTCTGGTTTATGAGTTTCCTAAAACATCTAATGTATCACACAAGATAAATAAATATATAAATATATTTATTAAATTTTAAGGACATTTTTTTTTTTGGTTCTAAGTAGTGAGTGAAAATTAACATTTCAGCTAAAAAAATTGAATTTCTGGCCATAATTTGTGGTTTCAGGCATTAAAGGGCTAGTTTGAATTTCAAACGGTGCAAAAACCGCAGAAGTTAAACACAGATTAATCTTATTTTCAATCTGATGTCAGCGACACGCTTCAAAAAAGTTAACCCACGGACATCTGGAGGCACAACCCAACCCTCTGGAGACCTTAGAGGACCCAGCAGACCAATTTCTGGAGTCTGAAAGTGGAAAGTTGTCCCAGTCTTTCCTCATTGAGGAATTCAGCTGCTAAATGTTTTCACCTGGGTTTAAATCAGGACTGCGTCAGTCCAGGAAACGATATTTTTTTTCCCACCTCCTTCGCTTCTGATTGGCTGTGAAATGTCATCACACGCTCAAGCCGAGCACAGGCTGTCGGCTCTGTACATCGGACAGAAAATTGCAGAACATTATCACACTTCTGAATCTCCAAACCCTAACGCTCACACTAATCCTTATCCTGACCCTAACCCTAAATCTAACCCTAATCTTAACACTAATCCTTATCCTAACCCTAACCCTAACTCTAACTCTAAACCTTATCCTAACCCTAAATCTAACCCTAATCTTAACACTAATGCTTATCCTAACCCTAACCCTAACCCTAACTCTAATCCTTATCCTAACCCTAAATCTAACCCTAATCCTAACACTAACCCTAATCCTAACCCTAAAGCTAATCCTAACTGTGACTCTAACCCTAATCCTTACCCTTATCCTAACTCTAACCCTTGCCGTAACCCTAACCCCTACCCTAACGTAACTATAACCCTTATCCTAACTCTAAACCTTATCCTAACCCTAATCCGAACACTAACCCTAAAGCTAGTCCCAACTGTGACTCTAATCCTAACCCTTATCCTAACACTAACCCTAACCTTATTTTAACCCTAACCCTAACCTTATCCCAGCTGTAATTCTAACCCTTATCCTAACCGTCACTCTAACCCGACAGACGATGACGTTTCACAGCCATTAGGAATAACCAATAGGAGCCCAGCACTTCTAGCCAATCAGAAGCGAAGGAGGTCGGGACCTTCTCCTACCATCCAACGAAAAAAAATCCTGCATCCAGGACTCTTCTCCTACAGAGCCATGTGGTTTTGGATCATATGAAGGTCTTTGTCTGGATGGACGCAGATGTTGCTCCTAAACCTGTAGATATTGTTTAAAACCGAGGATGCAGCATCTATGATTTCCAGTTCTTCGTTGAAAGGACAACTGGTATGTTTGAAAGTTTTGCCTTAGTCCAGTTGTCCTTTCCAAAAGAGTGTTAGATTTATTTTTTAAATTAAATACCGACTTTAGATGATTTGCAAACCATCAACTTCTGTCCTCAGCTCTTTCTAGGATCGGGTTTTTAGAAGTGAAAGTACTAACACGGTTGCAGACTAGAGTTTGAAGCGCGAGTAGGATGTTGCTAGAAGGAGCGATAGGAAGTGTAGGAACTTAGAAGGAAAAGGAGCGAAGAAAAGAGGGATGATGTGCTCGAGGTTACAGAAGGATAATTGTAGATCTGCTTTTGAAAGTTTCCGTATGTGAAGAAGAAGAAGAAGGGAGAGGATGAGGGCAGCGTGGGAAGAAGAAAGAATGTGTATAGAAAATGTTTATAGGATTAGAGAAGCAGGAGGGGTTGAGAGGGTACGAGGCATGTGACCAAAGGTATGTTTGAAAGCATACAGGTCCGAGTCCGGTCCGATCCAGGGGCCACACTGTGACAGAACACTTCACACTCAACAGGCAGAGGGAGGCCTGGAGTCGCACACATACGTAAACTATCCGGGTCCAGATTCTCTCGGAGGAGCTCTCCTCACATACATTAGCGTTTTCTTCCTTCCTAATTTCTTAACCTTTGGAACAATTAGTTTGTTGTTGAAGCCCTCCTGGCGGACACAGGAAGTCTTTGTGGATAAGATTTCAGAGCGAAGGGTCCATAGCATGAGTGAGCGAGGGGTGGGGGAGCTGGAACCAGAGTCGGTGCTGCAGAGAGAAACTCTAAACCCGGAGGTAAAGCCTGTTATTTAGGTGAAAGACCCCCGCTCTGATTGTAAAGACCCCCTTCAGCCTCCAGAAGATATTTATTCTGCTGCTCTTTTATTTTTTTTAATTTATTTTCTACTCTAGCACTCGGACACGACCTTTGTAGCCTCATTAGTCCTCAGAAAGGTCAGGATTTGAAGTCACACTTCCTCTCGTCGTCTTTTTAATCCCTTTTTTTTTCAAGAACGCTAAAGGTCACTCTGCAGAGCTTTAACTGCAGCAGTAAAACTTTATCACTACGCCATTTAGAGATGGTCTAAATAGAGTACGTCAGGTTTTTCTGACACTGAAGTAGTCCGAGCCGCGGTGTAAAGGGTTCAGATGAAGAGTATTTTAGTGGACGGAGAGTCCAGGTAGAGCAGCTTTATGGGTTACACGGTTTCTGTCCGTCATTTCTACCAAACATACCCTGAAAAAAGTCGTTAAATTATCGGCATCGAGGTTGTTCTTTTTAATGTTTATTCCACAGAGATGAAGGAAACTTGTCAGAGTCACAGAATGAAAAAAAAAACTTTTTTTTTTAAATGTGTAAAAACTCGCATCAGTTCTTGTGTTGAACAGCCGGACTGTGTTGACTTTAATGTTTTGTTGTGACCTGCTCATTTGAAACACATTTAACAACAAAAACACACACAGACACACACACACGGGTTTAAGAATGAGGCTCGGGTGAAACTGAACCAGAATTTCACGTGGGGTAGAATGAAACCTTCAGAGGAACCTAAGTTGGTTGGGAAACGGTTCCTCTTCAGGTTCCTGGTTCTTGAAATGACCGTCAAACCAACAGTCAACAAAATCAGTCCCAGTCCTCCTCAAAGACCGGTAAGAAGACAGAGTTCAGTTTATATGAAGGTCCTTAAAGGGAGCGTTAATTACTAGTTAATAAGACAGTTATAAGACCTGATGAACATTAATACTGTTATTATTACTTATAAGACACCAATACATATGATATTAACATGAATTAGACGTTATAAAGCATTATTAAGGATTATTGAACATGTTTGTAACTGTAATTAACATCTATTATTGTTTATAAACTCCCCTATCGGTGACACTGTCATATCATATCATATCTCAGCTGCTTATTAACTGTTAACTAACGCTTATTACCAGGACCTTATTACAAAGACAGGATCAGTGAAGTGGTCGATTGATGCCACACGTCTCCACGGCTTTCACGGTCACTAACTGTGAGTCATGAGGCCTCACAGCGCGCCCCCTCTCGCCGCTCCGCTGCAGTTGGCACCAGCCTCAGAGCGGCGGTGTGAGCTGGCATTCCTCGTGCGTGCCCGTCCTCCGAGTACCAGTGAGCCGGGCCTTTGTGTGTGTGTGTGTTTTTGTGCCACCATTCCTCCCATCACGACCCAAGATGACCCCGACGGTGCCAGACACACATTCACGCTCACATACGGGCGCCCTCGAACCATTCCAGCTCTCTCTGCTTCTTGTTTTTTCCAGTTTGTGCAGCTCTTGAACGCGCCGTTTTCTGACCTTGTTTTTTTTGCGTCTCTGTTTTTACTGTTGCTCATGCTGTGAAGATAGAAGATGGTGTCTGATCGATGAGAAAGAGAGAATAAAAAGCAAAGACTGTTGAGAAGACCGTCTGTGTCTGTGTTTCTGTTCGACAGTCGTCTTCTTGTTTCTGTCACAGGTTTTCAGACGGAGCGGTGCCTTTAGGACTCTGAGAAACTGAAAACTAATTCAGAGTGATTCAGTGCGCGGTTTGACTTTTCTAATCGCTGTGAAAAATGGACGTATTCACCACAATCCTTCTCTAATTGCAGATCCCCTCCCTCCTCATCCTTTACATCTGGAATCACATCCACAGCTGACCCACTTCTTCTCCTCCTCCTCCTCCCTTCTTCCCCCTGTTTCCTTTTCCTGCTCCCTTGCCCTCCAGCTTGCCCACTTCCTGCACTGAAGCGTGTCCCCCCCCACCTCCTCTCAGTGTAGCTCCTTTCTTTTCACAGAGGAAACCGAAGCTCGGAGAGGCACGCTGACCGTTGACTCTCACTTGGCTCTCTGGGCAGCAGCTGACCGCCCGGCTACAGGAGGAGGAGGAGGAGGAGGAGGAGGAGGAGGAGGAGGATGGATGTCAGTGAATGTAAATTCTGAGAGCTGCAGCGTCTCCCCCCTCTCTGCATGTGAAGGATCTTCAGCATGTTCCTGCTTGTCACCTCATTTCTCCTGCTGTCATGCTGTGATTTAGGGTCTCCTCTGAGCCGCCTGCTCATGTCTCACTTTATTGCAGCCTGCAGTGAGCTCCTCTACCCCTCCCTCTCCCTCCCTCTCTCTCTCTCTCTCTCTCTCTCTCTCTTTACTCCTCCCTCCAGAGTAGAGGGGGTTGACCAATTGCCAGCAGCTGTTGCTCATTTCACAATGGTCCCGCCCATACAGTCGGCGCTGAGGCTGGCAGAGGAACCGCTACACTCTGGATGATCAGCAGTTGATGTTGAGCAGCAGAGTGTCAGAGTCAGAGGACAGAGTGAAGGAGTCCGGATCGACCACAGGTGAGAGGACTCTCCTTGACCTTTAACTCTCTCTCTCTCTCTCTTTCTCTGTGTTAGTAAAGAGGTTTGTTTCTGTCTAAGTGGACCACCAAGAGGAGGAAGGAGAACTTGAGTCATGTCTGGTGCCAGTCTGAGGCGCGTGTGTTTAGATTTCTCTGACTCAAACTCTGTGACTTTTTTTCCCTCTGGCTCTTATCAGAGACGTGCTCGCTGAGTTTATCACTGGATCCCCTCTACACATTCTTTCCATTCCCCATTTAGCCTCAGCCAAGGCTACCTACACACACACACACACACACACACACACTGATGGGAAAGTGCGTCACCTTCACTGTCACACTGTTATTTCTCCACTCGTTCACCTTTTCATTATGTGATTAGAGTGAGGATTTCTGGACTTAATACAAGTTTAAAGAGCAGCTCTCAGTTCCCGGCCTCAGACTGTGTTTGTAACTCTTCTCACACAGAGGTGAGAAATAGAGAGGGGTGGTCTTCACTGTGTGTGTTAATGTCTTTAACATCCACTGAGACTTTAACAGACTCTCAGCAGAGTTTCATTCGACCCCAGGTGTGGCTTCCTGAGTTTGTTGTTTGTCAGATGTGGCTGACATGAGACCATTTCTCACTTTGTGTCAGCGTACAGACGGCGACCAAACCGTTGCCTGTTCAGTCTGAGGTTCTCTCTCTGTGCAGCTGCAGAGTTTCCGCTTTTGTCTTTTTTTTTTTTGAAGACCAGTGAGGCAGAAAAGAGACACACACCAGCAGGAAGTACGACCCCCATTTCCTCAAGAGTCAGGACACCGTGTCAGTGTTGAATTTGATGGTTTGAACTGCAATGACGCGTCAAATACTGACATGAACAACATGTTCAACGAGTTTGGGAAAAGCTGTGCCAAAAAACACCTGAAGGATTATCTCCAACCAATGAGGTGGATCTCCAACATTCATGGAGTCACCGCATGGGATTAATATCACTTGTCCATGAACTGTCCCGAGGTCTCTTTTGGAAAGGACAACTGGACTTACTCGGGACGTTTCGCCAACAGAGAACTAGAAATCATAGATGCTGCATCCTCAGTTTTAAACTAGATCTCCAGGTTTAGGAGGAACATCTGCTGACATCCAGACGAAGACTTTTTCAGGGAAGACATTTATATGATCCAAAACAACATTCTGACAACAGCATGGCTCTGTAGGAGAAGAGTCCTGGACTGATGTGGTCCTGACTTGTCCCCCGTTAAAAACATCGAGCAGCTGAAATCCTCTATCGGACAAGAATGGGACAGGTGCAACTTTACAACAACCATCTAAGTAATGTTTATAGATGATTTAAAAACCAAATATTAACCATTTACAAAGATCCACTGACACACATTTTAATCTAGATGTTTTACAACCAATGTTTAAACCCATTATAAACCTTTAATAAATAGTACATTAATTATTAAGGAAAATTATCGATCATGATTTCATTGCTTGTTAGTGGAAAACTATCTATTTACCATTTATAGATCATGGTTCTCGTAAACGGTTACCTAACATTTCACCTCCAGACTCCAGAAACTGGTCTGTTGGGTTCCCTAAGGTCCAAAAAGGGTTGGGTTGAGGACTCACACAGCAGTAAAGATGTCCTGAATCAACTTTTACATTTACCACTGCATCCCAGCTCTTGGACTCTTGGGCTGAGAGGACACTGACAGGATCAGGGTGTAAAAGGGAATGCAGATGGTGACCCTGTGCTTTGTGTTGAGGGGCACCAGGACACGGTTTCATTAAAAAGGGATTATTCAGAAGTGTGTTGACACTGAAAGATAAAGTTTCCCCTCTCTTTGTTTGTAGCTGTGCTGACTGAAGAAACCCGGAGCAGGACAGGGCCCTCGCCTCCTCATGCGCCCTCAGGCGAAGCAGAGTACAGGACAAGCGCATACAGCCTACCATCAGGGGGCGTACACACTCTGACAGAGGGATGGCACTCCAGAAGAAACTGGTGCTGTTCTTGATGACCGCCTTCTCCGTGCTGTTTGTCTACATCCTGTCAATCAACCTGGACAGTCCTAGACTCAAACAGTTCCAGTTCTTCACTCTGGGAGAAAGCAGGTGAGCCGAGAAACCAAACCTCATAACCGGAGAAAGCTTTTTTACTCGTTATTTTCACGCAGTAAGGATCTGTCCTGAGAGGTCGCTGCCCTGTCAAAGCCTGTGGACACTCCCACTTCCTTAAAAGGGATAGTCCGGCGTAAAATTAACTTAGAGTCAAACGCCGTAACACCGAGTTAAACACTCCCCCCCGAGAGATGAATGTTGCCGACCGCTTGCTTCTCTAGTTACACCAACTTTAGTAACGACCGCAGGATAGCAATACACACGCAAACCTCAATCAAAAAGCCACGTTTACCAAATTCTACGTTTACAGGACAAACTCAGAGAAGAAATCAGAGGTATCACACTGTCCACAAGGGGGAGCCACAGTCAACACAAACTGCAGGACTTAAGAAGCCTCAAAGTCCCGCTCCGATTGTTTTTTTTTAGCGTTGCAATCTGCTAACGCACACTTGTTCCGCGATCGTGCTCTCTACTTCTCTGAGTCTGGCCTCTGTGGGCGGAGCTTGCAGTTGTGATGTACAGTACGTAACCCCACTGTGTCTGAGAGAGATTCACAGAGATTTGAACGGAAAAATTTAGTTTTCTTAAGATCTGTCATCTAGTGTCAGAAAAGTTTCATATGAACATGAAGACAACAAGAAAAACACTAGGGCCCCGTTGGGGCACTGGCGGGCCCGAGCCGCGTTGCGCCGCCCCCAGTGCGACCGCCTCCCCCTCCCGATCGCGTCACACTCAAGGTCCAAAGATGGTGTGCGCACTTGTCTGTGGTCATTTCCCATTATAATGAATGGGAGGCGCAGTTTCTACCAAAACACTCGCTGCAGACAAACTACATGTCCTATTTGAAAAAAGTCTTGACCATGAGTGAGGGCACAAACACAGCTAGGATATATCCAAACGGCAAGTTGCTCCTCGTTACGGTGTTGCCGGGAGAGCGATGCGATTGAGCCATTGAGTGATGGGCAGGAAAAACTTGACTGTTTCTCCTGCCATGGGGGATGGGGGATGGGGGATGGGGGGGGGGGGGGATGTGGATTCTTTTAAGAATGTGGATATTTGGGTCATCTTTGGCGCCCCCTAGAACGTAAACCGTGGGGTGCAGCGTCATGATTTTTAAAACTTTGAATGGCCATGGGGTGTAGATTGGCCTGAGCAAATTTGGTGTCAGTGGGACGAAAGCCTTAGGAGGAGTTAGCCACATTCCAATGTGTGCTAATCGGCAAAAAATGCAAAATAGCCCTTTAACCGTACATTTTACAGATACGCGCGCATTGACTTTTTCGTAGATCTTATTGAGATACATGTGTGTGTCAAATTTTGTGTCAATATGACAAAGCATACAGGTATGACAGTCAACAATGTGTATTTTCACCTTATGGGACAAGAAAAAATGGACTTTTTTCTCCTGCCATGGGGGGGCGCTCTTTTGGGGAGTAAAAATTCCTTCACAAATGTGTTGATGGCTGGACATTGCATCATCCTAGAAAACTTGGAGGCCAGAGAGGACAAAAATAAAAAGTTATAAGACTTTTAAATATGTGGATTTTAGGGTTATCTTTGGCGCCCCCTAGAACCTAAACCGTGGGGTGCAGCGTCATGATTTGAATAACTTTTAATGGCCATGGGGTGTAGATTGGCCTGAGCAAATGTGGTGCCGGTGGAACGAAAGCCTTCGGAGGAGTTAGCGAAATTCCAATGTGTGCGGATCGGCAAAAAATGCGCAATACCCCTTTAACTGTACATTTGACAGATACGCCAGCACTGACTTTTTTGTAGATCTTATTGAGATACATGTGTGTGTCAATTTTTGTGTAATTTTGACAAAGCGTACAGGCGTGACAGTCAATAGTGTGAATTTTCACCTTATGGGACAAGAAAAAATGGACTTTTTTCTCCTGCCATGGGGGGGCGCTCTTTTGGGGAGTAAAAATTCCTTCACAAATGTGTTGATGGCTGGACATTGCATCATCCTAGAAAACTTGGAGGCCAGTGAGGGCAAAAATAAAAAGTTATAAGACTTTGAAATATGTGGATTTTAGGGTTATCTTTGGCGCCCCCTAGAACCTAAACCGTGGGGTGCAGCGTCATGATTTGAATAACTTTTAATGGCCATGGGGTGTAGATTGGCCTGAGCAAATGTGGTGCCGGTAGAACGAAAGCCTTCGGAGGAGTTAGCGAAATTCCAATGTGTGCGGATCGGCAAAAAATGCGCAATAACCCTTTAACCGTACATTTGACAGATACGCCCGCACTGACTTTTTTGTAGATCTTATTGAGATACATGTGTGTGTCAATTTTTGTGTCATTTTGACAAAGCGTACAGGCGTCAGGTGAATTTTTCACCTTAGGGGGCGCTATGGAGCCATTTTGCATTGTATTGTTTGGGCGACTTCAGAATATCAAATTTTTCACCAGGCCCGGTCGTCCTGCCAAATTTCATGAGTTTTCGCCAGTGGGAAGTGGGCCATTTTCCAGTTCAAAGGGGAGGAAAAAGAACTAGGACCCCGTTGGGGCACTGTCGGGCCCGAGCCGTGTCGCGCCGCCCCCAGTGCGACCGCCTCCCCCTCCCGATCGCGTCACACTCAAGATCCAAAGATGGTGTGCGCACTTGTCTGTGGTCATTTCCTATTATAATGAATGGGAGGCGCAGTTTCTACCAAAACACTCGCTGCAGACAAACTTCATGTCCTATTTGAAAAAAGTCTGGACCATGAGTGAGGGCACAAACACAGCTATGATATATCGAAATGGCAGGTTGCTCCTCCTTACGGTGTTGCCTGGAGAGCGATGCGATTGAGCCATTGAGCGATGGGCAGGAAAAACTTAACTTTTTCTCCTGCCATATGGGGGGGGGGGGGGGATGTGGATTCTTTGAAGAATGTGGATTTTTGGGTCATCTTTGGCGCCCCCTAGAACGTAAACCGTGGGGTGCAGCGTCATGATTTTTACAACTTTGAATGGCCATGGGGTGTAGATTGGCCTGAGCAAATTTGGTGTCAGTGGGACGAAAGCCTTAGGAGGAGTTAGCCACATTCCAATGTGTGCGAATCGGCAAAAAATGCAAAATAGCCCTTTAACCGTACATTTGACAGATACGCGCGAATCGACTCTTTTGTAGATCTTATTGAGATACATATGTGTGTCAATTTTTGTGTCAATATGATAAAGCGTACAGGCGTGACAGTCAATAGTGTGAATTTCCACCTTAGGGGACAAGAAAAAATTGGCTTTTTTTTCCTGCCATGGGGGGGCGCTCTTTTGGGCAGTAAAAATTCCTTCACAAATGTGTTGATGGCTGGACATTGCATCATCCTAGAAAACTTGGAGGCCAGTGAGGACAAAAATAAAAAGTTATAAGACTTTTAAATATGTGGATTTTAGGGTTATCTTTGGCGCCCCCTAGAACCTAAACCGTGGGATGCAGCGTCATGATTTGAATAACTTTTAATGGCCATGGGGTGTAGATTGGCCTGAGCAAATGTGGTACCGGTGGAATGAAAGCCTTCGGAGGAGTTAGCGAAATTCCAATGTGTGCGGATCGGCAAAAAATGCGGAATAACCCTTTAACCGTACATTTGACAGATACGCGCGCATTGACTTTTTCGTAGATCTTATTGAGATACATGTGTGTGTCAATTTTTGTGTCATTTTGCCAAAGCGTACAGGTGTTACACTCAACAATGTGTATTTTCACCTTAGGGGACAAGAAAAAATGGACTTTTTTCTCCTGCCATGGGGGGCGCTCTTTTGGGGAGTAAAAATTCCTTCACAAATGTGTTGATGGCTGGACATTGCATCATCCTAGAAAACTTGGAGGCCAGTGAGGGCAAAAATAAAAAGTTATAAGACTTTTAAATATGTGGATCTTAGGGTTATCTTTGGCGCCCCCTAGAACCTAAACCGTGGGGTGCAGCGTCATGATTTGAATAACTTTTAATGGCCATGGGGTGTAGATTGGCCTGAGCAAATGTGGTGCCGGTGGAACGAAAGCCTTCGGAGGAGTTAGCGAAATTCCAATGTGTGCGGATCGGCAAAAAATGCGAAATAACCCTTTAACCGTACATTTGACAGGTACGCCCGCACTGACTTTTTTGTAGATCTTATTGAGATACATGTGTGTGTCAATTTTTGTGTCATTTTGACAAAGCGTACAGGCGTGACAGTCAATAGTGTGAATTTTCACCTTAGGGGGCGCTATGGAGCCATTTTGCATTTTCTTGTTTGGGCGACTTCGGAATATCAAATTTTTCACCAGGCCCGGTCGTCCTGCCAAATTTCATGAGTTTTCGCCAGTGGGAAGTGGGCCATTTTCCAGTTCAAAGGGGAGGAAAAATAATAACTAGGGCCCCGTTGGGGCACTGGCGGGCCCGAGCCGTGTCGCGCCCCCTCCCCAACGCGATCGCCTCCCCGTCCCATTCTCTTCCTCTGGCCATCGCCCTCTCTGGTAACGCCCATCACTACAAAGACCCTTATCCTTCATCGGCGTTTGTGGTTCTTCCCGCCAGTGTGTGTCCAACGCTTTTGCGCGTTGAAAGGTTAGGGTCTCCACTAAAGGTCAGAGGTCAAATAACATTTGTATCTCAAACTGTGACGTCAGAAGTCAGGGTCCAAAGATGGTGTGCGCAACTGTCTTTGGTCATTTCCCATTATAATGAATGGGAGGCACAGTCTCTACCAAAACGCTCGCTGCAGAAAAACTACGTGTCCTTTTTGAAAAAAGTCTGGACCATGAGTGAGGGCACAAACACAGCTAGTATATATCCAAATGGCAAGTTGCTCCTCCTTTCGGTTTTGCCGAGAGAGCGATGCGTTTGAGCCATTGAGCGATGGGCAGGAAAAACTTGACTGTTTCTCCTGCCATGGGGGGGCGCTCTTTCGGGGAGAAAAAATTCCTTCACAAATGTGTTGATGGCTGGACATTGCATCATCCTAGAAAACTTGGAGGCCAGTGAGGACAAAAATAAAAAGTTATAAGACTTTGAAATATGTGGATTTTAGGGTTATTTTTGGTGCCCCCTAGAACGTAAACCGTGGGGTGCAGCGTCATGATTTGAATAACTTTTAATGGCCATGGGGTGTAGATTGGCCTGAGCAAATGTGGTGCCGGTGGAACGAAAGCCTTCGGAGGAGTTAGCCACATTCCAATGTGTGCGTATCGGCAAAAAATGCGGAATAACCCTTTAACCGTACATTTGACAGATACACGCTCATTGACTTTTTTGTAGATCTTATTGAGATACATGTGTGTGTCAATTTTTGTGTCATTTTGCCAAAGCGTAAAGGCGTGACACTCAACAATGTGTATTTTCACCTTAGGGGACAAGAAAAAATGGACTTTTTTCTCCTGCCATGGGGGGGCGCTCTTTTGGGGAGTAAAAATTCCTTCACAAATGTGTTGATGGCTGGACATTGCATCATCCTAGAGAACTTGGAGGCCAGTGAGGACAAAAATAAAAAGTTATAAGACTTTTAAGACTGTGGATTTTAGGGTTATTTTTGGCGCCCCCTAGAACCTAAACCGTGGGGTGCAGCGTCATGATTTGTACAACTTTTAATGGCCATGGGGTGTAGATTGGCCTGAGCAAATGTGGTGCCGGTGGAACGAAAGCCTTTGGAGGAGTTAGCGAAATTCCAATGTGTGCGGATCGGCAAAAAATGCGAAATAACCCTTTAACCGTACATTTGACAGATACGCCCGCACTGACTTTTTTGTAGATCTTATTGAGATACATGTGTGTGTCAATTTTTGTGTCAATATGACAAAGCGTAAAGGCGTGACAGTCAATAGTGTGAATTTTCACCTTAGGGGGCGCTATGGAGCCATTTTGCATTTTATTGTTTGGGCGACTTCAGAATATCGAATTTTTCACCAGGCCCATTCGTCCTGCCAAATTTCATGAGTTTTCGCCAGTGGGAAGTGGGCCATTTTCCCCTTCAAAGGGGAGGAAAAATAAGAAGAAAGAAAGAAAGAAAGAAAGAAAGAAAGAAGAAAGAAAAACCTATACAGGAATAATAGGGCTCTACGCCCGGCTGCTCTGCAGCTGGCTCGGGCCCTAATAACAAAAGAAGGAAACTACAGGAACAAGAGGGCTCTCGCAGCTGCTTAGCAGCTACGCTCGGGCCCTAAAAAAGAAACAAAGAAAAACCACTTGGGGAATAATAGGGCTCTCGCAGCTGCTTAGCAGCTACGCTCGGGCCCTAATAATAACACTAGGACCCCGTTGGGGCACTGGCGGGCCCGAGCCGTGTCGCGTCCCCCCCCCAACGTGCTGCCTCCCCGTCCCATTTGTGTCCTATGGCCATCGCCCTCTCTGGTAACGCCCATCACTGCAAAGACCCTTTTCCTTCATCGGCGTTTGCTGTTCTTCCTGCCAGTGCGTGTTGCTTTCACTTACACTTGCCACAGCCAGCCTCGTGAGTGCCTAGCCTATTGGATATCACTGTCACCTACACAGGACAGTCATTACCTTTCTATTAATACTTTGTGTTTTAATTTCACATTAATTTCCATATTGTATAAACGACTGGAAAAAACTTGAGCCCCTGCCCCTGTATAATCATGTGCATGTCTCTGTTCTAGCTCCAAGGTGAATCTTCACAGCTCATGTTCTCCTCAGAAGCACTCACCTCACTCCCCTCAGGTTACTGTACACATGCACCAACTGCCTGCTTCAGGTTTGGATGGAGCTTCATGGTTGTCTTTTGGAGAAATGACCAGTCAAGTTGTGTTTGAAATTTGATTTTTTTCAGGGGCAAAAGGAGCCTCTGCATTCTTGTCAAATATGTAAATAGCATGTTTTTGCAGGTGCTAAAAACCAGACTCTGAGTGTGTGTGTGTGTGTGTGTGTGTGTGTGTGTGTGTGTGTGTGTGCGTGTGTGTGTGTCTGTGTGTGCGTTCAAGTCACATGACATATTTAACCGGATGTAGCTGCAAGACGGAGCCTCGTTGACTCTCCGTTTCAACTTATCTCAAAAGTGAGGACCTCAACCTATATACCAGTTTTTAAATTGTGTTGATAGGCCAAATAAAACCAGAGTTATGATAAATTATGTCCGCGGCCATTTTTTTCTGCTTATTTTGATCACGGTCGGCGCTCGATCGCGCTGTATGAGACAGGAAAACATAGCATGCAGACATTAGCGACAGGTCTTACAGGCGGAAAAGGCTTACCAAAAGAAAAAAAAAACACACCACAACATCTCTCCTATTGGTGGAAAACTTCACCACAACAACCAATCCAAAATTATATGGTGACTGATTGACAAGGGGCGGGCGCTTACGTTCTTCCTGCAACATGAGAAGCGAGGGAGGGACTCTCAGCAGGGATGCAGTCTGGGACACGTAGTTGCAAACCTAGCGACTTTGTTGTTAGATTCAATGACTTTTCAGACCCCCTAACGACTTTTTTTTAGAAAGAAAGGGACTTTTATGGACTTCTTCTGGAGTTTAGAGACTCTGACATGAAGCAGGCTTTCCTTACTGAGGAGTTAGCAACGCTGCTAAGGGTGCAGAGCCACACATGCCCTCAGAGCTCTGCATGGGAGACTGAAGCTGACAGAGCTGCAGCAGTTAGCAGGTTTCACCCTCAGAGACCACCAGGGGTTCATGTTGAGGCATTTTAATTTTTTTTTTTTTTGTGCCATAGACACTGTCAGCACAATCTGCAGTTACACTAACAAAAATGCTGCAAAAAACAAAGAATTATGGAAAAATTACACATGGACTGACATAGAGGAGGATCTACACAAGTTTTTTACATCATGTTTTACATCATGCATCATTTACATCATGTTTTTTTGTAGTGGCATAAATAAAAAGTGACATTTGTGAGACTATACAGTGTTTTGTAAATAATTTTACAAAGAACGCCTGGGCCATTGCCTGCATTTTGATGTAAATAGAGGTAAATCACTATGTTGTTTGTTAAAAATTTGCATATGTTTTGAAGTTTACAATTTTTATTTGAAGTTTAAGTTTTAAAAACAGTTCATCACACATATTTGTGGTTTTCACAGTAAAAATGTTACTTTTTTCCACTCGGATTTTATGTTTTGTGTGTGAATTTGGGTCCATTGTGTAAATTCAGTATGTCAACATGATAAAATAACTGTAAATTCGCACAGGTGAGGTTGTGCTGAAAAAAATGATACCAGGCAAGGCACGTGATTGTCAAATTTTGTGTCAATATGACAAATCGATAGGCGTGAATCTCAACAATATGTATTTTCACCTTAAGGGAAAAAAAAAATGGACTTTTTTCTCCTGCCATGGGGGGGCGCTCTTTTGGGGAGTAAAAATTCCTTCACAAATGTGTTGATGGCTGGACATTGCATCATCCTTGAAAACTTGGAGGCCAGTGAGGGCAAAAATAAAAAGTTATAAGACTTTTAAATATGTGGATTTTAGTGTTATCTTTGGCGCCCCCTAGAACCTAAACCTTGGGGTGCAGCGTCATGATTTTGATAACTTTTAATGGCCACGGGGTGTAGATTGGCCTGAGCAAATGTGGTGCCGGTGGAACGAAAGCCTTCGGAGGAGTTAGCGAAATTCCAATGTGTGCGGATCGGCAAAAAATGCGAAATAACCCTTTAATTGTAATTTTGACAGATACGCGCGCATTGACTTTTTCGTAGATCTTATTGAGTTACATGTGTGTGTCAATTTTTGTGTCATTTTGACAAAGCGTATAGGCGTGACACTCAACAATGTGTATTTTCACCTTAGGGGACAAGAAAAAATGGACTTTTTTCTCCTGCCATGGGGGGGCGCTCTTTTGGGGAGTAAAAATTCCTTCACAAATGTGTTGATGGCTGGACATTGCATCATCCTAGAAAACTTGGAGGCCAGTGAGGACAAAAATAAAAAGTTATAAGACTTTTAAATATGTGGATTTTAGTGTTATCTTTGGCGCCCCCTAGAACCTAAACCTTGGGGTGCAGCGTCATGATTTTGATAACTTTTAATGGCCACGGGGTGTAGATTGGCTTGAGCAAATGTGGTGCCGGTGGAACGAAAGCCTTCGGAGGAGTTAGCGAAATTCCAATGTGTGCGGATCGGCAAAAAATGCGAAATAACCCTTTAACCGTAATTTTGACAGATACGCCCGCACTGACTTTTTTGTAGATCTTATTGAGATACATATGTGTGTCAATTTTTGTGTCAATATGACAAAGCGTACAGGCGTGACAGTCAATAGTGTGAATTTCCACCTTAGGGGGCGCTATGGAGCCATTTTGCATTTTATTGTTTGGGCGACTTCAGAATATCGAATTTTTCACCAGGCCCGGTCGTCCTGCCAAATTTCATGAGTTTTCGCCAGTGGGAAGTGGGCCATTTTCCAGTTCAAAGGGGAGGAAAAAGAAAAACAAGAGGGCTCTCGCAGCTGCTTAGCAGCTACGCTCGGGCCCTAAAGAAAGAAAGAAACAAAGAAAAACCACTTGGGGAATAATAGGGCCTACGCCCGGCTGCTCTGCAGCTGGCTCGGGCCCTAACTAGGACCCCGTTGGGGCACTGGCGGGCCCGAGCCGTGTCGCGTCCCCCCCCCCAACGTGCTGCCTCCCCGTCCCATTTGTGTCCTCTGGCCATCGCCCTCTCTGGTAACGCCCATCACTGCAAAGACCCTTTTCCTTCATCGGCGTTTGCTGTTCTTCCTGCCAGTGCGTGTTGCTTTCACTTACACTTGCCACAGCCAGCCTCGTGAGTGCCTAGCCTATTGGATATCACTGTCACCTACACAGGACAGTCATTACCTTTCTATTAATACTTTGTGTTTTAATTTCACATTAATTTCCATATTGTATAAACGACTGGAAAAAACTTGAGCCCCTGCCCCTGTATAATCATGTGCATGTCTCTGTTCTAGCTCCAAGGTGAATCTTCACTGCTCATGTTCTCCTCAGAAATAGTCACCTCACTCCCCTCAGGTTACTGTACACATGCACCAACTATCTGCTTCAGGTTTGAAATGGAGCTTCATGGTTGTCTTTTGGAGAAATGACCAGTCAAGTTGTGTTTGAAATTTGATTTTTTTCAGGGGCAAAAGGAAGCCTCTGCATTCTTGTCAAATATGTAAACAGCATGTTTTTGCAGGTGCTAAAAAACAGACTCTGAGTGTGTGTGTGTGTCTGTGTGTGTGTGTGTGTGTGTGTGTGTGTGTGTGTATGTTGGCGTGTGTGTATATGTGTGTGTATCCTGCAGTACTCTGTACTCCTGCAGTGGCCAAAAAGACTTTTAAGAATGTGGATTTTTGGGTCATCTTTGGCGCCCCCTAGAACTGCAGTACTCTGTACTCCTGCAGTGGCCAAAATGACTTTTAAGAATGTGGATTTTTGGGTCATCTTTGGCGCCCCCTAGAACGTAAACCGTGGGGTGCAGCGTCATGATTTTTACAACTTTGAATGGGCATGGGGTGTAGATTGCCCTGAGCAAATTTGGTATCGGTGGGACGAAAGCCTTAGGAGGAGATAGCCACATTCCAATGTGTGCGAATCGGCAAAAAATGCAAAATAGCCCTTTAACCGTACATTATACAGATACGCGCTCTTTGACTTTTTCGTAGATCTTATTGAGATACACATGATTGTCAAATTTTGTGTCAATATGACAAAGCGTATAGGCGTGAATCTCAACAATATGTATTTTCACCTTAGGGGACAAGAAAAAATGGACTTTTTTCTCCTGCCATGGGGGGGCGCTCTTTTGGGGAGTAAAAATTCCTTCACAAATGTGTTGATGGCTGGACATTGCATCATCCTAGAAAACTTGGAGGCCAGTGAGGACAAAAATAAAAAGTTATAAGACTTTTAAATATGTGGATTTTAGGGTTGTCTTTGGCGCCCCCTAGAACCTAAACCGTGGGGTGCAGCGTCATGATTTGAATAACTTTTAATGGCCATGGGGTGTAGATTGGCCTGAGCAAATGTGGTGCCGGTGGACAGAAAGCCTTCGGAGGAGTTAGCGAAATTCCAATGTGTGCGGATCGGCAAAAAATGCGAAATAACCCTTTAACCGTACATTTGACAGATACGCCCGCACTGACTTTTTTGTAGATCTTATTGAGATACATGTGTGTGTCAATTTTTGTGTCATTTTGACAAAACGTACCGGCGTGACAGTGAATAGTGTGAATTTTCACCTTAGGGGGCGCTATGGAGCCATTTTGCATTTTCTTGTTTGGGCGACTTCGGAATATCAAATTTTTCACCAGGCCCGGTCGTCCTGCCAAATTTCATGAGTTTTCGCCAGTGGGAAGTGGGCCATTTTCCAGTTCAAAGGGGAGGAAAAATAATAATAACAAAAGAAGGAAACTACAGGAACAAGAGGGCTCTCGCAGCTGCTTAGCAGCTACGCTCGGGCCCTAAAAAGAAGGAAACATGCAGGAACAAGAGGGCTCTCGCAGCTGCTTAGCAGCTACGCTCGGGCCCTAAATAACAAACTAGGACCCCGTTGGGGCACTGGCGGGCCCGAGCTGTGTCGCGTCCCCCCCCCCAACGCGCTGCCTCCCCGTCCCATTTGTGTCCTCTGGCCATCGCCCTCTCTGGTAACGCCCATCACTGCAAAGACCCTTATCCTTCATCGGCGTTTGCTGTTCTTCCTGCCAGTGCGTGTTGCTTTCACTTACACTTGCCACAGCCAGCCTCGTGAGTGCCTAGCCTATTCGATATCACTGTCACCTACACAGGACAGTCATTACCTTTCTATTAATACTTTGTGTTTTAATTTCACATTAATTTCCATATTGTATAAACAACTGGAAAAAACTTGAGCCCCTGCCCCTGTATAATCATGTGCACGTCTCTGTTCTAGCTCTAAGGTGAATCTTCACTGCTCATGTTCTCCTCAGAAGCAGTCACCTCACTCCCCTCAGGTTACTGTACACATGCACCAACTGCCTGCTTCAGGTTTGGATGGAGCTTCATGGTTGTCTTTTGGAGAAATGACCAGTCAAGTTGTGTTTGAAATTTGATTTTTTTCAGGGGCAAAAGGAGCCTCTGCATTGTTGTCAAATATGTAAATAGCATGTTTTTGCAGGTGCTAAAAACCAGACTCTGAGTGTGTGTGTGTGCGTGTGTGTGTGTGTCTGTGTGTGTGTGTGTGTGTGTGCGTTCAAGTCACATGACATATTTAACCGGATGTAGCTGCAAGACGGAGCCTCGTTGACTCTCCGTTTCAACTTATCTCAAAAGTGAGGACCTCAACCTATATACCAGTTTTTAAATTGTGTTGATAGGCCAAATAAAACCAGAGTTATGATAAATTATGTCCGCGATACTTGTTTTCTGCTTATTTTGATCACGTTCGGCGCTCGATCGCGCTGTATGAGACAGGAAAACATAGCATGCAGACATTAGCGACAGGTCTTACAGGCGGAAAAGGCTTGCCAAAGGAAAAAAAAAACACACCACAACATCTCTCCTATTGGTGGAAAACTTCACCACAACAACCAATCCAAAACTATATGGTGACTGATTGACAAGGGGCGGGCGCTTACGTTCTTCCTGCAATATGAGAAGGGAGGGAGGGACTCTCAGCAGGGATGCAGTCTGGGACACGTAGTTGCAAACCTAGCGACTTTGTTGTTAGATTCAATGACTTTTCAGACCCCCTAACGACTTTTTTTTAGAAAGTGACTTTTATCGACTTCTTCTGGAGTTTAGAGACTCTGACATGAAGCAGGCTTTCCTTACTGAGGAGTTAGCAACGCTGCTAAGGGTGCAGAGCCACACATGTGCTCCGAGCTCTGCATGGGAGACTGAAGCTGACAGAGCTGCAGCAGTTAGCAGGTTTCACCCTCAGAGACCACCAGGGGTTCATGTTGAGGCATTTTAATTTTTTTTTTTTTTTTGCCATAGACACTGTCAGCACAATCTGCAGTTACACTAACAAAAATGCTGCAAAAAACAAAGAATTATGGAAAAATTACACATGGACTAACATAGAGGAGGATCTACACAAGTTTTTTACATCATGTTTTACATCATGCATCATTTATGTAGTGATTTGAAATGAGCCTCATACGGTCGCACCAAAATATATGTAGCGATTTGAAATGAGCCTCACAAGGTCGCACCAAAATATACTTGGCGATTGGAATTTATAATAAATGTCTGAAGATTAATAATCTCAAATTATGACATTTATGCACTCGTTGAAAGGGGCACCACCCACCCTTAATGGTGGGAAAATAAAGAAAACAAAAGTTTAATTCAGAAATCAAACATCAAGTCAGTTTTAATTAATCAGTCTTAATTAATCAGTCTTAATTAATCAGTCTCATATCTTAAGTCGAAATTCTAATTTCAGGGACTCCACTTCTGGAAGAACACTAACAGACCAGAACTTAGAAAAATAATTATCTGTTTATTACAGGATAAATGATGGTACAACACACATGCAATAAATGATGATAAGATAATGAAGATAAATAATACTAGGTGAATAAATCAAGATTCTGAGTCAGGCTAGGAGCACTAAAGTTAATGATAGTGAGTGAATATGCGCTAACATATTAACCTACACTAACTTTAGTGTCGAGATAAACTCGGATGTGGATTTGGAGGAATCTAAGATTACCAGAATAAGAGGATATCTGAGTTGAACGCAGGAGACAGCACCAGCCCTCTTTAGAGCTCTGGAGGTTTGCATACTTAAGTGAGACTGGTCCTTGGAGAAGATGGAGCAGGTTCCGAAGGTCCGGGCTACTGGCGGTTCGAGCGGTTCAGCTCAGAAGACGACTGAAGTCAGCCGAAGGATGAGCCAGGAGTTGCAGCACTCAGGCCCGAAGCAAAAACCAGCGCCTGTGGATCCTGCGGATGCTCGTTTGGGTACTTCTTTAGTCTCACTCAAAAACTCTGGCACAGAGGATGACCTGGGCCTGTTGGATTGCGTTCGGAGGTGACTTTGAAATCACGCAGAAAACTCAGAAAAACGAGGCTCGAAGAGCAGAGAAAACTTTCAAAAATGGCTTCGCGAAATTAAAGAAAATCAATCAAAGGCTTAATCTTGAATTGCTATGTGCACAAAAAGTTGAAGTTTCAAAACTTGAACTAAGACGATGTTAAAGAAAAATCAACGTGAATCAACACGTGGCGTAAAACTTAGAAGACTAAGAAAAAGTTCTAAGAGAAAACAAAGAAACGCACCACAGAAGGGTGTGGACAGAAGAGAAGGGGCATAAGAGCCGGGGACAAGAGAGTCAGAAGAAGAGCAGAAGCATAAGAGAGAAATAAGAGCATAAGAGGCAAGAGAGAGTGAGCAACCCCACTTCACTGGTTTTATCTTCTCACACTGGGAGTGGCTCCGGCGTGTGTGTGTGAGACAGAGGAGGGTCGTGTGGTCTTTGATTATTTTATCTAACTTATTCTTTTGGCTGGTAAAAGAGTCAGATCTGATACTCACTCACTATGATTAATATCATTGAATGCTTGGTTTCATGACAAATAATTTGACACTAAACACATATGAATGAAGTGTAGGATCACATCAAACATTCTCATTATGTTTAAAGTATCACATTGAACATGCTAAATTACTCTGAAATGAAACAGATAGTAACACATGGAAACTGTGAACAACAAAAGAGTAAATACATGTGAATGAACGTCATCATGATTAATAATGGATTCTAAATACTCACATTCAGGTTATTCAATGACATTATAACCACCTAATGGTTAAAAATACTAAATAAACGATTAAAATATAGAACAAACATTTCTAAACCATTTCTGTTAATTAGAGCTAAGTTATGAGTCACAATCAATAAATTTAACTCTTAAAAGTTCATGAAACAGTCTGAAAAGCTGTTGGTCTAAAGAACTAAAGAATAAGGATTTATTCTGTCAGATAAGATAACTTGGCTTCTGAAGCACATAGAAAAACGGGAAACATCTCATTTTAACACAAATTTCATGATTAGACAGATTAGTACATTGCTGAATGCATAAGATGTCATGATCAGTCATTTGTATTCTTTCACCAAAGGAATGCAGTCTTTATCAGTGTATGGTCGAGCAGGGTTTTACGACCGAGGTCTGGAGGTCAGTGTCCCCCCTTATCCTGGGGTCCGTATGTTCACACACTTTAAGACGCTAAATCTCAAATGGGAGATCTGGGTTGAGACGTTAACGTTTATTTAGATGGTCAGCAAATGGAGTCAGTTTGAAAGGTAATAAAAACTCTGTCTCTGTTCGCCGAACTGACCAATCCTGAAGAGTCAGAGGTTTAGTCAACCTCCAGTTGGGTCACTTATTTAACCTGAAAGTGTAAACGAGTCTGGAAAGATTTATATCCTGTTTCCTGGGACCAGATAAGGAACTTTCCTGTGAGGAATGTGTGGGTTTCACACCCAGGGTTGTCTTGATTGCTACATTTACATCATGTTTTTTTGTAGTGGCATAAATAAAAAGTGACATTTGTGAGACTATACAGTGTTTTGTAAATAATTTTACAAAGAACACCTGGGCCATTGCCTGCATTTTGATGTAAATAGAGGTAAATTACTATGTTCTTTGTTAAAAATTTGCATATGTTTTGAAGTTTACAATTTTTATTTGAAGTTTAAGTTTTAAAAACAGTTCATCACACATATTTGTGGTTTTCACAGTAAAAACGTAACTTTTTTCCACTCGGATTTTATGTTTTGTGTGTGAATTTGGGTCCAATGTGTAAATATAGTATGTCAAAATGATAAAATAACTGTAAATTGACACAGGTGAGGTTGTGCTGAAAAAAATGATACCAGGCAAGGCAAGGTAAAAATTTTGTAAGAGGAAATATAAAGGTAAAATCTAAAGTAGTCAAAAACGGCCAATAGTGACTCACAGACTCCACAGACAAGTCCCTTTGGCGCCACTCAGTGGGCAAAACTACTTTGTCTACTGTAATGTATATTTGGGTTATCTTTGGCGCCCCCTAAAACGTAAACCGTGGGGTGCAGCGTCATGATTTTTACAACTTTGAATGGCCATGGAGTGTAGATTGGCCTGAGCAAATTTGGTGTCAGTGGGACGAAAGCCTTAGGAGGAGTTAGCGAAATTCCAATGTGTGCGAATCGGCAAAAAATGCAAAATAGCCCTTTTACCGTACATTATACAGATACGCGCTCTTTGACTTTTTCGTAGATCTAATTGAGATACACATGATTGTCAATTTTTGTGTCATTTTGCCAAAGCGTACAGGCGTGACAGTCAACAATGTGTATTTTCACCTTAGGGGACAAGAAAAAATGGACTTTTTTCTCCTGCCATGGGGGGCGCTCTTTTAGGGAGTAAAAATTCCTTCACAAATGTGTTGATGGCTGGACATTGCATCATCCTAGAAAACTTGGAGGCCAGTGAGGACAAAAATAAAAAGTTATAAGACTTTTAAAAATGTGGATTTTTGGGTTATCTTTGGCGCCCCCTAGAACGTAAACCGTGGGGTGCAGCGTCATGATTTGAATAACTTTTAATGGCCATGGGGTGTAGATTGGCCTGAGCATATGTGGTGCCGGTGGAACGAAAGCCTTCGGAGGAGTTAGCGAAATTCCAATGTGTGCGAATCGGCAAAAAATGCGGAATAACCCTTTAACCGTACATTTGACAGATACGCGCTTGGACTTTTTTGTAGATCTTATTGAGATACATGTGTGTGTCAATTTTTGTGTCATTTTGACAAAGCCTACAGGCGTGACACTCAACAATGTGTATTTTCACCTTAGGGGACAAGAAAAAATGGACTTTTTTCTCCTGCCATGGGGGGGCGCTCTTTTGAGGAGTAAAAATTCCTTCACAAATGTGTTGATGGCTGGACACTGCATCATCCTAGAAAACTTGGAGGCCAGTGAGGGCAAAAATAAAAAGTTATAAGACTTTTAAATATGTGGATTTTAGGGTTATCTTTGGCGCCCCCTAGAACCTAAACCGTGGCGTGCAGCGTCATGATTTGAATAACTTTTAATGGCCATGGGGTGTAGATTGGCCTGAGCAAATGTGGTGCCAGTGGAACGAAAGCCTTCGGAGGAGTTAGCGAAATTCCAATGTGTGCGGATCGGCAAAAAATGCGAAATAACCCTTTAACCGTACATTTGACAGATACGCCCGCACTGACTTTTTTGTAGATCTTATTGAGATACATGTGTGTGTCAATTTTTGTGTCATTTTGACAAAGCGTACAGGCGTGACAGTCAATAGTGTGAATTTTCACCTTAGGGGGCGCTATGGAGCCATTTTGCATTTTCTTGTTTGGGCGACTTCGGAATATCAAATTTTTCACCAGGCCTGGTCGTCCTGCCAAATTTCATGAGTTTTCGCCAGTGGGAAGTGGGCCATTTTCCAGTTCAAAGGGGAGGAAAAATAATAACTAGGGCCCCGTTGGGGCACTGGCGGGCCCGAGCCGTGTCGCACCCCCCCCCCCCCCCCAACGCGACCGCCTCCCCGTCCCATTCGCGTCCTCTGGCCATCGCCCTCTCTGGTAACGCCCATCACTGCAAAGACCCTTTTCCTTCATCGGCGTTTGCTGTTCTTCCTGCCAGTGCGTGTTGCTTTCACTTACACTTGCCACAGCCAGCCTCGTGAGTGCCTAGCCTATTGGATATCACTGTCACCTACACAGGACAGTCATACTTTGTTTTTTAATTTCACATTAATTTCCTTATTGTATAAACGACTGGAAAAAACTTGAGCCCCTGCCCCTGTATTATCATGTGCACGTCCCTGTTCTAGCTCCAAGGTGAATCTTCACTGCTCATGTTCTCCTCAGAAGCAGTCACCTCACTCCCCTCAGGTTACTGTACACATGCACCAACTGCCTGCTTCAGGTTTGGATGGAGCTTCATGGTTGTCTTTTGGAGAAATGAGCAGTCAAGTTGTGTTTGAAATTTGATTTTTTTCAGGGGCAAAAGGAAGCCTCTGCATTCTTGTCAAATATGTAAATAGCATGTATTTGCAGGTGCTAAAAAACAGACTCTGAGTGTGTGTGTGTGTGCGTGTGTGTGTGTGTCTGTGTGTGTGTGTGTGTGTGTATCCTGCAGTACTCTGAGAAGAATAATAAGCATATTTCTGAGGTGAATTTTGAAGATTGATCTGAGAGTTAGGTTTGATTCGATTCGATTGACGCTCCCCAGCGTTCAAGTCACATGACATATTTAACCGGATGTAGCTGCAAGACGGAGCCTCGTTAACTCTCCGTTTCAACTTATCTCAAAAGTGAGGACCTCAACCTATATACCAGTTTTTAAATTGTGTTGATAGGCCAAATAAAACCAGAGTTATGATAAATTATGTCCGCGATACTTTTTTTCTGCTTATTTTGATCACGTTCGGCGCTCGATCTCGCTTTTATGAGACAGGAAAACATAGCATGCACACATTAGCGACAGGTCTTACAGGCGGAAAAGGCTTGCCTAAAGAAAAAAAAAACACACCACAACATCTCTCCTATTGGTGGAAAACTTCACCACAACAACCAATCCAAAATTATATGGTGACTGATTGACAAGGGGCGGGCGCTTACGTTCTTCCTGCAACATGAGAAGGGAGGGAGGGACTCTCAGCAGGGATGCAGTCTGGGACACGTAGTTGCAAACCTAGCGACTTTGTTGTTAGATTCAATTACTTTTCAGACCCCCTAACGACTTTTTTTAGAAAGAAAGGGACTTTTATCGACTTCTTCTGGAGTTTAGAGACTCTGACATGAAGCAGGCTTTCCTTACTGAGGAGTTAGCAACGCTGCTAAGGGTGCAGAGCCACACATGCGCTCCGAGCTCTGCATGGGAGACTAAAGCTGACAGAGCTGCAGCAGTTAGCAGGTTTCACCCTCAGAGACCACCAGGGGTTCATGTTGAGGCATTTTCAGTTTTTGTTTTTTTTGCCATAGACACTGTCAGCACAATCTGCAGTTACACTAACAAAAATTCTGCAAAAAACAAAGAATTATGGAAAAATTACACATGGACTGACATAGAGGAGGATCTACACAAGTTTTTTACATCATGTTTTACATCATGCATCATTTACATCATGTTTTTTTGTAGTGGCATAAATAAAAAGTGACATTTGTGAGACTATACAGTGTTTTGTAAATAATTTTACAAAGAACGCCTGGGCCATTGCCTGCATTTTGATGTAAATAGAGGTAAATTACTATGTTCTTTGTTAAAAATTTGCATATGTTTTGAAGTTTACAATTTTTATTTGAAGTTTAAGTTTTAAAAACAGTTCATCACACATATTTGTGGTTTAATTTCACATTAATTTCCATATTGTATAAATGACTGGAAAAAACTTGAGCCCCTGCCCCTATATAATCATGTGCACGTCCCTGTTCTAGCTCCAAGGTGAATCGTCACTGCTCATGTTCTCCTCAGAAATAGTCACCTCACTCCCCTCAGGTTACTGTACACATGCACCAACTATCTGCTTCAGGTTTGGATGGAGCTTCATGGTTGTCTTTTGGAGAAATGAACAGTCAAGTTGTGTTTGAAATCTGATTTTTTTCAGGGGCAAAAGGAAGCCTCTGCATTGTTGTCAAATATGTAAATAGCATGTTTTTGCAGGTGCTAAAAAACAGACTCTGAGTGTGTGTGTGTGTGTGTGTGTGTGTGTGTGTGTGTGTGTGTGTGTGTATATGTGTGTGTATCCTGCAGTACTCTGTACTCCTGCAGTGGCCAAAAAGACTTTTAAGAATGTGGATTTTTGGGTCATCTTTGGCGCCCCCTAGAACTGCAGTACTCTGTACTCCTGCAGTGGCCAAAATGACTTTTAAGAATGTGGATTTTTGGGTCATCTTTGGCGCCCCCTAGAACGTAAACCGTGGGACGCAGCGTCATGATTTTTACATCTTTGAATGGCCATGGGGTGTAGATTGCCCTGAGCAAATTTGGTATTGGTGGGACGAAAGCCTTAGGAGGGGATAGCCACATTCCAATGTGTGCGAATCGGCAAAAAATGCGAAATAGCCCTTTAACCGTACATTATACAGATACGCGCTTTTTGACTTTTTCGTAGATCTAATTGAGATACACATGATTGTCAATTTTTGTGTCAATATGACAAAGCGTTCAGGCGTGACACTCAACAATGTGTATTTTCATGTAAGGGGACAAGAAAAAATTGACTTTTTTCTCCTGCCATGGGGGGGCGCTCTTTTGGGGAGTAAAAATTCCTTCACAAATGTGTTGATGGCTGGACATTGCATCATCCTAGAAAACTTGGAGGGCAGTGAGGACAAAAATAAAAAGTTATAAGACTTTTAAGAATGTGGATTTTGGGTTATCTTTGGCGCCCCCTAGAACCTAAACCGTGGGGTGCAGCGTCATGATTTGTACAACTTTTAATGGCCATGGGGGGTAGATTGGCCTGCGCAAATGTGGTGCCGGTCGAACGAAAGCCTTCGGAGGAGTTAGCGAAATTCCAATGTGTGCAGATCTGCAAAAAATGCAAAATAACCCATTAACCGTACATTTGACAGATACGCCCGCACTGACTTTTTTGTAGATCTTATTGAGATACATGTGTGTGTCAATTTTTGTGTCAATATGACAAAGTGTACAGCCGTCATGTGAATTTTCACCTTAGGGGGCGCTATGGAGCCATTTTGCATTTTATTGTTTGGGCGACTTCAGAATATCGAATTTTTCACCAGGCCCGGTCGTCCTGCCAAATTTCCTGAGTTTTCGCCAGTGGGAAGTGGGCCATTTTCCAGTTTAAAGCGGAGGAAAAATAATAACGAAAGAAGGAAACATGCAGGAACAAGAGGGCTCTCGCAGCTGCTTAGCAGCTACGCTCGGGCCCTAATGAATTTCCAGGAAGTGGGTCTTTAAATAAAGTAAACAAAATAGGCGCCTTTTTTTATAAAGTCTTCTGTTCCATTACAGTAACTATGGTTTTATATTATTATATAATGATAATGTAATGATGGTAAATATGACGTATGCTGCGTTCCTGTTACCTTGAAAGTCGGAGCTGGGAATGACGTTACACCAAAGTTGACGGCGTTCCTGTAAATGAGTCAGAAAGTCAAAATGGACACCTACTGTTAGCCGTTGTTAGCTATTGTTAGCTGTTGTTAGCTATACGAGTTGTAAACAACGCGTAACATAGTATTTTACTCTTACGAACACCATAACACCGTGTTCACAGTTAGACGTTGGGCAGAACAACATAAACTGCTTATTTAATGTCACAAAAACAAACACAAGTGCTAATGAATAAAACATTCCGAGAGCTTTCACTGTTACTCTTTACTGTTGAAGCCCTGTGCGGCCATCTTGGATTATGATGTTGTCGTCAAGTCGGGGTGGGCGAGAATCGTCTAACTTTCCAGGTCCAGGCGTTTCAGACGAATTTGCGACTCAGATCTCGGAAACCCCGACTTCCGAGAACAACTGGAACGCAGCATTAATTAATCAGAAATACTTGCGGCGTTCAAGTTACCTTGGAAGTCAGATGTCGGAACGGAAACAAGATGGCTACATCTGCGAAAGTCATTTTAGTGCTAGCCTTATATTTGGACAAGCACTAAAATAACTTTGATAGATGTAGCCATCTTGTACCCGCTTCCGGTTTTGCTTTTTTCTGATTTGGTAACTGAAACGCCGGGAACTCGGGTGTGACGTCAATCCCAGTTCAGACATCTGACTTCTGAGGTAACTCGAACGCAGCAACAGTCAATTATAATTATTACGATTAAGTTTTACATCACAGATGGAAATTTGCAGTTTGCTTAATCTGGTTCATCCATCCCTCCTGCTCTGTCAGTTCGCCTCGCTTCATTGAACACCTCCAATGCAGGCAATGTGGTGGGACAACTTAGTCCATCATCAGGCCTCTTTGACCCTCATGTTTAAGGCGAGACGTTCCAGGGCCGTAGACGTCACCTCTATTCCTGGTAGCGGGAAAAAGGAACAAGATTACTCATAACGGACACCGAAGGCGTCTGTCATCTTGACTTCTCTGCTGTTCAAACAAAATACCAACATCTCTAAGCCTTCAACGCTTTTGTTTGTAAAGCAGCTTTTGTTACTCATTCATGATCTCAAAGCCTGCTGAGATAACCCTGCCAACCCTGAACACACAAATGTTAGTTATTTCTCAGAGAGTGTTCACACCTGTTGACTTAACCTCGTCAAACACGTCTGCGATGGCACCGGGTGGCCACATTGTTCACTAAACTGTTGTTAACGCCTTAAGGAGTGGCCTGTACTTGTTTATTTCTGTCACTATCATGTGACATGAGCTGTTTGCACGCTTTAATTATCCAAAAATCCATGTACGGTAAGAACAAAGAACAGAATATTTTAAGGAGCTTTAGGTGAACATGTGGAGGGTCCATAGAAGGAATGACAGAACGTATTTTGAGGACCTGTGTGATGTAAAACATGGATACAAGGTCCTTGTTGAGGATGGTTTTCAGAGGCCCAACAATCTCACACTGAAGTATCTGAGGTATTTGAGTGACACAGCTCCACCACTTTAAAGGCTGACATGACTGGCTAAAGAAACTCTTCCTAACAATTTCTTCAAGCTGCTCGACCCAGAGCTGACTGAGAAAGTGAGCCACTAAAGAAAGAAAATGTTTCCACTCCGTATGAGCCGACTTCTCTGCGTGTATGTTGTTTCAAACTCCCTAAATCGCTGACAGATGAGGAGAGCAGACAGTTTCAGAGCTGAATGAGCGAAAAGAGACGGGGGCTGGCAGGTCTAAACTCTTAGATCACGAGCGGTCTAAGAAGTTCCATGGTTTTTGTGAAACCAGCACTTATTCCCCCTCCACTTGTATCATCGTGGTTTTGAACAAAGACGCCTCACAGCCCTCATGTAAAAAAACGGTCCTGGAGTTATTTCACTGGAGGTGGTCTCTTACACGTGTATGTGAAACATAAGCTTTGTTGTAGCAGGCTGCGCTCCAGCGTTAAGAGACAGAGAAGATGCTTTGAGTCGGGGGAATAAATGGGAACATGGCTGTTCCTCAAAGGTCCGTTTCAGACACTGAGTGGTAAATTTGGGCATGTGCTGCTCGCAGCTCTCTCATTTTGGAGATGCTGTTCTTTAATCTGAACCCTCGGGTGGAAGTAACCATCCTCCTCACTCCCCCGCTGTGGCTCCTGTTTGATGTGGGAGACCTCATTTATTTTAATAGGCCATGGAGACGATACGCTCAGAACATGACATTTTCCAAATAATCCAAGTGTTATATTTAAACCCGCTCCTTCTGCAATGACCATGAGGCGAAGTATTGTCGGAGCAGCGTTTGAATGTTGAAGTTAGATTTAAAAAATCTTAGTAAAGAGAGTTTAATAGTTTGACAACCTGATCTTAAAGGAATATTCCGTCTTAAAATCAAATTAGGGTCAAACACACCTTAACACCTAGTTAGACACCTCCTCCAGAGATGAATGTTGTCGACCGCTTGCTTCTCTAGTTATACCAACTTTAGTAACGACCGCACAATAGCAATACAGAGAGCCACGCCCCCAACCAAAACGCCACTCTATAGCCACAAATAATGCTCAGAACAGCACCTACACACGTGGACAAAATTGTTGGTACCCCTCAGTTAAAGAAGGAAAAACCCACAATTCTCACTGAAATCACTTGAAACCTACAAAAGTAACAATAAATAAAAATTTATTGAAAATTAAATAATCAAAATCAGCCATTACGTTTGAAATGTTGATTAACATAATTATTTAAAAAAAACAAACTAATGAAATAGGGCTGGACAAAAATGATGGTACCTCTATAAAAGATTGAAAACTATTTGACCAGAGTGACATGATTAACTCAGGTGTGTCCTTTAATTGACATCACAGGTGTTTCCAAACTCATAACCAGTCAGTCTGCCTATTTAAAGGGAGACAAGTAGTCACTCTGCTGTTTGGTGAAAAGGTGTGTACCACACTGAACATGGACAACAGAAAGCGAAGGAGAGAATTGTCCCAGGACATCCGAAAAAAAATTATAGACAAACATCTTAAAGGTGCAGGCTATAAGACTATCTCTAAACAGCTTGAAGTTCCTGTGACAACAGTGGCTCATATTATTCAGAAGTTCAAGACCCACGGGACAGTAGCCAACCTCCCTGGACGTGGCCGCAAGAGGAAAATTGATGACAGATTGAAGAGACAGATCGTTCGAATTGTATCCAAAGAGCCCAGGACAACCTCCAAAGAAATTAAAGGTGAACTCCAAGGCCAAGGTACATCAGTGTCAGATCGCACCATTCGTCGTTGTTTGAGCCAAAGTGGACTTCATGGGAGACGACCAAGGAGGACACCACTGCTGAAAAAAAATCATAAAAAAGCGAGACTGGAATTTGCAAAAATGCATGTTGACAAGCCACAAAGCTTCTGGGAGAATGTCCTTTGGACAGATGAGACCAAACTGGAGCTTTTTGGTAAGGCACATCAACTCTATGTTCATAGACTCAAAAACCAAGCATACGAAGAAAAGAACACTGTCCCTACGGTGAAACATGGAGGAGGCTCAGCAATGTTTTGGGGCTGCTTTGCTGCATCTGGCACAGGGTGTCTTGAATGTGTGCAAGGTAAAATGAAATCTGACGACTATCAAGGCATTCTGGAGAGAAATGTGCTGCCTAGTGTCAGAAAGCTTGGTCTCAGTCGCAGGTCATGGGTCTTCCAACAGGACAACGATCCAAAACACACAGCCAAAAACACCCAAGAATGGCTGAGAGAAAAGCGTTGGACTATTCTAAAGTGGCCTTCCATGAGCCCAGATCTGAATCCCATTGAACATCTGTGGAAGGAGCTGAAACATGCCATTTGGAGAAGACACCCATCAAACCTGAGACAACTGGAGCAGTTTGCTCATGAGGAGTGGGCCAAAATACCTGTTGACAGCTGCAGAACGCTCATTGACAAATACAGAAATCGTTTAATTGCAGTGATTGCCTCAAAAGGTTGTGCAACAAAATATTAAGTTATGGGTACCATCATTTTTGTCCAGCCCTATTTCATTAGTTTGTTTTTTTTAAATAATTATGTTAATCAACAATTCAAAAGTAATGGCTGATTTTGATTATTTAATTTTCAATAAATTTTTATTTATTGTTACTTTTGTAGGTTTCAAGTGATTTCAGTGAGAATTGTGGGTTTTTCCTTCTTTAACTGAGGGGTACCAACAATTTTGTCCACGTGTGTAACTTCATCAACAGGACATATAGGGTCACAAACATAGTACTAGACACCAAACATCTTTTTAACTTTGACTCATTTCTTTAGCAAAGAGACTAAACACAACTCACCTACTCTCTTCCAGCAGCCGCTTGTTTGTAGCAAGACCTCAGGCCAGTCCATTACGGACTACAGCGGGGTGCCGCAGCTCAAGGAAGAACATATATGATCATTTCTTTATCATTTCCTTGAAGTAATAATCACCATAATAATCATTTGCACCGCAGACACAGTAGTTCTTAATAATAATATTAATAACTTAATTTTTTAGCATTAGAACAGAAGTTTACAAATTGCTTTGACATAAAGTCCCAGAGCACATGGAAAAAGACAGATAAAAACAAAAAGCTCAGTTAAAACGGAGTTGAAGGAACATCTTCATAAGACAATACAAGAACCGTGCAACATAAAATGAGACCACGAGGACCAAAATGAAAACATAAAACAGTTAAGAAAAAAGAAAAAGCAATTAAAGGGGCTGGAAAGCAGAAACAGGATAGTAAATATAAAAGGCAATATCATCAATGATAATAAAATAATAACAGTTAATACTGATAATAATAGTAATGATGGAATGGAGCGACAGAAATGAGCGAGAGAAAAAACCTGATCATAAATGTTCTTCCTTGAGCTGCGTCACCCCGCTGTAGTCCATAATGGACTGGCCTGAGGTCTCACTACGAACAAGTGGCTGCTGGAAGAGAGTAGGTGAGTCGTGTTTAGTCTCTTTACTAAAGAAATGAGTCAAAGTTAAAAAGATGTTTGGTGTCTAGTACTATGTCTGTGACCCTATATGTCCTGTTGATGAAGTTAGGTGCTGTTCTGAGCATTATTTGTGGCTATAGAGTGGCGTTTTGGTTGAGATTCAGATTCAGATTCAGACAAATATCCCCTAAGGCCAAATCCGTTCACGGTTACCCTGCCGTTTGATCGGTCCAAACACACAAATCAGCAGAAAAACAAACCAGACAAGTGCAAGACATTAATAACAACCAGTAGACAACCACATCCTGTCAGTGCTGACAGATAAATAGCTAAATAAGCATAATAAGCAGTCAAGTTCCGCAGAGCAATGGTTGAAATATAATAAGATCCACAAGTATGAGACACAAGATCAGAAATAAAACAAATAAAACACTCCTGAAGCTCCAGTTCAGCACAGGCCACATGTGACCATCAGCCTACCTCCCGGCATTTAAATGCCTGATGGCTGAGGGGATAGAAGAGTTTGAGTATCGCGCGTGGCTCTTTGTATCTACTAGATAAAGCAAGCGGTCATCTCTCGACGAGTTAACTGACTCGGTGTTACGGTGTGTTTTACCCTAACTTAACTTCACGCCGGAATATCCCTTTACATGGAGTATATATTGCTCAGCATTCATGGAGCCATCACAGACGTGTAAGATACCCCCCAAAAAGAACATTAAATCTTGGTTCCATTTAATTTAGAGGAGTCACCGGCACCTCTGGGTCATGTGGTTTCCTTTTTGCATGGTGCCATTTTAACTTGCACTTTGTCACTCTAATGCAGAACCTTGTATTTCCAAAACCACCACTTTCCAGGAAGTTAAAAAAAAAAAAAAGCAGCTGAGAGAAACTAAAGCTGTGGTTGCCAGTTTGTTGTTTGTTCTGCCTGCCTGCTTGGTTCTAGTCCTATGTCATATCAAGCCTGGCCAGTATCTTGTGTACTTCTTCCTGGTTGGACTGGTTTTGGGTTTTGGACTTTGGAATGGACTGGTACTTCCCCTTTTTCCCTCTTTTGGTTTGCTTCCTCAAAGTCTGTGTTTTCGCTGTAAATCTGTCTTGGTGTCATTCTCTTCAGAAGTGTGACAGGTAGAGCAGGTTCAGTCATCTCTGTTTACAGATTCTACATAAAAGGTGCCGAGTCTGCACTCAGGAGTCTGGCCTCTCGGTGTGGGAGGTGGTTTTTGTTGTCTTGAGTAGCACTGGCTGTCATGTCACAACAGACTTTAGTGTCTGCAGATAATAAATCCAACCTTCGCTCGATAAATAAACAGTTTATTCACTCTCAGATCTGACTGAACTCCAAGTTAATGTCATTTTACTAAAATCTTCGTTGTAAATCATTGCTTATCATTTCTCTTGTCCGGGTTTCTGAGGATTGAGGCTCACTTCCCTCTCTCTCTGCAGTTGAACCTTTGGTCTTGGTTCAACATTAACAGCTTCCAGTTGCTCATTAAGTCAGCAGTTTTCTTACATTTTATGCCTTGTTAGCGGACTTTACGAGGTCGAGGGTACAGCATGCACCATAGTTACCCGAGACTGCAGCTGGGGTTTCTCTCAGTTTTACAGTTGGCACCATTTGTGTGTGCTTTAAGATGAATTTGCTGACAGTGGTGTGTTTATGTCGACACTAAAATAACCTAACAGCGACATGACCCACTGTCAGTGGCCTGTTTTTGTTCCTTTGAACCCCCTCGGTCTTCCAAAATCCTCCATTATCGCTCCTGTCATGTGATCTGTCACACCTGCAGTCGTGCAAAACCAAGACTCGAGTGAAACATTCTTCAGTGACATCTGTCTAAAAGCAGAAAATACAAAAACCTCCTTATCTTTATGTTTTCATCAGGTAAGTCCAACCTGTTTCCAGACATGTCTGGATAGGTCTGCTGTTGTGACACAACAGATTAATAATCCTCATCCTGAAGCCAACTGTTACTGTCCAATAGAAGCGATCTTTATCAGCTCTCATATGTCAGTTTATAAAATGAAAGTAAACAGTTTGGGGTCTGTAGTGTGGTAACTATTTGGAAGATAAATGTTTTTCCTCCACTGAGATAATCCGGAGGGTCAGAGTTTGATCAAATCTTCCAATAAGATGTTTTGTCGCTCTGTGCCAGGAGGCTCAAAGCGTGACTTGGCTCGACCTCTTTTCGCTTGTGGTTGATGAAAAAGTTGCGCATCGTCAGCGTCTCCAGAATTGCACCCACCATCTGCGGTTTTCAAAACTTCCCTCCTGAAACCAAGAAGTGACGCAGCCATGTTTGTTTACATGCTGCAAAGAGCCGAGGAAGCTCTGCAGGAGGTGGTTTGTTTATTTGTGACCGACTGACACACTTGACATAGATATTCTGGGATCAACTATCTAATGCATGTAAACTAAGAAAACAACAGAAAATAATGAAGAAAAGTCAATAAAAAGTTGATTTTCTTCTCAGACAGACTGGAGCCTCCACCCTCGTCTTCGTAACAACGAGAAGTCAACTCATAAATCAACTTGTTTTTCTGCGACAACACCCAACCCTCCCTCTGTTCTGATTGGTTAATGTGTTATTGTTGTTGGAAACTTAATTTAAGAGTCTGTGGAGTTGGTTAGCCAGATTGGTTTTCAACCACGGATATTCTTGTTTGTATAGAAGAATTAAATCAATATTGATCTTATATAGATTGAGAAACTTAATGAGACCCTGCTGACAGGATTATTTACAGTCCCAGTTCAACAGAGGAAACATTAAAGCTCTTTCACTGTCATTATGAAGCCGCTTCTAAAAATACTGAACTGCTCCTTTAAAGCAGCACATTTCTCCACAGGAGGTCATGTCGGGTTTCTCTCTGATGGTTTACTTCCAGCAGAGAAACCCCCGGGCTCAACGCCATCTCTTGTTCTCTCTTTCACAGCGAATCACGAGACTCCGAGGAGCCGCTGGACGGACAGACCGACAGTGACGGGTGGACCCATCCGCCCTCCAACTCCTCCGTTAACTCCACAGTCCAATTAATCTCAGAGTCCGACTCCAGGTCCGCCGATGGCCTGGATAAAACCAAGACCAAAGCACCTTCAGTAAAGCCTCAGACAGCCAGACCAACAGAACCTTCCTACATAGGAGACACTTACATGACCGAAGACATCCCTCCACAAACAGTGAGTGAAGACAACACTTATTTATATTGGTCAGTCTGTGCAGAGCAGCCGTGACTAACAGCTCCATGAGTACAAGTTATTCACTCCGCCTCAAATTTCATACTACACACCACAAACTCAAAATGGCTGCCAACATCTGTGTAAATAACAGAGGAATAAATCTCTGACTGTCTTAAAGCCTCCGATGTCCTGCCTCCTAGAAACTTTTCTAACCTGATCCCAAAAAAACAAAATATGACGACATCGGCATCCTCGGCCTGAAAAACTAGTTTGAAATCCTGCTCAGTCCACCATGATCTTCACTTTGTAGAATAATGGCGATTAAAACTGGTGTGCCTTAGGCCCCAACTACACGAAGGCGGATATATTTCAAACCGCACATATTTATGTCCGATTAGGCCTCCCTACCACACCAAACCGGGAGTTTGGAGCACTCAAACCGGATAAATCTGAATCCGGAAAAACAAGCGGAGAAATAAAAAAATATCCGTATCCCGTATCCGCAGAGGATTTGTGTGGTCGGACTTTTACGGATCGATGACGTCAAACCGCAGCTCGCGCATGCAAATTAAAAACAAAAACAATAACAACAACGATGGCGGACATACAGGGTATTCTTTACGTTTGTTTCGCCCTTTTGGGGCTAATTTCAGCCTTGAAAGTGAACCTTATTTTATATAATTACATCCACCAGTCAGCCAGCTCACAGAGGCGTCTGCTGCGCCCAATATTTTTTTGGAGAGCAATCGTAACGTTAACGTTAGGCGTTTTAAAGTTCCCCAGAAGCGTAAGTTTTGGGTCAAGTGGTGGGACAACTTCGTTAGAGGGGCTGTGCCTGCAGATGAATGGAAGCTAAACTTCCGATTCATCGGCCAATCAGGTAGCTTTGTTCCTGAATTTTTTTTTAAGCGGCACCAGATAGGATTGAGTTTGAAGGCTACGTGTGGATGCAGATATTTTTGAGAACTAACACGTGTGGACAGATACATTTATTTAGACGGGAGTACAAAAATATCCCGATAAATAAATATCCGCCTTCGTGTAGTTTAGGCCTTAGAGTCAGCAAGAGCAGCGCGGTTGTCTGCGTACAGAGACGTGAACGAATTATGGTTATTAAGGAAAAGTTAACAGGGACATTTTCTTTTGACTCTGTTGTTGAAACAATGGACGACGTTGTGAAGAAGCGTGGTTCTTGCAAACTCTCCAAAGTAAATGTAAAAAGTCTTTATTCTTCTGTACCTTGTAATTAAGTAATTGCAGTTTTGCAAAACCGTAGATCCTGAGGACGTTTGTCTCATGGCTCTGACTCTGTGCATAACCAACCTCTGTTCCTCTCTGTTCCGTCTCAGACAGGGAGAGGCGGAGGACTTTACTTTCCATGTCACTCAGTGTATACAATGGATATGACAGGAGTGTAAATAACCTGCTTTAAGATGGCAGTACGTAAGAGTCCATCGTTTTTTTTTTACTTAACAAATGTAAACATCCACAAAGAACCCCACCTTTGTTTCTACTGCATGACCGCATGACCTCCATCTGATATTTACAAAGATTTCAGGCTGGCTGCTTGTTTTAGGGGAAGTATCTACTCAGAATATAATCACAATATAATAATATATCATAATATTTATTTATTAATTTGTTTATTCAATTAAATTTCTGGGCTCAAAAACGGATGTGGAACAGCGGTTAAAAAGAGGGTTGTGGCTCTATCATGCAATGACCTACTCTGTCCAGCAGGGGCACAAAGAGGGTTGTCGATCTGCTCGGCTGTCCGGCTCTGCAGACACGGCTTTATTTCGCCTTTACACAGGTTTTCAGTTCAACTATTGGAAAAGCGCGGTGCTGGTCAATAACACTGATCACCGACCAATCAGAATCAAGGAAGGGCGGGGTTTTGGTAACAACAATGGCGGAGGTCCCTGGGGAGACGATTTTTGCCGTAACGGCACCATAAATACGATTTCAACCTTTTCTACCTTTAGTCTTTGTCGATTTAAAACAATTAAAAGCATTTAGAACATTTTTAAACGGACCCAACGGTTACTTCTGACGGAAGCTAAAGTCCTGCGGTACAACTGATTGATCCCACTGAGGAACTTTATTTCCCCACACAAGTCCCACTAAGATTAAAATGAAGAAGAGAGACCCCAAGAAACAAAAACACAAAGTTAGACACAAACACACGGAGCAAAACTGAGGCGAGAGTCACCGTTCGCAGGAGAACTCCACCACGGACACGGACTTCTAGTTTTTAAGAAAGCTGCTGATTTCTCAAAACAGCTGGTCATTGTAGAGTTCAACAAACAAAGCAGAGAAAAAGAATATTAATCCACATTTGGTGCTTTATCGAGCTTTTAGTTTAGCAGTAACAGTGTGTATGGGATTGATTTAAACTAAAGTGTGTTTGTTCACAGTTACAAAGGAGCATTACACACACACACACACACTCACTTAGTAGTAGAAAGAAGCCATTGTTGGTTTACTGGGGAAAATAATGCCACTAATCTAATCCTTCATTCGGCTGATGACAAACAGTCTTTCAGAGATTAATACGGGGAAGTCTTCGTGAATTGATTTGATTTAAACTTGTGACGTGTGTCACACTCGTGGATTTCACCAGCCTGGAGGTGCCGTTTTGCAGCCTCACTGTAACTGGGCGGGTCTCTGTTCCCAGTAAGAGCTGCATGGAAACAGTCTCCTACAGCTTGGCTCTGATCCTCCCTCTCCCACCCAGTCCCAGTGCGTGTCATCTACACATAAGCTCTCATAGTATGTAGTCAGACGGAAAAACAGAGAAAACACCCCGGGAAAAGTAAGACAACTCCCAGAATCTGCCGTTTATTGCTCTCTCTTTTGCATAATATATAAAGGTTGTAAATTCGTTTTAAATGACTTCTATGCACAAGTCAGATATGGTAATATAAACGTATTGTATAATAGGTATAAAGTTTTATGGTTTAATATGTGTCTTGTCCGACCCAAAATGTCAATACTCCTAGACATACACTCGTACACTCTTTCTTTTTTTTATTTTTTTTTATTTGTGCAGTGTGACAATACAAGACATACAGCAAACAATGGCATTTGTGGTGTGTGTGTGTGTGTGTGTGTGTGTGTGTGTGTGTGTGTGTGTGTGTGTGTGTGTGTGTGTGTGTATTATATATGTGAATAATAATAAAAAAAAATAATAATAAATAAATATTACAATTGTCAGACAAGCAAAAGAAAATTATAATACACGAACAATATCAATAATAAAAATAATAATAATAATAATAATAGTAATAATAATAACAACAATAATAGTAATAATAATAATAATAATAATAATAATACCCCCCCCAACCCCCGCATGCCCCGGACTGAATGCGGCACAACACCTTGCCCTATGTCTATATATGTATTTAGTCTTTGTTATTTACTTAATATACTTAATATTTATTTATTTATTTATTTTTATTATTATTATTATTATTATTATTATTATTATTATTAATAATAATAATAATAATAATAATAATAATAATAATAATAATATTATTATTATTATTATTATTATTATTATTATTATTATTATTATTATTAATAATAATAATATTATTATTATCATTATTATTATTATTATTATTTTATTTTATTTTATTTTTTTATTTTTTTTCTTAATTTCTCTCATATATGTGCTTTCTAATGTTGTGCATTAAAACCGAGGAGAGGGGTTGTCCTGAACTATAACTTGATGTGACTGAGACCCCTTTCCTCTTCCTAATCTAGTGTGATGTGCAATAAAAAAGGTGATATGCCATCTGAAGACAGTCCAGGGCGGAGAACACTCGAACACTCTTTCTATCTTAGTATTATCATCACTCACTTTAATCTCTGTATTTGGTTGAATTGGTCTCTTTCCAAACACTGTGAACTTTGTCTTGGTCATGTTTGAAGCTGCAGTTTTGGCTCTGAGCTCTTACATAAGAAGAGAGCACACACACACACACACACACACACACACACACACAGGCCGGATCGATCATTGATCCCACTGAGGACCGTCCAGGGGCAGATCACACAATTAGGGGAGATAAGTTGCTAATGGGCTCCGTGCCATTGTTGTGTTTGCCTCCTCATCTGCTTTTACATTTCATGCATCAGCAAAGAGTGTCCCTGCTAATTCCATTATGAAGGCTGAATGGAAAAAAAACCTCATCATTAGCATCGTTAGACGTGGAGATAATTGGTCCAGAGAGAGTTTGGGGGTTAATACTGAAGCTGTGAAACCTTCCAGGTGGAACTAATGGTTCTGCTTTTTCAATGACACTGTAGACAGACTGTACTCTGTGCATGTTCCTGTTTAGTCTTACAGGGTGGGGATGAGGCTTTCTGTGAGGTTTGATAACAACATTGCTGTGTTATCTGCTCCTCCCAGCACTGTCCTGATGGTATTCGGAGTCGGGTGACAAACTCTGAGTTTAATGAGCGGTTTCTGAGGAACATTCCAGTCCTGCAGTGGGCCAAACACATCACACCCGAGCAGCACAAGCGCCTGAGCATATACCCTGGAACCCATGGCTGGAGAGGCCTCGAATATGAAAGTGAGTTTGTGGATTTATTGTTGTCATTTTCACCCTTATTTTTCTCCTTTTGTTTGCCGCTCACTATAATACCAAACAACTGACCACAAAACGACCCAGTGAAAGTAACAGGCGCTATCGGGTTTATCGGTAACAGACAGGAAACCAAATATCAGCTCTGGCTTTTAAAAGCCCAAGACCAGGTGAGCCTTGTTGGCGGGCAGTAGCCTCACCTGGATACAGGAGGGAAGGAAGACCCAACGACACAAACAGGCCCTGAATGTGAACCGGACTCACCATCTGACAGAGCAGTCATATACAGTGTTGGAAAAAAGTTTGGAATATTTTCTTCAGTGTTTCGTGTAACGTGAATGATCCTCCAACAAACGTGGCTGAACCGACTCAGGCTGTGATCCAATGCTGGCAAGAAATCCCGGTTGAAACTCTTACCAACCTTGTGACCAGCATGCCCAGACGTGTACGCGCATTGTACAATGCTAGAGGCGGTCACACAAAGTACTGACTGTATTGTTATTATCGTCTTGTTATGTTTGATGTTGCGTTCAAAGATGGTCCATGTATTTTGTGGCAATTTAAAATTACAGCCGTTTATTTATTAAATACCGACTCATGATTTTATGCGTTATTTCTATGGCTTTTTGTGAATCATGAGGTGTCCGCCCTACAGTTTTTTGAGAAACAAAATAGTTTGATAGTACTAGACACCAAACATCTTTTTAACTTTGACTAAACACAACTCACCTACTCTCTTCCAGCAGCCACTTGTTTGTAGCGAGACCTCAGGCCAGTCCATTACAGACTACAGCGGGGTGACGCAGCTCAAGGAAGAACATTTATGATCAGTTCTTTATCGTTTCCTTGAAGTAATAATCATCATATTAATCATTTTACAGACGCGGTAGTTCTTCTGCCTTAGCGTCTCGGTCTGATTGTATTTCCATGAAGAAATGATCATAAATGTTCTTCCTTGAGCTGCGAAACTCCGTTGTTGTCTGTAATGGACTGGCCTGAGGTCTCACTACAAACAAGCGGCTGCTAGAAGAGAGTAGGTGAGTTGTGTTTAGTCAAAGTTAAAAAGATGTTTGGTGGCTAGTACTATGGCTGGGACATAATTCTGAGTTCTGAGCATTATTTGTGGCTATAGAGTGGCGTTTTGGTTGAGCTCTCTGTATTACTATCCTGCGGTCGTTACTAAAGTTGGTAAAACTAGAGAACTAAGCGGTCGGCAACATTCATCCCTCGACGGGGTGTCTAACTCTGTGTTACGGTGGGTTTGACCCTAAATTAATTTTACGCCGGAATATCCCTTTAAAGTCGGAGAGTTCATATCCTTTCTGGTTTCTCTACTCAGGGAGACCAGAGAGAAAAGCACGACCGGTTATAAAATCGTTAACTAGTGTCTCTGCGTTGGTCTGAGGTAGAAACTGATCCTCTGTCTGTGTCTGTCAGCTGATAAAAGACTAACTTTGTAATATCAGTCTGATCCTCCATAGCATGTTGCACAGTTCGACTGAGGACACAGGCGCCTCTTCGTTGTAAACAAGCTTATCTGGTTAAAATAAAGACATCCCACACATGAAGCTGCAGGCCGTCTCTTTCTTTCAGTCACAAATAACTGACTCTGTGGGTGGATCACAAAATAAACATTCAGGTCTCTTTTGAAACTGTCTAAAAAAAAAAGGTGAACTCGGCTTTTCTGTGTCGACAGTGCTGAAGGAAACTCTGTCATTCCTCAACTCTTCGGTCAACCGGCTGATGTTGGACGACTGGATGGACCGCAGGAATAACTCCGAGTGTTCCCGCTGTGCTGTGGTAGGAAACGGCGGCATCCTGAAAGGCTCAAAGAAAGGGGAGGAGATCGACGGTCACCATTATGTTTTCAGGTACCAACAGGTTCTAGACTGTCTTCTCTGAAATACAACGAAATATTAAAGGGGATGAAAAGTGAACAGTTCATCAGTTTATTCGACTCACATCGCAAAAAAAAAAAAAAAAGAAAACAAAAAAAAAAAAAGACTTTCTTGATTAAAAACCAGCTGTCTCATCATAAAGGGCATTTTGTGTGTGAAATGATCTTGATTAGAAACCAACCCAATCAAAACAGACCAGAGGAATGCAGAGAGGTGACTTCTGTCGTTTTATTGTTCGGTGTCTCCTTGTTATCTCCAGGACCAATGGCGCCATCACGCAGGGCTTCGAGCAGGACGTAGGGTCCCGGACCACCCACTACACCGTCTCCACCAACACGTTGAGAAACTCTCTTGTAAATTACGGACGTGATGGTTTTAGAGCAGTCCCTGTCTCTAAGGTGAGGATGAAACGTGGAATTATTTTCTGTAAAAAAAGAAAAAAAAAAAAGCTGAAACAGAGACAAAAGAAGTCACGTGACATTCGCTGCTCTCCAACAGGAAACCCGGTACGTTCTCCTGCCAGATCACGATCGTGATTACCTGATGGTGAAGGCCGCGGCGACACGCACTCTGGTGGATAGAGGGCGTGATCAGGGAAAAGAGTAGGTGACGTTTACTGTCCTTATGCTGCACTCCAGTTACCTGGTTGATCATCTGGACGACTTATTTTTCTCTTACTTCTTACCTGCTATTTATTACCTCCGCCAAGGAGGCTATGTTTTCGGTAGCGTTGGTTTGTTTGTTTGTTTGTTTCCCTGTTAGCAACTTTACGGAGAAAGTAACGGATAGATTGACCTGAAATTTTTACCAGAGGTGCGTCTCAGACCCAGGAGGATCCCATTACATTTTGGTGGGGATCCGAACAAAATTCCGGATACTGTGATCCAGAACACACAAAAATAAGGGTGTGGTTGGAATTTTCAGTGCTGAAAGAAAACCAATGGGCGGCACAGCGGTGTAGTGGTTTGCACTGTCGCCTCACAGCGAGAAGGTCGTGGGTTTGAGTCCCGGTCAGGGCATTTCTTGTTTTATGAACAGTGAACATACCAGTTTAAACACAAATAAACGTTAATAAAAGACATGTAACAGTAAAAGTTTTGGTGTGAATCACAGTATAAGGGGGACATGAGCTGCTTGGCGGAGGTCTGCGCTCTCCGAGTGCTTTTCCAGTTTCCTTACTGTTTTTTTTTTTGTTTGTTTTTGTTGCTGGTGTTTGTTTTTTGTTTGTTTAGTGTAATAATGACAATAATAATTTTTAAAAAGTATATTGGAAAAAAAAAAAAAAAAAAGTTACCTCAAAGGTCGGATGTCAGAGCTGGGAATGACATGACACCCGAGTTGACGGCGTTCTAGTTAACAAGTCGGAAAACCAAGATGGACACCCACTGTTAGCCGTTGTTAGCTGTTGTTTACAATGGCTCGCTGTCGTTAGCCGTTGTCAGTTGTTGCAAGTCATTGTTAGCTATTGTTAGTTGTTGTTAGCTATACCAGTCGTAAACACAGCGTAACACGGTATTTTACTCTTACAAACACCGTAGCACCGTGTTCACAGTTAGACGTTGGGCAGAACAACATAAACCACTTATTTAATTTCACAAAAACAAAACAGAAATGCTAATTAATAAAACATTACGAGAGCTTTACTGTTACTTTTTACTGTTAATGCACTGTGCGGCCATGTTGGATTATGACGTTGTCGTCAAGTCGGGGTTGGTGAGGATTGTCCAACTTTCCGAGTGGGAAATCCGACTTCAGGGGGGCATTCCAGATGAATTTCCCGACTCGAAGCTCGGAAATTCCAACTTCCGAGTACAACTGGGACAGCATTAATTCTGTAGTTATCCTTCAGCATCACAGACTGTATCAGACATCTGCTCAGTCTCAGTGACATCTTCCAGTAGACCCTAAAAGATGAAGATCGCCATGATGGAAATGCTAACCAACTTACAGCTGATCTAAAAAAGCAAAAGAAGTCGACTTCAACACACCAAGTTTTCCACAAGATCATATGTACTACAGGATTTTGCGTGGATTTTGCGTTGTCATGTAAATGCACTAAGCCTATGTACAATACGATCTGTAAACAGCGATACACATTTTGGTGCCGACGCCAAGACAATACAGGGCCGTCCTCCTGTGAGGAGGGCCTCATAGTCAGGAATTACGGCCGTTGGTAACACTGTGTTGTGTTGCCAAGTCTGCTTTTTTAACTGCAAAAAATCTCTTGTTAGGGCCCGAGCGTAGCTGCTAAGCAGCTGCGAGAGCCCTCTTGTTCCTGATGGATTCTTCTTTTGTTATTAGGGCCCGAGCCAGCTGCAGAGCAGCCGGGCGTAGAGCCCTATTATTCCTGTATAGGTTTTTAGGGCCCGAGCGTAGCTGCTAAGCAGCTGCGAGAGCCCTCTTGTTCCTGCATGTTTCCTTCTTTCGTTATTATTTTTCCTCCGCTTTAAACTGGAAAATGGCCCACTTCCCACTGGCGAAAACTCAGGAAATTTGGCAGGACGAATGGGCCTGGTGAAAAATTCGATATTCTGAAGTCGCCCAAACAATAAAATGCAAAATGGCTCCATAGCGCCCCCTAAGGTGAAAATTCACATGACGGCTGTACGCTTTGTCATATTGACACAAAAATTGACACACACATGTATCTCAATAAGATCTACAAAAAAGTCAGTGCGGGTGTATCTGTCAAATGTACGGTTAATTGGTTATTTTGCATTTTTTGCAGATCTGCACACATTGGAATTTCGCTAACTCCTCCGAAGGCTTTCGTTCGACCGGCACCACATTTGCGCAGGCCAATCTACCCCCATGGCCATTAAAAGTTGTACAAATCATGACGCTGCACCCCACGGTTTACGTTCTAGGGGGCGCCAAAGATAACCCAAAATCCACATTCTTAAAAGTCTTATAACTTTTTATTTTTGTCCTCACTGCCCTCCAAGTTTTCTAGGATGATGCAATGTCCAGCCATCAACACATTTGTGAAGGAATTTTTACTCCCCAAAAGAGCGCCCCCCATGGCAGGAGAAAAAAGTCCTTTTTTTCTTGTCCCCTTACATGAAAATACACATTGTTGAGTGTCACGCCTGAACGCTTTGTCATATTGACACAAAAATTGACAATCATGTGTATCTCAATTAGATCTACGAAAAAGTCAAAAAGCGCGTATCTGTATAATGTACGGTTAAAGGGCTATTTCGCATTTTTTGCCGATTCGCACACATTGGAATGTGGCTATCTCCTCCTAAGACTTTCGTCCCACCGATACCAAATTTGCTCAGGGCAATCTACACCCCATGCCCATTCAAAGTTGTAAAAATCATGACGCTGCACCCCACGGTTTACGTTCTAGGGGGCGCCAAAGATGACCCAAAAATCCACATTCTTAAAAGTCATTTTGGCCACTGCAGGAGTACAGAGTACTGCAGTTCTAGGGGGCGCCAAAGATGACCCAAAAATCCACATTCTTAAAAGTCTTTTTGGCCACTGCAGGAGTACAGAGTACTGCAGGATACACACACATATACACACACACACACACACACACACACACACACACACACACACACACACACACACACACACACACTCAGAGTCTGTTTTTTAGCACCTGCAAAAACATGCTGTTTACATATTTGACAAGAATGCAGAGGCTTCCTTTTGCCCCTGAAAAAAATCAGATTTCAAACACAACTTGACTGTTCATTTCTCCAAAAGACAACCATGAAGCTCCATCCAAACCTGAAGCAGATGGTTGGTGCATGTGTACAGTAACCTGAGGGGAGTGAGGTGACTATTTCTGAGGAGAACATGAGCAGTGAAGATTCACCTTGGAGCTAGAACAGGGACGTGCACATGATTATACAGGGGCAGGGGCTCAAGTTTTTTCCAGTCATTTATACAATATGGAAATTAATGTGAAATTAAACCACAAATATGTGTGATGAACTGTTTTTAAAACTTAAACTTCAAATAAAAATTGTAAACTTCAAAACATATGCAAATTTTTAACAAAGAACATAGTAATTTACCTCTATTTACATCAAAATGCAGGCAATGGCCCAGGCGTTCTTTGTAAAATTATTTACAAAACACTGTATAGTCTCACAAATGTCACTTTTTATTTATGCCACTACAAAAAAACATGATGTAAATGATGCATGATGTAAAACATGATGTAAAAAACTTGTGTAGATCCTCCTCTATGTCAGTCCATGTGTAATTTTTCCATAATTCTTTGTTTTTTGCAGCATTTTTGTTAGTGTAAGTGCAGATTGTGCTGACAGTCTATGGCAAAAAAAACAAAAACTGAAAATGCCTCAACATGAACCCCTGGTGGTCTCTGAGGGTGAAACCTGCTAACTGCTGCAGCTCTGTCAGCTTCAGTCTCCCATGCAGAGCTCGGAGCGCATGTGTGGCTCTGCACCCTTAGCAGCGTTGCTAACTCCTCAGTAAGGAAAGCCTGCTTCATGTCAGAGTCTCTAAACTCCAGAAGAAGTCGATAAAAGTCCCTTTCTTTCAAAAAAAAAGTCGTTAGGGGGTCTGAAAAGTAATTGAATCTAACAACAAAGTCGCTAGGTTTGCAACTACGTGTCCCAGACTGCATCCCTGCTGAGAGTCCCTCCCTCCCTTCTCATGTTGCAGGAAGAACGTAAGCGCCCGCCCCTTGTCAATCAGTCACCATATAATTTTGGATTGGTTGTTGTGGTGAAGTTTTCCACCAATAGGAGAGATGTTGTGGTGTGTTTTTTTTTTCTTTTGGCAAGCCTTTTCCGCCTGTAAGACCTGTCGCTAATGTGTGCATGCTATGTTTTCCTGTCTCATACAGCGTGATCGAGCGCCGAACGTGATCAAAATAAGCAGAAAAAAAGTATCGCGGACATAATTTATCATAACTCTGGTTTTATTTGGCCTATCAACACAATTTAAAAACTGGTATATAGGTTGAGGTCCTCACTTTTGAGATAAGTTGAAACGGAGAGTTAACGAGGCTCCGTATTGCAGCTACATCCGGTTAAATATGTCATGTGACTTGAACGCTGGGGATTGCAATCGAATCGAATCAAACCTAACTCTCAGATGAATCTTCAAAATTCACCTCAGAAATATGCTTATTATTCTTCTCAGAGTACTGCAGGATACACACACACACACACACAGACACACACACGCACACACACACACACACACACACACACACACACACACACACACACACTCAGAGTCTGTTTTTTAGCACCTGCAAAAACATGCTATTTACATATTTGACAAGAATGCAGAGGCTTCCTTTTGCCCCTGAAAAAAATCAAATTTCAAACACAACTTGACTGCTCATTTCTCCAAAAGACAACCATGAAGCTCCATCCAAACCTGAAGCAGGCAGTTGGTGCATGTGTACAGTAACCTGAGGGGAGTGAGGTGACTGCTTCTGAGGAGAACATGAGCAGTGAAGATTCACCTTGGAGCTAGAACAGGGACGTGCACATGATAATACAGGGGCAGGGGCTCAAGTTTTTTCCAGTTGTTTATACAATATGGAAATTAATGTGAAATTAAAAACAAAGTATTAATAGAAAGGTAATGACTGTCCTGTGTAGGTGACAGTGATATCCAATAGGCTAGGCACTCACGAGGCTGGCTGTGGCAAGTGTAAGTGAAAGCAACACGCACTGGCAGGAAGAACAGCAAACGCCGATGAAGGAAAAGGGTCTTTGCAGTGATGGGCGTTACCAGAGAGGGCGATGGCCAGAGGACACGAATGGGACGGGGAGGCAGCGCGTTGGGGGGGGGGGGGGGGCTAAGCAGCTGCGAGAGCCCTCTTGTTCCTGCATGTTTCCTTCTTTCGTTATTATTTTTCCTCCGCTTTAAACTGGAAAATGGCCCACTTCCCACTGGCGAAAACTCAGGAAATTTGGCAGGACGAATGGGCCTGGTGAAAAATTCGATATTCTGAAGTCGCCCAAACAATAAAATGCAAAATGGCTCCATAGCGCCCCCTAAGGTGAAAATTCACATGACGGCTGTACGCTTTGTCATATTGACACAAAAATTGACACACACATGTATCTCAATAAGATCTACAAAAAAGTCAGTGCGGGTGTATCTGTCAAATGTACGGTTAATTGGTTATTTTGCATTTTTTGCAGATCTGCACACATTGGAATTTCGCTAACTCCTCCGAAGGCTTTCGTTCGACCGGCACCACATTTGCGCAGGCCAATCTACCCCCCATGGCCATTAAAAGTTGTACAAATCATGACGCTGCACCCCACGGTTTACGTTCTAGGGGGCGCCAAAGATAACCCAAAATCCACATTCTTAAAAGTCTTATAACTTTTTATTTTTGTCCTCACTGCCCTCCAAGTTTTCTAGGATGATGCAATGTCCAGCCATCAACACATTTGTGAAGGAATTTTTACTCCCCAAAAGAGCGCCCCCCATGGCAGGAGAAAAAAGTCCTTTTTTCTTGTCCCCTTACATGAAAATACACATTGTTGAGTGTCACGCCTGAACGCTTTGTCATATTGACACAAAAATTGACAATCATGTGTATCTCAATTAGATCTACGAAAAAGTCAAAAAGCGCGTATCTGTATAATGTACGGTTAAAGGGCTATTTCGCATTTTTTGCCGATTCGCACACATTGGAATGTGGCTATCTCCTCCTAAGACTTTCGTCCCACCGATACCAAATTTGCTCAGGGCAATCTACACCCCATGCCCATTCAAAGTTGTAAAAATCATGACGCTGCACCCCACGGTTTACGTTCTAGGGGGCGCCAAAGATGACCCAAAAATCCACATTCTTAAAAGTCATTTTGGCCACTGCAGGAGTACAGAGTACTGCAGTTCTAGGGGGCGCCAAAGATGACCCAAAAATCCACATTCTTAAAAGTCTTTTTGGCCACTGCAGGAGTACAGAGTACTGCAGGATACACACACATATACACACACACACACACACACACACACACACACACACACACACACACACACACACACACACACACTCAGAGTCTGTTTTTTAGCACCTGCAAAAACATGCTGTTTACATATTTGACAAGAATGCAGAGGCTTCCTTTTGCCCCTGAAAAAAATCAGATTTCAAACACAACTTGACTGTTCATTTCTCCAAAAGACAACCATGAAGCTCCATCCAAACCTGAAGCAGATGGTTGGTGCATGTGTACAGTAACCTGAGGGGAGTGAGGTGACTATTTCTGAGGAGAACATGAGCAGTGAAGATTCACCTTGGAGCTAGAACAGGGACGTGCACATGATTATACAGGGGCAGGGGCTCAAGTTTTTTCCAGTCATTTATACAATATGGAAATTAATGTGAAATTAAACCACAAATATGTGTGATGAACTGTTTTTAAAACTTAAACTTCAAATAAAAATTGTAAACTTCAAAACATATGCAAATTTTTAACAAAGAACATAGTAATTTACCTCTATTTACATCAAAATGCAGGCAATGGCCCAGGCGTTCTTTGTAAAATTATTTACAAAACACTGTATAGTCTCACAAATGTCACTTTTTATTTATGCCACTACAAAAAAACATGATGTAAATGATGCATGATGTAAAACATGATGTAAAAAACTTGTGTAGATCCTCCTCTATGTCAGTCCATGTGTAATTTTTCCATAATTCTTTGTTTTTTGCAGCATTTTTGTTAGTGTAAGTGCAGATTGTGCTGACAGTCTATGGCAAAAAAAACAAAAACTGAAAATGCCTCAACATGAACCCCTGGTGGTCTCTGAGGGTGAAACCTGCTAACTGCTGCAGCTCTGTCAGCTTCAGTCTCCCATGCAGAGCTCGGAGCGCATGTGTGGCTCTGCACCCTTAGCAGCGTTGCTAACTCCTCAGTAAGGAAAGCCTGCTTCATGTCAGAGTCTCTAAACTCCAGAAGAAGTCGATAAAAGTCCCTTTCTTTCAAAAAAAAAGTCGTTAGGGGGTCTGAAAAGTAATTGAATCTAACAACAAAGTCGCTAGGTTTGCAACTACGTGTCCCAGACTGCATCCCTGCTGAGAGTCCCTCCCTCCCTTCTCATGTTGCAGGAAGAACGTAAGCGCCCGCCCCTTGTCAATCAGTCACCATATAATTTTGGATTGGTTGTTGTGGTGAAGTTTTCCACCAATAGGAGAGATGTTGTGGTGTGTTTTTTTTTTCTTTTGGCAAGCCTTTTCCGCCTGTAAGACCTGTCGCTAATGTGTGCATGCTATGTTTTCCTGTCTCATACAGCGTGATCGAGCGCCGAACGTGATCAAAATAAGCAGAAAAAAAGTATCGCGGACATAATTTATCATAACTCTGGTTTTATTTGGCCTATCAACACAATTTAAAAACTGGTATATAGGTTGAGGTCCTCACTTTTGAGATAAGTTGAAACGGAGAGTTAACGAGGCTCCGTATTGCAGCTACATCCGGTTAAATATGTCATGTGACTTGAACGCTGGGGATTGCAATCGAATCGAATCAAACCTAACTCTCAGATGAATCTTCAAAATTCACCTCAGAAATATGCTTATTATTCTTCTCAGAGTACTGCAGGATACACACACACACACACACAGACACACACACGCACACACACACACACACACACACACACACACACACACACACACTCAGAGTCTGTTTTTTAGCACCTGCAAAAACATGCTATTTACATATTTGACAAGAATGCAGAGGCTTCCTTTTGCCCCTGAAAAAAATCAAATTTCAAACACAACTTGACTGCTCATTTCTCCAAAAGACAACCATGAAGCTCCATCCAAACCTGAAGCAGGCAGTTGGTGCATGTGTACAGTAACCTGAGGGGAGTGAGGTGACTGCTTCTGAGGAGAACATGAGCAGTGAAGATTCACCTTGGAGCTAGAACAGGGACGTGCACATGATAATACAGGGGCAGGGGCTCAAGTTTTTTCCAGTTGTTTATACAATATGGAAATTAATGTGAAATTAAAAACAAAGTATTAATAGAAAGGTAATGACTGTCCTGTGTAGGTGACAGTGATATCCAATAGGCTAGGCACTCACGAGGCTGGCTGTGGCAAGTGTAAGTGAAAGCAACACGCACTGGCAGGAAGAACAGCAAACGCCGATGAAGGAAAAGGGTCTTTGCAGTGATGGGCGTTACCAGAGAGGGCGATGGCCAGAGGACACGAATGGGACGGGGAGGCAGCGCGTTGGGGGGGGGGGGGGGGGCTGCGACACGGCTCGGGCCCGCCAGTGCCCCAACGGGGCCCTAGTCTTTCTTCTTTCTTTCTTTCTTTCTTCTTATTTTTCCTCCCCTTTGAAGGGGAAAATGGCCCACTTCCCACTGGCGAAAACTCATGAAATTTGGCAGGACGACCGGGCCTGGTGAAAAATTCGATATTCTGAAGTCGCCCAAACAATAAAATGCAAAATGGCTCCATAGCGCCCCCTAAGGCGAAAATTCACACTATTGACTGTCACGCCTGTACGCTTTGTCATATTGACACAAAAATTGACACACACGTGTATCTCAATACGGTCTACGAAAAAGTCAGCGCGGGCGCATCTGTGAAATGTATGGTTAGAGGGTTATTTCGCATTTTTGCCGATCTGCACACATTGGAATTTCGCTAACTCCTCCGAAGGCATTCGTTCCACCGGCACCACATTTGCTCAGGCCAATCTACACCCCATGGCCATTAAAAGTTGTACAAATCATGACGCTGCACCCCACGGTTTACGTTCTAGGGGGCGCCAAAGATAACCCTAAAATCCACAGTCTTAAAAGTCTTATAACTTTTTATTTTTGTCCTCACTGGCCTCCAAGTTCTCTAGGATGATGCAATGTCCAGCCATCACCACATTTGTGAAGGAATTTTTACTCCCCAAAAGAGCGCCCCCACATGGCAGGAGAAAAAAGTCCATTTTTTCTTGTCCCCTAAGGTGAAAATACACATTGTTGAGTGTCACGCCTATACGCTTTGTCATATTGACCCAAAATTTGACAATCACGTGTATCTCAATACGGTCTACGAAAAAGTCAATTGGCACGTATCTGTAAAATGTACGGTTAAAGGGTTATTTCGCATTTTTTCCCGATCCGCACACATTGGAATTTCGCTAACTCCTCCGAAGGCTTTAGTTCCACCGCCACCAAATTTGCTCAGGCCAATCTACACCCCATGGCCATTAAAAGTTGTACAAATCATGACGCTGCACTCCACGGTTTAGGTTCTAGGGGGCGCCAAAGATAACCCAAAAATCCACATTATTTAAAGTCTTATAACTTTTTATTTTTGTCCTCACTGGCCTCCAAGTTTTCTAGGATGATGCAATGTCCAGCCATCAACACATTTGTAAAGGAATTTTTACTCCCGAAAAGAGCGCCCCCCCATGGCAGGAGAAAAAAGTCAATTTTTTCTTGTCCCCTAAGGGGAAAAAACACATTGTTGAGTGTCACGCCTATACGCTTTGTCAAAATGACACAAAATTTGATACACACGTGTATCTCAATAAGATCTACGAAAAAGTCAATGGGCACGTATCTGTAAAATGTACGGTTAAAGGGCTATTTCGCATTTTTTGCCGATTCGCACACATTGGAATGTGGCTAACTCCTCCTAAGGCTTTCTTTCCACCGACACCAAATTTGCTCAAGCCGATCTACATCCCATGGCCATTCAAAGTTGTAAAAATCATGCCGCTGCACCCCATGGTTTACGTTCTAGGGGGCGCCAAAGATGACCCAAATATCCACATTCTTAAAAGAATCCACATCCCCCCCCCCCCCCCAAGGCAGGAGAAAAAGTCCAGTTAACCCTGCCCATCGCTCAATGGCTCAATCGCATCGCTCTCCTGGCAACACCGTAAGGAGGAGCAACTTGCCATTTGGATATATCCTAGCTGTGTTTGTGCCCTCACTCATGGTCCAGACTTTTTTCAAATAGGACATGTAGTTTGTCTGCAGCGACCGTTTTGGTAGAAACTGCGCCTCCCATTCATTATAATGGGAAATGACCACAGACAAGTGCGCACACCATCTTTGGACCTTGAGTGTGATGCGATCGGGAGGGGGAGGCGGTCGCGCTGGGGGCGGCGCGACGCGGCTCGGGCCCGACAGTGCCCCACCGGGGCCCTAGTTCTTTCTTCTTTCTTTCTTTCTTTCTTTCTTCTTATTTTTCCTCCCCTTTGAAGGGGAAAATGGCCCACTTCCCACTGGCGAAAACTCATGAAATTTGGCAGGACGACCGGGCCTGGTGAAAAATTTGATATTCTGAAGTCGCCCAAACAATAAAATGCAAAATGGCTCCAAAGCGCCCCCTAAGGTGAAAATTCACACTATTGACTGTCACGCCTTTACGCTTTGTCATATTGACACAAAAATTGACACACACATGTATCTCAATAAGATGTACGAAAAAGTCAGTGCGGACGTATCTGTCAAATGTACGGTTAAAGGGTTATTTCGCATTTTTTGCCGATCCGCACACATTGGAATTTCGCTAACTCCTCCGAAGGCTTTCGTTCCACCGGCACCACATTTGCTCAGGCCAATCTACACCCCATGGCCAATAAAAGTTGTACAAATCATGACGCTGCACCCCACGGTTTACGTTCTAGGGGGCGCCAAAGATAACCCAAAAATCCACAGTCTTAAAAGTCTTATAACTTTTTATTTTTGTCCTCACTGGCCTCCAAGTTCTCTAGGATGATGCAATGTCCAGCCATCAACACATTTGTGAAGGAATTTTTACTCGCCAAAAGAGCGCCCCCCCATGGCAGGAGAAAAAAGTCCATTTTTTCTTGTCTCCTAAGGCGAAAATACACATTGTTGACTGTCACGCCTTTACGCTTTGTCAAAATGACACAAAATTTGACACACACATGTATCTCAATAAGATCTACAAAAAAGTCAGTGCGGGCGTATCTGTCAAATGTACGGTTAAAGGGTTATTTCGCATTTTTTGCCGATCCGCACACATTGGAATTTCGCTAACTCCTCCGAAGGCTTTCGTTCCAACGGCACCCCATTTGCTCAGGCCAATCTACACCCCATGGCCATTAAAAGTTGTACAAATCATGACGCTGCACCCCACGGTTTACGTTCTAGGGGGCGCCAAATATAACCCAAAAATCCACAGTCTTAAAAGTCTTATAACTTTTTAAGTGGAAATGCTGATTAATTATTTTTGTCCTCACTGGCCTCCAAGTTCTCTAGGATGATGCAATGTCCAGCCATCAACACATTTGTGAAGGAATTTTTACTCGCCAAAAGAGCGCCCCCCATGGCAGGAGAAAAAAGTCCATTTTTTCTTGTCTCCTAAGGCGAAAATACACATTGTTGTCTGTCACGCCTTTACGCTTTGTCAAAATGACACAAAATTTGACACACACATGTATCTCAATAAGATCTACGAAAAAGTCAATGCGAGCGTATCTGTTCAATATACGGTTAAAGGGCTATTTCGCATTTTTTGCCGATTCGCACACATTGGAATGTGGCTAACTCCTCCCAAGGCTTTCGTCCCACTGACACCAAATTTGCTCAGGCCAATCTACACCCCATGGCCATTCAAAGTTGTAAAAATCATGACGCTGCACCCCACGGTTTACGTTCTAGGGGGCGCCAAAGATGACCCAAATATCCACATTCTTAAAAGAATCCACATCCCCCCCCCCCCCCCCCCATCCCCCATCCCCCATCCCCCATGGCAGGAGAAACAGTCAAGTTTTTCCTGCCCATCACTCAATGGCTCAATCGCATCGCTCTCCCGGCAACACCGTAACGAGGAGCAACTTGCCGTTTGGATATATCCTAGCTGTGTTTGTGCCCTCACTCATGGTCCAGACTTTTTTCAAATAGGACATGTAGTTTGTCTGCAGCGAGTGTTTTGGTAGAAACTGCGCCTCCCATTCATTTTAATGGGAAATGACCACAGACAAGTGCGCACACCATCTTTGGACCTTGAGTGTGACGCGATCGGGAGGGGGAGGCGGTCGCGCTGGGGGTGGCGCAACGCGGCTCGGGCCCGACAGTGCCCCACCGGGGCCCTAGTTATTAGGGCCCGAGCGTAGCTGCTAAGCAGCTGCGAGAGCCCTCTTGTTCCTGATGGATTCTTCTTTTGTTATTATTAGGGCCCCAGCCAGCTGCAGAGCAGCCGGGCGTAGAGCCCTATTATTCCTGTATAGGTTTTTAGGGCCCGAGCGTAGCTGCTAAGCAGCTGCGAGAGCCCTCTTGTTCCTGTAGTTTCCTTCTTTTGTTATTATTATTATTTTTCCTCCCCTTTGAACTGGAAAATGGCCCACTTCCCACTGGCGAAAACTCATGATATTTGGCAGGACGACCGGGCCTGGTGAAAAATTTGATTTTCTGAAGTCGCCCAAACAAGAAAATGCAAAATGGCTCCATAGCGCCCCCTAAGGTGAAAATTCACACTATTGACTGTCACGCCTGTACGCTTTGTCAAAATGACACAAAAATTGACACACACATGTATCTCAATAAGATCTACAAAAAAGTCAGTGCGGGCGTATCTGTCAAATGTACGGTTAAAGGGTTATTTCGCATTTTTTGCCGATCCGCACACATTGGAATTTCGCTAACTCCTCCGAAGGCTTTCGTTCCACCGGCACCACATTTGCTCAGGCCAATCTACACCCCATGGCCATTAAAAGTTATTCAAATTGAGACGCTGCACCCCACGGTTTAGGTTCTAGGGGGCGCCAAAGATAACCCTAAAATCCACATATTTCAAAGTCTTATAACTTTTTATTTTTGTCCTCACTGGCCTCCAAGTTTTCTAGGATGATGCAATGTCCAGCCATCAACACATCTGTGAAGGAATTTTTACTCCCCAAAAGAGCGCCCCCCCATGGCAGGAGAAAAAAGTCCATTTTTTCTTGACCCCTAAGGTGAAAATACACATTGATGAGTGTCATGCCTGTACGCTTTGGCAAAATGACACAAAAATTGACACACACGTGTATCTCAATAAGATCTACGAAAAAGTCAATACGCGCGTACCTGTCAAATGTACGGTTAAAGGGTTATTCCGCATTTTTTGCCGATCCGCACACATTGGAATTTCGCTAACTCCTCCGAAGGCTTTCGTTCCACCGGCACCACATTTGCTCAGGCCAATCTACACCCCATGGCCATTAAAAGTTATTCAAATCATGACGCTGCACCCCACGGTTTAGGTTCTAGGGGGCGCCAAAGATAACCCTAAAATCCACATATTTCAAAGTCATATAACTTTTTATTTTTGTCCTCACTGGCCTCCAAGTTTTCTAGGATGATGCAATGTCCAGCCATCAACACATTTGTGAAGGAATTTTTACTCCCCAAAAGAGCGCCCCCCCCATGGCAGGAGAAAAAAGTCCATTTTTTCTTGTCCCGTAAGGTGAAAATTCACATTGTTGAGTGTGACACCTGTACGCTTTGTCATATTGACACAAAATTTGACAATCACGTGTATCTCAATAAGATCTACGAAAAAGTCAATGCACGCGTATCTGTCAAATATATGGTTAGAGGGCTATTTTGCATTTTTTGCCGATTCGCACACATTGGAATGTGGCTAACTCCTCCTAAGGCTTTCGTCCCACTGAAACCAAATTTGCTCAGGCCAATCTACACCCCATGGCCATTCAAAGTTGTAAAAATCATGACGCTGCACCCCACGGTTTACGTTCTAGGGGGCGCCAAAGATGACCCAAAAATCCACATTATTAAAAGAATCCACATCCCCCCCCCCCCCCCCATGGCACGAGAAAAAGTCAAGTTTTTCCTGCCCATCGCTCAATGGCTCAATCGCATCGCTCTCCAGGCAAAACCGTAAGGAGGAGCAACCTGCCATTTGGATATATATCCCAGCTGTGTTTGTGCCCTCACTCATGGTCCAGACTTTTTTCAAATAGGACAAGAAGTTTGTCTGCAGCGAGTGTTTTGGTAGAAACTGCGCCTCCCATTCATTATAATGGGAAATGACTACAGACAAGTGCGCACACCATCTTTGGACCTTGAGTGTGACGCGATTGGGAGGGGGAGGCGGTCGCGCTGGGGGCGGCGCGACGCGGCTCGGGCCCGACAGTGCCCCACCGGGGCCCTAGTTCTTTCTTCTTTCTTTCTTTCTTTCTTTCTTCTTATTTTTCCTCCCCTTTGAAGGGGAAAATGGCCCACTTCCCACTGGCGAAAACTCATGAAATTTGGCAGGACGACCGGGCCTGGTGAAAAATTTGATATTCTGAAGTCGCCCAAACAATAAAATGCAAAATGGCTCCAAAGCGCCCCCTAAGGTGAAAATTCACACTATTGACTGTCACGCCTTTACGCTTTGTCATATTGACACAAAAATTGACACACACATGTATCTCAATAAGATGTACGAAAAAGTCAGTGCGGACGTATCTGTCAAATGTACGGTTAAAGGGTTATTTCGCATTTTTTGCCGATCCGCACACATTGGAATTTCGCTAACTCCTCCGAAGGCTTTCGTTCCACCGGCACCACATTTGCTCAGGCCAATCTACACCCCATGGCCAATAAAAGTTGTACAAATCATGACGCTGCACCCCACGGTTTACGTTCTAGGGGGCGCCAAAGATAACCCAAAAATCCACAGTCTTAAAAGTCTTATAACTTTTTATTTTTGTCCTCACTGGCCTCCAAGTTCTCTAGGATGATGCAATGTCCAGCCATCAACACATTTGTGAAGGAATTTTTACTCGCCAAAAGAGCGCCCCCCATGGCAGGAGAAAAAAGTCCATTTTTTCTTGTCTCCTAAGGCGAAAATACACATTGTTGACTGTCACGCCTTTACGCTTTGTCAAAATGACACAAAATTTGACACACACATGTATCTCAATAAGATCTACAAAAAAGTCAGTGCGGGCGTATCTGTCAAATGTACGGTTAAAGGGTTATTTCGCATTTTTTGCCGATCCGCACACATTGGAATTTCGCTAACTCCTCCGAAGGCTTTCGTTCCAACGGCACCCCATTTGCTCAGGCCAATCTACACCCCATGGCCATTAAAAGTTGTACAAATCATGACGCTGCACCCCACGGTTTACGTTCTAGGGGGCGCCAAATATAACCCAAAAATCCACAGTCTTAAAAGTCTTATAACTTTTTAAGTGGAAATGCTGATTAATTATTTTTGTCCTCACTGGCCTCCAAGTTCTCTAGGATGATGCAATGTCCAGCCATCAACACATTTGTGAAGGAATTTTTACTCGCCAAAAGAGCGCCCCCCATGGCAGGAGAAAAAAGTCCATTTTTTCTTGTCTCCTAAGGCGAAAATACACATTGTTGTCTGTCACGCCTTTACGCTTTGTCAAAATGACACAAAATTTGACACACACATGTATCTCAATAAGATCTACGAAAAAGTCAATGCGAGCGTATCTGTTCAATATACGGTTAAAGGGCTATTTCGCATTTTTTGCCGATTCGCACACATTGGAATGTGGCTAACTCCTCCCAAGGCTTTCGTCCCACTGACACCAAATTTGCTCAGGCCAATCTACACCCCATGGCCATTCAAAGTTGTAAAAATCATGACGCTGCACCCCACGGTTTACGTTCTAGGGGGCGCCAAAGATGACCCAAATATCCACATTCTTAAAAGAATCCACATCCCCCCCCCCCCCCCATCCCCCATCCCCCATCCCCCATGGCAGGAGAAACAGTCAAGTTTTTCCTGCCCATCACTCAATGGCTCAACGCATCGCTCTCCCGGCAACACCGTAACGAGGAGCAACTTGCCGTTTGGATATATCCTAGCTGTGTTTGTGCCCTCACTCATGGTCCAGACTTTTTTCAAATAGGACATGTAGTTTGTCTGCAGCGAGTGTTTTGGTAGAAACTGCGCCTCCCATTCATTTTAATGGGAAATGACCACAGACAAGTGCGCACACCATCTTTGGACCTTGAGTGTGACGCGATCGGGAGGGGGAGGCGGTCGCGCTGGGGGTGGCGCAACGCGGCTCGGGCCCGACAGTGCCCCACCGGGGCCCTAGTTATTAGGGCCCGAGCGTAGCTGCTAAGCAGCTGCGAGAGCCCTCTTGTTCCTGATGGATTCTTCTTTTGTTATTAGGGCCCGAGCCAGCTGCAGAGCAGCCGGGCGTAGAGCCCTATTATTCCTGATGAGTTTTTCTTTCTTCTTTCTTTCTTTCTTTCTTTCTTTCTTCTTATTTTTCCTCCCCTTTGAAGGGGAAAATGGCCCACTTCCCACTGGCGAAAACTCATGAAATTTGGCAGGATGACCGGGCCTGGTGAAAAATTCGATATTCTGAAGTCGCCCAAACAATAAAATGCAAAATGGCTCCATAGCGCCCCCTAAGGTGGAAATTCACACTATTGACTGTCACGCCTGTACGCTTTGTCATATTGACACAAAAATTGACACACACATGTATCTCAATACGATCTACAAAAAAGTCAGTGTGGGCGTATCTGTCAAATGTACGGTTAAAGGGTTATTTCGCATTTTTTGCCGATCCGCACACATTGGAATTTCGCTAACTCCTCCGAAGGCTTTCGTTCCACCGGCACCAAATTTGCTCAGGCCAATCTACACCCCATGGCCATTAAAAGTTGTACAAATCATGACGCTGCACCCCACGGTTTAGGTTCTAGGGGGCGCCAAAGATAACCCAAAAATCCACATTCTTAAAAGTCTTATAACTTTTTATTTTTGTCCTCACTGGCCTCCAAGTTCTCTAGGATGATGCAATGTCCAGCAATTAACACATTTGTGAAGGAATTTTTACTCGCCAAATAGCGCCCCCCCATGGCAGGGGAAAAAAGTCCATTTTTTTCTTGTCCCCTAAGGCGAAAATTCACATTGTTGAGTGTCACGCCTGTACGCTTTGTCATATTGACACAAAATTTGACAATCACGTGTATCTCAATAAGATCTACGAAAAAGTCAATGTGCACGTATCTGTAAAATGTACGGTTAAAGGGCTATTTCGCATTTTTTGCCGATTCGCACACATTGCAATGTGGCTAACTCCTCCTAAGGCTTTCGTTCCACTGACACCAAATTTGCTCAGGCCAATCTACACCCCATGGCCATTCAAAGTTGTAAAAATCATGACGCTGCACCCCACTGTTTACGTTCTAGGGGGCGCCAAAGAGGACCCAAATATCCACATTTTTAAAAGTCTTATAACTTTATTTTTGTCCTCACTGGCCTCCAAGTTTTCTAGGATGATGCAATGTTCAGTCATCAACACATTTGTGAAGGAATTTTTTCTCCCCAAAAGAGCGCCCCCCCATGGCAGGAGAAAAAGTCAAGTTTTTCCTGCCCATCGCTCAATGGCTCAAACGCATCGCTCTCTCGGCAAAACCGAAAGGAGGAGCACCTTGCCATTTGGATATATACTAGCTGTGTTTGTGCCCTCACTCATGGTCCAGACTTTTTTCAAAAAGGACATGGAGTTTTTTCTGCAGCGAGCGTTTTGGTAGAAACTGCGCCTCCCATTCATTATAATGGTAAATGACCACAGACAAGTGCGCACACCATCTTTGGACCTTGAGTGTGACGCCATCGGGAGGGGTAGGCGGTCGCGCTGGGGGCGGCGCGACACGGCTCGGGCCCGCCAGTGCCCCAACGGGGCCCTAGTTATTATTTTTCCTCCGCTTTAAACTGGAAAATGGCCCACTTCCCACTGGCGAAAACTCATGAAATTTGGCAGGACGACCGGGCCTGGTGAAAAATTCGATATTCTGAAGTCGCCCAAACAATAAAATGCAAAATGGCTCCATAGCGCCCCCTAAGGCGAAAATTCACACTATTGACTGTCACGCCTTTACGCTTTGTCATATTGACACAAAAATTGACACACACGTGTATCTCAATACGGTCTACGAAAAAGTCAGCGCGGGCGCATCTGTGAAATGTACGGTTAGAGGGTTATTTCGCATTTTTTGCCGATCTGCACACATTGGAATTTGGCTAACTCCTCCGAAGGCATTCGTTCCACCGGCACCACATTTGCTCAAGCCAATCTACACCCCATGGCCATTAAAAGTTGTACAAATCATGACGCTGCACCCCACAGTTTACGTTCTAGGGGGCGCCAAAGATAACCCAAAAATCCACAGTCTTAAAAGTCTTATAACTTTTTATTTTTGTCCTCACTGGCCTCCAAGTTCTCTAGGATGATGCAATGTCCAGCCATCAACACATTTGTGAAGGAATTTTTACTCCCCAAAAGAGCGCCCCCCCATGGCAGGAGAAAAAAGTCCATTTTTTCTTGTCCCCTAAGGTGAAAATACACATTGTTGAGTGTCACGCCTGTACGCTTTGTCAAAATGACACAAAAATTGACACACACATGTATCTCAATAAGATCTACAAAAAAGTCCATGCGCGCGTATCTGTCAAATGTACGGTTAAAGGGTTATTCCGCATTTTTTGCCGATTCGCACACATTGGAATTTCGCTAACTCCTCCGAAGGCTTTCGTTCCACCGGCACCACATTTGCTCAGGCCAATCTGCACCCCATGGCCATTAAAAGTTATTCAAATCATGACGCTGCACCCCACGGTTTACGTTCTAGGGGGCGCCAAAAATAACCCAAAAATCCACATATTTAAAAGTCTTATAACTTTTTATTTTTGTCCTCACTGGCCTCCAAGTTTTCTAGGATGATGCAATGTCCAGCCATCAACACATTTGTGAAGGAATTTTTACTCCCCAAAAGAGCGCCCCCCCATGGCAGGAGAAAAAAGTCCATTTTTTCTTGTCCCCTAAGGTGAAAATACACATTGTTGACTGTCACGCCTGTACGCTTTGGCAAAATGACACAAAAATTGACAATCATGTGTATCTCAATTAGATCTACGAAAAAGTCAAAGAGCGCGTATCTGTATAATGTACGGTAAAAGGGCTATTTTGCATTTTTTGCCGATTCGCACACATTGGAATTTCGCTAACTCCTCCTAAGGCTTTCGTCCCACTGACACCAAATTTGCTCAGGCCAATCTACACTCCATGGCCATTCAAAGTTGTAAAAATCATGACGCTGCACCCCACAGTTTACGTTTTAGGGGGCGCCAAAGATGACCCAAATATACATTACAGTAGACAAAGTAGTTTTGCCCACTGAGTGGCGCCAAAGGGACTTGTCTGTGGAGTCTGTGAGTCACTATTGGCCGTTTTTGACTACTTTAGATTTTACCTTTATATTTCCTCTTACAAAATTTTTACCTTGCCTTGCCTGGTATCATTTTTTTCAGCACAACCTCACCTGTGTCAATTTACAGTTATTTTATCATTTTGACATACTATATTTACACATTGGACCCAAATTCACACACAAAACATAAAATCCGAGTGGAAAAAAGTAACGTTTTTACTGTGAAAACCACAAATATGTGTGATGAACTGTTTTTAAAACTTAAACTTCAAATAAAAATTGTAAACTTCAAAACATATGCAAATTTTTAACAAAGAACATAGTAATTTATCTCTATTTACATCAAAATGCAGGCAATGGCCCAGGTGTTCTTTGTAAAATTATTTACAAAACACTGTATAGTCTCACAAATGTCACTTTTTATTTATGCCACTACAAAAAAACATGATGTAAATGATGCATGATGTAAAACATGATGTAAAAAACTTGTGTAGATCCTCCTCTATGTTAGTCCATGTGTAATTTTTCCATAATTCTTTGTTTTTTGCAGCATTTTTGTTAGTGTAACTGCAGATTGTGCTGACAGTGTCTATGGCAAAAAAAAAAAAAAAAACTGAAAATGCCTCAACATGAACCCCTGGTGGTCTCTGAGGGTGAAACCTGCTAACTGCTGCAGCTCTGTCAGCTTCAGTCTCCCATGCAGAGCTCGGAGCGCATGTGTGGCTCTGCACCCTTAGCAGCGTTGCTAACTCCTCAGTAAGGAAAGCCTGCTTCATGTCAGAGTCTCTAAACTCCAGAAGAAGTCGATAAAAGTCACTTTCTTTCTAAAAAAAAAGTCGTTAGGGGGTCTGAAAAGTCATTGAATCTAACAACAAAGTCGCTAGGTTTGCAACTACGTGTCCCAGACTGCATCCCTGCTGAGAGTCCCTCCCTCCCTTCTCATATTGCAGGAAGAACGTAAGCGCCCGCCCCTTGTCAATCAGTCACCATATAATTTTGGATTGGTTGTTGTGGTGAAGTTTTCCACCAATAGGAGAGATGTTGTGGTGTGTTTTTTTTTTCCTTTGGCAAGCCTTTTCCGCCTGTAAGACCTGTCGCTAATGTCTGCATGCTATGTTTTCCTGTCTCATACAGCGCGATCGAGCGCCGAACGTGATCAAAATAAGCAGAAAAAAAGTATCGCGGACATAATTTATCATAACTCTGGTTTTATTTGGCCTATCAACACAATTTAAAAACTGGTATATAGGTTGAGGTCCTCACTTTTGAGATAAGTTGAAACGGAGTCAACGAGGCTCCGTCTTGCAGCTACATCCGGTTAAATATGTCATGTGACTTGAACGCACACACACACACACACACACACACAGACACACACACACACGCACACACACACACTCAGAGTCTGGTTTTTAGCACCTGCAAAAACATGCTATTTACATATTTGACAAGAATGCAGAGGCTCCTTTTGCCCCTGAAAAAAAACAAATTTCAAACACAACTTGACTGGTCATTTCTCCAAAAGACAACCATGAAGCTCCATCCAAACCTGAAGCAGGCAGTTGGTGCATGTGTACAGTAACCTGAGGGGAGTGAGGTGACTGCTTCTGAGGAGAACATGAGCAGTAAAGATTCACCTTACAGCTAGAACAGAGACGTGCACATGATTATACAGGGGCAGGGGCTCAAGTTTTTTCCAGTTGTTTATACAATATGGAAATTAATGTGAAATTAAAAAACAAAGTATTAATAGAAAGGTAATGACTGTCCTGAGTAGGTGACAGTGATATCCAATAGGCTAGGCACTCAAGAGGCTGGCTGTGGCAAGTGTAAGTGAAAGCAACACGCACTGGCAGGAAGAACAGCAAACGCCGATGAAGGAAAAGGGTCTTTGCAGTGATGGGCGTTACCAGAGAGGGCTATGGCCAGAGGACACAAATGGGACGGGGAGGCAGCGCGTTGGGGGGGGGACGCGACACAGCTCGGGCCCGCCAGTGCCCCAACGGGGTCCTAGTTATTTAGGGCCCGAGCGTAGCTGCTAAGCAGCTGCGAGAGCCCTCTTGTTCCTGCATGTTTCCTTCTTTCGTTATTATTTTTCCTCCGCTTTAAACTGGAAAATGGCCCACTTCCCACTGGCGAAAACTCAGGAAATTTGGCAGGACGACTGGGCCTGGTGAAAAATTCGATATTCTGAAGTCGCCCAAACAATAAAATGCAAAATGGCTCCATAGCGCCCCCTAAGGTGAAAATTCACATGACGGCTGTACGCTTTGCCATATTGACACAAAAATTGACACACACATGTATCTCAATAAGATCTACAAAAAAGTCAGTGCGGGCGTATCTGTCAAATGTACGGTTAATGGGTTATTTTGCATTTTTTGCAGATCTGCACACATTGGAATTTCGCTAACTCCTCCGAAGGCTTTCGTTCGACCGGCACCACATTTGCGCAGGCCAATCTACCCCCCATGGCCATTAAAAGTTGTACAAATCATGACGCTGCACCCCACGGTTTACGTTCTAGGGGGCGCCAAAGATAACCCAAAATCCACATTCTTAAAAGTCTTATAACTTTTTATTTTTGTCCTCACTGCCCTCCAAGTTTTCTAGGATGATGCAATGTCCAGCCATCAACACATTTGTGAAGGAATTTTTACTCCCCAAAAGAGCGCCCCCCCATGGCAGGAGAAAAAAGTCCTTTTTTTCTTGTCCCCTTACATGAAAATACACATTGTTGAGTGTCACGCCTGAACGCTTTGTCATATTGACACAAAAATTGACAATCATGTGTATCTCAATTAGATCTACGAAAAAGTCAAAAAGCGCGTATCTGTATAATGTACGGTTAAAGGGCTATTTCGCATTTTTTGCCGATTCGCACACATTGGAATGTGGCTATCTCCTCCTAAGACTTTCGTCCCACCGATACCAAATTTGCTCAGGGCAATCTACACCCCATGCCCATTCAAAGTTGTAAAAATCATGACGCTGCACCCCACGGTTTACGTTCTAGGGGGCGCCAAAGATGACCCAAAAATCCACATTCTTAAAAGTCATTTTGGCCACTGCAGGAGTACAGAGTACTGCAGTTCTAGGGGGCGCCAAAGATGACCCAAAATTCCACATTCTTAAAAGTCTTTTTGGCCACTGCAGGAGTACAGAGTACTGCAGGATACACACACATACACACACACACACACACACACACACACACACACACTCAGAGTCTGTTTTTTAGCACCTGCAAAAACATGCTGTTTACATATTTGACAAGAATGCAGAGGCTTCCTTTTGCCCCTGAAAAAAATTAGATTTCAAACACAACTTGACTGTTAATTTCTCCAAAAGACAACCAGGAAGCTCCATCCAAACCTGAAGCAGATAGTTGGTGCATGTGTACAGTAACCTGAGGGGAGTGAGGTGACTATTTCTGAGGAGAACATGAGCAGTGAAGATTCACCTTGGAGCTAGAACAGGGACGTGCACATGATTATACAGGGGCAGGGGCTCAAGTTTTTTCCAGTCATTTATACAATATGGAAATTAATGTGAAATTAAACCACAAATATGTGTGATGAACTGTTTTTAAAACTTAAACTTCAAATAAAAATTGTAAACTTCAAAACATATGCAAATTTTTAACAAAGAACATAGTAATTTACCTCTATTTACATCAAAATGCAGGCAACGGCCCAGGCGTTCTTTGTAAAATTATTTACAAAACACTGTATAGTCTCACAAATGTCACTTTTTATTTATGCCACTACAAAAAAACATGATGTAAATGATGCATGATGTAAAACATGATGTAAAAAACTTGTGTAGATCCTCCTCTATGTCAGTCCATGTGTAATTTTTCCATAATTCTTTGTTTTTTGCAGCATTTTTGTTAGTGTAACTGCAGATTGTGCTGACAGTCTATGGCAAAAAAAACAAAAACTGAAAATGCCTCAACATGAACCCCTGGTGGTCTCTGAGGGTGAAACCTGCTAACTGCTGCAGCTCTGTCAGCTTCAGTCTCCCATGCAGAGCTCGGAGCGCATGTGTGGCTCTGCACCCTTAGCAGCGTTGCTAACTCCTCAGTAAGGAAAGCCTGCTTCATGTCAGAGTCTCTAAACTCCAGAAGAAGTCGATAAAAGTCCCTTTCTTTCAAAAAAAGTCGTTAGGGGGTCTGAAAAGTAATTGAATCTAACAACAAAGTCGCTAGGTTTGCAACTACGTGTCCCAGACTGCATCCCTGCTGAGAGTCCCTCCCTCCCTTCTCATGTTGCAGGAAGAACGTAAGCGCCCGCCCCTTGTCAATCAGTCACCATATAATTTTGGATTGGTTGTTGTGGTGAAGTTTTCCACCAATAGGAGAGATGTTGTGGTGTGTTTTTTTTTCTTTTGGCAAGCCTTTTCCGCCTGTAAGACCTGTCGCTAATGTGTGCATGCTATGTTTTCCTGTCTCATACAGCGCGATCGAGCGCCGAACGTGATCAAAATAAGCAGAAAAAAAGTATCGCGGACATAATTTATCATAACTCTGGTTTTATTTGGCCTATCAACACAATTTAAAAACTGGTATATAGGTTGAGGTCCTCACTTTTGAGATAAGTTGAAACGGAGAGTTAACGAGGCTCCGTATTGCAGCTACATCCGGTTAAATATGTCATGTGACTTGAACGCTGGGGAGCGTCAATCGAATCGAATCAAACCTAACTCTCAGATGAATCTTCAAAATTCACCTCAGAAATATGCTTATTATTCTTCTCAGAGTACTGCAGGATACACACACACACACACACACACACACAGACACACACACACACACGCACACACACACACACACACACACACACACACACACACTCAGAGTCTGTTTTTTAGCACCTGCAAAAACATGCTATTTACATATTTGACAAGAATGCAGAGGCTTCCTTTTGCCCCTGAAAAAAATCAAATTTCAAACACAACTTGACTGCTCATTTCTCCAAAAGACAACCATGAAGCTCCATCCAAACCTGAAGCAGGCAGTTGGTGCATGTGTACAGTAACCTGAGGGGAGTGAGGTGACTGCTTCTGAGGAGAACATGAGCCGTGAAGATTCACCTTGGAGCTAGAACAGGGACGTGCACATGATAATACAGGGGCAGGGGCTCAAGTTTTTTCCAGTTGTTTATACAATATGGAAATTAATGTGAAATTAAAAACAAAGTATTAATAGAAAGGTAATGACTGTCCTGTGTAGGTGACAGTGATATCCAATAGGCTAGGCACTCACGAGGCTGGCTGTGGCAAGTGTAAGTGAAAGCAACACGCACTGGCAGGAAGAACAGCAAACGCCGATGAAGGAAAAGGGTCTTTGCAGTGATGGGCGTTACCAGAGAGGGCGATGGCCAGAGGACACGAATGGGACGGGGAGGCAGCGCGTTGGGGGGGGGGGGGGGGGGGTGCGACACGGCTCGGGCCCGCCAGTGCCCCAACGGGGCCCTAGTATTATTATTTTTCCTCCGCTTTAAACTGGAAAATGGCCCACTTCCCACTGGCGAAAACTCATGAAATTTGGCAGGACGACCGGGCCTGGTGAAAAATTCGATATTCTGAAGTCGCCCAAACAATAAAATGCAAAATGGCTCCATAGCGCCCCCTAAGGTGGAAATTCACACTGTTGACTGTCACGCCTGTACGCTTTGCCATATTGACACAAAAATGGACACACACATGTATCTCAATAAGATCTACAAAAAAGTCAGTGCGGGCGTATCTGTCAAATTTACGGTTAAAGGGTTATTTCGCATTTTTTGCCGATCCGCACACATTGAAATTTCGCTAACTCCTCCGAAGGCTTTCGTTCCACCGGCACCACATTTGCTCAGGCCAATCTACACCCCATGGCCATCGAAAGTTGTACAAATCATGACGCTGCACCCCACGGTTTAGGTTCTAGGGGGCGCCAAAGATAACCAAAAAATCCACATTCTTAAAAGTCTTATAACTTTTTATTTTTTTCCTCACTGGCCTCCAAGTTCTCTAGGATGATGCAATGTCCAGCCATCAACACATTTGTGAAGGAATTTTTACTCGCCAAAAGAGCGCCCCCCCATGGCAGGAGAAAAAAGTCCATTTTTTCTTGTCTCCTAAGGCGAAAATACACATTGTTGACTGTCACGCCTTTACGCTTTGTCAAAATGACACAAAATTTGACACACACATGTATCTCAATAAGATCTACAAAAAAGTCAGTGCGGGCGTATCTGTAAAATGTACGGTTAAAGGGCTATTTTGCATTTTTTGCTGATTCGCACACATTGGAATGTGGCTAACTCGTCCTACAGCTTTCGTCCCACTGACACCAAATTTGCTCAGGCCAATCTACACCCCATGGCCATTCAAAGTTGTAGAAATCATGACGCTGCTCCCCACGGTTTACGTTCTAGGGGGCGCCAAAGATGACCCAAATATCCACATTCTTAAAAGAATCCACATCCCCCCCCCAAAAGAGCGCCCCCACATGGCAGGAGAAAAAAGTCCATTTTTTCTTGTCCCCTAAGGTGAAAATACACATTGTTGACTGTCACGCCTGTACGCTTTGTCATATTGACACAAAAATTGACACACACATGTATCTCAATAAGATCTACGAAAAAGTCAATGGGCACGTATCTGTAAAATGTACGGTTAAAGGGCTATTTTGCATTTTTTGCTGATTCGCACACATTGGAATGTGGCTAACTCGTCCTACAGCTTTCGTCCCACTGACACCAAATTTGCTCAGGCCAATCTACACCCCATGGCCATTCAAAGTTGTAAAAATCATGACGCTGCACCCCACGGTTTACGTTCTAGGGGGCGCCAAAGATGACCCAAATATCCATATTCTTAAAAGTGTTATAACTTTTTATTTTTGTCCTCACTGGCCTCCAAGTTTTCTAGGATGATGCAATGTCCAGCCATCAACACATTTGTAAAGGAATTTTTACTCCCGAAAAAGAGCGCCCCCCATGGCAGGAGAAAAGAGTCCATTTTTTCTTGTCCCCTAAGGTGAAAAAACACATTGTTGACTGTCACGCCTATACGCTTTGTCAAAATGACACAAAATTTGACACACACGTGTATCTCAATAAGATCTACGAAAAAGTCAATGGGCACGTATCTGTAAAATGTACGGTTAAAGGGCTATTTCGCATTTTTTGCCGATTCGCACACATTGGAATGTGGCTAAGTCCTCCTAAGGCTTTCGTCCCACCAACACCAAATTTGCTCAAGCCGATCTACATCCCATGGCCATTCAAAGTTGTAGAAATCATGACGCTGCTCCCCACGGTTTACGTTCTAGGGGGCGCCAAAGATGACCCAAATATCCACATTCTTAAAAGAATCCACATCCCCCCCCCAAAAGAGCGCCCCCACATGGCAGGAGAAAAAAGTCCATTTTTTCTTGTCCCCTAAGGTGAAAATACACATTGTTGACTGTCACGCCTGTACGCTTTGTCATATTGACACAAAAATTGACACACACATGTATCTCAATAAGATCTACGAAAAAGTCAATGGGCACGTATCTGTAAAATGTACGGTTAAAGGGCTATTTTGCATTTTTTGCTGATTCGCACACATTGGAATGTGGCTAACTCGTCCTACAGCTTTCGTCCCACTGACACCAAATTTGCTCAGGCCAATCTACACCCCATGGCCATTCAAAGTTGTAAAAATCATGACGCTGCACCCCACGGTTTACGTTCTAGGGGGCGCCAAAGATGACCCAAATATCCATATTCTTAAAAGTGTTATAACTTTTTATTTTTGTCCTCACTGGCCTCCAAGTTTTCTAGGATGATGCAATGTCCAGCCATCAACACATTTGTAAAGGAATTTTTACTCCCGAAAAAGAGCGCCCCCCCATGGCAGGAGAAAAGAGTCCATTTTTTCTTGTCCCCTAAGGTGAAAAAACACATTGTTGACTGTCACGCCTATACGCTTTGTCAAAATGACACAAAATTTGACACACACGTGTATCTCAATAAGATCTACGAAAAAGTCAATGGGCACGTATCTGTAAAATGTACGGTTAAAGGGCTATTTCGCATTTTTTGCCGATTCGCACACATTGGAATGTGGCTAAGTCCTCCTAAGGCTTTCGTCCCACCAACACCAAATTTGCTCAAGCCGATCTACATCCCATGGCCATTCAAAGTTGTAGAAATCATGACGCTGCTCCCCACGGTTTACGTTCTAGGGGGCGCCAAAGATGACCCAAATATCCACATTCTTAAAAGAATCCACATCCCCCCCCCAAAAGAGCGCCCCCACATGGCAGGAGAAAAAAGTCCATTTTTTCTTGTCCCCTAAGGTGAAAATACACATTGTTGACTGTCACGCCTGTACGCTTTGTCATATTGACACAAAAATTGACACACACATGTATCTCAATAAGATCTACGAAAAAGTCAATGGGCACGTATCTGTAAAATGTACGGTTAAAGGGCTATTTTGCATTTTTTGCTGATTCGCACACATTGGAATGTGGCTAACTCGTCCTACAGCTTTCGTCCCACTGACACCAAATTTGCTCAGGCCAATCTACACCCCATGGCCATTCAAAGTTGTAAAAATCATGACGCTGCACCCCACGGTTTACGTTCTAGGGGGCGCCAAAGATGACCCAAATATCCATATTCTTAAAAGTGTTATAACTTTTTATTTTTGTCCTCACTGGCCTCCAAGTTTTCTAGGATGATGCAATGTCCAGCCATCAACACATTTGTAAAGGAATTTTTACTCCCCAAAAGAGCGCCCCCCCATGGCAGGAGAAAAGAGTCCATTTTTTCTTGTCCCCTAAGGTGAAAAAACACATTGTTGACTGTCACGCCTATACGCTTTGTCAAAATGACACAAAATTTGACACACACGTGTATCTCAATAAGATCTACGAAAAAGTCAATGGGCACGTATCTGTAAAATGTACGGTTAAAGGGCTATTTCGCATTTTTTGCCGATTCGCACACATTGGAATGTGGCTAAGTCCTCCTAAGGCTTTCGTCCCACCAACACCAAATTTGCTCAAGCCGATCTACATCCCATGGCCATTCAAAGTTGTAGAAATCATGACGCTGCTCCCCACGGTTTACGTTCTAGGGGGCGCCAAAGATGACCCAAATATCCACATTCTTAAAAGAATCCACATCCCCCCCCCCCCCCATCCCCCATCCCCCATCCCCCATGGCAGGAGAAACAGTCAAGTTTTTCCTGCCCATCACTCAATGGCTCAATCGCATCGCTCTCCCGGCAACACCGTAACGAGGAGCAACTTGCTGTTTGGATATATCCTAGCTGTGTTTGTGCCCTCACTCATGGTCCAGACTTTTTTCAAATAGGACATGTAGTTTGTCTGCAGCGAGTGTTTTGGTAGAAACTGCGCCTCCCATTCATTTTAATGGGAAATGACCACAGACAAGTGCGCACACCATCTTTGGACCTTGAGTGTGACGCGATCGGGAGGGGGAGGCGGTCGCGCTGGGGGTGGCGCAACGCGGCTCGGGCCCGACAGTGCCCCACCGGGGCCCTAGTCTTCTTCTTCTTCTTCTTATTAGGGCCCGAGCGTAGCTGCTAAGCAGCTGCGAGAGCCCTATTATTCCTGATGGATTCTTCTTTAGGGCCCGAGCGTAGCTGCTAAGCAGCTGCGAGAGCCCTCTTGTTCCTGCATGTTTCCTTCTTAGGGCCCGAGCCAGCTGCAGAGCAGCCGGGCGTAGGCCCTATTATTCCCCAAGAGGTTTTTCTTTGTTTCTTTCTTTAGGGCCCGAGCGTAGCTGCTAAGCAGCTGCGAGAGCCCTCTTGTTCCTGTAGTTTCCTTCTTTTGTTATTATTATTATTAGGGCCCGAGCGTAGCTGCTAAGCAGCTGCGAGAGCCCTCTTGTTCCTGCATGTTTCCTTCTTTTTAGGGCCCGAGCCAGCTGCAGAGCAGCCGGGCGTAGGCCCTATTATTCCCCAAGTGGTTTTTCTTTGTTTCTTTCTTTCTTTCTTTCTTTCTTAGGGCCCGAGCGTAGCTGCTAAGCAGCTGCGAGAGCCCTCTTGTTCCTGATGGATTCTTCTTTTGTTATTATTATTATTTTTCCTCCGCTTTAAACTGGAAAATGGCCCACTTCCCACTGGCGAAAACTCATGAAATTTGGCAGGACGACCGGGCCTGGTGAAAAATTCGATATTCTGAAGTCGCCCAAACAAGAAAATGCAAAATGGCTCAATAGCGCCCCCAAAGGTGAAAATTCACACTATTGACTGTCACGCCTGTACGCTTTGTCATATTGACACAAAAATTGACACACACATGTATCTCAATAAGATCTACAAAAAAGTCAGTGCGGGCGTATCTGTCAAATGTACGGTTAAAGGGTTATTTCGCATTTTTTGCCGTTCCGCACACATTGGAATTTTGCTAACTCCTCCGAAGGCTTTCGTTCCACCAGCACTACATTTGCTCAGGCCAATCTACACCCCATGGCCATTGAAAGTTGTACAAATCATGACGCTGCACCCCACGGTTTATGTTCTAGGGGGCGCCAAAGATAACCCACAAATCCACATTCTTAAAAATCTTATAACTTTTTATTTTTGTCCTCATTGGCCTCCAAGATGATGCAATGTCCAGCCATCAACACATTTGTGAAGGAATTTTTACTCCCCAAAACAGCGCCCCCCCCCATGGCAGGACAAAAAAGGCCATTTTTTCTTGTCCCCTAAGGTGAAAATACACATTGTTCAGTGTCACGCCTATACGCTTTGTCATTTTGACACAAAATTTGACACACACGTGTATCTCAATAAGATCTACGAAAAAGTCAATGGGCACATATCTGTAAAATGTACGGTTAAAGGGCTATCTTGCATTTTTTGCCGATTCGCACACATTGGAATGTGGCTAACTCCTCCTAAGGCTTTCGTTCTACTGACACCAAATTTGCTCAGGCCAATCTACACCCCATGGCCATTCAAAGTTGTAAAAATCATGACGCTGCACCCCACGGTTTAGGTTCGAGGGGGCGCCAAAGATGACCCAAATATCCACATTTTTAAAAGTCTTATAACTTTTTATTTTTGTCCTCACTGGCCTCCAAGTTTTCTAGGATGATGCAATGTGCAGCCATCAACACATCTGTGAAGGAATTTTTCTCCCCAAAAGAGCGCCCCCCCCCCCATGGCAGGAGAAAAAGTCAAGTTTTTCCAGCCCATCGCTTAATGGCTCAAACGCATTGCTCTCCCGCTAAAACCAAAAGGAGGAGCAACTTGCCATTTGGATATGTCCTAGCTGTGTTTGTGCCCTCACTCATGGTCCAGAGTTTTTTCAAATAGGACATGTAGTTTGTCTGCAGCGAGCGTTTTGGTAGAAACTGTGCCTCCCATTCATTATAATGGGAAATGACCAAAGACAGGTGCGCACACCATCTTTGGACCTTGACTTTGACGTCACAGTTTAAGATACAAATGTTATTTGACCTCTGACCTTTGGTGGACACCCTAACCTTTCAACCCGCGAAAACGGCGTTTCAATAGCTCTTACGGCTTTCCTACAAATACACTTTGTTCAGCTACTCCTACTGTCCTTTAAGCTCTGCTTCTCAGATCAAAGAGTGTGCACGTGTGTAATGAGCGCATACTGAATGTTAATTATGTTAAATATGTTAATTATTAGAAGAAAAAACAACAACAGTCCTTTTGGACAAAATTTCTTTTTATTACAGAATTAGAATAATGGAAGCATAGTCCAAGGAAACCATTCAAGTGATGTCATACCTCATAATTTATTGAGATGTTGGCTAGTCTGGGCATTTCTTCATTCATCAGGTTTCCTGCATGCATACTAACAGAGCACATCAGTAGCAGTGAGTGATAAGTATGAGTGTGTCATTGTGTAAGAAAGAAAGTGGTTTACTTACACATCCATAGAAAATAGGTGGTTGAGCACAGCACGCAAACAAAGCTTTGCCACAACGGTTGAACTTCCCAAGTAGCTGACACCATGGTCACACAATCATGGTGAGCAAAGGTCAAACCAGGCCAGGCACTCACGAGGCTGGCTGTGGCAAGTGTAAGTGAAAGCAACACGCAATGGCAGGAAGAACAGCAAACACCGATGAAGGAAAAGGGTCTTTGCAGTGATGGGCGTCACCAGAGAGGGCGATGGCCAGAGGGCACTAATGGGACGGGGAGGCGGTCGCGCTGGGGGCGGCGCGACGCGGCTCGGGCCCGCCAGTGCCCCAACGGGGCCCTAGTTTCTTCTTTTTCCTCCCCTTTGAACTGGAAAATGGCCCACTTCCTACTGGCGAAAACTCATGAAATTTGGCAGGACGACCGGGCCTGGTGAAAAATTCGATATTCTGAAGTCGCCCAAACAATAAAATGCAAAATGGCTCCATAGCGCCCCCTAAGGTGGAAATTCACACTATTGACTGTCACGCCTGTACGCTTTGTCATATTGACACAAAAATTGACACACATATGTATCTCAATAAGATCTACAAAAAAGTCAGTGCGGCCGTATCTGTCAAAATTACGGTTAAAGGGTTATTTCGCATTTTTTGCCGATCCGCACACATTGGAATTTCGCTAACTCCTCCGAAGGCTTTCGTTCCACCGGCACCACATTTGCTCAGGCCAATCTACACCCCGTGGCCATTAAAAGTTATCAAAATCATGACGCTGCACCCCACGGTTTAGGTTCTAGGGGGCGCCAAAGATAACACTAAAATCCACATATTTAAAAGTCTTATAACTTTTTATTTTTGTCCTCACTGGCCTCCAAGTTTTCTAGGATGATGCAATGTCCAGCCATCAACACATTTGTGAAGGAATTTTTACTCCCCAAAAGAGCGCCCCCCCATGGCAGGAGAAAAAAGTCCATTTTTCTTGTCCCCTAAGGTGAAAATACACATTGTTGAGTGTCACGCCTATACGCTTTGTCAAAATGACACAAAAATTGACACACACATGTAACTCAATAAGATCTACAAAAAAGTCCATGCGCGCGTATCTGTCAAATGTACAGTTAAAGGGTTATTCCGCATTTTTTGCCGATACGCACACATTGGAATTTCGCTAACTCCTCCGAAGGCTTTCGTTCCACCGGCACCACATTTGCTCAGGCCAATCTACACCCCATGGCCATTAAAAGTTATTCAAATCATGATGCTGCACCCCATGGTTTAGGTTCTAGGGGGCGCCAAAAATAACCCAAAAATCCACATTCTTAAATGTTTTATAACTTTTTATTTTTGTCCTCACTGGCCTCCAAGTTTTCTAGGATGATGCAATGTCCAGCCATCAACACATTTGTGAAGGAATTTTTACTCCCCAAAAGAGCGCCCCCCATGGTAGGAGAAAAAAGTCAATTTTTTCTTGTCCCCTTACATAAAAATACACATTGTTGAGTGTCACGCCTGAACGCTTTGTCATATTGACACAAAAATTGACAATCATGTGTATCTCAATTAGTTCTACGAAAAAGTCAAAGAGCGCGTATCTGTATAATGTACGGTTAAAGGGCTATTTTGCATTTTTTGCCGATTCGCACACATTGGAATGTGGCTATCTCCTCCTAAGGCTTTCGTCCCACCGATACCAAATTTGCTCAGGGCAATCTACACCCCATGCCCATTCAAAGTTGTAAAAATCATGACGCTGCACCCCACGGTTTACGTTCTAGGGGGCGCCAAAGATGACCCAAAAATCCACATTCTTAAAAGTCATTTTGGCCACTGCAGGAGTACAGAGTACTGCAGTTCTAGGGGGCGCCAAAGATGACCCAAAAATCCACATTCTTAAAAGTCTTTTTGGCCACTGCAGGAGTACAGAGTACTGCAGGATACACACACATATACACACACGCCAACATACACACACACACACACACACACACACACACACACACACACACACACAGACACACACACACACTCAGAGTCTGTTTTTTAGCACCTGCAAAAACATGCTGTTTACATATTTGACAAGAATGCAGAGGCTTCCTTTTGCCCCTGAAAAAAATCAAATTTCAAACACAACTTGACTGTTCATTTCTCCAAAAGACAACCATGAAGCTCCATTTCAAACCTGAAGCAGATAGTTGGTGCATGTGTACAGTAACCTGAGGGGAGTGAGGTGACTATTTCTGAGGAGAACATGAGCAGTGAAGATTCACCTTGGAGCTAGAACAGGGACGTGCACATGATTATACAGGGGCAGGGGCTCAAGTTTTTTCCAGTCATTTATACAATATGGAAAAATTAAACAGCTGCGAGAGCCCTCTTGTTCCTGATGGATTCTTCTTTTGTTATTATTATTATTAGGGCCCGAGCCAGCTGCAGAGCAGCCGGGCGTAGGCCCTATTATTCCCCAAGTGGTTTTTTAGGGCCCGAGCCAGCTGCAGAGCAGCCGGGCGTAGAGCCCTATTATTCCTGTATAGGTTTTTCTTTCTTCTTTCTTTCTTTCTTTCTTTCTTTCTTTCTTCTTATTTTTCCTCCCCTTTGAAGGGGAAAATGGCCCACTTCCCACTGGCGAAAACTCATGAAATTTGGCAGGACGAATGGGCCTGGTGAAAAATTCGATATTCTGAAGTCGCCCAAACAATAAAATGCAAAATGGCTCCATAGCGCCCCCTAAGGTGAAAATTCACACTATTGACTGTCACGCCTTTACGCTTTGTCATATTGACACAAAAATTGACACACACATGTATCTCAATAAGATCTACAAAAAAGTCAGTGCGGGCGTATCTGTCAAATGTACGGTTAAAGGGCTATTTCGCATTTTTTGCCGATCCGCACACATTGGAATTTCGCTAACTCCTCCGAAGGCTTTCGTTCCAAAGGCACCACATTTGCTCAGGCCAATCTACACCCCATGGCCATTAAAAGTTGTACAAATCATGACGCTGCACCCCACGGTTTACGTTCTAGGGGGCGCCAAAGATAACCCAAAAATCCACAGTCTTAAAAGTCTTATAACTTTTTATTTTTGTCCTCACTGGCCTCCAAGTTTTCTAGGATGATGCAATGTCCAGCCATCAACACATTTGTGAAGGAATTTTTACTCGCCAAAAGAGCGCCCCCCCATGGCAGGAGAAAAAAGTCCATTTTTTCTTGTCTCCTAAGGCGAAAATACACATTGTTGACTGTCACGCCTTTACGCTTTGTCAAAATGACACAAAATTTGACACACACATGTATCTCAATAAGATCTACGAAAAAGTCATTGCGAGCGTATCTGTTCAATGTACGGTTAAAGGGCTATTTCGCATTTTTTGCCGATTTTCACACAGTGGAATGTGGCTAACTCCTCCTAAAGCTTTTGTCCCATCGGCTTCAAATTTGCTCAGGTCAATCTACCCCCCATGGCCATTCAAAGTTGTGCAAATCATGACGCTGCACCCCACGGTTTACGTTCTAGGGGGCGCCAAAGAGGACCCAAATATCCACATTTTTAAAAGTCTTATAACTTTTTATTTTTGTCCTCACTGGCCTCCAAGTTTTCTAGGATGATGCAATGTCCAGCCATCAACACATTTGTGAAGGAATTTTTCTCCCCAAAAGAGCGCCCCCCCATGGCAGGAGAAAAAGTCAAGTTTTTCCTGCCCATCGCTCAATGGCTCAAACGCATCGCTCTCTCGGCAAAACCGAAAGGAGGAGCAACTTGCCATTTGGATATATACTAGTTGTGTTTATGCCCTCACTCATGGTCCAGACTTTTTTCAAAAAGGACATGGAGTTTGTCTGCAGCGAGCATTTTGGTAGAAACTGCGCCTCCCATTCATTATAATGGTAAATGACCACAGACAAGTGCGCACACCATCTTTGGACCTTGAGTGTGACGCGATCGGGAGGGGTAGGCGGTCGCGCTGGGGGCGGCGCAACACGGCTCGGGCCCGCCAGTGCCCCAACGGGGCCCTAGTTAGGGCCCGAGCGTAGCTGCTAAGCAGCTGCGAGAGCCCTATTATTCCCCAAGTGGTTTTTCTTTGTTTCTTTCTTTCTTTCTTTAGGGCCCGAGCGTAGCTGCTAAGCAGCTGCGAGAGCCCTATTATTCCCCAAGGGGTTTTTCTTTGTTTCTTTCTTTCTTCTTTTTCCTCCCCTTTGAACTGGAAAATGGCCCACTTCCCACTGGCGAAAACTCATGAAATTTGGCAGGATGACCGGGCCTGGTGAAAAATTTGATATTCCGAAGTCGCCCAAACAAGAAAATGCAAAATGGCTCCATAGCGCCCCCTAAGGTGAAAATTCACACTATTGACTGTCACGCCTTTACGCTTTGTCATATTGACACAAAAATTGACACACACATGTATCTCAATAAGATCTACAAAAAAGTCAGTGCGGGCGTATCTGTCAAATGTACGGTTAAAGGGTTATTGCGCATTTTTTGCCGACCCGCACACATTGGAATTTCGCTAACTCCTCCGAAGGCTTTCGTTCCACCGGCACCACATTTGCTCAGGCCAATCTACACCCCATGGCCATTAAAAGTTATTCAAATCATGATGCTGCACCCCACGGTTTAGGTTCTAGGGGGCGCCAAAGATAACCCTAAAATCCACATATTTAAAAGTCTTATAACTTTTTATTTTTGACCTCACTGGCCTCCAAGTTTTCTAGGATGATGCAATGTCCAGCCATCAACACATTTGTGAAGGAATTTTTAATCCCCAAAAGAGCGCCCCCCCATGGCAGGAGAAAAAAGTCCATTTTTTCTTGTCCCCTAAGGTGAAAATACACATTGTTGAGTGTCACGCCTGTACGCTTTGTCATATTGACACAAAATTTGACACACACATGTATCTCAATAAGATCTACGAAAAAGGCAAAGCGCGCGTATCTGTCAAATGTACGGTTAAAGGGTTATTCCGCATTTTTTGCTGATCCGCACACATTGGAATTTCGCTAACTCCTCCTAAGGCTGGCGTTCCACCGGCACCACATTTGCTCAGGCCAATCTACACCCCATGGCCATTAAAAGTTATTCAAATCATGACGCTGCACCCCACGGTTTAGGTTCTAGGGGGCGCCAAAGATAACCCTAAAATCCACATATTTAAAAGTCTTATAACTTTTTATTTTTGTCCTCACTGGCCTCCAAGTTTTCTAGGATGATGCAATGTCCAGCCATCAACACATTTGTGAAGGAATTTTTACTCCCCAAAAGAGCGCCCCCCCATGGCAGGAGAAAAAAGTCCATTTTTTCTTGTCCCATAAGGTGAAAAAACACATTGTTGACTGTCATACCTGTACGCTTTGTCATATTGACACAAAATTTGACAATCACATGTATCTCAATAAGATCTACGAAAAAGTCAATGCGCGCGTATCTGTAAAATGTACGGTTAAAGGGCTATTTTGCATTTTTTGCCGATTCGCACACATTGGAATGTGGCTAACTCCTCCTAAGGCTTTCGTCCCACTGACACCAAATTTGCTCAGGCCAATCTACACCCCATGGCCATTCAAAGTTGTAAAAATCATGACGCTGCACCCCCCGGTTTACGTTCTAGGGGGCGCCAAAGATGACCCAAATATCCACATTCTTAAAAGAATCCACCCCCCCCCCCCCATCCCCCAACCCCCATGGCAGGAGAAACAGTCAAGTTTTTCCTGCCCATCACTCAATGGCTCAATCGCATCACTCTCCCGGCAACACCGTAACAAGGAGCAACTTGCCGTTTGGATATATCCTAGCTGTGTTTGTGCCCTCACTCATGGTCCAGACTTTTTTCAAATAGGACATGTAGTATGTCTGCAGCGAGTGTTTTGGTAGAAACTGCGCCTCCCATTCATTATAATGGGAAATGACCACAGACAAGTGCGCACACCATCTTTGGACCTTGAGTGTGACGCGATCGGGAGGGGGAGGCGGTCGCGCTGGGGGCGGCGCAACGCGGCTCGGGCCCGACAGTGCCCCACCGGGGCCCTAGTCTTTGTTTCTTTCTTTCTTTAGGGCCCGAGCGTAGCTGCTAAGCAGCTGCGAGAGCCCTCTTGTTCCTGTAGTTTCCTTCTTTTGTTATTATTATTTTTCCTCCCCTTTGAACTGGAAAATGGCCCACTTCCCACTGGCGAAAACTCATGAAATTTGGCAGGACGACCGGGCCTGGTGAAAAATTTGATATTCCGAAGTCGCCCAAACAAGAAAATGCAAAATGGCTCCATAGCGCCCCCTAAGGTGAAAATTCACACTATTGACTGTCACGCCTGTACGCTTTGTCAAAATGACACAAAAATTGACACACACATGTATCTCAATAAGATCTACAAAAAAGTCAGTGCGGGCGTATCTGTCAAATGTACGGTTAAAGGGTTATTTCGCATTTTTTGCCGATCCGCACACATTGGAATTTCGCTAACTCCTCCGAAGGCTTTCGTTCCACCGGCACCACATTTGCTCAGGCCAATCTACACCCCATGGCCATTAAAAGTTATTCAAATCATGACGCTGCACCCCACGGTTTAGGTTCTAGGGGGCGCCAAAGATAACCCTAAGATCCACATATTTAAAAGTCTTATAACTTTTTATTTTTGCCCTCACTGGCCTCCAAGTTTTCTAGGATGATGCAATGTCCAGCCATCAACACATTTGTGAAGGAATTTTTACTCCCCAAAAGAGCGCCCCCCCATGGCAGGAGAAAAAAGTCCATTTTTTCTTGTCCCCTAAGGTGAAAATACACATTGTTGAGTGTAACACCTGTACGCTTTGGCAAAATGACACAAAAATTGACACACACATGTATCTCAATAAGATCTACGAAAAAGTCAATGCGCGCGTATCTGTCAAATGTACGGTTAAAGGGTTATTCCGCATTTTTTGCCGATCCGCACACATTGGAATTTCGCTAACTCCTCCGAAGGCTTTCATTCCACCGGTACCACATTTGCTCAGGCCAATCTACACCCCATGGCCATTAAAAGTTATTCAAATCATGACGCTGCATCCCACGGTTTAGGTTCTAGGGGGCGCCAAAGATAACCCTAAAATCCACATATTTAAAAGTCTTATAACTTTTTATTTTTGTCCTCACTGGCCTCCAAGTTTTCTAGGATGATGCAATGTCCAGCCATCAACACATTTGTGAAGGAATTTTTACTCCCCAAAAGAGCGCCCCCCCATGGCAGGAAAAAAAAGCCAATTTTTTCTTGTCCCCTAAGGTGGAAATTCACACTATTGACTGTCACGCCTGTACGCTTCATCATATTGACACAAAAATTGACACACATATGTATCTCAATAAGATCTACAAAAGAGTCTATTAGCGCGTATCTGTCAAATGTACGGTTAAAGGGCTATTTTGCATTTTTTGCTGATTCGCACACATTGGAATGTGGCTAACTCCTCCTAAGGCTTTCGTCCCACTGACACCAAATTTGCTCAGGCCAATCTACACCCCATGGCCATTCAAAGTTGTAAAAATCATGACGCTGCACCCCACGGTTTACGTTCTAGGGGGCGCCAAAGATGACCCAAAAATCCACATTCTTCAAAGAATCCACATCCCCCCCCCCCCCCATATGGCAGGAGAAAAAGTCAAGTTTTTCCTGCCCATCGCTCAATGGCTCAATCGCATCGCTCTCCAGGCAACACCGTAAGGAGGAGCAACCTGCCATTTCGATATATCATAGCTGTGTTTGTGCCCTCACTCATGGTCCAGACTTTTTTCAAATAGGACATGAAGTTTGTCTGCAGCGAGTGTTTTGGTAGAAACTGCGCCTCCCATTCATTATAATAGGAAATGACCACAGACAAGTGCGCACACCATCTTTGGATCTTGAGTGTGACGCGATCGGGAGGGGGAGGCGGTCGCACTGGGGGCGGCGCGACACGGCTCGGGCCCGACAGTGCCCCAACGGGGTCCTAGTTAGGGCCCGAGCGTAGCTGCTAAGCAGCTGCGAGAGCCCTCTTGTTCCTGATGGATTCTTCTTTCGTTATTTTTCCTCCGCTTTAAACTGGAAAATGGCCCACTTCCCACTGGCGAAAACTCAGGAAATTTGGCAGGACGACCGGGTCTGGTGAAAAATTTGATATTCTGAAGTCGCCCAAACAAAAAAATGAAAAATGGCTCCATAGCGCCCCCTATGGTGAAAACTCACCTGACGCCTGTACGCTTTGTCAAAATGACACAAAATTTGACACACATGTGTATCTCAATAAGATCTACAAAAAAGTCAGTGCGGGCGTATCTGTCAAATGTACGGTTAAAGGGCTATTTCGCATTTTTTGCCGATCCGCACACATTGGAATTTCGCTAACTCCTCCGAAGGCTTTCGTTCCACCGGCACCAAATTTGCTCAGGCCAATCTACACCCCATGGCCATTAAAAGTTGTACAAATCATGATGCTGCACCCCACGGTTTACGTTCTAGGGGGCGCCAAAAATAACCCAAAAATCCACATTCTTAAAAGTCTTATTACTTTTTATTTTTGTCCTCACTGGCCTCCAAGTTTTCTAGGATGATGCCATCTCCAGCCATCAACACATTTGTGAAGGAGTTTTTACTCCCCAAAAGAGCGCCCCCCCATGGCAGGAGAAAAAAGTCAAGTTTTTCTTGTCCCCTAACGTGAAAATACACATTGTTGAGTGTCACGCCTAAACGCTTTGTCATATTGACACAAAATTTGACAATCACGTGTATCTCAATAAGATCTACGAAAAAGTCAAAGAGCGCGTATCTGTATAATGTACGGTTAAAGGGCTATTTTGCATTTTTTGCCGATCCGCACACATTGGAATTTCGCTAACTCCTCCGAAGGCTTTCGTTCCACCGGCACCAAATTTGCTCAGGCCAATCTACACCCCATGGCTATTAAAAGTTGTACAAATCATAACGCTGCACCCCACGGTTTAGGTTCTAGGGGGCGCCAAAGATAACCCTAAAATCCACATATTTAAAAGTCTTATAACTTTTTATTTTTCTCCTCACTGGCCTCCAAGTTTTCTAGGATGATGCAATGTCCAGCCATCAACACATTTGTGAAGGAATTTTTACTCGCCAAAAGAGCGCCCCCCCATGGCAGGAGAAAAAAGTCCATTTTTTCTAGTCCCCTAAGGCGAAAATACACATTGTTGAATGTCACGCCTGTACGCTTCGTCATATTGACACAAAATTTGACAATCACGTGTATCTCAATAAGATCTACGAAAGAGTCAATGCGCGCGTATCAGTAAAATGTACGGTTAAAGGGCTATTTCGCATTTTTTGCCGTTTCGCACACATTGGAATGTGGCTAACTCCTCCTAAGGCTTTCGTCCCACTGACACCAAATTTGCTCAGGCCAATCTACACTCCATGGCCATTCAAAGTTGTAAAAATCATGACGCTGCACCCCACGGTCTATGTTCTAGGGGGCGCCAAAGAGGACCCAAATATCCACATTTTTAAAAGTCTTATAACTTTTTATTTTTGTCCTCACTGGCCTCCAAGTTTTATAGGATGATGCAATGTCCAGCCATCAACACATTTGTGAAGGAATGTTTACTCCCCAAAAGAGCGCCCCCCCATGGCAGGAGAAAAAAGTCCATTTTTTCTTGTCCCCTAAGGTGAAAATACACATTGTTGAGTGTCATGCCTGTACGCTTTGTCAAAATGACACAAAATTCAACACACACGTGTATCTCAATAAGATCTACGAAAAAGTAAATGCAGGCGTATCTGTCAAATGTACGGTTAAAGGGCTATTTCGCATTTTTTGCCGATTCGCACACATTGGAATGTAGCTAACTCCTCCGAAGGCTTTCGCTCCACCGGCACCAAATTTGCTCAGGCCAATCTACACCCCATGGCCATTCAAAGTTGTAAAAATCATGACGCTGCACCCCACGGTTTAAGTTCTAGGGGGCGCCAAAGATGACCCAAATATCCATATTCTTAAAAGTGTTATAACATTTTATTTTTGTCCTCACTGGCCTCCATGTTTTCTAGGATGATGCAATGTCCAGCCATCAACACATTTGTGAAGGAGTTTTTTCTCGTTAAAAGAGCGCCCCCCCATGGCAGGAGAATAAAGTCAAGTTTTTCCTGTTCATCGTTCAATGGCTCAAACGCATCGCTCTCTCGGCAAAAGCGAAAGGAGGAGCAACTTGCCATTTGGATATATCTTAGCTGTGTTTGTGCCCTCACTCATGGTCCAGACTTTTTTCAAATAGGACATGGAGTTTTTCTGCTGCGAGCGTTTTGGTAGAAACTGCGCCTCCCATTCATTATAATGGTAAATGACCACAGACAAGTGCGCACACCATCTTTGGACCTTGAGTGTGACGCGATTGGGTGGGGGAGGCGGTCGCGCTGGGGGCGGCGCGACACGGCTCGGGCCCGCCAGTGCCCCACCGGGGCCCTAGTTATTAGGGCCCGAGCGTAGCTGCTAAGCAGCTGCGAGAGCCCTCTTGTTCCTGCATGTTTCCTTCTTTCGTTATTATTTTTCCTCCGCTTTAAACTGGAAAATGGCCCACTTCCCACCGGCGAAAACTCAGGAAATTTGGCAGGACGACCGGGCCTGGTGAAAAATTCGATATTCTGAAGTCGCCCAAACAATAAAATGCAAAATGGCTCCATAGCGCCCCCTAAGGTGAAAATTCACATGACGGCTGTACGCTTTGTCATATTGACACAAAAATTGACACACACATGTATCTCAATAAGATCTACAAAAAAGTCAGTGCGGGCGTATCTGTCAAATGTACGGTTAATGGGTTATTTTGCATTTTTTGCAGATCTGCACACATTGGAATTTCGCTAACTCCTCCGAAGGCTTTCGTTCGACCGGCACCACATTTGCTCAGGCCAATCTACACCCCATGGCCATTAAAAGTTGTACAAATCATGACGCTGCACCCCACGGTTTACGTTCTAGGGGGCGCCAAAGATAACCCAAAATCCACATTCTTAAAAGTCTTATAACTTTTTATTTTTGTCCTCACTGCCCTCCAAGTTTTCTAGGATGATGCAATGTCCAGCCATCAACACATTTGTGAAGGAATTTTTACTCCCCAAAAGAGCGCCCCCCCATGGCAGGAGAAAAAAGTCAAGTTTTTCTTGTCCCCTAACGTGAAAATACACATTGTTGAGTGTCACGCCTAAACGCTTTGTCATATTGACACAAAAATTGACAATCACGTGTATCTCAATAAGATCTACGAAAAAGTCAAAGAGCGCGTATCTGTATAATGTACGGTTAAAGGGCTATTTTGCATTTTTTGCCGATCCGCACACATTGGAATTTCGCTAACTCCTCCGAAGGCTTTCGTTCCACCGGCACCAAATTTGCTCAGGCCAATCTACACCCCATGGCTATTAAAAGTTGTACAAATCATAACGCTGCACCCCACGGTTTAGGTTCTAGGGGGCGCCAAAGATAACCCTAAAATCCACATATTTAAAAGTCTTATAACTTTTTATTTTTCTCCTCACTGGCCTCCAAGTTTTCTAGGATGATGCAATGTCCAGCCATCAACACATTTGTGAAGGAATTTTTACTCGCCAAAAGAGCGCCCCCCATGGCAGGAGAAAAAAGTCCATTTTTTCTAGTCCCCTAAGGCGAAAATACACATTGTTGAATGTCACGCCTGTACGCTTCGTCATATTGACACAAAATTTGACAATCACGTGTATCTCAATAAGATCTACGAAAGAGTCAATGCGCGCGTATCAGTAAAATGTACGGTTAAAGGGCTATTTCGCATTTTTTGCCGTTTCGCACACATTGGAATGTGGCTAACTCCTCCTAAGGCTTTCGTCCCACTGACACCAAATTTGCTCAGGCCAATCTACACTCCATGGCCATTCAAAGTTGTAAAAATCATGACGCTGCACCCCACGGTCTATGTTCTAGGGGGCGCCAAAGAGGACCCAAATATCCACATTTTTAAAAGTCTTATAACTTTTTATTTTTGTCCTCACTGGCCTCCAAGTTTTATAGGATGATGCAATGTCCAGCCATCAACACATTTGTGAAGGAATGTTTACTCCCCAAAAGAGCGCCCCCCCATGGCAGGAGAAAAAAGTCCATTTTTTCTTGTCCCCTAAGGTGAAAATACACATTGTTGAGTGTCACGCCTGTACGCTTTGTCAAAATGACACAAAATTCACACACACGTGTATCTCAATAAGATCTACGAAAAAGTCAATGCAGGCGTATCTGTCAAATGTACGGTTAAAGGGCTATTTCGCATTTTTTGCCGATTCGCACACATTGGAATGTGGCTAACTCCTCCGAAGGCTTTCGCTCCACCGGCACCAAATTTGCTCAGGCCAATCTACACCCCATGGCCATTCAAAGTTGTAAAAATCATGACGCTGCACCCCACGGTTTACGTTCTAGGGGGCGCCAAAGATGACCCAAATATCCACATTTTAAAAGTCTTATAACTTTTTATTTTTGTCCTCACTGGCCTCCAAGTTTTCTAGGATGATGCAATGTCCAGCCATCAACACATTTGTGAAGGAATTTTTCTCGTTAAAAGAGCGCCCCCCCATGGCAGGAGAATAAAGTCAAGTTTTTCCTGTTCATCGTTCAATGGCTCAAACGCATCGCTCTCTCGGCAAAAGCGAAAGGAGGAGCAACTTGCCATTTGGATATATCTTAGCTGTGTTTGTGCCCTCACTCATGGTCCAGACTTTTTTCAAATAGGACATGGAGTTTTTCTGCTGCGAGCGTTTTGGTAGAAACTGCGCCTCCCATTCATTATAATGGTAAATGACCACAGACAAGTGCGCACACCATCTTTGGACCTTGAGTGTGACGCGATTGGGTGGGGGAGGCGGTCGCGCTGGGGGCGGCGCGACACGGCTCGGGCCCGCCAGTGCCCCACCGGGGCCCTAGTTAGGGCCCGAGCGTAGCTGCTAAGCAGCTGCGAGAGCCCTCTTGTTCCTGATGGATTCTTCTTTTGTTATTATTATTATTTTTCCTCCGCTTTAAACTGGAAAATGGCCCACTTCCCACTGGTGAAAACTCATGAAATTTGGCAGGACGACCGGGCCTGGTGAAAAATTCGATATTCTGAAGTCGCCCAAACAAGAAAATGCAAAATGGCTCAATAGCGCCCCCAAAGGTGAAAATTCACACTATTGACTGTCACGCCTGTACGCTTTGTCATATTGACACAAAAATTGACACACACATGTATCTCAATAAGATCTACAAAAAAGTCAGTGCGGGCGTATCTGTCAAATGTACGATTAAAGGGTTATTTCGCATTTTTTGCCGTTCCGCACACATTGGAATTTCGCTAACTCCTCCGAAGGCTTTCGTTCCACCAGCACTACATTTGCTCAGGCCAATCTACACCCCATGGCCATTGAAAGTTGTACAAATCATGACGCTGCACCCCACGGTTTAGGTTCTAGGGGGCGCCAAAGATAACCCACAAATCCACATTCTTAAAAATCTTATAACTTTTTATTTTTGTCCTCATTGGCCTCCAAGTTTTCTAGGATGATGCAATGTCCAGCCATCAACACATTTGTGAAGGAATTTTTACTCCCCAAAAGAGCGCCACCCCATGGCAGGAGAAAAAAGTCCATTTTTTCTTGTCCCCTAAGGTGAAAATACACATTGTTGAGTGTCACGCCTGTACGCTTTGTCAAAATGACACAAAAATTGACACACACATGTATCTCAATAAGATGTACGAAAAAGTCAATGCGCGCGTATCTGTAAAATGTACGGTTAAAGGGCTATTTTGCATTTTTTGCCGATTCGCACACATTGGAATGTGGCTAACTCCTCCTAAGGCTTTCGTCCCACTGACACCAAATTTGCTCAGGCCAATCTACACCCCATGGCCATTCAAAGTTGTAAAAATCATGACGCTGCACCCCACGGTTTACGTTCAAGGGGGCGCCAAAGATGACCCAAATATCCACATTCTTAAAAGAATCCACATCCCCCCCCCCCCCTCCCCCATCCCACATCCCCCATGGCAGGAGAAAAAGTCAAGTTTTTCCTTCCCATCACTCAATGGCTCAATCGCATCGCTCTCCCGGCAACACCGTAACGAGGAGCAACTTGCCGTTTGGATATATCCTAGCTGTGTTTGTGCCCTCACTCATGGTCCAGACTTTTTTCAAATAGGACATGTAGTTTGTCTGCAGCGAGTGTTTTGGTAGAAACTGCGCCTCCCATTCACTATAATGGGAAATGACCACAGACAAGTGCGCACACCATCTTTGGACCTTGAGTGTGACGCGATCGGGAGGGGGAGGCGGTCGCGCTGGGGGCGGCGCAACGCGGCTCGGGCCCGACAGTGCCCCACCGGGGCCCTAGTTTTTCTTTTTCCTCCCCTTTGAACTGGAAAATGGCCCACTTCCCACTGGCGAAAACTCATGAAATTTGGCAGGACGACCGGGCCTGGTGAAAAATTCGATATTCTGAAGTCGCCCAAAAAATCAAATGCAAAATGGCTCCATAGCGCCCCCTAAGGTGAAAAATTCACATGATTGAGTGTCACGCCTGTACGCTTTGTCAAAATGACACAAAATTTGACACACACGTGTATCTCAATAAGATCTACAAAAAAGTCAGTGCGGGCGTATCTGTCAAATGTACGGTTAAAGGGCTATTTCGCATTTTTTGCCGATCCGCACACATTGGAATGTCGCTAACTTCTCCGAAGGCTTTCGTTCCACCGGCACCACATTTGCTCAGGCCAATCTACACCCCATGGCCATTAAAAGTTGTACAAATCATGACGCTGCATCCCACGGTTTACGTTTTAGGGGGCGCCAAAGATAACCCAGAAATCCACATTCTTAAAAGTCGTATAACTTTTTATTTTTGTCCTCACTGGCCTCCAAGTTTTCTAGGATGATGCAATGTCTAGCCATCAACACATTTGTGAAGGAATTTTTACTCCCCAAAAGAGCGCCCCCCCATGGCAGGAGAAAAAAGTCCAGTTTTTCTTCCCCCCTAAGGTGAAAATTCACATTATTGAGTGTCACGCCTGTACGCTTTGTCATATTGAAACAAACTTTAACAATCACGTGTTTCTCAATAAGATCTGCGAAATAGTCAATGGGCGCGTATCTGTAAAATATACGGTTAAAGGGCTATTTCGCATTTTTTGCCGATTCGCACACATTGGAATGTGGCTAACTCCTCCTAAAGCTTTCGTTCCACTGACACCAAATTTACTCAGGCCAATCTACACCCCATGGCCATTCAAAGTTGTAAAAATCATGACGCTGCACCCCACGGTTTATGTTCTAGGGGGCGCCAAAGATAACCCAAAAATCCACATTCTTAAATGTCTTATAACTTTTTATTTTTGTCCTCACTGGCCTCCAAGTTTTCTAGGATGATGCAATGTCTAGCCATCAACACATTTGTGAAGGAATTTTTACTCCCTAAAAGAGCGCCCCCCCATGGCAGGAGAAAAAGTCAAGTTTTTCCTGCCCATCGCTCAATGACTCAAACACATCGCTCTCTCGGCAAAACCGAAAGGAGGAGCAACTTGCCATTTGGATATATCCTAGCTGTGTTTGTGCCCTCACTCATGGTCCAGTCCTTTTCAAATAGGACATGTAGTTTGTCTGCGGCGAGCGTTTTGGTAGAAACTGCGCCTCCCATTCATTATAATTGTAAATGACCACAGACAAGTGCGCACACCATCTTTGGACCTTGAGTGTGACGCGATCGGTAGGGAGAGGCGGTCGTGTTGGGGGCGGCGCGACACAGCTCGGGCCCGCCAGTGCCCCAACGGGGCCCTAGTTTTTGGCTTGTTTCTGGAGGTCTGTTTCCTTATTTCTCTCATGAAACTGTCTCAAACTCTAGCCTCCCTCATAACGACAACACCGGGAGGACTGAACATAAATCGCTCGCTGGTATTGCCCGCCTGTTTCCACGTGTTGCCTCATGTCTCTCTCTTTTGTTTTGTTTTGGAACAGTGAATTAGAGGATCAGTTTAATGTTTAATTGTATTTGAGTCTTCTTTATCTTTGTGCACATTGTCTAAGTTTCCAATTCTTGAAGTTTATCTGATTATTTTTTGATTGACATGTAAAATAGTTTGGTTAAAGCTGCACTATGTAACTTTACACAAACAAGAACCCTTGTTTAAAAATAAATACAGATAGTGAAAAATGCTCATGATTGATGTAAATCTCTACATTTAACAAATGGTTTATGACTTTCATATGACTTGTTTTTGACTTGAAAGAAACGGTAAGGACTTGGTTGGGACTCGAAGCAAAAAGTTCAGGACTTGGACTTGACTTGGACTTGAGAGCAGAGACTTGAGACTCAACTTGGACTTGCAACATAGGGACTTTCCCCCACCTCTGCCTTTCAGTTATGCACCGTACCATAAAACATTTCAAACAAAAGCTTTTAAAAGGCTCCTTATTTTCACAGTTCAGTCTTTGCAAACTTCACCCTCATTGTACTCAAAATGCACCAGCTTGTTTTGCACACCTCCCTCACTGTATGTAAGAGAAGACTGGATAACTTATTTGCCTTTTAACTGAGCTGAAGCAATATGAGCACACGTAGTTGTAACCACTTTTTTACGACACTACAGATAAAAGTTTGAACATTTACATTCACCCTGACACACTGCACTCTACAAACGACCTCTTATCAGACTCTGCGGTTCTCACAGTCTATTATGTTTCCTCCACAGTCCGCTCAAGTACTTTGGAGAGGACGTGTCAGCGGCGAAGATGAAGATATATCACCCTGATTTCGTCCGCTACACCAGAAACAGGTGAGTGAATGATTCACAGAGAAGCAGCTGGTATTTCAAACAGTTGGAAATAAGATAAAGAGGAAAAGAAAAAGAAGAAGCTGAAAGCAGAGTGTGCTGCGGTGGGAAATTCCCATCGTACACGTGTGTCATAACCCAACAGAAAAGATCGTTTACTGCTTTTTTCCTGCTTCGACATCCTGCATGTCCTAACAAGCGTCACTGTCACACAGGTTCATCCGTGATAAATGATCTATATTTCAGATTCCTGCACTCCAGAATTCTGTCAAAAAAACATGAGAACCTTTACCGTCCGTCCACGGGAGCTGTGATGCTGCTGGCTGCTCTGCACACCTGTGACGAGGTGAGAGTCTCTCATTACTGCTCAGTCCTGTCGGCCAGCTGCTTATTTACTGAAGGACAAGGCCACACTCGTCTAAAAGCATGATGATGTTTTGACTCCCTGCCGCTGACCTGTTCAAATCTGGATCTCAGGTATGAGAGGCGAGGCAGGGAGTGACTGCCTTAACCTATGTCTTATTAGACTGCAATTAGATCTGACTAACAGATCTTTGTAGTACCACGGGTTATTACCAGAATCCTTTAAGCTTACTGCAAATCAGAACCTGCTGCGGCGGTAACAAGACGAGTTTTAATAGATTTAGTATTTTCTTTAACCCTTTAGAGCTATCTTTCCCGTCTTTGAGGATTTATTTTTGTTGACTTTCACTTTTGTGTCTGCTCTCTGCTTTTTCACAGCAGACCTGTCACATTAGCTGCAGTGTAATATTTTATTTAACACGCATCTCCCAGTAACAAGATCAGAATCTAATAGGATGTAAAAAAAAAAAAAAAAAAAAGATCAGTGAGTCGTGACCGCTGCCAAAAAAATGTACCCGGACTATTGAGGAAAAACTCAACAGCAGGTAAGAGGCGTCAGACAGACAGCTCGTTCTTACATACTTTAAAATCAGGTTCTCCCACACGAGAAAATAATTGGTCCCCTTTGCCGTCTTTAAGATGGGGCATCGGCTGAAAACAATGTTACTGAAACAATGGAGTGTGCCATGAATCATGGGTGTAGTCTCCATGCTGTCACACCATCACAGTTTTGAACCTAACACGAAGCTGAGAGCCGGGGTTAAGACGGATCTTATTAACAGGCTGCAAACATCTTCCTGTGTGTCTGCAGCCGGCCTCTGGTGGACACTCAGAGAACTGCAGTTATCAGCACCTCGACTTTGGCTTCAATTTCATGACCCGGTGTCACCACTAGTTATTGGTCAAAATAATCTTCAAGTGTGCGGCGTGACCGTTGATAACTCAGAGGGTTTGTTAGCATGGAAACAGACGTAAGTGAATGAAAGTGTCCCGATATGATCCGCTGGCCTGCGTTTAAAATCTCCGATATCAGCACTCCGATACAAACAGTCCATTTCAGACTCCATTCCAGCACCTCTAACCTGGATCCAGCATGCAGAGCCCAAGTAATCCCGACAACAGTGTGAACTAAGATACGAACACAGTAGCAAGGAGTAGGAGTGATGTCGGTTGTGTGGCAGTATTTTTCGTTAAAGGTGGGGTCTGCAGGAATCCGTTAAAGAACTATTAAAAAAGAGAGCTATTAGTTATTGATGACATTTGCTCCCCCGTGTCGTTCAGGAGTCCAAACAAAGTTAGCGTGCTACAATATCGGACAGTAGAAACCAACCAGAAAGTTCGGAAAATTGTCTGAATCCTCCTTTGGCCACGACTGCCGACACAAACAAGAAAACAAAGTAAATACCGGAGACTCTGGAGGAATAACGGGCGCTTAAAACGGAGGTAGACCGGACAAGAGCTAAAAAGCCGGGTCAACATAAACCATGGGGGACGCTTGGGGATCTTGATGACCCTGTAACCTTTCTGCTGGACAGGTAAACCGCTTTAACAAAGTAAGACAAGTGTCTGTAACAGAAGTGTTTCTTGTCAAACGGACCTGCTGTAGCGTGTTGTAGCGCCATCGCTAAACTGTCCTCCCTCGGGTCCTGGACTATGTCACTTTATCCTAGTTGTAGAAGTCCTGCAAACATAGTGTTTGCTGGTAGTCTGTTGGCATCTACAGTAGCACCAATGCTTTTGACTTTCACCTTGACTGGGCCCCATTTGTAATGATCTGAAGTATTTATCTGCATTATATCTGAATTTAATTGGAACGATACGAGCGAGCAGGAGCGTCTGTTTGTGGGCGGGGCTTGAGGGGAGAGGAGGAGCTGAGGGGAAAACTGGTTGGGAGGGGTAGAGTTTACATTCAAGATTTCTCCAAAAAACTGGAACTTCCTCAGATCCTGACTACCCCACCTTTAAACTTGCAAATCTTGTTATGAACAAGTTTTATGCCAATATGGGATCAATATCAGTATCAGCCGATACTGAAGGCTATGACATTGGTATTGTATCAGAGAAGAAGAAGTTGTCTTGGACACCCTAAATGAAAGAAATAAAATTTTTAAGTAAGGACATTTAACTATTTTTTTAATGCATTAATCACAGTGAGTGATACATCTCAGTGATAAATTAAGATTAGGAATGACTACTTTGTCCACAGGGGGCGCCATAATCCACACAAACTGAAAGATCCTTACAGGAGCTTTAAATCAGAGTAATTGATCATCTGTAAAGTAAAGGTTGAGGCTGCATTTATTCTGTTTCAGCACTTTGAATCATGAGAGTCTACTAATTCACCATCATTTGACTTTTACTGTCTCTCACAGAAATAGACTTCTGCTTGAGTAAAGGATGTGCTCACTTTAAGTCTCACTGTTTTCTGTTTTTTGAAGGTGAACGCATACGGCTTCATGACTCCAGACTATGCAAAATACTCTGACCACTACTTCGACAAAGTCAAGAAACAGGTGCACTTTTATGCGAACCATGACTTCAGGCTGGAGATGGTCCTCTGGCAGCTGCTGCACCGGGAGGGACTCATTCGACTCTACATGCGATACTGAGCGCAGGTCGACCAGAACATCCTTTCTGTAAAGGTGTCGCCAGCATGCCTCTTTAGTTACAGGAAACCAAAACTGGGACACTGGGACACTCTGTTTTGCCTTTTCTCCGAATGATTGTTTACGACAAAAAAGGAAGCACACGGTTTCCTTTTCATGAAGGAAACAGGGATTATTTTTCTTTGAAATGACAGCTGCTCTGATTGTTCGGGATGAAGGTGTAGTTATATTGATCGGATACGGTGTAAGCTTTTCAGAAATCATTCTTTAATTCTCGAGACTTCTGTTTTGGTGATTTGGTTAAGACCGACTACGGTTGGAGAGTTGAGTGTATTTAAAGAAAGTGTGAGCGGATTGGCTGAAATTTGGTGAAAACATTCGATCTCCTCAATGGATTGATACAGATCTATTTGATCCCCTTTAAGTCATTTTTTAAGGCCTTATTCAGTCCAATATCCATCTCCTGTCACTTTGTTTACGACTGGTCAGATGTTTACTCTGATACTGGACCGACATGACAACATTTTAGAGAATTCGTAGCCTGTTCCTAGAGAAGAGGTGAAATATTGTCCCGTAGAGATCTATTTTTCTATTCTAAGCCTTTTAAGTGGCCTAACAGGGGGCGACTTTGAACATAATTTTTATTTATTTGGTATTTTTTTACACAATTTATTTTTTTTATAACTGCAGAAAATCAAAAATCACCCTGGACTTGACCTCCAAACCTTAAACCTCCAGTTTCTATGCAGTCGGCATTTTTAAAGACACTGTAAGGAGTTTTGTGTCGCTCTCACACTGGTGCCTGTTCATGACTTTCAGTTAAACCAGATCATTAGAAACAAGACTGGTTATATCTTCATCATGAATTTTAGTGCCTTCGCTGTCTTACGTCGTAAAAAGTCCAGTCGATATTCGCCGCTCATGATTTTACCAGAGTTATATGGACGCTCACTGATTCTAGTTGATTCTAGTTGATTCTAGTTGGCTCTTGTCTTTCACATTTGCACAGTGAAAGGAAGGCAGTTTTCAAAACAGACTTTAGTCCTGAGCGATAATATGGCGTAGCTACAAATCAATGCATTACCTCGTCCGCAAAGGAACGGAAAGAAGCTGGCTGAATTTATCCGGCATGCTCCGACGTCCAGAAAAACTAGAACTCTTACGATCAGCTGTGGAGTGGGAGAAAAATGTACTGCAGCCCGCCACCAGAGGGTGCTGTTCTCGCAGTGGCTTCACCCAGCGAGGAGGCAGACGGCGTCCGTTCTGTATACAGTCTATGTCAGAAACTTGTTATTAAGAAACTCCTCACAGTGTCTTTTTTAAAAAAAGTTGCTCCGAGCTAAAATAGTTCCCCGTCACCAGATTTTACTCTGGTTGACGGAGCTCCAAATCACCATAACTGCTGTTTACTGGGAAGTCTTTAGAGCGGATCACTCCATCAGTGAGGGTGGAGGGGCTTGTTGGTGTGTGGAAAAGGGACGAAACTTCAACTGTCACTTGCTCAAAATACCCCCACCCTAAAAATAGACCGCCTTAGCACTGCTGGCAGTGGCCGAAGTCTATTCTGACATTTACTCACACCATGTCCTCTGTGTGTGTTCGTGTGTGTGTGTGTGTGTGTGTGTGTGTGTGTGTGTGTGTGTGTGGGGGTTTGTTTTACCGTGGAAGGCGACAAAAACTCCACTGTGTGTGATGATGATGAAGCTCATTACAGGGTGTTCGACTGTAAGGGACCTAACTTATTCTTCTTTTTCCTGTTATTTGAAGCACACAAGTGTACTTTACTCTGGCAGGCGCCACGCTGTGATGATCACAACACTGTGGCTCTCAGTGCCTTTTGAAATGTGAATCTGTGGTTTGGACAAAGTCCGTGGGTGGTCCAGGAAGTTTATTGTTTATCATTCGCTGAGGACTCAGATTGATGTAATCAGACACACTCGGATTCCTCTGAGTATCAAGATTCACTGTCACCAACATCCGCTGGAGCGAGATAAACGCTCTGTGCGATGACGGATACGTTTGGAAACAGAGGGAGGAGACGCTAAACCAAAGACACACTACAAATCAGGGATCATTTGTATTTAAAATGTTTTTTTGTGGCATAGCAAATCTGACAAATCTGAAATACTGTCTCATATTTTTACACGGTGGGAACGGGGAGGGGGGGGAACTTTCTTAGTGCAAGTTCTGACTCTGATTTTTGTCTTTTTTAAAAATCTGTATAAAAATACCTGATTTTATGTGAGTGAGTTTGTGGTTCTTTTTTTGTTCCCTGCATGTGTTTTAACTTAGTCCTGCAAGTTTATTAGAAAGCGCAGGTTCTTATCAGTGAATGTAGAGGAATTACAGGCATGTTTTTGGGATGATTTTTACACGCAACAAGGTGCAAAAATGTTGAATTTATGAAAGAGGAAACAAAGAAAGAGCAGTTTTTTGTTGGAGTAACTAATCGCATTGACTCACAGTTATTTAAAAGCTGTTTAAGCTTTTTAATTGTTTAAACAGACTTAAAAATTAAGTTTGTTTTTTTTGAAGCCACTTTAAATTATGAATAAGGGCCACAAGAAGAGAAAAAAATACAGAGGGAGATTTTTTTAATTTCAATTTCAAGATTAAAGTTGAAAGTTAAACGAGGTGAAATTTCAACTTTATTCATGTCGACTTTAATCTCGAAATTTTAATTTTTTTATCTCGGAATTTTGACATTCACGACATTTTGACATTTTGTAAACTCAAAATTTAGACTTTAATCTCTTCCTGTAATTATTTTTTCTCTTCTTGTGGCCCTAATTCTCTTTCGTAATTTAAAGTGGATTAAAAAACAAACAAAAAAAAACTTTGTTAAAAGTAAAAATGCTGTTTTTAAAGTTTTTTTTAAACAACTGAAATGCATAAAAAGCAAAATTTCAATTTTAATCTCCTTCCCGTCCAAATTTTTTTCTCTTTATGTGGCCCTTATCCACTTTAGTATTAAGTAGCAAAAAAATATCTTCAACTATAATAAATGATACAGACGTGTTCACTGATTTGCACAGAAATGTGAGAATAAAAGAGGACTGTAAAGGAAAGAGGAAACGACCTAAAAGAACTAGCAGGAAAGCATCACACAAACATTTGTCACACAAACATTTGTCACACAAACGTGAAATATTCTAGAAATACAACCAACCTACGAGTGCACCTAACATGTCACCATCATAGACTGTGTATAAGATGGACAACTTTGTTCCACCTTCCGCCTGTATACGGATTTGAAGCCAAAAAGCTCTCGGTAATTCCGGGTTTTTCTCCCGTTCCTTGAAATCAGAGCTGCGCAGTAGTGTTGTACACAGATGTTGTTGGCTGGGCGGGAGACTCGGAGCGATGACGCTCCGCTCAAAAAGTCTAACTCGGTGTTACGGTGTGTTTGACCCTAAATTAAATTTTATGGAAGGTCAGGGGTCTCCTACAACTAAATAAGTCATATTGCATGACAATAATGTCCTTAGACAACAGCTGCTAGAGATTGAAAACAAAATAAGACGCTGGATGTGTGCAAGTGAAATTATTCTCCCTGGAGGAGTTCCAAGAATAATACAGAACTTGAAGTGCTTGGTATGCTGGGCCATACTGTGCCAGGTTTCTGGGTGGAGCTCATATTTGAGAGTTCTAGTCCATCAGTCAGGCTTTTACATTAAAACATTTACATAAGTTTATCATTTCTGTCAACAGGCCTCTAGAGAAAGGCCGATGACTCTGAAAACTTCCTCATCGGCAGAGTCAGGAGGTTTGAGTTTTACTGAATTGCAACTGAACATCTGAAGAAGGAACGTCATTTCTTTACCCCGCCTGAACTTGACCCGCTTATCCAATCGAACTGCAGCGTTCGAGTTCTGCTCATCGTTATCACTGAGCGTACATAGATAGACAGATGGATAGATAGTTTATTTTCGTGTCCTGCACATAAAGTGCCCAACCCTCATGGGTTTAAAAGACACCAACTCCAGTTTACAACATGCTGTACATTCCATTACAACTCATAGTTGACAAATATAGTCTGCTACAATAAAAGCTCCCTTAGCGAAATAGATTTCAAGCTTTTCATCATCAACTAATTCAAGGAAATCAACATAGACAGAAGACATTCGCAAATAAATAAGTGTCAGAGAGAGCAGCTGGCATGTCTGTGTCTGATCTGTGTGAAAAACCACGAGGGAGTGCTCTGGTGAAAGTAACTCACTGCTGACCTCTAGTGGTGAGAGAAGGCCAGTGCAGCAGATTAATAGATTTCATGCAGAGGGAATGAGACTACTGGCTGTACAGTGAAAGTTTACACAGGTTTTTGTTTGTTTTATCACTATATCAGCGCACTAACGTGTCACTTTGATAGTTTTTTGAAATATTTAATATGAAGTTTTCTTAAACTACAACATGGTGGTTAGAAATGGTGACGCTGCTAAGAGGGACCACTTTTCATCTGTACACTCCTACCATGTCCTCATCCTCCTTTTTCTTCTTGTAGATAAAAAATTAAATCAAACACAAATCTGAAAGGTTCACTTTTTTTACTTTGGGTTGTGCGAAACGGTTTATCGGCGCTCATCTCAGCTCACAATGTTCTCTTCTCTCCTCAGACAGGACACGACCCCTCACCCTGTAAAGGAAGAAAACTAGTATTCCACTTTTTGCTGCGCCCTCTGGTGACAAAGATAATTGCAATGTGACAACTTAATCATGTGACAACAAGCCCCGGTCTCCCCTACTGCCACCTGTAAACTGATGTCACCTTAATGAGCAGGTTAAGGGATGATTCATATCTGTGCTCCTCATGCTCACACCGGTCAGAGATATTTTGGATCCCTGGTATTTGGTCCCTAAGTGCCGATCTCAGAGGTTTCAGAGGCAGAGGCTGTGATTTCTTGCAGCCTGCAGGTTAATATTCTCATGCATATCGAGAATTATGGGAATAAAAAGCTTGCAGACCGCAGCAGAAGGTTCCCAAGAAGCAGTGAAGCTCTTCAGCATGAAGTATTTCTGCAATTCCAGCAGCTGTTACATCATTCCTCTGCTCCTCTGCTCCCTCCTCCTATTTCACACCATCATTTGCACTTCAAGAACTCTCTTATGGAGAAAGATGTTCTCCTTTCCTGATTAGCCAGAGGTTATGCAGACGCGCCGCAGATCAAACGCCACCACGCTGCTCCCATTCTGCACGTCCTGAAGAGAGAAAAGCCAGAAATGGACTTTGACAGCTTGTTGAGGACTGTGACAAATGAGAGGAAATGTGACTAACATCAGGCTGAGAAACTCTGGAAATACTGGAGATCATTACAGCCACAAACCTTTTGAACTGACTGCGCTGAGCTTCTTAGAGTGAAGGTTTCCTCTCTTATGGAGGCTGTTTTCAGCTGCGGCCTTGCACCGGTCCGGCTCTTCCTGCTGGATAATTCTCCAATAATGGTCTTGGCTCCAGCTCCTCCAGACAGCACCCATCCCTCCACGTGTCCTGGAACAAGACCCCTGCATTTGGCCTCTTAATGGGGTTGAACTGAAGGACAAACAGCTTTAAAATCACGTTTCTGCAAATGCTGCAGATTTAAAGAAGACATACCTCCTAAAACGACCCAACATCCTCTGCTCAGTGGATTCATTTCCTTTACGCAGACGTCCTTGTTTCTCTAAAGGATCTTTGGCGTCTCCTCTCAAGGTTAGCCGTCGAGTTATTCCTCAAGTTTACTCTGCATAATAAATACAGTTTAAAAAAAGTAATTACATATAAAATAAAATAAAATAATAAGAAAGGTGTAATCTGCATGATAAATAAGTAAAAAATGAAAATAAATAAAATATAAAATAATAATAATAAAATAATCTGCATGATTAATAAAATATATAAATAAATAATAATAAAAAAAAGTGTAATCTGCATGATTGATAAAGTGAAAAAAATTATAATTAATAGAAAAATTATAATAAAAAATTTAAATCTGCATGCCAGTGATCAGACATCAGCATCACTCTGAAGGGTCGGTTCGGCGTCGTGAGAGGTCCAGCTCCCGCCAGCATCACCACAGGCAGCTGATGTTTGTCTCACACTCGTATTCAGAGCCAAAGAAGGTCTTTTCCTACACAGTTATATAACTCTACTGTATGTTAAATAACATACGAGCAGAGAGACGAGGTCTACAGCTCCTCTCAGATTTGTGAGTCTCTGCAGTGATTGTGTGTAAACGTGCTCCTCTGAGATGTTATTTTTAGCAGAATGGATGTCCGCAGGCCTGCTGAGGCCTCCTCTCTCTGAGTTCAACTCCTGCTGTGCATCGATCCACGGTCTGAAATCAGATTTAGGCCGTACAATGGTGAGTATTGATATTTAAAAGACCACACAGAAAACACAGAAGAAACTCCTCTTTCCAGAAGCTCTAGAGATGTCTTTTTTGTGTAGAAACAGAGGCTGCCGTCTCACTTTTCCTCAGCTGGAGTTCCTGAACTTTTACTGCTATGGCTCCTTTGGAGGATTAAAAATGTCCATGCCCCTCCACGAAACAAAATAACGACACAAAGGCCACAAACAGCTTATTAACAAGGTCTCCATCCATCAAACCAGTTTGGTCACATGGGCATAAATTAATTAATACGGATCTTTATCCTCTTAGGATAGTTAGCATGAGTCAGCATTTCTAGTATAGCGCCAAACCAGTGATTGACGTCACTCAGACCACATCCATGTTCCATACAGTGTAATCTGCATGATAAATAAGGTTAAATAATAATAAAATAATAACAATAATTATAATAAAAAAAATAAAATGAGATCTGTAATCTGCATAATAAATGAAGTAAAAAATATTGAAAAAATAAATTAATAAAAAATGTGTAATCTGCATGATAAATAAAATTTAAAAAATTAAATAAATAAAAAATTTAAAAAATAACAATAAAATAAAAAAGGTGTAATCTGCATGATAAATAAAATTTAAAAAAATTAAATAAATAAAATATTTAAAAATAATAATAAAATAAAAAAGGTGTGATCAGCATGATAGATAAAGTAAAATATTTTAAATAAATAGGAGAGGAAGAAATTTATAAAAAAAAGTGTAATTTGCATGATTAATGAAGTAAAAAATAAAAATAATAAAATAATAACAATAACAATAATAATAATGATAATAATAATAATAATAATAACAATACTAATAATATTAATTCAATAAAATAAGATAATGAAAAAGGTATAATCTGCATGATAAATCAAGTTAAAAAATGTTTTAAAATAAATAAAAAAAATAAGAATTATAAAACAGATGTTATTTGCATGTTAAACCAAGTAAAAATATATAATTAAATAATAATGATAATAATGATAATGATAATAAAATAAGATAAGGAAAAAGGTATAATCTGCATAAAAAATAAAGTAAAAAGAAATAAATTAAAAGTAAAATAAAATAACTAAAAAGGTCTAATATGATTTGAACCTGGCTGTAAACGTGTTAATGTCGCTGTGTACCTGAGTGTCACAATTTCAGGGTTAAGTGTTGTTAAATTCTAGACAATTTAAAGCTTAGATTTAATTTTAGATCCGTTGAAACGGTCACGAAGAGGAGGGGTGGTGCTGTGGGACGACTTTTAACAGAAACAGTAAAAAAAAAAGTGTCGATCCATTAATGAACACAGAGTTCTAAGCTGTCCATGTCAGTCAATGTGCCTCTGAATGTCCCCTCTGTAACGAGTGTATTTGTGTCAGGACGCCTCGTTTTGTCTGTTTAACGGCTCTGATGCGATTGATCGAAACGTTCAATATCCTCTTATAGAGAGCTGACCGATAACTGTGTGTGACTGCTGCTCTTCACGGAGGATCGAGAATTAAAAGCCCAAACCTGTTAATCCCTCCTTCTCTCTTTGTATTGTTTAATCTTTGCATGAAGGAAAGAGTTTTTAATCCCGTTTAGATCCCTGAAGCTGCTGTTTGAGTGTCAGGGAGGCTGCGTCTAATTGAAATGGACTCTTTAAAGACCCGTTCAGCTGAGGCGTCTCTGTGAACAGACACACATTAACCCCGTGGATTAACTCAGTGACAACTTTCCATCTGTGTGTGTGAAGGTTTAAAGCTGCACCCTGATGCAGGTTGGTTTGTGTTACACATCTGTGGGTGAAAACAGGCTGAATAATGTCTTTTGTATGAGGATAACAGAGGTGGGGGAAAGTCCCTATGTTGCAAGTCCCAAGACAAGTCCAAGTCCTGAAATTTTTGCTTCGAGTCCCAACCAAGTCCTTACCGTTTCTTTCAAGTCAGAAACAAGTCATATCAAAGTCATAAACCATTTGTTATATGTAAAGATTTACATCAATCATGAGCATTTTTCACTATCTGCATTTATTATTAGACAAGGGTTCTTGTTTGTGTAAAGTTACATAGTGCAGCTTTAACCAAACTATTTTAAATGTCATTCAAAAAACAATCAGATAAACTTCAAGAATTGGAAACTTAGACAATGTGCACAAAAATAAGGAAGACTCAAATACAATTAAACGTTAAACTGATTCTCTAATTCACTGTTCCAAAACAAAACAAAAGAGAGACACAAGGAAACACGTGGAAACAGGCGGGTAATACCAGCGAGCGATTTATGTTCAGTCCTCCCGGTGTTGAGACAGTGTTGCCAAGTTTCGTGAGAGAAATAAGGAAACAGACCTCCAGAAACAAGCCAAAAACAAGCAGACTTGGCAACACAACACGGTTTTATCAACGGCCGTAATTCCTGACTATTAGTTGATGCGACACTTTTTAAACGGTTTGGGCTTGCTGTGAGGTATTAAGTGACTTGAAAAGACTTGACTTGACTTTTCAAGTCACTGGGCTCAAGTCAAGTCAAGTCTCAAGTCTTTAGCAATCAAGTCCCAAGCGAGTCCAAGTCGTTTCTTGATTTTATCAAGCAAGTCAAAAACGGGACTCGAGTCCAAATCGAGTCTCGAGTCGAGTCGTCAAGCCCCCACCTCTGGAGGATAAGGACCAATAACGTCTGTTATTTTTTAACATACTGTGTTTCTGTCGTACAGCAAAAGTGTCTATATGTCACTTAACGGTGAAAAATACAAAAAATTATACGTTTCTAGTCTTATTTCAAGTTTGTTTCTTCCAGTGTTTGTTAGAAGAAATACTAGTTTTATCTGCACTGGATCTAAAAGGGAAATTCTGCCACCTCACCAGCACAGCAGGGGGCAGTAATGCACCTTAGGAGATATTTGCAACTTCTCATTGAGTCAGGAGAAGAAGAAAAAGTTAAATCACCTCCAGGAAGTGGGGGTTTTGGAAAAGAGTGAAGTCAAGTCATGGCCTCACAGGTGAGTAAAAACAAAAACTGTTGAATGATGTTTGATCAGTTTTGAGTTAAAATCAAAGAGTTTGGCAGAAAAAAGTCTGTAATGGACGGGCCTGAGGTCTCTCTACAAACAAGCAACTGCTGGAAGAGAGTGGGTGAGTTGTGTTTAGTCTCTTTGCTAAAGAAATCAGTCAAAGTTAAAAAGATGTTTGGTGTCTAGTACTATGTCTGTGACCCTATATGTCCTGTTGATGAAGTTAGGTGCTGTTCTGAGCATTATTTGTGAATGTAGAGACTGTTGATGTTTTTAAGAAGAGGCTCAAGACTCACCTTTTTAACCAGGCTTGTCATTAATCACTTTTTAAAATTTCTCTTATTGCAAATGTTAATTCTAATCAAAATTCTTAATGTTTCTTTTATGTCATTTCATTGATTATTGTTCTTAGTCTTTTTCTTAATCCCCGTCATAGAAGTTTTTACTTCTTTCACCCCTTTTACATGGTAAAAAGCTCTTACTTATCTCTTCATCTAATATTATTTTCTTGTTTTTTAGACCATCAGGTTTTACTCTTCCTTTTTACCATTTTTATTTTTATCTCCAGTGTTTCCCAGAGGTCGCTCTTTCCTCATGTAATGTCTCGGTGTCAGGCCATGTCTCTTTAACAAGATATCTTAGATTCTCACTCGGGTGTGTGTCTGTGTGTGTGTGGGTCCATGGGTGGGTGTGTGGGTGGGAGGATAGGGTTTTATTGTCGTTCAATTGTTGTTTTAAGTGCCATAAAAATATTTGAATTTGAATATATAGAGTGGCGTTTTGGTTGAGGGCGTGTCTCTCTGTATTGCTATCCTGCGGTCGTTACTAAAGTTGGTAAAACTAGAGAAGCAAGCGGTCGGCAACATTCATCTCTGGAGGTGGGGTCTAACTCTGTGTTTTTGACCCTAAATTAATTTCACGCCGGAATATCCCTTTAAGCAAATGAAGTAATCACATGAAGTCATCACGACTCTCTCTGCAGTGATTCATACTTTAGTCACGCTGAAGGGTCATGACTCAACGTGCTTCATTTATAGTCGCTGTGAGGAGCTTTTTACTGGTTTCCCTGTTAGACTGAAGCTTCTCTGTGACCCAGATATTAAAATAAGATCATCAGTGACATGACTGGTTATTGGTGACTGTGCTCAAGTTGGATTCGTACCAAAAAAGCCGAGATTATATAGACAGAGATGAAATTATTCACCTTGTTGCCAAGTGACTGTATTACACCAACATCTGAAAGTAGTGACGTGACACTTTTTCTCCATTTACAGGATCTTTGCGGCTTTTTTGGCAACGGAGAAGCTTCGAATCCTCGCAGACTGAAAATGTGAGCTGTTCAGGAGCCGTTTCAGTAAGTCGACCGCAGCAGTGTTTAAGGCTGGTGGAGCTAAAGAGACGCCAAAGGGTTCAGGTTCAGGTAGGAAGGATGACAGGGTGCAGTTTTCTGTTTTTAACTTGACTGTAAAGCACTTTGAGTCACAGTCCTGTAGTAAAAGAGCTTTATAAATAAAGTTTGATTGATTGATTGATACAGTAGCACCAATGTTTTTGACTTTCACCTTGACTGTGAAGTATTTATCTGCATTTTATCTGAATTTAATTGGAACGATACGAGCGAGCAGGAGCGTCTGTTTGTGGGCGGGGCTTGAGGGGAGAGGAGGAGCTGAGGGGGAAACTGGATGGGAGGGGTCGAGTTAACATTCAAGATTTCTCCTAAAAACTGGAACTTCCTCAGATCCTGACTACACCACCTTTAATCTAAAGGATATTTTTAAGGTTCAGTGTTTTTAAAAAAGCATCAAAAAGCACATTTTATAAACTGGGAGGACATTCAGAGAGCTTTTTTTGTTTTATATACTCAGGAGGGGCGTTTTTTTAACGTTTTATGCACTTAAATATCATCCTGATGGTGTTTTTTCACTTTTATACACTGGAAGCTCATTAATAGGGCATCTTGTTGTGTTTTATCCTTTTGGAAGAGCTGCGACTAGAGCTATTCTTCATGCCCCAGAGATGGCATTTTATCATGTTTTATTCAACACAGCTACCTCTGTTGGTCCATGAGGAGTGAGGTTTGGGGGTCTTAAAAATCAGGACCGGGCCTGGGTTTGGGTTGTGGCGGTCCTCCTGCATCATAATCGCATCGTTCAGGACAGCATCACTCTCAGACTGAGCTCGGAGTAATTTTAGACGTACCCAGCGTTGTTCTGACAAGGCTTCACCGAGCTAAAGATTCATAAAACGCTCTCACTCAGCAGACTACATTTCTAAATTGACACTAAAGCGTTGGAGTTACAAGCTCGGTGGAGTGGATCCAGGCTGATCTGCTGGCTGGCTGGTTTTTAAAGGGCCCTCAGAGAAACCAGAGAGGAGGAACTCAGAGTGTGCAGCTGCTGTGTGCAGAGTGAGCGAGACTCCGGGGGGAGCCGTTGAAACTGGGCCTGGGTCCTGCTGCGGGGCGCTGTTATCCTCCCTCCTCTCCCCAGGGAGTGAGACGGGTGAGGATGGAGATGGATGGGGTGTCAGATAGACGGCTGTTTAATATCTACCTCCACTTGTGCTGTGCTCAACACAAAATGTACATAAAGCGCTCAGCGTGATGTGATGATGTGTGTGAAGCTCCTCCAGGTGTAATTAGCTTTGAGCAGGAGCTGAATTAGCAGATGGAAACATAAAAAGTGCAGCGATCCTCAGTAATTTCACCTCATCTCATCCGATCTGAAATATGAAGTGACTGGGAGCCACAGCTACAAAAATCCATCTTACCCTCTCCTTGCTGTTTCCACGGAAACAGCAGACATGCAATGCAATGTATCAGAGAGTCGCAAATGACGTGACGAGACAGTGAAACAAGAAGAAGAAGAGGAGGAGGAGGAGGAGTGAAGAAGAGGAACATTTCTGTCAGGGAAATCAAACGCCCGAAAAGACGACCTGAATCAGCTGGGGAGGCTTCCTCCTCGGAGTTTTCCTCTGAAACAAAATTCTGAGTAAAGTGTGTGAAGAAGCAGGATATTATGATTTGCATAACCTGCTTTTCTTGCGTTACTAAAGTTGGTATAACTAGAGAAGTAAGCGGTCGGTAACATTCATCTCTGGAGGGCGTGTCTAACTCAGTGTGTTTGACCCTAAATTAATTTTACGCCAGAATATCCCTTTAAACAGTCATGACTCTGTAGTGGAAGTCACTGCATTTTAAAAATCAGTCATGATGTGGACTCTGTGGCCTCAGGAACCCATCTATCCAGCATTAGTTTGCACCTCAGCATCTCCTGTTTTTCACAACTTGTAACAGAAATGAAGAGTAGATTTGAGTCTCAACAACAACACTTGAATCCCAAAACAAAGTCTGGTGATAAATGAAGGGAAACCCTGAACATGAGAGGTTCATGCTCTCAAACAGGTCTGCTTTAATGAGATGAGCGGAGTGCTCTCCTACCGTCATCTAAACTCAGACGTAGGAAGTGTATTTTGTCAGAGTGCTGTTGGTCCCTTTATTGGACTTTCAAAGACTTCAGTAGTCTATTATAAGGAGCATTAAAGATGCTCTCGGGACGACATAGAGAGTCTTATTAGACGCTTTGTTACAGCCTTTGACAAGCACTCCACTTTGGTGTAGCTCCTATTTTTATCACAGGTGTGTGTCTCTCACCACAAAGTGAATCTTCAGCCTGATGGCAGAAACCTCGAGGAGAACCAGACTCATGTTGAACAGCTGTCTGCTGAGCCCGTGTTGGACTTTGGAGGTGTGATAGATCACTTGATCACATACTAATACACTCTGTGTTAGGGCTGGGCATTTTCTTTGTTTCTCACCAACAGTGCTGTCGGCTTCACCTGTTAAAGTGCTATGGTTGGGTGTGGCTGCTGTCTGCTGTGACACAGTTGTTTGATTCTAATTCAGCACATGATTGGTTCAGACCCAGAGCAACTCCCCTTCTCATCTCAAACATGGCAGAATGCCGGCTATCGAAAAGCATATTGATCATGTTTTATATCTATATAGAGAGAAATTAATTTTTGATATATATCATTATTGTCGTATCGCCCAGCCCTACTCTGTGTGTTAACTACTTCTTATCTTGTTCCTGCTTTTATAGACATGAAGTTTTGGCATTTATTCCTGTTTTTGTTCGCTGCTTCATTAGTTTATCTCTCACTTATCGTATTTTAAAACGGCTCTGTATCGTATTTTGCTCTGAGGGATGCCTCGCTGTCTTGTCGAATCTTGAACTGTAATTTGATATTTTCTATAATGTAAGCCAGTGTGTGTTAAACAGAAAGGGCCCCAGAATGGAGCCTTGGGGGACTCCACATGTTATTTTTGCTTATTGACACGAAGAAGAATCTATTTTTGAAGTCAGGATAGTTGAGTATTGTGCTGGAAAGGAAATAAAGTGACTTTTGTCTACATTTTGCACGAAAACTGCAGGAATTTGAATTATGGTGTAAAGGAAATCTGTCCTCTTTTGCATGAAGCAGAACCAGACTGGTGTTGATCCTCTTCCTGCTGCACCTGTTAGTTTTTTTAAGGTGTGATGAATGGAGATGCCGAGAAAATAAGATGGATAAACACAGACAGAGCGACAACAGCAACACTGAAACTAACCCTCCGTTCCTAATATGTCCTTTTTTGAGAACTTTAGTCAGTTTTTTCATCTTTATTTTGAGCTGACAGTCACATTTTTAAAGTTTGGGGCATCAAATCTGGTGAGAGTTTTTATTTTTCTTCATATAAAAAAAACAAACAAAAAAACTATGTCCCCTTTAGTTCTCCATCACAGCATTTTAGCTCCACCCACCCTCCTTTGTCCGCAAATCAGACAATAGACTTCCATTAAAAACCATTTCCATTTGACAGTGTGTTTATGGCACCATAACAACATATTACAACCTTCTTTTTGCAGTCAGTCGATCAGCAGGGCTCTAAATTTGAGTTTCCGACGGTGATACAACAGATTGAGCCGCACATAATTCATTCAAGGACTGAGTATGTTTGAAGCGCTGATTCATCCACTAAACGATGAATGAAACTTTACATGCCGATTGTTTAAAAGATTTGAGTCGAAAAAGTAAGAAAAAATGTTTAAAAAAGATTATTTTATGATGCTAATCTGCATGTCTGTTTTGGGGACAAAGTCGGCTGGATGGAGCTTCAAATATGAAAAATTGGCACAACAAAAAGGATTTAAATTCAAAATCAGTTTAAGTTCTCATCACTGACATGGCCCAGACTCTTTTTATTTAAAAAAATGTATCCAGGTCATTTTGTACGGGAAATATGGTGATTTTATGTTTTTTACCGTTAAAATAGCAACAATGACATGTTGCACAAAAACTGGCATAAAAAGGGTGTAACATCAAATTTTTTATTTATTATTTTTTTAACTGTCAGGGATGAAGTTGTTTAAAAGACTTGAGTTGAAAAAAGTAAAAAAAGGATTATTTTATGAGCACTTATCTGCATGTCTGTTTTGGGGACGAAGTAGGCCGGATGGAGCTTAAAATCAACAGGAACCGAAGGCGAGAGAGGAGCGCGTTCACACTGTAAAACTACCACCTTTAAGACTATTTCTTACTGATTATTATCAAAGCTGGAAACTTTCCATGGGAATTAACAGGATCAATCAACAGGGAACTTGGATATAGTTGGTGAAAATATATTGAAGCGTAATCTTGACTAAAACAACCAGATTTAACACAAGTACAGATGATTTCTTGAACCCTGGAGGCCACACCTTTGAGCCCACGAACTGTATAAAGTCAAGTAAGTTTGGATAATATTATGGGGTGGATATTTATGATCTATAATAGTATAAATATTAAAAAATCTAATAAAAATAGGTGCTAAATGAAAGCTGTTTTTCATTTCATTGACCGTTTAAGAGGTGAGCTTATTATGTTGGTGGTAGCGACCTCAAATGTGATTCTGTTTCTTTGGTTTTCTGTAACTGAACAATCATTTATACATCAATTATCAGATATTTTGTAGATTAATTGCCATTAATTGTATTATTTTGCATGAAAGTCTGCTTATGACAAAACAACAATATGAACATTTATGTTTGGAGATGATACGGTTTGTTTAAAATTTCCCCCAATTAACCAGTTAATCCCTATAAATTCCCAGGTAAAGTTTGTGGAAATTTACTGGAGAATTTTCTGCCCCTTTGCAACCGTATTGATTATTGCTGATATATATCCCATCAGTATTCATCCATGCTTCTGCCAAGAGACGAGAGCACAATAGGAGAGAGGCAGGAGGACCTGACGAAGCCTGGATCTGTGGGATCTCTGCTGTTCTTAGTGTGTGGGCGAAGAGTTACAATCAAAGTGTTTGATGCTCAAGGAAAAGTTGACTCCCTCTGCTGCGAGGAATCTAATCTGATAGAGAGAGGAGGGATGAGAGAGAGAGAGAGAGGAGGGATGAGAGAGAGAGAGAGAGAGAGAGAGAGAGAGAGAGAGAGAGAGAGAGAGAGAGAGAGAGAGAGAGAGAGAGAGAGAGAGAGAGGAGGGATTGGGAAAGGATGAATGTTACCGAGTGGGGGAGGGGGCTTCATCCAACATGTATGAACAGTAGGATTAGACAGGGATAGTCCAAAAAGCCAAGTCCTGCTGTGTGCCTTTCCACGCTGTTACATCACAGTCTGTTCACGGGAGGTTTTTCTGTCTCTGATGGTTCAACAGAAGGAGAGGAGGCAGCTGCAGGATCTGCCTCCAGGAGCACAAAACAAAAAAACACACAAACAGTCAAATCAGAGGAGAAATATTTGTTTAGCAGAGGATGAAATGAGACAGAAAAAGAGTTGTTCTTCATTATTTATGAGTCATTTCTCTCTGTACTGTATATTGAAGTCAGCTGAACATGTTCAGGCAGCTCCATCCTCATCCTCTCACAGCCGGCCCCCTCCCCCTCCTGCGCACAGCGCGCAAAAACCGCCTGTAAATTCTCTTTAGGAGCATTACGGAGCAAGATGGCGCTCTGCTGTCAGCACCTCGGACAGTTCCGAGCGGCTCCGACCCCGAACTGAAGCTCTGATCCGGTTTCTGCTCATTTATGAAGGAATCACGTGTCTGATTTCCATCTGTGTCGAGGCTTTCAGATGATGTGACTGCGTAAAGCTGCGCCAAAAACGGGGGATTGCTTTTCCTGGACCTCCGCTACCGAACGGGACTCTGTGGTCCAGCTGCACCTCCACTCTTGATCTTGGAGTTGAGGAGGTAAAAAAATAAAAGAACCGGCCTCGGCCTGCTGTGACTTCTTCACACCAGAGGAAGAGGAAAAGGAGGAGGAGGAGGAGGAGGAGGAGGAGGAGGAGGAGGAGGAGAGCGCGCAGCCTGTCCGCATCTGTCTCAATCGCCGGTACGAGGAGAAATGGAGGGATCTCGCGTTGAGGGATCTCCAGGGGCAAAATGAAGCGGTTCTCGAGAGATAAAGTCGATTAATCATTACCGTCCGAGCTGTGCGAGTCTCCCTCTCCGGTGATGAAGATGTTGGTGCTCCTGGTGATGATGTCCTCGGTGGTCTTCAGCCCCGGCTTTGCCCTCAGCTCCCATTTCAGCCCAGGTAGCTACGGCGACATTCCGCTGCTGTGTGATGCTGTTAATGTGATTTTTATTACATAATAGAGCGTTAAATATCTGCATGGAGACCGTGGTCAGTGTGGGACACCCACACATCCTCTAGTCTAGTGTTTGAAGGCTACAGGGTGTAGAAATGATGTAATCTGCCGTCTCTGCATGTGTGTTCATTTATTCAGGCTTAAAGGTGCAGTACGTATAAAGGTGAGAGTGCACAGGTGAAGGTAAAGGCGGCTTCTCATTGGAGCAGAGGGATGTAGCTGCTGTTATCCAATTAGTGCCTGAAAAGAGAAAGGAGAAGAGGATTATGGGAGACGGCGGTGAATGGAGGCAGATCTCCCCTTCTCTGTTTTCTCTCCACATCGCAATGAAATATTCAGATCTCTCTCTCTCTCTCTCTCTCTCTCTCTCTCTCTCTCTCTCTCTCTGCGAGTGCGAAACGCCTCTGTGTGTGTTTATTATGCAGCATAAGCAGCTACAGCAGCCTGTCATTCAGGTGGTTTCTATGGCAACCAGAAGGCGCAGCAGCAGCAGCAGCAGCGGTCTCGAGCTTTTCCAATCTCCAACAGAGACGAGGAAAAAATGGATTTCCTCCCACAGTGGCGTGTTTAGTCCTGAAAATCAAAGCTAAGATGTCCAAGAGTTTCCCTCGACTTCATCTCCTCCAGATGCGCCGCTCTTTTGTTTCTGCCCTTTTCAGAGCTCATTAATAGCTTTTCATGAATCCCCCTCCTCCTGACCACCAAAACAGACCAACACAAGTTCATTCCTACCAAACAACACAGGGAAAGTGTTTTTTTTCCTCTTTGAATCCCAGTTGGATTCGAAGCTGTTTCCTCTAATCCTGATTTCTGCTCAGATCCACGTTTGTAAGTTTGGGCTGAGTGTAGGTGTCCGTCCTCGCTGCTCTTGTTCCTTACTTACTCCTACATGTTGTGCTTATAAATAAATACACTTTTTTTCTCCTTCAGGATCCTACAAAGATTCTGGAATCATGACTGGAGTTGTTTTAGAGGAAGAATCAGGGAGACGACAGCGACTGATCGTCTTTGCTTTTAGTCGAGCTTCGGTTTCATCTGCGAACCTGAACTCACGTCTGAATCTCTGCAGAGATGTTTCTGTTGATCGTCTCAGACCCAGTTTAATGAAGATCAGTTCTTTTGACTGAGCTGAATCTTTAGAATCCGTTCATTTAAATGAATCGTTCAAAAGATTCGTTCACAGGATCAGTCGGTGCTTCGGCCTGTCCTGTCGGTGCGGGACACCAGTGTGACTCTAGTTGATCGGGAGTTTGGTCATTGAATGAGCCCCTCCCCTCCCCGTCGTTCACTTGGTGACACATGTCTAGGGCTGGGGCGATTCGTCGATGAAAAAAACATGCGTCTACTTTAGCATATATTAACATGCTTGATACCGTACGTACCAACACTCCCGTTTCCCCGGGACTCTCCTGTATTTCCCCGCCCACCCGTATCGTCATTTCTCCCATAGGGAACCTCCCGTAGTTTGATGGTCGACGTTCATTCATGAATCAGATCACTATATTTGTTTCTGCTGAGCCTCACAGACTCTGGATTGATACTTTGACTTTACAGTTTGGGATGATTCAGGTCGGTTTGAGCTGTAAACTTTATTTAAAAAGTGTTGAGAAATGAAAAAACACAATGAATCCGCTGATAGTCTTTCACCGTCTGGGAATGATGCGTTCAGGGCAGCCTCGGATAAAAGAGAGCTGTATTTCACACACAGATGTTCAGAGAGCATGTAAAACAGATGAGGACTTTAATATTAGTGGACTAAATAAATTCAAGTCTTATCATAACTATTATTTTTTCTCTTATCATTTGTTGTTGTTAAAACAGAAAAGTGTTCAGCTTCACTCAGACTTATTTGGATGAATAATCTAAATACAAAAACTCTCATAATTCGCTCATATCTACCAGACGAGGTAACCCCAAAACTGCCCGACGCAAAAATCTCCCAGATTTTATAAAAAATGATTTCTTTTGTTTGATTTCAAGAGATTCTTGACTAAATCGTTGAATTAAATACTAATAGGACAAGTTTTTACTTTCTATTTTGGTTCAATTCATTGTTATATTAATCGGGTAATAAAAAATTAGATAAATTAGTCGATAGATTAGTCGACTAATCGAAGAAATAATCGATAGGAAAAGAATCGTTAGGTGCAGCCCTACACATGTTGTTCGTTCACCGAGTCGTGAAGGAAGAATCACTCTCCTGTCCTGAAAAATCACCTCTCTGTGTGCCGCCGATGTTCGCATCATGACACGAGTGAAACAACCCAGCAGAAAGCAGCGCCCCCTGCTAAACGAGCGCGAGTCGTCGCTCTTTTATATTGCAGAAAAGTGGAGAAAATAAAAATAAATACACAGTGAACGAACCGGTGCTCAGCAGTTCATGAACGGCGCTACGTCCCTCCCTCCTCCGCCTGCCTCAAGTCGTTCAGAAGTTGTTTGTTTTGTTCGGTGAATACCTCGAATCTTGCAACGCAAAAAGATACAAAGGAGCCCACGGCGCCTGTACAGCCGAAACAGACGATCATTCAGTCCGCTTCCGCTAGAGCAACGCCTTATGACAAAACGCCAAAGAGACACAAAGACCTCACATGCTACCAATAAACTCGGTTAGATTTCATTTTTTATATCGAGATGAATATCGATGAACTTTTCCCCTTATCGCCCAGCCCTACCTCAAAGTAGCTTTTCTATTTTATTCAGAGTTTTATGTCGAACCAGATTCTCTGAACCTTTTTATCTCCATCTGCTCGCTCAGATGTTTTCATAGTTTGTTTGTTGGATGTGTCGTCAGTTTTTATGGATACTTTCAATGAGCAGAAATGGGAGGAGAAAAGGAGATCTCCCTCTCGTGTCTGACAGTGATGACCTCTGAGCGTGGCGCTGTAGGGATGACATCACAGCCTGGTAAAGGCGGGGAGGGGGGGGTGTAGTCTTTCCTGGCAGTGCTGGCAGCTTTCCTGCGCCCCGGGTTATCCATCTCTCATTTCTCAGTGGACTCACGGCTCTGTCCACAGCAGTGCGCTCTAATTATACGGATACAAAACAGAAGGTGTGAGCTCCAAACCTCCGTGGACCTCCTTCTCCAAACTACGGGGTCTGAGCGCTGGAGGATGTGGGGAAGGAGCTGGAGGAGCAGGTAAACTCCGGGGAGAGGAGGGGGTGTTGGCTTGGATGTAGATCTCTGCAGGCAGCCGTCTTTGGGTCTTTACCCTCTAAAGGAAAATGAGGCAGGAGTGAAAGCGGAGTGGAGATAAGGTTTGATAGAAAAAGAGAGAAACCGACTTAAAAGGTTGCATCATTTTCTAAGTATGAAGACTTGATGTTTTGACAGGAAGAGGAGCTCGCCGGATAAATAATTCACCGCCGTGATCTTAAAGAAGAGCTCTGACTGTGGACTGGATTCAAGCCTGTTACAGCGAATCAACTTCCAGTGAAACCTCCGACTCTCTCTCCCCTCTCTGTTGTCTGTTCACATGAAAAAAAAGCTGCTCTGATCTGAAGCAGGATTTGTTGTTTTTCCTCCGTCTTCTCGCTCAGATCAGTTCAGGATCGAAAAGGCCCAGAGTGTCTTAAGTGAGGCTGCTGCAGACCGGCCTCTGATTGCTAATAGCTCCTGTGTGTGTGTGTGTGTGTGTGTGTGTGTGTGTGTGTGTGTGTGTGTGTGTGTGTGTGTGTGTGTGTGTGTTTTAGTGTGTTTGAAATCTGAAGAATAATAGCGGCTGATTGCATCCCTAAAACCAATTTTTTTGTTGATGGAAATAAACGGAGTGGCGCTCGTCGGTCTCCGCCTCTGTTGAAATTAAATTCACTCTGTTGTGATTGTTGTGACTCTTTGTCAGCGTCGGATAAACGGAAAAGGACGTCAACACTCTCAGGTTACAGCGCAGAAACACACTCACGTTTATCGACAGAGCAGCTCATTTTGCATTCGCCTCATCAATGAGCTTTATTGATCATCTCCAAAACAACACGACTGAGTATTTTTCATTTTCGTGTTTGTGCTCCTGAGCGAGGTTCACCTCCACCTGTCACTTCCTGCTCTGTTGTAGATCTGACTGATGGGACGGCTGATGGAGTTCGACATCAGTCACATGTTTGGATCTCCTCCATCCTGCAGCTCTGATGGGGGACAGTGGAGGTGGTGTTGGAGCACAGAGGCTGTTATGGTGTTGACAGAAGACACAGGAGGTTTAATGGCTGTTTGGTCCTCAGAGGACGCTGACGTAGATCTGGAATCAGGAGGAGAGGAAGAGTTAGAGAGGAAAACTGTGTTGGTGTTTCAGAACCATGGACAGCTCCAACTGAGGCGATAGATAACGTGAATGTGTCAGTAAAACTCATTTATTCAGTAAACATATTTACAGCTGTGGGCTATAATAGGGCTGGGCGATATGTCCTCAAATCAATATCATGATATATTGATCAGTTCACCTCAATAACTGAAGCTCTGAATTATTGTTAGATGTGCGTCAAGTTTGATCGATTTAACCTGAAGGTCAAGAGGCTCTGGATTGTTAAATACGTGACCAAGAAAATTTTAGAAGAAAACAAAAATGTGAAGTTTTTTTTTCGATCTGCACGTACGAAGTCCATATGAAGTGATTTTAACTTCTCTAATGTATTAAGAACACGTTCAGAACAGCGGACAGTTAAAAAAAGTCACCAAGAACTCTTTAAGATAAAGTTCCACAACCTGTTTTGATGGTTTGTCCTCCATCTCCTCACCTGTCTTTCCCTCATTGTTACAGACTAGATGGGGCGGAGTCATGTCTAAGACGTAGGACAGCGTCTTACCCCGTATTTCCACCGCATCTTGAACGGCTCCGATCCGGAACGGCGGCGATTTTCGCTGTCTGCCAATCCCTACCAGATCAGTTTATGAGGCGAACTTCTTTGCTGATTTTGAACAGCAGTAATCACGAGAACTTTCAAGAACCTGCGGATTCACGTTCAATCGCACGATAACAAGTTGTCTCTATAAAGACAGACACATAGACATATAAGCAGTAGATGGTTTCCTTCCAGAGGAGAATCTACTTCTAGACTTCTAGAATCAGCATCTCCTCATCCATGGTGTCATCAGGGTGAAATGACGTCTAAAAACCTTTCACTTGTTCGTCTCCGCCCGTTTGCATGGTGTGAAATACGATCCTCCTGAAACACGGAGTGTTTTATTTTGAAAAGAAGCCGGATGTTTTATTTTGTGTCTGTGCCCGACTTCCTTTCCAGCACGAGTTAATCTGTGCTGAATTTATCGGCATGCTCTGGCATCTGCAGCGGAACGTAAAGAAGTCGGTGTAAATCGACACGTTAACTTGAATAGTTACGATCAGCTGCGATCGGCTGATAGTCTTTTCGCAGCCGTTCAGGATGAGGTGGAAATTGGGGGTTAAAGGGACATGAGACCATAGTCTACCTCCACATCCAAAACCAACTTTAATCTACTTATTTTTTTAACACTGAATATACAGATATGGACAAAGTGACGTTGGTTTTGTTGTAAATTTCAGTCTTTGTAAATCTTCGGTTTATCGCCCAGCCCTACAGCTCCGTCTCAGCCTGCGGATCTCATCAGTGGTGAAATAAACATCTGAACTCCTCATAAATTCCTGTATCAAACAGGAACGTTCGTATGAATAAGAAGTCGTGTTTACATGTTCTGGAGTGGACGCTCCAGGCCTGACTCGTTCCTTCCAGAGAGATCGGATCTGTTTACATCCGTGTTCCTGAGCTGCAGCCACCGTCTCTGACTCCTGCTGCTGCTGCATTGCTGCATTTCTTGGCGCTGCACCAACTGATAATCGGCCAAACATGCTGTTAGAGAAGACTCTCTGAATCACCATCCCTGTTGCAGAGATTTTAATACTCTGGGGTCGTCTTTATTTTCAAGAGTGGAATTTCAGATCCTGGTGTTTTCTGAGAGTCGCGTCCTTCTGTCTCTTTTTGTCTCTGTGCAGAAAAATCAAGAGTAACTTCAGGTCCTCTGACTGAGGCCTGAAAATAAAACAATCTGCTCTGCGGATGTTATCAGGCCAGCTATGATTTCTTTTATGACTCTGCTGGCCTGTGTAATCATGAGCCTTCGGGGGAATCATTTTATTTCCTGCTTCCGTTTTGGCCTCTCAGCTGAGGCATTAATGACAAATTGATTTGCTTAGGAGCAATACTCTTTTAGAGAGACCTCCAGTCGTGGTCTTTGCCCAGTTTGCACCAGAGGGGCCGATCACAAGCTTTCCAGACATCCATGAATTAGGATCGTGATTCTCTTTTAGGTCCTCGTCCACTTTTGGTTTCTATTTCATAAACTTTTCCACTTCTTTTTGTCGTCTTACTATCTGTAGTGCTCCTCTCACTCTTGACCTTTCCACCCGACCGCTGCCATCCTCACTTCAGTCGATTTCCATCTCTCCATGAGGCGCACTCTGGAGGCGCTCCCAGCCCCCGCAGTATCACAGCACGGCTGCTGAGCCTGTGATTTAGAGGGATTCATCGCTGTCCACGCTAGCCTGGCTGAGAAATGGGGCAATTGGCTCAGACCAGGAGAGAGAGAGAGAGAGAGAGAGAGGGAGAGAGAGAGGAGGATGATGTCAGCTGAGTGATGAGAGTGAAAAGGAGAGAAGATTTCAGCCTGATAAAGACTGACCACAGATCAGATCAGCTGACCGTCCTCAGAATAACAACACAACCGTCCACCCCAAACCTCCACCTGCTGCGACGCAAACCAGACCCACTCACACGTTTGCTGTTGAGTTGATTTATCCGCCCACAGGGACAGATTTTCAGACGTGAAACCATTAAATCATTTTTTAGACTTTTAAAGGACGAAGAGACAAAACAGCAGATACTTCCTTCCTGGAGTTATTTCCTCTGAATCTCTTTGATTATTCAAAGACTGCGCTGCTTCCTCTCTCCCTCTCTTCCTCTCTTCCTCTCTCTCTTTCTCTCTCTCTCTCTTTCTCTCTCTCTCTCTCTCTTCCTCTCTCTCTTTCTCTCTCTCTCTCTCTCGCTCAAACATGCTTCGTCATGATTTGCACGTGAGCAGGCGACCGCCACACGTGAAGCAGCTTCAGCCGGAGGACTCTGATTGTTCGTGTCACGGTGGGAGTGAGGACACGGCGAAGGAGTGTGTGTGTGTTATTTCCTCCTGAAGTTAGTGTGTGAGTGTATGACACCAGAACGTGTCACTGTGTGTGTGTGTGTGTGTGTGTGTGTGTGTGTGTGTGTGTGTGTGTGTGTGTGTGTGTGTGTGTGTGTGTGTGTGTGTGTGACAGCGTTTGCTCCAGTTTCTCATTTCTGGCCGTTTCCCCACCTCTTCTCGGTCACAGATGAGCTCATCTAATATTTAGAACATCAGTCACCCGTCCTGGATCAGCGTTCCCCCGTCACAGCCAGTCCGGTCCCACACAATCAGAGCTGGACACACACACTCTCTCACTCTCTCTCTCTCTCTCTCTCTCTCTCTCTCTCATACACACACAGTGTATTTCCTGTCTTTGAATGACAAATGAATGCAAATACAGAATCCGTCTCCGATCAGGTTTATTGACAGATAACTGGCGGTCTGGTCGTGGTTGTTTACTGGAGTAGGTTTCATTCAGTCACAGAGCGTTCGTTCTGTTCATGTAGGAGGACACAGAGTTAGACACCCACTAAAGAAATGATCATAAATGTTCTTCCTTGAGCTGAGACACCCCACTGTTGTTTGCAATGGACTGGCCTGAGGTCTCTCTACAAACAAGCGGCTGCTGGAAGAGAGTAGGTGAGTTGGTAAAGAAATGAGTCAAAGTTAAAAAGATGTTTGGTGTCTAGTACTATGTCTGTGACCCTATATGTCCTGTTGATGAAGTTAGGTGCTGTTCTGAGCATTATTTGTGGCTATAGAGTGGCGTTTTGGTTGAGGGCGTGGCTCTCTGTATTACAATCCTGCTGTCGTTACTAAAGTTGGTATAACTAGAGAAGCAAGCGGTCGACAACATTCATCTGTGGAGGGGGGGGTCTAACTCGGTGTTATGTCGTGTTTGACCCTAAATTAATTTCACGCAGGAATATCCCTTTAATTCACAAGCGTTTCTAAAGACTCACTCATGTGACCGCTCATGTTGAATACATGAGAAGACAAGGCAGGGAGAGCAGCAGCAAAGAAACCGTCTTTTTCAACTTTAAAACGTCTTATTGGTCTGAATTTTACCGTGAGGAGATAAAATAATAGTAACAATAACAACATAATATGGAAATATAAGGTTTGATGATGGAGGAGCACACCTCACCTCCTCTCTTATCTGCATATATGAAACACCAAGGCAGGGAGAGCAGCAGCAAAGACCACAAGACTGTGAGCGGTGAAGGATGTGACTTTTTCCTCTCGCAAAAATCCAACGAGCACGGTCGTGAAAAACCCGATGAAGGATGGCGGTCATGTTTTTCAGTCACCTCTCCGTCTCAGAAACAAAACCACTCTGTGTATTTTTAACAGTACACACACACTCACACAAATATGGATAACAGTTCAGATCTTAGGTTTCATGGAGGGGAAGTATCTGTACAGTGAGCGCTGACCCACTTAGAGAGCTGGCATACACTGTGAGGAGAGATCCTTATATCAAAGATGTTCTGTGGTGTTTAATGGATATACATGAAGTCTCTTTGTAGTCTCAGTGTACATCCACATCTGAAGCTTTCATAAGAGACTTGTGCGGCTGAATCCTGATCATCAGTGTTACGTAAAGCAGCGGTTTTTATCGTATTTATTATCGTATTTTTACGTATTATCGCAGGTTTTGTTTGTAGTTTATACCGACTCCAAACTCTGAGCAGGTACCGACCATTTCCCCCCAAACACAGGAGGTACCCGGACATAAAGCTATTTCTCATCCAGCCACACATCATAATGAGGCCGCCTGGTACACCAAAAGTGTCTCCATGGCAACCGCGCTTCCACAAATCGGGCGCACAACAGGGAGGCACTTTGGAGCAGGTCCGCTTCCTGTGATCAGGAGATCATGGCGGCAGACAGACGCACATCTCAAACCGGGACAGACAGCGCGGTCTGCGGAGAGATGATGATGATGATGATGCTCGGTGGCCTCGCTGCGCTTCACGCCAGCCTTCAGGGGGGAATCAGGAAATCACCGCCACATCTCTGACTTTTCTCACCTGCATCATTAGAAGCTCAAACCCTTTCTTGAATTTACCCTTCTTCTACTTTTCAGACAGGAAGTGCTCGGTTTGCACGCTTTCTTCTTCCTCACTCCAACAGCGATCTGATCTGAACCCGCTCGCCCTGCACCCCTAACATCCTTTAGCGCAGCTTTATTAGTGCAAATATTTGGAGGCGACCCCCGCCGTCTTCTTCTCTCACTGGCGCTCTTGCTTATTGTGTTATCATACATTGTTAATGTCGTTACATAAGGACGACACAGGCACGGCTCGCCGCTTTCATTTTTCATGGAGCAGAAACATTTTCTGCAGCGAGAAACTGGAATCACAGCGAAGCGAGTCGTGACAGAAGAAAACACTTCATATAGAAGTAAAAGACGTCGTTGGTTTTATTCAATCATAAATAAACGGTCGTTTATTTATTCAGCCGGTTTCCTCCTCCACAGGAGAAGCTTCTTTATTCATGTCTTACTTTTGCTCCTTCAGCCTCGTCTGAGCAGGACGGACCTGCAGGAGTTAAAGGCTGATGTTGATGTTGATGCTGATCACTGATTTACGACTCTTATCCACAAAATCTAAATGGTCATAAAAGTTCAAAGCAGACCTGTCAGCTGAGAGTGATATTATGGGATGTGTGGGGAGGAGGGCAGAGTACAGTTGTTGAAGGTGAGGCTGGAGTTTTGGGTTGTTCTGGTGTGGGATGTGGGTCTGATGATGATGATGATGATGATGATGATGATGATGATTTGTTCAGCTGCAGATGGTTTCTTTGCATCCATTTTTGTAGTTTCAGTGAGACAGTTGCTGAGTGTGGAGTGGGTGGTGTTGGTGGAGATGTTGTCGAGGTAACAGTGAAACTGGAAACTTTGAGTTTTAGCTTTAATTTTTATAACTTTTAAATGAAACTCAGCATGGAGGCGACTTTAAAGACGGTGTTCCTCCAGAGTCGTCTTTTAAAGCATCAACAAAAACGAATGTTTCATTGAACCTTTTAAAACACAGTCGGAGTAATTCAATTCAGTTTGATTGACACAACTTACAAGGTGTTCAGCCAATCAGAGTGAAGGGTTTCAGGTCCATATTTACACACAGCCATGTCCAACAATCTTTTAAAATCTCCTGCAGAAGATTTCTGTCAGACAGAGAACAGTTTTACATCGTGACCCCCGATTTAACCGCATCCTGAACGGCTACTAAAAGGTCGTATCCGCCGATCGTAGCTGATCGTAACAATTTACGTTAAAGTGCCAATTTACACCGACTTCTTTACGTTCCTCTGCGGCTCACGAGAGTTCTGTTTTTTTCCGGACGCCGGAGCATGGCGGTTATCGCGTGATTGCACGTCAATTTGTGGGTCCTTGTGAGTTCTCACGATTCCTACTGTCCGTAATTCACCACGAAATTCACATTACAAACGGATCCGTTAGGAATTGACGGACAAAAATTGCTGCCGTTCTGGATGCGGTGGAAATTGGGGGTTAGTGTTTGCATAAGTTATTTTCTCTCTTATTATGATGTTATCCTGATTATTAAAACTTCATGCAAACAGAGCTAATGAACAGGAACAGGCGGGATGATATTGGACTAAATCTCAGTGAAATTAGATCGATGACTAAACCGAGCTGGAGGACGATGAGCTCCGATGAACAAACACGGACCTGCAGAGCCGGGAGATAAATATTTACAAGCTTGTTGATGTCGGGGAAACTTTGACACAATATTTAGTCATTTTTATCATTTATTATAGAAAAATATTGATTGCAGACGTTACAAGTTTCGAGAACAAACGCTGCTGCACTTTTCAATAACAGGAACGGACATGGACGTCTGAGAGCGTGTGTGTGAAGTGTGTGTAGCACTCAGCAGCTCCTCTGAGGTGTGTGTGAGTGTGTGTGTTTTTATTATGTAATTGCCCTGCATGGCATCTGTGAAGTGATGTCACATCTGAGCGTGTGCAGTCAGCGCCGGTGGGGACAGAGGGCAGGAAGAGGAGCTTCATTCTGCTTCAACGGTTCCTCTCTTCACCCACCGCAGACGGAGGCAGCAGGGCCAGCATGATAATAAACGGAGACACAGACAGAAAAGAGAAGTCTGAGAGAGGAAACGGGGTTTGAGAAGTTGAAGACAGCTCTCTGGGGAGGATGGAGGAAAAGTGGGGGAACTAATAAACATGGAGGAGGTGGAGGATCCACGCTCCACGCTCTGTGATGTGTGATAGTTGATATTTTCTGCGCTCCATTGAGTATGAGATGATTCATCCAGATAAAAACCCACAAACTGCAGAAGCGCGTTCACGCTCCGCTCATGCTCTCAGAGGTTCACTCATCTGCAGCGTGTCATGTTCCCGCTCTGTCCTGTTTTCCCCTCTGCAGTTTGTCGGGTGTTCTCAGCGCTTTAACACTCTACCTGTGCATGCACACACCACGCTGCTCCACTTTCACCACCAGAACTTCATAACGTCAGACTCACACGGTGAGTTATGAACATCATGACGAGTTCACGGAGGGTTTTTGATTCTGTATGTTTTGCACAGAATGAAAAATTCACTTTAAAGCACTAAAACCTTCAAAAATGTGTTTATAGATTTGATAATGATGAGATGTAGAGAAGAGGATGTGCGCTCCTCCGGCTTTGGGGTTCCACCTGTGCACACATCGGTCTCTGACATCTGGCCTGTTCTCACGCAAAGGCAGAGAGGTCAACCAAGAGGGTCTTTGCTGCTTCTCGACCTGGTTTGGCTTTTTGCATGTTGTGAAAATGAGGGGAGGTGCACCATCCCGGCCTCAGCTTTAACCCTGACTCTGATCCTAACTCATGGCTTTTATAAATGCTCATGAAAAGGCGAGGAGAAGCTTAGTGACGAGCACAGTTGTTCTCTTAGATGCACTGAATCACTAGAATCAGTTCGTTCGAAAGATTCACTCAAAAGATTTGTTCGTCGGTTCAGGATTCAGCTTCTGGGACCGAGAGACGAGAGTGTTTGTCTGTGTTGCTTTGAAAACAGGTTTGTAAAAATGAACTTTTTCATAAATCATGATGTTTTAAAGGGATATTCAGGCGTAAAGTTAATGTAGGGTCAAACAAACCGCAATACAGAGTTAAACACCCCCTCCAGAGATGAATGTTGTCGACCGCTTACTTCTCTAGTTATACCAACTTTAGTAACGACCGCAGGATAGAAATACAGAGAGACACGCCCTCAACCAAAACGCCAATCTATAGCCACAAATAATGCTCAGAACAGCACCTAACTTCATCAACAGGACATATAGGGTCACAGACATAGTACTAGACACCAAACATCTTTTGTGTGTGTGTGTGTGCAGTAGGGATGTGCATCTCCATTACTGTGGCGATTAGATACCATCTCGATGCACTGCCAACAATACGATATAATTTGCGATAAATTGAATCTCTGCCGATACGATACTCCATGATTCACCCGTGTTCTCGATACGTTACGATGATTCACCTTCCATCCCAATATGTTAATTTTACCTCACTTATCCTTCTGTATGAACATATTTACAACTCATGTTTACATTTTCTGTAGTCAAACTTTTACATCGAGCATGTTTGACTTTTGAAAAGTAAAGAAATTAATAATTTTTGCAGATCCGATTTTGTTTTTTTTGAGTGTTTTGTGATTTTCTCGTTCTCACCCGTATTGCTGTTCGCCTCCTGCACTCCGGTAGCAGCGATTTTCGTGACATTGATACCATGTTTTTTTCAAGCGAGCGGCCATATTTGTCACGCTGCCGTTGTGAGGTTTAGAAGCGCGACATTCTTTACAAATAACGCATGTCTTGTCAAGTTTACCATCCCTTGTAAAATCCAAAGAACCTCCAAACGTTAGATTTGAACTTTTGCTGCTTTCCTCCGCCATGATTACTGAAGAGTGTGCGCGCTCACGGCTTCGGTCCGTCTTCAGAACAAATCGTGAAAAGGTGATGGTGCATTCAAGACGCCTCGGAAACACATGATAGAATCCAGAACAACATGGAAAAACTGATGCAACTGTGAAGATTACCGATACAGACACGCAGCGAGCGAAGCATCACGAACTTCAGCCGTCATTGTACTTAATTCTCGTGCACGTCTGTGTCGCGACCACGATCCGTATCGATGAATCTCCACATCCCTAGTGTGCAAATTAACAGAGGAAGTGCTCTCAGAACCGCCAAACCACTAAATTTAACTTTTAGTCTGCAAATCAGTAATTATCTTGAACCAAAGTGGGCCGGCTGATCCTGAGTAGGAACCTAAAACCTCATTATGTTCGTATTATTTCACCGTTTGTGTCGCCTCGTGGTGCTCTGTGCTCATTAGAGCGCTGGTTATTATCACCCTGATTTACTTCACGGTGATTTTCTGTAATTGTTTACTACTTTTGGTCTCCCTTCTGTTGAATTAAATCCCCGTGTCTCATAATTACTCAGCACATTTTGTTTTTATGGAGAAACACTCTCTACCTTGGCAGCGCCTCTGTTCCAGATAAAAAAGCTCTGCTCTGAAATGTTTCTCATCACCATTCATGGATGCCGGAGCAGGCGCACATAAAACACTCTTCTTTTTTCACACCAATAACAGGCAGACAGCTTGTAGGCCTGATAACGCAGGCAGACTCAGGAATAATAGCCCGAGTCCTGCAGAAACAGACAACAGTGTTTTAAAATGATATTGTTTGTTTTCCGCGGCTCTAAAAAGCTGGAGGAGAGTGAGATGGAGGCAGACAGACGGAGATAACAAAGCTGTGTGTTTTTAAATGAAGAAGCTTCGGTGTGGAAAGGATGTCGCCCGGATACAACAACAGCTTAGAAATGTCACCGAGAAAGCAGACGTCCTCACAAAGAAACCCCGGAGAGAAGAAGAGAAAGGCTGTTCATCCTCACATACAGTAAAAACACCGAGGTTGAGCTGTTTTCAGACACACACAGACACACACAGACACACACAGACGCTGTAAATCCCATCATCCCTTGGGGACGCTGGTGCTGCGGTATTAAAACGACGAGAACAGAGGAGGAGATGAAGGCGAACAAAGGAGTGACATTCGTGTTTGATGTGTCGGGAGGTCAGTGGGAGGGATGCCGCTCCACCGCTGCGTCTCTCTGTGTCGTGACCTTTGAACAGATCACATGCACTCTCGTACCTCGCTGTGCGGACACACACTCCGAGCTGAAAACCTGTAAATATTACCCGCTCTATAGGAAGTGTTTGTTCGTCTCTCTCTGAGTGATTGAATCTCTGAAATGTCAGCTGACAGCCTCGACACGGAAACGTCTCTTAGATGTGACAGCAGGTTATTAGACTGATGGATGCAGCCGAGACGGAGAGGAGCCGGAGTTTATGTTTAAAAAAAACAGGAAAATAATCGACTGTGAGGGGACGCAATCAGAGACGAGAGATTAATTCACTCAAGTGCACAGATTAAATTTGAAGTGTGAAGAAAAGAGCTGCAGGTAAAAACTCCAGAGAGAAAACCGTCGTTTACTCTCCTGAACCCGGTCAGAGTTCTGAGGAGTAAAACCATCATTTACAGTTTTCTGCTCATGGAGGTGAAGAGTGGACTCCTCTTCTTTTGATTCTTCATTTCTTATATATTTATAAGTGTTTGATAATAAAACAGTCGGACATAAAGGAAACTACACAAACTTAAACATACATATGCAACACAAACACACAGAGACCCCCGCAGTCTTAGAGTAGAGACCGTTTCTGGTCTCATGTCTCTGAATTTGCAGCCTTCATGCGTCTTTCTTTAACTCACAGCAGGTTTGTCCTCCACATCTTTCTGGGACTTTTGCACGTGTTTCTGAATTTGGTTCTTGTTCCTCCCGGCGTAGAAACTTTTACTACTCAAGGATGACGAATAGAAACCAAACGAAAACAAAGATCTGTGACGAGAGTTTGAAAACGTGACCTGAATCTGTACGAGACCATCGACTAGACCGCTTAAACCATAGACTGTATATAGAACAGACGCCGTCTGCCTCCTCGCTGGGTGAATCCACTCCGAGAACAGCGCCCTCTGTTGACGGGCTGCAGTATAGGTCATAAATTTATTACACAGAATATAAATGTTTCTCCCTCCTGGTTGTGATGTTGACATGTAGTTACTCCATCTGTTTTTAAAAGTTATTCGGGGGTTGATGTTTTCTATGATTGACACCTGATACAGCCTATAGGTGTACGAAGATTGCGTAGCTCACCCCTGGGATACGAAAATACTGAGACTGTGAGGTGACCATACGTCCTCTTTTACCCGGACATGTCCTCTTTTTGGGGGGCTGTTTGGTTTTGTCCGGGGGAGTTTATAAAATCCTCCAAATGTCCGCGGTTTTGTACAAAGTTTTGAGTTTGTGTCGCGTGGACTTACCGAGTCACCCCTAATTTTCATCGCATCCGGAATGGCTGCGGTTTCCGCCGTCTGCCAATTCCTAACGAATCAGTTTGTGAGGCGAATTTCGTTGCAGATTACAGACAGCGGTAATCGCAAGAACTCACAAGAATCCGCAGATTCACGTTCAATCGCGCGATAACAAGTTGTCTCTCTAGAGACAGACACATAGACATATAAGCAGTAGATTGTGTCCTTCCAGAGGAGGAAATCTACTTCTAGACTTCTAGAATCAGCATCTCCTCATCCATGGTGTCATCGGGGTGAAATGACGTCTAAAAACCTTTCACTTGTTCGTCTCCGCTCGTGTTATATTTTGAAAAGAAGCCGGATGTTTTATTTTGTGTCTGTGCCCGACTTCCTTTCCAGCACGGGTTAATCTGTGATGAATTTATCCGCCATGCTCCGGCGTCCAGAAAAAATAGAACTCTTGTGATCAGCTGAGGAGTCCGGCGATCCGCAGAGGAACGGAAAGAAGTCGGTGAAAATTGACACGTTAACTTGAACGGTTACGATCAGCAGATACAACCTTTTCGTAGCCGTTCTGGATTCAGTGGAAATTCGAGGTTAGAAGCGTGTAAAAAAACTTAACCCAACCCGAAAAACTCTCAAAATCTACTACACACGACTCTGGGACTCCGTGACTCCGCCCCTGCGTATTCAGAACTCGGTCACCCAAGTCAACTTGAAAGTCGGGGTTCTAGTTTGTTGGGGTTGACTGTTGCTAATGTAATCTTAATGCTAATTCAATCACAGACTGAAAATATCATTCTCTGACACCGATAACACTGGAGCAGAGTAAAACTACTTTACATGCAGAGCTGACCCACAGAGCCCGGGTGACTCTGTTCATCTCGGTTCCTCCGCCGGACGTCCCGCTGCGCTGCACATCGAGCCTCTGGGGATCTGTGAGCAGAATAAACCCGACGAGGCCGAGGTGTTTCTGCAGAGAGCCTCAGGTGGAGCCGTCTGCTGTAAGAGACACAGACAGGCAGAGCTGCACTCCGAATACTGAGGTGTGTTATCTGCCACAGCATGAACACACACACACACACACACACACACTCGACACAGGTGACACAGAGGACTGTCCTCTTGTTTCCACGGGGCTGCTGAACTCCGATAATTCGTCTGCTTCAGGGAGACGTGTTTCACGCTTGGTTGCTCTGAATTACGGCTCGGTGTGTAATTAGGTTACGTTACGTGGACGGCCTGCTAATGTGGACGGACTCTCTACACCGTGTGGATGTCTAATCCTGGGAGGACTTTCTGAGGTGATTTCAAACACTTCTGCAGATTTTCTGGAGGATCTCCTGTTGAGCTGCAGATCAGCGTCAGAATGACAGAGAGGCTTCAGAAACAGACGTTCAGGGAGTCGAACTCCGTCACAGAAAAGTGTTCGAAATTTACAGAGGAGATGAGGCCCGATTTTACGAGCCCGGTTATTTTTAAAAACGGAAACATCGGCGTACCTTTGGCGAAAGACTCCACCAAGCTCTTTTGTATTTAGTTTTCGGTGCAGCAGGTGCGTCACGCATCTTTTGTCTCTCATATAGAGTTTCATATAGAGTCTTTCATCTTTAGGTGATGGAGGAGGTTTCTGGTGTTTCCTCCTCCAGCAACAACAGCCACTGGACACTCTTTGCATAGTTTTGTTTTTTGATCATTGTCGGATTTTCTAAATCCGAAGAATCGGCCGGGAACAAACGATGTCACGACTCACGCCCTTTTTCAGAGCTACTTGGTTGGGTCAGGTTACCTCCATTTGCTCGGTACTGCCACTAATCTCTGCGTCCGCCATGACCACCACCAGTGAAGCTGTTTCTTCTTCTTCAAAACTATGACAACCAGTCTGCTGGACCCAAACCTGACCAATCAAACGAGCGAACAAACTCTTTACAACACGCTGGTGAATATACGGAAACGCACCCAAACAGACGCGCTCAGATGCAGCAGACATCCGTTCTCTCTCTCTCTCCGGTGTAAACGGTAACGCAGAATTTCTACCAGAAGACACTTTTATTCAGTCACACGGTTTATACCGTCATACCACCGAACACCAGTGGAGATTTTGGGAAACTCTGTTTTCACGTTAAAGAGAGAAAAACAGAGATCTGGGTTTGCAGACGGCAGACTGGGTTTAATGCGACGTTGTTTACAATCTACGGTGACCATGGATGCAGAATAGTGGTCACATTTATTCTTGTACAATCCTTTTATATTTGAAGTGACGATGTTGTTGTTGTTGTTGTTGTTGTTGTTGTTGTTGTTGCTGCTATGCAAGATTCTGATTGGCTAACGTGGGCTTGAGCTTCTGGTTGCACTGCCGCCTACAGGTTTGGCATGCTATTGACGACATATATAAACACGGATTGGTGTGAACGAAAAGTCTTCTGAAAACGTAGTGGTGTGAGAGGGTGAAATGTTTGTTTATGGAAAAAGTCGGTCACGTGTAAACGTAGTCTGAGTCTCAGTCAGAGTGACATACTCAGAGTTTTCACACAAGTTCGGTCCACGCCATTTCTGGGACAGAGAACAGCAGCGAAGAGAGGAAGGAGGACCTTATTTGAGAAGTTTCAAAGACTAAAAGGAGAAATTTAAATTCACTCCTTTAAAACTGATCCACTGTGTGTGATCTGCAACCTTCTCTGAAAAGGGCAGGGGGCGCTCAAGAGAGAGTCAGACAAACCAATGTGAATATTATTTTTGATGAAAGCCGTCCTAAAATGATCTGTTTTTTTTCGATTTCTGAGACCTGATCTGGTCTTGGGTCAGTGTAGGGTGAAAACAGACACAGGCGGTGTCTTCTCTACAGGCACTCACGCCAGGTAGTTTAAGTCTTCATAGTATCCTTATCCAAGTCTTTTCAAAATAAAAGCTTCCAGTTTTTGCTGCCTTGTTCTGAAAAATCCAGACTCTGTCGACCGTTTCAGAGGTTAAAGCAGGACTCTCTAAAATCACAATACTGGTTTATCTGCTCGACTCGAACTCATCAATAGTGATTTCCAGTGTTTCCCAGAATATGAACTCCTACATAACAAACCTCTGAATCAGCTGTGGGATGAACATGTAGGAGGGAAACTGAGAGAGAAGATAAAACAGGACTGCGTTTCCCCGTCTCACTGAGATCAGCCTGTTTTTCAAGGACAAAACTGAGACGCGTTTCTCCTGAATAATGAGACGCTGATTTCTGATTTATAAACCTGCAGTGTTTTAAAAGCCGAGCTCTAAATAATGGGACCAGCTTTTTCACACTCTGTCAAACGACGGCCTTGAAAGGACGTCGAACGCGTCATTTCTCTTAATGGTTTCGTTCGCTGTAAGTGATTTTTTCTTCTGTGTTTTGCCAAAATACAAGAGCGGAGCTTTTAATTCAGGCCTCTCTGGTGTCAGGGGCAAGTTGTTCTTTGTTTTGGCACCGACTCTGTGAGCATTAGGAGGGCATTTGAATTAGTCTGAACAGGATTTGGGGGAAGCAGTCACCATGGAAACCAGCGTTTTTTTCCTCTTTCTAACGGCCTGCTCTTGAGTCAGAAGCGCCGGCAGCTGTAGGATAACATTTGGTTGTGTTTGCATTCAGCTCTGCGACGACAAACCAAACATGCAGCAGCAGCAGCGGCAGCAGCGGCAGCAGCGGCGGTGTTGTCCGTCCACCTGTCCTGATGGAGGATGAAGAAATGACCACAAACATCATCTCTGCGTCGTTGCATGTGCAGCTGATGCTCGCCACATCACCCCTCACACAGACTGTAGCTCATCAGCTCCATGCAGGTCACATGTGTTGGGTCCATATGGGTGTTTTTAACCATCTCCTCCACCCGTCTGTTCCCCTCTGACTCCTCTGACTCTCCCTGTTGTCACCTCCTCCCTGTGGTTGATAGAAACGTGGCGTCAGCAGAAGAGGAGCGATCGCTGATTTTACCGGCGGCAGCGTTTCAGGGAGGATTCCTCTCTGTCACACAGACTCACTCGTTCTTTTCTCACCATAAAAACCGTCTCTGGACGTTTAAACTCCTGACCCTCATCAGCTGCCCTCTGCTCTGGAGGTCATGTTGAGATTTTCTGTCCATCCTGCAGAGTGAATTCGATCAAACGCCACTGACTGGAAATGTTCAGTTCAGGATATTTCAGTGTTTTTTTATTGGGTTTGTTTTAGTTATGTGATGCTAACATGAATATGAGCAGCAGTGGATCCCTGTGAGCTCGGTCTGTTTTAACGAGACACTGCTGAGAGACCCGGCATGCAAGCTAGACTACAGTTTTCTGCAGACAGCGGCGAGTCTGACATGCAGTTTAAGAGACTCCGACCCGAACTTTCATCTTGGTTTTAGTCTTCACTGAAAACTTTCCTCCTGGGGTGCGCAGATGGCCGAGCGGGTTAGAGCACCCCATGTTTGGGGACCATGGTCCCTGCAGCGGTCACGGGTTTGAGTCCGGCCCCGACTATGTGCTGCATGTCCTCCCCCCTCTCTCTCTATCTCCCCACATTTAACTCTTTTCTGTCAATAAAAGGAAAAAATCGCCAAAAAAAAAAAACTCCTCCTGTGTTCGGGTCTGTTTTTGTTTTTAAACGCCTAAAAGAACCACTTAAATTCGCTTTTTTCGCAACTTTTTGACTTTGTCAGGAACCTCTACTTCAACAAAATAAAAAAATCAAATTGACTAAATTTTAAAATGCTCTTATTAGAATTATGGCACTTGTCGTGTTAGTGTCGCTGTTGACCCGGTTAGGTTAATATCTAATAATTACAGGGAAAGATTAAAGTCATATGTGCACTGTTAGGCACCACACGAGCCGAGGTTACATCTGCAAAATTTCCTTGATCTGAATAAAAATGTGAGAGATTAGATAATCTGAATGTTTATATGGGTGCAAGTCAAATAATCCAATCATGGCGTGCGTTTACTGCACCGAGTTTTATTCGGACATGTGCAGAGTTGTCTGATTTTGCTCAAACAAACGCAGAAGAAGAAGAAGAAGAGTCGTATTTACGCCTGTGCTGTCAACAAACCATCAAACGCGGTCGTGGCTCACTCAATCCGATTCAGGAGTTTTTCCCTCTGTTTAATCTTGTCGCTAGATGGCGCCCTTGCTTACTTATTTTACTGCTCTGTCAAAGGTCGTACTGTGCGTGCAGATGTGACGTCATTACGCTGTTTGAGACGACAACTGAAACCTCCTGAACTGACCTTTATAAACAAAGAGAGAAGACTGAGTCAGGTTAGAGAGTCACGATCAGAATAAGTGTTTACACGGACGTGTTTCGGAACAACGATCGGCATAAACCACCCCTCTTGATCGGAATACAATTTCTTTCTGATTGAGTCGAGTTGGATCAGAGTCTTCCGATCGGCATGTTTACGTGATGTTATTTTATTACGATCTGACATTTATTCCGATTATTTGTGCCGATGTAAATGCAGCTACTGACAGTCAGATCCTCTTCCAATCATGTGAGATTTAGGGGATTCTCATCTTGCCGTGTTTTTTCCTGCACAGAAAAACAACGTTGGCATGTCCAGACATGGTAGACAAGGTAACGTCGAGATGAGAAGTAAATCAGATGATAGAGAATTGTGTTTTTAGTGTAATTTTCAGCTGATTTAAGACCTGTTAATATAGTGGGTGTGTAGTAAAAGCTAACGATAAACTGGGAACTTTGATATTTAGGATCTCAGTTTTGCATCGATTAATCATCCTTAAAATGCTGCTTTTTTCTAGTGTGTGTTTGTCGTTTATTTGCAAACACACATTCAGCTTCTTTGCTTCTCTGATTGAACTTGAATGTTGAAGAAACAAACGACTGAGTCGAACACGAGCAGCAGAGCGCTTGTAATGATCTGTATTATTAATAGACTGCAGGAATGCACTCACATCCACATCATGAAACAGTGAGCAGGCGCTCTGCGGTAATATGTATGCATCGAGGATGGTAACCTTTACAAGACGATATAAGGTCACATTTGCATCTGACATGAAAATGCTCTTTGTGTCCCGATCCTCTGGTGAGTGTGTTTGTGTGTTTAAGAGTAAAAGAAAGTGTCGTCATGTTGAGTTTGAGCTTCCTGACCTCTGACAGATTCAGGGTTTTGTCATGAATATCTCCGTCTCTGACCTCCTCTCTCGTTCTTCACCGGGATCTCTGAATTTGGACGGTTTCCAGCGCTGCAGGTGTTTTCACCTTCCTCCCTGCAGAGCTTTACATAACTTAACCGGAGCGAGGACGGTTACCAGGACTGATGTTGGGGTGAAGGGGGTGAGTCGTCCCTTCCTGGATTCTGTTCCCCTCAGCAGAGCACCAGGATAGAGGAGGAGGTGTAACCGTCCTGACTCATCCAGGGAGGTGTGTCTGCTCCGGATCACAGCTGCAGCACAGACCGGGCTCTCTAATGGACTGAGCTGGGCTTATCTGAATGCAGCAGGCTGAACAACAGAGACGCACTCAGCGCTGATTGCTGGAATCACCGCCTGTGAAGGCTGAACATAACGCACAAACAAACATTTATTGTTAGGCCGAGCAGTTCGCAGCTGCAGACAGAGTTTGTGTCACACTGAGGCCGAGAGCCAGGAAGAGGAAGTTTGGACTCTTCTCAGTCCATCGGCTCACATCTGAGATTCCTCCGTAACAAACACACCTGAGTGTCTCTGACAGGCAGAGTCACAGTGACTCAAACCTGGACTGGAGCTCAGCTTGGACAGTTTAGCTGCTCAGAGTTAAAACGTGAAAACAGGAGCTTAGACTCAACCTGTCACACATCCAACTTCCTTTAAAGGGATATTCCGGAGTAAAATTAAGTTGTGGTTAAACACACCGTAACACTCTATAACCACAAATAATGCTCAGAACAGCACCTAACTTCATCAACAGGACATATAGGGTCACAGACATAGTACTAGACACCAAACATCTTTTTAACTTTGACTCATTTCTTTAGCAAAGAGACTAAACACAACTCACCTACTCTCTTCCAGCAGCCGCTTGTTTGTACGGAGACCTCTGCACGAGTCCATCGACGAAATCGGGGTGACGCAGCTCAAGGAAGAACATTTATGATAATTTCTTTATCATTTCCTTTAAGTAATAATCACCACTACGAACAAGCGTCTGCTGGAAGAGAGTAGGTGAGTTGTGTTTAGTCTCTTTGCTAAAGAAATGAGTCAAAGTTAAAAAGATGTTTGGTGTCTAGTACTATGTCTGTGACTCTATATGTCCTGTTGATGAAGTTAGGTGCTGTTCTGAGCATTATTTGTGGCTATAGAGTGGCGTTTTGGTTGAGTGTGTGGCTCTCTGTATTTCTATCCTGCGGTCGTTACTAAAGTTGGTATAACTAGAGAAGCAAGTGGTCGGCAACATTCATCTCTGGAGGGGGGGTCTAACTCGGGTTTACGGTGTGTTTGACCTTAACATAATTTTACACTTGAATATCCCTAACAGGCAGAAACCTTGAGCAGGACCAGACTCATGTTAGACCGTCATCTGCTGAGACTGAGCCGGGTTTAGAGAGGTAGAATGATGACAACGTTTCAAAACTGGGACTCCTTCGGTTCACTTTCTCACAGAGCTGTTTCGATTGTTCCGTTTCCCTCAGCTCTGTTCGAGTTAAAGATTTAATACTCGACAAATAACTCCTTTAGCTGGATGAATAAATCATATCTTTAATTTTTAGCGCTGACAAATTACAAAAACAAGTTGTTTTGGGATGTTGAATCCTTCATGCAGTGGACTCTCTGCAGTCTGACATGTTTTTCAAAGTAAGTTGTTGATCTATCTGCAGTCCAAACATTAAATACTTAATGAGGCGGATTTTTTTCAAAGCTGCTTTATTCATCAGCTCGTTTTGTTTTGCAGCTTTTGTGATTTTATTTCTGCACAAGTCGCCTTAAATGTGATCAATAGATTTGTTTAATTGATTTATTGGAGACTTGTAGCTGCTGTGTAGTTGTCAGGCGACCAGTTCAGCTAATCAGGTCTTGACTCTGGTTCCTGAAGTGTTTTCAAAGCTCCTTTCTTTAGCAGGTCGATGTTGTTCAGTTTGTAAATAAAGATGAAGCTTCCTCTCAGATCTGCGGCGTCAAACTCATCCCACTGTAAAAATATCCTGTTTGACTCTTTCTGTGCATGCAGAACAAACACGTGAGCTCCTCTCCGGATCGTCTCTGTTTTTTTTTTCCGCTCTGCAGTTCCTCTGTCTGCCCTCGGTTAGACTCAAAGCTGCTGCTCTTCAGCTTGCCGAGTTCCTCCGCCGAGATTCTCCTGGGGGAGACGCTTCAGAGTACACCCAGCTCCTCGTCCTTCTCCTCCTTCTTTACATCCTTTCTTCTCAGCTCTCGTCTCCTCATGCTCGTTCCCTTTTCATCATTTAGTCATCAGGATGTGCTTCATCTCTCTGCCTCGAGAGGCTAAAAATGGTAACCTCCTCGGAGTGGCTGAGAGCTATACGCTATACTCGAAAAATAAAAGAAGAGAGGGAGAAATGAGGAGCAGGACTCATCCCTCCTCTCTTTGTTTTGACTGTAAATGTGCTGGAGTGTGTTTAATGAGGACGAACATGTCCCTCTGAACTTAACCGCCTTTAGCAGGACACATTTGTCTCTTTGACTCGGGGCTCATTACAGCTAACAGGAGGGAGAATCCTCTCTATTGCATTTACATTAGCAGTCAATGCGATTGATTTCACACAGCCAGGGTGGAAAACACAAGCGCAAGGTATTTTAGTGTGTTTCCTCCTCCCCCTTCAGCTAAAGTGGTGAGTTCTTTCCTGCTTCTGCAGCTGCTGCCCACACTCACACCTCTCCGAGTACTCGCCACAAAACGCTTCAATGCAGGAATAGACATTTTTATTCTAGATGTCCTTTTCAGGAGAGCTCAGAGTGTTTCAGCCGGAAGAGAAGCATCGTTGGATAACCTCAATAATCGATAGGCTTCATGGGTATTTTTCACTCGTGTATAAAACACATGATTTTACACAATTGGTTTGGTGTCTGCTCCAGATATTGATCCTGTTAAAACTATGACTAATTAAAAATCCAGCATCTATGATTTCCAGTTCTTCGTTGAAAGGACAACTGGACTTACTTGAGACGTTTCGCCCTTGGCCGCGTTACCAGGCTCTCCTTTGTTGTTCAGAATGCACCCACAGTGGTGCCGTGGTATGTGGCTTTGGAACCAGAACCTTCTCATCCTCCATGCTAACCTCAAGTCGCTGCCCATCCGACCAAGATAAGAGGTAAACAACGTGTGGCTGCAACAGTGACGGTACGACTCGGATTCAGGGTTATTTTAGTCAACTTTGTGGATAAAATTTGAGGTATTCCCCGACTTTGTGAGAACATGTACTCGACATTATTTGCCTTGGACATTACTCTGCTTCATGTCCGACCTCCAAAAACCAAAATACCTCCACACCACCGACGTTTTCGTGCCAGTGTTGTCGTTGACGATGTGGTCATCTGTTGAGCCTTCATGGTCATTTCTGTCGGGGGTAGCACTCATTTTCTTTGTTTCTCACCAACAGTGCTGTCGGCTTCACCTGTTAAAGTGCTATGGTTGGGTGTAGCTGCTGTCTGCTATGACGCAGTTATTTGATACTTGGTTTGAATTCAGCAACTCCTCTTTGCATTGGCTATTCATATAGCCTACCAAGAAATGGCACCGTGCCGACTATCGAAAAGCATATTGACCATGTTTTATGTTGACATTGAGGGAAACTAATTTTTGAGATATATCGTTATCGTTTTATCGCCCAGCCCTACCTTCCTGAGATGCTCCTTAACATGAGGGGCCTGTGATTTGCTGTTTTGGAGGATGGAGAGGTGTCAGGTTATCAGGGTTTACACGGTCACATCTGAACTGTGACGTCAGGAGAGGACCAACAAATGAGACACACGTTTTACTGGAATCTGAATTAAATCTGCACATTTCATATCAAGATTCCTTTTTCCAGATCGATTTTCTAGTATTGAAGTGTTTTTATTTCCGTGTTGTTTTCTATTTCTCTTCTCTTCATACATTCTGCCAGCCGGCCTTTTAAACAACAGTGTTCACACTCTGTCCAATTATACTAAGAGCCTGATACTCTCCCAGAGCCAGTCGCAGCAGCTTTCAGAGGATCAGCACAAACTGGCAGCAGGACCGGAGCTCTGCTGTGTGCAGTGCGTGTGTTTGTGTGTGTGTGTGTGTCTGTGTGTGTGTGGGGCTGGGTGGCACTGTTGTTGGCAGGAATCAGTGTAAAAGATTTAGAGCTGAAGGCAATCCTGCATGGCCGTCCGTCCAATCTGTTTCCTTGGTAACCGTAACATTTTCGAAGCCATCGCGGAATAAGAGAAATAAATCATCCGCTGTTCGAAATGCCCCCTGAAATTGCGAACAAGATATTATTTGCGAGATTGCATGCGGCGCACACGGCGGATAATTCAAACCATCAAGGTCTGAAAATTGGCTGTGCGGATTCAGAACGGGGCTGAGAGATGAAGAAAGAGAGGGAAACGTAGCCTGGAGGAGGAACTCGAGAGAGAAATCCAGAATCTGAGTGTGTAAATATTTAAAATAAACCACATTAATATTCCATTTTTATCATATTTGCATCTCACCCTTAATTAAATCAGCAAACATCAAACTGCGCTGGGAAAATGCTGCATTTAAGATTCACAGACGGCGTTTGTTGGACTTCTCTTGTGGCTGAAATTGTCCTTCAGGGCGTCTTTTGTTCTTCGTTTTATCGCTCACTCTTTACAGAGTCGGTCCTGACCTCTCCGGAGCTCTGAGCAGAATCCTGCTGAGCTGCTTTCCTATCTGATTCCTGAGCCGTGTAAAGCATTTGTCACTGTCGCACAGTCACACCTGAAGACCTCTGTCCTTAAAGACACACATGAGGGTCTCGGAGCAGAGGGCCTGGACGGAGCAGGACCAAGAAAATAAAGAGTCCTGATCCATCTGAGGAGTGGACTCAGACTCGACTGTAGAAACTAAACATCATTTAGAGGTCAGTTTTGTAGTCAAGTCACCAAAAAACGTCGAGTCCAAGTCAAGTCTAAAGGGCTCATAGGGTCACTGTAGAAGAATGGAGGTCCAGTCCTTATTTCTTGTGACTCGATCCTGGTCGAGTCCCAAGACTTAAGTTTTGGAGTCGAGTCCAAGTCATTAGAGAAGAACTTGAATTGTGTCTGACTTGAGTCCTCATTACCTGAATCCAAGTCCAGTCAAGTCCTTAGTACCCGTTTCCAAGTCCATTTTAAGGCCTTATTGCCTGTCTGAGTCCAAGTCAAGTCCTCATTTCCTGGGTCAAAGTTTTAGCTGTGTCCTTGATACCCGTGTCCAAGTCACAAGAGAAGAACTTGACTTGAGTCTGACTTGAGTCCCCTTTACCTGTGTCCAAGTCCAGTTAAGTCCTTAATACCTGTGCCAGAGTCCATTTTAAGTCCTCATTACATGTCCAAGTCCAAGTCAAGTCCTCAATACCCATGTCTGAGTCCAAGTCAAGTCAGTGTTACCCATGTCATAATGTGAGTGAGTCCTTACACTGACTTTGTCTGCATTAAGGTCTGCGTTGAGTCCCCATCGCCTTAAGTTAAGTCCAAGTGGAGTCCCTAAAGCCTGTGTACGAGTCCGAGTGTTAGTTGAGTTGTCAGGGTCCGAGTTAGTCATCTGTACTAGAATCTGAATCCAAGTCGGGACCCTGTTACCTGTGACTCAGTCTATGTTAGAGTGGGATTACCTGTGTCAGTCTGAGTTAAGGGATTGGTACTAGTGTCTTCATCGAAATGGAGTCCCTATTATCTGTGTCCGAGTCCAAGTCATGTCCTTATTCCCAGTTCCCAAGTCAGAGTTTGACACCAAGTCCTTTTTTTACCAGCGTCTCAGTCTAAGTCAAGTCTTTATCATGTATCCAAGTGAGTCCTGACCCGTGTCTGACTCTGGTTCGAGTCATCATTGTTATTAGTTTTACGGATTTGGAGGTTTTCTCACTCTAAACTCTTGATCGTTTTAACCTGGACTCAATGACTTGTGTGATCTTCTTGTCTCTAGCATCCGTCACTTTGGCTTCATGATGGAAACAAATGATAAAAACAAGAAAGCACGAGTCAAGAGACAAGAAAAGTAACGATAGATTGGAAATGAAATACTGCACAATAACATACGAGTCATCAGTAACATACCAACCCGCAGTTTATAAAGACAGAATTGAAGTTTCATCTTCCCGTCTATCAGATGATTTCGTTTCGTTTTGCTGCTCCACTTTATGAAAATGTTATAAAAAGCCGTTCGGTGCTCAGAGACGGGCCTTTGTTGCTTGGCGAAGGTGATAAATGAGCATGTTTCCTGCACAGCGCTGTTGTGTTGTTTGTTGTGCAGCAGCCTGTTATGTGTGTCTGCACATTTCATTTGTAGCAGAGACTTGAAGACGAGTCATAAATCAAACATGTGAGTGTCTCTGAATAGGACTGTCATGAGACCTCCAGTTCATGATGTTCTCAGACGTGCATTTCATTAAACCGGAGTCCCCCTTATTCCTCCGCTGATTTCCTTTTCTTTCTGTTTGTTTCCTCCTGCAGATGGCGCTCCGCTGAGTGAGCTGTCCTGGTCGTCGTCCCTGGCTGTGGTGGCCGTCTCCTTCTCGGGCCTCTTCACCTTCGTCTTCCTCATGCTGGCCTGCCTCTGCTGCAAGAAAGGCAAACTCGGCTTCAAGGTGGGTTTCCACGTGACGAAGCTGCTGCGCCCTGAAACACACACGCTCATTAAGTCCCATAAAGCTTTAATGGCGTCTTCCATAGAGGTGTGCTCTGGCTCGCCGTGCCCGTAAGTGTTCGTGCAAATGGACTTCACACGAAATATCATCCTCTTATCAGACCTCTATTGTCATTTCTGCTGAGAACACGTCGGAGGAAAGTGGAGAGCAGCAGACAAAGGAGGTGCAGATTTATGAAGCCGACGGAGGCCCGCAGCTTTCCAGGACCATCATGTGACATTTATTCAGACCCGTTTCTGAGCAGCCGGCTGAAACGGGTCAAGGCGCCGGAGAAAATAGGACTCGGACCAAAGTTCGGCTGCCTTTAAACACAACTGTGTGAAGTGTGTGTGTGTGTATATTTACTGGGACGTAAATACGAGCGCTGTGGATCAGCTGATTCACCCACTCAGTGTGTAAACTTATTACCTTGTGGAGTTGTCTTGTAAACAAACATATTGCTTTACCTTCACTGCGATCCTGTGAGGGCAAACAAAACACCTTCATGTATCTCCTTCTTCACGCATTCCTCACATGTAAATCAGAATCTAAAGTTCGTTTTATTATTTACTTTAATTTCTCTTCTTCTCTTTCTTTCTGGCACGTTGTGTGTCTCGGCTCGCCGGGTCGAGCAGCTGTCAAGCAGCATAAACCAGGTCACGTCATATAGATCGTCTGCTCCACATTTACATCGGTCAGCAGGATCCTGTTTCAGGTCACTAAAGCGCCGGTGCGTATATTTGTCCTCTCCGCCCACCGGACAGTAGAAGAATAAAAACTTTATTTCTCAGTCCTACGAGAGGTTGAATCTGAACAAGTTTCTCATCCGGAAAAACATCCAACATACAGTCAAAACCGTGTTTTTATTCTTGGTGTGTATGTCGTCTATGTCTTTGCTGAAATGCTCTGTGTGTTTTATTGCGTGACCATGTTCTGAATCCCCAAAAAGAGGACACGACTACATCGGAGTCACGGAAGTGCGCGTTGTAAATTTTGAGGGGTTTCTCCGCCCTTTCTTCTGTCGGCTTGCGTTTTCTTCCCACTTTTAGCGGCGGGGCAAGCAGAAGTGTTTTTTTTTGCGTCCTTCTCCATCAGGGCTCCTGTAGCTAAGCTGCTACGCTACTTTTAGCCGCTCAGAGCTCCGAGGAGGGCTGGGAGAGTGGGAGGGGTCAAGTTGGAACTACGGGAGAGGGGTGTGTCGAATACAGCGAGGTGATTGGATGGAGTGACAGAGCGTAAACGGGCGAGGACAAACAAGTGAAAGGTTTATAGACGTCATTTCACCCCGATGACACCATGGATGAGGAGATGCTGATTCTAGAAGTCTAGAAGTAGATTTCCTCCTCTGGAAGGACACAATCTACTGCCTTTATATCTATGTGGCTGTCTTTATAGAGACAACTCCACAGATTCTTGTAAGTTCTCGCGATTCCCGCTGTCCATAATCCACCACAAATTTGCCTCACAAACGGAGCCAGTAGGAATTAGCAGACGGCGAAAATTGCCGATGTTCCAGAGCTGTTCCAGGTGCGGTGAAAATCGGGGGTTAGTGGTGTCCAAAGTTCGGAGGACAGAGTTCACGTCTGTTTCTGTGTCCTCAAGCAGCCGAAGTGAGTCAGAAAAATTACCTGATGATGCCAAAACTCCAGGATCACACGTTTGAGATACATCCTTCGCTCACTCTCCTCCTCCTCCTCCGAGGAAAGCGTCTCTGAGTCACATCCCTACGCGGGACTTCAGATGTCTAATTTGCACGTCTCACTCTTCATCCTATTAATTTATGTTGAATCATTACAGCGGCAATTAACAAGATTCAAGAGGAAATTGCAGAAACGTTTCTGCTGCTGTGACACTGAAGTGAACCACATGATTAGTGCTGTCGGATGAGTTTCCTCGCCGAGTCAGAGACATGAAAGATTGTTTTAATAATGAGGAGCGATCGCCCGCGGGTACGTTTCCATCTTCTCTTTTTGTTCTCCCAGCCCTTCTTCGCTCTATTTTAGATCCTCTCTCCTCGTAAGAAACACAAACGCCGACTACACGAGTCTTTGTGACGGCGTTACATAACATCCTGTTCTTTCTGGACGTGTTTTGAAGCGCGCCTCTCCAGTTGTTGTGGGCTGTGAGACGGGATTCAGCATCTTTTAAAGATACACCGCATTGTCATCATCATTGGCGTGTTGGACCACCCAGCTGGGACGTGTCAGGGTGTGTCTGAGTGAGGGGCCAGGGTGAGAGGAGGAGGAGGGGGAGAGAGAGAGAGGGCGCGAGGGCGTGAGGAAGGGCATACCCATGAGCCCACAGTGCATCCGGCCTCAGGGCCCCATCTGGAATTAGACACAGCCTCTCCCAGAGCAGGAAGAGGGGATTTCAGGGAGAGACTCACGAAAAGAGGAGAGGAGAGAACAGCTTTCTGCTCTCTGAGTTCAGGTTTTACCTCCTGAAGATGAAGTCGAGTCTGCTTTTGGAAAAGTTTGATCCACTACAAGAAACTCTGAACATCGGAGGAACTTTGTGCGTTTTCTTTTTATAAGATTGACCTGAAGAGACGGAAGTGTGACGCAACTTTGCAGATAAACAAACTTGAAATCGGACGATGAAGCAGATACAGATCCCAGCTGTTCAACGCCTCCGTTCCCACTTGAGCGAATCAGCTAGAATCCGGTCATTCCTTCATAATATATGATTCGCAGTGATGTCCGGAGCGCCTGAGAAACTCCTCCCCTCTGTGAAATTCCTGATGTTAAAAAAACTTTTACGGTGGATTTCAGAGAGCTTCCTGAGAAGATAATAAACTATTTCCTTCATTTCGATTCAGTCGTGATAGGTTTGTCTGAATCAGAGTCGTGTTATTCCGCTAGAATGTACTTTACTGGTTCTCTGCAGACGTGTTTCTCTGTTTTCTGCACATGATGGAGAGCTTGTTGTCACTCTCAGGTTGGAGTTTCAGTCCCGTGAAGCAGAACATACCTGCAGACTGTCTAACTAACGCAGACTGAAGTCTTTTAGTCCTCTATCAATTAGGGCTGGGCGATGAAACGATAACAATATATATCGAAAATTAATTTCCCTTGATATTGATATAAAACATGGTCAATGTGTTTTTCAATAGTTGGAATTCTGCCATGTTTTGGTAAACTATACGACTAGCCAATGAAAAGGGGAGTTGCTGAATTCGAACCAAGTAACAAACAACTGCGTCATAGCAGACAGCAGCTACACCCAACCATAGCACTTTAACAGGTGAAGCCGACAGCACTGTTGGTGAGAAACAAAGAAAATGAGTGCTACCCCCGACAGAAATGACCATGAAGGCTCAACAGATGACCACATCAATGTCAACGACAACACTGGCGTTACGAAAACGTCGGTGGTGTGGAGGTATTTTGGTTTTTGGAGGTCGGACATGAAGCAGAGTAATGTGGACTGTAAATTATGTCGAGTACATGTTCTCACAAAGTCGGGGAATACCGCAAATCTTTTTCACCACCTGAAGCAGCGCCACGCCGCAGAGCACACGCAATGCAAAAGGTTACAAACCCCGAGAGGAGCAAGGAGCCCATGGCGCCTGAAACAGACGACCATTCAGTCTTCTTTCTCTAGAGCAACGCCTTACGACACAACGTCAAGTAGATTATTGTGCTGTAAAAGACATCCTACCAATGAACACTGTTAGATTTCATTTAAGAGTAACGGGGAACATTTAGGATTGACAAGTGATTTTTTTTTAATGTTGTGACAAACCTTTTCCCGTATCACCCAGCCCTACTGTCAGTCTAAATCTTGTTTTTGATCGCTGGTCTTATAATCCATCCTGTCCTTCTCTGCTCTCCATTCCTGAGTTTGTTTATTTATTTGTTTGTTTGTTTGTTTGTTTGTTTGTTTGTTTGTTTGTCACCACCTTAAAAATGACACGTTGCTCCTCACACTTTCTTTAAATTGATCAGAGTCTCTGTTGCCTGATACAAATTCACGTCCTGATTTCCGTCGCTGAAGTGAAGACTCTGCAGACGGTGTGAAAGGCGGAGTTTAGGGGTTAAGTTCGAGGAGGCATGAAGTTCAGGGTCAGGTTCAAAGGTCAGGGATGAAAGCAGCCAATGGACCCCCCCCAGATGTAAAAAGTGTGTGTTTGTGTTTGTGTGTTTGTGTGTATGTGTGTGTGAGAGTGTGTGTTTCCTTGGTGGAGTGGGGCCCTGCAGATGTTCTTTGGCTTTTGGGAGAGAGGGAGAAAGAGAGGTAAAGAGCGAGTGATGTCACATGTATACTATGCAAGGACCCCCCCTCCTCCTCCCTCCTCCCCTCTCCTCCCCCCTCCTCCTCCTCCCACTTGTCTCTTTTTTCTCCCTCACATTTTTGTGGGAGCTCAGTTTCTGTTTTCTGTGAACTGGGAGATGGTGCTCCTCCTTCTTCCTCTCTCCCCCCCTCTTCCTCTCATTTTCTCCCCCTGCATCCCTCCATCCCTCAGCAGATCCTGGGGACAGTCAGTATTCAGCCACAAAGCCTCTTCATCCTCTTCTTCTTCCTCCTCCTCCTCCTCCTCTTCCTCCTCCCTGCGCTCAACAATGAGACTCTCTCTGCACAATGGTGATGCCTTTCTCTGCAGGAGCCACTCTTCCTGGCACTGCCAACCTCCCGCAGCCCCGCATCCTCCCTATAAAAGAGACCCCGGGGGGGCCGCCGGCTCTGAGTGTGAGTGTGTTAAAGTGTGTGTGTGTTTGTGTGTGTGTGAGGCAAAGAGAGCCGCAGACGTCTGACATGTCCTCCTCACCTGCAGACTCTAAGGAAAGGTAAGCTGACTGGAGATGCTGCGGGGTCACAGGGACGGCCGGGCTCGTTTAACCAGTGAAGGGGTTAACTGGGTGTGATGGTTTAAGAGGGAAAACCGGGACAAACTAGAACAAGCATAAGAAATACTAAAGGGAGTTTTCTGCATGAGTTATTGTGTTTTATTTTTCATAATTTGATGTCATTTTGTTGGAGAAAAATGTAGATTTGTCGTTTATTGTCTAGTTTTTGCTTTTTTGACGCTTTTGCATCATTCTGGTGTCGTAAAATTTGAACGTTTGCTCGACAAAGATTTTGCGTAATTCTCAGTTTTTGTGATGATCAGATTGAATGATGTTGAAATGTGTGAATTCTCTCCCTGGAAGGCTGAGATTTGCAGCAGATGTATGGAAAATGAGAGATAACAGAGCTGTTCTGTAAATGCTGGTATTTGCGTGCGTGTGTGTGCGTGTGTGTGTGTGTGTGTGTGTGTGAGAGTGTGTGTTGATATGAGTGAGTGAAACCACATGTTGTATGGGAGGGCGAGCGGGGCCGTGTGAAGATTTGGATTTGAGGCCAAGGGAGGGTGTGCAGTGAGGGTTGTGTGTATGTGCTCAGATTCTTCAGGGACAGGATGAAGTGAGAGATGGAGGTGTTTGTGTGTCTGTGTGTGTGTGTGTTTGAGTGTGTGTGTATGTGTGGGTGTTGCACAGGGCTGCAGAGGGTCACATTTTTCCAGTGTTGGGACTCCGCTGCTCTCCAGCTCCCATCTAAGAGACTTTTATTCTGACATCCGGTCTGTGGACGCAGCCAACTCCCTCCTCTCTTCTTCATCCTCGGCTTCATCATTCAGCGTGTCGACAGACGGAATCTTTCAGAGCTCATCAATTTATACAGAGAAGATTAAAAAAAGTATTAAACTCACTCAAAATTAAAGGGATATCCCGGCGCAAAATTAATGATCATTTATCATTTATTTATGATCATTTCTTGATCATTTCCTTGCGGTAATCAGACGCGGTAGTTCTTCTGTCTTAGCGTCTCGGTCTGATTGTATTTTCATGAAGAAATGAATGTAAATGTTCTTCCTTGAGCTGCGGCACCCCGCTGTAGTCAATGGACTCAACAAGCGGCTGCTGGAAGAGAGTAGGTGAGTTGTGTTTAGTCTCTTTGGTGGCGTTTTGGTTGAGTGCGTGGCTCTCTGTATTTCTATCCTGCGGTCGTTACTAAAGTTGGTATAACTAGAGAAGAAAGCGGTCGACAACATTCATCTCTGGAGGGGGGGTCTAAATCAGTGTTATGGTGTGTTTGACCCTGAATTAATTTTACACCGGAATATCCCTTTAAAGAGGTGTCTGAAGAGGGACACCAGTTCTCACTCAGGCCTGATCTTTGACGGTGTAACCTCAGACTAAAATGAGTTGATGAAATGCACTCGTGTCTTTTGACCATTTTAGGGACTTTGACTTCGTCTCAGAGTCACTCTAAAGGTTCGCTGTCTCTCCCAGAGACATTTTGACATTTTGACACTTTAAATGAACGCACACATAAAATATTGTTCAAAGTGATTAATTTTGAAGCTGTTCGTCTCGATATTCTCTCTCCACGCTGGCCGCTCATCTCCTTTGTTTGCAGTTTCCTCCGAGTGTAAAATTAGGGTTTAAACGTATTTGCAGATCTCTACGGCGAGCGCCGAGAGTTTGATCAGGCTGTCAAAGGGTCCTGTGCAAACACTGCTCTCTCTCTCTCTGCCACTCAGTTGTAATGACTTATTGATTAACCTCCTGCTTGGTGCCATTTGAGGTCCGTGGAGCTGAGAGCTCAAAAATATCTCTTTCGAACGGGATCATTGTTGTCGTCGAGTTCGAGCGAGTCTCTCCAGGCTCCTCAGCTCTGAAACGGTCTGGCTTCATCGCAAAGAAAAGGATTTGGATACATGAAATCATCGTACAAATCATCTCGGGATGAATCAGACGGGCTTTGTTTACGCTCTGACGTTCCAACCAGTCTCACAAACACACCGGACCGGGCCAGAACAGCTTGCATCAGATCATCTCAGTTCTGCTTTAGGGATCCAGCCAGAATATCAACAAACCATCCGTGCAGCCAGTTATTACCATGATAAGCTGCAGACATCAGTGTCACGTTATAGATTTGGACTTAGATTTAGACTTTGGACATTTTGCATGAATACTGTCCACTTTAAGACCTTATTACCACCGTTATACGTCAGTCTTCATGAAACAGGTCTGAATAATTTGGGTTAAAATCCAATCAAACGTAAATCTGAAGGTTTGACTCTTTTTTTGTGTTCGTCCTCCAGAAATTCAAGAATGTGGACGGGGAGGAGTACCACGCAGACATGTCCACCTTGGCCTCGCCGGCCTCCCAGGGCAGCCCGGACGTCTACATCCTGCCGCTCACAGAGGTGTCCCTCCCTGTGGCCAAACAGCCGTCCAGATCAGGTGAGTCGATGGCGGCGAAAGAGGAGCGCTGAAGCTCTGAATTGAAGTTTGATCTGTTGAACTTGAAGGTCTCGAGGCTCTGGACTGTAAAATATGTGTCCAAGTAAAGATTTTAACTTGTGTTTTAGATCTGCACATTTGAAATAACTCACATTTTAAAATCTACAAACTTCCTCAAACTTCCTCTGAAAAAAAGTTGAACTGAACAAATGAAGTTTGTTCCACTTGAAATGATTTGCTCCGTGTTTTTACAGCCTGAACTCTTTAAAGGAAAATAGTTTCCAATGAAATAAATAAACCGAGGAGAGCTGAAGAGGACGACTTTCTTCACTGAGTCCAGATGAAGTGATTTTAACTTCTCTGATAAATTAAGAAAATGTTCAGAACGGTGGAAAGTTAACAAAAGTCACCAAGAACTTTTTAAGAGAAGGTTCCACAGAGAACTTTTAACCTGTTCTGATGGTTCGTTAAAGAACCTTTGTGGTAGGGCTGGGCGATATATCCTCAAATCAATATCCCGATATATTGATCAGGTCACCTCGATAATGATAAATGGACGATAACTACTCCACAAACTGCTCACCTCCTCCCACATTAACTTTGTCTACTTCAGCCGCTACAACTTTTTCTCCGTCCTTCATCTCCTCACCTGTCTGTCCCTCACGTGACGTAGGACAGCGTCTTAAAGGGACATGAGACCATAGCCTACCTACACACATCCAAAACCAACTTAAATTAATTTATTTATTTTGACACTGAATATACCGATATGAGAAAAATGACGTCGGTTATTGTTGTAAATTTCTTTATCAGTAAATTTTCGGTTTATTGCCCAGCTCTAGTTTGTAGGTTCTCTAAAAAAAACATTTTTGGTTCAAGTTTGGACTTTTTACTTTTCTGAGTGAAGGATGTGGAGAGTGTGATTTCATTATTTCCAGAAAGACTAAAACTCTAAAAATCTCCGAACCCGTACTAAGAGGAGTTGAGTTTGATGCTTCAAAGCTAACGTCTCATTTTCATCATATCCAGAATGGATCCGATCTGAAATGAATTTCGTGGCGGATTACAGACAGCGAGAATCACGAAAACTCACAAGAACCTGCAGATTTCTGTGCAATCGCGCCATAACAAGTTGTCTCTATAAAGACAGACACATAGACATATAAGCAGTAGATTGTGTCCTTCCAGAGGAGGAAATCTACTTCTAGACTTCTAGAATCAGCATCTCCTCATCCATGGTGTCATCATGGTGAAATGACGTCTAAAAACCTTTCACTTGTTCGTCTCCGCCCGTTTGCGTGGTGTGAAATACGATCCTCCTGAAACACGGAGTGTTTTATTTTGAAAAGAAGCCGGATGTTTTATTTTGTGTCTGTGCCCGACTTCCTTTCCAGCACGGGTTAATCTGTGCTGAATTTATCCTGCATGCTCTGGTGTCCAGAAAAATAGAACTCTTGCGATCAGCTGGAAATTGAGACGTTAACTTGAACGGTTACGATCACCTACGATTGGAGAATACGTTCTTTTTGTAGACGTTCTGGATTCAGTGGAAATTGGTGGTTAGTCTCGTTATGAAGTCACGATTATCCCACATTACGTCAGCTGATTGTCACTCTCATCCGTATCAGCTGAGAGCTAAGTTGGTTTTCATCTACAAACTTTTAAAATCAGATCCAGCACCGGCTTAACGAACTAGAAACAAACTCATAATCCTGTCAAAGTCACATCAAATTTGAGTCCCGGAGAGAAAATGAGACTGAAGTTTGAGCCGATAACTCCGACAGGATTCTTGTTTTTAATCATTCAGACACAGAAAAAGAGTTTTGAAGTTTAAAGTTCCCCAGAGGTTCAACACGCCTCCTCGCCGTTTCTGATCAGTCGATCTTTGAAATCCCGTCTCCACGTTTGAACAGATTTGCACGCTCTGGCAGATGAATGGCTGGTCCAAGAACATCCAATCATGATATCACGTTTGATGCTCTGTCACAGCTTCAGATTCACGCCTTCAGTCATTTACTACAAAAACTGATGCAAACCTTACGACGGCTTTGAAAAAGATCCAGAGCCTTTCTCGCACACACGCCAGAACATTTGGAGGGTGTGAGCGTCGTGTCGGAGCGAGGAGGAGAGCTGGTGTTTGTCAAAGTTTGTCCCCGGAGCGAACGCCGCCCTGACGCTGGCCCTGGTCAGCTGGGCCTCCACCTATCCCACAATCCCTCACGGCAGGTCCCCACAGAATGAACTCTGTGCTCTTCAGCTCTCAAACATCTGCCTGTTGCATAATCAGGTCCAGGCGGCCAGCCTACACTGCTGCTCGCAGGAATGTGAAGTATGTGAGAGCACAAAACCCCAGTGAGAGAGCGAGCCGGCGCTCCTCTTCCTCTCTCTGCTGATGTGCGACAATGGAGCTTGTTGTGAGCTAATGGGCTGATGCCGCCCGATAAACTTATGACACTGGGGTGCAGTTAGACTTAATGGATCATACCCACGCAGTTAACCAAGGATTCAATCTGCACCAGAGCTCAGAAACAAGTTCACGTAAACTTCTGCTGTGATTTATTCAGACAGTTTGACCCTCACAGAGCAGGAGATCTGGTTAAGTCGGAGCACGTAAAAACCAAAAGACTCTGAGAAAGTCCTAAATCTCAGCTCCTTCATCTGAATATGTTTGCTCAGTGAGAAACTGTGTGCTGACTTTGTTCTGCGGATGATACAAACCATATGCTCTTACGGCATCGCAGAGGTCAGAGATTCATAACTGCACCTTCAGGACCGCCTCGCCCACTGACATCATGAGAGGAAATGGTTTTTGTTTCTGAGGAGAAACGGAGCGATCGGACTCGTAAATCTCATTTCCTTCACTCTCCTGTTTCCCTCCCACCCCCTGATATCTTCGAGCTTCACTCTGACTGTTCTCGCTCAAGTTGAAGTGAAAGTTAAATATGAACAAACGTTTTATAAGAACGACTTTATAAGAGGATGAAATATGAAAACCAAAGAGCTGAATGTCTAAAGGAGCAGAGAGGGAAACTATGAAAGAGGGTTAGAGCCACAAGAAGAGAAAAAATGATCACAGGAGGGAGATTTTTTTATTTTTAATTTTGAGATTAAAGTTGAAATTTTAAAAAGTTAAAATTAAAAAGATTGAAATTCATAGATACATGTCAATTTCAAGATTAAGAAATCGAAATGACATGATTAAGTCGAAATGTCAACTTTGATCTTAAATTTTAATTTTTTTAATCTCAAATTTTGACATAATTCAAGACATTTAGTAATCTCAATTTTAGCTTAAATCTCAAAATTTCAATTTTAATCTCAAAATTTTGACTTTGTTGATATTATTTCAACTTTTTCAATCTCAAAATTTAGACATTATTCACGATTTTTAATCTTGAAATTTCGACTTTAACTTTGAAATTTCAAGAGTAAAGTAAAAATTTTGAGATTTGAGTTGAGTTGAAAAATCAAAATTCACGAACTAATATGAAGTTCGAGATTAAAAATCGAATTTACATGAATAAAGTCGAAATGTCAATTTTGATCTCTAATTTTAATTTTTTTAATCTTGACATTTTGTAATCTCAAAATTTCAATTTAAATCTCGAAATTTCGACTTTATTGACATAATTTTAACTTTTTAATCTCGAAATTTTGGCCTTCATGTCGAAATTTTGACTTCAATCCCAAAATTCCGACTTTAAACTTTTAAATTTTATCTCGAAATTTCGACTTTAATCTTAAAATTTTAATCTCTTTCCTGTAATCATTTTGTTCTCTCTTCGTGTGGCCCTAATCCTCTTTCATATAAAACACTTGGTTTCAGCTTTTTAAGGAGAATCACTTATTTTTAAACCTGCCTTGACTTTTTATGTCCATGAAACAGAGTGGAGTTCCTCACACGCTCATGGAGAGGCAGGGAGCTCGATTCTACGCAGATGATAACCAAATTTGTAGCAAATCATGTTTTAATCTTTCGTATTTTTTCGCTGTGGTCAGAGTTCGTCCTCAGAAGTTTTAAGAAAGAGATGGAAAAGATGTTTTTCTGGTTATCAGAGACGTGGAAAAACAATCTGGGCCTGAGCTTTTAGAGGAGGTACTTCGATTTGATTGTAGAGAAACGACTGGAGCAGTTTGAAATCATCTTCAAGCATGAGGAGGAGAGAGTCTGGATGTTTAGAAGGTCAACAAAAGAAGTAAGGTCCTCAAATAAACCGAAGCTGCAGACGACAACACAGAGGTTTTAAAGGTGGGGTCCTAAGATTGTGGTCCTGTAGCTGCAGCCTCTGTCTCTGCAGGAAGGCTGTTTGTGCAGCTATGAGAGGATGGTTACTCAGCCGAGTCTAATCCCATCAATATGAAACAGACACGGGTGAAAACCTTAAATATGAGGGCATGACCACGTGAGAAGACGAGCACATGCGATCATATCTGCGGGGGTCTCATGTGGTCTCTGAATAGTCTTGTATTTGTCAGAAAACGCCGCCTCAGAAACCGTGAGTGACGTCATTCAGCAAACCTCCATGTTTTTTTCACAGTAGATCGATTTTCCACCTGTTTTCTGAAAATCTGTGTCCGTCTTATTCTGGACTTTCTTTGTGAAAACCCGGTCCTGTTGGTCCTGGGTCTTCGATTACTGGATTGCCCCTTTGAGTAAACAGGATCTGGATGCTGGTCTGATTCCTGAGCGCTGAGGTCCACATTTTCCCGTCTGTCTCCTGTCGTCCCGCTGTGTTCTGAGCTTGTTGAGGGATTATGTGAATAGGTGGAGTCCCCCTCTTTGAGACATCAGTAATGTAAGAGTTTGGCTCGGTCTAAAGCCTGGTCCCTGAGCAGGACCCGCCCTGATGCAGCTGTTCTGTGCTGCAGGCTGCGTTGTAAAGCCTAATGGAGCTCACACCCATTCAGAGAAGACATGTAAACAGCTCCACTAAGTGAAAACACACACAGAGAAACACACAAGGAGCGATCGGAGGAAAACAAGGAGAGTTTCAAGGTCAGGTGACGTCACAAACACCCACCTGAGACCCTCACCAGGTACAAAAACACGAGGCGTGAACTTGGATGATCGTGGAGGCTGGACTCAGATGAACTGGACTGGACTGGAGTGGAGTGGAGTGGAGTGGAGTGGGGGAGTTTAATGTGAATTCCATTAGACTCTTGAGTGCTTTAGCTGCTGTGTGTCTCTGCAAACACTTCCTGGATCCTGTCGAGATCAGAGCAGACGCACTCTTCAGAGAGAGGGACGCTCAGAGGTGAGGGGAGAGAGCAGACGGACCGAGACGATGACACCATGGATGAGGAGATGCTGATTCTAGAAGTCCAGAAGTAGATTTCCTCCTCAGGAAGGACACAATCTACTACTTATATGTCTATGTGTCTGTCTTTATAGAGACGACTCGTTATCGCGCGATTGAACGTGAATCTGCGGGTTCTTGTGATTCCTGTAATCGCCACAAAATTCGCCTCACAAACGGATCGGGTAGGAATTGGCGGTCAGCGAAGATCTACGCCATTCCAGATCTTCGCCGTTCCAGATTCAGTGAAAATTGGGGGTTAAGACGAATATATGATTTCTCCGTAAGACAAAGAGCAAACTCAGCGTCCGTTTTTATAAAACCAAAGAGGTCTTTAAACTGATGTTTTAATCCCTGAGTGTCCTCTCGGCCCTCGTTGTCTCTTCATCATTATGAATTTTCGAGGTTAGACCGATGGCGTAGGTGTGACCAAAGCTCGCCACTGTTATCTCCAAACTCAGTTCATTCTTCTGTCACACAGCAGCAGCTGGATAATAGCTCCAGTGTGTGCTCACTAACTGGTCCTAACTGGTGCCATGCTGCCCTACGCGGACAGACAATGGCGGTTATTCTGCGTCAACCCAGAGAGAGAGCGTGAGGGCGTGTAAGGAATGACCAGCCCGGGGAAGGAGACAGGGGCGTCCAATATGGCCTCCACACAGTAACGGGCCTGTGTGGCGGTCTGAGAGCTCCACAAAGACGTGTCTGTCTGAGTCTGAGTGTCATCGTGGGAGACACAAAGGGGACAGAGGGGGACGGATGGATGGAGAGGGGGGAGAGAGAGAGAGAGAGAGAGAGAGAGAGACGGGGGAGGGATGCTGCTGCCGTCAGTGCGGTTACGTTTGGCTGAGCCGGGACGGGACGGTCTGTCGGGCGTGTGCAGCGGGCAGGAAGGACGCAGGTCATCGCGGGATGCTGACAGAGATGCATGATGGGGCAGGAGGACGGTCGGACAGACTCGCCGGTGCCTGAGTCGGCTCGATACGGAGGGAGAGAAACATTCGTTTGCTCTGGGAAGATAAGAAACCTCCACAGGCATGCTGGGAAAATTTCCTTTAAGGAGTTTAGAAAAGATCGATCGGACAGGATGGATCAGGGCGAGGCCTCCTAACTTCCTGTAAACGGTGCGTTACGTCATGTTCGTGTTATTTCTGTGTGATTATTATGATGATTTATTCAACAAAAAAAAAGAGTTTTAAAGCTTCTGTGGGGAGTTTTCGAACCTCGATAAAACAGACTGAAGTTCACATTGATGCTTTTTTATGAAATCCAGAAACAAAACAGATTATCGCTGACATAACGTCTGAAGTTTTAACGCCTGAGACCGATACAGGAGGTTAGATACCACTGAGGAGCTGAAAAAAACCCACAAAAATGATTCACACTTGATGTCAGAGTCAGCAGGATGAGTTTATTTTGGCAGGAGAATGTCGAGGACATGAGGAGCAATGACCGCTTTGTCCACAGGGGGCGTCAAAGTCGACACAAACTGAAAAATCCTCACAGGAGCTTTAAATTTAAGTTTTTCTAAGTACTTGATTCTAGTTCAAAGTTTCATCGCCACGTCTCCTTAAACAGAAGAAGAATGTGCAGTGTGGACTTTAAGACATAAACTGAAGTTTATTTATAATACGGATGAAACGTGTCGAAGGTCAAACAGAAGATCAGCAGGAAACGAAGCGTTCATTAAGACGTTTGCAGACGGTGATTCACAGAAATCGAGTCCAGAAAGTTTGACGACATTAAATCAGTAAATCCTCTCAGCTCGGCGTGTGAAGAGTGATTTTTAGAGGATATAATGAAACTTCTGTCTCAGTGTAATCATCTATTTTCCTCATCTTGTGTGTCTCTTCTGTTTCATCTTTCTGCAAAAACAGAATTCCTAGTCCGTGTTTTTCTCTTATTTGGAGTAAAAGTGTAAATTCAGCATAATTTGATACACGTTCGCCTGAAAAAATGTCTTATTTCAAGATATTAAACAACATGAATAAGACCTGATTTGATCTGCCAAAGGAAATGAAGACAAAAATCTCCATCATCAAATTCTTGAAATGAAACATCTTCTTGTTTTCAAACATCTTCAAGCTTGAACAGATTTTTTTTTTACTTCATTGACAGATTTTTCTTTTACTCATCTCAGGTATCTCAGGTTTTTGTTCAGTACTACCTTGGAATAGATGTTTTTAAAGTCTTTTCAGGTGAATTTAGCTGAAATCAAAACTAACACGACACTTTTTACTCTGAGTAAGACAAAAAAAACAAGGATTTCAGCTTTTACTTCTTTATCTGTTTCCTGCGTCTTTTCAGTCTGACTGATAATTTGTTGATGAAACTTTGGACGAAGTTTCTTAACCTCTCGATCAGACGAACATCTACGTCATCTGACGCTCCGATCTACGTCACTTTGGAGAGTTTGCTCAATAAACCCTGAACAGTACAACATTGTTTAAGTCTCCATACTTTGTAGAATAAGCATATGGAGAAACTCACAGTTTTCTCTCTTCCATGAGCCGAGTATCGACCGTCTATTACACAACAAAGCTGTTCTCCAGAGAGGAGCAGTGAACTGGTGTCTCTAATCTCTGCTGAGCTCAGATTTAAAGGTTACGACAGACAAACAAAACAGAAACCACTCATGATTTAGATGATACAACTTTAGATTTGACGGCTAAAACAAAAAGACAAAAAGACAACTCAGTTCTCCGGAGAGGAATAAAAGTCAAAGTCTGGAGTGAGGACGCTGAATCTCTTCCTCTCGAGTCCAGCAAAGGAAATGAACCCACATGGACTTTAACGGATGAGTGAATGTGTAATTACTGAGATTTGACGACGATGATTTCCAGCATTTATTTCTGTGTTTTTCAGCCCCGTTTCTTCTAAATCCTAAGACATGTTTCCTGAAGTTTTGAGCCCTCAAACCCCAGTTTTCAAACTCCATTTACAAAACCTCTGATTTGACTGAGGAAATCAAACAATCACATCAAACCGATTTTCTCAAGTGTTCAGAATCAAACAGGAGCAGTCAGAATAAAAATAAAAAACACACTTCCCAGCGGGCTTTAGAGCACAAAACACAAAACAGAAAACACAGCAGACAGAGAGACGATTTTCAGACAAAAACAAGCAAAAAACTGTGTTTTATTTCCATGACTGCCAATGCCGTTCAATTCTACTGAATAAATATTTAAAAAGAGAAACTTTTGCACAGCTGGGCTAGAGCGAAAAATCAAAACACACAGAACAAAGACGACTGTACGATGTTGTCTGCTCTGCAACTCCAGGGTTTTCTGTGTGGACTCAAGACTCAGACATTCATCACAATCAGCTGTTGATTATTGTGATTATGATTATTATTATTATCATCATTGTAATATTGTATTATTTATTATTATTATTATTATTATTATTGTTATTATAATTATTATCATCATTGTAATTATTATTATCTATTATTATTATCATCATTGTAATATTGTATTATTTATTATTTATTATTATTATTATTATTATTATTATTATTATTATTATTATTTATTTTTTTATCATTATAATAATAATTATTTTTGTTATTATTGTTATTATTATTATGATTATTATTATTCTCGTTTTTATTTTATTTTTATTATTATTATTATTATTATTGTTGTTGTTATTATTATTATTATCGTCATTGTAATTATTATTATCTATTATTGTTATTATTATTATTATTATTGTTATTATTATTATTGTTATTATTATTATCATTATTATTATTCTCGTTTTTATTTTTATTATTATTATTATTAATATTATTATTTTATTATTGTAATTATTATTATGTTATTATTATTATCATTATTATTTTCCTTATTATTATTACTATTATTATAATCAGTAACAGAGCAGCAGACTCAGCATCTGTCATTGTCAGACTGTACTCCAGCTGCGTTTGCAAAGATGGTAACTACAGAGACAGAGTTTCACAGTTTTTAGTTTTTAGTTTCTGCAGTCTAAACTTTATTATTCTGGTTTTAAAGACAGTTTCCTTTCTCGTCGTGAGTTATTTCTGTTTGTGCACAAGTCACCACCCCCCCTTTGATGAGGTATTAAGTTGAAAACGATCTCAAAATCACTCATAACTGACTTTTTAGATGCATAATGTGCATTTTTCCCCAACATCCATCATTTCCTCATTTTTTAATGGTCTGAAAATCTATTCCCTAAATGCTCAAGTCTGCTCGAAAAGTGCGATCAATCACAACAGACTGCAGCGGTGTTATTTATCATTATTGCTGTGTGATTACTTTAAAGGGAGATTATGTGAGAAGATGCGACACATTATGGTCAAAGTATTGCTGACTTATTGTTCAGAGATGTTTATTCAGCGATATTCATGGAGTTCAGTTTAAAGAAGAATCACTCAGACTCTCTCCTCTCTCTTCTCGCCCTCCAGTCCAGCTCCTGAAATCCTCCGATCTGGGCCGCCACAGCCTCCTCTACCTGAAAGAGATCGGGAATGGCTGGTTCGGGAAGGTAAGCTCACTTCTGACATTTCAATCTTCATAACGTCCCGTCGGGGATTCTGACAGTCGCTCCTGATGTCCGTGCAGCTACCTGTCAGGTAGATGAATCGCAGCGTCAGTGACTGTTAGGTCTCGGCTGTGATCCGGGTCGTGTTCAGGACTGAGTCGGTGGAGGAGAGCTCAGCTTTCCTCACACCTGTTAGCCTGTTCTTACAAACCAGATAACGTGTTGTCGTCTCTTCCTCTCTCTCTCTTTGTCTGTTTCTCCTTCTTTTCATATCGTTCACTCATGAATTCACATCCATCCTCTTCATCCTTGTGTACCTTGACTGGGTATGTCCATCTGTTTGTCTGTTTGTCCGTCTGTCTGTGTCTGTGTCTGTGTCTGCTTTTTCTCTTGGTTGACCTCCTGCATGGCTGCCGCGTCTGCGTTTGTCTCGATCATCCCTCGTCTTTGCTTTCTTTTGTTTCTCTGTGCCTAAATGTCTCTTTGTTCGTCTGTCCGTCCGTGCATCTTCCTCTGTGTGTACATGCGTCTGTCTGCACTGTTTCAGGTTCTGCTGGGGGAGGTGAACACAGGCCTAAAGACCACCCAGGTGGTGGTGAAGGAGCTCAAGGCCAGTGCCAGCGTTCAGGACCAGATGCACTTCCTGGAGGAGGCACAGCCTTACCGGTACAAACTCACCTCCGTCTTTACCTTAAAGGGAAAATTAAGTTAGGGTCAAACACACCCTAACACAGAGTTATCGAGAGATGAATGTTGCCGACCGCTTGCTTGCAGGATATCAATACACAGAGCCACGCCCTCAACCAAAACGCCACTCTATAACCACAAATAATGCTCAGAACAGCACCTAACTTCATCAACAGGACATAAAGGGTCCCAGTCATAGAACTAGACACCAAACATCTTTTTAACTTTGACTCATTTCTTTAGCAAAGAGAGTAAACACAACTCACCTACTCTCTTCCAGCAGCCGACCTCGGGCGAGTCCATTACGGACTACAGTGGGGTGTCACAGCTCAAGGAAGAACATTTATGATCATTTCTTCATGGAAATACAATCAGACCGAGACGCTAAGACAGAAGAATCTTTTCTCTTATTTCTGCTTTTCTGTCTTTTTAGCTTTTAGCAAATCAACCCGCTGCTGCACCCGCAGTAGAGGCGGTTATAAAAGTGAGACCGGGTCACTGTGGAGCAGCAGAGCAGACAGGGCGGAACAGAAAGTGTGTGTTTGTGCACGCCTGAGTGTGTTTGTGTGGAGCATTTGTTGTGTTTAGTGCCTCTTGCGCTTCTGCAAAGCAACAACGCTAGGACACTGCTGCGCTGAGGAATCATGGCGGTAAAACGACACAACAACACGCCATGACATCACACTGAGGGGCGACATTATTGCACTTTTGCATAATCATCAAAGGTTTAATAGCATACTGGGACACCGATTGTGCACCTTTGCAAATCATATCAAAAGTACAAAAGAACCATGTGATGGACTGGAATGAGTGGCGTTTTGGTTGAGGTTTGTTTACGGCTCCTCAGACCTCTCTGTATTGCTATCCTGTGGTCGTTACTAAAGTTGGTATAACTAGAGAAGCAAGCGGTCGGCGACATTCATCTCTTGAGGCGTGTCTATGGCGTGTTTGACCCCTATCTTAATTTTACGCCGGAATATCCCTTTAAAATTGTACATATTCATGCACAGAAATGTACAGGATGTTCTCCGAAACTACTAACTGTGTGAAAAAAAAATAACATCATAAAGTTGGATCACAGTTGGAGGACTTTTTCTCTTGCATCATTCGAACCCTTTCAGCAGCAGCAGCATGTTCAGATTTACTCTCTGTCTATGATCTCATGTCCCCTCCTCTCCTCTCCTCTCCTCTCCTCTCCTCTCCTCTCCTCTCCTCTCCTCTTCAGGACCCTGCAGCACCCGGCTCTGATGCAGTGTTTGTCCCAGTGCACCGAGGTCACTCCCTACCTGCTGGTTATGGAGTTTTGCCCGTTGGTGAGTATCCAAACCCGCAGGTCAGGTGTGGTTAGAAGAGCTTTCAGCGTGTGTGAAAGAGATTAAGTAACATCTGAAGTTAATACACACTCTGAGAGTCGACACAAACCCCGCTGTGTTCGCCTGCTGGAAATCTGTCACTTCATTTAAGGGCTTTAATAAAATCACTGTGGCATGAGCGTGCCTCTGCCTCCAAGTGTTCTCGCTGAAGCCTGAACCACAACTGCTCTATAGGGTTCCTTCAATTATTCAGTGTGACGTAGAGTTTATGTGCTGGAGTTCGTCTTCTGACCTTTCCTTTCAAAGTCTGCAGGACATCCTTAAACGAATCCAGCGCTTTAAGTGGATTGAAAACTTCCTGTAATATTTAGGCTATGACTTTTTATTGCTAATAACTTTTGGCAATGGGAACGATCTTGGCAGCCGCTTTAAATATTTGGCAGACAGACTCAAAGTCACCGATACATCACCCGACACTTGTACCACTCAGGCTGCGGCATTAAATCCAGCATCAACGACACAGGACGGATCAGAGCTGCAGATTTATGACGTTTATTTGTGGAGACGTGGAGGAGGTGATCTGAGGACAGAGGGCTGGAGTCCCTCTAATTTAGATCGATTGGTGTTTAATCACCACATGTACGATGTTCATCCATTCATACACTTCAAAAAAGGAATTTCAAGAAAGAAAAACAGCCTCGTAATGAGGAAATAAGTTTATTCTTTGTACAAAGAGAATATTAATCTTGTCAAACATGTTTGGCATTAAGAAAATTATGTAATTTGAAGAGAAAATGTAGAAACTTTTTCTTGGTAAGATATTTCAGCTAATTTTGAGACAGAATGAACCAGAAATCCAACGGAGCAACAAGATCATTCATCTCATTTTAAGAGTGAGACAAACGTACAACTTCTCAATTTAAGAACGCCATGAAACAAGAACAGCTGATTTTTGTTTTTATTAAGATTTCCATTGTACGCTTGCTCTCCACATGTTTGTTTGTGGAATAAAAAATATATATTTAATGAGAATGTTTTGGTATCTTGATTTAAGACAATGTCACTTATATTTGCTGTTTTAAGAGATGATGTCTTCTCTGATCTTCTGTCATGTTCATTAAGCCTTCACAGACATTTGTAGACATGCTTATTTCTAGATTTAACAATCTTAATTCTAGAAATCTGGTCAAGTAAAATGATCTTGCTGCATGGACAGATAATTTTACCTGTTTTTAGTCCTTTTCCCTCAGATTTAGTGTTATATCTTGTTTTTAGACCCCTTTTTTGCAGTGTAACGATTTGAATCTCTCCGTTTGCTCTCATTTATCTGATCAGACGTGTTTTTGTTGAAAACCTGAGGACAATATTGAACTTTCATGAACTTCTGTGACTTCAGCATCAAATTCACAAGATTGAATAAGAAACAGTCGACTGCACAGACACATGATAAGGCTGCCCCCCAGTGGTCAGAGGCTGTAACATACAGCTGTGTATCTCTCCTCACTGTGTCCAGGGTGATGTGAAAGGTTACCTCCGGAGCTGCAGGTCTGCAGAAACCATGACCCCTGAGCCCCTGATCCTTCAGCGCATGGCCTGCGACATCGCCTCAGGACTCCTGCACCTTCACAAACACAACTTCACTCACAGGTATGAAGATGTTTCAGTCATCCAACATTTACACAACCACGACTCTGGGATACTGAGCTGGTATCTGTTCGTGATCTGCTAAATCTCTCTTTTGCTTTGGTTACTTCCTGGAACAATATCCTGGTGCTGCCTGAGTGTTGTTTATCGACTCCAGCATCAGTGATTTTGTTGCAGGCGGTGACCCGTCACCTCCAGAGCGATTTAAAGCTCCAGTCAGCACATTTTAGCCTGATTTTCACGAGATTACACTGAACCAGACCGGCTGTTTTAAACATAAACACCGCTCTGTTTGTTTGAAGACGATCTGTAACCTCTCCTTCTCTCTTTGTCACCAGCGATCTGGCTTTGAGGAACTGCTTGTTGACGGCAAACGTCTCAGTGAAGATCGGAGACTACGGTCTGTCCCACACCAAGTACAAGGTCTGTTCACCCAAACGCAGACATAACTGAGTTTCTTTGCAGAACTAATTTCTGCAGACAGTTAAATCCTCTGTGATTAAAATCAGAGGTGAAAGTCAAGTGTGTGAGTGAATACTGAGCTGATTATGTTAGTCCCTGAAGTGTTCACATCTAAAAACATATTTATGTTGACTTCATCAAAATAAGTTACAGCAGATTTCACAGCTTTAATTTCAGGCCAATATTTGCCACTAATCCAGACCTGCCGACACCCCCGTTTTCCAGGACTCTCCCGTATTTCAGACCTGTCTCCCGCCCACCTCCCGTATTGTCATTTCTCCTGGTACTCTCCTGTAGTTTGATGATCCATGTTTATTCATGAATCGGATCACTATATCTGTCCAAAGATTTTCCTGTGTTTCTGCTAAAACACACCTTTTAAAATTGACTTTTAACCTGAACTGTTCTTTTATTATCTTCTCATATTGTGTCTTTTTTAACCTTTTTACATCGTTGGTTTTATTTCTCAAAATTTTCTGTTTTTTAAATTGTTTTTTATTTTATTTTCTTCTTTGTAAGGCGTCTTTGAGCACCTGTAAAAGCGCGTTATAATTAAATTTATTATTATTATTATTATAATTTGGGATGATTCAGGTTAAAGCTGTAAACTGTATCTAAGCAGTGTTTGTTACAAAAACGAGATATAATATTTACGTTGACAGTCTTGCACCATTGCGTTCAGGGCAGCCTCAGACAAAAGAGTGCTGTATTTCACACACAGATGTTCAGAGAGACTCATACAGGAGAGCCTGTAAAATATATAAGGACTTAAACACTTATATATCGTAGCTTTTATTTTTTATAACCATTTTTTATTGTTAAAACTAAACAGAAAAGTGTTCAGCTTCACTTCTAATCGGATGAGCAATTTAATTACAAACATTCTCTTAATTAGCTCATATCCATCATACAAGGTAACCCCAAAACTACCTGGCGCGCATCGCAAAAATCCTTTCCATAACCCCAATGTTGGCAGGTACGCACTAATATGCTTGTGCAAATACTGCCTGTTATGTGTTCTCATGAAAAGAGAGGGACAGGTATTTTGAGTGTGACATGAGCGCCCTCTGCTGGGTGCCCTCTGAAAATATGTCCATGACAATAACTCACACAGGAGATCATCAACTCTGTCACTGTTGATAATCTTCCTCTCTTTCTCTTTCTCTCTCTCGTTGTTCCCCGTCAGGATGATTACTACGTGACCTCAGATCAGATGTTCGTGCCGCTGCGCTGGATCGCTCCAGAGCTGGTGGACGAGGTCCACGGAAACCTGCTGGTGGCTGAGCAGAGCCAACAGAGCAACATGTGGTAGGAGAAGAAATCTGTTATTCAACTGAGCTGAACTCTAATATGCAGCAAAGTTGAACATTTTGCATTAAAAGTTTCTGCTGTGTTGTGTTTTGTTTTCTAAAATCTTGATTCCGTGCTGTCCTGTGGCGTTCTCAGGTCTCTGGGCGTGACGATCTGGGAGCTGTTTGAACTCGGTAATCAGCCCTACAGACACTACTCTGACAGGCAGGTCCTGACCTACGCTGTGAGGGAGCAGCAGCTCAGACTGCCCAAACCGCTGCTCAAAGTTCCCCTGGCTGAGCGCTGGTGAGATGAAACACCTTCAGAGGAAAGAAACTGATCTCAGGACTATATAAAGAAGTCAACAAATTAAAGGGCAACAAAACAACAAATATATAAAAGAAAAATGTTATCAGAGGAGGAATGGGAGAATGTGAATGAAGGACAGTGGAAAACAACATGAAAATATAGTTGGAAGAATATTTTGAGATGACACGATGTTGGAGACGATGTGGGGAGAATAAGGTCGATCATTTTCATATATTTTTGGGGATCCTCTGGTTTTATACCTTATTGGCAGGAGATGAAGAAGAGTATGGACAAAAAATTTGAAAGTGCAACCTCCACTTAGATTTGAAGTTTTATATTTGGGAAAAGAGAACCAGGAGATAACAAGGTCAGGAGAAAAATACAGATTTCCAATAATGTTGTTGGCGGCTAAAAAGGCCATCAGAAGAAATTGGCTAAAAACAGATGCACCAAAAATCGAGGACTGGGTCGAGATAATGATCGATATATATAGAATGGAGAAGCTGGCTTTCTCATCGTGACTTAAAACAGATACTTTTAAAAACTACTGGAAAAACTGGGTTGATTTTGTGTCTCATTAGGGAGCAGACTTTGTGCAGTAAAGACATTAAGTATTGTAGACTATTGATCCCTAATATGTTTATTATGTTTAACCTCCAACAAGAGAAAATGTAAGAGAAGAGTGAAAATAAGGACGAGTGAAAAGGGTTTCATTTTACTCCACAGTTATTCTACTGTAACTTTGCTTGAGAAGTTTATGTCTAACTATATCTCTGGGGGAAGTACGCAAATATTCTATACAGTTGGAAATTTGGAATATTGATATATGAAATCAATAAAAAAGAAACACCTTCAGAGACACCTTAAAAAATACTGAACAGTCCTTTAGTGGAAAAGCAAACAGGGTAGAAGGAAACATTCAGAGCGACACGATTGAATTCCCTCCAGAACGAGTAGATTCTGTTTTTTTTCTGTCTAATTACTGATCATCCCTCTGGATTTGCTGTGTTGTAATGAGGACAGTTATCCAGTCCTCCTGTTGTTCTACTCTGTTATTACAACTTAGCTAAATATCTTTAATTATCCAAACTGATTTGGACGCACAGAAAGCAGATCACAAAAAACAAAATTAGTTTTGAGGAGTTTTTCATGTTTTCCGTCTGTTTGCGCTCTCAGGTACGAGGTGATGCAGTTCTGTTGGCTCCAGCCCGATCAGAGACCCACTGCAGAGGAAGTCCACCTGCTGCTCAGCTACCTGTGTGCCAAGGGGGCCAGTGAGGCCGAAGAGGACTTTGAAAGGCGATGGAACTCAATGTGTCCCAATACTGGATTCAACAGTCACCACGGTGCCTCGGCAATGTCACGAGACCACCCCTCGTCCACCAACTCCTCTTTCCCTCTGCTGGAGCAGATTACATCTGGTGATGGATACCAGTCGGAGTCAGGGGATGATATCCTCACAGTCACTGAGACCAGCCATGGCCTAAACTTTGAGTACAAGTGGGAACAAGCCAGAGCAGACCAGTCCTACAGAACCCCAGACTCCTCTAATACCATAGGCCAGGTCAACCACCACTGTCAGGAAGCATTTTACCCACCAGGGGGCATCGTAGGTGGCTGTCCCATGGAGAACCACAGCCATGGAGTCTCTCCATCTTACTACCAATCAAAGCACCTCCACGCTCCAGGTGTGCTCCCTGTCCTCAGCGCTCACAGCCCATCAGTGGGCAGTGAATACTACATCCGGATTGAAGAGCCAGTGGACTGCAACATTGATCTGGACTACACCATGTGCTCATACAGCCCAGACTACCAGGGCAGCAATGGAAGCTTCCTGACTGGGAGTGCAGACTCAGGTGAATGCATGGCGTGCCCGTCACAAGCCAAGACCATAGGTCCCTATTGGTCAGCTGACTTGCATAAAACAGATGTGTACGACTCAAATGACTCTAGTCCTGCGATCTCCCTGACCATGGAGCCTCTTTTGGGGCAGGTGACTGAAAGCAGCCCATTACGACCCTGGGAGTCAAGTCACTATGTGTCCTACAAAGACAGAGATGGGGGTTACTACTACGAGCACTCGCCCTCTTTGGGAATAGATAATTTTATGATTGGTAGTGCGCTCTCCAGAGATCACCATCGGGAAAGCTGGGGGTCAAGGAGTCTGCGCCAGGCCTTGGGTGAACTGGAAAACCCCCTCGGTATATCTCCCTCTGTGAACAGTCCGCCCCAACAGGCCTTCAGAGACACTTACCTGGAAACAAGTCAGAGCTCAATCATCGGGAAGAACGTGACCGGAGGTTACTACGACATGATGGGCTCGCTGAGGAAGACCATGCCCAGTCACACCAGGCACACCAGCCACTCAGTCAGTATTAACATGGAGACAGAGGGGGCGCTCTTCATCGGACACAGAGACAGTGACTCAGAGGAGGAAGAGGAGGACATATTTGTGGAAAGACACACCTGCAACACTTGGCCTTCGAAACACCGCCACAACAGCGGGGGTCACCACAGACGAGCGAGCCACAGCTGCAGGCAGGATGCCTACGTGGATTTCCACTACACAATGCCGAGTACGGACATCGAGGACTCCTGGCCGGAGCAGCACAGCCTGGCCTTCCACTCTCTACCCAAACCCATTGACTATCTCGAGCCCCACCAGGTGAAAGATAACAGTGCCTGTCTTAGTCTGAGCAAACACCATGCCATGGTGCCCTCAGACAACTGCAATGCCTACATCTACCTGTGCCATGAGGCTGAGACTCAAGTCCCGGCACCTGCAGAGTGCTGCCACTCGCACTTTGTAGACCCGCTTACAGGCCTGCTGGTCAGAAACAACAGTTACAGCCACAGTTACAGTCCCGGCAACTACATCAGTGATAAGGTCATCGACATCCAAAGCAGTGAGGAAATGATCAATCTGTCCCCAGCTCCGGGGGGACCCATTGTGCCCAAACCTGCCTTGATGAAGACTGAGGAGAGAAGAGAGCAGTACGTTGACCTCATCGTCGGTGACACATCACTCAAGGAGAAGAGGGAGGATGTAATCAAAGAAAATCCAATCATGCAAAAACCCACAGAGCCCAGGACAGAAGAGGTGACCCTGACGACGACTAAAGCCGCCCCACCTCCATCTGACAACATGCATGTGATGGTGGCGCTCACAGATTCACAGTCTGAGCTGAGCCACACTGCAGATAGCGGTGTCGACCGAGGAGGCTCCACTGTGAGCCTCGCCGACATCCTGGACTGCAGCGATGATGACGAGGAGGATGACATGACAGACGATATCACAGACGTCACTTCGGGCATCTTTGCAGACGAGTCCAGCGAGCTGAACGCTTCGCCTGCCTTCAAGTCTCTCCAGAAGCAGGTAGGAACTCCAGACTCCATGGATTCAATGGATCTCCCGTCTGCTACAGGATCTTGTGAAGGTCTGAGTCCTGCATCCTCCCACCCTTCCAGCTCTCCAAAAGCTATGGACAGTGGCTATGACACAGAAAACAACGAGAGCCCGGAGTTTGTGCCCAAAGAGCCTCATGATCCCCGTGATCAAAGTCTCGGGAAGCCAGCCCTCGATAAGAGTCTGGAGGGAGAAAATCTGCTGAAAGAGCAAGACGAGGAGGCTGATTTAGAGCGGACAGAAGAGAAACCATTACTGGGTGAAGATTTGGCCTTAGACCCCCCACAAACAGGTGACCACATCCTCCTACCACTGAGCGACAAGACTCCCTACAGAGACTCTGCCTATTTCTCAGACTATGAGAATGAGAGGCAGTCCAGAGATGAAGGGGATGAACTTTTAGAGAGGGTTAGTGATGGACAAAGTATTCAAAATGAGCTCCACGTCGAAGAAAAGAAGGGAGAGAAAAGGAAGAACGAAGAGGAGGAGGAGGAGGAGCCAACGGAGAGTGAAGCAAATAAAGACATAAAACTTGAACTGGAGGAGATGATAACTGATGGAGCAGACTTGTCCTCTTCAGCGGAGGTGGAGGCATACCTAACCGAGGATTGTGATGAAGATGAGGTGCTGGGTTTGGCTCTGGAGCCCTCTGACAGTGCTTCAATATCTGGGCTGGATGAATGGCCATCTCAAGAGGAGAGCTCCTCCCTGGGGGACTGGGCGGCAGAGGTGGTAGGGGCCATGGAGGAGGCTCTTGGTGCCTTGAACGGAGATCTTCGATCAAGTGTCATTGTTGGAGAGGAGGAGGAGGAGGAAGAGGAGGAGAAAGAGGAAGAGGAGGTCACAAAAAACTCTTTAGAGGAATTAGGAACAACTGAAGAGTTAGCAGATAAGAGCACTCCAAACAGGCCCTCAGGAACATCCCCTTTACCCAAAGACGAGGTGGCCCTGCAGCACTCTGCAAACACCAGGCGCTTCTCCTCTTCATCCCCTCCACCTCCATCAACTCCCCCTCCTCCCCTTCCAACGGCAGACGGCCGGGCATCGCCAGCCGACGGAGAAGAGGCAGACGAGGAGGATGGCGACACCGATGACAGCGATGAATCCGACGAGGAGCTGAGGACCTACAGCGTGCAGGAGCAGAGCGCGGGGGAGGAGAGCGAGGATGAGTGCCACCCGGTGCCCATCGTGGTGAGCGACAACAGCGACGCTCACAAACTGCGCAGCCTCCTCAAGATGCCGATCCTTCTCACGGCGGAGAACATCGAAGAGGAGCTGGACCGCAAGAAGAAGACGGTGTCCTTTTTCGACGATGTCACCGTCTATCTGTTTGACCAGGTGAGAGGTGCTCAGAGTGTTTTCATCGTCTAATCTGAAGGTTTGGGTACGAGCTTCTGTTCCTCATACTCGGCTTGTTTTGACTTCTGTGCCTCTTAACTTTCTTTTTTGATGTTCTGCTGCCCCCTGCTGGAAGCTTGTTTGAAGTGACTCAAGCTGTGTTAAATGAACTTCCTCTTGTATTCTGTTCCACCAGGAGAGTCCTACTAAGGAGCTGACTGAACATGGCTTCCCATCAGGAACAGAAAGTCAGAGCTCCAGGAGCAAATCCCAGGACAGGGTCAACGCTTCAGACGACTCTTCAGATGGGAACGTCTCAGAGGAGAGTACGTACAAGGATGAATTTTTGGTTGATGTAATAACAATGAAGTGATCAGACTTCAAGTTTCCTCATTGAGAAATTATCACTTATTAAAAACTGTTTGTCTCGTCTTTCTCAGGTGCAGGGTATGAGTGGGAGGATGACTTCCCTCTGCTGCCTCTACCAACTTCTTCAGCGACGTCTGACTCCCCTCCACCTCGCACTGTCCCCAAACCTCCGAACCCTAAACCAGCTGTACAGTTCTCCCGCTTCACCGTCTCCCCCTCCAGTGTTTCCCGTTTCTCCATCACTCACATCTCTGACTCTGATATGGACTCTATGGGAGGTGAGGAACCTAAAAAAACAACCTGTCTTCAGTTTTAGTGAATAGGGATGAGACTTTAGAGACATAATTCATGCAGAAATGTCCTGTAACCTGTGGTAGAGAAGGTGAGCTGAGAGTTAGGTCAGGCAGGGCACCAAGTTATGCTCCGCCCATCAGCTAATCTGAATGCAAAATGTGAAAATGGGAATTTTAATTAATCAGCTTTAACGTGCCTGCTCTTCCTGCTTTCTTTGCAAACTACTTTGCAACCTTCCACCACCTCAGTTCTTCCTTTTTATGTTTCTGTCTGATTGTACCAGGGTCACATGTATTCTCACTGGTGCATGCTCTGTTCTATCGTCTTGGGTCTTTGCTGCTGCTCTCCCTGCCTTGACTTTTCATGTATGGATATGAAAGACAGTAGAGATGTGCTCTCTCTATGCTTAAGTTGTCTAATTTGACCAGTGCTATATGTAAGGTCTCTGATGCCGTCCCTGCATCTTTGCTGATGTTCTCCCCGCATTGGCTCTTCGTGTTTGTACTAGTGCTGCAACTAACGACTATTTTTTTGTCGACTAGTCGTCCGACTAGTCGTCTGATTAATCACGATTAATCACTCTCTTCTTTGTTTATAAACACCTATTTCCGGGGTGTCAGCGTTTCAGGTGCTCATGCATCGCCGTGGTGCTGCCATTGTAGGAAAGCTGAGCTTTGATCAACGTGTTTTTTTGGTTTGTTCTCCGTAAAATGTTTCCAAACTTTGGAAGTTTTGGGTCGGCGTTTTGGAGCGTCTTTTTCGGTTTGTCCTGCCATAATGTGTGCACTCTTCTTCTGTGTTTACTCGCGAGATGTAAACAGCGAGCGCTACTGCCCCCAGCACATCCTGTAGTGCACTGCAGTTATAGATAAGCATGAGGCGCCGGCATGTGATTCTTAACAACAATAACACGACGCGTCGACGCGTCGTTTTATTGTCGATTAATTTGTCGTGTCGACGTAATCGATTACGTCGACTAATCGTTGCAGCCCTAGTTTGTACAAAGATGTTCTCCCTTTACTTCAAGTGTCTAACTTTTCTTGGATCATATGTATTGGGTCTATTGTCCACCCCTGTTTCCACCCCTGGGATCTTTGCTGATGGTCTCCCTGCCTTGAATTTAGTTCATACACATGAAACAGAGGAGATAAGTTCTCTTCCTGTCTCACGTATCTAATTTTATCAGTATTTTATGTAAAGTCACTGATTCTCTCTCTGCTCTGTACCTTCGGGGTCTTTGCTGCTGATCTCCCTGCACATGAACAGAGGGGGAGGTGTGCTCTCAATCTTTAACATTCCCTGTTTGCAGGTGGAAGGGCAGGTAGCTCTCAGAATAGACTCACAAGACCAAAAGAAACTGAATATTTACAAATATTAGGAATCTCTTTTTAGTCAAACTCTTTCTCCTCTCTGATGCATGAATTTGTATTCACTGACTCTCTTTGTCTTGCTCTGTATTTGCAGGAAGCAGTGAGGACGGGGACAAAGAGTAGAGGGCTGTGGAGACTCACAACTTGGCCTGCTCGCATGAATTCTGATTTATTTTGAACATCAGGTTTTAGAAACCCAAGACAGTGCCTCTTATCGCCCGTGGACACTTTCAGAGGTTCTTCTTGCCACAAAGTTGGACCTCAGCTGTTTAGAATATCAAAAAGAGTATGGTTAATATATGAAATTTACAGAATATTAATATATACTGTGTGTATGATATAAAGAAAGCAGGGGAAACTTGTTGAAATCTGCATATTTTTGGGATCAAAGAGATACAAAGAAAGGACAAATGTTTGGAGAGCATCACATTTTTCACCTCTTTCACTTCTTTATTCATGATGGAGAACATCTGTTGGAGTTTGGAGCCACCTGAACATCATGGACAGTAAAGACACAAAGTCAGCTTTTCAACACTTTGAAGACTGTACAGCTCCACAAGCATACTTTTTAGGAAACTGCTTTACTTGTCTTAAAGAATATCAACCAGAACTTTGAGGTATCACAAGTAATACGATGTTTATATTTGGATTCATTCAGAGACCGGAGGAGACACGAGCGAAGGGAGTTGGTGGGTCATGTTTGGTTACAGGATTTGCTGATCGAACCGGAACAACCCAATCTTTTAGGACTTTTTCCTTCTTGTTTTCTATCAGGATCACTTCTGTGCTGTTTGACATACATACTCATTCTTTTAGATTAACGGAATACTACCACTACGTTACAAATGTCCTCCATCTGCTGTTAACATCCAGCACATTCTCACTGCAGTGACGTTTCAGATTTCACTTTTAATGATAGTTTGACTGTTTTTCATACAGTAAGGTATGGGTTCAAGTTCCTACAGGACATTATTTCAAGAACTGATCACTTTGACAGAAAAAGGACTGTGTTTAGTTTTCTGTTTCAGCGCACAGGTGGTCATGGAAATCAAGTTCAATATCTGAGAGTTTTGTTACACTGATGCAACTACCTAGTAAACAAAAGAAAGCAAGACAGCTGTTATGCTAACGTGCAAAAATCATAGACTGTATATACTCTGGACAACTTGGTTCCGCCTTCTGCCAGTATACGGATTTGAAGACGAAAAGCTTCCTGGAACCACCTTTTGCGCAGTAGCATCGTACGCATTCGGCGGGAGAGTCACTGTGATGACGCTCGGCTCTAACAGCGTATCCCCCAGGTGAGACACACAATCTTTGTACGCCAATCATAGAAATCATGAACCCCCTGATAACTTTTAAAAATGGAGCAGAAAAAAAGAGGACTTGAGCACAAACCAGTCTGACAGTAACTACATGTCAACATCACAATCATTCATTTCTAGTTTGTCCACAGCTCCATAAGGAGGCGGGATTTATGACCTATACTGCAGCCTGTCACCAGAGGGTGCTGTTCTCCATTCTATATACAGTCTATGGCAACAATATTTTAACCAAGTAAGTCCAGTTGTCCTTTTAACAAAGAACTAGGAATCATAGATGCTACATCCTTACTTTTAAGCAATATCTCCAGGTTTAGGAGCAACATCTGCTGCCATCCAGACACTGACTTTTTCAGGGAAGACCTTCATATGATCCAAAACCACATTCTGACAACAGCATGGTTCTGATATGTCCCCTATTGAATAAATCTGGAGACCCTGAACGGTTGAGCAGCTGAAATCCTCTACCAGGCCAGAGTTGAATCTCCAGAACCTGGTCTACCAGGTTCACTAAGGTTTACAGAGGACACACAGTTGGAAACATGTCTCAACAGTTGTTCCGATTTTGTGTTTATCACCGTTTAACTCAGCGTCCTGACTTCTTTTGGACTAGGGTTGTAAGAGGCCAAGTACAATCACAGACAATGCAGGGACAGAAATAAGTAAGTTAGGGACTTTCTATGTTCAGAGTATTGATCGTTGTATTGCCAAACTCTACAGGCCAATATTTACTCTCTGAAAAACCTGCACAACAGACAGAAACAGCTGACGTCACTGTTACCGTCACCTGCTGTATATTAGCTTCACTGTGCTTCTCCGGAGCTGTTTTGTACCGTCATTCTGGCACTTTGAGCCGAATCTTTTACTCTTTTTGTTTTTGCTTCACTCATTATTCATTGGGTTTTCTCTCTATCAAAGTAATTTGGATGAAATGTTGCTTAGTGGTGGGACATATCATATTCCTGTTATTCGTTTGATCAGCTGGTTGAATGCTGATAGAGGGCTGCTGTCATGATCATGAAATGTTCAAGATTTGCTTTCTGTGTGTGGAAACTGAAGGTACGTGTTGATAAGTTGTTGGTTTTAAAGCTGACGGCCTCAAAGATGAGGATCACACCTTTCTGAACACCCGATGACCGACATGTAGTGTCTTTAAGTGTTTGTTTGCCGTCTACGGCTTTAATATTCTGTAACAGTTTAGCATAGACGCATCTGAACAACTGTCCGTAATATTTTTGTATCTAGACAAAAATAATTTCAAGAGTATTGATGTACTGTTCCTGTGAAGAAGGGAAGGCTTAGATATGTCTCTGATGTTTATTGTTGCCAAAGAGATGTTGTGTTGTGGTCCAGCAGGGGCAACGGGTGGTTGTATTTACCCTGAGACGAAGAAACAGAGCAGATTTGACCTGCTGCAGAGGTGACAGTCTGGGATACTGACAGTAACATGTGCCCCTACACTGACCTGGTCACATCATTACTTTCTGTATCTTCTATCAAATATAAATAAAGTTGGTTTTACACATCTTATCAAACGTGTCTTATTGACTGATAATCCTGTGTAATCAGAAAATTATTTGTTGACAGGAAACTTTACTGCGCTTAGATTTCCAGATGAACAATTCAACTTGTAAAAGTAATGTTGTTTTGCTGCAGGTTGCATGACTAATAAACTGTGTGCCTTTCTGTAGCTACAGTGGCCCCGATGGTCAATATCACATGATCACAAAACGGTTTCACTGATTGTTAAAAATGCAGGAACACTTAATGACAAGAAAAAAATTACAACATCCAAAAAATATTAAATGAAAAGCAAAAACTTCAAGAAATAAAGAAAATGTGTCTGATTCAAAACAGAATCTTGTTTTTTATGCAGAAAATTAAATAAAATGTCATAGTTCAGTATAATAAAAAATGTCAAAGTATAGTTTGATAAAAATGTCATAGTTAAGTATGTTTGAATTTTCAAATATAAGTGTAAAAAAAATGTCATAGTACAGTGTGTTAAAATAATGTCATAGTATAGTATGATAAAAATGTCATAGTATAGTATGTTAAAATAATGTCATAGTATAGTATGATAAAAATGTCATAGTATAGTATGTTAAAATAATGTCATAGTATAGTATGATAAAAATGTCATAGTATAGTATGTTAAAATAATGTCATAGTATAGTACGATAAAAATGTCATAGTATAGTATGATAAAAATTGAAATATTTTAGTGTGTTAAAAATGTCGTAGTATAGTATGTTCAAATAATGTCATAGTGTAGTATGTTTCAATTTTCAAATTTTAGAGTAAAAAACAATGTCATCGTATAGTATGATAAATAAGTCATACTGAATGTAAAAATTCAAATATTTTAGTGTGTTAAAAATATCATAGTATAGTATTTAAAAATGTTCATATTTGAGTATTAAAATGTCATAGTTTAGTTTGATAAAAAAAAAAGTCATAGTATAGTATGATAAAAATGTCATAGTATAGTATGTCAAAATGTTCATAGTATAGTATGATAAAAATGTCATAGTATAGTGTGTTAAAATAATGTCATAGTATAGTATGATAAAAATACCATAGTATAGTATGTTAAAATAATGTCATAGTATAGTGTGTAAAAATTGAAATATTTTAGTGTGTTAAAAATGTCGTAGTATAGTATGTTAAAATAATGTCAAAGTGTAGTATGTTTCAATTTTCAAATTTTAGAGTAAAAAACAATGTCATCGTATAGTATGATAAATAAGTCATACTGAATGTAATAATTCAAATATTTTAGTGTGTTAAAAATATCATAGTATAGTATTTAAAAATGTTCATATTTGAGTATAAAAATGTCATAGTTTAGTTTGATAAAAAAAAAAAGTCATAGTATAGTATGATAAAAATGTCATAGTATAGTATGTCAAAATTTTCATATTTTAGTATGAAATAAATGTCATACTTTAGTATAAAAAATATCAGTATAGTAAGTTAAAATCTTTATATTTTAGTATTAAAAATGTCATAGTATAGTATGTTAAAATAATGTCATAGTATAGTGTGTAAAAATTGAAATATTTTAGTGTGTTAAAAATGTCGTAGTATAGTATGTTAAAATAATGTCAAAGTGTAGTATGTTTCAATTTTCAAATTTTAGAGTAAAAAACAATGTCATCGTATAGTATGATAAATAAGTCATACTGAATGTAATAATTCAAATATTTTAGTGTGTTAAAAATATCATAGTATAGTATTTAAAAATGTTCATATTTGAGTATAAAAATGTCATAGTTTAGTTTGATTAAAAAAAATGTCATAGTATAGTATGATAAAAATGTCATAGTATAGTATGTCAAAATTTTCATATTTTAGTATGAAATAAATGTCATACTTTAGTATAAAAAATATCAGTATAGTAAGTTAAAATCTTTATATTTTAGTATTAAAAATGTCATAGTATAGTATGTTAAAATTTTCATATTTGAGTTTGGTAAAAAATGTTATCGTATAGTATGATAAAAAAATGTCATAGTATAGTATGTTAAAATTTTCATGATTTTGTATGGTAAAATTTTCATATTTCAGTATTAAATATGAAAATTTTCATAATTCAGTATAAAAAATGTCATAGTATAGTATGAAAAAAATGTCATAGTATAGTTTCTTAAAATTTTCCTTTTTTAGTATGAAAAAAATGTCATAGTATAGTTTCTTAAAATTTTCCTTTTTTAGTATGAAAAAAATGTCATAGTTTAGTGTAAAAAAATGTCATAGTATAGTATGTTAAAAAATGTCAAAGTATAGTATGGTAAAATTTTTAGATTTTAGTATGAAAAAATGTCATACTATGATATGATAAAAAAATAAAATGTCAGTGTAGTATGTAAAAATTTAAATATTTTAGTATGATAAAAATGCCATAGTATAGTATGTTAAAATTTTCATTTTTAAGTATTAAAAAATGTTTTAGTATAGTATGATAAAAAATGTCATAGTATAGTTTGTTAAAATTTACATAAATCAGTAATAAAAATGTCATAGTATAGTATGATAAAAAATGTCATAGTATAGTATGATAAAATTTTCTTATTCTAGTATGAATAAAATGTCATAGTTTAGTATGTTTAAATGTCATAATTTGTATGATAAACATGTCATAGTGTAAAATGTTAAAAATTTTATATTTTAAAAGAAAAAAAAATCACATTTTAGTATGTAAAAACTATCATAGTATAGTATGAAAAAAAATGTCATAGTATTGTATTTTGAAATTTTCATATCTTAGTATAAAAAAGTCACATATTAGTAGGAAAAAAAGTCATATTTTAGTGTGAAAAACAATGACATAGTTGTTGGGATGCCTGGCCCATGTTTACACTTAAAAGAAAGGAAGGTTTCACACGAATGATCATTTCGACAAGCTTTACTGGGTTACAGTTTCATCATGCCACAAGTGTAACAAAGACTGCTCATGTATATAACAAACATAACAAAGCACAACATAGTTTGGGAGTCCAAGTGATGTTAAACATGGGTACAAGGACCTTGTTGAGGATGGTTAATAATAAATGAATAATGCATCAGATTTCATATAGCGCATTATCAGAGACCCTCAAAGCGCTTTACAATGGATACATCATTCATTTGCTCACACATAAAAGCTTCTAATTTTTACTCTATGTTCTCTCTCAGTCGTCTTTTTTTTTTTTTTTTTTTTGAAGTGTAACATAAAACCTGTTTTCATAGACATACAGAGGGTGAAGGACTTTTTCTCACTTCACTGTGGATCTGTCTCTCGGGTTAATTGGATGATCCGGGTCTGTCGCCTGTTGCGCTACGTCTGGATGGAAACGCAGCGCGCAAAGGAGACGCGCGTCTTTCCGATGAGCGCGTTCATGTTATCAGACTTGTGTTGGACCGAGTGAATCATGAATGAATACAACTTAAAGATGGATCTCCCTGCGGTGAACACCTCCTCGTTGAAAGCGGAGTCTGTGCTCATTTCTCTGGGGTTTTCTCTCATCTTCCTGCTCGGCACCGTGGGGAACTCTCTGGTGCTCGCGGTTCTGTTTCATAACGGGCAGATGAACCACAAAACCACCAACCTCTTCATCCTCAACCTCGGGATAGCGGATCTGAGTTTCATCCTCTTCTGCGTGCCCTTCCAGGCCACCATCTACACCCTGGACGAGTGGGTGTTTGGAGCCGTGCTGTGTAAAGCCGTACACTTCTTCATCTTTCTCACCATGTACGCGAGCATCTTCACCCTGACGGCCGTGTCCGTGGACCGGTGCGTAAAATCAGACCCTACAAACTTGAAAGATTATCATGTATTATGTGCAAAGTCAGGCGAGGAACAAAATACTTAAAATTCTTTACTCTAATTTTTAATTTAATTAGATAGATAGATAGATAGATAGATAGATAGATAGATAGATAGATAGATAGATAGATAGATAGATAGATAGATAGATAGATAGAGTTTGTCTCCAATCAGCAGTGATTGATGAACCTTTTCAAACACGTAGGCAAACAAACAATCCAAGGCTGAGGTAAACAGAAGCAGCTGAAGCCCAATTAGTGTCCTGGTATGCACATCAGCACACCCACAGCAGACGGTCTGCAGCAGCAGCACTGATCTCTATGTGTGATGTGGTGCATTCATTTCCTGCATCCTGTTTTAAATGATTGTTCCTGAACTCTAACGCTGCTCCCAGTAAAAGAGAGAGTTCATTTGGGCCCACTTCCTCTGCTTTATGAGGGTTTAAACATCCGCTTTGTTGATGAATCCACTTTCACTGCAGGTTTTATGAGGACAGTAGATACAAATATTACAAAACCAATATGATTTCAACAGATTTACTCAGATTAGTTTGAGAGCTTTGATGAACTCCATTTATTACAACTATCTGTCTGAAACTTTTGTCTTTTTTATCGTTTATTTGACAGCAAATCTAGATAAAGTTTTATTCCAAGATATGAGGAGCCAGATAGAAGATCTGTGCTGCTTATAATGGATTCAATGGGTTGTGTATCAGTCTCTCCTTTGTAAACCCGGCTCAGTCTCAGCAGATGATGGTCTAACATCAGTTTGGTTCTGCTTGAGGTTTCTGCCTGTTAAAGGAAGTTCTTCCTCTCTGCTGTAACTCTCTAAATGCTGTGAAGTGTTTCACTCATGCGGTTGAAGATGGATCAGAGTGGGTCTGATCTTACTCAGTCTGATCCCATCTTTACATTGGGTCTTTGTAAATAGGGGGTGGTCCAGACCAGCGTTTTTGCAAAGAATCTTGGGATAACATTTGTTGTGAATTGGCACTGTGTAAATAAAGATTGATTGGCTCCTGAAATCAGAAATGGCGTGCCTCATAGCTCTGTCTTTGGACCACTCTTGTATCTAACCTACATCAACACTATGGTCAGAATGTCCCCACTGCAGTTTTGTTCTTTTATACGTGGATGATACCGCGACTGGGTGGCACAGTGGTGTAGTGGTTAGCACTGTTGTCTCACAGCAAGAAGGTCCTGGGTTCAAATCTGGGTCAGGGCGTTTCTGTGTGAGTCTGAATCTTAAGATTAAACTTCATATTTAGAAATCCTTCCAGGAGCTGAAGCTGTGGCCTTAATTCCAGAAATAGTCATGGTCTTTGATCGCTAAAAATAAGACCTGTTGCTTATTGACTATAGTGATGTCTTCTACATGTCTGCATCATCTCATCGCCTCCAGCCTCTGTAGCTCTGAGATCAGGATCATATGTCCCCCCTCTGCTCTTACAGGTACTTGGCCATCTGCTACCCTTTGCGCTCCAGAGAGATGAGGACTCCAAAGAACGCCCTCACCTCCATCTGTGTGGTTTGGCTCTTGGCTCTGGTCTTCTCCAGTCCGTATCTCAGCTACTACTCACAGATGGACCTGGCCGGCTCTGTGGTCTGTATTCCTGTCTGGGAGTCCAAACCACGTATCATCATGGATGTGTGCACCTTTGTCTTCGGCTACCTCATTCCCGTCCTGGTGCTGTGCCTAACCTACGCTCGCACCATCCGATACCTGTGGACCAGCGTGGACCCTGTGAAGGATGTCTCTGAGTCAAGACGAGCCAAACGGAAAGTCACAAAGATGATTATAATCGTCGCTGTTCTTTTCTGTCTCTGCTGGCTCCCTCATCACCTGGTCATCCTCTGCATGTGGTTCGGACATTTCCCCCTCAACCACACCACCTACGTCTTCCGAATCCTCTCCCACCTGGTGGCTTACACCAACTCCTGCCTCAACCCCATCGTCTACGCACTTGTGTCCAAGCACTTCAGGAAAGGATTCAGGAAGGTGTTCAGCTGCTCACTGAGGAGGAGGGAGGTCAACAAAGTGCACGTCATCCAGGCGGTGAACACGGTCAGCAGCGAAGAGACGTCAAACTGAGGATGACATCGATCAGAACCAGAAGCCAAAAGAACAATACCGGTTTAGTTGAAGAGGAACTGACTGGGAGCAGTGTCAGTCTGAGGAGCTGTGGGTGGTGTTCGACTGAAAGTTAATTTGTCAGAATGTTATGTAACCAGCAGTTTGCAGATAGATTTCCAATCACTTCAGCAGAAATTAATATATAGTGTTACTAAGGTAGCAACTTATATCTCAACTGTTTCAACTTCTAAAAATATGCTGCATGATATCTTTTATTGGACACCTCATGTTGTTGCTGTGAAGTGCAATATAAAATCATGTTTAACTGTATATTCATGCATGCCTACGGTATTATTGTGCTGTACAGAACACCATATTTAAACCATTAAACTAACAATTGTTACATAATTGTTCTCTGTGTCTGCTTAGCGACAACTGACAGCCTCCATGTTCTTTTCTTATCCACATGAGGTCACATATTTCTGCAGGTTCTACATTTGGATCATTTCATGCATCAGCCATTATATTGTGACCACCTGCCACACATTGTAAAGGCCTACCTCTAATCAGTTCAGGGCCAAAACAGCCCTGAACTGATTAAACACAGGACCCAATAGATGTCTGAAGGTGTGCTGTGGCCTCTGGAACCAAGACGTCACCGGCAGATCCCTTCAGTCCTGGAGGTTGTGTCAGCACCGCCATGTCCCTCCAGACCACCTTCTTCTGTTGCTTTATGGTCCTGTTCGTCCAAAGATCAAGACAAGTGAAGCTCTGACCAACCCTGCAACATGCTAGAAACATTCATAGCTCAGTTTGGTCAGATGAGTGACATTAAAACTGCTCAGTTTCCAGTTTCAAATTGAATTTTTTCATAAGACGTCTATGCATCCATCATTACAGTGATTTTCTTTACTGTGCTTTTTGGAGATTTTGATATTAAGGTTAACTTTCAAGTCACATTTTGTGTATATCACTGCCAAATTGAATGCATCACACTTACTGTCAGCCTGCTTATCTCCTTTTCTGCGTCTATGACGCTTTCAAACTGCCTCCTGTATTAAATGGGGTCAAGAAGAGAGTGTAATATAGGGACAGGCTTAAATCATGTTATGACATCAACAACATTGAAAAATACTCATACAAAGGAGCTTCTACAAGAGGAGCAGGCAGTGGAGACTGTAAACCCGAAAAGCACAGGACAGCTTTTGGCCAGTCTTCCTTCTCAGTCAAAGGTCCACAGATTTGGACTGTTAGTTTTTATTTAGTGGATTATGTATTATGTGCTGTATTTCCCACTGTCTAACCAGGACAAGGAAAAAGCAAATCAGCCACAGCTAGAAGTCCTGCATACACAGCATGGGTTGCTCTTTAATTAGATGCAACAATGTCCGATGTACTGTCCCTGTCAAATAAACGGAAGAGAAGAAAAAAAACAATTTAAGTCAAAATTTTCTGAAAGCTTCAAGCTCAAACTGAAAACATCTGATGATGTTTTCAGGCAATCCATTTACTTTTAGACATTTTTCTTTGTAAGTATTTAAAATATTAGTAAAATTTTGGTGAAAATGTTGGTTTTAGGCGACTAACACTGTGTAAAAAGCTGCTAGTTAAAACTAAGTTTCCTTGGTCATCCGGGTGTAGCTTAATTACCTGTAAAGCGTCCTCATCTTTTCCTCATGTTAGCTTAAATTCACCGTGTAATTTGCTCGAGTCAGTTTGTTGTTTTCTTCTGTAGTTTCGGCTCAAAGAAACGAAGTACTATAAAACATTTCGACAGAGAAATCCAGGAGAACGAGTGAACTTTAGGCGCCCTTTTTCTGTTGCCTAGCAACGGTGTACCATCGCCGCAAAGCCGTTGACGCAAATCATGTCACGTCCTCACGTACACGTCTACCTCTGAGCCGACATGTTGACATTTTACATCTTATTAACTGGCAAAGTTTTAATGGTTTATGAAGAATTAAATGTGTTCAAATGAAAGATTTTAACTTATACCGGAAGATTACTTTAATATCGTCTCTATATTCACTTCTGCCACCACCATTACTTTTTCACTGCTGGTCAAAAACGTTTTTAAAGACCACATTTTAAACATCGAAGACGTTAAGACCTGATTTCACCGAGCTTTTAACAAACTTCGAGGTTAAAATCCAGGTAAGTGCTCATGTGGATGTTCCCCACCCTTGTTTGAATGAAGAACAGAGAAAATTGAGATTTTTAACATCTTTCTGATTTCTTTAGTGATTTTCCTCGTCTAAATAATCGTTGGAAAAGATATGATGACTTCTGATTCTTCCTTTCCTACATATTTTTAATCACATACCTTCATATTGCTGCAATAAAGTCATTTTCCATTATTATTTCCTTTATCCAAACACATTTTACTGCTCAGTTTTTAACAATTAATTTGTCACAAAAACATCTTATGCATGGTGATAAATAAATTTTCCTACTTTAAGTGCATTTATGCATTTCTAATACAAAGCGGTTAAGTTAAAACAGATCCAGAACCAGCTAATTGTGCTCTGGTATTCAGTAGCTGTCATTATGTAGGTAGGACCAATCTGGTTTATTTGCTCCATAACAACCTCTCACCTCGAACAACAAGCACACTGATGATTATTTTCTTACAGTCACAGAGGCCAAGTCTGATGGAGATGTTTTTGCAGAATGATTTCTGTTTCTGCTGCAGTAAAAACCTCCGATGCTCATTAGGATGCTCATGCTCCAGATGCTGCCACTCTTAATGATGTGTTTTCTTTAGTTTTTTTCCACTATTACTCTTATTTATGGTGATTCAACACTGGATAACAAATAACACAGGACGCTCATTGTTCAGCCTGTTATTTTCAGCTCTGATAATTGGTTCTCCGCTGTCAGTTGTGTAACTGTCATAAACAAAACAAATGACATCCCGGGTAGATTCACAGATTTCCCTTTATTAGTTTAAAATGTGAAGCTGGAGCGGCTAAATTACATAAATACATCATGTTGTTTTTTTTGTACAAAACATACAGACACAGGGAAGGAAGGAGGGAGGGAGGAAGCAGCAGTGTGAGGAGAGTCTGAGCACCTGGGCTGTTAGCAGGAGGAAGGGTTAATCAGGCAGACGTGTCAAACAGCCTCTCTATCATCTCCTCAACCTCCTCAGGTCGATACTTGTGATACTTCTCAGGGTTCTTAGTGAAAGAAATGTTGGCACATCTAGAAGAAAAACAAGAACAATGATGGTGTGAAGGGAGCCCAAGGCTGCAATAATCCAATATCAATCAATCAACGAGGCCTATTCATTTATTTATGATACATTATATTATTAAAATTATATACACAGGAATATAAAATCTGTGTGGCACTTTAATGATATTTTTTATAGCAGATAGTGAAGACAGAGAGGCTAAATGAAAATAACCTGTGTGTGCGCAAATACAAATAAAATGACATTCCTTATTGTGCAAATTGTAAGAATCTTTAATGCTCAAAAAGATCGACTCTTACAAATATAAAACTGAGCAACACGACTATATGAAACAAAACAACCACATGTAAAAAAATGTGTCGTGCAGGTCTTTAAAATAACGTAAAATATGTAAACAAATTTAATAAACCGATTGTCCGTTTTCTCCACCATAAGGTTCTGCTGCTGACTTTGTTCACTACTTGAGACTGAAATGTAAAAATGTCAGCACATTTACTTCGTCTGGTTTGTGATCTGTGAGGGGAAACGATGTTCCCGCTGGCACTGAACATCCTCTCTGAGGGCACGCTGGTTACTGGGATGCACAAAAGCTCCCTGACAACCCTTTGTAGAAGCCGAAATACGCCCAGACTTCAGACTTTGTTTTCTTTGACGGTGGAAAAATTTCTGCAACATCGTCGCGCGGCTGCTCTTCTCAACACTGAGCAATCTGTGAGCTTTTCCAGAGTGCGGCGATCAAACACGGTTTTAACGGTAATTAAAATTTGAAACGGTCGTACTAACCATCAGACATTTTAACAATCGTTAAAACAATCGTTACATCCCTAGATGAAAACTTTGTATATTATCTACGACACAACCTTTAAATTATTAAATTAATTACTTTTTAAACTTAATTTGTCAAGTCAGTGTTTTTATTTGATTAGGCTGTTCAGGGCCGGTATACTGTACACAGTTCTGTCGTGGAATAGTAATAATGCTGATGCAGGATGTGAGACAGGATTATAAAAATATTCACAGTCAATTAATAAAAGCGTCTCGCTCACCTCTGCAGGAAGCTCCTGTAGGCTTCAGACACGACCTTCTTCTGGGACTGACGGATGAAGTCCCGCTGCTCTTTGTCTGGGATGGCCCATCCCTTCTGGATCTTACACAACTCCTCCAGACCGTCATTGAAACCCTGAGAGGCGCAGGAGAGGACAGAGGTCTCTTTGTTCACTTGATTCTTTCCCGGTTGTGCTTTGACTGTACTGATTTTCACAGCATCAGGTGTAAAAAGGTGATTGAACTCACCTTGAATTTGTCTTTTATCACTTGTCGCTCCTTATCCTTCAGCTGCAGAGAGGAAAGAATTCAGTTACGTCAACCAGAGGAGACTGAAAGAGACTTTTTCTGAACGCCGTCAACATGATGCTTTTATTTTTAGATCTCAAACAACTCTGACATACCAGTCTTTGTGTTTTTCTCAGTTAAAACTGTCCGTCTAACTATGAGAATTTAAGCTTTTCAGGATCATTAGGAGCCTTGAGTGATCGGCAGTGAGTGCTGTTATGAAAGTGACCTGCAGGAGACACTCGGGCCTCACCGGGCCTCTGCTAAAACTATCAGCCTCTCTTCTTTGCTAGAAATCATACAGACATGTTGAAGCTCACACGTCTTTGCTGAAGATAATAAAATTAAGTTCTGACCTTGGTGCCAGGCTGGAACACGGGCATGTTCCTGTCCGTCAGGTGCTCTGTGACTTTCAGCCAGCTGGGATATTAAAAGGCATCAGGTCAGAAAAGAGCCGACAGACTCAGGTATGTTTGAGGAACCGTACTGTTTTGTTTGTGTTTACCTGTTCTTGTACATGTGGATCTGCTGCTCGATCAGCTCTCTGTAGGAGCTCTCGGCTTTCTTCTGGGTCACAGTCACCAGCTGGATCAGCTCAGACCTGAACACATTCAGAGCATAGACACAGAACAGACTGAGCTACAGATTTACTTCTTCTTCTCTTTCTTTCTGAGTTTTTACTTGTTTCTTCTTTAACTTAAAAGTCAGGGGCCTCATTTATACACGTTATAGAACAGATATTAAAACTCTGGTCAGATAATATCAATAAGAACGGAGGAGAGACCTTCGATCAGAGGTGGGGGAAAGTCCCTATGTTGCAAGTCCAAGTCGAGTCTCAAGTCTTTGCTGTCAAGTCTGGAGTCAAGTCCAAGTCAACACAGACAAGTCCCAAGTCAAGTCCAAGTCCTGAACTTTTTGTTTCGAGTCCCAACCAAGTCCTAGGAATTTTGCTTCGAGTCCCAACCAAGTCCTTACTGTTTCTTTCAAGTCAAAAACAAGTCATATCAAAGCCATAAACTTTTCAAGTCACTGGGCTCAAGTCAAGTCAACTCTCAAGTCTTTAGCAATCAAATCCCAAGCGAGTCCAAGTCATTTCTTGATTTCATCAAGCAAGTCTTAAGTCATCAAAAACGGGACTCAAGTCCAAGTCGAATCTCGAGTCGAGTCGTCAAGCCCCCACCTCTGCCTTCGATGAACATGAAAACACTCGTGCATAAACGTTCAGAGACCCCTGGAGGATCAGAAACATCTGTACGTTCAGTCTTCCTGGTCTTTGCAGAATTATTCTGATCTTTTCCAGGTTCATTCACTAATTTTTCCTTTTGACTTTAATCAACATTAAAAACTTTTGTCCTGCTCACTTCTCCAGCGACTTCAGGATGTAGTTGTAGTTGTTGTGCAGGAAAATGGCGCTCAGAGCCGCATCCTCGTACACTTTGGATTTACTGAGCAGGTTCAGCTGCAGGTTCCCCAAAACCTTACCTGAGAGGAGAAACAGTCAGACGTGAAAACTTGAACTTTCCCCTCTAACAGAGACTTGATTCACTTCTTCACTCACAGATATAAGTGCTGAGGAGCCTCTTGTTGAACTCGGAGGTGTAGCTGCTCGCTGATGAACTGGTCTCTGAAAGGATTGGAGGAGATTTCAGCGTCAATATCTCTTCAAACGTACTCGGTAATCCACAATTATGATTTCTGCTCTGATTAAACTTCTGAGATTTTCTCTTTAAAGACAGAGAGGGAGGAAATCTACATCTCCACTCATGACAGAGAGCACTCCTGTTTCAATACAGCATCTGCAGGCACTTAAAGCAGTCTGCATGTGACAACTGAGTGTCTCAGTGAAAAGATTCAGAGGTAATCTGCTGCTCAGGATTATAAAACATAATTCACAATAAAGAAAACATCTGAAAACTTCTCAGCAGGGGTGGAAACACTTAATCCCTCTTCTCCTCCATGATTGAGAGGTCGGTATAGTTCTTAGGTAAATAACAAGAACAGTTTGTATCATGTGAACATTCATGGATGAAACTGGCCCAGCATTTTTCCACCACTGCTCACCAGGGTCTTTTGCTTACCTCGGGGGTCTAAAGGAATATTGTAAGTGTCCCCGAGTACTAAAAGGGCCGAGGCAAGGCGAGAGAGAAGAGAAAGAGAAAGAGGCACAAGTGCAAAAAGGTTAGAAAAGATTAGTTAGTGCAGAGTAAGCAAACAGTCATCAGCCAGGCAGCAGCGAGGGGGCGGAAAGAGGAGGGTCAGCCAAAGATACAAACCTCACAGGAGCAGGGATTAACCGTAACAACGGAGGAGATTCAGTCGAACAGATTAATGCAAGAAATAAAGGAGGGAACTAAAAACATGCAGGTCCCCTTCTGAGAGGAGAGACCAGAGAAAGGAAAGGAGGAGGTTAAAGGTGGAAACATGTCGTCACAGATACAGAGTGAATAAAAGAGAGGGTTAATACTCCTCAAACACAGACAGAGACCATCAGTCCACCTGAAGAGTCAGTATCAGCCGAGTGTAAACAGACTATCAAACCTGGAGTCAAAACAGGGTGTTAAAAAGTGTTTGGACAGTGACGTGGTGTTTTCTCTGAGCTCTCTGCTGAAAACATGGAAGTAAGGGTGTGTGTGACACATCAAATAAACTTCATATTTGCTGATTTATTGTCATCCTAACCCTCATGAGTTTTATAAGGCACCAGAAATGCAGCTGCAGACGTCCAATAGCTCCTTTTACTGCGTCCTCCCTTTTCAGACTTTAAAGATTAAATCTGACACTAAAGAAGTTCCTCCTCTAAGACGACTGAAGTTTTCATAATCATCCAAACAGGAGAGATCAGCATGAATTGAAGATATTTAGGATATAAAGCAGCTTGATTAGTGTCTCTTTTAATCTTTATCATGTACTGTCAGTCAATCGAAGCTCCAACCTGAAGCTGTGAGTCATTCTAGTTGTTTCCAATGGTGTGACAAATTTGTACAAATATTTACTCTGACTGTGTCGAATAAACCTCTGAGAGACAACGTCACTCTGTCCACCTGACAGCTGCTGAATTTCACTCTCTTCTCGGAGCTTCGCAGGAAAATGAGAAACCATCTCTCCAAATTTCTCTTATTTGGGTTGAAAAGGATTTTTCTTCACCTTGAGTTTGTTCTCCAGTCTCCTGGTTTTGTTTTGAGTCTTTGTGTGAAAATGCTCACGGCTCTGACAGAGTCACACAATCAGCAATCAGACCTGAAAACCATCTTTGTCCAAACACTTTTCAACAGAATAACACATGTTCCTGTGTTCAGATCTGCTCTGATGTTTTTAATGTATAATGTCACTTTATATAATCACAGACAGCCAACCCGGATCACGGCTGATATTAGCTGTAAATGAAACCGTGTCCAGGCAGCAGGAGGTCTGACATAATGACGCCGGCGGGTCATGTTAGCCACGTCTGTACGAGCGGTTAATGTGTTCATGCAGGTGGCGCTGGTGTGTCTGTGGGGGTCTCGTTGTGTCTGTCAGGGTCTCGTCGGTGTGTCTCTACCTTGCGAGGCGAGCATGGCTCCGGCCGTCTCGTGGAAGTCCAGCAGCTGCTGCAGGAACAGGATGGCCTGCGGGAGGGAGAGGTCAAGGTTAGCGTTGCCTCAGCTCACTCATTAAACACATACACTCGGCTCTCCGCTGTTGGACGTTGCCATGATGACCGCCTGGATCCCCAGAGATGAACAAACAGAGGAGGCCTCATAGAGAGGTAGGTGTTAGTTTGGAGCGCAGAGAGAGCAAATACAGGAGGCAGAGTCACGTAACAGAGAGCGGAGTGAAGTGCGGGCTTACGTTGCTGGTCAGCTCGTGGACGGTTCCGTCTTTCGGCATGTTGTACTCTTTATCGGGGTCATTCTGGGGTCAAACAGGAGAGGACTCAGTAATCAGTGATTGATTTAATGATCAGTGATCGGTAACAGAGGTAAATGTGAGCGTCTTCTTGCCTTGATGCTGTCTGCGAACTCCTCCAGAGCTTTGGCTCCGATCGTCTCCATGGAGGTGATGAGAGTCGGCAGCTTGTTCTTGGTGCTCGCTGCTGTTCCCTGAAAAAAAAAAACACACAATCCGAACCACTAAGCTTTAAAAGATCCATTTCAGACTGATTTCATTATAGAACAGTGTCCTGCATAAACACGGCAGATAAACGGTTTCTGGGGACATGAACTGATGGTGCAATTGACCCTCAGGGCCACCGTACTGACAGCATCAGTGCACCAACACGGGTCAGGATTTTGAACACATGTTTCTGGCTCATTGTGCGTTTGTCTGAGAGGATGTGAGGACAGTGGACAGAGCAGGATGAAGCCACAGACCAGAATCTAATCAGGGCTGTCTGCCCGAGGTGAAACCTCCTCACATGGAGCACGCAGTGGTACCGCCAGCTCTCAACTCATCGTTAAAGGGACAGTACAAAACAAAAGAGGGGTGCAAACAAAGCAGACCTGCAGCGTGGCGTCAAAGTCGGACTTGTTCATCTTCAGGTGTCTGAGGATGGGGAAGATGGTGAGGACGGCGGAGTAATCGTGACGCATGATGGCCCTGCGAGCTGCAGACACGATGTTATCGCCCTCCAGCATCAGGTTGTCCAGCGCCTCCTGTGGACGGACGAGGAAACACAGGAAGTTAAATAGAGACAGCTGAATTCAAGGCTTCTCTTTGACAGTCATCGAGTTTCTAACCGTCTGACTCAGAGACGAAAAACAACAAATCATGTGACATTTCTACATAACCGCCGTGTTACTGTACCATCATGTCATGCAGGAAGATTTCTGTCCAAAATAATTAAAGTCAGATAAGACAAACAGTTTATTTAACATGTTTAAAATACTTCAGTTTGACGTTTAGTTCAATTAAAAAGTTACGGTATTTATCTGTGAAGGGAAGATGAAGTCCTGACGTGTGGAGACACGAGGGTGCGGAGGCGGCTTAGAGCTTGTTATGATAACTTCACCTCCTCGTTAAAAGAGCCGTGACAGTTTAATTCATGTGAAAACTTTTAATTATAGGTGTTCAGACAGGATTAATACAGACTCAAACGTCCTCTTTTCAAGGAACACTGAAACAGTCACATGCAGGATTTCACACTGAGGGGTGAAACAGAGTCTCACATGAACTTGACCTGCATGTCTTTAGACTGTGAAGGGAATCTGGAGCATGCAAACTCAACACGGAGACCTCTGAACCTGAAGGGCCTCTTACAGAGTTATTAACATCACACCTTCAGGTCTACTCTTGTTCTGAGAGACGCAGACGCTCTGCCTGTTCCGGGGTCAGACTCTGTCGATCCTTCTCTGGAGGTAAAACCTGAACAAGAGTAACTCAGAGTTCGGCGTCTTACGGGTTAAAGCAGTTTGAGTCATTTAACATCCTCCCACAGGAAGTTCGAATGAAGAGTTTCGACCTTATTTCTGGATGTAGTGATGACGTGTATTTACAGACGGTGGATCAGAAGTGAATCTGAGCTCATGCGGTGACTTTCACTACAGAGTCATGCCGTGCAGCGCTGAATCAGGCCCTGAAAAGTCAAACCACCCTGACTCTTTAGTACAGAGATTCATCCATGTGTTTAGTTTTGTTGCTTCATCCTGGACTACTCTCATTTATTACTGATATTATCTTTATTTATATTTAATTACTGATCTTATTGCTGTTTGATTACTTCACTGTGGTTTTTTTTATGCTTTCACTTAACTTCATCTCTGTTTTAGTTCCATATATTTTACTTTTATTAGTGTGCATTTCTTACCTCTTCTTGATAGATAAATGTCACATTTTCAGTTTCCATGTTTGATTTATTGTCGAAGATTTACTTACAAACCATCAAATTCTGCCTTGACCATCATATACAACAGCGTCCAAACTGTTGGGAGTTTTACTTAAAGGTTGGTTAGTCAGGATCTGAGGAAGTTCCAGTTTTTAGGAGAAATCTTGAATGTAAACTCGACCCCTCAAACCAGTTTTCCCCTCAGCTCCTCCTCTCCCCTCGAAAATACGGTACACAGACATAAGAGAACACAGTGATATTGCGATATTCTCAAATGTCATCAATAACTAATAACTATTGACTGATATCAAAAGCTTTTTTGTAAATACACCACAAAAAAAAAGATGCTTCTTTTACAGAATCCTGCCTACTCCACCTTTAATGACTTCTACTCTTCGGATTTTATGAGACGGACTCTGTTCTGTCGGTTTCAGCTGATCGTGTCTGCGTCTGACCTGAATGAGAGAGTCGAAGGTCTTCTTCTGGTGGTGCTCGGGGATGATTTCTGCCAGCAGGGCGTACTCGCTCTGGGCCAGCTTGACGAAGGCACTGATACAGTGTATGTAAGAGTCGATCTCAATGTCCAGGACATCGTCTTTCCCTGAGAGGAGCACAAAGATCTTGTCAGGCAGGTGCATCATAAACATCTCCAGGTTGTGGCTGTGGTGGCTTGTTGTTTTTAAAACAGTTCAGGTGTGAGTATGTGACGGTGTTTTCTTGTAGCACTTTTAATTAAAAAAGAAATTCCCTGCTTCATTCCTGTTCTTCCCCCGTGTCCCCGTCACTCACCTGCGGCGGCCCCGTGCTTCTCGGTCAGGGCGTCAGACAGGTGTTTGACCCGCAGGTCGTGATCAAAACCTGGTGGGCAGGGTGAGGGGTTTGGAGGGGGTCAGCAGGGACACAGGCCTAGTCAAACCTGAGGGGTCATGACTAGGCCAGGTGGAGGGGAGGAGGGGGGGCAAACCTGAACCTGGAACATCTGAACCGACCACCACCAAGCAGGGGGAGGAAGCGAGGAACCCACCACAGTCTGGGGGGGTTGTGTGTTTGTGTGTGAGACTCGTGTGCGTTAGTCAGTGTGTGTTTAGAGAAAAAGGTCACAACAGCTTTGGACTTAGTGCAGCTTTTCAAGGATGTTTTGGGGGGGGGGGGGGGTTACCCTACATTGCCTTTCACAGATCTGCTCAAGACAGCTCCATTAGTGGTACACCAGCCTATGAGGTTTGATTTATGAAGTCGATAAAACTTTGACGTGATATTAAGTCGATTGTTGTGCCTGTTAGAAACCTCCAGTGTTGAGAAACTTAGGTCGGATGTCTTTGCATGGAGAGGGCAAGATCAGCAATGACTGTTATGTCCACAGGGGGCGCCAAATTCCACACATACTAAAAGTTTCTCATAGAAGCTTTAGATATCCACATTGGGTTTAATTCTGGAGGATTAAAGGGATATTCTGGCATAAAATTAAAAGTGTCTCATTTCTTCATCATTTCCTTAGAGTAATAATCATCATATTAATCATTTTTTACTGCAGACCTGGTAGTTCTTCTGTCTTAGCGTCTCGGTCTGATTGTATTTCCATGAAGAAATGATCATAAATGTTCTTCCTTGAGCTGCGGCACCCCGCTGTAGTCCATAATGGACTGGCCTGAGGTCTCGCTACAAACAAGCGTCTGCTGGAAGAGAGTAGGTGAGTTGTGTTTAGTCTCTTTTCTAAAGAAATTAGTCAAAGTTAAAAAGATGTTTGGTGTCTAGTACTATGGCTGGTATAATTGGTATAACTAGAGAAACAAGCGGTCGGCAACATTCATCTCTGGAGGGGGTGTCTAACTCGGTGTTACGGTGTGTTTGACCCTAACCGAATTTCACGCCGGAATATCCCTTTAAAGCCATCAGAGTAAAGATAGTTTCTTCATCGTTGTTCAATGTGGTTCTGCTGGATAGTGGACATGCTTTTAAAAACTGCAGAGATTATTCAACTTTTAAACTGAAGTGTGAGATTAATCCACGATAGAAACACTGCTAATAAACATTTTTCTAACATGTAAAGAGTGTCGATTCATTCGGCTTCATGTAGGCCTTGAATATAAATCCTGATTTATTCTCTGATTATTTTTGCTTTATGTATAATCTGCATCATCACAGAGCTGTTGTGACAGAGGAGGTTTATGTGTGCTTGTTTCCCTTATTGAGAAACAACATGGAAGCACAACATAAACAGACACACTGAGAAGAAGGAGGGAGAGAGAGGACACCTGGGAGAAGACCGAAGTGCGTTACCTTCCAAAGGAGTGAGGTTAGAGCCCCCCTTTTTCCCATCCAGCCCATGCTGTGAGTACTGTTTCAGAAGGTTCTGAGCCTTGCGAATGGTCCCTGGTCCCATAGACACAGAGACAGAGTCCAGAGGAGGAGGGGCAGCAGGTCCAGACAGCCAAGAAACAGAAGAAGAAGGAAGAAGAAGAAGAAGAAGAAGAAGGAAGAGCTAGGTGATGAATAATAGACACCACCACCCAGGCAGGCAGCAGAGGGGGGCGGAGCCTAACACCACAGCTACACAACAGGATAACCAGTGAGAGACAGAGCGACTACAGCTACGTCATGAAAACACACCGGGGTACATGTGCTCAGTACTGAGGGTCATGTAAGAGCAGAATAAACAGGTTAGGTCAGGTTTAAAAACAGAAAACAGCCAAAAAATTAACACAATTATAACATTCATGTCCAACATTAAAACCACTATCATCACAAAAACAGTCATATTTACACAGCAGCATGTCGGAGTTTGGTTAGTGGGTTAGTTAGCATGAGGCACACTTGAAGCTGCGGTCATTGAGGGTTTCACTGTTCGTGGCGACGAGCTGGAAGCGACGGCTTTTGAATTTGTGGATGATGCTAACAGACAGTTAGCTGTTAAACACGTAGATGCAGAGAGGTAGTGCCTTCGACCTGCAGTGTTTGTCATGAGCAGCAGGGGGCGACAGCTGCCTTATATTGGTTTGATTACATATTTCTAAACGGTGGCAACTTCACACCGTCTGCATCGAAGTTTACCCAAATTAAAGCCAAGAACTACTTCATCTTTTGTGTTATGATTTCAGTTAAAAGCAGCAGCAGGACAGAGTCAGAAGTGCATGTTGGGGGTTTTCAGGTCAAACAACAAATAATAAATAAATCTATAATCATAGATCCTGTTGCACGTTTAAAACTCTTTCAACAGATTTGTGACAAAACTATCTGCTGTTTGATGGGTACAAGCTCCTCTGTTTGACACAATAACACTACGCTGACTACAAACAGCTAATTTACAAGAACGCACAAACTCTGCAGCCTCTAGTTTCACGTGGAAGGTGTCAGCTGAATTAAACCAAGTTATCAGATAAATGTAAGTTCTCCTCCGTTAACTTGAGTCAAGTTTAAAAGGTGCAGCATCTCAGACACTCTGGGGGAGCGCAGACTCCGGCTTCTGAACCTTCACATTAGCTGAGTTTACATGGGCACAAAAAATCGGAATAAATGTCGGATCGGAATAAAAATGCATCACGTAAAGATGCCGATCAGAAGTTTCTGATCTGATTCCACTCAATCGGAAAGAAAATGTATTCTAATCGAGAGGTGGTTTAAGCCGATCTTTATTCTGAAACACGTTATTACGAAGGCTAGGTCCCGCCTCCTTTGCCTCTGATTGGCTAGAAAAGCTATAGAAGAAATATTTAGAAATAAATATCGCCTCCGGTAACATAACAAGACATACGCAGTGATGTCACATCTATACACACAGTACAACCTTTGACAGAGCAGTAAAATAAGTACGCAAGAGCGACATCTAGTGGATTTAACAGGGGGAAAATAGTTCTGAATTGGATTGAGTGAGCTGCTACCATGTTTGTTGGTTTGTTGACAGCACAGGCGTAAATACAACTCTTCTTCTTCTGCGTTTGTTTTAGCGAAATCTTGGTGCTTGCTGCATGTAAACGAACATCATGATCGGATTAATTGATTTTGCGCCCAGATAAAGAGTGGATTCAGATTATGTCAGCTGAGGTGGTTCCTGGTTGCCTCTCTTTGGAGGTCTTTCAGGCAGGTCCGACAGCAGCAGAACACACCACAGTGAAACTAGAAGCTCCAATCTACTCTATAACAACAACAACAACAACAACAACATCTCTCCAGAGAACAGCACTTTTCTAGTCCTACTTTCTTTACAAACTCATTCAGCCTCTTCTCTGCCCTGAAACGTGGCATCTGACGGACAAAAGCAAGCACAGTGCAGACACACAAGCTTTGTGTTTACCTGGGATGTAGACTGTCATCACAACATTGGGATTATGAAAGAGGAAAGGATGAAGGATTAGTCTGAGCTGAGAGTCAAATCACACAGAAACAGAGAAGTGTGTTTGTAGGAGGGTGCTCTACATCTGGGTTAATCACAGAGAGGATGAAGAGGACACTTGAAACAGAATAATGAGGCTGGATGGTAATCAAACCAAACAGACTGAGGAGGATTTCCATGTGATGAAAGGTGCTGCTAACGTTAAATCATCAACAGTGTGCAGAAAAGAGCCTGAGTGTGTTAGCCTTCCTCTAAATCAGGGCTCTGATGTAAGGTGTGATCACAGACCGAAGTCCAGAGAAAGTGGATCAGGTGTTATAAGGAGTCCAGTGCTGACCTGGTCTCTTCGGGGCCTTTTTGGTGGGCGTGTCTTTGCGTTTGGTTTGGACCGCCGGCGAGTAGAGGATCCCAGAAGAGGCACTGTTCTTACGGAAGTGATCCTTCAGGCCTTTGATGGAGCGATCGAGCTGATTGGACCTGATCTGGAAGTAGACGGTCATGAAATCTGCAGGGAAAAGGAGAGAGTTTAACGGACTTAACTGTACTGATAAAGCAAAATACAGGGGGGCGGAGTTACTGCACCATGGACGAATAAGAGTTTAAACCACATGAATGAGCTGTTCGTTGTAAAAGCTAAAAGAGGACAGTCCAGCAGTCGTGGACAGGATGTGACAAACTCAGCTGTACCCTGGTTGCGTCCGTACTCCACCAGCCAGCCGGCGATGCAGATGATGTCTTGCAGCACAGCTTCAGGAAGGTGTTCCAGCACCACGTCCTCCTGGACCTCCAGCTCCTCGTCCACACTGATGGCATCCAGGATGAGGATCGGGGGAACAGGTTTACTGTAGCGGGTCAGGAGGCTGCGAAACTCCGCCTCCAGAAGCTCTTTACCTTTTTCAAAACGAGCTTTCTGCAGAAACGAAAACAAAAAGAGCAGATTAATTTTAGTTGTAAATGTTGGTGTTTAACCACACAGAGTGACTTTCTTCAAAAACATCCTCTGAAATCTTTCCATATTAGGACCAAAAATTAGCTAAAAAGGACCGGTCCTCTCCTCTACTTCTCAAAAACTAGAGCTTAACCTCACAGAGAGTGCATACATAAAGACAGAGGTAGATATTGTACCACTGTGTTGAGTTCAGGGCTGTCAGGGTTGTTATCCTGGAAGTACTCCACAGCTTTCTGAATCTTCGCAATACAAGCCAGATACTCATCCAGCCTGCCCGTCGGCCTGAAACAGAAGAATCCAAAACGATGAGACATCTCTGATCCTCTCCCATCTCCTCCAATAAAAGACCAGCCCTCAGTCTCAGAGTCCTACCCCTCTCTGATGATCCTGTCTGTGTCTTTGGCTACGTGGTAGTAACTGATGACATGGTCCATGCAGGACAGAGTCTTGTCCACGTTCTCCTGCAGACGCTGCAGGTTCTCCGTCTGTTTGTGGACCGGGATGATGGAGTTCTCCAGCTGCATTAGGCGGCTCTCAAACGAAGACAGGATGGAGACCTTACAGGACAAAAACACACAATTAAACAGCAAAAAATACTCAGATTTGTGACTCGACAAAAAAGAGAAAAAGGCTCTTTTCCCAGTTTTCTCCAGTTATAATAACAAGACAAGATGCTCTTTTGCATAATGGCCTGTGTAGTGACTATGCTGGCCTGAATTTTTGTCAATGTTTGGGTGCGAGAGTGAGGTGTTTTTGACACGCCTCTAGTACAATCCAATGTCCAATCCAAGATTGTTGTTGAGTTATATTTTGCTGTTTACTGATTCAATGAAAAACAAATAAAAAAGACAGATCCGTGGGGTAAATTGACCACAGGAGTGGGGTAATTCATGTGTATTTTTATCTATTATTCGTTATTCAACTGGTACAATAATTCTTTTTATTATTATTATTATTCCATATAACTGATAAAAAGCTGTTTTGTAAAAAGTCATTTGAACATGAGAATGTCTTTAAGTGATTCAGAACATTCACAGATCTGTATTTTTAAAAAGAAAAAGTCAAACATTTCAACAATCTGAACTGAAACTCGGATCCTCTCATCAGACTCCTTTACTTTCTCAGTTACCCCAGAACTACTATGATGACTTTATTAGTCTTCTAAGATAAAATGGTGGACTTTTATGCCTCATAGATACCACAATTGATGTTGGTCTTTTTTGGTCTGAACACAATTTTAATAAAACTGATGACAGACTCAATTCACTTTACAGAGTGAATTTTTTTTTTTTTTTTAAATAAATGTCTAACCCCTTCACCCATGCGCTTTGAACCTTCACAGACTCCATGAATTGATGCCCATCTCCTAAATATTTGGTCACATGATCAATTTCTTACACCATTTCCAAGAAACAGGGGGTGGCTCAACTTACCCCACTCTCCCGTATTTCATGTTGGACATGTTAATGTTATAATTATAAAGGAATAGCCGCTATAATAGGACTGGATTTGACTCAGTACTTTGTATCTAACTGTTATTTTTGTGTGTGTTTTATTGTATTTGTGCAGGTGTGTCCGTCCTACCATGTTCTTGGTCAGCTGATCACTCTTCTCCAGGTTCTCCCTGATGAATGACAGAGTCTCCTGCTCCTGTAACACCAACAAAACAGCATTGAGTCGCTTTTCTCAGGTTATTAAAGGGCACAGACACCACATCTATCTATTAAAAACGATGTAAAGGTCGACAGGAGTGTTATATTTATGTGTCAAAGCTTCGTTTGTGATGCTTCCTTCCCCTCCAGCCATCATGTCCGACCTGCTTCAGTTTCTCCTCTATCTCCCGCTTCCTGGCGGACGCGTCCTCGGTGGGAATCATCCTGGAGGTGTTTCCGATAAAAGGACGGTCACCGGTGAATTTAAAAGGATAAAAAATGCGATTTAAGACATAGAAATAATTACAAAGGCGACCCAGAACTACTGTTGTGGTCAGCTAAACGCAGTAACGTCAATTTCACAGGATGAGTCGTTATAAGATCAATGTTTCCGGTATAGATTTCAGAGTAAAAGAATTATAGCCCCATATTACAATCTTTATGCTGCTTAATCATTTCGATTTTTTACATATAGATCTTTTTAGTATAAATAATAATAACACCATTTATAAAACAATGCGTAATACCAATTCACCATGTATTTGCGCAACGTTTTGCTTTTATTCTGAAGGTATAAAATCCTCTCCGTTCCTGTTGCTAGGTAACGCTTGACTAGGCGAGGCTTCACTTCCAGGTCCGTTCAGTTTGGACCAAGAGAGCCGCCATGTTTGTTGTGGCACAATTAAACAAATCGGTTTGATATCGACATGTGTGGGATAAAACGTCAAAATTAGGGCGGTGACCATACTAAATAGAGATGTTAAGATATTGTGCATCACAAAAACTGTATCTTGCAAGTAAAATATTAGAAACGGTAAGTTGGTACATGTTTAGATGCAGTAACCCAAAGAAACCGCTGCTTGTCGCTGTAGCTAAAGAAGGACTAAGACATGGAAATATCTATTTAACGTCAAGTTCAACGGCAGATTTTTAGGGCCACATTAGGGCCACATAAAGAATAAAAAAATAGATTTTAGAGATTAAAGACGTTAATTTACGAGATTAAAGTTATTACTAACGGGAACGAAGTCGTAATAAAGTAATTACGAGAAAAAAGTCGTACTAAAATCACTTCTCACAAGAATAAAGTCATAATAAATTAATTAGTTACGAGAATAAAGTCATAACAAAATCATTATGATGCTTATGATAATGTGGTGCTGATGTGCTAAAAGATTAAGTATCTCTTTGTTTGAGAAACATATATTAAAGTACATTTTCACAAAATGCTCCATGGCTCTTATGTCAACATCTGTCATCTATAACAACAGGTTACAATATAAGGACTTTTATCTGATTTCATTCTCATACGTAATTACTTTATTACAACTTTTTCCTCGTTAGTAATGACTTTATTCTCGTAAATTAATCTCAAAATATTCTTTTTTTTTTTTTTTTAATGTGGCCCAAGTACTCCGTTGTAGTTTTTTACCCCACAAAAAATGTAATTTATGGCAAATTCTCCCCTAAAATAATGAGCATTTTAATGTGACTGGGACTAAATCTGGCTAATTAATAGAACAATTATGTCAGTCGTATAGTTACCATTCATTAGGTTCATTGTTGTATTATTTAAATCTTATCTTCTACAGTGTCTTATCTATTTAAAGTCTTCAACATTTGGTAACAGTGGTACGAACCTTTAAATCTTCTCAAATGCACAAAAAAGCAGATTCACTTTGTGCTTTTTTTTATTTACTGGGTCCATGTTTTCAAAATAATTATATTTTCAAGAGAAAAAAAAACAACATTCAGAAAAATGTTACAAATTTATTAGCACAAAAGAACACCTTTCACATCGTGTCTTTAAATACATATTTACAGATCTGCCACCATACTTTACACTCTTACTTTACAGCCCCGTCTATTATACAAACAAGACATTTCGTACGATAACTCTCCCAAACTACATCGTTTAATTTAGTAAAGACTGGAATTAAAGGCAAAAGAAACAGAAAATAAAGGAGATACCAACCAAATGGAGTAGTGGGGGTACATGATCTATCACAGACAAACCCTCACATCCTCCCGTCCCTCATGCATTCACAAGTTAGTATCAGGTAACGGAATTAAGCTGCTGGGCCTCAATGATTAGAACAGCTAATAAAAAAAAGACACTATTTTATAATAAGACACACAATACATTAAAAAGAAAAGGAAAACACTGTTATCTTTAGTTCATGTTGCAAAGGTTTTTGTTTTTTTTCTGTGTATCCACTTGGTAAAAGAATATACAGTTTATATTATAACAGCATTAAGAATAATGCAAACGTGAAAATCGCAGAGCTGCTCTCTACGATTCCTCTTCTTTAGACATCGCCTGTGAATGAAAAACAAACAATCAGACACTTTCAGAAACAGGTTTTCCAGCCTTTCATTTCACTTTCATTTGAGTTCTGCTCACCTGTTTGAGGAACTGTCGTCCAAAGTAGTTAGTGGCCATGTTCTTTAAGCTGGTCTTTCCTCCCACTTTACAGCGCACGTAGCCGTAGAGGTTGGCCCCTTGTAACACCACACCCATGATCACGACAGGCTGAGAGGAAGATGGCAGATATTTAAAGACAGACATGTAGGATGTGTTTAACTTCTTCATATTTTTCTGATATCCTAGTTTGCTCTGTGTGGCTTGTTTCGCTCTGCCTTAGTCAAACTCTGCGTCGACTCATCTGGTTGACAACCGGCGTCACGGGACTGTTTCCTCTGTCAGGGAGGGAGCCATTTAACCCAAAGAAATCTGGGTTCTTGCTATCATCTTATGTCTGTTCAAGCACTTTGTGAACTCTATAATATGATTCTGATTATCATTAGAAGCCCAAAACTCAGGACTGCAGACTAACAGACAGTCATCCTCCGAGGTTAGTGAGTGTGTTCGGAACAAAGAGATATTACCCTGTACCAAACTGAAAATAAGTCAGGTTATAAGAGCTTTTTGATGATGATAGAGTTTTTTCTTGATGTTTTAAACAATAACATAAATGTAAATATCTTTCTTTTTTTGAATTAGAGCCAAACGACTGTCTTATCCCGGACGTCTCATCCTGCCGTCTCATTTTCCGAGAAAGCTGATTTAATTCAAATGCTGATTTATCATAAGCTGGAAACAGTCCAGAGAGGCACATATTCCCGTCTGTTTCAGTACCATCTGATAAACAGTGGAGCAGCAGGAAACAAAACAAACAAGAGCCGTCATCCCTGATTTAAAGAGTCACGTTTTGATTGTTTTCGTCTTCCCGTGGGATTTGCTGACAGAGAGAAAAAGCAAAATAACACCAGTTCGTTTTTGTTTTTTTCAGTTACAGCTGAGGACTTACCACCCATTTAATCTCAAAGGAGAAGAGGGTGCTGAAGGCAAAGATGACCCAGATGACCGGACAAATGATCAGCCCCAGCCAGAAGATTCTGGACTCCGAGTCCGACGACTGCTGCTTCCCAGTACCCTGAAAAAAACAAACAGGATATTCTCACAGTGAGGACATCTGCAAATCCTATAATGCTCGCTGACAGTAAACAAGTACATTTATCAACGCCACACAGTGAAGGAGGTCAGCATCATACGAGGTCAAAGACCCCAGAGTAGGACAGAGCAGTTACTGTAACACAGAAGAACACGAGCTTCATATAAGCTGAGGAGCACCGCCTCACCTTCCTCGACTCAAACACCCAGTGGCTGCGCCCGTCATCATCCACCTGGTTCCACCACCTCAAACCCACCATCAGTCGACCTGTGATGTTCTAGAAGTACATGTTACAGTCAAATTGATGTCAGCGTGGAGTTTCTGTTTTAAGATGGAGAATATTTACCCTGTAAAGAAGTGAAGGACAAACCTTTACTGCCCAGAAGTCACAGGAGAGCAGGAGGATTATTGTGACCATGCAGCCGATGAACCCCGGACTGAAGAACTCACAGAGCAGGTACACCAGGATAGCCGTGACTCTGAAGAAGAGGTGGAAGAAGGAGGCCACAGGATGCCTGGAGACAGATTAGAAACACATTTAATGTCATGATAGACACATCTGATAACTCGATTTGACAAACTGACAACAACAGCCATTACTCTACGGCTTTCAAACTGCTGCTGATAGAGGAGGAATGGTGGCACAGAGAGCTGCACAGTAAAAAGCAAAGAAACTGATATTACATCGTGACCATTTGCAATAAACTACAGCTGTTAATGTTAATGTATTACTCTCTTTGCTACAGAAATGAGTCAAAGTTAAAAAGATGTTTGGTGTCTAGTACTATGGCTGTGACCCTATATGTCCTGTTGATGAAGTTAGGTGCTGTTCTGAGCATTATTTGTGGCTATAGAGTGGTGTTTTGGTTGAGAGCGTGTCTCTCTGTATTGCTATCCTGCGGTCGTTACTAAAGTTGGTATGACTAGAGAAACAAGCGGTCGGCAACATTCATCTCTGGAGGGGGGGTCTAACTCGGTGTTACTGTGTGTTTGACACTAAATTAATTTAACGCCAGAATATCCCTTTAAAGCACGCCGCACTAAGATTTAATCTAATGCTTTTTTAATGTATAAAAATGTCAGTTTTTAACAGTTTTGCACAGTGACAGTAAAAGCACAAGAGTATGAAATCCTCATACACGAAAAAAAAAATCCTCTGATCTTCCTGAACTGGAGGATTAACAAAGTTCTATATGGTAAAAAAAAAGACAAAGACAGTGAAATAAACATGAATATCTTGATATTTCAATAACGAACTCAGTCATCTTCGGTTTTCTTACTTGATCTTGGAGCTCTTGGACCTTTTCCCTGAATCCTCCTCTGCATCAAACAGAGACACGTCCTCATCATTGGGATCCTGAGGAATAAACGAGGAGGACACAGACAGACAGACAGACAGACAGACAGACAGACAGACAGTCAAACCCTTAAAGTCCACATAGATGTCTCTGCTGGAGCCTCATCTATAGAGAGAGATCTGAGGTCCCAGGTTAGACCTTTGGCCTCATAAAAGAGTCACCCCGGCTCTTTTTTGTGGTTCTTCGGTCACAGTCGGAGGTGTTTAGTGTAAGAATCACGGGACAATAATAAAAGTGAAGCTGATTTTATGTAAAGAAGAGAAAAAAAAACTGAAAACTGTCCTTTTTCCGATCACTGACCGATGAGGATTCGATTATTTTAGCTTTAGTCGGTGTAGCTGTCTGTCAGAAAAGTGTAAATACACTAAAATGAACCCTTTGATAAAGATTATTAGGATGTTTCTGTTGTTTTTTGGTGAATCTGGAGCCTTTTTAGAGCTCACAAATGTCAACAAACCCCAAACTTTACACGTTAGCTCCCGTCTTAGCAACATTAGCCCGACAGACAGATGTTCAGCTTTAGGAACATTCAGTCCAAACAGACTTTTCTGTCAGCTCCGGAGTCACAGAACAAGACAGGAGAAACACAGGTTTACTATTTCACATAAGAGATTAAATATAAACATTAAAAATTCTACTTACTCCGGCTAACATCTTGAAATTTGAGTACGGTCTTCCTGGTTACATGCTAGTTGGAATACACGTCATCGGTTACGTTGGTCAGGTGACCGCGACGTGTCACGTACGTCGTTACGTTGGAAACGCAGTTGTGTTTAGTGTTGACATCGTAAACCGATTACATAAGATCTCTGAAGGTGTTTTATGGGTTTAACGAACCGGTTTTTCAGGTTTTTATGTATTTATAAATGTTTTTGTTATTATTATATATTTAATTTACTCATAAATTGTTACATAAAACGCCCACAGGTATAATTAAGATCGTTTCTTTTAAGTCAAATCTAAAAACTCACCTTTACAGACTTTCTTTAATACCGTCTTTTCTCTTTTTTTCCCTATTTTCTTTTCTCTTTTATCTCTTTTACCTCTTTTATCTTCTTTCGACTTACAATCCTTTTAGCCTGAGTTTTACTTATAATCTTTTCTCATTTTACTTTTTAGGCCTTTTACTGATTTTACAGTTTTTTCTTGCTCTATTTTGTTATTCCATTTTACTATTAATATTACCATCATTATTATTTTATTTTATATTTACTATCCTATTTCCTGCTTTCTACCCCCCTCTTTTTATTACATTTCTTTTCTTACCTATTTTATGTTTTTATTTTGGTCCTCATGGTCTCATTTTATAATGTAGAGTTCTTGTATTGTCCGGTTTCTTATGACGAATGAAAGTGGTCTTCAATTTGGAGGTCTTGTTTTCAACTGAGCTTTTGTTTTTATTTGTTTTTATTTTCATGTACTGGTGTTCTGTGCTTTACGACTGTTTGTTTAAAGCAGTTTGTGAACTTAAAAATAAAATAAAGTTTTTAATTTGATGCAATTAATAAACGTGCATTTACAGCACAAGAAACCTCATTTTTACTTCAGATCAAAACAAATTAACTGCAATTAATGTTATCCAGACATGTTCATATTTTAGATGACAAAGATAATTGATAATAGATACAATACTGTATATTGAGACAAGCTGATAGATGCCAATTAATAATCTATATACCAGTTTATCTTTATTACAGTTACAGTGAGAGGAATCAGTTTGTGGAACAATCTGAACAAAGAAACTAAAGAGGCGAAATCAGATTTTATCTTCAAAGAAGCCAAAGAAGATATGTTCATCCAAGTCTTGGTCTGTTTGTTTTTATTATGTGTTTAATATATTATGAAAGAGTTTTCTTCTTTCTGCTCCTTTTTATTCACATGTTTGAGATTTTTCCTTGTTTGAATTGAAAGTTTTAAATATTAACTGAATGAAATAAAGAATGAAATGAAAAATGAAATTAAATGAAACAAAATCCAAATGATCCTAAAAACGACTTGAATGAGCTTTCTGAATTTGATGCATCTGTTTGAACTTTGAAGAAACAGACCAGATCGAAGATTCAGAGTTTTATTCGAACACAGATCACCTCTGAACTCACAGCGTGATGAAGAGTAACAGAGGTCCCAAACAGACATGAGTATAAATACGACCCGAGCCAAAATATACATGAGATGAACATCCACAAGTTATCGTTAAAGTTCTATCAGGTAAAGAGTTCCCAGCTCGGCTCTAAGAAGTCCCTCAAAGAGCAGTCTGATTTGTTGAATTGTCCCTTTAATGACCGTGGTTCTGCTTGCCGCTATGCTGCTGATTTTGAATCAACAGCTCCGTTAGCAGGTGAGGTTGGAGGGGAGGGGCTTTTGAGGCGTAACGGCTCCCCCGGCGCCACCAACGCCACCACATTCTCCTTCTTGGACAGCCAGAAAGCCGGGTACAGCGGCTCCAGGATCTCCGCCTTGTACTCGTGGATGAGCGTCATGCCGTCCTCCACGCCGTAGAAAGCCAGCCGGCCTCTCGTGTAGTCCACATAAACCCCGATCCGGGTGAACTTCTCCACGCTCAGCGGGGTTTCCACGTCGCTGTGCCAGGCGGAGAAGGTGCGTCCGTTCCACTGCAGACACCAGGAGAAGTTGTTTCCCGTGATGCAGCTGTTGCTCTCGCTCCCTTTGCGGTCGATGCTCTTGTAGGTCAAGCCGATGTGCGTGCCCTCGCCGCTGATGTCCACTTCGAAGTAGTGGCGCCCCAGATAGAAGCTCTCTGTGGCCAGAACCTGGCGCCAGTTCTCAAAGCGCTCAGGTACGTCAGGGTAAGGATGCTGCCAGGGCGTGGTGTTGGTCACTTTCCTGTTTTCTTCTGTCAGCCGGAGGAACTTGTGAGCCGTGTCAGCATCGAAGGTCACGTTGGCGGCATCTGGGAGAGGATTGTGAGCGTGTTACATAACAATCAAAACATGAGAAACAACGACAAAAACCAGGACTGCAAACATCTCTGAGACACTCATGACACTCTGTGTATGAAGTGCACAGCCCTCCAGAGATGAATGTTGCCGACTGCTTGCTTCTCTAGTTATACCAACTTTAGTAACGACCGCAGGATAGAAATACAGAGAGCCACGCGCTCAACCAAAACTCCACACCATAGCCACAAATAATGCTCAGAACAGCACCTAACTTCATCAACAGGACATATAGGGTCACAGACATAGTACTAGACACCAAACATCTTTTTAACTTTGACTCATTTCTTTAGCAAAGAGACTAAACACAACTCACCTACTCTCTTCCAGCAGCCGATAGTTTGAAGCAAGACCTCAGGCCAGTCCATTACGGACTACAGCGGGGTGACGCAGCTCAAGGAAGAACATTTATGATCATTAGGTTTTTTTGTTCTTTTGTATCGGACAGGACTTTATCAGAGTGTCACGTGACAGTTCCTCCAGCGCCAACCTGGAGGAGGCGAACCAACAGCAGCCGGTCGAATCTGATGGGCGAGTCACGCCTCCACAGAACATTAGCTGTCAAAAGTACGCGTCAAACAACCATCACGTGACACTCTGATGAAGGCAGAAGAGTCCGCCGAAACATGTCAGATGAGAAAAAATAAAAGAGCACTGTCCGATACAAAAGAACGAAAGAAAACTAATGATTATAAATGTTCTTCCTTGAGCTGTGACACCCCGCTGTAGTCCGTAATGGACTGGCCTGAGGTCTCGCTACAAACAAGCGGCTGCTGTAAGAGAGTAGGTGAGTTGTGTTTAGTCTCTTTGCTAAAGAAATGAGTCAAAGTTAAAAAGATGTTTGGTGTCTAGTACTATGTCTGTGACCCTATATGTCCTGTTGATGAAGTTAGGTGCTGTTCTGAGCATTATTTGTGGCTATAGAGTGGCGTTTTGGTTGAGGGCGTGGCTCTCTGTATTACAATCCTGCTGTCGTTACTAAAGTTGGTATAACTAGAGAAGTAAGCGGTCGACAACATTCATCTCTGGATGAACTTGGTGTAACGATGTATTTGACCCTAAATTAATTTAAAGCCAGAATATCCCTTTAAATGCTATATTTTGAATCACAGCCTGACTTCCTTTGCTCAGATTGTAAACAGAGAAGACTCTATAAGATTAAAGGGACAGTAATGTTTGGTCTCAGGGGTCTGACTGTTTTTGGCGTCCAAAGGGAACACAGTAAGAAAAAAAACAAATGAACTGTAGTTCTTTTTCCAGGACTGGAGCTCTGGTTATGATAGACATGTGGAGGATCTGCTGGTGCACAAAGGCCCAGTCTGAAACCTTCTTCCTGCCCTTCAGGCCACATAATTCTCATTCTTGTACAGCTCTTATTCCCAGAAGTTGAGACGCTGTAAGACGACTGATGGACTCAAGAGGAGAGGAGGGAAACTGTCCTGTAGTTTGTTGGATAAAAATTGATGTTCTGAGGTCTGATGGATCAATATCTAACACCCTTTTGAAGAACTGAAGCTGAAATCCTCTATCAGGTGAAAACTGGGACAACATCTCACTCTCCAAACTCCAGTAACCGGTCTACTGGGTTCACTGACACGAACACAGTGATGTGACGCAACACAACGGTAAACATGACCTGACCTGAACCGTCTGAAGATAATTAGTGTTTGTCAAACTGTCTTACATGGTGTCCCGACATTTGTGTAAACGTGTCAACAACTCCCTCATCTCTGCTCTTAAACTGAGACACATTAAGGACTGATCAGCTGTGATAATCATCGTTCCTGCAGAAAAGTACGGCGGCCGAGAATCGCCACTGCTGCAAATAAAAAAAGAATGCAAAGAAAGGGGTCGCAATGGAAGTTACCGATGCGAAAAAAGAAACTGAAGTCCACTGCAGATAAAAAAAGAAACAATGTGGATATATTTTTAAAAAAAAGCCGCAACGGAAGTTAAAGACGCAGCTCACTTCCATTTTTGAGTTGCAGCGAGCTTCTGTTTCTTTATTTTTGCATCGGTTACTTCCGTCGTCACTTCATTTTTGGATTCTTTTTTATTTCCAGCAGTGGTGATTCTTGGCCACCGTACAAAAGTGACTAAAACACACACTGCAATGATCGTCTTTATGAACAGAAAACACTTACACTCGAGGAAGTCCTTGTGCTTCACTGGATCCGGTAGACTCATGCCCTGCCGTATTGCAGCAATTTCCTTCACGGTTGTTTTGATGCCCATTTTATCTGCAGTGAAAGAAACAAACGTTTTAGAAAGATCAGATTTGTTTCCCGCCAACGCTAAGAAAAATGCATTTGTTGTTTTTTTTAGCCTGGAGTGACCCCCCCTCGTCTTTGCCTGGTGAGTCAAAGAGCTGACAGGTGGTTTATACCTGCGCTCTCCAGCTCTGACACACAGGCTGAGAATTCCTCACATGTGTGGACAAGCCTGGACCGGCTGATATCTGTGCATCTGTGATTTAATGTCGGAGTGCGATTTCTCGCAGCAGACCCACTGCTTGTGTTTCGCTCTCACCGTTCTTGCACGTCTCTTTGAACTTCTCGATGTAGGAGGACACGAGCATGGCGCACAGCTCCTCAGTGGAGTCCACGATCACGCGGCTGAAGGAGTTGAGGCGGTCCATGAGGCCGATGTAGACCCCAGGCAGGGAAATATCAGTGGCTTCCTTCTTCCACTCGGAGTATTCCTGCAGAACAAGCAGAGTCATTATTAAACCAAGATGTCTACCTCCAGAACCAAACTCTTGCTCTTCTTCTCAGACTTCTCTTACCTGCAGGAAGTCCACGTCGTTCTTGTTCTTGGAGAGCTTCTCCACCTGCGCCTGCGTCTTCTTCAGCTCCGTGCACCTCTGCTCCAGGTGAACCTTGATGCCCTCGGCCTGCCTCAGCGCCTGCTTCTCCTCGCCCTCCAGGATCTCGGTGACCTCCCTCTTCGCCCTCTCCACCACGGCCTGCAGCTCCTGGAACTGGGCCTCTATCACGTCTCGTACCTCGGTCACTGAATTCTGCAGGACGACACATTTCAGGTTTAGATCACCTCGCACACTCGCTGCATTCTTCACATTCTTACGGAGACGGTTGCATACCACACACCCTGCTCTCGTTCGCAGGTGGGGGATGCTTCAGGTCATGGTTTTGTTACGTAACGCTGATGGTAGCGAGGGAATGCTTCGTGCCTCAGCGCCACCCTGAAAACAGAGTTCCTCCCACACCTGAGGGAAACCTGTCCGGTTTGGGCGGCTCCTTACCTCAGGTGTTTCTGTGATCTTAAGCCAAAAATAACCCCCGCCGAGCCAGACTCCATCAAATATTATGACACTCATGTGACACACACACTCATCCTAAATTAGTCACACAGATCGGTGTGTTTACCTCGATAGAAACGGTGTTCAGCTGCAGTTTGTTGATGGCGTTCTCTGCTGCGGTCACCGTCTTCACCATGTCCGTCTGCTTCTCCTTGAGCTCTTTCTAGAAAAATCAGAGAGCAGAAATCAGCCTCAGCGTTCAGACCACAAGCAGGACGACGTCATGCAGAAACTATGCCTGATCCTGACAGACGGAAACATATCCAGCAGATGTAAACACGGTTTCTGTGTTGCTCTGTCTTAGGAAGTCACATATCCTTCATTATACTCGAACAATCGGGGCTTTTTGTCCTGCTTTCAGAGTCAAGTCTGAATTCCTGGGGCAGGTTCAGGCGGCTCCAGGGCTGAAGCTGGGAACAGTTTTCTGTAAAGTTCAGGCCCTGAGGGGTAAAAGTTTCTTCTGCTTGAGTAGGCGTATCAGGACATAAAACTGATCTTCAAACATTCATGAATATTAAAGAAGCGGCTGCTGTGATGAGGAGGAGAAACACTGAGACCAAGTTCTGGTGTTGATTTTCATTTAAATGTGATAACTCCGCTCTGTAACTTCTGAACTTCTATTTTTAACTTCTGTTTTTTTTTCTGTTTCTACTTCTGCTCGACTTTAAATGACACTTTTTAATGGTCTGTAGTGGTGGAATCAGATGTGGTTTCTCTGGTTAAAAAGTAATTAATACAATAAGAGCTTCAAAGGGGTGAATTATTTCCAATCAGCAGCAGGGATTCCTTTAATAACTACATTATTTTGAGGATTTTTTTAAGCACTGTGGAGCTCATAGGGCAGAATATCAACAGGAAGTTTTCTCTTCTTCTGCATCTTCTACAACATCGCTCTCTTTCGGCTAATTTTCACCTCCTCTTCTGGTTAGATCTCCAGAAGTAAAACAGTTGTTGGTTTTTTTTTGTGACTGGTTTGTAAAAAGTAAACCACACCACCTCTTAAAGTGTTGTGAGTGAGGAAGAAGTCAAAGAAAGTTCAAAATGGGAGTGGAAAAGTTCACGTTACTGTATTACATCAGGTAAGAAGAGACAAAAATGAGCCTGAACTTTGTCTTGATGCAGACGATCTTGTGATGTATTCGTCCAAAAAAGGATATCACACAAAATATGGAAGTGTACGTGGTTATAAAAACGTATTCCTGCGTGTACATGCTCTAAATATTAGACACGTACACCTCCAAACTCTTTAGAACAGCTCTGCAGGCTGACCCAGATATTGCCTTTCAGGACCCCTCAACTCTGGATGAGTCTTCCTGTTTAAAACCACAGCCACTTCCTTTTTTAACTGTTTTCACTGACAGATAATGAAACTCTGTTCTCAGTGCCGACGAGCTACAGCTCTCTAAAATACTGCCGACCATGTGAAACAGGTACAGAGCTACGATATTTGGCTCTGTGACAAATATCTGACAAAGCTTTTCATAAAACAACCACTTATCTTCAGCGTCCAGAGGGAATTGGTGGCACTCAGCGGCAGAGAAACCGGCTATCGTAGTTTATGTAAGCCGCCGCGGTGTGGGAATTAGAGTTTTGTTTGAGAGATGTTTGAAAAACCATCAGAGTCCTTTAAAACGCTTGTTCTTGTTGTGAAGAGAACCGCAGAGTCCCCAAAGGTGCTGTAGTAGAGTGATTTAGCTGTCTACGATAATTTAGGAGAAGTTTGTGGAGGATCTGCAGCCTCTCAGTTTATCCGGGAGGACCGGGTGCTGATTCGCTGTTAGAACTGAGCGTTGGAGGTTTTAAAACATGTTATTAATCTTATGTGACTGTTAAAGACTCAGTTTCTGTAATCTTCTCGTCAAGTAGAAAATACCTGGTCGATATTTTATAAGGTGAGTTTAATCCGTCTGCACAGAAAGCGAAGTGGTCTCTACATATTCAGGTAGAAGACTTTCATTGTTCAGCTGCAGGAAATCTGAAATTATCCGACCGGTTTGAAGAGTCTTCAGGGATTCATGAAAAGAGTCAGAGTCTGAGTCACGTCTTTGGATAATTTAGTTCGATATAAAGCACTCTGACTCAAACGTAACACTCCTGGGTGAGAGGTGTAGACTCAGAGGACGGCGTTCAGCCCAACAGGAGTGTGTGTGTGTGTGTGTGTGTGTGTGTTTTCTGCACCTCTGCCATGTCATGAGATCTTTAAAGGTGTGTTCGAGTGTGCAAATGTGGAGCAGGAAGTCGTTCCTGTCTGTTGTCTTCCTTGTTTTCTCGTGCTGTCGGTTTCTGTCCTGTGGAGCTGGATCTCTTTGAAAGGGGGAAGTGTTTGTGAGCTGGAGTGGCCTCTTCTCTACCTCCATTTATTTCTACTTTTACATCCACCAACCTGCTCGTGTTTTATGTTCATACACACGAGTATTAGCGTTTGTGTCATTCTAACCCTCATCCCCGACACTCCTCTGTTTGCTCTACACTCTAATGAAACTGTTTGAGGTTTTGCAACAACACGGTGCAAATAACAGCCTCAGATCTGTTCAGGAATCTGGACAGGAATGCTTCAGAGGGAGAGACGATTGACACTTCGTCTGGAGTCGAAGCTTTTTCTGTGTCAGACGAGCTAAAAAGATCCGAGGATCGAGTTTCCAGACTCCGGAGAGCCGTCAGTGACGCTATCACTGGCCGAGAGTGAGATTCAATGAGCTTCTGAGTGGATAATAAGTCTGAAAACGTGTCCTGATTAGATTTGAAGTGATCAGAGCTGCTCTGTGAGAACAGCTGTGATGACTTCGGATGATCCTCCTCATGGTGCCGACGGTCACATCCATCACGGACCCTCACTTGGTTTTTGACATCTCTATAAATATCTGCTCTTTTGTGCCTGAAAGCAGCAGTGTGGGAGGATTTAGGGATTATTCCGGAGCTCAGGTTACAAATTAAAGGAAGAGTTTCAGCCGAGTGTCACCTCGATCCACCTCTGACACAAACTGAAGAGTAAATAAGAAAAGAGGGGGAGAAACCTCGGAGGAGAGTCATGTTTGCAGCTTTAACAGGACCGGTGAGGTTGGTAGTTTCACTAATTTAGGATTTAAAACCCAGTAAAGGGTATTAACCTCCAAAAACGCCGAGTTTATGATGATGTTACACAGAGAGCAGCAGGAAATCTTCCCTGTTTGGCACAAGTGGATGTTTGACATTTAATTTGACCGATGTTTCAGACGAGTGTTTCCAAGCCGAGAGCCAAGAAACAGGCCGATAAAGAGCTTCAAGAAAAAGAGTCTTTATGTTTCATGAATTTTAAGCTTTTTTCTGATAAAATGAAGAGTTCCTGCTCAGGCTGAGACATGTTCAACGCTTCAAAAGGACGAATGAGTCTTTTCTTTCTTACCTGAGTCGTAGAGACACAGGTGAAGATTTCTAAATTTGTCTTCAGATGTACCTGAAGGATGTTAAAGATGTTTCTACAATATTCGAAGGATCTTTTACCTCGATCTGCGCGCGCGCCTCCACCACCGTCACCGTGTTGTGGCCCTTGTGCTCCTCGCTCACGCAGTCCTGACACACGCAGCAGGAGTCGGCGCAGCAGAACAGCTCCAGGGGCCAGTTGTGGCTCTCGCAGGTCCTCCTCTCGATGTCTCGGAGCGGATCCACCAGCCGGTGGTTCTGAAACTTGGGGTTCTCCAGGTGAGGCCGGAGGTGAGCCTCGCAGTACGACACCAGGCAGGTGAGGCAGGACTTGAGGGCCCTGCAGCGGCTCTCGATGCAGGAGTCACACACCACATCATCCGGACCCAGAGGTTCCTCCTTCACCTCCTCTTCCTCTTTTTTCTTCTCCTCCTCTTCGGGTTTTTTGGGGTCCTCCGACTCCTTCAGGTCCTCCTGGATCTTGGTCTCCTCTGAGGTTTTAGAATCCGGCTCCTCTTTGCTCTGGATGACCGGAGCTTCAGCCTTTGTCCCGTTCTCTTTCGGAGCATCAGGTTCAGGCTGGACCACGCTCTTCACACCCTCAGGACATCCTTTGGTTTTGTCCCCGAGACAGGATCCACAGACCGAGTGGGCGCAGGGTTCAGGTTTGTCTCCACTCAGAGCCCCTGAACACACGGAGCAGAGCTGCTGTTTGGAGACCTGAGGGGTTTTCTCAGCTGCTGTATCTGCCATGACTCCTCTCTGCTGCGCCTCCTCCCTCCTTGGCTGTCTGAGGAGAACTGGCTGGGCCACTTCAGTCAGCCGGTAGTTCCTGGAGGAGGAGGAGGCTGGACAGCCACACCTCGGGGATGTCAGTCACAGCTCAGAGTTTCTGTCTAAATGTTACCCGCCCCCTCGCCGAGACGCCCCCACTCACAATCGCAGCCCCCCTCCTCCTCCCTGAGGGGAGGAGAAACCACAGGGTGGAGTCGTGGAGCAGAGACGGAGATGAGGAGCTGAATTCTCCCACATGCTCTGTGTCTGAACATGAAGTGAAGCTCAGACTGATCACAGATGTTTGATCTCTTTGTTTCAGCTGATCCAATCACCCAGACAGAAACCAGGAAATCACCCCCGCTGGCTTTTGTTGTGCAAACGGCTTTTTTTTCTTTCTGCTCCGAAGTGAAAGTGGGAAGTTCAGAGAAACGTAAACATGTGAGGTAGATCAACAGAGTCCCAGAGAAAAACCAGAGCAGTGGCGCCACCTAGTGACCACAGCCTGCAGCTCAAGTTTCCCTCTGTGGAGACTTCTCTGATTATTCTCTCTTTCTTTTATTTCAGATTTCTCTGCCTCCTTGTTTTTCTGGAGGAACTTTGAGGTCAAACTCAGTCCTCCAGTTTCTCTTTCTGACTGTTTCTCATTAACGTCCTTCAAGAGAAGATCCGGGGGTTTCTCTGAGGAGGAACAAACAGATCAGACTTAGATCCTGAGCACAACTCAGTCCTCGGGTCCAAAGGGCTGAATCAGATTATTCATGAGTGTAACATCAGCGTCAAATAAAAGGCTGTGATTGGCTGAGATCCACCTGAACGAGGTGATAACGTGTTTGTCCTAAAGTATCACCATCAACCTACTGAGTCTCAGGAAAGAGAATTAACATCTTTTACACCAAACATCTTTTTAACTTTGACTCATTTCTTTAGCAAAGAGACTAAACACAACTCACCTACTCTCTTCCAGCAGCCGCTTATGTAGTGAGACGTCAGGCCAGTCCATTACAGACTACAGCGGGGTGCCGCAGCTCAAGGAAGAAAATTTATGATCATTTCTTTATCATTTCCTTGGTAGTTCTTCTGTCAGCGTCTCGGTCTGATTGTATTTCCATAAAGAAATGATCATAAATGTTCTTCCTTGAGCTGCGACACCCCGCTGTAGTCTGTAATGGACTGGCCTGAAGTCTCTCTACAAACAAGCGGCTGCTGGAAGAGAGTAGGTGAGTTGTGTTTAGTCTCTTTGCTAAAGAAATGAGTCAAAGTTAAAAAGATGTTTGGTGTCTAGTACTATGTCTGTGACCCTATATGTCCTGTTGAACTCGCACCCTGACACCGAAGGTGCACGCCAAGAGCCCGGGTGGGTAAGTGTGATCACATGAGCTGAAAGCTGATTGGCTGAGCTGAGCATAAATCTGAAGTATCAAGTTTACCAACATTTTACATGAAACAGGAGAGATATTCCTTCAAAGTTTGGATATTTATTCACTCTTCATGAATACGGAAAGACAGGAAGTTTTTTTTGCATTATTTGATTGTTTCGCTGGATTTCTGTGGAAAAGGACGATAAATACAACAAAAATATTCTAAAGAAAGTGCAAAAGTACAGACTGATAACACAAGATACACTGCCTCCATCAGTGCTGAGTGTCTGCAGCTCTGACTCTGAAAGATTATGTGGTTTTATGAAGCTTAACGTTGTGTCTCAGTGTTAAATCAAGAATCATTTTACCTGATGAGACGGAGCCGGCTCAAAATCTGTCATGAAATCAACCAGAGGAACTGAACCCTAATGCAGTCTGCTTTTAGTCCTTATCTTTGTGCTTTAAATGAGAAGACTGACTTCTATTGTGACGTTAAAAGGAGCAGAAGACGCTGGTGTTTCTCCTCGAACTACGTTAAAAGTGTTGTGGTTAAAAACTTCTTCTTCAGTGTCTGAAAAAAAAGCACTTAAAGCAGGAGTTTGTGCCCTTCAGCGGCAGCAGTCTTTAGTCTGACCAGTTCTCTTGTATCCGTCATCACTGCACGCCCACCAGCTCTGTGATGGGCGGAGCAAACACCATCAGCTCCTGGTACTTGTTGAAGAAAAGGTGCAGTCGGGAGAGGTAGCTGTCCTCCTGATACGGAAGCTTCTTCTCAGTCAGATACTTGGACACGACCGGCTTCACCTGCGCAGACACACGGGGAGTTTTCAGGTTTTAGGCGGCTGCATATATGAAAAAAAAAACCTAACCTTAAAAAAATTCTAACAAAAGGTTTCTCAGCTGTTTTTTTATAGTATTAGATGTCTTGACACCCCAGGTAAATAGGGTACAATTCTTAACTAACAGATATCACCATGAAGCTTCCCAAGTTTATAACTTACATTAAGACAAATATTTTTTATATTACAAGTTTTTTCAAATGTTATGTTTGAATATGTAAATGAGGAAATAACTAATTAAATATGCACTAATTTACAGACATTTACAGAACTAAAAACTGACCAATGGATGAAGCCTCTTTTAAAATTCTCATTTTATTTTGTTGACATACTAGAGTCAGAGGAGGAGTCAGGAGGGGACTTTGGATATCTCTGTTTATCACTCTGTAAATGATAAAATACTCTCAACACCCCGAAAAACTCAAATATCTTCATGTGTTTTTTTTTCAGGTCCTTAAAATGACCATCACTCCTTTGTATTCATTCTAGACCAGGAATACTGGCGCCTGACACATGTTTTGACCATGTTATCTTCTTCACTGGTATATTTGTTTGATTGATAAGTGATTACAAGTACAACTAGTTCCTCACGGGCAGCGTCGCATGGAGATATTTGAGTTTTTCGGGGTGTTGAGAGTATTTTATCATGTACAGAGCGGTATAAAGAGATATACAGAGTCCCCTCCTCCCCGCTTCTGACTCTAGTATGTCAACAAAATAAAAGAATTTTTAAAGGAACTTTATCCATTGTTCTGCTCTGGAAAATTATGCAAATTAGTGCATATTTAATTAGTTATTTCCTCATTTACATATTCAAACATAACATTTGATAAAACTTGTAATATAAAAAATGTTTGTCTTAACATAAGTTATAAACTTGGGAAGTTTCATGGTGATATCTGTTTGTTCAAAATTGTACCCTATGTACCTGTCAAACTTTGTTAAACTTTTAGTTTGTTATTGAGGACATCTAATACTATAAAAAGAACAGTAGAAATCCTTTTGTTAGAATGTTTTTAGGGGTCAGGTCATATTTGCACCTGATTATTTATGAATCAGAAAACAGATTTGAAAACCTGCGAAAATGAACGGAGTAGCCTCGGCGTTCAATTTAAGCTGCGATCTTCAACTGTAATTTTGGGGGATTTTTTTAAATTTAAAGGAAAACTTTAAATTTAATTAAGTCGATGTGACTTAATATCTCCCAGAGTCTCACCAGAAACAGAATTTAACACATTTTGAAGTTTCTTATAACTTTCATAGTCAAAGTGGTTTTGTGTTTGTCCCTGACTGTGAACTCTGTCACCACCTGAATCAATCCTCTCCTTCGCCAAAACAACCGACGGACAGATCTGCCATCCATCAGGTCCACCTGGCTGAACACCAAGAGATTAATGACTGATAAGAGCATTGATTTGGCTCCGGATCCTTCTTACCTTCAAACACATGTTATCAGACAGGAAGGGAAAGAGATGGTGCTCCACGTGGCAGTTGATAAGCGAGTGTCCAAAGATCCAGTCCAGCAGCAAGTTCCTGGGCAGGTTCAGGACCCCGTGTGTCATCTGGTAGACCCTCTTAGGTCGGCGGGTGGGGGAGAACATGGGGAGGCCGATGTGCTGCAGATAACACGGAGGGTTTTAAAAGTGCGCGCGGACAGACTCACAGACAGACTCGCCACAGCGTGCACTCAGCAGCTTCATCCCAGGAGGACGCTGAAGCCGCTGAGTGCACGCCGTGGCGAGATCTTCTCAATCAAGCGGGTTCCTGAAGTCAAGAGTAAATATCAGCTGATTACTTCATGGATTTGTGGTGAAACGGTGGAAATCTAATGGATCTTAGGGAGCAAATATGACACCCTGATCGAAAGGTTTTTACCGTTTACTGACCACAGAACAGCCGATCATGATGACGGGCTGTCAGAACTTAATCAGAACTAATGCTCGGCTGTGTGACTGAGCCTCGAGGGTAATGTGGGTGTCTGGACTCTTACTTTGAACGTTTAGCTAAAAAGTCTTTTCAAACTTTAAGACACTCAGAGAAACTGAAAACAGCAGAAAACAAGGTCTCGTGTTTTCATGTAATGTGGATTTAAAGAAAGGTCGGTGTGCGTCGATAAGATCTTGATAATTCATTAAAGCCTAAAATATCAGATCCAGAGGTACCAAGTGTTGTAAAGGTCCGTCTGCAGGTTTGTGGAGTAGAAGATGTAGAAAAGGTTTAAAGATTTGGGAGAAACTTAAAGGGATATTCCGACAGATATTCTGATGAGTCGATCAGCGAGAGCAGTGGAGTTTCGCAGCTCAAGGAAGAACATTTATGATCATTTCTTCATGGAAATACAATCAGACCGAAACACTAAGGCAGAAGAACTACCACGTCTGCAAAATGATTAATACGGTGATTATTACTTCAAGGAAATGATAAAGAAATGATCATAAATGTTCTTCCTTGAGCTGCAGCACCCCGCTATAGTCTGTAATGGACTGGCCTGAGGTCTCACTACAAACAAGCGGCTGCTGGAAGAGAGTAGGTGAGTTGTGTTTAGTCTTTTTGCTAAAGAAATGAGTCAAAGTTAAAAAGATGTTTGGTGGCTAGTCGTTACTAAAGTTGGTTTAACTAGAGAAGAAAGCGGTCGGCAACATTCATCTCTCGACGGGGTGTCTAACTCAGTGTTACAGTGTTTTGACCTTAACTTGATTTTACATCCTTTAAACCCCTTTAACAGCTGATCCGCTCCCCTCTTGCCCCTCAGATCTTGTCTTTCCAAATTCTGCATTAATGGACCAAAACAACAACCAATCAAAGTCGAACAGAAAGTCTCCAACATGTTTTTATCACTGAATAAACGAGTTAAAAACAGCTAATACTGCACAACGTTACCATCCGCGGTTGGAGGTACAACAGCTCGCTGAGTTCAGGGGAAAAAAATGTTGTTTAATAGCCAAGAACAACGGGCGGTTTACATGTCTGACCCCCCACAGAGAACAAACATCTCACTCTGTCAGACCCTCCACTTCACCTCATGAACCGGGTTTTTAATCCACCTTCTCACTCTTTGATCAGAACAATGCACAATGACCTGCCGGACAGTCAGACTCCAGCACGGGAAACCAGGCCTGAATGGTTCCAGTTGATCCCTTTAGCTCACTCGCTGGTCTGATCTATGAGAACACAGAGCTGCACCCAACCACGACTTCTCATTATGAATGTGACATGAAAAGACGCCGACATGAAATTCCTCAGATCTGTGAGAGGAGCCAGAGTGAACCAAATCTAAACAGATGTGTCGCTTCGAGACGCAGACCCCAGAGAAGTTCTCACCTGGAAAATGTTGACATGGATGTACGGCACCGAGAACATGGCTCTGCAGACCAGCATGCAGAGCAGAGTGCCGAGAGGCGACTGGAACCCAGAGATGTGGATCAGCAGCCAGTACTGCGAGTACAGACCCAGAGACACCATCAGGACGGTCCTGAGGATGAGGGCCGGAGAGTGTTCTCTGATGTGACCTGAAGACCAAAGAATCACATATCAATGAGAGAGAAGAGGTGAGGATCAGGAGGTCATGTTTGCGCTGATGATCAAGTCTTTTACCGAGCGCCACCAGCGGAGTGATGATCGGAACGAACAGGGGGGCTATAAACAGGTAGATGGTGCGAGGCAGGAAGGGGACCTTCCACACGCTGGAGTCGCCCAGTCCGATGACATTAGTGTGAGCGTGATGCATCTTAATGTGACCCTGAACGCCGGCCCGCGCCGAGAAGGAGCCGCAGATCTGAGCAGACAAACACAAGGACACAGCAGGGTGTTTACGAAGACGCAGAAACTGATGCAGCACGCGTAACAGCACATGACGGTTATCAGGCGAGCAGGTCATCACACAGAGGTCATCCTCAGGGTTAAAGGCCGCTAACGTTCACACTGCTCTTTCTGATACTACGTTAAGACAACAGAAACAGAAACAATTTACTTCTTTTCTCCGTCCTCCAGCAGAATTTTAAGCACACTGAAGCAGAACTGATCAGTAAATGTTTCACCTCGATGAAGAAGACGGCCCAGAACTTGCCCCAGGCCTGCGACTCGCTCAGCGCCCCGTGGCTGGCCATATGTGTCCCTTTGATGGTGATGACGGCGTGAGCGACGCCCATCAGCAGCATGCCGGCCGAGAAGTAGAGGAGCTGAGAGGAGCCCAGCAGCAGGAAGGCTGTGAGACAGAGAGCACGTGCGCACACACACACACACACACACACACACACACACACACACACACACCTTAATCTAAACTCAATAAAGATACGGCGGTGAGGAAACATGAGCTTACACACACTCAGTGTTTACATAACTTTGACATTTCGAGCTCTAGAGCTTCTTATCTGGTGTAACTCTGAGGAGAAGTTCATATTCCAACTGTAATGAGTCGTTTAAACCCATAATAAAACTGTATACCAGCGCATCAGTAGCCCATTGTGATCCAGCAGAGGGCGCTCTCATTGTGACCTGGCCTATCCACGCACCTTTGACCTCAGTAAACGCAGTAATGTTACTGTACGAAAAGTTTAAGGTGTAAATGTTTTCGGATTCAGCCTGTTACATTCCTCCGATTAAAACAGCTGCTAAAATTGTTTCCCAGGACAAATTTAGAGGGAGGGATCATTGGCGAGTTTTGCGTCTGCTTCCTCGCTGGGTGAAGCCACTCCGAGAACAGCACCCTCTGGTGACGGGTTGCAGTATAGGTCATAAATCCCGCCTCCGCCAGCAACCCCTTTGGAGCTGTGGACAAACTTAAGAAATTAATTACACAGAATATAAATTTTTATCTATTTTCAAAAGTTATTATGGGGTTCAGCCTAGTCTCCTGAGAGTCAGGAAAAATCGTCCGAGGCAACAAATGTTTTTCCTGTAAATACGGCGGTGAAGTTAGTTTCAGGTTGGATATCTGACGGACATTCTCTGAGGATCTACCGGTGTCTCCTCACTCTCCATAACCGGGAATAACAACAGCAGCGCGGTTAAATCTACTCGACACCCTCGCTGTCAACGTCGGTGTTGAATAAGGGACCGTCAATAAATTACCGGTTGATGTTCTCAGAAAAGGCTGTTTTCTTCAATAGCTTCACTGTCATGTGACCAAAAGACCAAAAATTGATTTCAAATAACAGTATTTATGTCGACCAAAATGACAAACATTATTTGATCAAATTTCATTGTGCTACTAAACAGTTCTTTGTGTGCTCCTTGTAAGAAAAGTTAGTGTCAAACCCTGAATAGTATATACAGTCTATGTTTTTCACAGACTGAGAGAGTGCGTCTATGACTTCAACTGAAAATAAAATGATAAACATGTTTATAGTTAAAGTTTTTGTGGGAAAGTCTTGAAACTGTAAAGACTCCGGGGCTCGCTCTGAGATCGTCTTTCCATCGTCCATAAATGGTCACTTCACCGCTCTATAAATCCACCCAGCAGAGGTGGAGGTATTTGACTGTGGGCCAAAGAGTGGGCTCCACAGACTCACTGACCCACAGTAACATCACTGTGTAGATAAAAGCATGATGTGTCCTGTTGTGTCTGTTACGTGTGCGAGCAGAAGGATGGCTTTCAACCGTGACCACAGGAGGGGCGATCAGGTGAACGAATTAAACTCTACCCTTCTCTGCAGTGACTGTGCAGCTCTGTGTTCATCACACGGGGGGCTCCTTACATGATTACATCACCGTGCACTAATACAAATAACGCCCATCTGTGGGGTCGCTGCTCTCTTCTTCACTTTCTCAGATCGATCAGGCGATCATTAAAACATCAATATGCTTGGGTCAGCGGATCTCCAGTGGGTGATAATGTGGCCTTGGCTTCTTCAGACTGAATAATTAATGTCACGCAGCATCACTGTGGTGGTTTGGTTGCACTTATTACAGTAACAGTAATAATCCTGCAGTAAAAGCACCAAGTATAAAAGCTTCTTTGGCTCCAGGGCGGTTTGGATCACATGTTCCCTAACTCAATAAAACGGTGCTAATAAACTGCAACTCCAATTTCAAGGCGCACTATTTTGAGTCGATACGACACAGGATCTGTGATATCAGTGACTGATGCCTCTTCAGCTGAAGTCTGGGACCTGATTCGGCTAAAAATACGTGAGTATGCCTTTATCTTCACAGACAGCCAGGGAACAATTCAAGAGAAACTCAGACTAAAGGACCAAATATAAACTCCAGTGAGTCTGAGGAACATTTTTAGCTCAGACCTCAGGTGTCTTGCGCTGCTGCTCAGAGCTGTCACTTCTAATGATCGAGTGACATGAGGCACAAAAGACACTCGCACTAATTGAGGTCAGAGGCTGACCAGCAGTGACCCAGTTAGAGGAGAAACATGGGATACCGTGAGAGCGTGACCCCGCTGTGACAAACAGTGAGTGGGCTGAGGGGTGACACAGCAAGAAGAGCTGCGAGTGTGATTCAGAAACGTAAACATGTTTGATAGAGTGTGTTCAGACGCCACAAACAAGAGAAAGAGAGACACACCGAGGCTTTCATGTGGGTCTTTTTGAGTTTATTTTAAAGGGGAAGTGGATAATATTTGGTTGTAATTGATTTGGTGTAGGTAAATGATTAGATGGCAATAAAAAAAGGAAGGATACGTGCAAAATTTCACTGGTTCGGGCTTCTTGAATGCAAATATTGTATGATTTCTGCAGCAGCAAAGTCAGTATTTTTGTTTTTTTCTTTGATAAGTCAAACTTTTGGGGGAGTGAATTTTAACTTATGATTGAAATCTTTATGGGAGGCTTCAAATTGGCCTTATTGAAAATGAATAAAATAAATAAATGACCGTCAACTGCAAAATTTCACTGAGAATGATATAATAATAATATTTGATGGTTTTAATCCTTTTAAGACAAAAAAGTGACTATTTAGGACTGGACCAATGGTTCCATACTTTTTTTAATTATGTACCAAATTTTTTAAGTAGTTGAAAGATGTGGAGGTAGAGTTTAAAACTCGTCTAGGGTATTAAACGCTGAAGAAATTTTATATCTTGGTAACTGGAAAATGTTCAATGTGAAGATCAGTGTCAAGATGGCAATCTGGGACCAGAACAAAAACAACCCATCTACTTTAAACACTGGCTGGATATTGATAAAGATATTTTTGACTTAAACACGTGTTGATGATTCAGCTACAGGGGTTTATAAAGAAACTGATTAGATGGACCGCCAATAAAAACCTTAAAGTCCCTGATAAGGAGGGTGTTACTCAAACTTTTTTGGTATGATCTATGAATGTCACACAGTTGAATTGAAATTTTAAATGTTTGCAAACAATATTGACACTAATGTTAAAGACAGTTTGTCAGCAGGAGTCTGACAGGTCAGGGATAATACACTGTGAACTGGTAGTTATGAAAAATAGAATGTTATTGTTATATGTTATTACAGTTTATAGAAATATTAATAGTACAACAAACATGGAGTGATTAAATGTTTTACATGTACCGTAAATAATTTAATATAACTGCCTTGTGTGTGTAGGTCTATAGCTATTGCTCTACCTATCTGCTTAATGTTTATTTATGAAAATCCATGGTTAAAATTATTCTTGAGTATGCAGGAACATAACTAAAACTCTGAGGTTTGTTAAACCAAACCGTTTGAAAATCGGTTTAAAATTAATCGATCTACAGTTATTTAAATGTTACCTGCACCGCAGACTGTAATGTTAGGAGTGGGCGAGCGTCCCGTAGCAAGATGGCCGCCATGCGCGGACGTCGGTCTCCATTGGCTAACGGCGTGAATACATTAGCATGCTAAAGTGTTACTGTTTAATAGGTAGTCTTGTTTGAATAAGAGATGCCTCCAAACGTTTGTAAGTCGCTCTTTTGTTGTTATTGAAAATGATTTGAACGTTTTCACCGATGGTTACCGTGAACGGGTCATTTACTAGCGTTTTAAAGGGAGAGATTTTGTCCTCATTCGGCTCGAAACTTTGCAGTTTTCTTCGTAACTATGAGTAACTTCCAGTCATGTACTCACCAGCTGTGCTGCTCTTGCCTAGACTGAGGGAGAAGAACCATTATTTAAACATCTATACTGGTTTAGCATAACAATTTAGCATGCTAACAGAAATCAACGCTTCCGCCATTACCGAGCAGGTTAGAACTACTTTCCGCGGATTGATTTGACTGGAGGAGCGTAACCTGTCCGTCTCTTGCCAGGTGTCGTTCAGAGCCGTTGTAAATGAGTTTTGACCAATCAACATCGAATATTTAACACTTATTTTACACTTTAACATTTATTTTGGGAACGTATCTTGGTTATAACACGATTTAGTGCGTAAGACAATTAAACTTGCATTTATGGGAAAAAAAGGCTTTAAAGTATAGTCCCGAAAATTTAGAAGCACCACACTAAACAGAAGTAACATTTTGAGAAAGCCAGCTTTTGTTTCTTTCATTTTTTTCATTGTTTTTCATTTTAAAAAATTTTTAATGTTCTTTTTGAATCTGTGTTTGTGTTTCTTTGTGGGAATGGAGGTTAACTGTGGGCTGTGATGCCTGTGCTCTCAATGTAACGATAACAAATTTGTAATTGTCAAAAAACTATTTAAAAAAAAAGTTATCACAAAGTTTATAAGCCTTTTCTTGATATTTTTGTTGCTCAATTAGCAACCAACAATGAAAAATAAAGACTTAAAGTAAATTTTATTGCAGCAGATATAAATTTATAGCTTTCCTTTTCTTGGAAAGAAACAGAAATGTAAAAAATGTCAAAATAATCTGCTGGTTCAACTCTAGATGTACTCACCATGTGGTAAAATATTCTTTTCATCCTGAAGTTTTTTTCTGTTTTTCTGTCAACATTTACTAAGTCAGATAAATAAAAATATTTTGGCTTCTGCACAGGGAGAGTCGACATCTTAAGCATCTTTTTTCTCCAGGTGCAGATGAACTTTGCTTTGCCACAACTAAGAACAGAAGTATTTTCTGAAAGGTCCAACATATTTTTCTCCTCTGAGATAACTTATGACCTCTCTTCACTAATATTTATGACTTTCTGAGCGATAAACAGACCCCTCACACGATCCCAGCAGCTGCGTGAACTTATCCACAGTGTGTGGAGTCTTACCAGGTGGTAGACAGAGGAACGCCGCTGCCAGGATGCTGCAGTCGATGCCCCTCCTCTCCCACCAGCTGCTCTCCTTCACAGTCTTCTGCACCAGTCGCGTCAGCTCCATCATCAGCGACTCCTTCTCCACCTCCTCTCCACCTGTCCCTTCCTTCATCTCCTTACTGTTTGAATCCTCTCTCCTCTTCACTAACGTCTCCTCTGTCCTCTCATCCTGTCTTTCCCTCCACTCTTCTGGCACATTCTGCATGTCAGCTCCTTCGCTGATGACCGGCTTCAGAATAAACTCAGCATGTAGACGGCGCTGCACGCTGCCTACCCGCCGCACACAGAGGACAAAGTCTGCAGGTCAAAGTTAGCATTGCAAAAGTGTTCCTAGGCGAGAGGCATTGTCAGAGAGGCCCAGCCCCCTTTCCTGCTGCTTCAAGAGCAGCATGGACCCTCCTCTCCTCTCCTCCCTCCTCCTCCTCATCTCTCCTCTTACACTGTTTCCTCCCTTTCTCCCCCCTCTGTCAGCTGACTCCTGATGCAATCCAGCAGCGGAGGAACTCTCTGTCCCACGGCCCGAACATGTACGGCTGCACTGTGACGTTACAGATCCAAAAAATGCTCACACAGCTCAGCCTCTCTCCTCTCTGGTGTCTCATACATTCTGCATGTCGCTCACCCCTTCTCGCTTCTTTGTGTCAGGCCCCCCCCTCCCCTCTTCATCTCTGTAACCTTGGCATTCGTCCTGGGAAAGAAGAGGGCGAAAGAGGGATTAACAGTGGCCGTTCAGTTGTTTCTTCACTGGGGGAAAGGTTTCAGGAGGAAAAAGAGGAGATGATGGCGTGCAGGAATGTGCTTCTATGTTGGCGGTGTTGAGAGGGTATGTTTCTGCATGCACAGATCTGATGTCACAGCTGTTTCTTTTTTTTTTATTCTGGAGACAGGCCAGTTCTCCGGGCTGGAGGCCATGCTGGCTGCAGGGAGCGCCTTAAGAGAGTCAGAGTCTGCATTTTTACAACCGGAGGGTTAATATAATCCGTCTGATATCCCGCACAGCCTTGAGTTTGTTGTTTCTAATTCTAACAAGCTCTAATCATCTGTCAGAGTTGGCTTTGTCAGAGAAAAACACATGGAGGGTGCAAAGAAAACCCGGCTGGTTATATCAGTAAAACATCATCTGAGTGACTTCTCTTCTTTTCAGTTTATTTTAATAAAAGGTTATCATGTTTGAGGATACAAAAACAGGTGAGATAAAACAACATTCATGCACAGTCATACTCCCAAGTGCGCTGACGAACAGATCTTCAGTGAAACCAAATACACCCCGAGCAACATGAGATAACAGAGTTATCTAGCACACACTCGTAACCTCGCAGTAATAACCCCCCTCATTGTTTTTACTGTTGCTGTAATGTTTGCAGAGCAGCAGTCAGAGTGAGCTATTTCCAGCCTATAGATATAGGTCAGTGTCGTATATGTGCCACAGGGAATAACAACATAAGAAAACTGTACAACAAAGGCGTTATAAACAACATCTGAAGAAACAGGGTTCATAAACTGGAGCTTCAAATGAGACAGTTCTGAGAGTTGATGAATAAACATAAAAATAAAAAACTTTGTGCAGACTGTCCGTGTGTTTGTTTACAGTTTATGGCAAAGCGTTAGTGTCTATCACGTCTTTGCTGGCTCGCTCCAAGTTCCGGTCAGCAGCTCAGCCCTCGTGGTGCATTCACTGACCCCCAAAGTGGAGTAAAAAATAAACAGAGCAGTGTGTTTGCAAAAAACCTTTACCTGTGGATAAACAGAGACAGAAACACATGCTTTATTAAATGTTCAAAGAAAATAAACATGATACTACCTGTAATACTTGAAGTCCAGAATCTAATATCATGGTTATCATAACTGGCCACTAGATGGTGCCATAGGGGAGGTGAAACGACTATGGAGTGCTGTGGAGCTCTAGTAGATCTAAGCTCTGATAACAGGCTGAAAGATCCGAGTAAAGAAGAAGTCAGCTGCATCTCTCCATCATGTTCATGTCTGGTTTCCTCTTCGGATGGTTCTGTTTTAACCTGCGTTGGTCGATGCAGCAACAAAGCGTGTTTGGAAGTGATTTCCACTACAGAGCCGTGTCTGATTTGAATGTAGAGGCATCTCAGGGTCCGAAGACCACCGCCCTACGGCATTAGTGTTGGTCCTTGTCACTTTTAAACAGATTTTCTGAATATTTTCATGATATTTTGGACCGTATATCCACCTGATTCATTTACAATATCATTTATCTCTTCCTAACTGAAAAAAATCCTGTGTGTGTAAATATGCAGCTGACTTCTACTTATGTGTCATGGTTTGTCAGGTAGGAGATTGGTGCGTCTAATTAAATCCCACTGAGGATTCTCTCTCACTGACCTTCAAAGTTCAGTGTCTTCAATGGCCTCTGGTTCGTCTAGTGTGTCCAGACGTCTCTTACAGGCATCCAGAAGTTTCTTCCTCGGGCCCAGCGGGATGTGAATGCTTGTTAAGTCCTCGTCTGAACAAAGCAGCAAGGCGTCCAGGTCAATCTTCTCCCTCCTGAAGATCTGCATGAACTCACTGAGACTCTGAGAGGCCAGGAAAGTCTCCAGAGGACTGTTTTCCGGCTCCAAGTCCTCATCCAACCCCACATCAGTCTCCTCCCAGGGAAGCTCCTGGAGGTTTCTCTCCTGCAGGCTCAGAGCGCTGCCGATGCTGTCCTCATCAAAGCTGGGCGAGCGTCGAGGCAGGTGTCCTCGTAGGCGAACGTTAGGCGCTCGTCCCACAGGTTCACTCCCCGCCACGCTCCCCTCAGCTCCCATCCCAAACATGCCTCCGCTCATATAGTTCCTCCTGAACACCATGGTGCCGAGGCCGGGCCGGGTGAACAGAGAATCCCGTCCGGAGTCGGCGCTGATCTCCGAATAAGCGGCGTCGTAGAGGCCCGGGTCGCTCAAGGCGCGGGAGACGGTGTCAGCATCGTCGTCATTGTCTCGAGGGAACATGTCCCGGATGTTGAGGCGTGATCGCTCCTTCGGGTTGGCGTAGGTCCCCTGTTTGAGGAACATGACGTCGTTGCCGAGCTGCAGGCCAGACAGAGAGCGCACACTTTTCCTCCCGTCCTCGTAGATCTTGAACGTCCCATCGCCCTGCTTCTTCTTCTCCAGTTTCCTCTGGATCTTGGCTTTTCCCTTGGACGTGGACAGAAGAGTGGCCTGAAGGAAAAAAATGGACATCATAAATAAATCCTAAAGTAGATTTCTCTTCATACAACCGAGTTAAAGCAATGACTGAAAAAGTTACAACTTATTTAAACTTGTCTCTTGTTCCGCTGGCACTTCAAAACAGAGGGAACATATCTCCTACATCGAGAGGCATCACCATCACAATCTTTGTTTTGAAGGATATGTTGGTCAGTGTGAGAGATAAGAATGTCGCCGACCACTTGCTTCTTCAGTAACGACCGCAGGATAGCGATACACAGCGGTCTGAGGAGCCATAAACAAACCTCAACCAAAACGTGGAACCAAACCAAAGATATATCTTCTTCTCACAGTATTTCAGCTTTTTAGAAAGACAAGAACTCGTGGAAGTGTAGAGAGAGTTTCTTTGATCCACTCCCTGCTGAGTCGAGGAGCACCCACCTGAGAGTATGGCATGTTGGAGGTGACGGTGTTGAACTTGCGGCTCAGTGTGCTGCTGCTAGTGTAGCTGGAGAAGCTGATAGAATCCAGGTTGTCTAAAGCCGCTGACTCCTTCATGAACCTCCTCTCCATCCGTTCTCGGTGCTTCCTCTGGAGCTTGGCGCACTCTTTGATCCGGCGCTCTGCGGCTCTGAACGCCCTGTCCTTCAGTTTGCCCACCAGCTTTGGGTTGAGGGTGATCTGCTTGGCGGCGATGGAGTCCAGGTATCGGACGCAGTCCATGTGCCCTTTGGTGGCGGCCATGTCCAGCGGTGTGTGGTAGTCGTTGTCCAGACACCACACGTTGGCACCGAAAGCCACCAGGAAGGACAGGCAGTTGTGGTGGCCGTTGGCAGCAGCCAGGTGAAGAGGCGTGTTTCCCCAGATGTCACATTTGTCAGGGTCACCTCTGACAGACACAAGACGAGATGACATGTTAGATCTTTGCTCAAACCATGTTTTTAAATCTACGATTTCTATGACCTGTCCAAAGGAAAAGGAAAAGTTTAAAGTCATCTGGACTGAGTTTAGTTAAATTGATTGAAATGAGACTAGGGTTGCAAAGGGGCAGAAAATTTCCTGTAAATTTCCAGAAACTTTCCATGGGAAGTTAAGATGGGGAATTATGGAAACATTCCAAATTGGAAACTTTCCATGGGTATTATGGGAATTTATGGGAATTAACTGGAACCTGGGGGTAATTTAAACAAACTGTATCATATCCAAACGTAAATGTCAATATTTATTTTTGGTCATAAGCAGAAATCGGTGCAAATACAAATAAAAAACACGACACACATCAGATGGCGAACGTGGCATTTTTATGTAGAATAAATCTGGTTAAATCTGGTTGTTTTAGCCAAGCTTATGCTACAATATATTTTCCCCAATTATATTTAAGTTCCCTGTTGAGGGCCAACCTTCAACTTTGTAAATTTCAGATTTATTCCTGTTAATTCCCATGGAAAGTTTCTAACGTTCTAATTTTACAACCCTAAATGAGAAGAATATCCTCATCCACATGTTTACCACGTTTGTCCAGGATATTAATTCATCTATCTAGTTTTTTTTTCATTCAGACTACTTTTGAGGTCACCAACACCTCAAAATTTACAGAAAACCTAAATTTACATGTACCTGTTTCCAAACTCCATCCATGTTTTCTGTTTTAAACATCTCCCAGATTTAATAAACCACAGTGTTGACTCATGGAAGATAAACGTCTCTCATGACTCAGTAACAGCTGAAAGTCTTTTCTAGTGTAGCGCAGACTTAACTCAGGTTCATTGAGAAACTCAACCTGACTGCGCTGATCGCCTTACAGACTGAGCTAAGGGCATAAGGTGACTCATGTGACCTGCAAATACAACTCAGTCCCTCTTCAGTGCAACAAAAGACCCTCAGGTTTACAGTCAGAGATGATGAGTCAACAGGCTGTTACTTGAGACAGGTTATGTCATTTATGTTCAGAGGTTTAACGTAAAAAATAAAAGAAAACAAAAAGAAACTTGAGAGAAAAGGGGCGGAAATCTTCGGATCATGAAATCACTGGTGAAAAATCTAATTATGTTAATTTTTGGCTGGATTTGGCTGGACATACCGAACTCTGCATTTAGGTCAAAGCTGATGATATTCAGTCAAGAAAGAAACTTTTCTTTACATCCTACAAGAGACAGTCCAGGAATGAACTGTGTTTGTTTTGACCATCCTGAAGCTCCTCCTCTTCCTGTTGTGTCCCTGTCCACATGACCAAGTCCTGATCAATTATTAAAACTCTGCAGGTTAAACATGACAGTGGTGACTCTGCATTATTAATCCCCCACACCAACAGCCTTTTTCTGCAGACACCTGTAAGCACACTCTGCGCCGTTATCAGCATGAACCCTGATTTCTGCTCCTGTCCGACTGTTTGTCTGCAGAGGCTTTAACAGATAATCTGTGGATCTGGTAGGATGTGGTTTATTTTTGTTTTTGGCACTTAAATGTTTCCATGTCAGCTGAAGGCAATCAACAGATCCTATTCCAAACAGGCAGAAATATATCACTGTAGTAACACCGAGGGGGGAATCACACCAAAGTATGTCAAGTGGAAACCCGACCATCTGCAGCGCCGCTAGAAGGATGACTCAAGGACGAGACACGAACCTGTGACACACACACACACACACACACACACCTGTTGTAGTGACATGTGTGGGAGGCTTTCACACTTCCCTTCTGAGTTATCATGGAGAGAGTCATCCCGTTCGGGGCCTCTGGATACAGCATGTCAACAAATCCTCTGTACATTTTGTTCCAACCAACAGTCATTAAAACACAGAGCTCCTTATTGCTAGAGTTTCGCAGCTCAAGGAAGAACATTTACGATCATTTCTTCATGGAAATACAATCAGACCGAGACGCTAAGACAGAAGAACTACCGCGTCTGCAGAGCAAAATTATTAATATGATGATTATTACTTCAAGGAAATGATAAAGAAATGACCAAAAATGTTCTTCCTTGAGCTGCGGCACCCCTCTGTAGTCCATAATGGACTGGCCTGAGGTCTCGCGACAAACAAGCGGCTGCTGGAAGAGAGTAGGTGAGTTGTGTTTAGTCTCTTTGCTAAAGAAATGAGTCAAAGTTAAAAAGATGTTTGGTGTCTAGTACTATGGCTGTGACCCTATATGTCCTGTTGATGAAGTTAGGTGCTGTTCTGAGCATTATTTGTGGCTATAGAGTGGTGTTTTGGTTGAGGGCGTGGCTCTCTGTATCGCTATCCTGCGGTCGTTGCTAAAGTTGGTAAAACTAGAAAGGCAAGCGGACGGCAACGTTCATCTCTGGAGGGGGGGTCTAACTCAGTGTTACGGTGTATTTGACCCTAAATTAATTTAACGCCAGAATATCCCTTTAAATCCCACTTGCATGCACTAAAACTGAATTGTGTATTAAATAGTTGTATTGTAAATATTCGGTCAGAAGGAGCCGTAGCACCAGGGTTACATTATATCTTCAATATACAGTAAATTGAACAAATAAGCACATTTTTATCGAGAAATTTGGGATTTAAGTGCAAATTTTCAGAAACATAAATGTGAGTTAGTGCTGCTAAATTATTGCAAAAATCAAAACCAGAACATTAATCATTTAATCTTGATTATCTTGTTTTTATGATGTTAGGAGGCCAAAGTCATGACTGGAATTCAACTAACTGTCTAGTCCTCAAATCAGGGGTCAAAGTCCAACAAATAAAGTTGCATTTGGACCTTTTCAGTTCTGGGAAAGAGTGACTAATACAGCTTTAACAAAGTTTGTATTGTTACACTCTGTTTACCAGCGATCTGAAGGTTGTATCATCAGAAACAGACTGTGCAGAGATTCCTATGTGACCGTTAGTATTTTACATAAATGTCTTTTTTCCCCCACAGTAAAACAGACATTTTTAGAGTCGCAGGTATTACATAATAAGAACCAAAGCGGCCTAAAATCAGCTCTACCTTGGGCTGTCAGTTTTAATCTGCATCTCTGTTAGCATCACATCCAGAATCCTGCAGACGCCGTTACAGCAGGAGGACGCTCGATCAGTCACTGTGACCTTTCCGTTGTTTACAGTCTCCACTGAATCAAACTCATCCTCACATCACTTTACTGCTGCCTTATAAAGCTGCCATCAGCTGTATGATATACAGCAGTCAGCAGCATGAAGGCAGCTCTGACTTTCTCCTGATTTATGAACAAAAGACCTGTCTGAGAATTTAATCATCTCAGCAGAATAAAGACTCGCTCCTAAACTGTCCTCTCGGTCAAAATCATCCTCATGAGTTTTTTCCTCGGGGTTTCTGAGCACAGATAGTGATGTTCATCTCCCTGAGATACACCACACTCTCTACGGAGCGACAGGCTGTGTATTAATGTTGGTGACCTTTCTCTGTGATGAGGCTGTGGAAATAAATGACCCCCCAATTCTTCATCTACAGCTGCACTGATTAGACAACCAACAGCAGCAGGAACAACATGGCACCATGATGCCATCATGAGGAGGCCAAGTCACAGAAAAGCAGCAGTGAGTTGTAATTTTCCATGAATAAACTAAAAGTTTTTCCTTCTTATCTTTCTCATCTTGTTGAAATCCTTATATCAGATTAGATTTTTAACTTATGAGCTGTGGGTTTTGGGTGGTGGAGAATTCTTTGTTCTCCTCTGAATAACCTTTAGCTCGTTGGCATGTCTGCTTTACACATAATAGTAATAAAAGTTATAATTCAATGTTGGTGTAAACATACAACTACTAACCAAAATGTTTACAGTTTACTATTTTACCAAACCATATTATGGCCTGTCTGCGCTTCTGTTGTCACTTTATAATGTACTTTAAATGTAGCTTATAATGAACCTGATGTTACTGTCTATTTTATACCTCAAACCAGAGTTAATATCATCATATCACAATATGTAACTTTGACCTAGAGCTGTCACTTTAACCTGCTACTAATATGTCTCAAAAGTCCTGTGTTAGTTTTGATTATTTATTACTTATCACGTCTTGTGTTGCTGTATTTGTCCCCCAGAGATCAACGAAAACTTATTTTGTTGATCCCGACCAGACATGTTTACGTGATTTTCATGATGTTGCGTTTGTCTGGGTATCATGGGTCTCTGGGTAGCTTCAGCATTATCTTTGACATCTTTGAAGACATATTTGTTTCCCTGATCCAAAACGTGTTCAAGTGATTTTCACCCAGCAATAGTAATAGAGGGTAAAGTAGGTTGAGGTGGATTTGATAGCTGCATGTAGAGAATAAGGTCAGTAAGAGTGGTCCTGGAATTTGCGTGCTATCTTTATTTAACGCAGTGGTCATGAATAACTATCACAAAGTAGTGATTTTCAAGGGAATTCATACGGTGATAAGAAATATTTTAGTCAGCTGGTCATCTTTACTCACTCAAATCCATATTTTGGTTCTCTCTCCTGCAGCTGTTATTGTGCCGAGGACCCTGAGTCTTCGCCAGGGAAGATGGGTGGAAAAGAAACTAAGTTTACAGTTTTTATAATTATTTTTTGGGGGGGGATTTTTTTGTTTATGAATTAATTTCAGTTATTTTGTTTTGGTCCCCTCACTGCACTTTTTTTCTACCCTTTGGACATTTCACAGCTAAAAATAAAAGAAAACTACTTTAATTTGTCATGTATTGTCCTATTTTGATATATTTTGATGACAAGTACTTTTTCTTGGGTATAGTATTTCAGGTTAAAATCACCCGGCGATAGTGATTACTAATTTTAGCAATAGTATTCTAGGGTTAAAATCAGTCTATTTTATACATATATTTTTGTTTAAAGCTATCATGTTAAATACAAGTGGAATTTTCTTTATTAAATGAGTAAAGTAAATTTTTAAACACTGAACTGTAATTATAAAAAGGATGTAATAAAATTAAACAAATTTGTTAAACCTGACAGATAATGTCTCTGTTTATTTCACAGCTGATAGTAGCTACAACCTAGCCTGCCGTTAAACAGAGATTGTAAATATTAAAGCCTGACTGGTCTTTAGGTAGGGGAGAGTGGGGTAAGATGAGCCATTTTTCATATTTCAGATCACAACATCGAGGCAATCATAGTTTTGTCTCTAACTAGTGTATCTGCATAAATTTCAGGATGTTGTTCATCCCTGCAAACCAACAGAATGAGTGTAAATGGAACTGTCTTGATAATACAGCATGACAAAAAAAAGTGGTCTCCTATGGTCAATTTACCCCGTGTATGGGGTTAGTTGACATAGATACCACAATTGATGTATAAAACAAATCTAAAATGATCTTTTTTGGTCTGAACACAACTCTAATCAAACTTATGACTGACTAAATTCACTTTTAAGAGAGAAAAATGATTTTTTTTTTTTTGTAAATAAATGTCTAACCCCTTCACCCATGTGCTTCTAACCTTTACAGACTCCATGAATTGATGCCCATCTACTAAATTTCCAAGCAAAATGGTGGCTCAACTTACCCTTTGGCTCAACTTACCCCGGTCTCCCCTATTTCATGAGCCTGACGATGACAAATGTTCGTTAATTAACCGATCAAACGGGTGAATCTCGTACTGAACGGGTCCAGATTCTGGTCCCGGGTCTGAGTGGACTCACCCTCTGCCCACGATGAGCCGGAGCGCCTCCAGGTTGCCGTGGTAAGCGGCCCACAGGGTCGGTGTCATCCCATCCTCATCCGGGGCGTTCAGGTCCTTCCGTGTCGCCTCCTTCAGAACGTCCAGGTAGCCGTCCCGGGCCGCCCGGTGGTACCGGTCGTTCATGGCGGCTGCCTCGGCTCACTCTTGATCCGGTTCCATCGAGTTTCTGCGGGGTTCGTCCCGCTTTTTTCCGGGGGGGACTTTCTAACGTCCGTGTCCGGCGGACGGTTGGACGGCCCGAGAGAGGCACGAGCGGGCTGACAGACAGGTTGCTAGGAGACGAACGCGAGGCGTGCTCGATGTCAGGGGCTCGTCATCGTGGCCACGCCCCTTACAAACGTGTAAATAAACTATGGTGCAGTCAGGCCGATAATTTCGATATAAGACGACATAAATTCATTTAGATAGAGAAGATAACAGGACATTTAAAAACTGAGAAATAAAATAAAATTACATTAAAATATATTGGAACTTAAAATCATTCAAAAACTTCATTAAAAAAATTAAAATAATCTAAATTTGGCTTTTAAACGTTTCAATGTTGTAATCTATCCATCTAATTATATGTAAAAATATATTTGAATCTATATTTATATATCTTATTCGTGGGTAAAGCCAAACACATAAAAAAATCACAGGATACATTATATATATATATTTTTTTTTATTAAAGCCATGAATAACTGAACTCATGAATAACAAACTCACGAATCACATAAAGGGAAACTAAAACTTGTGTAAAAAAATATAATTTAAATCGGGCACATTGGGAAAATAATCTCTGAGTGTCACTTCTCTCCAGAAATCAAAACATCGTTTCGCATATTTTATACTTAAAACTCAGTTTCACAAAATTAAAAGTATTTACATAGTGCAAACAAAAATGATACTTTGCTGAAAGAAAACACAAAAGCTTTTGCACAAAAACACAACTCTGTTTCACATTTCCTGTGTATTAAATCATGATGCAGTCACTATGTGTGAGCAGTAGGGGGCCCCCAAGAGCAATAAAAAATATATATAACAATAATAATAATAATAATAATAATAATAATAATAATAATATATTTTTTTATATTTTACATGTATGAGTGAAGCTTTATGTATGATCAAATATATATTATTGTAAAAATAAAATAAAATAAAAACATTTTAGTGCTGCTGCTGATGTAGGCCGATGATTCTTACTGCTGATAAGTCAAAGCTCCTCTACCGTTATGTACCTCCTGCTGTTTAATGTGCACTGAGCATCCTGAATGTGTTACGTTTTGAGATTAAAAACCATATGTGGCCCCCTGAACATCATTCATCAGTCATTCATTGGTATTATTTGTATGGCTGCATTGTTATTATTTATGTTATTACCTAGGCCACCCCCTTAAATGTGTAAAGACATGTCAGGTGCTTTCAATTTATACAGTAGTAGGTGTGTGAATGTGTGTAAAACTCATTGCTTAAAGCGCTTATCAGTAACTTTCACTTTGTGTCACTTCTGGTGCCCCCTGGTGGACAAAGTAGTCTTTGTTTGTCTCGTCTCCTCCTGTGACAAGACAAACACCCATCATGATAATACAAAGACTTTAGGACGGCTCCTCTTCTTCCCTTAGAGCATAGATTCCATTGATTCTGATTTTTCATCTGTAAGAATAAACACAGACTTAACATCACAAAGAGAGTACAGCTTTCTGGATAAATATTACTTTTATTCCAATTTTTTTATTCAAGATTAAAGTCAGAATTCTGAGAAAAAAGTAAATCTCAAAATTTTGACTTTTTTTTCTCAGAATAACAATAAAAATATGTAAACATTGGACCTTTAATCCTCTTCTGTATTATAAAGTTTATACAAAAAGAAAATAATAAACTTAAACTTAAATAATAAACTTATATAACTGGATGAAGATTTAAACCTTTGATATGAATGTCATGCAACAAAAAGCACACGGTTTTCTATATTTTGAAACAGTTTAACAAAACTACCCCCGCTCTGCTAATAAAAAATAATATCTAAACACAAAAGACCCCGGAGTTTGGTGTTTCATTCACTTCCTTGTTCAGTTTGAGCGCAGATGGACGGAGTACTCATCCTGAAGTTTGTTACGTGTGGAGTTTAGGAAACTTTTGTTACTGAGTTGCCAACTTTTCTGGGAATTGATCTAACATCAGTTAAATTAAATAGTATATAAACAAACACAACCATTGTCAAAGCTAAAACTGCAGGTCTGAGGAGATGAAACATCTGTCAAGAGTCTAAACAGCAAACAGACAGAGAGAGACTGTTTCAATCAAGAGTGAATATTTTATAGTCTTACCTTTTTTACAGCAGATGCGTCTCTTGGCGCAGAGCACACACAGGGCGACGGCGATGGCAAAGATCAGAACAACACAGATGATGAAAATATACAAAAGTATGGGTGCAGACCGATCTGAGAACAGAAAGTTAGTGTCACTCAGAGTGTGTGCTGATTGGACAGAGAGCAGACTGAATGTGACAGGTGACACCAAGAGAAGGTGAACCTGACGACTGAATTGAGCCTGTTCTTCTTTTCACTTGTCATAATAATTGAATGTCACTCTGTGTTTAGTCTGAGCACAGGTAAAAGCTCTAAATCACTGTTAATCATGATAACAAAGAAAGAATCTTACAGCATTTCACTATCCTGAGACGGTCGTCAGCACAAATCTCCCGTGTTACCACACAGCTGTAGTGGTCGATCTTGGTCACAGCAGCTTCTGTGGTCTCTTCTTCTTCAGTGCGGAGGATGTTTCCAGAACTATTAACCGGACACTGCAGCAGAGCCCGGACCTCTGTGTCATTCTTGGAGCCGACAAATGGCCTTTGACCTGCGCATGTGCACAAAGTGTTAATAATACAAGAATATCGAGGTCTCGTGTTTTTGGGTGTTTTTTAAGATATAAAAAAGGGGAAAGACACAGAAGAGCGGGATAAATAATCATAACAGTGGAGGAAATATAAATCATAAATCACAGAATCACTGCAGACAAGAGGGGATAAAATCCAGATTAATAGAACAGATTAATCCTGCTCCTCTCCTCTCCCATCATCAGAACCAGAACTCACCTTGTCTGTTTTCCACTGTGGTTTCCTTTAGGTTACACTCTAAAAACAAAACAAAATACAACATTAGCATTTACACAGATAACGGAAGTATAAAAAACAGAATTTGGAGAGCTCTGAGGACACCTGCTGGAGATTATACTGTACTACAGTGTCTATTTTTTTCTGTATAACCTGGGATTTCCGCCATACGCCAATTCCTACCAGATCAGTTTGTGAGGCGAATTTCATGGCGGATTACGGAGAGCAGGAATCGTGAGAACTCACGTGCAATCACACGATAACAAGTTGTCTTCAGCCACATAAGCTAATTATAAAAGCAGTAGATTGTGTCCTTTCAGAGGAAAGAAGCGGAAAGAAGCCGGTGGAAATTGACACGTTAACTTGAATGGTTACGATGAGCGGACACAGCCTTTTCGTAGCCGTTCAGGATGTGGTGGAAATCGAGGGTGACGCTTCTATGAGTTTTTCGACTGTTATGAAATGGGCTGAAACACATATCTGTGTCTTTTTCTGATGTTCAAAAGCAAATGAGATCATCAGTAAAAAGATTGATGATTTTTATATTTTAATTTTTAACACCTGAAACAGGCGTGAGGGGGTGGGTGTCAGTGGGTAACATTTACGATATAATGTATTCACTCAAAGTAATACTGTAAAAAGTCAGCAATGAACAAAGACTGCGCTGTCCACAGGGGGGCGCCAAATCTGACACAAACCTCACAGGAGCTTTAACTCAGAGTATATCAAACAACCTAAAATGAGGGGTACAAAATGCAGTTTGAGTGAAATAAACCTCACGAGGTAAAGACAGCATCTACAAGAAAAACTACATGAGAGTGAAAGGTTAGGAACTGACGGGTTAATTCAGTCCGTCTGTGACTCTCCTGGCAGTAAATCGGTGTCTCCGACTGAAGAACTCACCAACAACAAGCTCGATGAAGACCCTCTGATTCCACTCACGATCTGAAAACTCACAGCTGTAGTTCCAGCTGTCAGACTTGTTGGTCTTTGTGATGTTGATGGAAGGCGCGCCGGATCCTAGTTGATCTTCCAGATATGAGACTCGACCTACAAACTGAGTATCTGGAACTGTGAATCCTGTATCATGAGTTAAGCCTTCATCGTACATCAGCACCTCCATGTGATCGCCTTTCTTCCAGTCATACATCCAAAACTCAAAGTCCCCCCCGGGCCTGAGGGAACAGGGAAAATCAACATCCCCGTCTTCTTTTGCTCCAATCACAGCTGCTCCTGGAAGATGAGAAAAAACAGCAACGTTAACATCCGTTTATTTCATCAACAGGTAGATTGTGGTCCAGAGTGAACATGTTCAAACTAAGGGAATGTCAAGAGGGTTGGCATGACGTCTGACTGGGTACACTCCAGTGTTGCGCAGCTGTGAGTCAGCGTGGTGATGATGATCTGACTGTGATCTCTGTGTTTCAACATGAGTCCTGTTTGGACCTGAAGAAGTGCGCTGAACCAACACGGACATCAGAGGTGCGGCTCAAACGACGACATCATCCGGAAAAGGTTGAGTTTTTACCGTAACTCAAATCAAAGACGGAAATTCCCCTTTACTCTGATGAATTTACTGAGAAATGTAAAACAGTAACAGATAATACTCCGCAGGTATTAAATGACCCTGAGAACCACAGCTGCACATGTTAAATCTAGAAATGTACAAACAACGTTATAACAAACTCTGTCCTCTACAATTACATATAAATAATATAAATGATATATGTGACGGCTCTAGTGTAAATTTGTTATTTTTGCAGATGGTACTACAATAATAGCAATATAATAATAATCATAATATAATAAAAACATAATTATAAATATATAATAAATATATAATCAATAATAAAAAATATAATATATAAAATATGATAAAAATTTAATTAAAAATATAAACATAATATAATAATAAATATAAAAATATAAAAAATATAAAAATAATAAAATATTATAATATTACAAATAATGTATAAATAATAATAAAAAATACATACAATATAAAAATAATAATAAATAATTATTAATACAGTTCTTCTTATTCTTATTTTTTTGCAGGATACCTCAGTGAAATTGAGTAAACTGAAATTATGGTTTGATGAGAATAAACTCTTTCTAAACAGGACCAAGACACAGTTCATAGTGTTTGGAAAGAGACCAATTTAACCAAATACAGAGACTAAAGTGAGTGTTGATAATACTAAGATAAAAAGGGTGTATGAGTGTACTTTTTTAGCGGTGAAAATGGACCACAATCTCAGTTGCAAACCTCAAATAAACTATGTTAGGTCGAAATTGGCTAGGAGTATCAGCATTTTGGGTCTGACAAGACAATTAAACCATAAAACTTTATACTTATTACACAATACGCTTATATTACCATATCTGACTTATTGGGTAGAAGTCTGGAGAAATACATATAAAGTGAATTTACAACCTTTGTATATTATGCAAAAGTAAGTAAGAGTATCCTGATAAAGGCATTAAAACACATTCCTCTGTCAGATTTATCCCTGTAAAAAGTTCATTAAGCAAAGATTCATCACTGAAAAGAATAATTATGAGTTTTTTTTTAACTCTGTTTTTCCTTTTAAATACACTAAATACTTTTGGGATTAAAAAAACGTTTCCAGTTTCAGCCTCAGCTCAGTCAGTTTCCTTGTATGTGTAGCTACTCATACTTGGCCAGTTCTGGTTCTGGTTCCGATTCTGAATCAGTTTCCTTGTTTATTTGGGTTCACAGACAATTACTACTTATCGTAAAGTTCAGAATAGACGCGCATTTTTGCGGAAAACGCTTCACACTTCCGCCGAACTGACAGGACATTAACGAAAACAAGTTTGTCTTGAATTTAGTCGATAAAACAAAAACATCTGAATAATCTCAGCCGTGATTTTCTTACCGTCTCCGTTCACAAAGGTGAATCCACACAGGAGCAGAAGACACATTTGAGAGAGAAGCTCCATGTTGGTGTAGAGATGAGGGTTTGAGAGTGAAGCTCCGGGGTTTGATTAACCGGTTTAAATCACCGTTTCACTCTTCACTCACACAGGTACTGCCCAAGGTGTAACGTCACGTGACTGGTAACGCCCCCGAGCTCCAAAAACTCTTGAAATCATCCTGACCTTAAAGAAATCGAACCCCCTAAACTGCCTGATCTGTCAAAAATAGAAGAAAGTAACTTCATCCTATCTTAGCTAGTAGAGACAAGTCGATTGATCGAGTGACCGACTAATCGATCAGATTGATGGCATTTGTAATAGACGTCATGTTGGCAAACTTCCTCTAAAACAGGGGTTCTCAACTGGTGGGTCCCGACCCAAAAGTGGGTCGCGGACACGTCCTGGATGGGTCGCGAACAGCTGGTCAAAAAAGTAAATATTTAATGTGCATCAGGTGTTTGACATGTCTTTTATTTTGAAAAATAGCTTATTTTGAAAGGCACACGTTATGTTGTGGTTCTCCCCAGTTTCTTATTGATGTGGTCTGAATCCAGTAAAAATACTTTTTTTTTTCTGTTCGTTCTTTTGTTCTTTTTTTTGTGAAATTTGATATTTGATCATTTCTGTATATGCAACTTTACTCAGTAAAATGGGTGTATTTATGTTAAAGATTTGAGTCTTTAAAGGTTTTTTTCATTATAAAAACAAAATTTTCTTGGTTTTAATTTTATAACAGTGGGTCGTGACTGAAGGACCATGGGAAAATGTGGGTCCCAGAGTGAGTCCAGTCGAGAACCGCTGCTCTAAAACATGTAACTGAGTAGGCCTCTGTCATACAGGTACAGATACACTCACCGGCCACTTTATTAGGTACACCTGTCCAACTGCTCGTTAACACTTAATTTCTAATCAGCCAATCACATGGCGGCAACTTAGTGCATTTAGGCATGTAGACATGGTCAAGACAATCTCCTGCAGCTCAAACCGAGCATCCGTATGGGGAAGAAAGGTGATTTGAGTGACTTTGAACGTGGCATGGTTGTTGGTGCCAGAAGGGCTGGTCTGAGTATTTCAGAAACTGCTGATCTACTGGGATTTTCACGTACAACCATCTCTAGGGTTTACAGAGAATGGTCCGAAAAAGAAAAAATATCCAGTGAGCGGCAGTTCTGTGGGCGGAAATGCCTTGTTGATGCCAGAGGTCAAAGGAGAATGGCCAGACTGGTTCGAGCTGATAGAAAGGCAACAGAGTGACTCAAATAACCACCCGTTACAACCAAGGTAGGCAGAAGAGCATCTCTGAACGCACAGTACGTCGAACTTTGAGGCAGATGGGCTACAGCAGCAGAAGACCACACCGGGTGCCACTCCTTTCAGCTAAGAACAGGAAACTGAGGCTACAATTTGCACAAGCTCATCGAAATTGGACAATAGAAGATTGGAAAAACGTTGCCTGGTCTGATGAGTCTCGATTTCTGCTGCGACATTCGGATGGTAGGGTCAGAATTTGGCGTCAACAACATGAAAGCATGGATCCATCCTGCCTTGTATCAACGGTTCAGGCTGGTGGTGGTGGTGTCATGGTGTGGGGAATATTGTCTTGGCACTCTTTGGGCCCCTTGGTACCAATTGAGCATCGTTGCAACGCCACAGCCTACCTGAGTATTGTTGCTGACCATGTCCATCCCTTTATGACCACAATGTACCCAACTTCTGATGGCTACTTTCAGCAGGATAATGCACCATGTCATAAAGCTGGAATCATCTCAGACTGGTTTCTTGAACATGACAATGAGTTCACTGTACTCAAATGGCCTCCACAGTCACCAGATCTCAATCCAATAGAGCATCTTTGGGATGTGGTGGAACGGGAGATTCGCATCATGGATGTGCAGCCGACAAATCTGCGGCAACTGTGTGATGCCATCATGTCAATATGGACCAAGCTCTCTGAGGAATGCTTCCAGCACCTTGTTGAATCTATGCCACGAAGAATTGAGGCAGTTCTGAAGGCAAAAGGGGGTCCAACCCGTTACTAGCATGGTGTACCTAATAAAGTGGCCGGTGAGTGTATATGGACAGTGCTTCAGACCATCATTTAGGCTGTCACCACTTTTACAACCACCAGATGTCGCTGTGTTTGCTAAGGTTTCATAAGGCCTCATTTACCCAGCAGCCCCTCCAGGTTGCCATGGTAAGCAGCCACTAAGGTCACTCTTTTTAGTGGTCAATAACCGTCAACAACTTGAATTTGAAGTGTGCATGTATTCAAACATTTAAGGTAACTGACTCTGAGGGTTAAGAGTTCTGTTATAATTCTGATCAAAAGATTTAATTATGGAAGTCTAACATTAAAACTGGATATGAACAGATAACTGGACAGTGACTTCACCTGACAGGACGCCCCTTTCAAAGTAAAATAAGGTCACTGAGGTTAAAGAAAACCCGGCTGCAGATTGATGAGACTCTTTTCAGGTTGGTGCAGTCTTGAAGCAAACTTTGCTCAGGGTGTCTCTCAGGTGAAAATAAAGCAAACACGGAGAGTAAACACAGCACCTGCTGCTCCGCCGGCGAAAGGGGAGTTTCTTTAATGCGCAGGATCTCAGCCACACCTAAACCACAGTTAGAGATTAGATTTGTTACACTCTGCAGGCGCATGTCCTCACATGTCGATCTGCAGGATTTAAGTGAGGAAGCATGTGAGAAAACAGAAGAAGAGGTAAAGTGAGAGGATTTTAGCAGAAGGACTCTGCAGGACAAATATGGATTCAGATCTTGAAGTCACAGAGCTGGACTCACCTGTTCAGAGCTCAGATGATTCGGACCTGGTGCTCCTCTTGGTCCCCACTGGAAGGCGTCTGATCTCAGGTCTGCTGGGTTTGAATGTGGTTGTGCTGGGGTCAGCTCTGGTGGTGGGACATGCTTTAAACCCCGCAGGCCTGAGGAACCAGGAGCCCCGGGTGTTGATACTGCTGCTGATGGGGGTCAGCCTGGTCTGGATGCAGTGGTACCTGCTGTGCGCTCGGAGAAAGCCTGGACTCTGCGTGCACAAAGACCACCACGCCGGGGGGATCCCAGTCACGTGTAAACCTCTTTGTATCTCATCAACTAAAGTTGGTCTGTGTGGTTTTTGTGTGTAATGAAACGTGTATTTCCTCTCCCGCTCCGGTCCAGCCGTCCTCATGGTCTTTGCTGCGTTCAGTCTGCTGCTCTACGTCTGCAGGATCGGGTATTTCATCAACACCAGGGAGTGTAAACCTGCTGCTGAAGTCCTCTCTCCATTCATAGAGGCTCCTTTCCTCATTCTGCAGGTATTTCTACCTTCATCCTGGTGAAAAAACAGCAAAACACAGACTCAAGCGGTCTTTGAGTAGATTCAGAGGAATTTATAGTTCATTTTTGCACGTTGAATTACTTGATTGAAGTGTGCACTCACAACAACACTCTAAGGTGGTGCATCATGACCGTAACACAAATTATTCTGATTTGCACAGAGCAAAGATTAAGAAGTTATATCCTCAATATAGAAGAAAGTGTCCTGAAGTTCTTAGAACTTTACAGGAATAAAACTGAACGTAAAGAAACCAGGAGAGTTACACTACTAATCTTCAAACTAACCAAGTGTTTTTTCTTGTTTCTGGAGTAAAAAAAAAAGGTATTTTCAGATATAAGCAGTACAAATAAGACTGTAATTGATATTGAGTGTGTAATTCTGCATGTGCACAGAGCAAACTGTACCCGTTGACCTCCTTTTAATGATGCATTATTCCACGAAACCTAAAAAAGTCAAATTTACAGACTACATTTGCAGATATTTTCGATCATCACAATCGATTCAGACTTCAATTTTTGCACCTAATGTCTTGAAATAAGATTTATATCTGAACTTGTCTTAAACAAAGTCTTATGCGTCAAAAATCCGATTTTTAAATTCACTAAGATTTGAGTTTTTGCAGCGTGTTACAACTTTTGGAGAAGTGGAACCAGCTTCTGAACAGAGACGAACAAACGTGCGTTTAATCAGGAGCTCATATTACCTTTGTTCAGCTGCAGCCATAAAACTAATATCTATTACATAAGCCTAAAGGAGCATAAATACAGACTAATTAAAATCAAACAGGCCGCTGATCGTGTCAGGTACTCAACTTAATATATAAAAACTTAATAAATGTTTACACTTAGGCAACACGACACCAGAGGGGGCGCTGTTGTACCTGCAGCTGTTGAGCTTGGCTTTGTTGTTGCTTTTTAGCGTGACCCTCATAGCAGCACAGAGTCGTGGTCAGGAGTCAAACGAGCAACCGCCGCCAGGAGGACTTCAGTCTCTTTATACGGGACACCAGCACCCCAAACTGAGGAGTTACAGTAAAGCTCGCGACTTTTAAAGACGTCAGATTTGTGCCCCAAAATTTTCACCTTCATGCCGAGTATCAAAAAAGTGCTTTTCAACCAAAAGTACCAAGAACTTTTACTTCCAGGGACGTCTCTTTTTAAGGTCTGTACCGCAACCGGTCACCAGGGGGAGCTCTAAAAGTTCTGTTACTCTTGACATAGACTATAATAAAAATAATCCACGCTTTCATTTTTCCAAGGCTGGACTTCTGTAACTCTATCCTTCCTGGTTTAAATAAGAAATCACATCACTCCAGTTTTAGCCTCCCTTCACCGGCTTCCTGTCAGTTTTAGAATTGAAGAATTTAGATTTTATTGATTACTTTAAGGCTCTTAAGGGACTTACTCTGAGCTACATTTCAGAGCTTTTAATACCTTAAGAGCCAACTCTCAGCCTCAGATCCTCTGTTGAAGTCCTCCTGGTCGTTCCAAAGTCGAGACTCTGAACTAAAGGTGATCGATCTTTCTCCACCAGAGCTCCTCGACTTTGGAACGACCTGCCAGAGGAGATAAGACGAACAGCAGAGACAGACGCCACTTTAAAGTCAAATTTAAAAACTCACTTTTACAGACTTGATGCTGTCTTTCATATTTTATCTTTGTCTTATTTCGACTTACTGTCTTTTTAGCTTTTGTTTTACTTATAATCTTTTCTTCTTTAACCTTTTAGGCCTTTTATTGATTTTATTATTTTTTTCCTGTTTGCTCCTCATGGTCTCATTTTATGTCGTAGGGTTCTTGTATTGACTGGGTTCCTTATGACAAATGAAACTGGCCTTAAATTCGGAGGCCTTGTTTTTAACTGAGCTTTTGTTTTTATTTCCATGTGCTGATTTTTTGCGCTTTACGACCTTTTGTCAAAGCTTCTGTTTTTAAAAGTGCTTCAAAAATAAATTTATAATATTAATAAGTTTTTTTAATCATTATTTTTATTATTAAGTTTTTTATTTATTCTGCATTTAGTGTAAGTATTGTCACAGTTTTTGTATTTGTAGATTGAGTACTGTGTTTTATTGATGCTGCCTCTGTTTTTTTTAATTTCCCACTGGGATTAATTAAGTATCTCTCTCTCTCTCTCTCTCTCTCTCTCACTCTCTCTATAAACCGGCGTACCCCAGGGCTCTGCTTTGGGACCACTGTTGTTTACATTTCATATTGTATGGTCAGCTGTTACAAGAAAAGACATTTCCACTGTCATGTCGTATTTGTGCAGAAGTTGTGTGTATATATTCACATCCTTTGGCAGATAAATTGTTTGCTTTAAGATGCCGTAAGAATAAAATGAAATGAAACTTAAAAATGAAACTCCTCTGTCTCTTCTCGCAGACGTATCTGCTGTGGGCTCACTCCAAAGACTGCATTCAGAAACTGAAGATAAGCAGCAGGTGAAGCGCTCGGTACTTTCACAGTGATGTTTGAATACTTCCCGATGTCTGAGTGTGTTTTACTCGCTGCAGGTCTGGTCTGATGGTGATCCTCTCAGCTGATCTGCTGCTGTGGTTGAACGCAGTGACCGAGGACACCATCCACGAGGAGATGGAGTTAGACAAACAGGGCAGTCTTCATCTCAGCGTCAAAAACTCCTCTTTAACCCAAGTTCCTGATCCAGCAGGTAGTCCAGATTGAAGTTAGAGTGACTGTCCTGACCTGGGAAAAAAAGTTACTCTTTGATTTTCGTCTTTCAGGATTCGCCAATTCGACGCTCTGCCGCTGCAGTGCGAGTGCATCCTGCCTCGCCTTTAGGAAAGCTATCGAGATCCTGTACCCCTTCCACTTGGAGTACTACCTGATGGTGGGCTGCATGATCTATGTGATGTGGAAGAACGTGGGCCGCAGGATGAGTCCAAGTGAGCCCCACGTGGCTCAGAAGCTGACTCTGAATGTGGTCTATGAAGGTGGGATCTTCTACGGCCTGGTGTTTGGAGGTCTGGTCCTCCTCACAGGGATCATCATCTTCATCCTCTACCAGGTGTACGTGAGCCGGCCTCACCTCCACCACACCGCCTTCCTCTTGTTCTACGCCTACCACCTGGTGGTCCTGCCGGTCATGTCCCTGTGCTCGCTGGCCGGGATGCTGATCCACACGCTGGAGAGGAGGGCGAGCGAAGGGGGACACAACCCGACCCGCAGTCTGGATGTGACTCTCCTGCTGGCGGCGGCTCTGGGTCAGCTCGCCCTCTCTTACTTCTCTCTGGTGGCGGCCCTCGCTGTGGGGACCGAGGGGCCTCTGGGGGACCTGGACCTGTCTTACTCTCTGCTCAGTCTGCTGGAGCTCATCCTCCAGAACATCTTCATCATTAAAGGGCTTCACAGACACCCGAGCCTCCTGGCAAAGACGAGAGAGAAGCGGTGGAGTAACATATTCAAGGTACCAGCAGGTTTTTAGCCCTCGTTAGGACTTAGTGAGAGGAGGTTTCAAGTATAAAGACTGTCTGAGAAGTTTTCAGGTATTACTCAGACCTTTCACTTTGCCCTCTAGTGGATCAAATCTGTAACTACACTCAGATATCCACTTAAGCCCAAAATTATTCATACCCCTGTCAATCATCTCAGATTTGACAAGTCAAGTCAAGTCAACGTAAGACTTGCCATGGCAAAGACAAAAGAGCTCAGTGAGGACTTGTGAGCACACTTTGTAAATGCCAAAAAGGAAGGAAAAGGGTACAAAAAAATGCCAAATAATTTCAGGTGCGAGTGGCGACGGTGCAAAGAATCATAGTACCAAAATTTCAAACAGTCAAAAACCTCAAAGGTCGTAGTCGGAAGTCATTAGCGTCACCTCGGCTTATCAGAAAGATCAAGTGAGATGTTGAAAACAATCCAAGGACGACGACCAAGGCTGTCCTGAAGGAACTGAGCGTGAGTGGTGTGACTCTATCGAGGCAGACACTCCAGTGGACACTGCACCAAGATGGTCCAAATGGACGCCGACCAAGAAAGAACCTCTGCTTCAACCAAAACGTGTAAAAGCTCGTCTGACCTTTGTCAAGACGTACCTAGAGAAGGAGGAAAGCTTCTGGTCATCTGCTCTGGTCAGATGAAACAAAATTGAGGCCTTCAAGCTAAAGACCAAAGTCCCCTCTGTGAAATATGGAGGTGGAAGCATCACGCTGTGGGGCTGCTATTCTCTAAACGGGCCTGGCAACTTATTTAAAGTGGAAGGCACCATGAGGAAAGAACATTTTATCAAGATACTCAAAGAGGGCCTCGAGCAGGCAGCAGAGAACCTGAACCTGGGGGAGTGTTGGACCCATCAGCAGGACAATGATCCGAAGCATACAGCCAAGGTGGTGAAGAAATGGTTCCAGGACTATGATGTTGATATTATGAAGTGGCCAAGTCAGAGTCCTGATCGAGAACCTATGGGTGGAGCTCAACAAACGGGTGGCGTTTCCACAAAAAACCTCCAACCTCAAGGATCTTGAAACGTTTGCAAAGAAGGAATGGTCCAAAATTCCTGGAGATACTTGCAAAAAGTTTGTGAGGAATTACAAAAATCATTTGGAGGCTGTTATGAAAAATAAGGGGTTTGTAATTCATTATTGAGACGGTATGAATAATTTTGGGCTTAAGTGGAACTTGCTCTGATTGGAAACACACCTGTAAAGTTACTGACTTGTTGAAAACATCTTTAATTGGCAGGAAGATTTTTCCTCCAGGTGGTTTTTTTTTAGGTTTACAGAACTTTTTCAGAAGTTTGATGTCCCGACTGTCTCGCAGCCTAAGAAGAAGTTTACCGACTCGGTGCAGGAGGAGAAGAAGACAGATTTGTCTCTGCTGGAGGGGAAAACATCATCTGCTGTTCAAAAGCATGATGGGAAAAAAACCTGGAAGAAAACGGCGATTCAAGAACTCTGCGCCTTCCTCATCCTCTCTAATGTCATGGTACGCTCGTGTATTTTTATGTTACATTTTAGATTTTTGCAGGAATAAACTGACTCTACGTTTCGTCCTCTTGCAGCTGTGGATCATTCCTGCGTTCGGAGTCCATCCTCAGTTTGAGAACGGGTTTGGGAAACGGTTCTTCGGCTTCTCCGCCTGGTTCGTTCTGGTGAATCTGGTTCAGCCGCTCGGTGTCTTCTACAGGATGCACTCAGTGGGAGCTCTGATGGAGCTGCTGCTCAATGCATGAAGAGGAACAACGAGGAAAGACACTTTACTTAAACCGAGGCTATTTTTTTGTCATTTCGGTTGATTAATATCGATAAGAGGAAATCTAAAATGAGGAATAACAGGTGATATTCCAGGCTGGAAGGATTTGTACTTTAAAATAAAGACTTCTCTGTTCCTGCTGAAGGTTTCTGTCTGTCCAAATGAAGTTCTTCCTTGACTGTGTTGTTGAATATTGGGTTGTATTGTGTTGCTCATAGCGGTCTTTAGATAATGAAGCCACAAGTACAGTCTGAATAACGTTTTGTCTGGATTGACAAAAATTTTTGAATTGAATTTTAAAGGAATCAATCTGAGAATGAAACAAAACAGCGAACATTTCCAAGTAACATTTGATGAAACAAGAATAAAACTGTTAATCACAGCACCCATGAACCTGACCTGATATTCTTAAAAATACTCTTAAAGTTATCTCTTAAAGCTCCTGTGAGGGGTTTTAGATGTTTACAAAATACTCTGAGATTCAAACTGACGCTTTTTTTACGACACGCAAAAGCTAAGTGAAAATTGGGGGTTAAAATCTGTCCTCCAAACTCTAAATCTGAACAGAATTAAACACATAAAGTTCACAACCCGACAAGGTTTATTCTCCGTTTGAGCGACAGAAAATATGTGACGATTTTTTCAGTCCATCAGTGACAGAGTTGAGATTCACACCGTAGCTCTGGTCCCTGTTTAGACCAAGTTTAGTCCTTTTTAGCACATTAAGAAAGGCCTCAAAGTCCTGCAGTTCGGTCTTTTTCAGACGGTCAGCCACGTCTGAAGACTTTCCTTTCACCTTTAACCCTTAAAAACTGATAAATGTAACAAACATGTAAGTTTTGATGTTCATTAGCTCACACAGACGTGGACACTTTTAGAGACTCCTCAATTCGTCTGAACGTTTACATTCGGCATCGATTGTGAAGAAGAAGATTTCAGCTGCTTGTTTTCCTAAAACGACTCTGAAGAAGATCTGAAAAGTTCCTCTGATCTCAGTTCAGCAAACAGGTAGATCCTGTTTGAGATGGTTCAGTTTTGTTTTTGTTTTCTTGCAGCTGCTTTAAATCCTCTGGATCTCAAAGAGTCTGATGTCCGTGTCGTACCAGATCGGAGGATCCACGTTGCTGCAGTCAGAGAAGAAAACACGTTAAAGCTGCAGCTGTGACGGGCTGAGAGCTCACTTCACTCACGAGTCTTAAGTTTCGTTTTAAGTCTTTTGTGTCTCAGATAAAAAACACGAATCAAGCTCCTGATCGAGTGTTTTACCGTAGGTAGATGACTCCCCACATGTATGTGCGGAACCACATGGCGGTGCCGGCGTTGGCCTGGTACTTCCTGATGAGGATGGGATGTGGGACAGGCAGGAGGCCGACCAGCGTGCCGTGCTGAAGAAACTTGAGGATTTCTGACTCGTCCGTCAAACCTCTGAGGATAAAAACGAACCTCGATGTGATAAAACTTCACCGATCACCATTTCAGATATTATCACAAGTTCTGTCATTTCTTACTTGTCAATGCAAATCTTCTCCACCTGAGGGACCAGCACCTGTAACAGCCTCATGATGGTCTGAAGGGGAAGCTTCGACTTCCACGACAACACCTGAGAGCACAGAGAGGGTATGAAGACAGAGAGCGAACACCGAACACAGAGAGGTTTAGGATAACGAAAGGAAAAACTGTTCCTGACCCAGTCTGGATTAGGGTTCCAGGCTGCCGATGACGACACACTGGACAACCGACTCCTCGCTGCTGCTGAGTGGTAGACCTGAAATGAGAGCAGGAGATTCTCCTTAAAGGGATATTCAGGCGTAAAATTAATTTGTTAGTTTAGTGACACCGAGTTAGACACCCCCTCAAGAGATGAATGTTGCCGACCGCTTGTTTCTCTAGTTAGACCAACTTTAGTAACGACCACAGATGGTAATACAGAGAGCCAAACGCTCAACCAAAACGCCACTCTATAGCCACAAGTAATGCTCAGAACAGCACCTAACTTCATCAACAGGATGAGAGCGCGTGGCTCTCTGTATTTCTATCCTGCGGTCGTTACTAAAGTTGGTATAACTAGAAGAATCAAGCGGTCGACAACATTCATCTCTGGAGGGGGGGTCTAACACGGTGTAACGGTGGGTCTATCCCTGAATTAATTTTACGCCGGAATATCCCTTTAACTGAGGACTAATAAACAGTAACAGAGGGGTATCAAGCTCTGGTTTTGTACCTCCAGGTCTCGTCCTGAGTTGGACTCTGTGTCGCTCGCCCCGGATGCGGCTGTCGGCTGTGGAGACTCTGAATGAGGGACGGCCACCATCGTACCGTCCTCACTCACCTGGGACTTCTCGGTTATCTTATCGATACCTTTAGGAAACACAAGGAGTTATTTTTTTTATCAAAACGCCCAAAACTCTTCTGGGCTCCTCACCTGGAGTGGCCTCTAAACTGGCTTTGAGGGTTCCGGGCTCAGCCGGCGCCGCGGGCCTGGACCCCTCCATGGACTCTGTCTCTGTGGAGTTAGTTCTGGAAATCCCCGTTTTCTTCTTCCTCTGTAGAGCTTTCTGAATCGTCGCCGTGTCGGACGGCAGGTTGGCCAGCTGGTGGAAGACGTTCCTCTTTCGGATGACGGCGTACACCAGGTTGAAGTTACCTGAAGGAAGGAGGTGTAAAGGTCTGTGAAGGCTGCTCTCTCCATGTATGTGCTAGACTCCAGTCCACGTCTTATTCCTCACCGTCAAACTGATACTGGATGACGTTGTTGAAGACCTCCAGCAGGAAGAAGACCAGGTGGTGGTTCTGAGGGGACGAGAAGAGGAACCAGGGCGTGGAGAAGGCCTCCAGCAGGTGGAGCAGCTTGTTGGCTGCCACCATGGACAGGCTCTTCAGATACGGGGAGACTGAGGAGGGAATAAAAGCGAGAATATGGTTCAGCTGTTCATCCAGCAGGGGGCAGCATTTCCTGAGTGACACTCACTGTTGACTATGATGGTGAGCAGACAGTCGAACAGAGGCTGGAGACGCTGGTGTCCACCAGTGATGATTTTGTGGAAGATCTGAACATGAGGAGAGGAAAGAGAGGGTCTAGAGTGAAGCTCTGCGGTTCGGCCTCTTGAGAAAAGAAGAAACCGTTATTTAAGGACACATGACCTCTTACCACGATGAGCAGGTCCGCGTGGGTCCCTGTGAAAACAGGAATATCCATCGGGACTCGCAGAGTGTACGGTTTATTCAGACGGACCCCGAAGTTCCTCTCTCCGCTCAGCAGCAGCAGGATGAACACGCCGATGTGCATGAGGCCGACACGGGCTGATAAGAAAAATCACGTTTTCAGAGTGTGCAGGTCGACACTGTTCACAATACATGTAGGAGCCATGATGTTGCTTTGTTCATCGGTTATCCTGTGATCAGTTACTTTTGTCTGGTTGCCATTGGCTGGGCACTGTAGTTTATATAAGGGGCGGTCCTACCTGCTCTGGGGCGGAGAGGGTCGCCGTAATTTTTGTTGACTGCGCTCTATGTTCTTTGTTTGCAATGATACACGTCACAGAGTGAATCAGTGGCGAGTGTTGAAGCGATTTTCTGTTATTAAAGCTCCGAAAACTTCGATGAACTTCTCAGGAACAGCAGCAGAGCGTCACACAAGTGTACAGGACCTATCCTCTGCCTCAAGCCGCAATAATACACATACACGACGTTTTATTTAACTCTTGAACAAACACGGAGAAGAAGAAAAGAAAGGAAGACTCACTCTGATCTGCTCTGGCTTCGTTCAGGTTGAAGAGGATGGGAACCAGCATGTCCAACACGTCGCTGCTTTTCAGCACGAAGAACAGGAATTTCTAAAACACAGTCACGTTTGTTTTTTTTAATTCCTCTATTTCAACAGAAGAAGAAGGTTCAGAAACTTGGACTGATAAACTGGATTTTCTTTACGCACAGTTTAGTTTCTTCAAAAATGTCAAAAGAAGATAAAGCCTTCAGTCTCGTCTTCACCTTGTTGAAGTCGCAGAACTTCCAGAAGAGGATCAGCAGCTCCTGGTGGAACTGGATCTTCTTGGTTGAACGGGGCAGGTAGGTCTGGATCAGAGGGTTGTTGAGCAGCCTGGCCAGACCTTTGAGGATGAAGCTCAGGTCCTGGAAGAGAAGAACACTCTCACCTCCTGAAAAAAAAAATCACCTCATTGTGATGTGAAATCTCGACGTACCTCCTCTCGGTGAATCCTGGAGAGATAGTTCACAAACAGGTTATCGGGTCCTGGAGGCTGAAAAGGGTCAAGAGATGCTTTAAAATCTGGAACCTCTTTATCACTGTTGGACTTCTCAAGTATGAACTCATTCGTCTCTCTTTACCTCCACTTCCTCCACGCCTGAGGACGGCGGGCCGGTCTCCAGGGCCTTGAGGGCGGCGCTGGCGGCCGACCCGGCGTCATGCTCCAGGGTGACGATGAGGATCTGGACGGCCTGCTCCACCAGCTGCTCCCGGTAATCGGAGAACAGCAGGTGGTTGTAGGGGATGCCGTAGCCCACGGGGTCGTACGCGCACACCACGTTGAGCAGCGAGGTGAACAGAGGCAGAGCGTGTCTGAGTGAGAGAAGGTCAGAGGTCAGTCCGAAGATAATTCAGGGTTTCTTAGTCCTCCTGAACTGGACTTTGGTGGTCTTCGTTGAGAGAAAGACCCTTTTTTTTACTTTAAACAAACGAGTGAAACGATGTTCTTCAGACAGAATCAAGCGTCTTCACAGGAAACTGGGATTACGTCGTTGTTTTTGTGTGACCTGTTTTCAGTGGAGCAGAAGAAAGAGACCCAGGGGTTGAGGTTCTTCCTGTCCGAGCACGGGGGGAGGTACATGGCCTCGGAGAAACAGGTGAGCAGCAGCTTCAGGAGCTCCGTCCTGGATGAGAACAATCAATCAATCAATCAATCAATCAATTAACCTTTATTTTTAAAGCACTTTTTATACATAGAACGTAGCACAAAGTGACGTCCATTCATGCAGGATATAAAAAAACAATAAAATAAAATAAAATAAATAAAAATACAAATACCAAACCGCATCCACCCTCCCAACCCACATTAAACACACACACAGCACTCAGACACACAAAAGACCAGGTGAGGACGATAAAACCATGATCAAATATAATAAAGGTGTTAAAAGTTAATTAAATAAAACAGTCTTAAAATTAAACAATAACATAAAGTAAATCAAAAAAGAGGTAATAAAACTGAAAATAGTTACTCTAGGACTAAAATCGGGTAAAATCACGTTATGCAGATTTAAAGATTAAAACAAAATTCAACTAAAAGCCAGACTTAAAACGTTGGTCTTTAGTTCACTTTTAAAAATATGAACAGTAGGTGTCGCTCTCGGGTCTGCAGGTAGGCTGTTCCATAGATGGGGACTCTAATGTTGGAACCGTGATTCATCGAATGTTTTAGTTTTTACTTTGGGAACAATTAAAAGACCTGAGGGCTCTACCAGGTTCATACGGTAAAAGCAAATCAGACAAATAAGAAGGACCAAGACCATTAAGAGCTTTAAAAGGTAATAAAGAACCTTAAAATCTACTCTAAAAGACACAGGTAACCAATGCAGAGATTTTAAAATTGGCGTGATGTGGAATCTCTTCTTTTTGCAGGAGCTGAAACTGTGAAATGTTCTTTTTAGGAGGACCGGAGAGGAGCGCATTGCAGTAGTCAATTCTAAGGTTTGAATCAAATGTAAAACCCAAATTTTAACTTCTTTACATGGATTAAAAGCTAGGGCTCGGAGTTTTCGCTCTAGTTTCTCTCTACATGGATGTGTTCCGATAACTAAAACCTAAATTTTGTCCTGATTTAGCTGCAAAAAGTTGTCTGCCATCCAGGACTGGACGTCTAAAATACAATTAAGAAGGACATCAGCAAGAACACCGGGTGAAGGTGAGGCGGTAATAAAGAGTTAACGTGAATCCTGAAGAGTCTAAACTCTGTCGGTCACAGGTGTGAGGGAAGTCTGACGGTTACCTGTTGAGGTCATGGTTGAAGTTCAGAGGAGGAGACTGAGCGAAGCCGACCCCGGCCTCCCAGATGTACTCGCAGCTGTCGATGGAGCGAATGTCCTCAGAAATGTCCTGCAGGGAGCAGATGAGAGCGGTTTCACTTCAGAGAAGGGCTGCACGATGTTGGAAAAAAATAACATCGCGATTTTTTTCAACCCTGAGATATTAAAAAATAGAGGAATTTTCACCAGATGACCTGAAAATCACTTCCTGCTAAAATCTTGAGGACAGTTAACCTGCTCTGATCTTACCTCTTTGTTTGTCTGTCTTAGAGAGATTTTGAGCTTTTATTGTTCTGGACGTTACTGTGGCAACAGATGAAAGGCACTGCCGACACAGAACAGGTGTTTGGTGACCCCATCCTTCTTGTAAACCAAACAATTCCGGAAAACTGACATTGCTTTTCTTTTTGTCAACAAGTATTCATCTTCAGCGGTATGTGACGTTTCTTTTCTTTACATCAACAAGTCTTTATTTTCGGTGGTTTTCTCTTGTTCGTTGATCATTTTGCGATCGTTGTTGTTGTTGTTACCGGTTATGTGCCGAGAAACACATGCCCGCCAAGAATTGCATCCACCTCCCGGAAACGCGCACCGCTTATAGTCGAGTAGTGCCTGGAAATGTCCAGTTTTAAACCCAAACAATTCTTATTTGTTGGGCTAAGCAGTCATGAGTAATGTTCGGAAAGTAACTCTAGGCGGATACGCGTTTCTCGGCACAACACCGGCAGCGCCAGCGACTCACTCCATGTGCAGGGCCGTGGTTTCCTTCTCTCTGTTTTTGATTGACGGCTGGCAGGGTAGTCTGATTGGCAACTGAGTAAAGCACGAATGTGATTAGTGGATCGCTGCACAGCACATGCAGAGTCTACATGCAGTGTATCTCAGGCCTACCTCAGAGAGCTGGTGGCGGTTCACTCTGTCCCTCGTTTTCCTCCCACAGTGTAGAGGAGGTCTGTGACTGTGTTCACACCTACTACACCATGTGATTCATCAGGAGAGTCCTCCGCTGACAGCGCTGTGTGGGACACCTCGGCACCGATAACGGCAGCTTTAGGAATAGATCATAACAAGGTGCTGCTTTTGTTCCTCATCAGGGAACTGACAGCAAAGGGCAGCAGGCCAGGACACCAGGGGCCCACTGACACCGGGCCTTCAGAGCCGATTCTGGTTCTGATTATTGGCAGTTCATGAGGCTGCAGCTAGGGCTGGGCGATAGTCGATATCGATAAATATCACAATATAAAAAATGAAATTTAACAGTGTTTATTGGTCACATGTCTTTTGCAGTACAATAATCTCCTGCATCTGTGAGGTCTTTGTGTCTCTTTGACGTTTTGTCGTAAGGCCTTGCTCTAGAGAAAGCCGACTGAATGGTCGTCTGTTCTTCTACTGCTTCAGGTGGTGAAAAAGATTTGAGGTATTCCCCGACTTTGCGAGAACATGAACTCGACATAATTTACAGTCCACATTACTCTGCTTCATGTCCGACCTCCAAAAACCAAAATACCTCCACACCAGTGGCGATTGCTCTAAGACTGCAAGGGAAGCTCGGCTTCCCTTAAAATGTCACCCCCCCAAAAAAAGAAAAAGTGGTGAAATACGTACAGCTGTGTGTACATTTCATTAACTAAATACGCACTAGAAAGCCTTCAACTTTTGTTCAGACACTGTGATAAGAAGCTGATAATCACAGGTAACCGGCATAACTTCGTTCTCATTCATCCTCGCAGCGCCTCAGCGCTTGAAACAGCCGGACGCTGGGCTTCTGCTGACTTCAATGTGGAAGCTCAAAGTGGGTTGTTCCAGCAGCGAAACTAGACGCTCATTGGATAAATGCTGGGCTTTGTCCCGCCCATCGGAAGCTCAGCTTCACTGGAGTTCTATGGCGAGAGGGCGGTCCCGACTGTCTCCCGGACTCCGAGATTCTGCATCCATGATTGGATGAGCTGTCTGAGGCGAAATCCTTTTTTGATTGACAGCTAAACAAGCGAATCAGCGATCTTTAAGAATAAAACATCTACCAGAGCATTTTCCAAGTTATTCATTCCGTTGTTCTTAACTGCTCCGGAGACTTTACCGATCCTCAGCGACTTTTGTCTTTGTTAAAAACGACTGCCGTTGTGTTTGGCGACTCTGTTCTGTTACATACTAATAAACAAACACAATTATGATGTAGGCCAGAAAAATGAGTTTCCCCTCCATGAAAGACCAGCAGCCGCCACTGCTCCACACCACCGATGTTTTCGTGCCAGTGTTGTTGACGATGTCATCATCTGTTGAGCCTTCATGGTCATTTCTGTCGGGGGTAGCACTCATTTTCTTTGTTTCTCACCAACAGTGCTGTCGGCTTCACCTGTTAAAGTGCTATGGTTGGGTGGAGCTGCTGTCTGCTACGATGCAGTTGTTTGATACTTGGTTCTAATTCAGAACATGATTGGTTCAGCGCGAAGTGGACCCAGAGCAACTCCCCTTTTTCATTGGCTATTCGTATAGTCGACCAAAACATGACAGAATGCAGTCTATCATATCGACCATGTTTTATATCGCCCAGCCCTAGCTGTAGTTAAAACGTGTATGACCTCCAAAACTCCTCTCTGACTGACTCTTCATGCGTGCATCACAGGTCACAGACGCAGGTATGAACCAACAACCCTGCAGGTCATTTTCCACCTTCTGCTGCATAATTTCACACACGCTCCACCGACTCACACACTTCGATCGAGCAGCTCTGACGGCTTTTTTCACCTGCAGCCTCACAGACCGTGTTTGCTCAGCCCGGTTTAGAAGAGTCCGCCCTGTTCTTCTCAGCCCTGTAGATAAACAAAGCCGCTCCTCCCTCCCTCTACGTCTCCTGCTGAGTAACTCATTAACTTCAGCTACTGCCTGACAAGATTATGTGAAGGAGACAGGAGCGCTAACAGGGATAAATAACACAGAGCTGCTTTTTTTTTTAACTGTCGTAGCTTCAGGGCTGAAGCTGCTGAGGTTAAAGGTGGATTTGTTTAAAGTAATCCTAAATGAACAGGCCAAATCTGTGAGGAAGCTTGTTAATAATAATTTTTGTTAATAATAAATGAGATTATTGACGTGAGTTTCATGTTTACTGAGGAGCTGAAAGGTAGGAGTTCAAGTCTGAGGTCAGTCTTTCATTTCTGGCTTAAATCAGCCTCTCAGGGGAAACTCAGCGGTCTGTGGACTCACCGAGTTGTTCTTCTTGTGGCTCTGAGCGGTGAAGTTTGGGCAGAAGAGCAGGTCAGCGACAGCTAGGAGCAGAGATTCAGCGAGGGGTCGAGCTTCATCACTGGAGCCGTCTTCATCCATACGCTGCAGGAAAAAACAGAAACATCAGATTAGAGGTTTTAATTTGGACTTTTTCTGTTGTTTTAATGAGGTAAAAATCTGATTTCAGGAGTAAATCCCAAAATAAAGAGGTCATGTTATTTACACTGAGTGCTCTCCGTTCTCCTGATGGACTCAGACAGAGTATTTTTCAGACCGGATTCACATAAACATTCGAACTGGAGCAGCTTGGAGTTTTACCTCGGCCCCACACTTTAATTAAGGGACATTCAATCCCTCCTTAATTCAACCGCTGACCACAGAGAGGAGGGGGGACACAATATGGGCAGTGTTTGCACCCAGCCGACCAGGTAACCAGAGAAGCAGCTGCCTCCAGGAGAGGGGAGGAGGATGGGGGAGGACTGGCCTCTGCAGCATCAACAGCAGCAGGAACAGTCTCACCTGTCTCTAACTGAGGACTGATTCAACTCGCCATCAGCTGAGAGGTTAAATAACAGTTAAACCGGACACACAGCCGACATCCAACCACTGTGTCATTTAACTTTCTAGAGCTAAGGTGAACAGATGCTGACTGACGTACCCCAGCTCTGCCGGCTCCCGGCACCGTGGACCAGAAGAACCCTCTCCAGTCGGCGTCCTCGAAGATGTACGGCAGGATGCGGGTGAGCAGGCGGGTGCAGTTCAGGATGATCTGACGCTCTTTCTCCGACGGGCAGCCGGAGTCCGCACCCTGGACCAGCCTCTCCACCGCCTCGGAGGATAAAAACAATCTGTTTGTTTCTGTTGTTGAAAAATGTTTGTCTTCTAACAGTAACCCCAAATAACTAGGGTTGGAAAATTTACGGTAAATTTCCAGAAACTTTCCATGGGAATTAATTGGACATTTGGGGTAATTTAATTATACCAATTATATTCAAGTCCCCTGTTGAGCGCCGACCTTCAATTTTGTAAATTTCAGATTTATTCCTGTTAACTCCCACAGAAAGCTTCCATCTTTGAAATACCCACATTTTTGCAACCCTACAAGTAATCTTTGACCTTTGTGGCGATGGTGTGTGACAGTTAACAGTTAGAAGAGCAAACAGCAGCATCCCTAAGACTCTCACTGTCTCCAAGACCCGAGTCCAGGTTACCTTGTAGCAGAGGGTTGCCAGGTTTGACGGAGACTCCTCTCTGACTGCTCTGATTTCTGCTGCCGGCACCAGAGCGAAAACATCCTGCACGTTTGTGGAGGTGTCGGCCCAGAACTGATCCCAGAAGGCGTCGTCTGTGGCCTCTACGGGCTGCAGGAGAGGACACACAAATACACATCACCCTGTCTCTGCAAGATTGTGTTTATAAGGACTACAGTGTCATTTTCAGACCAGAGCAGCCCTCTCACTGAGCGCTGACCTCCACCTGAGCAGCAGCTGTGATTCTGTGTGCTGCATCAATTATTCAAGATACCACTGCTAAATATAGTCAGATGTAAACGAGGGGGGAATATTCCTTTAATTATCAGAGCAAAATGATACTTATTTATTCATCTTAAAATAATATTCGCAATTCATTTATTTATTTTTATTGGCATCTCTTGCAGCTTTCTGCTCTTGTGTGTTCTTGACTTCCTGTGATTCGTGCATTTGCAGCATGTTTGTCCAAATGGACGTCGTCCTGGCCTTGCAAACCTTCTCTCCAATCAGAAAATCTAAATGGAGCAGAATCTATCAAACACAGCTGAGTGCAGGACCACAGAGTCTGTGGGTGAACAATGTCAGACCAGTTTGCAGACTGTGGCAGATGTCTGTTAATGCCATGCTACAAAGGGTTATCTGTCATCTGTGCTTGTTTGCATCCAGGTAGTAGAGCAATATGGTGAATTAATCAATGGTCAGAGTAGGTAAAAATAATAATCTGACAGTATAAAGGGCTATTGTGTCTGCTGAATCCTTCATTCCACATTGAAACAGGCTGGGGAAAACAGCCTGGGGCGTCTTATCAACTGTGTCTGGTTAGTTCCACCTTAAATGCACCTGCAATATAAACACAATCCAGCTGCCTGCTCTAAATCTAATTAAATCTAACATATTTAAGTCAAATTTTATAACGACAGGTTATTTAAAGATAATTTCACGACATTTGTTAAGACATTAAAATGAGTCAAATGATCAAAACATCAAAAATCTTTGTTTACAGTGACTTTGAAACGTTGGTGAAAATTAAAACGATATATTTTTTAAGGGAATCAAGTAAAAACTGTTGAATTTCCAAATGTTGTGTGTTTTGCATGTTGTTCCATTTCACTTTGTCATCTGGACTGCGGTTCAGTCTACCATCTGGTACACTAACTTTGAGTTAAACCGCAAACAGACGCTCTTTACAAACGTTTCTGGTGTTTTTGCTGCTTCTTTCTGGAGAGACTGACCTGAGTTTTGGTAGTGAGCTGAATCACCGCTTTCCTGAAGTGAAGTTTGGTGTCCACGTTTCCCATTTTGACACACTTCCAGGCTGTTTAGATCCGTGTGAACACTGAGGATAACCTCCCTCATCACCGCTGAGACAGCCGCTCTGCTGCCTTCAGGGACTGCTCGGAAATTGTAGAGCTGAAGCGAAAATACGTTAAATAAGCCTGATGTGGCCATAGACATACTACTACTACTACTACTACTAATATAATAATAATAAAAATACTAACAATAAAATACTAATAATTTTATTAATAATAACAACAACAACAATAATAATAACAACAATATTAATAATAATAATAATAATAATAATAATAATAATAATAATAATAATAACAAAAAACACCAATAATAATAACAACAAAATTATGATTATTATTGTTATTATTATCATATCATATAATAATATAATCTTAATTTTCTTATTAATAATTCTCTTTATTATGTCTGTGGATGTAGCTGTTTTTTTTTTTAAATCTTGTGTCTGAGGTTTTTCAAACTTTGTGTTCATTTTCTTTTCTTTTTTTGTGAACATGTGCGTACAACACCAAAAGTAAACTGAAAACAAACAGACAAAACCACCAAGAATATTCAAAACAACAATAACAATAATCAAATCGAAAAAGTTAAATAAAAATAAAATGAAAAATACAAAAGTAACTCATTATAATAATGCAAACCCAACATGCTTTTAAAAAAAAACCTACCCCTTCTTCTTTACTCAATAATATCAGTCAGTCTCAACATCATTAAAACAAAGCAAACATTGTTCAAAGTGATCAAAAAATCCCAAATTAATACAACATCAGACGAATGTTACAACTGCTTTTTCAATGATATTGTAATATATGATATATATTATGATGCAAATAATTGTAGGAGAAAGGGAAAATCAAAGGGTTTAATTTGTTTTTCTCTTTGAATTGTTGCACAGCCTTCTTTTGTTGTTTTTGTGTTTGTTTGTATGCGATTTATTTATTCATTTTGAAACACTAATTGAGCAATGTCATGTGTGCCCGAGAGCTAAAGTACACAAATTTATGAAATTTAGATAAATGAACAATAATGACAAGAATAACCATTATAAAAACAATTACAGATAATAGAAACTTATATTTTACCTTTGAAAAAAGCTCAAACAACTTTAAAACAAAGCGCAATATTTAACATCACACTACCAGATTCCTTACAGATTCAACAAGCAATTAATAAAAAAATATGTTTCATGACTTGGCAGGTGTAACCCAAATAAAGACCTGCACCAAATGCGTTGAATTAAAGTCTCTTTTTGTTTTATTTTTAACCTGATCCACGGGTTGTCAAAATTCCGATGGTCATGAAGGCAACAAAGGATCCAAAGCAGGATCTAAAGTAAGGGACTTCCGGGATCCTTGAGTACATATTTGCCGTTTATTGACATCATTCATAAAAGTGTTTTAATTTCCATATTTTTACAGGAGACAAATATTCAGATGAAGATAAAAAATGAACTCAGTTAATCATCATTATGACTTCATATCAGTTTTTGTTTTTCGTTAAATATTATCAGACTCCAGGCTCAGTCAGGATCAAAGTTTCTGTGGTATTTATGGAACAACAGTGACCTCTAGTGTCTCAACAGGACAGCTTTTCACCACGAATAAGTAGATACAGTACTTCACGATTCCTTTCCTGTATTAAATATACTTTAGTTCGATTTTATCAAACCAACAAACTACAAGATGAGCGATCCTCTTCTCATACCCCAAATACAACTTTTATAATCAAACAGCTGCAGCTACTTCATATTTTTACCTTTTTTATTCTCTCTTAGAGACAGTTTGTTTCCTCTTCTTTCAGTCTTTTACTCTGTATGTTCATGTTTCACTTGTTTTTTTTTTCTGCCTCCTGTTGTTTTTACTGATGCTCACCTTTTTTCCAGTTTCACTTTCATACTAATGATACTGCAACTTAAAATATTACTATGCTTAGTTATAGTACTGGTTCTTATCATGTTTCTGCTCCTATTTGGTTTTTATATCTTTACCAATACCACTAAAATAACCAAATGAAAAATGTAGAAGAAATGGCAGAAATATAGAAAGTAAAAAAGCCATCATGTAGAAATACTTAACAACAGGACACGCTCAGTCATCGAGCCTCTGTACTGCTGTTTATCCAGGCATGTCAGACTCAGTGTTGTAGCTGACCACTAGGTGGCGTTACTGACCTGATGTTGTGATTTTAACTGCTCTTTGACTCCAGCAGGTCAGAGGAATGAGAGTACGATAAAGGACAGCGTGAGGTCTGAGGATTTAAATTCATTTATAGTTTAGATTTTAAAGCCAAATTATGATTAAATCATGTTTAACTATAGAGGAAATAAACAAAACAAGTGTGAATCTAGTTAAGTCAAAGTTTGATCTACAGTGTAATAATAGGACAACCACTTAATCTTCAATAATCTTGATGTGACAATTCAATTATAAATCAAAACTTTTTAAAATCACAAACCTGCCAATAAAGCACAGACTCAGTGTTTTATTTACCTCAAAAATGTCTGCTTCTTTTAAATCAAACTTTTGATCCAATCAGCTCAAACTATACCCTGATACATTTCACAAAAAGTGACAAAAACTATATATTTAAAACCAGATGAGGATAAATCATGTTATTAATGAAAGAAAAACTAATTTATACATTTTTATTGTTTATCATCCAAAGCTTAACTGTGTGTACAGATTTTTATGAAGCCAATCAAACAGGACATTTTAGAAATCTCCTTTATAGAAATTAATCAATAAATACACCAAGATGTAAGAGAAACACAAGATGATAAAAATAGTTTTAAAAAGTGAACCATGAAAATCAGTTTAACAGAGATTCTGTAAAATAAATGAATGATTTTCTAAACTTTGTAGGATAAAGATCTTTCATGATTACAACCTCGACTCCTCAAGAGTTTGGACGCTGTGTAAAATGTTGATAAAGACAGAATCTCTTTGAATCGTATATTAGATTTAATAAAGAGACAGACTGTGTTCACTGACTGTGGTTTTTAGAAGGGATGTGGTGACTTCCACTGCAGAGTCTTGTCTGTTTTTCTACTTGAAGGCCTGAAAATTACACTCTGACTCTTTTAATGATATTATGAACTCTAGATGATAAAATCCACCAGTTCTTTGTGAGTTTACACTCCTGAAGATTATCTGTAAATTATCATATTATTAGCTCACGCAGTCTCTCACAGAGTGATGAACCTGTTAATGTTTACTCCTGAGAGACTCAGCCTCTCTGAGAGTCCTTTTTATACCAGGTCACCTCACTAACTTGTTCCACATTAACCTCGTGAGTCCAAAGTTTTTCCAGTCTCATGTTGTCTTTGCACTCTTATTATTAAAATATAGATTTTTATTCATTTAGAAACCATCAAATTCTGTTTTTATCGACATTTTAAACAGCGTCTCATATTTTTGGAATCAGGGTCGAATATTTATGCTGATTTTTTTTTTAAACAGAACAAAAATATGCATTAAAGCTTTACACCTGCAGAAACTTGGCCAGTCCACCTCTGATCAACATTTACAATCATTTCAGAAAATTAAGAACACGTCAAACACGGTATCAACTCCAGTCTGTGGGAATACATCAACTCCACCTCTTTACATTTCCACTGGGTGGCGCTGCATCATGGGCAATAAAAAGTAATCCAATCAGTGTGTAAATTTATGATCATGTTTCCATCAACAAAACAAACCTGTTCAGACTGTTTGATCCCAGAATATGAGGGAAAATATCAAATATCCAGAGTCCAGGTCCTGAGCTGATCTCAGAGCAGGTCATAGTGCAGCTCCCAGAGTCCTCTCCGCCCGCTGTGATTGGTCAGTCAGTCTCTCAGTAACACGGCCCAGTCAGAGACTCACCTCACCCTCACTGCTGCTGCCTCCACCTCTCTGATTATCAGGAAACAGATGATCCTCTTCTTAATCACTCTGACAGTTTTGGCCACCATCTGAGTAGAGAAAAAAGACGATCAGTGTTTCCACTCTGAGACTCACTTCATCAGCTGGACTGAAGAACATCCAGTTTACAGACCAGCAGGTTCCAGTCCTGCTCAGACCAGAAGTGATGGTGTACAGCAGCAGGTTTCCTCAAAAATAAACCAACATCATCAAAATAAAGAAATCCTTCCTGTCAAATGTGTTAAAGCTGATCGAACAAACCTGCTGTGAAAATAACAAGTATAAAGAACAGCTGTCTGTTTTCAGACTTAGAGCTCAAAATCAACAAGTTAGCAGAGAAATAAAGTCTGTGTTGAATACAGAGAACTATAAACTGGACTTCAGAGCAGAAACTGAACATTTCTGTTTCATTATGTCTCATTTCTACATTTGATCTGAAATATAGAGACGAGGAGACACTTTTTTCATGACTGACACTCTTACACTCCTGGTTTGATGATTTCTGTTCTCACAGCTTCACTAAAGAAATAATCCTCTGAGAGTGTCGAAGAGTCAGCAGGAAATACTGAATATCTGCTGAGATACTGTGTGGAGAGGAACAGGAGAGATCAGCACAGACTAACTCCAACTCTATACTGACTTCAGAGTCTCCAGTCTGTAGTCTGGACTCTCCTGAAGATCACACAGCAGCTTCATGTCTGAATCCTGCAGCTTGTTGTATCTCAGGTCCAGAGTATTCAGATGAGAGGGGTTGAACTTCAGAGCTGAGGCCAGAGAAGAACAGCTGATCTTTGTCAAACTGCAGCCCCACAACCTAAATAAAGAGGAAATAATTAGATTTTAGACGACAATGATCGAGTTTGAATCCTGATGTCTTAAATCTGTAGAGTTCAGGGGAAAGGTTTGGAAAGTATGAATCAAAGAAAAGTGACGCTCCAAAGAGCTGAACCAAACAGGAAGTCAGTTTGAAAAAGTGAATTCAAAAGCACATGAAATAGTGAAAAACAAACTCAGAGACTTTTTTACTAATTGTAGATGCAGCTCAATATTTTCAGAAAATGTCAGCGACTTCAGGACGGATGGGAGATAAAGGATGTTCTGAATATTTTCACTTTGCTGAACCAAAAATATCACGTCTTTGAGAGGTAAATATTTCAGTCTAAACACAGCAAGGCTTCAGAAAAGTTAAGATAAACCATAAAATTCAGATTTTCACACAAAGATTCAAAAACAAAGTTCAAAGTAACAGAGCTGGACTTTCATCAGTGTCAGAAACTAAACTCTGAGTTTTTTCTATTCCCTGATCTTGTCCTGAACAAAAGTTTGAATGGTTCTCGTCTGACATCTCCCCCTGCTTCTGTTTTCCGTCTGAATGTGCTTCTCACTGTGAACTCTACGAAGAGTTTTCTTCTTGGGTTCAGGTTTTAATTCACTGGAGCTCAGCAGTGATCTAACTGGAGTCAATCAAATAATCCACTGATGCAAAAATCTACTCTGGACTGAAGGTGTTCAGTCTGGGTCAGTATTTCAGTCCTGAGTCAGCAGTTTAGTGTCATCATCACAAACAAATCATGATAATGTTTGAATGGAGGGAAAAAGTCTGACCTCAGAGTCTCAAGTTCACAGTTTGGACTCTGCAGAAAGTCACACAGCAGATTCACTCCTGAATCCTGCAGATTGTTGTCTCTCAGGTCCAGATGTCTCAGATGGGAGGGGTTGGACTTCAGAGCTGAGGCCAGAGAAGAACAGTTGATCTCTGACAAACTGCAGTCACTCAGTCTGAAAAAAAAGAAAAAAATCATTGAACCTCTGAAGAAACTGTTCCTGCTTTTAATGACTCAATGTTCTTGAGCCCCTGAAGGACATGAAAGAACTTTTTCAGAGTTGATCTTGAGGAACTTTGTAAAATCCTCTTTAAACTTTTTGAAGATCCCGAGGAATTATTCAGTCGAGAAAATTTTGAAGATACAGGAAACTTTAGTGAGATCCTGAGAAACTAATGTGAGAAATCTCAAAGGTTTTCCTGTAGTCCTGAATTCTTCATGAAGATTAAAATAGTCAGGAGTAGATTCAGGGCTCTGTCCGTCTGCTGTCAACAACTGCCAAACTACTCTTAAATAAACCAACAGATCATTGATCAGAGAGGTTTTTATGGACCAACTGGACAAGATGATGTTAATGTTCAACAAACTGAAGAGAAAACTGCAGAAAAATCTGGATCTGGTTTTTACATTTGAACACGACTGAGCAAAGAAGAAATTCAAGTTTTCAAGAGTTTCCAAATGAAAGATCCAGAGTTGGATTAACTTTGTTCTTCAGGTTTCAATCTGCAGCTCATCATTTCTCTGACGCTTCATTCATTCATTAGTGATCACATTAACTGTGGATCAGTTCAATATCAGCCTTTAGTCTGTGCTGCTCCTGCCCTCTACAAGCATGTGTAACATTTGTGGGACTGATTTTCTCCTGCTTCCTTTCTACATCCATCGTTCTACTCAAAGTCAACTCTGAAATGTCAGATTTTTCTTCCTGTGTTGAAGTTTTACAACAACAAATTCAAACTGCTCGACCAAAGTTGATGGAAAAACCACAGAGAAAAATCTAAGGCAGAAACTGTCACATCTTATTGTTGGATCAGAAGAAAATGGTGTCTCACATCAGAGTCTCCAGTCTGCAGTTTGGACTCTCCAGTCCTGCAGAGAGAAGCTTCACTCCTGAATCCTGCAGTGTGTTTAAGCTCAGGTCCAGATGTCTCAGATGGGAGGGGTTGGACTTCAGAGCTGAGGCCACAACTTCACAGTGAGTCTCTGAGAGTCCACAGTTATAAAATCTGTAACAACATAAATATCAAACAATATTTCATTGAAGGGTAATTTGATGTTTCTCTTCACCAAAAACAACTTAAACATGATCTTTCGTTTGACAGACGGCCTGTTTTTAACCAGACAGATACTAATATCAGGACCACAGCCATGAGAGAAGACAGGAAGTCAAAGTTTAGAAGAAAAAAAAAACTGTTCAGATGTTCAAGACAAATGACTCCATGACTTATTTTAGTCATTCTGATCTCTAACAGTGTTGTCTTCATGTTAGTGCAGCTGGATCATTATGACTGTGTGAATTCTTGAGTTCTGGTTGGAGAAGGGGACTGAGAACCAGGTTTTTGGTCCTGGTATGTGATTGGTTAGTATCCAAAGTACCTCTTGGAGAATCAGTGCTCCTCTCAGTACTTAATGTTGACATCCTGCTGTAATGTAAGTCTTTCCATAGACACTGACTGTTGACCAATCAGAGGACGACTCACTAAATCACAGCAGCTCCTTTTTCTATGATTGGTTCAGATAACATCGTTTTTTAGCAGGTTAGAGCTGGTTTGACTCTGAACATTTGAAGAGTTGATGATTTCTTTGTTTTCACAATCAAAGTTTTTTCTCCATGTAACTCTAGGGGGCGTACGTTCTCATGACTCCTATAAAAGTAACAGATTGAATTTTTCTAGTTTGTGTGTTTCATGCAGAAAGAAACATTTGGAGTCAGAGCAAATAAAACAGATTCATCTTTGAACATGTTTTCATGACTTTTTTAAATGTTTAAACTAAATCATGAAGTGAGGTATCAATAATGAGTCCTGATAATATCAACATGGAGGATCAATATGGGTACCTGTATTAATTCAACCTAATGACAGTCATGCTAGTTATGGTCAAAAACAGACTTTTCTGCTCCCTAAAAAAGTCTGTCTTGCTAGTCCTTTAGACTTGGTTCAGTCTCACAGCCTCAGACCTGGATCAAACCCCAGTCTGCTGCAGTGTTTGTTCAAAGGCTGTTTCAGCAGAAGGCAGCAGTCTGACCAATTTACATCTATTTTCACCATCAATGCTGTCAACACCCTCATTTACAACAGATTCATCATTTCCAACCTGAAAACCAGCAGGAAGAAGCTGCAGACACCTTCTTCAAACTCAAGTTCACCACAAGCGACTGAGATGTTGATTTGGACTGATACCATCATCAGAAGACCTCTGTGTGTCCTCAGATATGGTCACTGATTTGTCCTGAAAGTTCCACTTTATTCATTACAGACACGATTAAAAACAAAGAGGTCCTCCACAATCAGGACAAGTTCTCAGGGGTCCACAGGTAGACCTCATCCTGGGCTAACAGGACTTGAGACACCAGGATCATGTTTTTGCCAAACCTAAAGAAACCCCCTCCCTAATATTTGAGTTGATTTCTATTTGAAGAACATCATCAGTAACGTGCACATTAGAAGAACTACAGGGATCATTTACACTATTCTGAGAATAAAACCTGGACTTACACGGCCTTTCTGCAGTTCCTCACAGCTGGGATCAGTCTCAGTTTCCCCTGGTATGATGTGTTATACTTCTGTGAGTCCAACTCATCCAGAACCTCCTCTGACATCTGCAGCATGTAGGCCAGAGCAGAGCAGTGGAACTCTGAGAGTTTCTTCTCTGATATGTTCTCTGACTTCAGGAACTCTTGGATCTCCTGATGAACTGACAGATCGTTCATCTCCATCAGACAGTGGAAGATGTTGATGCTTCTGTCAGGAGAGATATCTTCTCTGTTCATCTCCTTTAGGTTGTTGATGATTCTTTGGATCACTTCTGGACTGTTGTCTGTGTGACCCAGCAGACCTCCTAAGAGTCTTTGGTTTGACTCCAGAGAGAGTCCATGAAGGAAGCGAACAAACAGGTCCAGGTGACCGTTTTTACTGAAAAGGGATTTCTCCATGACATTCTTCAGGAAGACATCCAGAGATGAGAAAAAATAACCCAGGTCTTGAAAAAATCTGGAAACCATCTCTGAAGAAATGTCTTCTTTGTCTTCGTTGCCTCTTAGAAAAGTCTTCAGAGCTTCTGTGTTCCTGCTTGTGAAACTGTGGATCATGTAGACTGCAGCCAGAAACTCCTGGACGCTCAGATGAACGAAACAGTAAACAGTTTTCTGGAAGATCACACTCTCTCTTCTAAAGATCTCTGTACAAACTCCTGAGTACACCGAGGCCTCTGAGACATCCAGACCACACCGGTCCAGGTCTTCTTGGTAGAACATGATGTTTCCTTTCTCCAGATGTTCAAAGGCCAGCCTCCCCAGCTTCAGGAGGACTTCACTGTCAGCCTCCATCAGCTCCTGAGGACTTGTCTCATGTCCTCCTTCATACTTCTGCTTCTTCCTCTTAGTCTGGACCAGCAGGAAGTGTGAGTACATGTCCGTCAGGGTCTTGGGTAGCTCTCCTCTCTGTTCTCTGCTCATCATGTCCTCCAGAACTGTAGCAGAGATCCAGCAGAAGACCGGGATCTGACACATGATGTGGAGGCTCCTGGAGGACTTGATGTGTGAGATGATTCTTCTGGACAGATCTTCATCTCTGAACCTCTTCATGAAGTACTCCTCCTTCTGGGCGTCAGTGAAGCCTCGTACTTCTGTTACCCTGTCCACACATGAAGGAGGGATCTGATTGGCTGCTGCAGGTCGAGAAGTTATCCAGATGAGAGCTGAGGGGAGCAGGTTCCCCTTGATGAGGTTTGTTAACAGAACGTTCAGTGAAGACTTCTGTGTGACGTCAGACACCACCTCAGAGTCTGTGAAATCCAGAGACAGTCTGCTTTCATCCAGACCGTCAAAGATGAACAGAAGTTTACAGACAGACAGCGTCTCTGCTGTGACCTTCTCTAGTGTTGGATGGAAAACATGGAGCAGACTCAGAAGACTGAAGCGCTCATCTCTGATCAGGTTCAGCTCCCTGAATGAAAGCAGGATCACCAGATTGAGGTCTTGGTTCTCCAAACCCTCTGCCCAGTCCAGAGTGAACTTCTGCACTGAGAAGGTTTTTCCAACACCAGCCACGCCGTTGGTCAGAACCACTCTGACCACTTCCTGTTGACCTGGTAAGACTCTAAAGATCTCATGACACTTGATGGGCATGTCATGGAGGGTCTTCATCTTTGAAACTGTCTCCAGCTGTCTCACCTCATGTTGTGTGTTCACCTCTTCACTCAGTCCCTCTGTGATGTAGAGCTCAGTGAAGATCCTGTTGAGGAGGGTTTGACTACTTCCTGTTCCATCACTTCCTTCATTCACACGTTCACATCTCCTCTTCAGGCTGATCTTATGTTCATCTAAAACCTCCTGCAGACCGCGATCTTCTGAAAGAGAAGAAAAATCAAATGAACCAAACTGCTCAACACGAAAACATCTTTGTGAAAATCAGTCAGCTGAGCTTTCATCCACAGAGACTTTAGAGGACAGATGTTCAGACTTACTTCCTTCAGAGCTGGACAGCTGCTCCTCCACAGAGTCACATCTCTGTGTCTCTCTGTGGAAATAAAGAACATTTATTTTCTTTATCATTTCATGTTTGAAAGATACAGAATAAGGATTTATTAAACCAGAGTTTCTGACCTCACTCTTTTCTCAAACATAAAACAATCTCCTGTAAAATATTCAGCTGCTGCTGCCTGAAAGTGTGGAGACAGGAGAAAAACTAAACTGAGATTTTGGTTGTTTTTTTTGTAGGTAGAGAGATTTTCTCTGACAGTTTAAAACATTTTTTTAACCAATCAGATCTAAAGGTCTAATAACAGACTGATGCTTTGAATTCGTTTCCATTTCTCAGGATTTATTTCTTCGTTGGTCTTCTGGTATTTTGTGACCCACAGACTGTTTTCTGGGGTCTATACACCACAGTCCAAAGACTTACAGACTCAAAACATCCCAAACACAGGAACCAAATCAGAAAATACAGAGGTCAGAATCCTTTTCAAATGCTGTTTTATACGACCTTCATTTTTATCAACATGATGAATAATAAGTAAATCTGTGCTCAGTGACTTTTTGTTCACCAGCCCTTTATCCAGGTTGGCAGGTTAAAGAGGAAAATCAGTGTTTTGAGAGCAGAGGAGATCATTTTTCTCACCATGGTAGAAAACAGAGGGGTCAGAATTTAAAGTTTTGTTTTTGAAATATAAATTGTTGTTGTTTGAGAGTTTGGAGGGTGAAAAGTGTTTCTCTTACTGTGAATCTGAGGGTCCTGGTTCTTTACTGAAGTCTGGTGGAACACTTTTAGACCAGTCACTCTTCATAGACAGACAGTCAGACACGACCGACTCTGCTCTGCCCTCCTCTTCCTCGACACAATCACTCATCCTCTCCATCTCCATGTTGTGCAAATTCATGGAAGATGAAACCGAGTTATACAACCTGAGGACAAAGTAGACAAACAGGTGAGATACAAACAGGAGGACAGTGTTCAGAAATAAAAGTAGACTCGTGGACAGGAGGCCTTAAAGAGAGCAGCTAAAATGAATCGTTTTAGGAGGAGGCTGAAATAATATTTTAATACAGCAGTGAGAAACAGGAGACTTTTTAAAACTGAAAATCGTGTAAAAATATTAAAGAGGAATCAGAAAGAAAGTACAGAGTCTGAAAAAGCTTAATACCTCTCTTTAAGACTTATACAGGTTTAATATCCAAACTCTTCTGATGTCTCCCCACCCTGCAGGGCCTCTCTCTGATCCTTGTCTGATTCATGATCAAAACAAAATCAGCTGCGAGGTCCCTGAACTCTCATAAAATTAATGATTACATTTGAAATGAGAGGCTAAATGAAAATATTCTCATTTTAGTTTTTACTAAAAAGACAAGTCTAAACAAAGAGGAGGAAGAACTGCACGTACACAGTTTCCTGTATCAAGAACTGATCCAGCTCTTTGTCTGGTCAGGTTTCTTTAACAGTTTTTTAGTGTATTAGTCAGTAGATCGTTTTTCATTAACAGATGATACAGATAAAGAGTTTGACACTAAAACAAAAACCAGAGTAAACACTCACCCTGTCTCCTCGTCCTCTCCTCTCTCTGCTCTGTTCTTTTCTCAATATGGAGTCTGTTTTTCAGCTCACTTACTTTCACTTTCACAGACTGAAACCTAAACCATCAGATCACAGATTCTCCTCCTCCTGTCATTTACTGACAGTTTTTAATCGTCTTTTAACTTCAGTTTTCTTGACAATCATCTTCCTCTCCTGAGTCCGACTTTCACTAAAACAGGAACTTGTTTGGTTGAGCCTCAGTTTATTGTTAATGCAGCAGCTCCATCTGCTGGTCAAACCAACAAATTACCAGATAAATGCTCCTTCTGCTTCATTTCCGGCAGTGTAGACGCTGCAAGGCGTGTTACTTGCCTCCACTGGTCTCGTTTAATCAGATCTTGTTATCGATGAGCGCTCCTCTTCTTATACCCCACACGTGAATATTTTGTTAAACAGGTTTTTATTTTTGCACATAGTGTGATTGTGTTGTGACTACACAATCTCCTCCTTTACCTCACTTTACAGAGATCTCTGTTGAGATCTCATGTTGGAGATTATTCAAACTTTAGAGTAAATAAACATTATTATAATGTGACTAACGATCAGAGCCATGTTAATAATAATGAAACATTTGAGATTTTGAAAGTCATAGGAGAAAAAGTTAGAGTTATGAGGGAAAAAAGTCATACATTAACACCATAAATGTGTCAATTTATTTGATAAAATCATGATCTTATGACAATAAAGTCGTAATTCAATAAGGATGAAGGTATGATTACAGGCCATGTTTATATGTATGTAAAATAACACATAGGGGTTATCAGAAGAGCAGCCAGCTGCCTGAACTAAAACCAGGACCGTGTCATGGATCATCCCGTGAAGTCAAACATGACAGTCAGGAAAGAGTCACAGAGGCCGGCTCAGGCTGCCTGTAAGTCAGCTCTTCTTCAGAATAGACTCTGTTTCTTGTAACAGGAGCTGCATGCCAAGCTCCATCTGTGAGTTGTGTAACATCATTCATGGGAAAACTGGCTAATGGAAGCAGGAAGGCCCAAATATGCTCTTCCTGACGCTCTGTTGAGTCAGTAGCCACGTTTACATGCAGACTTTTTTCTCATTCGGATTATAATCATTCCGATTGAAGCTCCCAGGCGAACTGTTTACATGGAAGCGATCTATTCTGATCTGGTGTTTACATGTGCCACGGCATTCAATCGGAACAGCTATTTACAGACATGTGATACCTTCAAACATCACGTGATGTTGTCACGTGATGTTGTCACATGATGTCCCACCATGTGAGTCATACGTCACTGCTTGTTTACATCAGGACAGAGCATGCGCAGACAGAACCCAGCCTGACAACTTTCCGATTCACCGTTTACATGACAGGATTTTGCTTTTAATCGGAATGGGAAAAGGAATATTCTACCCCTGTGAATCGGAATGAAATTCCATTCGGAATGGGCCTGTTTATTCCGAATGAGGTGTTTATATGGAGCATTTTCATTCCGATTGGGCTTCTATTCCGATTCTATTCGGAATATTTGGCTCCATGTAAACGTAGCTAGTGTCATCACAAATACATGATACAAACCAGCAGAGGTCAAACTGCACACTAACACTTAACCTTATTGGAACAGTTACCCAAGTCAAGTATGATTTTATAGTTTAATATTAAGCCAGTATCAGAAAGACCCTGCCTTCCTAAGCCGGCTTCATAATGTGCACACCTTCACAGTAAATGGGTCGGGAAAAAAACAGAATTAAATAAGCTGAAAAAATAGTGACTTCCTATGGAGATTTCTTATGAAATGAAATGTCCCATGAGTACTGGCCCTTTAAGGAAAGGAGTGAAGGTCTCTCGTGTATGTGTATGCAGTACTTGTGATGACTGTGTTCAACTACCCAGGTAGATTTTTTTGAGTGACAATCTTATCTGTGTGTAAATGAGGAGGGGGAGTCAATGATGCTCTCCTCTGCAGATGGATCCTGCGGCTGGCCCCGCTACGACGGTTCCTCCACAGTCCACTTACAAGCTGACCCCGAACAATCCTGTCTGGCAATAAATTTAAAAAAACAATCAATGCACACAGTGCAGAATGCATAAGTCAAAATACTCCTCTTTATCAATTTCCTTAACTCATTATAATCATCAAACTTTCTTAGCTAGTGTAATTAACTATCAGCAATATAATCATTATGAAATGAATAGATACACATCACATTACATCAAGATATTTTATTGCAATGAGCAACCAATCACGTACTCTTGTTCTGCAATATTAAAGGTGGGGTAGGCAGGATCTGAGGAAGTGCCAGTTTTTGGGAGAGATCTTGAATGTAAACTCTACCCGTCCCAACCAGTTTTCCCCTCAGCTCCTCCTGTCCCTTCCCTCTCTGCTCCAGCAAGCCCCGCCCACAAACAGACGCTCCTGCTCCCTCGTAAACAGACTACCAGCAAACACAATGTTTGCAGGACTACAACTAGGATAAAGTGACATAGTCCAGGACCCGAGGTCAACAGTTTAGCGATGGTGCTACAACACGCTCAGCAGGTCCCATTTAACAACTTCTGTTACAGACACTTGGCTTACTTTGTTAGAGCGGTTTACCTGTCCAGCAGAAAGGTTACAGGGTCCAGAAGATCCCGAAGCGTCCCCCATCATTTATGCTGATGTTGACTCTGCTTTTTAGCTCTGGTCCAGTCTACCTCCGTTTTAAGCGCCCGTTATTCCGCCAGAGTCTCCAGTATTTACTTCATTTTCTTGCTTGTGTTGGCAGTCGTGGCCAAAGGAGGATTCAGACATTTTTCCATACTTTCTGGTTGTTTTTTACTGTCTGATATTGTAGCATGCTAACATTGCTTGGGCTGGTGAACAACATGGGGGAGCAGCATCTGCCTCACAACCAGTCAGGTTGGGGGAGGCGGAGAACGGCTTTGTTTACAGTCAGAAAGAGCGGAGCGCTCTGAAATTTTGATATGTTGACTACACAGACATAAGGGAACAAAGTGATATTGTCATATTACCAAATGACATCAATAACTAATAACTACTGACTGATAATAAAAGCTTTTTATGGATATACACCACAAAAAAAGATGCTTTTTTTATGGATTCCAGCCTACCTTATCTTTAACGTAATCCAAATGATAATAACACATATCAAAAATCTGCTTTCTATGCTATACATGTTAAATCTATTTATGTTTTTAACCCATCATATGACATGAACCATACATATTTAAAATATAAGAACACATATCATTTATATAATCAATAAAAATGGCAATTACTCTCTTAATGAACTAGCTTTTAACTTAAAATCAAGTACTATGCACCTTTAATGGTGTAAAACACTATCACTGCTCTACTCACAATGTTTCAACAGTAGCTTCATTAACCAAAGTAGCAGCTATGAGAGCAACAGCTAACCGTTAGCTTATGATAAAGGTTAGCTCGCCGCTAACGTAACTAGCGTCGAGCTGACCTAGAGCAATAGCTAACCGTTAGCTTATGATAAAGGCTAGCTCGACGCTAACGGAACTAGCGTCGAGCTAACCTAGGGCAACAGCTAACGGTTAACTTATGATTAAGGTTAGCTCGCCGCTAACGTAACTAGCGCCGAGCTGACCTAGAGCAATAACTAACCGTTAGCTTACGATAAAGGCTAGCGCGACGCTAACGAAACTAGCGTCGAGCTAACCTAGGGCAACAGCTAACCGTTAACATATGATAATGGTTAGCTCGACGCTAACGTAGCTAGCGATCTTTTATAACCACTCGTTACAGCTCTGATTGATCAGAATTTATGGCTGCAAAGTATCAGGAACTTAGTAACAGCGTTATAGCTCTGATTAGTTTTCGAGAAAAAGCAGTAAATCGCTCTAAGGAGAGTTAACATAGCCTTCATGTAGCTGTTAGCATTTCTTACCGGAGCTAAAGCCCGCGACAGACGCGCCTCGCTTAACTTCCGCCTTCACACAGGGTTTCACCAAACAACTTATTAACACTGGTACTACAGGGTTTTGTGTGAATTTTTGGCTCAAATAGTGTATTCTCATCCCGGGAGTTCTCAGTAAGCAATTGTGTGCTCTCATAGGAACGTCTCCAACCGAAGGGAGTAATTCACGGTTAAGGGCCGTTCTCATAGAAACGTCACCAGCCCAAAAAATAACGGTTGAGAGCCTTTCTTACAGCGCATGCGCCACCTGATGGCGGGACACAGATACGCTACTGGGCAAATTAACTCAGAAACCGAGTCTGGGTTACATTATTCGCTAACAAGCGTTTGTCCAACCAGTTGTCACATCTTCTAAACTCCAAACACAATTAGCACAGCATCAGTCTTTTGTGGTCATACCGTTCATACATTTCATGTCGTCTTCTCACCATATGCAGTCAGTGAACACATTTCCACAATGCTTACATTTTCTTTACAGACAAGCTATACCTCCCAACAAACTTATGGATTGTTTTAGTATTATTTACAAATGTTAACACATAACATCCCACAACAGCATAAACATTATTCCAAACCTTAGATACAGTATAAAAACCTCTGCTTCTACAATGATACCAGCTCGAAAACAAAAAATCTCAGCTGATAATAAACAAACAATAGAATAATTGACACACAGCTTATTTATGTTGGGTAAAGTGGTTTATATATCAGATGCAATGTTGATGAAAACATGTGGCCTAACCCCGAAGATCGCAGAGATTAGATACAGTGATTTTGTGTTTTTTTTTTTAGTTCTCCCCCTTTTTATCTGGGCTTTTTGCTGTTGTTTTTTGTTGATGTTGTTCAGAATGCTCTTGTGTGTTTCATGGATGTTTTGTTCACCGTAAAACTTTTTCTGTTCTATCATATTGTAAACAGTATTTCTACTGTACCTCCTGTAGCAAACAGTAAAGGAAAAAAAACTGATTTGCTTTTTACTGGAATGCTTTTGAATGTGAACATTACATGTGAACATACAACCAAGACATTTAGTGTAAAAACTGTGGATTGCATGTTTTGCCTGCAAATACCTGTAAAACTGAAACATAAAAGTCTATGCAGTTCTTGTAATGTCAGTAATAGCCAGTATTTTGAACCCTGGTGTACTTTGATTGACTGCATGTACCTTGTGAAGTGCTATTTGGTTTAGTTTCAAAAGTAAGACCAGACCATGCATCCCCAACTTAAAGACAACTCCATTCAAGACTGAGATTTCTTCCTCATATGGTCACTATAGGAGCATGTCTGCATCAGTAATTCAACCAGTGGGCTGAGGAAATGCTCACAGTGATGATCATGTTTTATTGTAACACTCCATAATTCACACAGACTCATTTAATCTAGAGTTAGTTATTATAAACCATACAAACAGCTGCATGTCTGATCTGCCTCCACATGCCTGAGAAGTTCCCTGAAAATTGGATTCAAGGATTAACATCGATTACTCACTCAAATGCACTGCGAGCAACTATGTCTTCACACTGAATCAGCCAATCAGGACTCTCCCTCCTCCCTTTGTGCAGAGAATACAAAAACAGAAGACCCCGAGGAGGTTCTCATTTTCAGCTCTGTGCATACACGCTAACGCTGTTTGGGTTTCAGACAGAGCAAGGAGAAGACGTGACCACGATGAAGTGTATAGGGGGTTTCATTTGCACCTTTGCAGCCCTGTGGACGGCTGATGCAGTAAGAGACTATTATCTTGCTTTTGCTTCATATTGCATTTATTTTTAAGAGTGTGTTTGTGAGATATTTGTACTCTCAGGGCCTACTGAGGGACAGAACATCGGAGGGATTCCCTGGTTTCTTGTCCTCTTCTTCCTCATCTTCATTCTTGTCCTCTTTGGGAGGTTCAGGTAAGAAACTGCATTTATCCTGAGGTTCTTGTGTTTAAACATCAGGCTGTAACATTAAACCTGAGGTGTGTCTTTCTACCTCAGGTGGGATCTGTCTGAACGGAGGCACCTCGGTGCCATCCCTGACTTCTGGTGAGCACATGTTTTGTTTGTGCGCTGACGGCTTTGAGGGGAAACGATGTCAAACAGGTATGAAGCTTGACTCCACATCAGACTCTCTTCATCTTTGATTTGCACTTTTAATCTGAAAATCTTCCCGATGTCGCTTCAGTAAAGCGTGCCGACTGCTATGAGGGTGTTGGATTGTACTACAGAGGCACAGAGTCTCAATCCCAGAGTGGGAGAACATGTCAGGAGTGGGATTCAGACACCAGGGAGCGATACATGACAACTGATGTCAACGCAGGGAGGCACAACTACTGCAGGTAAGTGGATGCACTTCCACATCCGTTTAAAGAGCAAGTCAATACTTAGGGCTCCTGTGAGTTTACACTGACATTCATACTGATGCTGTTTTATGATACACGAAAGCAAACAAGGCCTTCAGCAAAAGCTTTTCATATCAGCTATTAGTTATTGATGATATTTGGTAATATAACGATATTGCTGTGTTTTGTTATGTCTGTGTGGTCAATATATTTAAAAATTTATAAGCGCTCCGCTCTTTCTGACTGTAAACAAAGCCATTCTCCGCCTCCCCCAACCTGATTGGTTGTGAGGCAGACGCTGCTCCCCTGTGTCATTCAGGAGCCCAAACAAAGTCAGCGTGCTACATTATCGGACAGTAGAAACCAACCAGAAAGTTCGGAAAATTGTCTGAATCCTCCTTTGGCCATGACTGCCGACACAAGCAAGAAAACAAAGTAAATACCGGAGACTCTGGAGGAATAACGGGCGCTTAAAACGGATGTAGACCGGACAAGAGCTAAAAAGCCGGGTCAACATAAACGATGGGGGACGCTTGGGGATCTTGGTGACCCTGTAACCTTTCTGCTGGACAGGTAAACCGCTTTAACAAAGTAAGACAAGTGTCTGTAACAGAAGTGTTTCTTGTCAAACGGGACCTGCTGTAGCGTGTTGTAGCGCCATCGCTAAACTGTTGACCTCGGGTCCTGGACTATGTCACTTTATCCTAGTTGTAGAAGTCCTGCAAACATTGTGTTTGCTGGTAGTCTGTTGGCATCTACAGTAGCACCAATGCTTTTGACTTTCACCTTGACTGGGCCCCATTTGTAATGATCTGAAGTATTTATCTGCATTATATCTGAATTTAATTGGAACGATACGAGCGAGCAGGAGCGTCTGTTTGTGGGCGGGGCTTGAGGGGAGAGGAGGAGCTGAGGGGAAAACTGGTTGGGAGGGGTAGAGTTTACATTCAAGATTTCTCCTAAAAACTGGCACTTCCTCAGATCCTGACTACCCCACCTTTAAATCAGAAAAAAAAGCAATGTGAGAAGTTTTTGGCCAGAGGGGGGCGCCAAAGTTGACTCAAACCAAAAGTTCCTGACAGGAGCTTTAAGTTTCTTCTCTTAGTTAATTCTAGAGCATCAAATATTAGTGAAGTATAATGGATTAATCACTTAAGATATGCTGACACTGAAAATTTAATCTATTGAAAAATATCTGAAATATGATTAAAAAGTTTGTTTACAATGAACTACAATACGTTTGCATTCAGAGGGGTTTGATGTGTTACCTCCGCAGAAATCTGCTCTACAAGCGGCGCCCGTGGTGTTACGTGTGGAAAAGACAGCAGCTGATGTGGGAGTACTGTGATATTCCTCGCTGCGGCGTCGAGTCCTGTAAGTGCTTTTTCACTGTAATGTTTTCAGTGGAAGTCTCGGCCAGTTTGTCGCCTCATTCCTGGTGTTTCTCTTCTTTTTTAGTCCCAACTCCGCCTCCTCCTGCACCGACTGAACATGTTCCTGGTGAGTTCATCATCATCCTGAGAGCTGCTGTGATTTTTTTCGCATGTTTTCCCCTCTGACTGTTCTGACCTTTATTTCACCCTCAGCTGCAGCGTCCACATGTGGCCAGCGCACCAGGAGAAAGCAGATGAAGATTGTGGGTGGAACCATCTCCACTGTGGAATCCCACCCGTGGGTGGCGGCCATATTTTGGCGTGGCAAATCCAAGGAGAAAGCTTTCCGCTGCGGAGGGAGTCTGATCTCAGCCTGCTGGGTGCTCACAGCTGCTCACTGTTTCCCTGACGGGTAGGAAGTGAAGTCACCAACTTTCAAACAACAGGTGCAGAAAACAAAACAAAAAAACAGAAGCTGATTGGATTGAATTTGTGTTTCAGCTCCCACACCAAAGAGCACCGCTTCTCTGTCAGCCTGGGGAAGAACGCCCTGAATGAGACGGACTTTGTGGAGCAGACCTTCAGGGTGGACCAGATCATCTTACATGAGGGCTATGACAACGGCGAGGGGAACTTCAACAATGACATCGGTATGAAATGATCCTCTGCAGAGGCCACAGCGTCCATCAGGCGGTGCAGTCAGAATGATAACTTCATGATTCTTCTTCTCCAGCTCTGATGAAGCTGAAGCCCAAAGACGGGAAGTGTGCAGAGGAAGACAACTCGGTGAAAACCGTCTGTCTGCCTCCACCTCTGCAGAGCCTGCAGCCCGGTGTCACCTGTGAGATCGTGGGGTACGGCAAAGAGAAATTCGGTAATTCTTGTCTTATAATCATACTTACACCCGGCAGACGTGGTGAGAAAACCTCAAGATCTTTTCAGAGGAGTTACCACAAGATTCCATGTGCAGATGCATCGATATAGCCGACTCTTACCTTGGAGCTCCTTCTGACTTCTAAAACCTTTGTATCCTCGTCTTCCTCCAGGTCTGTGGTACAGGTCTCAGTTCCTCCAGGAGGCTCAGGTGAACCCCTTTGCCGATGATGTGTGTCGACAGGAGGATTATTACGGAAACAAGATCACTGATAACATGTTCTGTGCTGGCCGGCCCGACTGGAGCCAGGATGCCTGCGAGGTATTCACGACACGTCCAGACTCGATCAGACTCTGATTCTGCAGATCATTTCATAGACTTAAATAACTCTGCTCTTCCCTCACCTGCAGGGAGACTCTGGAGGGCCTCTGGTGTGCGAGGTGGGCGGCAGGTTCTTCCAGTTTGGAGTGATCAGCTGGGGCGACGGCTGCGCCAAAGAGTTTCGACCGGGAGTTTACACCAAAGTGACGAACTACAACAGATGGATAGAGGAGAAGACAGGGCTGTCCATCGCTGCAGGGTCCTTGTTCCCTCAGAAATGAGACAAGATAAGGACACTGTAAGGAGCTGTTACTGCTGATTACCTGAATTTCCTTTCCAAATCCATGAAACGGGTCAATTTTAAACAAAAGCCTGAAAGAGAGCTCAGTTACTGTGCAAAAATAAAGCTCTGCTAGCTGCTCTTAAAGGGTTAACCCTGCTGTTTAAAGACACTGTAAGGAGTTTTCATCACCCCTTTAGATAAACAGATACTGCTTCCCAAGGATTAGGACTACATTACCATGAACACCATCACCTACTGTCATAGAGACACAATCTTGTTTGTATTTTTCATGGAGAAAATTTCACATCACTTGAGAAAACCCTTTAAAAAGTTCCAGCAAGACTCAAAAAGTCCTGATTCTGTCGGATTGTCGGTGGAGCTGAGAAACTTATGCCGTGTTCAAAAGCGATTAAACTCGAGTTCTTGTTGTGCTTTGTAAGCTACGCTTTCCAAATAGCATCAACTGAGTGAATTATTTGTGTAGACGATGCAAATCCGCAACGTGTTCATGTTTCAGGCGCCAGAGCTAGGGGTCTCTGGTCCGGCAGCATGAGCCTCTCAGGCGGTGGGCGCCGAGCGGTTAGCTGTTAGCTCCTGTTACCGTTTTTAAGGTGGGAACTGCTCACACACATATACACTCAGTCTCGATCATAGACTGTATATAGAATGGACGCCGTCTGCCTCCTCGCTGGATGAAGCCACTCCGACAACAGCACCCTCTGGTGACGGGCTGCAGTATAGGTCATAAATCCCGCCTCCGCCAGCCATCCTCATGGGGCTGTACAATTTTGTGCATATTCTTTCTAAAACAAGCATATCTCATGTTTAGATCATTCTGTTGTTTTTTCTTTTAATAAAAAAGAATAATATGATCAAGGGGAAATTATCAGTGAATATCAGGGTTGTGCACAGGATTTTCTGTTGTATGGCAGTCTTTATATAAAAACTTAGAATGGTCTTATAATTGGAGCTTGTTCTCTTATCTCACTTATTTCCTTTAATTGCTCTTAATCGGTGATGAATGGCTGAAACTAGCAAAAATAGATATCTTAAAGGAGGAGCTCAACTTGTTTCAGCTGTTGTGTTTCTTGTAAATTTCTGAGTCTGGTGTTATTTTCCCCCCTCTGTTATTGTTGTGGTTGTAATGTGGTCAAATGAAATAAAAGTGTGTATATACTGAAAGTGACACAGCAATTACTTCATTATCACTGGATTTGTGATTTTCCAACAGAGCAATAATTAATGGGTTTTTCCTCTTGTGCTTTCTTCTCACATGGAGTCCCCCAGGGGTCTAATTGCGGTCCACTTTAATCCACTTTATACATGCTCACCTGGGGCAAAGTCTGTGGTGGGCACGGTACAGGACTTCAGCTCTATGCAGATGACACTCAGCTCTATGAATACTGAAAAAGTTTTCCTGTTATCACTCCCCCAACATCCAGTTCCAGCTGTACTAATAATCTGTCTTCCAGTCAGGGTGCCTTTCTGAATAATGTTCACTAAGAGGCCCGCCCAACCCAGGAGTCATTTTATACTGTGAGCTTTCCCTGACCGGGGTTATACAGTCCTGCTTTGCTCAGCTAGGACTGTTTTTTTTGTTGAAATGATAAAAACTACCAAAGCCAAAGCATTCATGAGTTTTAATTTGAAGAAAAATACATGTCATTGACACACTTGACACAGATATAAAGAAATAAGGTATGAGCTCTACTGTCACTGTAGGATGCAGGAAAACACTCCAAATGGTACCAGAACCGCAGGTTATATTTTCAGACCATCACAGCTGAGAGCTCACAGGATGTTCCTTTCGAAGGAATTGACATAAAATCACTAAGCTGTGTTCAACTGTCGGAAACTGTTTTTGGAGCCATAATACTTATAAAATAAGAAATGGATGTTGTAGCTGCAGCTCCACCTGTTTACTCTCTACCTTTATGGGTTGACATAACCTTTCTAGTCACTTTACCTCCACTAGCAGATTATGTTTGTCTTTATCATAGAAAATGTGACAAAACAACACAAGTTAAAACAGATCAAATAATTCTAATGAAAAACTACTAAAAGCCCTAACATTGCAATATGATAGAGTGATAATAATCAAGGATCAAATCATCAAACAAGCATCAAACTTCCTCACCAGAGGCCTGTACTACGAAGCTGGATTTGGTTTTAGCGAGATAACTTCTGGATAACTTCTGGGTTTTCTGTACTACGAAGGTGGATCTCTTTTTATCCGGGTCCGTTGCCCCAGTAACTTACGCGGAACGCCAAACCTGCTCCGGAGCAGGTTATGTTTCAGGATAAGATCTCAGCAGGTATAAAAAACCGCCCACTGACCAATCGGATCTCTTGGAAAATGGCTTGCCCACTTTTGCCGGATCCCGGGGACATCGTTGCACGGATAGTGAGAGGAGCGCTCCGCCGAGAGCGTTATATTCATGATCGTTCAAACCCGTTTGATTTACCTGATGACGTTCTCTATGAACGTTACAGGTTTTCCTCGGACGGCCTCAATATTCAGGTAGCAAGAAGTCTAAGCAATACACTAAAATTTGCCAAGCTCCAGGTTCAAATTTGTTAGTCATCTTTCAGAATTCATTGAAGCAGATTAGAAAACTCTTAACCCCAAATGTGTCTGCAGATGACGTGACCATCAGATGATGGAGAAAAAAAAAGGCAGTGTGAGGAAATCACTGTTTACGCGTTGAAATATGTACAAATAAAATCTTCCAATAAACTTACAAACTACTTTACAGGATGATTTTAGATTTATTTTTATTTGCTCCCACGTACTCTTTTCCCCACTGCTGTTGTGACTGAAATAATGAGGTCAATGATGGTGGTGATCACACACGCTGCATGACAACATATAAGGGGGCCATAAATTTATGAACGCACAAATGTAATTTACACAAACGGTGATTTTTTTGCCAGCAGTCCCTCCGGCTTTTAGCGGCTGTGTCTGTCTCACTGTTTAAATAAAGCTCTGTTCTTCAGCTGTGAAAAATGACGTGCAGCCTTCTCCATTGTGGAGATTGGTCCGGTGGCACTGACCCGCGCACAGATCTGAACTGGATTCAGTTATCGAGTTGATAACCGGCTTCGTAGTACAGCTGATCGGGATTGCAGAGATCCGGTGAAGTTGAGCGAGTTGTCGCAGAGTTATGCTGGATTTGTTAATCCAGCTTCGTAGTACAGGCCTCAGGCTTCAAAATTATAGTTTTTTTAATCTTTTACCAGCAGATGGCGTCTTTTACCAATCTGAGAGCCTCTGGGAAAAAGCAGTTCTCCTTATAACCACTAGAGACACTGTTCAGGCTGCTGGAGGCCTTTGTGTCTATGTAACACAATAAATAAAGGGTTAAAATTTAACTTAATATATGATAATTTTAAGGTAATTGGTAGAGGAAGCTGTTTTATGAGAATAACAAAAAAACAAAAGTAGTTTTCCCTCTCAGTTAGTCATTATCGTATCAGACAGAGTCAAATCACAACATACATTTCAGATCAGATGTGGTAAAGCCTGATTTTAGTCGCAGACTTGGGTCCATTTGCTGCTTTCCTTCTGAGAACTTTCTGCCTCCTTGTGGAAAACTTTCCCATCAGGCTGCTCTCTCCACCTCAGGGTGACTCCACTCAGTCCACTCTCCTTCAGTCTGTCCTGGAGCTGGAAACAGAAATGAAAATCGTTTTCACTCATGAGCTGTGGCTGAAGAATAAAATACTCCATGTTACACTCAAGATCAAATCAAAGCTAACATAAGAGAAGGTATTTGGAGACTCGCCTTTTTGAGGATGTCTGCTTTCACGGCGAGGTCGTTCAGATCCACAGAGGGGTCCTTTCCGGTCATCCTCAGCTTTATTACCTTTACTGTTGTGCAGAAAACCAAAGTCAGAAATAAACATGGACGCTTTAAGTCGTAGAGTACATTTAAACTTCAGTTACTGGATTGAAATGTCGTTCTCACTCACCCTGCTGAGAGGCGGTGTGGCACACAAACGGGAGTTTACGCTCACAGGGCAGAAACCTCCATTTTCCTGAACGCTCCAGGTCTGACACTCCACATACCACAGTCATGGAGCCCAAATAGCTTTCAACCGGATCCCAGAATGTGAATGACAAGCTGCTCCTATCAGACCAGTAAAGGTGACGATCTCTGTACAAACCGATAAATGGCCATTTTCCAGAATACTCAATGCTGCTGAGCTGCTGGTTCTCATTGTCGTTCCTCACAATGGCCAGGTCTATGTGGTTCTCCCTGCAGTAACTCTGAGCATCAGACCAATTCATTTTCTGATTGACAAACACATACTCAGGGTCCTGTTGTGTTCCTGCAGGGAGAGTTTGAAAAATGGAGAGCTTCAGCTTTTACAGAGAAATGAAGAAATCCTCTTTATGAACTGGACGTGTCTGGAGTGATTCTTACCTTGGTAACAGAAAAATGTCTCTTCATAGAAGCAACCTACATCAACCCATCCATCTCTGTATAAACCACCACAAAGCTGTTCAGCGTTCCAAAAATTTGGGTTATTAATGTACCACTTCCTGTATTCAGCTCCACTTCCTGTGTAGCTGTCAGACCACTTCCAGATGATTCGATTGTACAGACCGATCCAGACCTCTGAGTTCTGACCAGAAGACGTTACTGTGTGGCTGACTTGTTTCATCTCCTCAGGACTTCCAATGCTGGCCAGGTCTGTGTAAGTCTTTCTGCAGAAGGTCTGAGCTTCAGTCCAGGTCATGGGATCAGCCACATAGTGGTACTGCCGGGGAAGGCAGGAGGAGACGTTCCAGCCTGTGAGGAGAAGGACTTTCAGACTTTTCAACTCACAGTCAGGAGTGCTATGCTGCCATGAAGAAGCTCACTGCTGCCACCAGGAGGTGCAGTGACTGGGATATTAGTACATGAATGTGTTCAGGTCTTGACCCCTGTAATGTGTGGTGAGTTTGGGTCAGATTGGAGCATGCATGGCTGAGAAATAAAACTACTTCCTGTCTGATGGTATGACATGGAATTTTGAGGGCTTGCCCCCGCCTTTTTTGCTTTTTGCGAGTTTTTCATTGTTTGGGTTTCTTCAGCAGGTTGGATAAACGCTGTATGAGAAGGAACTTCTCTGAGGACCACTGGAAATCTTTTACAGTTTTTCTCAGTCACTTTGGTGCATTTCTCAGATCAGAATGAAAGTTCTCATAACTATTAGTTCAACCTCCACAACATGGAGTCATTTGTGCACATCGTCGTAGCAGTTTCTCATTCCTCTGAACAAATTGCAAATGCTCTTGGACATGCTTCAAATGGCTGTACAGGTAGTGTATAGTGCTTTCTTAAGCATTTTCAGGTAGTATCACCAAGATCTGACTTTTTTGCATTGGAAAACACAGAGAGAGTGAACTGTCATGATGAAAATATGACAAAACCATTTGACAGTCTCGTTCGTAAACAATGATGTTGGGACTAATTATTTTGATGACACAGACAGTCTCATTGACATGAATACTTGCCTTGAGGAATCAACTATTTATTTTGAGCAAGTGACGCGTTTTTGCAGGTTATCCACTAGGTTTTGCAGTTTGTAGTAATTGTTTTGAGAAATGCACCAAGTGTTGTGCAAATGGTAATAGTAATAGTGACGTGAGAAATGCATCAAAGCGACTGAGAAAAACTGTAATTTGGGCTGGTCTAAGAATATAGACTTCATCTACAGAAAGGGGCAGAGCCACCTCTTTTGCCTGAGAAGACTCCGATCAATAAACATCTGTAGTAAGATGCTGCAGATGTTTTATCAGTCTGTGGTGTAGATCTACAGAGTTCTGTTCTACGCTGCAGTCTGCTGGAGAGGAAGTATCAAACACAAAGATGCAAGACGTCTAAACAAACTGGTGAAAAAGGCTGGCTCTGTGGTTGGACTCAAGATGGACTCTGTGGAGGATGTGGTGGAGAGATCTACACTGAGGAAGGTGGAGACTATTCTAAAGAACATGGATCACCCACTTCACAACACCTTAATGGACCAAAGGGCCAACGGTGGTGGACGGCTCCTTTCTCTTCACTGCAGGACAGAAAGATTCAGAAGATCTTTTGTACCAACAGCCATCAGACTTTACAACTCTTGTGTAAATAGTAGATAACTTTTAGTTTAGACATGACAAATGACATGACAGACGATTGAATTTCCCTTTGGGGATTGATAAAGTTCTTGTTCTTGTTCTTCTTCTTATCTACTGTCCTACCAAAAAGGTGAGAATGACAAAAATATATTTTTTGAACATGTGGTGTGGCCTGTAATTATTTGACAGTTTGACAGTTGTGCAACCACATTTGATTTCATTGGGGTAAATATTAGTTATTCTTATCCATAAATCCAGCCTGTAAATTTAAAAGGTCAACCCCGTAAACCACCACATATTTTTAAAAGACATCGTCAAAAACCAACATAAGAGAGTTTTCTGACCTGAGAGACATAAGCAGAGACACAGCAGGATCTTCTCCATCATGGTGGCGGTCTACGGAGTGTGTGTCGCACTAAGAAGACACTCCTTAGTTATGTCTGGGATCATCATGCAAATCCACCGCACTTCCTGCCTCAACAACAAACATGTTTGCTGATAGGATAAGAAAAACAGACGACTAAAAGCCAAAGCAATACCTACAAAGTCCAACTCCAGTGAAGTTGGGATGCTGTGTCAGTGTTGTTGAAAGGAAAGGTCATGTAACCCACAGAAAATATATCTTGTCTTTGGCAATTAAATTGATTATGGGTGGAAAAGGATTTACATGTTTTTACACATTGTCCCAACTTCACTGGAATTGGGGTTTGTTGTTTTTTTTCTCTCCCAATCTCAGTTCAAGAAGTGTAGATATTTGAGTCTGAACTAAGAGGTCAAAGCTCTGAAAATGGCTCATGGTATCAGAACTGCAGGTGATACTTTCAAAGAGCTGAATATGTTAAATGACAGGATGTTCCCTGTGAAGGAGTTTACCTAAAATCAATGAGCTGTGTTTAATTGTTGCTTAATTCAAAGAAGGAAGGAAACATGCAAAAGACATACAAAAGAAACATTTCTCTGAAATCACTCCTGTACACCTCTTCAGGCTCAGTGACCTTACCTTTGAGCTCAGCATGTTGGGGTTGTCTTGAGAAATCAGTATTAGTTTGGACTGTTGTCTAAAGAGGGGAAAAATAAATTGTAATGGTTCAACAAGTCCTGTATCATTCAGATGTAAGTGAACAGCTGAGTCCTGGCCAGAAGAGTTGGCTCTCTTGTGCCGGGCCATACGTTAATGAAATGACTGTTTTGTTCCTCCTCTATAAGTGTGTTTGCCACATTGCTCTGTTTGTGTCTGGGGGTTTGGTACTTTTCAATATGGAGCTGAGAAGATACCAACTAAGATGGAAGGCAAGGAGACGGGACAATGTGGTGACTGCTGGCACTGTAACTCGTGGACATGACTGGGCATTGCTCGTGTCAATCACAGACGCTGTATCTGACTGGTCTTCAGCCATATCAACGTCGTCACAGGATTGGTGACTGGCAGCATCTACCGCCCCATCCTCCATGCTCTCCTCCTCCTCCCCCAAAGAGTCATTGAGGTCCCCCACCTGAGACTCCCCTTCTGAATCATCAAGACAGTCCTCAGGTTCAGGCACGTCTCCCTCAGCCGAGCCTATGGGCAGGAAGCTGATGTCCAGGATAAGGTTGTGATGCACCACCTTAGTTTTCCCTTCGCCATCCTCCAACTTGAAGACATGAGTTTGTGGGTTTCTGTCCATGACAGTATAGACTGTCGGTTCCCACTTGTCCACAAGTTTCTTCTTTCCCCTCTCTCCTTTGTTGGCGAGGAGTACTCTGTCTCCCACGCTCAGGCAAGTCCCCTTGACTTTCCGATTGTTACCTCTGGCTTGCTTGTCCTGCTCCTTGATGGCATGTCTTTGGGCAATGTCTGCAGCCTCATGGAAATGGGACATAAGCATTGAGACATAACTGTCGTAGTCAACAACCACTGGATCGTGCAGGACTTGTCTGAACGTCAACGGGAAGCCTTGGAACCCGACCGAACATGAGGTGGAAAGGTGCGTATCCAGTTGTCTCATGCACCATTGCATTGTATGCAAATGTCAGGGTCTGGATTTGCTGGGGCCACTTGGCCTTCTCTCTAAGTCTGCTCCGTCCACATCCTGATCGTGTCTCCCCACCTATTTCCCATCACCCTCATAATCTCTTGTATTTAACTTCATGTCTCTCATTGTCCATTTCTGACCTTTTTTGTTGTTGAAATTATTTTAAAAAAGTGACAAAAGCCAAAACTTTTATGAGTTTTTATTTGAAGAAATATACATGTCATTGACACACTTGACACAGATATAAAGAAATAAGGTATGAGGTCTACTGTCGCTGTAGGATGCAGGAAAACACTCCAAATGGTACCAGAACCGCAGGTTATATTTTCAGACCATCACAGCTGAGAGCTCACAGGATGTTCCTTTCGAAGGAATTGACCTAAAATCATTGAGCTGTGTGTAATTGCCGCTTGATACAAAGAAGGAAGGAAACATGCAAAGGATATGCAAAAGAAACATCAACTTGTTTCACCTCCTTACACTCAGTGACCTGACCTGTGAGCTTCTCTGAACAAACAAAGGGAACCTGTTTTTGGAGCAATATTACTTATAAAATGAGAAATGGATGTTGTAGCTGCAGCTCCACCTGTTTACTCTCCACCTTTAAGGGTTGGCATAACCTTTCTTGTCACTTTACCTCCACTAGCAGATTATGTTTGTCTTTATTGTAGAAAATGTGACAAAACAACACAAGTTAAAACAGATCAAATAATTCTAATGAAAAACTATTCAAAGCCCTAACATTGCAATATGAAAGAGTGATAATAATCAAGGATCAAATCATCAAACAAGCATTAAACTTCCTCACCAGGCTTCAAAATTATAGTTTTTTAAATCTTTTTTACCAGCAGATGGCGCCTTTTACCAATCTGAGAGCCTCTGGGAGAAAGCAGTTCTCCTTTTAACCACTAGGGACACTGTTCAGGCTGCTGGAGGCCTTTTTGTCTATGTAACCAAATAACTAAAGGGTTAAAATTTAACTTAATATATGATAATTTTAAGATAATTTTTGGAGGAAGCTGTTTTATGAGAATAACAAAAACAAAAGTAGATTTTCCCTCTCAGTTCGTCATTATCGTATCAGACAGAGTCATATCACAACATACATTTCAGATCAGATGTGGTAAAGCCTGATTTTAGTCGCAGACTTGGGTCCATTTGCTGCTTTCCTTCTGAGAACTTTCTTCCTCCTTGTGGAAAACTTTCCCATCAGGCTGCTCTCTCCACCTCAGGGTGACTCCACTCAGTCCACTCTCCTTCAGTCTGTCCTGGAGCTGGAAACAGAAATGAAAATTGTTTTCACTCATGAGCTGTGGCTGAACAATAAAATACTCCATGTTATACTCAAGATCAAATCAAAGCTAACATAAGAGAAGGTATTTGGAGACTCGCCTTTTTGAGGATGTCTGCTTTCACGGCGAGGTCGTTCAGATCCACAGAGGGGTCCTTTCCGGTCATCCTCAGCCTTATTACCTTTACTGTTGTGCAGAAAACCAAAGTCAGAAATAAACATGGATGCTTTAAGTCGTAGAGTACATTTAAACTTCAGTTACTGGATTGAAATGTCGTTCTCACTCACCTTGCTGAGAGGCGGTGTGGCACACAAACGGGAGTTTACGCTCACAGGGCAGAAACCTCCATTTTCCTGAACGCTCCAGGTCTGACACTCCACATACCACATTCATGGAGCCCAAATAGCTTTCAAGATCCCAGAATGTGAATGATAAGCTGCTCCCATCAGACCAGTAAAATAGAGGATCTCTGTACAAACCGATAAATGGCCATTTTCCAGAATACTTAATGCTGCTGAGCTTCTGGTTCTCATTGTCGTTCCTCACAATGGCCAGGTCTATGTGGTTCTCCCTGCAGTAACTCTGAGCATCAGACCAATTCATTTTCTGATTGACAAACACATACTCAGGGTCCTGTTGTGTTCCTGCAGGGAGAGTTTGAAAATGGAGAGCTTCAGCTTTTACAGAGAAATGAAGAAATCCTCTTTATGAACTAGACGTGTCTGGAGTGATTCTTACCTTGGTAACAGAAAAATGTATTTTCACCGTAGCAACCTACATCAGCCCATCCATCTCTGCTAAAACCGACACAAAACACTTTAGCGTTCCAAAAATTTGGCTGACCAGGGTACCACTTCCTGTATTCAGCTCCACTTCCTGTGTAGCTGTCGGACCACTTCCAGATGATTCGATTGTACAGACCGATCCAGACCTCTGAGTTCAGACCAGAAGACGTTATTGTGTGGTTGACTTGTTTCATCTCCTCAGGACTTCCAATGCTGGCCAGGTCTGTGTAAGTCTTTCTGCAGAAGGTCTGAGCTTCAGTCCAGGTCATGGGATCAGCCACATAGTGGTACTGCCGGGGAAGGCAGGAGGAGACGTTCCAGCCTGTGAGGAGAAGGACTTTCAGACTTTTCAACTCACAGTCAGGAGGCCATGCTGCTGTAAAGAAGCTCACTGCTGCCACGAGGAGGCGCTATGACTGGGATATTAGTACATGTATGTGTTTAGGTCTTGACCCCTGTAATGTGTGGTGAGTTTGGGTCAGATTGGAGCATGCATGGCTGAGAAAAAAACTACTTCCTGTCTGATGGTATGACATGGAATTTTGAGGGCTTGCCCCCACCTTTTTTGCTTTTGTACGAGTTTTTCATCGTTTGGGTTTCTTCAGCAGGTCGGATAAACGCTGTATAAGAAGGAACTTCTCTGAGGACCACTGGAAATCTTTTACAGTTTTTCTCAGTCACTTTGGTGCATTTCTCAGATCAGAATGAAAGTTCTCATAACTATTAGTTCAACCTCCATAACATGGAGTCATTTGTGCACATCGTCGTAGCAGTTTCTCATTCCTCTGAACAAATTGCAAATGCTCTTGGACATGCTTCAAATGGCTGTACAGGTAGTGTATAGTGCTGTCTTGAGCATTTTCAGGTAGTATCACCAAGATCTGACTTTTTTGTGTTGGAAAACACAGAGAGAGTGAACTGTCATGATGAAAATATGACAAAACCATTTGACAGTCTCGTTCATAAACAATGATGTTGGGACTAATTATTTTGATGACACAGACAGTTTCATTGACATGAATACTTGCCTCAAGGAATCAACTATTTATTTTGAGCAAGTGACGCGTTTTTGCAGGTTATCCACTAGCCTTTGCAGTTTGTAGTAATTGTTTTGAGAAATGCACCAAGTGTTGTGCAAATGGTAATAGTAATAGTGATGTGAGAAATGCATCAAAGCGACTGAGAAAAACTGTAATTTGGGCTGGTCTAAGAATATAGACTTCATCTACAGAAAGGGATCAGAGCCACCTCTTTTGCCTGAGAAGACTGCGATCAATAGACATCTGTAGTAAGATGCTGCAGATGTTTTATCAGTCTGTGGTGTAGATCTACAGAGTTCTGTTCTACGCTGCAGTCTGCTGGAGAGGAAGCATCAAACACAAAGATGCAAGACGTCTAAACAAACTGGTGAAAAAGGCTGGCTCTGTGGTTGGACTCAAGATGGACTCGGTGGAGGATGTGGTGGAGAGATCTACACTGAGGAAGGTGGAGACTATTCTAAAGAACATGGATCACCCACTTCACAACACCTTAATGGACCAAAGGGCCAACGGTGGTGGACGGCTCCTTTCTCTTTGCTGCAGGACAGAAAGATTCAGAAGATCTTTTGTACCAACAGCCATTAGACTTCACAACTCTTGTGTAAATAGTAGATAACTTTTAGTTTAGACATGACAAATGACATGTCAGACAATTGAATTTCCCTTTGGGGATTAATAAAGTTCTTGTTCTTGTTCTTCTTCTTCTTCTTATCTACTGTCCTACCAAAAAGGTGAGAATGACAAAAATATATTTTTTGAACATGTGGTGTGGCCTGTAATTGTTTGACAGTTTGACAGTTGTGCAACCACATTTGATTTCATTGGGGTAAATATTAGTTATTCTTATCTATTAACCCCGCCGATAAATTTAAAGGGTCAACCCCGTAAACCACCATACATTTTTAAAAGACATCGTCAAAAACCAACATAAGAGAGTTTTCTGACCTGAGAGACATAAGCAGAGACACAGCAGGATCTTCTCCATCATGGTGGTGGTTTGTGGCGTGTGTGTCGCATGAACAAAACACTCCTTAGTTATGTCTGGGATCATCATGCAAATCCACCGCACTTCCTGCCTCAAAAACAAACATGGTTGCTGATAGGATAAGAAAAATAGACGACTAAAAGCCAAAGCAATACCTACGAACTCCAACTCCAGTGAAGTTGGGATGCTGTGTCAGTGTTGTTGAAAGGAAAGGTCATGTAACCCACAGAAAATATATCTTGTCTTTGGCAATTAAATTGATTATGGGTGGAAAAGGATTTACATGTTTTTACACATTGTCCCAACTTCACTGGAATTGGGGTTTGTTGTTTTTTTTCTCTCCCAAACTCAGTTCAAGAAGTGCAGGTATTTGAGTCTGAACTAAGAGGTCAAAGCTCTGAAAATGGCTCATGGTATCAGAACTGCAGGTGATACTTTCAAAGAGCTGAATATGTTAAATGACAGGATGTTCTCTGTGAAGGAGTTTACCTAAAATCAATGAGCTTTGTTTAATTGTTGCTTAATTCAAAGAAGGAAGGAAACATGCAAAAGACATACAAAAGAAACATTTCTCTGAAATCACTTCTGTTCACCTCTTCAGGCTCAGTGACCTTACCTTTGAGCTCAGCATGTTGGGGTTGTCTTGAGAAATCAGTATTAGTTTGGACTGTTGTCTAAAGGGGGAAAAATAAATTGTAATGGTTCAACAAGTCCTGCATCATTCAGATGTAAGTGAACAGCTGAGTCCTGGCCAGAAGAGTTGGCTCTCTTGTGCCGGGCCATACGTTAATGAAATGACTGTTTCGTTCCTCCTCTGTAAGTGTGTATGCCACATTGCTCTGTTTGTGTCTGGGGGTTTGGTACTTTTAAATACGGAGCTTGGAAGATACCAACCAAGATGGAAGGCAAGGAGACGGCACAATGTGTTGACTGCTGGCACTGTAACTCGTGGACATGACTGGGCATTGCTCATGTCAATCACAGACGCTGTATCTGACGGTCTTCAGCCAAATCAACGTCGTCACAGGATCGGTGACTGGCTCTGGCAGCATCTTCCGCCCCATCCTCCATGCTCTCCTCCTCCTCCCCCAAAGAGTCATTGAGGTCCCCCACCTGAGACTCCCCTTCTGAATCATCAAGACTGTCCTCAGGTTCAGGCACGTCTCCCTCAGCCGAGCCTATGGGCAGGAAGCTGATGTCCAGGATAAGGTTGTGATGCACCACCTTAGTTTTCCCTTCGCCATCCTCCAACTTGAAGACATGAGTTTGTGGGTTTCTGTCCATGACAGTATAGACTGTCGGTTCCCACTTGTCCACAAGTTTCTTCTTTCCCCTCTCTCCTTTGTTGGCGAGGAGTACTCTGTCTCCCACGCTCAGGCAAGTCCCCTTGACTTTCCGATTGTTACCTCTGGCTTGCTTGTCCTGCTCCTTGATGGCATGTCTTTGGGCAATGTCTGCAGCCTCATGGAAATGGGACATAAGCATTGAGACATAACTGTCGTAGTCAACAACCACTGGATCGTGCAGGACTTGTCTGAACGTCAACGGGAAGCCTTGGAACCCGACCGAACATGAGGTGGAAAGGTGCGTATCCAGTTGTCTCATGCACCATTGCATTGTATGCAAATGTCAGGGTCTGGATTTGCTGGGGCCACTTGGCCTTCTCTCTAAGTCTGCTCCGTCCACATCCTGATCGTGTCTCCCCACCTATTTCCCATCACCCTCATAATCTCTTGTATTTAACTTCATGTCTCTCATTGTCCATTTCTGACCTTTTTTGTTGTTGAAATGATTTTAAAAAAGTGACAAAAGCCAAAACTTTTATGAGTTTTTATTTGAAGAAATATACATGTCATTGACACACTTGACACAGATATAAAGAAATAAGGTATGAGGTCTACTGTCGCTGTAGGATGCAGGAAAACACTCCAAATGGTACCAGAACCGCAGGTTATATTTTCAGACCATCACAGCTGAGAGCTCACAGGATGTTCCTTTCGAAGGAATTGACCTAAAATCATTGAGCTGTGTGTAATTGCCGCTTGATACAAAGAAGGAAGGAAACATGCAAAGGATATGCAAAAGAAACATCAACTTGTTTCACCTCCTTACACTCAGTGACCTGACCTGTGAGCTTCTCTGAACAAACAAAGGGAACCTGTTTTTGGAGCAATATTACTTATAAAATGAGAAATGGATGTTGTAGCTGCAGCTCCACCTGTTTACTCTCCACCTTTAAGGGTTGGCATAACCTTTCTTGTCACTTTACCTCCACTAGCAGATTATGTTTGTCTTTATTGTAGAAAATGTGACAAAACAACACAAGTTAAAACAGATCAAATAATTCTAATGAAAAACTATTCAAAGCCCTAACATTGCAATATGATAGAGTGATAATAATCAAGGATCAAATCATCAAACAAGCATTAAACTTCCTCACCAGGCTTCAAAATTATAGTTTTTTAAATCTTTTTTACCAGCAGATGGCGCCTTTTACCAATCTGAGAGCCTCTGGGAGAAAGCAGTTCTCCTTTTAACCACTAGGGACACTGTTCAGGCTGCTGGAGGCCTTTTTGTCTATGTAACCAAATAACTAAAGGGTTAAAATTTAACTTAATATATGATAATTTTAAGATAATTTTTGGAGGAAGCTGTTTTATGAGAATAACAAAAAAAACAAAAGTAGATTTTCCCTCTCAGTTCGTCATTATCGTATCAGACAGAGTCATATCACAACATACATTTCAGATCAGATGTGGTAAAGCCTGATTTTAGTCGCAGACTTGGGTCCATTTGCTGCTTTCCTTCTGAGAACTTTCTTCCTCCTTGTGGAAAACTTTCCCATCAGGCTGCTCTCTCCACCTCAGGGTGACTCCACTCAGTCCACTCTCCTTCAGTCTGTCCTGGAGCTGGAAACAGAAATGAAAATCGTTTTCACTCATGAGCTGTGGCTGAACAATAAAATACTCCATGTTATACTCAAGATCAAATCAAAGCTAACATAAGAGAAGGTATTTGGAGACTCGCCTTTTTGAGGATGTCTGCTTTCACGGCGAGGTCGTTCAGATCCACAGAGGGGTCCTTTCCGGTCATCCTCAGCCTTATTACCTTTACTGTTGTGCAGAAAACCAAAGTCAGAAATAAACATGGATGCTTTAAGTCGTAGAGTACATTTAAACTTCAGTTACTGGATTGAAATGTCGTTCTCACTCACCTTGCTGAGAGGCGGTGTGGCACACAAACGGGAGTTTACGCTCACAGGGCAGAAACCTCCATTTTCCTGAACGCTCCAGGTCTGACACTCCACATACCACAGTCATGGAGCCCAAATATTCATAATAAATATCCCAGAATGTGAATGACAAGCTGCTCCCATCAGACCAGTAAAAGAGAGGATCTCTGTACAAACCGATAAATGGCCACTCTCCAGAATACTTAATGCTGCTGAGCTTCTGGTTCTCATTGTCGTTCCTCACAATGGCCAGGTCTATGTGGTTCTCCCTGCAGTAACTCTGAGCATCAGACCAATTCATTATCTGATTGACAAACACATACTCAGGGTCCTGTTGTGTTCCTACAGGGAGAGTTTGAAAATGGAGAGCTTCAGCTTATACAGAGAAATGAAGAAATCCTCTTTATGAACTGGATGTGTCTGGAGTGATTCTTACCTTGGTAACAGAAAAATGTATCTTCACGGGCGCAATCGAGATCGCCCCATCCATTTGTGTTGAAACCAACACAAAAATGATTCCAAAAATTTGGCTCCCCGGGGTACCACTTCCTGTATTCAGCTCCACTTCCTGTGTAGCTGTCGGATCACTTCCAGATGATTGGATTGTACAGACCGATCCAGACCGCTGAGTTCTGACCAGAAGACGTTACTGTGTGGCTGACTTGTTTCATCTCCTCAGGACTTCCAATGCTGGCCAGGTCTGTGTAAGTCTTTCTGCAGAAGGTCTGAGCTTCAGTCCAGGTCATGGGATCAGCCACATAGTGGTACTGCCGGGGAAGGCAGGAGGAGACGTTCCAGCCTGTGAGGAGAAGGACTTTCAGACTTTTCAACTCACAGTCAGGAGGCCATGCTGCCAAAGAGAAGCTCATTGCTGCCTCCAGGAGGCGCTACGACGGGGATATTAGTACATGAATGTGTTCAGGTCTTGACCCCTGTAATGTGTGGTGAGTCTGGGTCAGATAGAAGCATGCATGGCTGAGAAAAAAACTACTTCCTGTCTGATGGTAAGACATGGAATTTTGAGGGCTTGCTCCGCCTTGTTGCTTTTGTACGAGTTTTTCATCGTTTGGGTTTCTTCAGCAGGTCGGATGAACACTACATAAGAAGGCACTTCTCTGGAAATGTTTTATTCAGCAGACCTGAGGCACATTCAAACTTTTATAAGTTTAATAAGTTGAGACCATCAAAACTGGGACGTAACGCAAGACACAGAACAAATATCAGAATATCCTGGTTTGGTCCTTGCACTTACTCAGGTACGTAAAAATTTTCAGTTTTTTCTCTTTCTCAAAATCTCAACTTTTGCCAGAATCCATTAGCAGGACACTTTTCAAAGATGCATATGCTTTTCCTGATAAGTTCTGGTCCTATCTACTGTCGAGGTTTACTGGCTTTGAGGTTTGGCCTGTAATTATTTGACAGTTGTGCAACCACATTAGGGGGTTTGATTGGGGTTGGTATCAGTTCAAGTTTTAATAGATATTCTTATTTATTAAACCAGCCTGTAAATTCAAAGGGTCAACCCCATAAACCACTTCATTTTTAAAAGACATCGTCAAAAACCAACAAAAGACAGTTTTCTGACCTGAGAGACATAAGCAGAGACACAGCAGGATCCTCTCCATCATGGTGGCGGTCTGCAGAGTGTGTGTCGCACTAAGAAGACACTCCTGAGTTATCTGTTGGATCATCATGCAAATCTACTGCACTTGACCTTCATCCTGCCTCAACAACAAACATGGTTGCTGATAGGATAAGAAAAAAAGACGACTAAAAGCCAAAGCAATACCTATAAACTCCAACTACCGTGAAGTTGGGACGCTGTGTCAAAAGTCAATAAAAACAGATTCAATGAGGGAACCTTTGCAAGTATATTCATCTGATCCACCACAAACACAAGATACTTTCAGTTCACATTAATAAGTTTTGTTTTATTTTTGCACGTCCTGAAAAAGTTAGAACAGACTCAACAAAAGTCTGGGAAAATTGAGGATGCGGCTCCAAAAACAGCTTTTTGAAATCATTCGCAAAGGCTCATGGAGTGTCGTTGACACTTTCAGGAAGAAGAAGAAAATATTCTTAACGGGCTAAAATTGTTTCGTCCATTTTTATTTGTGTGTTAATGAAGCGTACATTAAAATAGTTAAAAATAGTTTCCCATCTCATGTGCTGCCACTTGCTGGTGAGAGGGAATGCATTAGTGAAAGAGATCAACGTCTCCATCATGAAACAACCGATCAGTATGTTTGATGACTCTTCTCTCAAATAACACGTTCGTCCTTAAACTTTTGTCAAATCAAACACTTTTATGCAGTTTTGCATGTGTTTGGCCCAGAAACAAACACAATAACTCTCTGACACACCTTCTTGAAATGGTTCTAAAGAACTTTTTGGCTGCTGCTGATGTTGGCCGATGATTCTTGCTGCCGATATGTCAAAGCTCAGCTACCGTTATGCGCCTCCTGCTGTTCAATGTGCACTGAGCATCCAAAGCGCAGGTAATTGTAGGGCCAAACAATGTCGCAAAAAAGGACATATCCTTCAGGAGCAGAGAAAAGAAAGAAGAAGAAGAGAAAAAACGCCAAGATAAAGGTATGTTTGCATGTCAGGGAATGTTAATCAAAGAGATTTGAAGGTGTGTGAATGATCAACGATCAATATCATTGGCAGAAATAGAGGGCCCCAAAATCAACTTTGCTAAAGGCCCCACTGAGGCTTGGGCCGGCTCTGCCTGTGCAACTAATCCCTTTTAGATGCATGGTTGCACAATGGCCTTAAAAAATAGGGTAGTTGATTAAGAAAACCATATTAAGCCTTTAATTTGAAGGGGCAATAAATGTTCCTGATAAAATGAGACAAACAAAAGACCACTTGTTGGAGCTCCAGCTGGGAAAATCGACCTTAACTTAGTGTTCAGAAATTAAATCCTTAATAGTTAAAGTTAACCTGAGAGATCTTATAACAGACCACCTGTTTTTGTGATGAAACCTCCTCAAACTAAATGATGTTACAGGGCTGTACCCCCCCCCCCCCCCCCCCCGAGTCCCCACTGTCCTCCTCCGGTCCGGCTCCAGTCTCCCGAGTGTCTGACCGCCTGTGGGGTGTGTCTGCTGGTGAAGGAGGAAGAAGTGTAAAGTCAGCCTTCATCGAACTGAGTTGTACCGGAAATTCATTTTGATTTGACTCCAAAATAAAAGCCCTGAAAAAGTGGTATCAAAAATACTGATGCACAGCTGGTGGATGAAAATGCAGCATAACTGAGGCTGAGAATCAATACGGTAATCATCCAATTTATTCAGAAAATACAGGTCATATATATATATATATATATATCGCTAGAGGGCTTACGCACGCTGTTAGCCAATGGAGATAGGCATCCGCACATTGCAGCCATTTTGCTACGGGACCCTCGCCCACTCATAACATTCCAGTGCATGAGGCATTTAGATAACTGTAGATTGATTAATTTTAAACCTCAGAGTTTTAGTTATGTTCCTGCAGACTCAAGAATAATTTTAACTATGGACTTTCATAAACATTAAACAGTTAGGCAGAGCGATAGCTATAGGCCCACACACACAAGGCAGTTATATTAAATAATTTTATATATAAAACATTTAATCATTCTATGTATGTTATATTAGTAATATTTCTATTATAGGGATAACTATAGTAACATAAGGCAAAAACATAAATATTTATTTTCAATGTAAATTTCTGCCTCATGTTTTTAACAAACCAAACAGCTTGGAAATCGTGCAGCTTAAGTTATGTTGAATCAAAAGAGCATTTCTGCCTCTTTAACTGATGTAAAATTACTGGGTCAACTTTGTAATATGTACTTGGTCTCACTCTCAGCGAGTTTGTTAGCCAAGTTAGACAGCTGATAAACACAAGCACATCCACAAAGACTGACACTTAGACTAAATAAATTGATAAATAAATAATATGCTGTCATATTAGCCTTGACAACTTGCGCAAAGTGACTCAAAGCTAGCCGTTGCGTACAATTAGCTGTGAAACAATTGTAAATATGCCGTTTCAACATGTCCAAGCATCCCGACTCATGGCCACGTTATTGAGGTCTATAATAAACAAAACCATAAATCTGTCAAGATTTCAGCGAGTTAAGAGTATTTTTGATCATGCAGATTACTCACCTCCCGTCGCAATTTTTTTTTTTTTGTAGGATAGTAGGGGAAGGCCCCGCCCTCCTTTGCCTCTGATTGGCTAGAAGTCGCCGCCATATTGGATGGGTCTCCCCACTCCAGGATCGCTCAAGAGTTTTTGGTTTGGAGTGCCAGGTTTTTTTTTTGCACTCCATGGTTGAAACCCCGACGCAGTATTGGAACCAGATCACGTAGGATTATAATTCACAAATAGGATTAAAAAATAATTTGGTTTATTTTTAATGTGTGATATTGTCCTGTATTATGGCTACATCCCTGCCGTTGTAAAACACCAAACAGTGTGAAAATTGGGCAGAGATTCGGAGAGTTATTACTAATATGGTTGGATATTCCTACCTACCTTAATACACTGCAGGCACATATCCAAGATGGCGGCCGCGCTAATACGTGAGCTCCAATAGGCAGCGTCAGGCTTTTAGGCATCTATGTATGTAATGTCTATGGGTGACTCCGCCTTGAGTCATCTAGCCTTCCTTGTAGATACCTAACCTATGTGACAATTTTATTTTGAAAGTCCAAACCGGATCTCCATCGTCTTACATCCGTGTACTTAACGTGGACGTTGAAGCCGTTTCAGTTCCCTCCTTGTAGACGAGGAGATAGCGCGGGCACGACTCACGTGCGGAGGTAAAATGCAGCTGAGTAACCGGTCGGGGCAGGTGAGTTTTCGGCTGCCGGTGATGATCGAACATTAAGTTAAGAGAAGAAGAAGAAGAAGAAGAGCCATGAAGAAACACCTGAGTCCGACCAAACAGCAGCAGCAGCAGCAACCACCGGCGGATGTCCCGGCGTCAGGCGGAGAGGTTACCGTGCAACAACTCAACGAGCTGCTGTCAACCGGGAGCGGCTTCTACAGCCTACCGACGCAACACTTCAACGAGGTCTTCCCCAGGATATACATCGGCAACGCGTGAGTCATCTATCTGCTCTGTTGTGTAGCGGGTGTTGTCGGTGACAAACAGTACAGGTAGGGGATGTGTGCAGGAACAAGGCGCGACAATGACAACAGTGTCGCATGTCGGCGAACACGGAGCAGCGAGTGGGTGTGTTATTTTTGGTGTCAGTGGACAAAGCCACAGCCTGTTGGCGTCAACAGATAGATCTCGACATAACGGCGGCGTCAACGTGCCTCAGCAGTCAGTCAGCCAGCCAGTCAGTCAGTCAGACAGACAGGTGGATATTGTGTAACAGCGCTGCACAGGGTCTGTGTTTTCAGGGTATGATCGATTTCTGTCTCCGTGACTCCAAACCTTCTTGTTTTGAGATGTGAAGGGCGGACACACAAAGACGTGTTTTTTTTTCTCCCCCCCACTCCATCATTAGTGTCACCGCCGCGCAATCACGTCTCCATCGAGCCGCTCCCATCGCGCTGAGGGGCGGCTGCAGAGTGACAGTCATCCCGGCTAAAATTAGATTTATGTCTTCATTCATAAACAACAGGCAGAACAAAGAGGGGGGAAAGGAGGAGCGTGTGGAAGGGGAGATGGGTCCACGTATTATCCGTCCATTCAATTATACCATACAATCTAATAAACGAAAAAAACGAGTCAGTTTTGTTTATTTATTATTTTAAAAATTTAGTCTTTGTTTTTGTATTTTCAGCTCAAAACACAATAAATAACAGAGAAGGAAACGATAACAAAATGATAAATCTTATTTACGATTAGTAATTATGAGTAAAGCTGAAACGATTCCTCGAATACAGGTCCTTACACACCGGGACCAACGCGAATATAGCACACGAAATGACGAAACATTCGGAGGCGAATTTTGCGACTTTCTGGGGGGAAAAAAGACGCGTCCCGGTGGAAGAAGCGAGAAGACTGAGCCAACAGCAGACTGAGTGTTTTTCAGTTCTGATTAGACTCTAGTGTTGAGATGTCTGTCTGTCATGATAGCATGTACTGAGTCAGGGCCAGTACCAGATAAGAACATTAAACTATAATCCATAAACGTAAGGTAACAACCGAGACCTAATGGTGCTGTGACAGCACACTGAACAGGTTAGCTTATGAGCTAAAGTTACTTAGCACAGATGAAAGTTAAAACAAAGATGTTTATCAAACTGTTAAAGCACACAAACCATCGTCATATGAGAAATCCGACGCTATGACTCTCCACAAGTTTGTCCTTCAGGTCGTTATCTTTGTAATATTTGTGTTTTTTATCAAAAATCACTCTGTTCTCCGACACGTAAACAATCAGCCGGTCGGCCATGTTGGATATACGAGTGAATCTGACGTCACAACAACACGCAATCTGATTGGTCAGAAGTCGACACACAGTATGAGAAACTTTAGAAAAATCAATTGTGAAACGAAAAAATAAATGCCGCAGTATCGCAGGACGGGAAAACGTCACTGATGTGAACGCTTGTATTGACAGGATACGGTTTAAAAAAAAAATATCTGAAATAATCGCACGTAAAAAGTGGTCCCGTTGTGAAAGGACCTTACCTCGAGTACCTCGATTACTAATAATGATCGAGGAATCTTCTCTGCCTCGAGTTCTCGTTTATCAGCTGAAATCGTCACTGTTTTGCACGGATTCTTTTTAAGATGACACAATGCGCTTGTGACCATTGCATTAGCCTATAAAGAAAAACAAATGAATAAAAATTGACTCGTTTTTTCGTTTTTCGTTTGCTAGATTGAATGAAATAATTGAATGGACGGATAATACACGGACACGGAGATGCTCGCACCTGGGAGTTTTTTTATTTTTTATTTTATTTTATTTTAAGTTTTTAAGGTGACATACATTTGCATTTGCGCAGTACAGATCAGGTAGGTAGCGTCTCACTGCCGTAACATACATCAAAATTCCAAGAAGTGACGTACGTTTCGCACATGGGCAGTACAAATCAGGTTTCCAGGACGGATCGGGCAGCGACAACAAATTATCCACCAATCAGTCAGTCACGTGACCCAAACTGGCAAAACCAAAACATACTCGTTAGCTAAAAAAAAGAGCCCTCCTGTGTCTGTGTTTGTTCTTACTTCGTGTATCGAGGTCTTTGGTTTTTTTTTTTTCCTGGTGAAATCTCAAAGATGTGACTTTTGAGTGATCTATAAAGCGCTCCGTCTTTCTCAGCTCTCCTACAGTCCTCATCAGACAACACTAGCTTAGAAACAGAGCCAGCTAGCATCAGCAGGTTTTGACCTAAAAGAAAAATATGCAGCAAACTGAAGCAACTTCTGCTGATCTTACTTTGGAGAAAACAGATGATAAAACCACATCATATAGTCTTGAAAATACGAAAGGTAGTTATACAGTATGTCTGGTCAAAATTCGGCTTATATAAAGAGGTCAAATCAGCTGAGCACGTATACATGCATACATATATGACGTGGATGTGCCTAATATGCAGCTGTGTATTAAAGCAGAGGCCTTGACATAAATCTGTGGTTATTGGTGGACTCGATGCTATTGGCTTTGTAATGAACATGTCCAGTCTTTGGTAATTTACTGCTCAGGGTTCCAGTAAACCTGGTTCCTGGTATTTCATGCACAGAGCAGGTTTTATATGTCATGTGTGTGCATGACAAATACATTTATAAATGCAGTCCTCCTGTAAGACTCAATGGTTTGATATTTTTTCTTTGCACATGTAGGATGTGCAGGTGTTTGTCAGATGAAATGTCAAACTGTTTTATTGTGTACATCGCACAATAACTCAAATTTAACACCGGTCACTCAGAGGAGATGATGGCAGATATATCAGTTTGTCTTTTACTGTAGTGTTACGTGCAGGATTTTTCCAACATGACGAGTGTTCTGTGATCTTTGGCTCCATACCTGCAACCCGAGCCCTGGATCATGTAACACAGGCATGTATTGATATTTTAGATGATACCTTAAAAGTGTCCTGATGCTTTGGGTAAGAAGTAGAGCTGCTCGATTACGGCAAAAAACCTGCATCAGGATTATTTTGATTGATATCGGGTTTTTGACTTATACTCAGATGCGACTTGTTAAGATATATAATTTCACACGTTTGTTATTTTCACCCTGACAGAGGGTATTCTAGGCTGGTGTACCAGTATCTGCTACTCCTGTACCACTGAAGATTTAAAAATTAATGTTAACTCATATCGACAACTGAGAAAGACTGAGCACAGATGCCGCTGAAAAGAAAATCATATTTTGCCGATTTCAAGCTGCAAGTAGTGAAATACGCAGCCGAAAACAACAATTGAGCAGCAGAGAGAGTTTGGAGTGAGGGACCGGCAAAAAGCGGAGGTTACTCTTACTGCGATGAAGAAAACAAAAAAAGCAAACCACGGGCTAAAAGCAAGATGGCTAAATTATTATTATAACAGGATGAAATGTCTGTTCTTGGTTTTGGATTTTGTAAAATAAATTTCCCCCAAAAGTGCGACCATTTCATGTTTTTTTTTTTTTTCATTATGCATTTTTTCAGCTGGTGTGGCTTTTGGAGTAGGGCTGGGCGATATGGGCAAAAGTTTATCACAATAAATGTTTTCATATCAGTTGACATCGATATATATCACGAATAAAAAAAATTACTTGTTGATTTATAGTTTGGAAAATATGGTACTCGTGATTTAAAATCTGAAATGTAAGCAACACAACCTGTTGCTGGAGTGAAATAACTGAAACACATTTAGTATTTTTACTTCTGTTTTCATGGTTGTGCACGCATTTCTCGGTGTCTGTTCCGTTTTTCGTCCATGTGCAGAAAAGATTTTACATCGTAAAGCTTTGGAGGCCTGCTTCTCTCTTAAGATTTATTGTAAAAATGCAGCAAAACAACGTCAGAAGTTAAATAGATGAGCCACTTAAAAGATCAGGAATACGGAGCTAATGTAATTTTGTCCCCTTTGCAAAGTGGCAAAGTTTTATCCTCTGCAGCCTGTTGGGTTTCTTGCAATCACATTAGGAACTATCCAGGATTTAAAAATACCAGAAGTTGTTTTAAGGTCTCCGGTGTCGAGCTTTGGGAACACTTAGTATCGGAAAAACATGACCAGAAATTCTCCAAATACTCCACACTGCTCTGTAATGTAATATAAGCTTTTACAGAGCAGCTCTTAATCTCACTTATATGGATTCATGGTGGGGGACAGATTCAGGGATGTGTCGGTGCCGTCCATCATTTGGCTCCAGTCGCTGCCAAGAGAGAGGAGGAGGAAGAGGAGGAGGAAGAGGGTGAGCAGCAGGACAGAATACAAGCACATTACTGTACCTCAGAGCTTCAGCAGAATCTGAATATGCCAATCTCCAAACAAAGCTCTGGCGTTTTTGTTCTTCGCTAAATCAGACAATGAACTGCAGGCTTAAAAGAGGGACTCCGAGCTTTTTGTTTCCCTTTCTGAAGAGCGGATTTTGATTTCTGGAGAAGAAACGACGTCCTGCGATTTCAAAGAATAGACTCTGCGCTTGTGTGGCGAGATAATTAGCGAAACGTTTGCCTGTAGTGGATCATAGAGTGTATAAACCAGTTGAAAAGGCAGCAGAGTGTAATGTGAGAGCGCAGATGGCACAGGGAGGGCGAGGTGGTATCGATTGTTGATGAAAGCCTGCACCTTGTTCACTATTTCCACCTCTGGGACCCTCCAGGACTTTCTGCTGATGTTTCCCATTAGCCGTTCTTGGATTCACTGATTAACAGAGCGCGTGTTTGGTACTATCTGTGTCACTCCAAAGAGAAAGAGATGGCTTTGTCCTTGGAAATATCCGTTAATGTCTTTCATGATGGTATCCCTTAGGGAATCAGGCTCAGGACCCAATTTAGACTCAATCTATGTTTTGAAGCGACTGTTTTAAAATCAGGACAAGATGAAATATCAGAGTTTTCCCTCTGCGTTCACGGACATGCATCGTTGAAGTGCTTTACCGGACTCACAACCTTACAATCCCACCAAATTTGGCTGTTTAATGCTTCAATTTTAGCACCAAACTTCACCCCTGTGTTAAAATAATTTACCTGTAAGAAACACTTTCTTCATTTTTGGCTCTCTTAGCGTTACAAACGTGAATATTGAGAGTGTAAACACAGATATAAAAGTGTTTAAAGACATGCAAATCAAACGTGTCTTTATTTGTGCTTTGCATGAATGTAGAATGTAAACATGCACACGAGTTGCAACAATACTGCCGTCACTCAGATACCTGCTCTTGATTTCAAGGCCCTGTTGTTCCACTCGTCTGGGTTTTAGCTAATGTTGTGGGCATCGAACAGATTGCACAACTAACAGGACTACATTTTGTCTAATTTTACCCTCAATTTCCACCGCATCTGGAACCGCTACGAAAAAGCCGTATCCGCCGATCGTAGCTGATCGTTCTTTTTTTTCCGTACGCTGGAGCATGCCGGATAAATTCAGCACAGATCAACCTGTGCTGGAAAGGAAGTCGGGCACAGACACAAAATAGCTGGCTTCTTTTCAAAATAAAACCCTCCGTGTTTCAGGTGAGGATGAACAAGTCAAAGGTTTTTAGACAGCATTTGTCACCCCGATGATACCATTAATGAGGAGATGCTGATTCTAGAAGTCTAGGAGTGGATTTCCCCCTCCGGAAGGACACAATCTACTGCTTATATGGTTATGTGGCTGTTATCGTGCGATTGAATGTGAATCCGCTGGTTCTTGTGAGTTCTCGCAATTACCGCTGTCTGTAATCCGCCACGAAATATGCCTTACCAACGGATCTGGTAGGAATTGGCGGATGACGAAAATCGCTGCCGTTCCGGATGCGGTGAAAATTAAGGGTTAGCGTTTCCACCTGTAGTGCCCATTCTTCGTAGCGATGTAAGAATCATGGGCAGAAGACGACGTTGGAAGTTTTCAAGTATTGATAACAGTTAGCACACTTACTTCCAGATGGGTCACCAGAATGAACTTTTCCAGAGCAGCTTTAAGACCCTGAGAAGTTGACTTTTTATCTCAAGTACGGTCTGGTGCAGTCTGCAGAAGTCAGTACGGCTCTAATATTGCAGCATAGTTTGGACAATGATCATCTGAGGGTGTTGTCAATAACCCCCGGCACTTTGACGAAGCAGTCGGTAAAATGTTCTCCCCCTCTAAATGGATTATGTCTGTACTTTACAACCTCTTACTCTGTTCTCAGATCAGTCGTAGTCAGCACTATGAAACCGCCGTGTGCAGCTCAGGGACACACTTAAGGTGTGGCAGTTTGCTTTGAGGAACACTTTGGCTCTTTGTGAAGCCGCTCTTTAATAATGGATGTTGTGGGACTGCGGATCCCAGGGTGAGGAGGCTGGGCCCGGGCAGGTAAATAGGAAGAGAGCCATTGGCTGTGGACTCGATTCAACCCGCTGTGCCTCTCTCTGCATTGTGTTGTGTGGGAAAACTACAGTGAATGTGAACAATGCTGCTGTGGTACTCTGGTGAAGTTGCATTGTAAGTGCTCGTACTGTGCAGGTAAGCATTTATTGAAGCATCTACTTAATCATTTATGCACAAAAGCTCCCCCTTATTTTACCGAACCTTACTGTGAATAAAAAGAGGAATAATGGGATTCGATTCCTGACATATGAAGGCTGGAGGAGCCTCTTCCTGCAGCTGACAGAGGAGCAGACGGCCTGCTTCATCCCTCCTCCAGTGACCGTAAAGCAAAATGGTGACAGGCTGGATTTTTTTATTAGTTTTTGCAGAAGGGAGGAGGGGAGGGCATGCAGTCATCACCTCTGGGGAGCTGCCCAGGGTCACCTAGCCTTCGCCTCACCAGCCTCGTATTGACTCTGAGCACACGGCGCTGTCAGGCCGAGCATTTCACATGAAGATTTATGAGTCATGGCCCGGAATAAAAGTAAAGCAACAGCAAAAAGCGAGCTCTCCAAAATGAAGAAATAATCCTTAAAACAGGTGAAATATTGCTCATAATAAACCCTGTGAGATAAACGTGTGTCTGGGGAGTTTATCTCCTTGCAGATGTTGCTAAACTGTGTTTGTTTGAGGCTCAGTCGTGCATAATCACGATCGCAGCTCGATCAGCTGTTTGCACAAGACTGGATGAATTTCTAACGTTTGAAACGTTGGTCTACTGACATCACTGTCTTGCACAGTTAAAGGGATATTCCGGTGTAAAATTAATTTAGGGTCAAATACACTGTAACACCGAGTTAGACACCCCTGTCGAGAGATGAATGTTGCCGACCGCTTGCTTCTCTAGTTATACAAACTTTTGCAATGACCGCAGATAGCAGTACAGAGAGCCACGCGCTCAACCAAAACGCCACTCTATAGCCACAAATAATGCTCTTCATCAACAGGACATATAGGGTCCCAGACATAGTACTAGACACCAAACATCTTTTTAACTTTGACTCATTTCTTTAGCAAAGAGACTAAACACAACTCACCTACTCTCTTCCAGCAGCCGCTTGTTTATACAGAGACCTCAGGCGAGTCAGTCGACTGCAGCGGGGTGACGCAGCTCAAGGAAGAACATTTTTTACTGCAGACGTGGTAGTTCTTCTGCCTTAGCGTCTCGGTCTGATTGTATTTCCATGAAGAAATGATCATAAATGTTCTTCCTTGAGCTGCGTCACCCCGCTGTAGTCCGTAATGGACTGGCCTGAATATCCCTTTAAGGCAGGTCTTTCCTTATTGCATTTATGCAGAATAATGAACGACATCTGAAAAGTTCAGCAACCTCCAGTCTTGAGAAATTGAGCCAGTGCTCAAAAACTGCAGTTCCTCGAGTGTCCACTTGAGGCTCGCTGCAGAAGCATCAGAAACCCCATACACACCCACTCAAAAAAAGCCCATCACAACAGCAAAAATCAAACAAATTTTGACTTTGTGGTTGAAATGTATTAATGAAGTAGTTTTATTAGATTTAAAGTTTGTCGTCTTAAAGCACAGGGGAGGTGAAGGATAAACTGCTGGAAATAATAAAAGCGGACTTTGATGAAGCGTTTTTTGAACTCGCCAGTGTTGATCAAACAGCGATCTAATTCAAAGCTGCTGCTCCACAGGCTCAGAAACAATCAGGGCGAAGAGTAAGGCCGCGGCAGGAAAAAAGAAATGTCTGAAAAAGCTTCATCTTGATCTCTTTATTCTCATCCAGCTGCACTCAAACAGCTTCACCTCCATCTCCATCTACTCAACATTACAGGAAACAATAAATCTGCTCCCCTTCTGCTCCACTGCTTTGTTTACAAAATCTACAATACTGCACATTAAGCTTTAATAAAAAGCAAACATCCCCCCATGCAGCAAACAAAGCTCAACAAAGGAATGGAGAGTTTTGGCTGCTCCCTCCTGTTTGGCTCCACGCCTGTGTCCACTGTTAACGATCCAGCCTGGCCAGAGGCTGTGATCATTGATTGTAGATAAAACGCCTCTTTTGTGTTTGTTTTATTAAACTTTTATGGAACATTTAGTGGCACTAATTAGCTGAGCAGAATTTATGTTTCAGTGACAGAATTACATCCAATAAAGACGGACGAATCATGAGAAAAAGGCAGAATAAAAGTCTGATCTTCTACCAGCGAAACAAATTTAATAAAAAACTGTATCCAAAAAAGAAAGAGGGGGATTAAACCAAAGTTTTGATACAAGGCAAGTGCGAAATAATAATATACAATACCATATAGTACAATTCATTAAGGGTACATAATACATAATATGATAAGACGTAATGAGAAATGAAACCAGATACATGATAAAGCATTAAGACAATCCAATTTATGGCATGATACAATAAATACCTGATACAATAATACACAATCATACAAAACGGAAGGAGAGGGTACAAAACCGGATATGATGCATGATGATATAATATGAGATATATGTGATGATATATGAGATATGATATAATTTACCATCATATATGTGATGTTATGTATGATGTGACATAAGATACAATGTGATGTGATATGAGATATAAGACAAAGTGAGATTTGGTACAATATTGTGAGATATGAGATATATATCAGATATGATATGATATGAAATGTGACATATGATATGATATATTAGATATATGATAATGAAGTATGATGTCATGTGATATATGATTTTTTATGGGATTTGAGAGGACATGAGATCTGGTATGATATTGTGAGATATGAGTATATCATCATATATCATATATGATATAAAACACGACATATGATGTGATCATGAGATATATGACAATGCGGTATAATAGGATGAGAGATGTGATGTGGTATGTGATATGAGACGACATGAGATTTGGTATGATAGTTTGGGATATGAGTATATATCATCATATATTATATACGATATGAAACATGACATATGATAATGAGATATATGATAATGAGGTATGATGTTTTATATCATTTTAGAGCAGCTTTCTTGGTTTCAGTGTGGTTTAAGCTCTGCAGATACATTATTGAGGACTCTTGTTTGCAACACAGACACTCTTGAATAAAAATGAAATAGTTCAAAAGGAAAATCAGTGATTGGGGCCTTTCTTTCAGGTTAAATGTTGACGTTTCTGCTTTACGTTTACAGTCTTTAGCGTTACTGGGAAAGTTCTGTTTCAAAACAACATCATGCAGATCTATGTGGTTTGGCTCTGTTTCAAGAGAGGCTGATGCTGCAGCAGTGCTCACTGAAACCCATGCAGAGATGTTGTGAAAGGTGCAACCGACATTGTCATAATATCACATAAAAATAAAAAGTGCTGACACGGTCCTCTGCTGTAACTGTCCGCCGTTCTTCATCTTCTTCTTCTTCTTTTATTTGACCATCTACAGATTCAAACTTTGTTTCAGTGCAGCTATTGTCTGAGGGGATTCTGACTCTTTCATCTCACCTTTACAGGTTCGTCGCCCAGAATGCAATGCGTCTGCAGAAACTCGGGGTGACGCACGTCCTGAACGTGGCGGAGGGAACCTCCTTCATGCACGTCAACACCAGTGTGGAGTTCTACGCCGGCACGGGCATCACGTACCACGGCATCCAGGCCAACGACACAGAGCAGTTCAACCTCAGTGCCTTCTTTGAGGAGGGGGCTGATTTTATCGACAAGGCCCTAGCACACAATAACGGCAAAGGTGAGGCGGCTTTCAGGAGTCGATGCGAGAATGAAAAAGTCCAACTCAAACTGAATCAGAGTGCGAAGGAAATCTTTTAAAGAGGAACAGCAGCATCTCTCTCAGTCGTTTGTTTTAACCTCTTGTTGCCCGTCCGACAGAGGATTCGAGGGTTCAGGTGTCCTGTTCTGATTAGGGTTGCAAAATTCTGGGAATTTTCAAAGTTGGAATTAACAGGAATAAATCTGAAATGTACAAAATTGAAGGTTGGCCCTCGACAGGAAACTTAAATATAACAGGGGAAACTATATTGTAGCGTAATCTTGACTGTACCGATGATTTCTTGAACCCTGGAGGCCCCTTTGAGCCGAACGCACAAGACATTTGAGCCTATGGACTATATAAAGTCAACTAAGTTTTGATAATATTATGGGGTAAATATATTTTATCTTTAATAGTGTGAATATTTAACTTGCAAGAATTAAATAAAAATAGGTGCTAAATTGTTTTTCATTTCATTGACCATTTAAGGGCGAGGTTATTATGGTGGTGGTAGCTTCCTCAAATGTGATTCTCTGTCTTCTGACTCCTGCAAGATGGTTTTCTGAAACCAAACAATAATTTATACATTGATTGTCAAATATTTCAAAGACCATTCCAGTTGTTTGGCCAACTATATTTCTGTTCATGCCATTGCATTAGTGTTTTTAAAAGCTTTTAAGATTTTATTCTACAGAAAAATGCCACGTTCGACATCGCCACTTGAAGAAATGTTTTTTAATTGTATTATTTTGTGTGGATGACAGAACAAAAATATTTACATTTATCAGGGTTTTCCCTTACATGCAATTGACAGTGGCGCACCACCACAGCTAAAAAAATTAGTTTTTGTCTCACATGGTTCTACCTCGGACTCGTATGTACCAGCAGTGTTTCCCCTTCATTCATTCAGCAGCAGCACACCACTGAATGATTCCACTCACGCTGTGTAAGCACAACAACACACAATGTTTGGGAACATTCTAGGGGAAACACTGTTTATGTTTGGATGTGAAACAGTTTGTTTAAATTACCGCCAATTTCCAGTTAATTCCCATAAATTCCCATGAAATGTTTCCAATTTGGAATATTTCCGAAATTCTCCAGCGTAACTTCCCACGAGAAGTTTCTGTAAATTTACCGCCCCTCTGCAACCCTAGTCCTGATTCATTCTGTTTGCTTTATTACTGTGGGCGTCAGAGCGCAAAAAAAGTGTCAATCTGCGGCTAAATCTGACACACTCCTGAGCCCTGCTCCATATTCCGTTATAGGATCAGGTCCCTGAACGCCAGCATTGTAAAGATAGCCCACGCATAACACACCTGAACCAGGATTAGACAACGATCCAGCTCTGAATTATCAGACTTTCATACTCACAGCTTAGTATCTACTAGTCGAGGTGTGATGTTCGACGTGTTGTGCAGCTTCACATGTAGACTAAAGAAACAATCAGTCCCAGAGGCCTTTGCTGTCCCCCTGCTAAAATAAATCTCCTCCGGCTCTCCCAAAGCTGCAGCTAAATTCAGCTAATTTGTCACCGCATGTCGGGAGTGTGTTTAATTAGTGTGCCGGACCCTGCGTTTCCTGACGTGGATTTATCATCAGCGTCTGAATTCCCCGACACTTTTGCACAGGTGCATGAACGACAGGAGGTGTGAGCTCAGACACAGGCTGTGGAGGAGAGGAGCTGCAGAGAGAGGAGGATAAAGGAGCGTAAATAGCCTCTCTTCTCTGCTCGCCGCCTGCTGTAGTTTGACATTGTGCGATGTGAAACATTATCTCTGACATTTAGTGACCTCTTGCTGCGGGCTCCGAAAAGGTCACAGGTCTGGGGTTTTAATGAGGAGCTGCATCGATGCATTGTTCCTCTGTGTCGGCTATAATGAAGCGTGAGGTCGCTGTAGAGCATGTGTGAACGCTTGTGCTGCACGCTCTTATCCGGATATTACAACGAGAGACGAGCAGCAAAATGAACAACCAATTAATATTAACAACGGATCAATGACTGTGTGTGTTTGTGTGCGCAGCTCCAAGAGCCGCTTTAAATCTTGAGTTAAAGGTGGTGTAGTCAGGATCTGAGGAGGTGCTAGTTTTTGGGAGAATTCTTGATTGTAAATTCTACCCCTCCGTCTCTGCTCCATCAAGCCCCGCCCACAAACAGACGCTCCTGCTCGCTCGTATCGTTCCAATTAAATTCAGATATAATTCAGATAAATACTTCAGATCATTACAAATGGGGCCCAGTCAAGGTGAAAGTCAAAAGCATTGGTGCTACTGTAGATGCCAACAGACTACCAGCAAACACAATGTTTGCAGGACTTCTACAACTAGGATAAAGTGACATAGTCCAGGACCCGAGGGAGGACAGTTTAGCGATGGCACTACAACACGCTACAGCAGGTCCGTTTGACAAGAAACACTTCTGTTACAGACACTTGTCTTACTTTGTTAAAGCGGTTTACCTGTCCAGCAGAAAGGTTACAGGGTCACCAAGATCCCCAAGCGTCCCCCATCGTTTATGTTGACCCGGCTTTTTAGCTCTTGTCCGGTCTACCTCCGTTTTAAGCGCCCGGTATTCCTCCAGAGTCTCCGGTATTTACTTTGTTTTCTTGCTTGTGTCGGCAGTCATGGCCAAAGGAGGATTCAGACAATTTTCCGAACTTTCTGGTTGGTTTCTACTGTCCGATATTGTAGCACGCTAACTTTGTTTGGGCTCCTGAACGACACGGGGGAGCAGCGTCTGCCTCACAACCAATCAGGACTTATCCAGGATTTCCACCACATCTGGAACAGCGGCGATTTTTGCCTTCCGCCAGTTCCTACTGGATCCGTTTGTGAGGCGAATTTTGTGGCGGATTACTGACAGCAGGAATCGCAAGAACTCACAAGAACCCACGGATTCACGTGCAATCACGCGATAACGAGTTGTCTCTGTAAAGACAGACACATAGACATATAAGCAGTAGATTGTGTCCTTCCAGAGGACGAAATCTACTTCTAGACTTCTAGAATCAGCATCTCCTCATCCATGGTGTCATCGGGGTGAAATGACGTCTAAAAACCTTTCACTTGTTCGTCTCCGTCCGTTTGCATGATGTGAAATCCGATCCTCATGTTTTATTTTGAAAGGAAGCCGGATGTTTTATTTTGTGTCTGTGCCCCACTTCCTTTCCAGCACGGGTTAATCTGTGCTGAATTTATCCGACATGTTCCAGCGTCCGGGAAAAATAGAACTCTTGTGATCAGCTGAGGAGTCCGACGATCCGCAGAGGAACAGAAAGAAGTCGGTGGAAATTGACACGTTAACTTGAATGGTTACGATCAGCTACGATCGGTGGATACGGCTTTTTCGTAACTAGGCTGCAAAGTCGAGCTCTGTCTATTTTAATCGGTAAATGTGACGGTTAGTTTCTGTTTTCTGAGCTCAGAATAAGGAGAGATGGTCCTAACAGTGAGTGAGTAATGGAGTGAGAAACGGAGTGAAGTCGTGAGCCAGAAATCTACGTGTCCAACAAGAGGAAACAGTAGAATCAACATTGATCTGTGGCAGGCAGGCTGATTAGCTATCGGAGAGGTCAGTTTATTGGCAGCAGACTGTCCTGGATGGAGTACAGAGAGGGGGGGAGGAGAAGGAGACTACAACAGAGGAGAGGAGGGGAGAGTTGTAGGGATAACACCAGCAGAGGGACACAGGGAGGTGTTGGGTTTCAAACAAACTGCAGAATCTGCAGATCTGACCTGAGCTGGCACATCAGCTGTTCTGTGAACGCTGCCAAGTTAGATCCCTCCTGAGGTCCGGCCCGTCAGTGATGAAAGCGTGAGGCAGATAGAGACACACCTTAGAGGGCGAACAAGCAAGTAACAAGTTATCAACCGCAAAGATGCACACACACATGGAGGTGGATGTATGTTCCCTGTAGGACGTGCCCGCGGTGAAGATGACTGACTTTGCCGAGTCTGCAGCAGAGGTCGGGTCTTATATTTGCATCTCCTGGCACAAAAGACGCTCTGCTAAGCAAGTTTGTTCAGAGCATATGTTCCTAAAACTGTAACTGTTTTTTTAAATTCACTGTCCTTATAGTTTTTGTCTCGGCTCTGAGTCAGGACTCTCATATTCAAAAATGATTCAGTCACAGTTCAATCGAGAAAGTAAGGGGAGCATTTGCAATAAACGCTCAAAATCCAAATCTACAGCCATGACGTTTAAGTAGAGCCGGGCGACATGGGAAAAAGTTTATGATATTAAAAATGAAATTAACAGTGTTTATTGGTCGCAATAACCTGCTGTATCTGTGAGGTCTTTGTGTCTCTTTGACGTTTTGTCGTAAGGCATTTCTCTAGAGAAAGCGAATTGAATGGTCGTCTGTTTCGGCTGCACAGGCGCCATGTTCTCCTTGTAACCTTTTGCGTTGTGCGCGCTCTGCGGCGTGGCGCTGCTTCAGGTGGTGAAAAAGATTTGAGGTATTCCCCGACTTTGTGAGAACATGTCCTCGACATAATTTACAGTCCACATTACTCTGCTTCATGTCCGACCTCAAAAAAAACAAAATACCTCCACACCACCGACGTTTTCCTAACGCCAGTGTTGTCGTTGACATTGATGTGGTCATCTGTTGAGCCTTTATGGTCATTTCTGTCGAGGGTAGCACTCATTTTCTTTGTTTCTCACCAACAGTGCTGTCGGCTTCACCTGTTAAAGTGCTATGGTTGGGTGGAGCTGCTGTCTGCTATGACGCAGATGTTTGATACGTGGTTCTAATTCAGCACATGATTGGTTCAACGAGAAGCGGACCTGGAGCAACTCCCCTTTTCATTGGCTATTCGTATAGTCGACCAAATATGGCAGAATGTCGACTATTGAAAAGTATATTGACCGTGTTTCATATCGATATCGAGGGAAATAAATGTTTTATGTATATCGTTATCGTTTTATCGCCCAGACCTACATTTAAGCGAATGTTTGTAATCCAAAGAAGTTTATAGTGTCATCAGAAGATTCAGAGAATCTGTAGAAATCTGCAAAAAAAGACAAGTCCAAAAACTGGTCCTGGATGACTGTGATCTGAAAACAGGCATGACTCTGTGGTGGAAATCGCTGCATGAGCTCAGAAACACTCGCTATGAACTTTGACACTCGATCCTCAGACGCAGGTTCAAACTGCAACCATGCAAAGAGAAAAACGTGATGTAGTGATGCCAGGAGGTCTCCGGACCCAAGCCAAATCCCAGAGTGGAAAACCTTTAGTCTGACGGAGAAATTTAACCGTCTTTTCAGAAATCTGAACGCCAAGATAGACGCCAGTTCAGAGTCAGAATCCCTGATGGTATAGAGACTCTTACAGCACTCGTCTTATTTCACCTTTTTTTTCTGATCTGCTTGAATCCTCCAGGAAAGGTTTACGTCCACTGCAGAGAAGGCTACAGCCGCTCACCCACGATGGTCATCGCTTACCTCATGCTGCGCCATAAAATGGACGCCCGGCTGGCCGTGGCCACCGTGAGGCACAAGAGAGAAATCGGCCCCAACGACGGCTTCCTTCGCCAACTGTGCCAACTGAACGAGAAGCTGGCCAAGGAGGGCAAGCTGAACGGGGAGGTGGGCAAACTAAAGACCAAATGAAAGCAGGACGAGACCTCCTGCCCTCCTGGTCTCCTCCCATCATGCCTTTCACAGGTTTTTAGCTGCTCTCAGAGTCTGACCCCGCCCTGACCAAACCAGCACCCATCTGACAAACAGGGGTACTCTGAGACACGAACATACATGCATTTAACCGTGTAGATAACTCTCCTCATGCACACACTCGGTCTCACTCACACTGGGTTTCTTTCTCTGGTTCACGTCTGTCACTGCTGCTCGATCGGGAGGTTTCTGACAGTAAGAGAGCGTTATCGCAAACTTTGACCAAACACACTCTTAAGTTCCTTTTTCCAACTCCACACCTCACAGGTTTGTGTGCTAAAGTCTCACTGCTAGTACCCGAAAGCTCCGAATCGTTACCACGTTGGAGCTGAGATACTGAAAGCATTCCTTCGATTCCCACGAGATGAAAAAGTAAAAAGTTTGCCCTAATTTTTTAAGATTATAGCACAATCATTCCATAGTTTTCCACTGCCGGGAATGTCGCCGATGTCTCCGCCAGCAGGAGAAATTCCAAACGAACTCTTAAGATCGTAAAAGTCACGCGTCACACAGAGGAAGTAAGTCAGTTATGTTACAAAAGAAAGAGAAATGTGAACAGATGGATCCCAAACATTCCATGAAAACAGAAAAAGCCCCGCCGAGTTTCGTTCGCCCAGCTCAGTCCTTCAATCCCTCTCCTCGTCTACCTTTACGGGCAGATAGTTGATGCACAAAGGCGAATTTTTCTCACTTTAATGCAAACTGTAGCCCAATGTAGCATTTCAGCCGGCATCCTTGACTCTCAGGCCTGAAGTTTGACGTTGGTCTAACTTTTGAAACAGAGCCGCCTCTTAATTATTGAAGACTGGACGTTATTCTTATTAAAGTCATGGTTGATGATCTGAGAAGCAGCTGAAACAAACTGAGCCACTGAGGCAGATTTGAAAGTGTCCCTTTCCCCACGCCACAAACCTCTCCCCTCTGTGCTCCCCGATAACTCCTCCCCCGAACCTGTTTCTCCCTCCCCCACGACACACCCCCTCTGGCAGAGCAAGAAGCCGGTCGACAGAAGATTCTACGCTAGCTTCAAATAGGATTCGCCATGTCGGATTTTTAGTGACTAGCAGCAGTAAACGCCATCTCTGCTAGCGAACGCCTGGACAGCTACCGTGTTGACATCGCAGAGACTAATCAGAGTTATTTATGTAACATGAGCCACGATAAAAGGCGATAAAAATTACCTGTTCAACAAAAACTCTGCTGCCTCGGCGTCTGTTTTCAGGACCAAATCCCTGAGGAGCTTTCTCGCTTCGTCACATTTCCTCTTCGACTCCGCCCTTTCCTCTGTCGGTTTCTGCTTGCGTTTTCTTCCCACTTTTGGCGGTGGGGCGAGCAGAAGTGTTTTTTTTTTTTTTTGCGTCCTTCTCCATCACAGCTCCTGTAGCTAAGCTGCTACGCTACTTTTAGCCACTCAGAGCTCCGAGGAGGGCCGGGAGAGTGGGAGGGGACGAGTCGGAACTACTGGAGAGGGGTGTGTCAAATACAGCGAGATGATTGGATGGAGAGGCGGAGCAGGAGATTGACCAATAGGAGCTGTCTGGGACGGATGGCTCCCATTGGTCGATGTTTTTGCAGCCCTGCACCTGTAAGGGTGAACGGATTTTTTCCATTCTATTTTCTCTTCACTTTGTGGAGATCGCACTATAGGACCATGATCGCCATAGAAACGAGGTTCATAATAATTACCGATCTCTCCGATCGTCAACCATGACTTTAAGTCCACATGACTAGACTTCTAGAGTTGGGGGATGTGAAACGCAGCGTAGACGTCCCTATGAGCTGTCTACTTATGCTACACGTCTTTATTGAAGGTTAACGTCAACATTTATCGTCATTTTGTTTAATAGTATGAACACAAACCAAAGTCACTCAGATCCTAAACGTTACAAACAGTAACCAGGTCAGACGAGTTCATCTTAACGCTCCTAGTCCGGCCTGATTTTGCTCTCTCTTTTGCTGTTGAATGCTCCTCTCCCCCAGACTTAGACTGGACTCCCCCGACAGTTTCTGCATTCGTTTGTAAAATCTTAAACCAGCTGTTAAACTAAAGGCCTTTCTAACCCTGATTGTCAAGGATGTCGCCCGCCCTCCACAGAGAAAGTTCCAGTCATCCCACTCCAGAGTCGCCCACTGCCAGCTTCCTGACACAGCCGCCGGGCCGGTATCCAGTTTCCACTGTTTCATCAACAGTCTGTCAGAGGTCCATACACAACATGTCAACATGTCTCACTCCTGAGTGTGTGTGTCATACAGGAATGTATAACTCCACGCACACACGGGGTCGAATCACAAAGCCTTTATTTTCCAGTATTAAAGCATTGCAATATATGTCAATACCCCATTATCAGATATATAGAATGTAATCACAGCTAAATATGAATATCCAGGCCGTAGGTGTCACATATACAGGTAGGCTACAATACATTTTATATACACTATTTATTACTGGGCATAACACTGTACACTAGGTTGTCCCACCTCATTAAAGGCACTATTTATTCCTCCTTTGATATATCTGTATACATATGACTATATACATGTATACTGTATATACATATTTAAGTGTTGACATATATGAATGTACGAGCAATGTGTATAACGTGTAGGTATCGTAAGTGAGTCTTAATATATCATGTTATATTTGTGTATGAGCTCCTCCATACTTTGTTTTCAGTTATCACATGTACATTAATATGTCAATATAATGTACATGAGACACAAAGAATTGTGTGTAATTGTGATGTTTCTGATCACAATTGTGGAAAAGTTGCTTATGCTAGCCGGGTTGTTTTACGCCGAGGCCCGGTCCCCGGTGTTTGTTAGTGTTTCTGCGGTTTTGTAGTGATTTTATTTGTTCATAATATACAGTAAGATGCAGGTGGCAGCATAAGATGGTTATTGTTTATCCTGCGGACATTTCATCGTTCTCATCCCATCAGACGTTGACTCTTTCTTTCCACACAGGAGATTAAGTCAAGATGAATATGTTTATTTCTTTGAATTAATCGACACTCGGGTGACACTTTTCATTTCAATGCACGGTTTTTACCAGCAGCCGGAATCACGTAGACCTCAAACTGACGTCTCGATAAGGGCTGATTTCACGATACTTGTTATGGTCAATCCAGATCTGGTTTGAGCCAATGACATTACTTGCCTTTCTAAAGCCGTGCAAAACAACGATGTGACGCATCAGTACAAACAACCAAGAGGCTAATCATGGCGGACAGGGGATGGGAGCGGTCCAAGACACTTACATTATCGGCCTCAAATGGGGACAGTACTTGCTGTAAAATCTACTCAGTCCGTGAGGCCAAATCTGCGACTTTTTGTACCACCAGAGTATTTTCACAGACTGTCCAGATCCGATCTCTTAAAAACAACTTCATTTTAGTGGCGTAGAAAACTGAGAGATCAGAAACCAGGTTTCCCTGTAACTTGTAAGACAAAACGCAGAGAATCCAAAGGAATCGATAAAGAGTAAGATCGATATTCAACCCAATTACTTATTTATTTCATTTCCCGCACAAGCAGTAGAAAAACTGACTGTGAGATTAGGACTACAGACGGAAAATGAATGGCGTGCAAAATCTGCTGCAATTATCTCGTCAGTTTTCTCTAAATGATTGACGTCTTTGCACACAGTCTCTCTTTGATAACCGAAAAAGAATAAAACAAACAAAAACGCTGAGAACTATGATTTTTGTTCAGTCGCACGATAACAAGTTGTCTTTAGCCACAGAGGCTAACCATACAAGCAGTAGATTGTGTCCTTCAAGAGGAGGAAATCTACTTCTAGACTTCTAGAATCAGCGTCTCCTCATCCATGGTGCCGTTAGGATGAAATGACAACTTTTCACTTGTTCGTCTCCGCCCGTTTGCATGGTGTGAAATACGATCCTCCTGAAACACGGAGTGTTTTATTTTGAAAAGAAGCCGGATGTTTTATTTTATGTCTCTGTCCGACTTCCTTTCCAGCACGGGTTAATCTGTGCTGAATTTATCCGCCATGCTCCGGCGTCCAGAAAAAATAGAACTCTTGCAATCAGCTGAGGAGTCCGGCGATCTGCAGCGGAACGGAAAGAAGTCGGTGGAAATTGACACGTTAACTTGAATGGTTACGATCGGCGGATACGACCTTTTTGTAGCCGTTCTTGGTGTGGTGGAAACTGGGGGTAAACAATCGCTGGGGTAGAGGACCACCATTGGACCAAACCAAAGCCTTGAGTCTGCTCCATGATTCTTGTGGTGTAAGGTAAGATATATAAGGTAACATATCAACAGCTGGGGTTAGGGTTCGGTCACTAATCGGCCAGTCTCCAGAGGTAACGTTTCAAACATGCATTGAAATGTCAAGTGTTGCTGCAGCTTCTGGCCGGCATTAAGAGCAGGAGGATCAGTTATTATCAGAGGGAGGTAGAAACTGAGGTGAAATCTCTTAAACCTCACTGAGTCTCTCAACGGGGACTTCACAAGCTTTCTCTGATTCCAACTTCACACACAGGCTGTTCCCATCCACTCCCAAACCCGTCATCCGGTCATCTCACAAACCCTTGAGAATGTTTCAGATCCGCTGAAGAAAACGCTTGATTTTACTCGTCCTGAAAGCACGGCCGCCTGTTTGAGCGCTGTCTTTCAAGGTAAAACAAGTGCATGGAAACATTTTCAAGCAGTTTTTTCCCGCCACATCAGCATGAACCCCAAACCACACAACGTTAAAGAGTTCTCCTTTAAACACAGGCAGAGAGAACCTCTCACCTCTGTACCCAAACACAGACTCGAAACTCCCAAAATAATCTGTGACAAGTGGCCTACTGTACCTTTAAGAAAAGCCTTTAATACATGTGTATGATTGGCTTTTTGTCTTTTTTAATGGAATGGGGTTTTACTCATAAACTGCTCTACAATACTGCCCTCCTTCTGAGTACTCAACAATCAACCATGAACTCTAACCTGGTCAGTTTAACTTTGAATTTGGATTTGTTAAAGTACAAAGATTCTTCAATCGGTCCAGGATGAGGGTATGTACTTAAAGCATCGACTGCCTACACCAAACTGCTCATTTATTCGGTTTAGTCGGTCCTGGCTGCAGAGAGAAGGTCTGATAATCACTCGGTGGTTGCCCCGCTAGCCATGGTAGAAGTTTTCTGTCTCGTTTTGTAGCAGCTTTTTACAAAAGACTCATGCAAAGATGCACCGGAGTAGACCTGGTAATGAAGCTTCTATGATGGCTACAGCCGGCTCCTCACTCTTATGCATTGACTTACAGATAAACACTGCCACCTGCTGTCCAACTAATCCAGTTTTTTTTTTCAGCTGATTGTTTCGTTACCATGAGAAAAGTTAAAATCCAGACAAGTTTTCAGCGATTTTGTTACTCCTTTTTGTGTGAATTATTATAAAACCCTGAATTATCTCGTCTAATCTGTTTAAAACATTTTTTATTTACAAGGTACCAGCATCATTTTGTGGGTTTTACTCCAGGTACAGTACAATGTATAATCCAGAATGTCATTAATGTATAACGTTATATATTCTGAGTATGTAACACGCACTAAAGCGATTCTGAATTGCTGCATTTTACCAAAATAACTGGAAAAGTTCAGTACGGCGAGGAAACTGGGAGAGTTCTGACTGAAAATGAAACATGGAGTCGGATTTCTTTCAAGTTTGACTTTAATTTACAGAGTCCAGATTTTTTTAACACAGAGTTTGTGCACAGGATACGCAAGATAACAACTAAAAACATACTGCGAATGAAATCTTGTGTGCACAGTATCATTGGCAAGATAATATCTTGTGTCCTCTGTGCACAAGACGGTCAACTCGTGATGAAGTTTATTATAATGAGAGAAGACACCAAGATATACGTTATCTTGTTTGACTGGAGGACCCAACTTGATCTCGCAAGATAACTTGTGCCTTCAGGATCACTTTTTCCATCAAGATAAATTTATGTCAATAGATTTGGAGTCCCTGAAGTCCAATAAGGGGGCTAATTTTATTTATTATGTGCACAAGATTGTATCTTGTGTGCACATCATACTTATCATGTGGAAGCAAGATAATTATGCAATGCGCAAAATATGATATTCAAACTGGATTGTGTATTATCTTGTCTCAAAGGAACAAGTTACTATCCTGTGGGCTCAAGATAACCATCTTGTTTTCTTGTGAGAGCTCCATAGAGGTTTTCTTATGAGACTGTAACTTGTTCCAACAAGATAACTGTACTGTTAGTTGAATTATTAATGAAGATTATGTGTGCACTCAAGATCATTTCTTGTGCACACAGATAGTCAACTTGATCTCACAAGATAACTTGTTCCATCAAGATAGATATCTTTTAATAAATTTAGAGTCTCTGAAATCCCAAAAGGTGATTTAACGTGGGCACAAGATTGGATCTTGTTCACACAAGAAAAATACTCGTGTGCTAATTTTCCCACATTATCTTGTGGGAGCAAAGTAATTATCTTGTACACGAAACATAATTGGCTGAAAGGATCAGTTTATTATCTTTTGGTACAAGATACTTATTTGCAGGCACAATGTTGTGCACAAGATCAAATCTTGTGGGAGCAAGATTTTTAATATTTGATGCACAAGATTTGATCTTGTACTCAAAAGACATTTTTCAGGGCAGAAAGTAAATATCTTGCTGGCACATAAAATGGAATTTGCGCACACAAGATAACCACCTGTTTCAAGATTATAACTTATTCCCACAAGATACTTGTTTTGTTATTGATAAGGATATTGTGCGCACAAGATAACATGTACACAAAATGTCTGTGGCAAGATTACATTTTACCATTTTTGTTCCGGAAATCTCACAGCCAGAACACTTTATTATCTTGCGCATTAAAGAAATACCTGTTGCTCACAAGTTAGCATCTTGTCGGCACAAGGTGTTATCTTGTATGCACAACAGTACCGTCTTGGACTATCAAGTTATGATCATGCTGGCACAAGATTACGATCTTCTTGTCCTGTGAGAGCATCCTAGAGTTTTCTCTCACAAGATAATATTATGCCTACAAGATTATATTTTGTGTGCACAAGATTATATACTTGATCTTACAAGAGAACTTATTTCCAACAAGGTAAATATATTTTAAATTTATGAAGTCCCAAAAAGAGAATCTCATATTATTTATGTGCGGATGAGATAATATCTTGTACACGGGAGAAGAAATCTTGCGTGCATGTGTTCATATCTTGTTCGCACATGATAAGAAGCATTTTTGGACTCCATAATAACAGAATTTGCTCTGATAAACCGACGTTATTTTGCAGTATTTGGATATTTTTGCACAGTAGAGAGCACTCTTAAAGTGTTCTCAGTTCCTCTCCCTCTTAAGAACCATCGACCTGATCCAGTCTGTCATCACCTGTGTTGTTTCTGATGAGTCACTCTTAGACTAGACAGTAATTGCGAGTCATTTTTGGACCTTTTTGAATCACTTATAGACCGTCTGTGTTGTTTTAATCCAGGAGGGAAACTTTGATCTGACTCGTGTATAAATTTTCAGTCTCACATGCTGCGTTTAAACCTCCTGTGCTGAAATAAGCAAAAACCTGAGATGTTTAAATCCTCCATGGCTGACAGCTGAAGTCTCGCAGCATGGACGTTCATCTGGTTTAAATAATCTGACTTGTCTGTGATGTAGAAAACCTGATCCTCCTAATCCTCTGGAGAGAGTTCAGAAAAACTCCAAATTACTCACGAATACTGTCTGGTCCAGGTACGGTGTCATCCTGTTTTTCTTGATGAAACGGCTTCAAGTTTTAGCACAAGTGGGCCCACTGCCTGACTCCTCCAGGGATCCATCCCTCGGTCGACGTCTTATCTCGCCACCTACGTTCATTTCTGCACCCGCACGGATGTCGCAGAGGACAGCGTTGTGATGTTTGATCGGTTGTTTCTGGGTTCTTCTGTTTTTATTTCCACCACCGCAGCAGCCGGCATCTCTACAAACACATCCCAACAGTACGGACACAGCACCCCACCCAAAGCCTTACAGTAAAGATCGATCCTTCGATTGTTTTTCAGTTCGTGTATCTCACTTCACGCAGCAGGAAGGGACGGCTCCCTTACAGATCGAGACATTGTTGAAGTGCACTTGATTTTAAATTGCAATGTTATTTTTCTTACCTTGGAGAAGTCCCGTCTTTCTTATGTTTGAGAAATAAATGGCTGAGGTATTAACATCCGACCACGACTGGGTTATTGTTCTGATCATTTATTTCGAGCTGTTCTGTCAGAATGATGCGTTCGCAGAATGTTTAAGAGTCGTATTTTTCAGTTTCCTCGGGTCTGGTTGTTCAGAACTTGGGCGTGGAATTAAGTTAGGGTCAAACACACCAAGTTACAGTTAAATTAATTTTACGCCGGAATATCCCTTTAAATCTACATCATGATTCAAGAATGTGCTGATGACCTTTGACATATCTGTGGGTAAGAATTCATGACTGTGAATTACTAAAAGTTCAACTCACCTCTATGTTTTTTAAATATATCCAATAAGCTACATCTGAAAATTTTGCAAATTTTACAAAATGTTCAAAAAAAATTTAAACTGAGACTTTAATTTGCTTGTTTGCACCACAGTGAAGCTAAATCTGGAATATCTTTGATGATGGTAACGTACAGCTTCAGCTATCTAGCTAGCAGCTGCCTGCCAGCTGCTAGCTAGCGCAACAGAAGCAGCCTCCTGTCTGTTGAAGATCCACATTCTTCCACTTCATTATCCTGTTTTTTTGGGAAATCAGAATATAGTAACCCTATAACACCAGACCTTTTGTCTCTCCGCTGAAACAGAATCCTGGACGACAGAAAATATCACCAAAAACTTGTTGTATTTTACCTAAAATCCTGCCGCTCTTGTAACACTCCTCCTCGTCACTGTAGTCTTTATCATGCTCACAACCCCCAATATTTTTGCCTTTGTTCCATCAGAGATGTGGGAGTGGAGATGCACTTTCACCACTGTGCTGAACCTGCACCCTAGACGTGTACAATTCAGAGAAAAAACAGCCACTGTTGTGTTTGTTCTATGAAAGGTAAAGCATCAAGGTGCATTATCCAAGCATAAGCTTCAAATATCTGGTGTGAGACTATCAAAATAATGACTTCTGCTGTATTAAGGGAGAAAAACGCACACATATGCAGGTAGACCAACTGTATTTGAGTTGGTACCTGCACATTTGCTGTTGTTCAACCACCAGATGGAGGCAAACCCAAGCGTAAACTTTTGGATTTGGAGCAGCAGCACAGAGACAGAGAGAGAGAGAAAGTAGCGAAGTCAGAGGGGGAATGACATCAAGAATGGGAATGAGATGACAGACGGAGTTTGAGAAATCCTTCCAGGGCCGAGTCTCCAAGTGTTGATGCAAATGCTATTTTATATTTCACAAGACCGGACGGACACACCTGGTGGGGGACTCGTCAAACGGCAGGTCGTCCAACAGGGTCACTAAGAAACCCAAACCCATTCATGTCATACTCTCTTTACCTTCTGCTCTGGTCTCTCTTCTCTGCACGCTCGCTTGCAAAGGCAATTATTGCAGGCCAGCTGTGTGGTCCCTTATGGGCCCTAGTAAACCAGGGACCTCCTCCCTCCTCCTGCTGCATTCAAACTATCTCTACGAGCGCTGAATTTCAATCGATGCATCGAGGAAGGAACTTTTTCTGAAACTTTTCATGGTTGGAATTTTCCAAATTTGAAACAGAAGCATGATACAGAAACTACCTCACACTTCAATCTAACAAAACTCCACACGCACGGCGTCTGATGGAGAAATATGCCAGGTTCAGCACTCACAAGGGACGGCTGAAGGCCAGGAAGTAGTTTGAGTAAAAACGGAGAGATTATGTGTTGCAGCAGGTTATAGGTCCCTCTCTGCAGCTTATTTAAGGAAATACAGGATGCTTTTTTTTCCCCTAAACTCATCGATAACAAAACCAGGCTCTGTGTGATGAAGTGACATTTATTCCAGCAATGTGCAGCATCAGAAATGTTTCTTTTTTTTCTTGCGGTGAGGAAATATCTGCAGCTAAAGTCAGAAAAAAAAGCAGACAAGTTCCTGTTAAGGAAGCGAGTTTAATTAGGGACTTGGAGGGATTAAACTCAGTCTGGTTTTTGTTTCAGGTTCGTTTGATTTGGAATAAAAGTGAATTAAAATATCATGTTTTAGCCGGAAACTCAGAGGGAGGATAAAAGCGTCTGCTGAATCACGCTCTTGTTCATACGTGACCTCAGAGCCGCTCATGTTTTATGCTTGTTTACATGGAAATGATTCAGTGGTGAGGAAGAGGAGATCCGATCAGTTACACATTATATTCCTGGAGTCAATGAGCTTGAATTTTTCTCCCATAATCTCATAAACAAAGTTATCAGTGGCCTTTGAAAGTTTTATTGCTGCTTGACTCATTTTTCCTGTTTCCCTCCGGCTTTCCAAACTCCCAGAGTCACTCAGGTTTTCTCCTCTTTTCCCGTCATCTTCGGGTTCGTTAGACTACTTAAAATATGATTATAGACCTTAAATGCGCCGCCTATAATTCCTCACAGCTTCTTTTTCCTCACATGGCCCATTCAGCTTTCATCTCGCTCCTCTATTTTAATGGCTTTATCAAATAGAAAGCACATGATGCTCCCTCGAAATCCCAGCATCCAAAGTTCAGGCGTTGCAGAGGGTGGAGAGGACTCGGGGTGAAGAGGGAGAAGCGCACATCTGTGCTGCAGCGCTAATTATTAGGAAATATTGAGAGAACAAGGGGGAAAGGGGAGAAAGAGAGAATGGGCTTCGGAGCGGAGCGATCCTCAGATCCTCTTCCAAGTTTGCCTTTGCCCAGGGTGGTGCAGCTCGTTTCATCTCCGTCTCTTAAGTGCTGTTTTTACTGCTCTTGCTGCGCCATGTTGATCCTGCGGGTCCAGTGTTTATACATCAAACCACATAAATGTTATAGAGATGCAGCTGCCTTCACAACTTCACAACTTACTTCGTTTTTCTTTTAAAAATAATAACAGGAATTTATTTATTCCTCTTCTGTGCGTTTGACTTCATGACTGTTCCAGCTCCGGGTTCAAGCTCTCGCCTCGTGCCGGGGTCGGCCTGTGCGTCAGCTTGTATGTTGCAGTCGGCAACAATCAGGGTCAAATCCGGGACGACTACAGGAGGATGTTTGATTTGTAGGTCTGTCACATCAGTCAGTCCGTTCACATGACACTCGAGAAAACCGAATTATTGCCTTATTCCAATTAAGACCGGACAACTGAAGTGCAGGTGAACACCTTAGTCCGACATTAATCGGAGTTTGAGAACTCAGATTAAGACACCCAGATAATGTGACTGGAATCCGATTTTCTCTACCATGTAACCTGCGTAGTCGGAGTATGATCGGACAATGCATGTGCGTGTGCGCCAGGCCCCCGTAACCCCAGAACAAAAACACCAGAGAAGAGGAGTAGCGTTCGTCTCATCTGCAGGAAAAGTAGCGCGTCCATCATGTCGGACAAAAACAACGCTGTACGATGCTCCATCTTCTTGTTTCTCCAAGATGCCCAGCAGCAGTTGTAGACACTTCTGACGTCTATCACCGACCTGGGGAGGAGGACATGTTCACGTCAATAATTCAATTTTCTCTGCTGCATGTTTACGAGGACAAGGAGAGAATTAACCAATTAACCTGTGCATGTAAACGAACTGAGTGATGATGACCAGTGAGGGTGAGGAGCGCTCTTCACGGACTAAAGTCACAAGCGTGAACGAGCAAAATGAAAAAGTAATCGGATTAATTGATTATGACGATGTTAAAAAAATTGAACTCGTCAAGTCAATTTTCCTCTCTATCACGTCTCAAGCTTCCAGGCCACCGTAGGCTCCTCCCCCTTCCTGCAGGAGTGCTCCCCAGTTCCCACACACACCAGTGTAAACAAACATGGCGTCTGCGAAAGAAGGCGATAATTTCCTGGCTAAATTGGACAAGATCAAGTCAGTCGTGTTGAATTGGTACGGCTTCACAGTTTCAGATGAAGAGCAAACCACTCCCCGCTGCAAAGTCTGTCTGAAGGCGGTATCAACCCGTCACCACGGAAACGAATTCACTAACTAACTCTTCTTCTGTCTTTGGTGCATTTCCTGTGCAGCGTTACAGCGCCACTTACAGGCTTGGCATATGCACTACATCGTTTTCAGTGGTTTAGTTTTGAGAGATGATGGAGAAACTTTGGAAAAAGTTGTCACAGGATTGAAATCGAGTTTTCAGAGAAAAAATCCGTATTTTATTTTTGGCCAAAAATCGTTCAGCCCTAATGCAAACTGTCTTTTTTTTCAGACCTGTTCATGGTCAGGTTTTCTTGCTTTAAGTTAAATTAAAAACAACCCTGTGAAATATCCTGGTGCTTCAACAACATCGGAGTCACACCTGCTAGAACCTTCTAAAATCTCCCCACAGGAGCTTTAAGTTGTCAGGGTTTAACGTAAATTTCATCAGATTATTCAGTTTTAGTTTATTCATTTGATCATGACACATAGATAAAAAAAATCCAGATAGATTTAAAACAGTATTGTGCATTATCCAGAGAAAAACAGACCTGTTAATTATAACTTATAAAAACACCAAAATCAGCGGTTCCTTGTTCAAACGCTGCGTTCCTGCAGAGAAATTTGCTGGATGGAGATGTTAAAAGTCTTCTCTCTGTGATTTTTATTTTCCCTTTAGTTTTTTTTTGTGTGTTTTATTTGTTTGAAGCGAGTCAGCCCACACCACAGTGATAGCAGTCACACCACATCCATACAGAGTTACACAGCTGCTTTTCTTTCTTGTGTCCATCAGGATGTATTTCAAATCTCTAAATAATGAACCACTTAGACAGAAATATTTGATTTCTATAGAGGATCAATTGTTGAGAGTCTCTTTAATGTAAAACACACTTTTTTTTAAGCCGCACTTGTACGCTGATATTTAATAGACGTTGAAAGTGGTCTGTGACGTTGTTGAAACACAGGCCTCTCCGTCCAGCTTTCAACCAGATTTTCAGCCTCTCTAATTGCAAAGAGCTGTACATTATCGTTCCCACTGTGTTTGAAAAACAGCATTTTTACTCCCTAAACCGTTCCCATGAAGTATCTGTCCACTGCGAGCATGCAAACACAACAGCCAGCGGTGAGCGTCGGTGTTTTCTCTCTGCCTTTGTGCCTGTAAATGTTGCAGGAG